CTAACCCTAACCCTAACCCTAACCCTAACCCTAACCCTAACCCTAACCCTAACCCTAACCCTAACCCTAACCCTAACAATCCCCTACCCTACACCCCTCACCTTCGGGTTTTTCCACTTCCCTTTCCCTATGTTTCATATATATTACTTTTTTCTTTTCCCTCCCTCCTTCCCTCCCTCCTTCCCTCCCTCCTTCCCTCCTCCCTCCTCCCTCCTCCCTCCTCCTCCTCCTCCTCCCTCTTCCTATCCATCTATCCATCCATCCATTCATTCATTCACTTCTCTCTCTACCTTGCTATCCTCGTTGCTTCGCAATACCTACTGTTGCTTCGCAATACCTACTGTTGCTTCGCAATACCTACTGTTGCTTCGCAATACCTACTGTTGCTTCGCAATACCTACTGTTGCTTCGCAATACCTACTGTTGCTTCGCAATAGTTACTACTCGCTACTCACTACTCACCATGGCAAAAGATAAACCAGGTACCTGCCGCATCTGCTTCCGCCACTACGCCTACCTATGGGACCACGTCAAGAAAAACCACCTACACCTCCATGTCCCCCTCTCTACCCTCGCCCATATGGGCTTCACCGCCTGCCCTACCTGCTACCAGCCCTGCCAAACCTCACATGGCATCAAATCCCACCAGTCCAAATCCGGCTGCTTAAAAAGACCCTTCCTACTCGCTCTACCCGCCGGACGCCTACCACCTCTTCGACCCCTACCGCTATAAATACCTCTATAGCCCCATCTACCGCTACCGCCCTTATAAACACCAACAAACGCCGCCGCGCCTCCCGATCACCATCGCTAGCAAGAAACAGAGCAAGGCCAAGAGCGAGGAATACACATACCTACCATAACACACCACCTCGTCTAGATAGCCCACCCGCCAGGCTACTAGACCTTCTATCTGGCAGCCAGCCGAGTACCCCTCTTAGTAGCCTACAACGGGAAATCCTCGGCAACCAATCCGACAGCCGACCTACATACCAACCAGCCCCTTTACCTACCCTCCTACTAGACCGCTCTCCTACCCCCTCGCCAAACGGCACCTCCTATGGCTCTCCTAACGAGTCCACCATCGGCCTCCTCGAGGACCTAGCCTCAAACCTACCTAGCGGCCATAGCTCACCGGCCCAAAGCGAGATCCACGTCCGAGACGGCCCCCGAAACACTAGTAGTGCCTACTCTCCTACACCCTCCTCTCCTACACCCTCCTCTCCTACACCCTCCTCTCCTACACCCTCCTCTCCTACACCCTCCTCTCCTACACCCTCCTCTCCTACACCCTCCTCCCCTAGTACACCGGCACCTCCCTCTTACTCACTAGGGACCCAGGGGCCTACTAGCCCTATCTACGGAGACGAACATACACCACCGCCACCAGATGTTGCAGACATACCTATAGGCCTAGGCCAAGACCGGTATAACACCTACCAGCCCCGAAACAAGTATCTACAACAGCTATTTGGATACAACCACGTACAGGCAAAGGACCACACCTTCCGTGGCAGCCAAGCCGCTAGCTTTGTGGCCGCCGCGGCTAGGTGTGCCTCTAGATACACACGCCAACCTACCGAGAAACACCTGCTAGACTTCCTACTACTACCGAAGGCTGGCCTTACCCTAGGCATCCAATCGGAGGAGTTTAGCACCCAATACGTCCTACAGCACTACCCGGACCTAATGCTACCCCCGCCAAGCCGCGTAGAAACCGATAGGGCCCAGGAATTTCTAGGCCAGCCAGACAACCGCCGGGATACCCCGCTCTAGAGCCCAAAGACTGGTAGAAAAGGGCTATCTAGGCAGAGCTGCAAGGGCACTAGTAGACCCCTCAACCCTAGCTAGGAACTCGGCGGATATACTAGCCAAACTAAGAGAAAAAACACCCGGAAGGGCAGCCCTACCCTTTGCCTCCTCCGCGAGCCCTAGACCAGGCCCTAGGCCACTCCCGGAAGACATCTTACAAGCCCTGGCCTCATTTGCCCCGGATACAGCCCCTGGCCTATCCGGCTGGTCAGTCCCCTTACTAAGGGAAGCCTGTAAGCATAAACAGGTGGTAGACTTTCTTACCCACCTCTGCAAGCAGGTACAGAACGGCCTAGCACCAGGGAACCAGCTACTTACCGCATCGAGGCTTGTAGCCCTAGATAAGGAAGATAGCGGGGTCCGGCCAATTGCAGTAGGAGAGCTCATCTATAGGCTGGTAGCTAAGGTCCTCCTCCAAAAACAGTTCTCTAAGGACCAACTAGCCCCCTTCCAGCTAGGGGTACAGAGCCCCGGCGGGGTAGAGCCAATCATACACCTACTAGGACACGCGGTAGATGGAAACCTTAGAGGATACACCCACGTCTGCTCTATGGACTTTAAAAACGCCTTCAACTCAGTCTCCCGAGCAGCGGTAGCCCACGGGATCCTAAGCTATGCCCCAGAGTTCTACAAGGCAGCTAGATGGGCCTACAACGAGCCAGCAGCCCTAGTGATGTATGACGGCACGGTAATTACCTCCTCGGAAGGGGTTAGACAAGGAGACCCCCTCGGCCCCCTCTTCTTCTCCCTAGCCATTCGGACCACCCTCCAACAGCTACAACAACAGCTACAGAGGTCAACCGGCTATAACAGACCCCCTCCTATCGTCCTAGCATACCTAGACGACGTCTACATCATCTCAGGGCAACAGATCACCCTACAACAACTAGAAGGCTACCTAGAAGACGCCCCTATCGCCCTAAACATAGATAAGACAAAGACACACCCCCTATCGGCAATACAGACCACGGGAATGAAGATACTTGGCTCCTTTATAGGGCCAGAGCCACGGAAGGCCGAATTCCTAGCTACAAGGACAGAAGAACTCCAGACGGTGCTAGATAGGCTAAAAGACCTACCAAAACAACACGCACTCCTCCTACTTAGGGCTAGCACCTCTACACTACTCCGACACCTTCCTAGGACCATAGGATCACAAGGACTCCTGGCAAGATTCCAAGACATTGACACAAGACTCCTAGAAACCATAAAACACCTTCAAGGCTCAGAGGATAGAAGACCACTAGACCAGGACCTAGTAGCCCTCCCTACTAGGCTAGGAGGCCTAGGAATACCTCTCTACGCGGAAGTGGCCGAGCTAGCCTTCCAAAACTCACAGGCTATAGCAGACATCACCCTACAGAGGATCCTACCGCCAAAACTCTTCTGGCGCCTACCCCGAGCACCCTCGCCAGCCCCTAGCAACACTAGTATGGAAGGCCACCCCAGACTAGCTATAGGCCTACACAAGGCCAAGAAGGCAACCTACAAGAGGACGGCCTAGAAGGGGACATAGACAAGGCCACAGAAGAGGACACACAAGGTCTAGACGAACAAACCACTCTAGGAAGCCAGGAGCAAGAACAGGTACAAGAACAGGAACAGGATCACTCCCAGGACCGCGGTAGAAGCAGGAATAGAGCAAACCAACAACCACAACCAAGCCTATCCTACCTCCTAGCCCAGGACACCCAACAACAGCCTAGCTTTCCCCTAGAACACCAACAACTAGACCCCACTAGTACTGGCCCTGCTAGAACCATCTACCGAGCTGCAATAGACAAGCTCAACAGAGCTCGACTGGCTAGAGTACAGCAGAAGCTCTCTTTACAGCAAGAGAACGTACGGATCGAGAACTCAGCCTTCCTAGGCCGGAGATGGCTATCCGCAATGCCTACCTCACAGCCCCTTCTACTCTCGGACATGGACGTAGCCGCAGCACTTTCTATTCGGCTTCTTACATCCCCTGAAGAAGGCCAGGACATCTGTAGACACTGTGATAGGGCCTATACCTTCGCCCACGAAGACGCCTGCCGTGCTAGGACTAGACAGACAATTGTCAAACATAATAAGGTGTGCCAGGCGTTAACTACGGCCCTATAGACCGACCCACAAAACAAAGTCACCCTAGAGCCACAAGGAGACTACCGAGGAATCCGGACAGACATTAGAATCGACAACCCTAAGGGAACCACCTACCTAGATGTGTCCATCATTTCCCTAGGTAAGGAAACCGCTAGGAAGGACCCTAATAGCACCCTATCGGCCGCGGAAAGGGCTAAGAAGCTCAAATACCAAACCCTAGGCCGAGCTTTTAAGCCGTTTATCCTTAGCCAAGGAGGCCTTCTAGGAAAGGAGACCTCACAAACCTACAAAGAATTCCANAAGTCCCTTAGTCCTAGCACCTCGGAGTGGCTAGATAAGTATATCTCTACCACTCTAGTAAGACTCCGGGCTAGGAACTGGCTAGGATATGGTATAGACTAGATAGATTTCTTTTTCTTTTCCTTTTTTCTTTTGTTTCCCTCTTCCTTTTTATCGTACCCTTTTTCTTTGTTCTTATATAGAAAAGTAGTTAGACGAGCAAGAATAGCTTATATAGAAGCGTATCGAAATGCTGCTAACCCTAAACCCAAACCCTAAAACCTAGGCTAGGCTTTTAAACCATTTATCCTTAGCCAAGGAGGCCTACTAGGAAAAGAGACCTCGTAAACCTATAAGGAGTTGCAACAGTCCCTTTCACCCAGTTTTTAGTTAATTAAAGTTAGTCGCATCGATACGTTCTACGATATTAGCTAAAAATAATTAAGGGTTTATACGTGCATTGTCGCGGTGTTTATAGTTTTGTAAGTTTACGTAGATTTTTAAAAACGCCTAAGTCCCGTACTATCCCCGTACGGGCCCCTAAACCTCTCCTTTAGGGGGCATGGTATAAGAAAGGAGACTACCCAGTCTCCTATCGAGTGTTAGGACACTTAATTAGCATCCTATAGGCGAACATATGTTTAGGAAATCCTTAAAAGTACAATATAAAAATTTGTCCGACCGAACAATATTGACTGCTACAAAAGAATCCTGCCCCCAGTTTCTGTCCCCATGCAAAATCAAATGACCTGGCCAGGGTTCATTACCTTATGTACTGGCAGGTCCGTGGTTCCGGGAGCTGGTATCTAGGCCAAAGTTCGACATGTAGAGTCTCAACTCTAGTCCCGGAACGAGACTCTCCAGCGTTGAAAAGCTTCTCAGAATACCTTTCAAACTAGTGTCGAAGGACTTTTCGTCAGAAGCAACCGGAAACCCATAATCCGTCAGTGAGCTTGCCAATGGTTGGAGTGTGGTAGTCGATCTAACTTTAAGATCTGCTTCCTCCTCTTCCTTTTCATCTTCGCTGTGCCATCGATCGTCGCTCTTAACTCCAAGGCTGCGGCAATAATCGAGAGCATCATGGGCGTGCTGCCATTTCGACGTAGTATCAGCTTTNNGATATGTCAGCTCGGTCGCTACATCATCACTTTTGCTCCACTCACGTCCATCTAGGTAGAATTCAGCCTCCTCCAGATGAGCACATATTTCGATTAGATTGAGCATCATACTGATCTTGAAAGGATCTGACTCGTCTTGAGCGAGACCTGGGAGGTTTGCGGTACCAGCTTTGTCTAGCAACGCATGCCACTGTTCGAACCCCTTCTGAAGCACGCCCATTGTAACCAATGTCTCCAGCGTTACTAGATTAGGCTTGCTTGCGCGCCGGCTTCGTAGAGTTTCAAACAGATCCCATAAGGAGTCAGAGCAAAGATCCGCAAGCATGTTTGGATACAAATCGGAACGGCTTTCCACAGGCTTTGATATGCTCCTTTCGGAGTCAAGACTCGGGCTGCGGCTGACATAATCGTAGATTCCAGCTGGACTGGTAGCGTAGCTTTCGGGATAATCTGGTGAGTGTCTTCGATATCTAGCATATTGATCAGGCGACTTGCGACCAGTAGGCGAATGGTCACTGGCATAAAGCTTTCCACTCGTTAGACAGACGACAAACTTCCCAATTTCATCAGGGCCCTATCCTACGTAGCGATCAAAGGAGGCACTGGGTAAGGGAAACGGTCTTGTCCGATCCGAACTTCGCTGACGCGACTTGAGGGTACTCCCCAACATTGCTGCCTGGAAGTAGGGATGTTGTGTAAACGGGTTCAGGGTTAAGTTTGGAGCAGACAAATATCCTCGAAGAAAAAAATCAACAAAGGTTGGACGGTCGGGAGTCTCTCTGTGACGAGGATGTCCCATATTATTAACTAATTCCACCTTCGTACGTTACTCATGTGTGGTTCATGCGCAGCGCATACAAGCACTCGGCGGCTGACAAGATGTCACTTCCAGCACATATCATGTATGTACACATCGTGGAATCTTTCCCCTTTGAGTATGTAGCCATCGCGGACTCAGGTCCACTAGCTTCTTTTCCGGTGGCTGCTTACTGCATTAGGTTTGACATATGGAGAGCCGCCTGAGCATTCGGGTCATCTGAGTGCAGGAATGCGGGGAGTTCTGGGAGCATTGGTAAAGTGACTGCGAGCCTTGAGGCAGTTATATCTTAGATCTGAGCCACCAGAAAAAATCAGTCCAGCCCGCCGTTCTCGAATATTCACATGATGGAAGTCCTCGCACCAATTGGAGTTGCCGTCACTGTCGCCATGAATGCAGTGATGGCAGGTCTANNGCAGGAACTATGTAAAGGATGTGCAAAAGCAGAAACGTAATTACAATGCATGTCGACGGTCGAGTTCTCTTGCTAACCGAGATTTTTAAGGGAGGTCACTCATGCAACCTGGATCCTCGAAAACCATCGAACTATCTTGTGCCAATCAAAAAATTTGTGGAATGATATACTCGCGAAGTGCCAGCGTGATAGAAATCCAGAGCAAAGACACACAACCATCTTTAGCGCTGAAGTCTCCCAAGCTATCAAGCGCACAATCTCAATGATGCAACATCACTTCGAGGGTGTACGGACCCTGCTGGAGTCTTGCGACAGCCCAGAAAAGACAAGGAGAACAAACCCGTCACGCTCGCGCAGGGTCAAGCGCAGATTTACCCTCTTCGTCCGATTGCTCTGGCCTAACTATNNCGAAATAGACTTGAAAAAGCCCGTGGACGCGCCAAGTCTCCCCACCCGATGCGAGGGGGTATGAGGTTGNGTTTATAGGCTCAAATGGTGCATATCAATGAAAGAAGAAGTATATGGTCTATTGGCCATGATCAGGGCTGCACAACAAGATCTAGATAGCATCCTAATGCGGTGGTTCGACTCTTATGGTTTAGCTGGCGGAGGTCGTATGCAACAATCCTCGACTGACAGATTGACGATTTCGGAAGCTTTTCGTCGGTTCGGACGAGTAATGAGCAATGATCGGAAATTGTACGTCATGGGTCATGCTTTGATTCGGGGTCGCGAAACATTGGGAAATGCCATCAACGACAGCGCGTTAGCGTCCGAANNAAGCTCAGTCAGACTGGTGTTCCTCGCTACACCTCAGAATCATGTTCGACGAGACGAGTGCGAAGAATCAACATTGATGCTTGCAAAAGTCAACAGAAACGCCAGAGGCGGCGAGTTGATTGTGAACACCCGCCCTCTGAATAACGCGCCCGCGCGTTCAGAAGACCGGCAATCACTTGTCACGATCATGTCTAGGCATCACAATATCGACACTCTCGAGGCATTGCTCAAAAGGATTCAGATGGCCCTGACAATCTGCATCAACGTCTTCGATCTCTATGATTCAGGCTGTCTTTCGGTAAATCTGAGCATCAGAGATGTTCATACGTATCAGAGTCGGCTACTGTCGCCGTTCGAGAGCTCCAAGGTCAAATACCTGGACCAGATGTACGTTCAGACAAGTGATCCTAAAGATCGCGTTCCAAGGCCCACACCTTTCGATCACATGCATAAGAAAAGTCCCTACACCAGGGATATACTCCTTCACCAGTTNGGCATCATACTCTTCGAGATTGGGTCAAGGCACGAATATCAAGATGTGCTGCCCCTATCAGCGCTGGCCTTTATTGGCACCTCCAAAGATCAACTTCGCAGTCATGCCGAAACAATCAACAACAGTATCGAAGCAATCGGGATTGATCCAAAGTACAGAGCTTTGGTCCGAAGTTGCTTGAGCGGATCGATAGGAGCAGACGTTGTAGATGCAGCGGACTCGAGCTGTGCTCGGCGTGTGATCAATGAGCTTCAGACAGTCGAGGCTGGAATAGCGAGTATCATCAGTGGCAACAGAAGACAAGAAGAGGAGGATCCCTATAACTTTGATTGACCATCTTCGGCGTCACTTATATCTATCTATTTGCTCGAGTTCATTTTAGCTAACAAAACAAAGTCATTTGCAGAAGGCGTATATGTGTTGTGATCAAAATGTAGTTCATTAAGCCTTTTTACTATATCTATCTCAGTATACCTTTTTATCACAAGGTATAGTATCTATTCTAGGTAATGAAATAGATAGATGTCAAACTAAATAGGTAATAAAATAGATAAATAACAAAATAGGTAACCGAATAGACAGATAACGGAACAGACAAGTAACGGGATAGACAAACAACGGGACAGGCAACCGGACAGACAGGCGACTAGATAGACAAGTGATGGGACAGACAAACAACGGGATAGGCGACTAGATAGACGGACAACAGGATAGGCAGGCAACGGAACAGGCCACAAAATAGACAATATGAGAGGCAACGAAACATACGACAGAACAAGCAACAGGATAGAGATTGAACAAGATATGCAATAAGTTAGGCTCGGAACGACCGCATGTACGCTCACTCAACTTCGTTCTAGCGCGCCTCGAGGTATGCGACCCTACCAAACTCTGCATCTCCCTGACTTGCAAGAGCCGCTCCTTGTTGGCCATATGCAGCACCCTCTACACCCCACGGTGTAGCAAACCCGAAACCGAGGAATTTCCGTAGACGGTTGTGTAGGCAGGAATTGGTCCGTAGTGTATGCCACTGGCGTTGCCCGCTGTCATGTCGAGTTGATTGTAGAAGTTGCTGTTCTGATTCAATCTTTGTTGCTGGAACAGTCGTTTCTGGGCTGCGGCCGCCAATCTGTCCATCTCTGATACGGTTTGGAGGAAGACCTGCGTGCGATGCTCGCGATAGTCGATGAACTGGGCAAGAGCATTTTCGTCGGGCGTGTAGTTGCCCTGACGATCTTTCATACCTTGAGCGACGCTCGCCTGCACAACGAGTCGCCAGCGTCTTCTCATGCTGGCCGAGTAGAGATCGCAAAGGTGCTTTCCTGGAGATATCTCCTGACCAAAGACACGAGAGAATGGTTTGTCACGTAGTACATCCTCGTAGCATGACGGGCAAACGCTCATGGGATCTCCCTCAGACCCACACGCCAGAATCGAGCTGTCTGTTGTTTGAGTCCGGTGCAGAGCGGAAGCAAAGCTGTACGTCGAATGAAAGACAATAGTTGCTCTCGATCTTGTGTCTCGATCGCAACCATATACCGCAACATGAGTGGCCCGATTCGCTGGGACTCGAGAGAAAAGTTGCACCCTTTCATTGTGCCAGCAGGAATTGGCTTCTGCGGTTGGAAGAAGCTTTGCATGGCGAACGAGCAGACCCAGCCCGAGTAGGATGTTGGACACACATCAAAATTGTCACAGCCCCCTTTGAGCGTATACCATTGCACGCCAGTCATTCCCAAGTTCTTGCAAAGTGGGGTGTGTGATTGGACTCTGCAGGTCTCCCAGAAGATACCGTGCTTCTCGTATCCGAGAGCTGCTCCGTATGCCACCTTCAAAGCAGGGATAGCAAGATCACAGAACAGTTCTCTGTTTTCAAGAGACTTTGGTCCAAAGTCCGACTGAAAAGAATTGAAGCATACTTGGTCCAGATAGCACGTCTCGCATACATCAAGTTCGTAAAGACGAGCCGAAGTCCCGTACCAGCTGCGGCTGTTCGCGCTCACTGCTTTCATTCCGTTACGTGAGGGCTTGCTCAAACGTTTGTTTGCTGCAATAACAAAGTCCGATCAGCTGTTAGACTTTTCATATTCGGAAAATGCCCTGTTGATATACGGGACCGAGATGTCGCAGGACCACGTCTGATCTTTTGGTTGTCTCAAATTGTGCGGAGCGAAACGACTTTCGAACTTTGAGCCAACGATGGTCCCAGTGAAGCAAGCCTCGCATACAACGAGTCCAGGTATAGCTTCGTGTCTTGCTTGATACCACTTCAACTTGGCCACTGCTGGATCTGCCCCAGCGATACCTGCTGTACCATAGCAGTGCAGAATCCTTGCTGTTGCTTCCATGTACATCTTGACAGACTGGAGATCTTGCGTTCTCGAGGCGGTGGGCCAGAGTCGATCTGTCATATTGAAAAATCCAAACATGCATCGTGCAGCATCCGTTTGGCCTGGTTCCAGCTTGCCGGAAAAGTCCAGCTCGAAAACGCTGCCACGAATATGAAACTCGAAGCATCTGCTACAGATTGAGAAGCCCGAGACATCGATATGTCTAAACCAGAATGCATCATGGACCACCCATCTGACGTCGGATGATTGTTTAGCTCGAGCTGAGTCTCAGCTGTTGACTCTCGAAGTCGATGCGTCTTGCTCTAGAAGGCTTGCTACATCAATTCCTCGTGGCGTTGTCGCCCTATGAGAATCTTTCGAAATGTCCTCATCCTCTATCGAGTCAACATTGGGCAGAATCCCCAGCATTTTTAAGTCCATATCTCCACGCTCGAGCGAGTCATGACGAGGTGAGGTAAGTGTGCACATCCAGGAGTCTGGTGCTTGGTTGTTCTGGCCCGTCAACGTGGGTTCCTTGTGCTGTTTCTGGAAGTGCTGCCATCCAGATCTGCTGAAGATACCATGTCGAAACAGAGCTGCGAAGCGCCTAAACAAGGGCATCAGACAAGCCGCAGACGCCGCTGCGATTCCAATCCCCAACTCCAGAGTTGCCGAGTTTATTACAAGAGCAGTGGCACTGTAATAGTTCGGATGGTGTCGAACGTCATAGTACTGAGCATCGAATCGTAGGGATGGAATGTATATGGTGCGAAGGATGGCACACAGAGACCCACAGACGGCAAAGAGCATCAANNAAGTCACACCCAACTTTCTCTTCGCGGGCATGGATGATTTCCACAATATCAAGATCGGAAGCAAGGCGAAGGTCCAGTCCGAGAACGCTGACACCGAGCCATGGACATATAATAGACTGTTCCACCAAGGTGTTGGTATGCAATGGCCATTGACTCGTTTCCTAGCCAGATGCACGGGTGTGCCGCATTCAAACAAGCCGAGAATGAAACCAAGTACAGANNAGATACAGTATAGGCCTGTGACACCCCAAATCAAGCGACGTTGTATAGGCTCGAGGAGGAATCGACGAAAGAATATGGCCAGGGAGATCTTGAAGGGTATGCTCGTGACCATGAAAAGTGCTTCTGCGATGGCAATCAANNCTGTGATGGTGGCAAAGTCTTAGTGTCCCACTGAGTACTCAAAAGCGATACGACTCACCTGTAATACCAAGTCCGCACTTCGCTCTGTGAGGACTGGATTTTGTCGTTCGACTACGGTCACGGCAATGATAGCAGCGCAGAAGATGAGGTAGGAAGCCTGCAACAAAATCAGCTCGGTGAGCTTCAGGGAAACACACGATAACAAGCTGTCAGCCCAGCCATGCGACGAACTACTGACCATGGCTACAATCATCAGCCAATCATCCAACCTCAATCCGCCCTCGAGCCATCGACACCTGACCAGAACTCTCAGACTAACGGAGGCAGAAGAAAGTAGCAACGAGATATAAGTAACGAGCGCAATTGCATCTTCTGGCGCCATGACTTGGGATGGTGGACCAAAACCAACCTTCAGCAGTCTCAAGACCGTGGAGAATCAGCCCATGCTATAAACTTCGCAACACTAACGGTGAGACAGAAAACCGTTGCAGGATCTAGGACATCAACGCCGGAGCGACCCAGGTTGGGTTTACATCTGTGGGGTCGTTAGATAACGGTTGATAGGAACCCGACTAGTTTATCCAAGAGACAGAGCCAGATCTCGAAGATCAGCGGCCCGATGAAGAAACCCTAGGGTTAAAACCCCCAAGCGTTGACTGTTTGTGATGACGTAGCTCAGAGACACAAAAGACATGATGATGTTGATGGAAGGACACTCACCTTGATAGAGTAGAGGCACACTATGCCACCCACCCAGCTAATGGCCATGACGCCTACCCACCACCACATCCTAATAACCGTTGTGTAGCATGAGCTTGGAGTGAGGATTTCGGGATCGCCAATCCTGCGTTCCACATGCTGTTCAGGGGTTTCCTCTTTACGCCAGAGCATATATGTTGATGGCTTGAGTAACTTGGTCAAGTCACGAGGGTGAGCTCAAGTCCAAGCTGCCTCGAGGTGGTCCCGATTCCAAATCAACTCGCGGACAGATATGGCAGTGAAATCCGCGTTTGAGGTGATGCAAAACCGGTGAGTAAAGGTATTTCCTCCGCATTGATTATGTTAGGCCCAATCTCAACTTGGTCGTTCAGGATGATAGTCGAACGTGAACACCGACCTCTTTTGAAAGCACCAGAATCAGGCCTGCGAAGATCACAACCCGATATCGCCATCAAATTTGGGGAAAATGCGATCAGTACCAACGTCCCTTAGTCCCTTGGCGGTACTCCTGGTGGAGCCGAGCCTTCTACTTCTGCGACATGCTATGGTCAATCTCATCGTCGTAGAATATTCCTCTTGCTGCGTGCTCGCACAAGTGCAATGATTTCGGACCAAGCATGGAGACTGCTCTCGCAAGGCCCACCTTGGGAGATGATCAAAGCCGCCGAAGATTATCGTGGTTGTGGGCAATAGCGTATGATGCNAAAGACGAGGGATTGATACAAACAGATGATGCGATGGCCATGGCTTATGTTGATCAGGACTGGGCGCTGCTGCAATCAATCTGCGCGCCAATTATACAGCGGTTGTATAGCGATCTCAACCCAGCGTTTGAGGATAGAGAAATGTCAGCAGCCGAATATGTCGTGGAGATGAGTGCACCTCACGGTTTGGGCGACTCACGAAGTAGATATGATTCGGACCAGACTTGATACCTGCGATCACTGACCTCCCGCNNAGTCACTACGCAACATCTTCTGCGTGGTGTTGTTTTTGCAGCGATCGAACTCAATGGTCANTACATGACTGGCGACTGGCAGATCCAAGCCTTGCATCGTCGAGTCATGGCCAATGATGAAATCAAAGTCTGGAATGGGTTAAGCTACGTTAGACATTACTACTCCCGAGACGAGCATGGAAAGTGGGCGTTAGCTGGTGTGCAGCCGCATACTGTGTTGATGCAGGACCGTCAACCAAGTATGGTTCTGGGTGTTCTTTGAGCTATGCGCACGATCAGCGAGTGGCGCAACAGAGAGATCTCTAGGGGCAAATGTTTCGCGTTCGTGTTAAGGGTTAGATTCAATTAACACATACGATGTCATGAATTAAATCTCAATTCACTCGAAAGAGTCGTGATGAGAGCTTGGTGAGTATCCAGCTGTATCGTGCAGGGAATGAGCATACATGTTGTCCGAGTCTACGGGATACCCTGGCGTCACAGCTTCCGATGCCGATTCCAAAACAAGCGTCTCACCCTCCACCTTTAATTCTTACAGTACAAGTACCCCAACATGGACTATGTAAACATTCGTCTTAGTTGCACATTGTATGGTCTTTTAGCAGGTCCTCGGGCATTACATCGACCCAACCGGCCTCGCGGTCGGTAATGCCGTACGTGACCCACATCTCGTCGTCGAGGTACCCATGGCTTCTGTCCTGCGGCACCGCCGTGCTGTTCCAGTGGTAGATAAGGCCGCAGTTCCAGTTGTACTGCTGCTCCTGGGTTCCCTGGTAGATGACACGCTTGCTGACAGAGCGGAACGCGAATGGCGCGGTGGCGTGCCACGTCACGATGCGGCTGTCGTACCACGTATACGGGGATGTCTGTCTCCTCTGCACAAGCCCGAGCAGGACGGTGTTGTGCTTGTCGGGCGCGCACTCGCCACGCTTGCAGAGCGTTAGCGACAGTAGCGGCGTGCCCTGATGTAGCCCTCCGGCGACATTCTCCTTTAGGCAGGTCTGCGGCGTCGGCGGCTCTGTGACGCCGACGACGTACTTCTGGGCGGGTACGAAGCGGTATATGCGCGGCGACTCCGCCTGGACGTGGAAGAAGAGCTCGTTCGGGTCCGTGGTGTCGGGGTCATCGGCGAGTGGTGGGTGCTGGAACGGAACCCAATTCTTTTCGCGCTCGAAGCGGTAGCTCCAGCTCGTCTCCTGGATCTCCTGTCGCGGTCTGCGCACCTGCCGAGGCTTTGACATCTCGATCTTGGGCAGCGAGCTTGCGTGCGAGCCGAAAGCGGCGATGAGCTCTGGCACTGCGGCGCGCGTCGATCATGAACATGCCCTGGCACTCCCCTTGTACGGCACTTGATGGGTGAACATGAGGATTGGGGCGCCGGTGTGCATCCAGTAAAGCTTCGCATCCTCAGGCCCGATGTACTTGTCCATGGCATCCTCGCTCTCACAGTGGTGCTCTGGGCCCAAGTACCCTTCCCCTTCCATTATCGTCCTATTCCACTCTCCACTTCGCCGTATGACGGGTGCACCTTCATCATCGTGCTCCAGGTTAGCAAAGAAGGCGAGCTCTCTGCCACGACTGTACTCTTTCCCATTTATTGTGTCCGGGATGTGAGCCATACGTGCAATGATCAGAAAGTTGTGCTGGCTGCCTGTCGGCAGTTCCAGAATTGCTGGATTGAAGAGTCTGTCGGTAAGGCCCATGCTATCGATGCGATTCGCGTCGCCCGACGGGTTACTCCGGCTCTTGATCAGGAGGTCGTTCTTCACATTGAACTTGTACACTGCCGTTGCCTCAACTGGCGGTGCCTCCGGTTGTGATAAAAGTGAGTTGAGGCTTGGATGCTCTCGTAGGTGGACGGTAGCGCTACCGTCTTCAAAGCGGACATATATAGTAGTAGAGGAGGCGTAGAGGATAAGGATCGTAAGGGCAACGATAATGACAAGGCGCGGCGTTACACTGCTTCGGGGGTGAGGCGCATCATGTTGGGTAGAGGGGGGGGGGGGGGGGGGGGGGGGGGGGGGGGTTCGCCGTGCCGTGCGGATCGGGTTCTTCGTGTACAGGGCCGCGGGACCAGGTGCTGCGTGAGCTAGAACTCAAGGAGCAAGCAGACCTACATGGTATTGCGAACCTCAAGGAGCAGCCATGTTAATAGCTAAAACAAGGGAGCGATGGAGGAAGAAGCAGGGATCGTAAATAAGCGCGGGGTAGCATGCTAGACTAAATATTGCTCACTTGCTTGCTTGACGCTCGTGAGGGGGTATTGAAACATAGGGGGAGTTGATACGCGCTAATGTAGCTCATATCCGGGCCCCCGAGCCGTTTTCACTGCTACAATACATGCTTCAAAGGCCATTTTCCTACTATAAACAGCGAATTAATACAAGCAGTCCAAGGCACCATGCCTATACGATCTTGACTTGTTTGATCCACCAACCATCTACTAGGTACTTGCGACGTGTAGCGAATCTATGCCATAGCCTTCCCTTTTCATCATCTAATCCAAAAAAAAAAAAAATGTCTTTCCGTCTGTCGAGAGTGCTACTGCATCCACAAGCTTCTCTCCACATTGACCAGTCCAGTCCGTGGGTCCCAGATCCCGACCAAGCCACCAGCTCCTGCAAATGCCACCTCGCTCGTGTTCGAAGAGCACGCCAGAAAGAGAACCGTGTTCGACACCGTGACCCGGGCCTGTGAGCAACCCATGTTCTGCCTATACGCTACAACTATGCTGGCCCTATGCTATAAACCACCTTGCCGTAGTGGGTAGCAAAGATGCAATGGTATCGTAGAGCAGGTTCTGACATCTGAACTTTGGAGGTGACCAAGTCCAGGCCTCAATTCGACCCATCATCGCAAATGTAGATCAAAAGTGCTTGGTTGAACGAAAGTGAACGAACGGGTCACTTCAGGAAATCCAACATGCGGTGAAGCTGTCCTGTATGGGTCTCGTAGAGCGCGATTGCGCAATTGGCGTTGACGAAAGGTTTTGCAGTACCACACCACAAGCCATGAACTTGTTGCTTCCACAAAATGCGATAGCACTAATTCTTACTCCTGAAGATTAAGCAAAACCATGAGTAAGTGCGTGTATCACTTTGCCAGTCTGCGGATCCCATACGCTGACTGCAGAGCTCTGGTTTCCAAACTCGTTGTGTACGGAGGCCAACATCCTGCTGTCAGGAGGGAAGGTCATACTAGGATTCGCAACAGCGTTCGAGGTACAGGAGAGCTGAGCCAAGTACTTGCACGTAATCAAATTCCAGACTCGTGTCGTATCCAGTGAGGCAGCTACTCGAATCTGGTTCGAAAAAATCCCCACGCTGATGACTCTGGCCTTATGGTCGTATAACAATCCGTTGCGAATTTCACGTCTCCTTATAGTCATTGCTTGAACTTCTTGATCTTCCGACGACGAAGCTTCAGCAAGCCTTGGCTTCTCAGTACCTGGCTCATCAAATCCATGCTTGTTGTCAACAGGAGTAGTATCTGGTACAAGGCCCTCCGTCCGAGAGTCGAGGTATCGTGGCTTTTGCGTCACAGGCCTGTCTGGGCGATGTTCGACGTCTGTTTTTTATTGACTGTCATGTAAAGACTGAAGTGGCGAGGCGGTTGTCATCTCGTGTGATGAGCCATCGGTGCTGATTTCTGAGTCTACGAAGGTGATGTTCGAGTCATATCGAGGCGTTGGAAAATGTGGTGCAGCTACCGTGATCCTTGATGGTATCTGTTTGTCTGGATCGATGGTAGATGAATCAGCCTCCTGTCGGTATTCTGGTCCGGGAATCAATGGTGGTGTTGTCTCGATGATCGCGGCCTCCGCTCTGGGAGTTGGAGCTGGAGCTGGCTCTACCATCGAGTATTCTTCGGTGAAAGCGCTTGCGTAATCGCTAGACCTCCTGATATATCGCTGGTAGATTGCCGTGCGCTTGATGAGGGAATCGAAATCAGACGCGGTTAAAGAACTTCCATCGATTTTCGACGTGCGGATACTTGCAGTATTACTTTCGAGTTCGTCATCGACTAGTCGAAGAGAGTCTCGAGCACGAAACATGTTGCGCAGTGTCTTTCACTGATTCCTCATCATATCCATCATCTGATCATATTCGGTCAAGGAATTGTCTTGCATTTTGCAATAATGTAATCAGTGTCGGTCGTGACCCGTTGAACGAGACCGACAGGCCTTTGCATATTGCTCAAGATAGTGTTCAGGAGGGTGATGTAATTCTTGAGCTGTTCGAAGAGCTCTTTCATCTCGGATTCATTGTACAAAGCTTTCGACTTGTCCACTCTCGAAACTTTCTGTACTTTTAGCGACACGTCGAGACCAGCGACGTTGAGCAGGTCTGTGACATGGTTCTCAAGCATAGACAAAGTCCCGGTACACCCAATTTTGATACCATCAGATTGCTCAACAAGCTCTTCGTACCAGTCTCCGGTAGGTTGAAAGTTTTTCGCAAGGGCAGAATCGACTTGGTTCAGTGTAAATCTGATGATGTTGCAGTTTGCGACGATAGACGTAAGGGTCATGGGCATGAGGTCAGAATCACGGAGTAAAAATGTAAGAAGCTTTGGAAGGTGTGTGAGGTGTTTGACGTTGGACGAGTCCGTAAAAGATTGTCTCGATCAGCACCCTGGCGTCGCAGCTTCCGATGCCGATCGCAGAGAAAGCGTCCCTTGGTCTCGCCTCTGACCTCTTACATCCCAACACAGCACCATGTCAACATTCGGCGGCCCCGGCGGACGTCAAGTCATCGCAAAACCCACACCGTACGCCTACAACCCGGCCTCGCCACTGCCCTTGTGCAACTGCTGACGGCGCATCGCAGANCCCGAGCGCGGCTCGTTCCCTCTCGACCACGATGCCGAATGTCAACACATCATGAAGTCGTACCTGCGCTGCCTGCGCGCTCACCGCGGAATGAATGACGACGAGTGCCGTATGCTGAGCAAGAGCTACCTCCAATGTCGCATGGACAAGAACCTTATGGCGCCCGACGAGATGAAGAATCTGGGTTTCGACAACACTCCACAAGCTCTTGCTGCCGCCGCTGCTGCTGGACATGCTCCGTCCGCCGATGCGACAAAGAAGATGCCAGAAGGAGGGAAGAAATAGGCACAGCAGGAGAGGCACGACTTGTAAGAATAGAAAGAGAAGAGGCAGACACGGATACCCCGGCGCAAACATTGCGCCAACCACGACAAGACGAGCAAGAGACGGAGAGACTGTTCGTACGCTACACTTCAATACAATTGAAACATTTACAGCTTGTCCTTCAGCCCGTCCCACAGACCTTGCAAGAAGACCGAGGCGGCATATGCGCCAGGATCCCTCGGCACGTCCTTGTCGCTGACCTTGTCGCCGACATACGTCGCTCTCCCATACACGGCCGGCATGCCTTCAGTCTTGTCTGCGCCCTTGACCGCTTCAATCACGGCCGCCTTCAAGTCGCCCAGCTCCGACAGCGTCTCGCAGAATGGAATCAACGTGTCCATGACTGTTCGTCCTCCCACACGCGCCGGTGTATACGTCTGCAGGTTCTTCAATGCCTGCCCAGCACTGCGACCCGCCACATGCTCGTCAAACTTGAGAGAAGAGTCGGCTCGATACGTGTTCTTGAGGTCTGAAGTCCACGAAGCGAGCAAGATGCTGATGATGGCTCCGAGCGTGCCTCCAATCTCCTCAACACCACTCTCGATCTCGTCCATGATGGGCAACAACGCACCGTCGTGTCGTGAAACCAGCCCTGACGAGAGTTGTGTGAGGACGCCCTTACACATGCCCTCGACCGCCTCGCCACAGTCGCCGTCGCCCATGACGATGTCCCACTTTGTGATGTCGGGCTCGGCTGCCACAGCGGCTTCGCAGGCACTTCGGAGAGCGCCCTCGAACGTGGCCACGTCCAGCTTCGGTCCAAACGTGACGCTCTCATGTCCGGAAAGCGAATCTCTTGTTTGTGTCGGACTGTCGACTTTGACTTGACCGTACGAGTTTCTCGGCCAAGCTGGCGCATTCGTGTCTTTGTCCAGCAACGCGTACAATTTCTCCTCGTCCATCTTTGTTTCTCTTGCCACACCGCTCAGGTTGAGCAACGAGATGCTGAAGCCAGGTGCGTTAAGCGACGTCTCAAAGGGCTGTGCGTACACCCGTGTGGGCGAAATGTTCCAGTCCGACTTGAGATGGCTGATGGTCAAGGCTGTCAAGGCTTCAAGCTCGAGATTCGAGAGGCCGCCGAAGTTGTTGATGAGCAAGGCGACCTCGTCATCCGATGTGAAGTTGACGAATGCGCGATCCTTGTCGTTTCCGTCGAGAAGATAGCGCAACAACTCCTGGATCAATTCATCTGGCGGAGGAATTTCTTTCTCGTGAAGGCCNNCTGTTTCGCGTCAGATCTGCTCCTTGTCCCAAGAGTGTGATGTACTTACGGCTTCGTTGTGGATGCCTTGAGCCACAGACAGTGTGTTTGCAGGTAGGGATTCGTGATGTGCACGTCCGGGAATATGGCAGTAGTCCAGCGAGGACCCGATGGTAACGCAATGACCATTGACGCTCTCGCCAATGCCAAAGCACGTGTCAAAGTCGTAATCCTCTTCTGCGGCAGCACCGCAGAGTTTGAGTANCTGCATATCACCATTCGTCAGCATGCGCTCTTCTTCCACTTCCCCCATCCTGAACTCACCAAACATGTTTCCGGCCAATCCTCTCCGTCCCAACTTCCTCGTCTTTTCCCTACCCAGACCAACATCATCTGTCATCCTCAACATGCCCACCTTCCTGCCAGATCCAGCAACCTTCTCCCTCGCCAACCCAAAGTGCAAATTATCTCCCGTGTAATTCGTAATGCACAGAATGACACCCTTGTCGCTGGGCACCTTTTCCACCGCGGCCATGATCTGCTTTGTCGACGGCGAAGCAAACACTTCTCCGCTGATGGCGGCAGAGAGCAAGCCAGAGCCCACGTAACCGCACCACGCGGGTTCGTGGCCTGCGCCGCCGCCAGACAAGACCGAGACTTTGGAGCTAGAGTGGGCGGGCAGGTAGACTACTTTGTTTGCGGCATCGAGGGCGAGGTGGGNGTTCTTTGCTACAAGAGACTCAAGGCCGCGGACGACGAGGTTGTGGGTATCGGGGAAAAAGTGTTTTGTCGCCATTGTTGTTTTGCTGGCACAGATGTGGGACGATGATATGCACAGGTTTTGTGAGGGAATGGGGGAAGAAAGGAAGAAGGAGCTAGGTTGCTTGCTTACATAGCTGTCCGTCCCGGCACCACAATCACACCCGAGACTTGCGGGCTGGACTCGTGTGCTCAGAACGGTATGTTGCCGATAGCATGACGGCGGGGGGAGCGGGGTGCGTTTGGTGGGGTCAAGGGCCTGGAGTTGCCTGTTTGGGGAAGCCGAGCGGCTGAAATGTGTATGTGTTGTGACCCTCGTGACGGGGAAGGCGGAGACCCCGTGACGGGGACAACGTCGCAGAGCGATCATATTGACGAGAACGAGCAAGGTTGGAGAACGCAAACGATATTATGAGAAGGCAATGGCCCTGGCTCATATGAGACATCGCAAGACATGAAGATGTTGAAACACGCAGAAGGCCTGGCATGAATTCGTCAATCGTCAATCGTAGAAAGCACCATACCCTGCCCAAGTAAGAACAATGTCACAAAGCAGCAACCGGACGGGCATCATGGATGAACCCCTTAATCTTGCTCTCGANACCTCTCTTTTCGTCTCCACCCTGCGCACCACTCCATTCAAGCACGCCCACCTCGATCCTAACATTCGTATTTAACCTCCGTAGCGCATCCAGCACGTCCCTCTTTTCATCCATTGNCTCCCCGACGGTCGAGTCGACCCAACTCACAGTGACGGTGCTCAACTCTGGTGCCACCGCCAAAATCTCACACGTCCTCATTGCCCTCTTCCTGATCTCCGTGCAATACGTGTGTGTTTTCAGCGACGGATACGATTTCAAGAGACTGCCGTCGAACCAGAGCACCAACTCTACCTTCTGTATCCTGTGCAACAGAAGCGAAGAGGCAAAGTTGGAGAGAGTGGGGTCGATGCGGTAGAAATTGAAGGCGTGAGAGGCGATGAGTTTCCAAGTTGCAATAGAGAAGAAGTAAGGGAGAATGTCGGAGTAGATGGCGCGACTGGTCAAGAGAAAAGGGACGGGAGGAGGGCTGTGGGATACACTGGTAATCCCGACTGCGGGGATAGGGTTGGAGATTGGGGAGGCAGGGCAGAGGTGAGAATAGATTTGTTGGCGGAGTTCGAGAGGGAGTTGGAGAAGTTTTGGCAGGCCGGTCGTGTCGGTGGTTATCATCTCGAGGTTGTTGATTAGTGGTTTGATAATCGATATGCGAGGAGAAGATGCGGCGAGGTTCAGCTGCTATGCAGGAGCTGATGGGCTGCAATGGAGGCTGCTCTCGGGTCTTGCAAGGTACAAATACTCTTCCAGAAACATGCGCAATAGCAGATGGAGGTTTGGAATACTTAGGTGTATAGTCAGGATACCCGAAAGAAAAGAGAGATGCTGGAGGACTTCACATGTGAAGGCAGTCGCGGCATCCATGACGCGGAGGACGATGCGGGGAAGAAAATACCAAGATGGGCAGTCACTCGACGCAAGAGTCTCGCGAATCCATACTTACTGCAGTCACTTTGTGGCTTGTGACCTGCCATCTCATACGTTTGTCTGGCGCGCTTTTCGCTATGTCGAAACTAGAGCGCATGTTGCAGAAGTCCAAGAAAGTGGAAGAAGAGAGAGTGAAGATCCGGAAGTGGAGCGGAGAAGGTCTGTGCTCAGAAGGCTTGAGTCGCGCGACGCGAACAGACGCGACAAAGAGGCGCAATTGAATGTTTTGGATGACGATGTGAATCGAGTTCCTGCTGTCTGCCATGCAATTACCATGTCAGTTGTCAACGACGCTATCTGTTCTTCAGTAAATAATGTTCCTGTCAACACACTCGCCGACCGACTACTGTCCAGGAAGCGCAAGCGAGACGATGACATTCTGCCGACAAAAGCGCCCGCTCGTCCAGCTCAAGTCCACGTCCCTTTGCGCAAGTCCTCGTCCGACACTCGTCTACCGCCACCGACAGGCTTAGCTGCCATTTTATCTTTACCGCAGTCGTTTGTCGTCAGGGTGCGCCTCTCCCCGCCGTGCCAGCCAGAAGCTTTGCTGAATCGCTCGCAGTCTGTCGACAATGACAAGCCGCTCTCCTTTCGCATCCTTCGGAGCCTCCCTCGCGCTGCTCTACCCTTGAGCTACCTCGACAACGCCGAATCACCCACTCGCCTCTTCTCCGCTCATCTACCACAACTAGATTATGGCGCCCAATCCTCTCCTCTCGTCCTTATTGCTCGCCTCGAATCCCTGCCTACCCAGCCCCTGTACGCTGCGGAAAGAGTCGGACACAAGAGATACGCGCTCTGCAACTTGGCTAGCTGGTTAGGCTTACACCACCTCGATGCTCTCACGCCGTCTGTCTTCGTCGCTCAGAAGTCCCTGCCACAGACCTCTGCCCACACTTCACACGCTTTGTGGTGGCAGCAGTCTGCCATCGAGGCACCTGCATCACAGACCGCCATACCTCGCAAGGCTCCTCGACTGGCACTGTTCCGTCGCCAGCCCTCGCCAATCGATCCTTTGCCTCCGCTCCGGTCCAACCATGTCGCACTACCTCTGGAACAAGAAGAGACGTGCGAAACACCCGAAGACTTCTTGAGCCGCTTCATCTCACAATACCTCGATATGCTCTACCTGTCCAAGACGCCGCTCGCCTTCTTCACCAAAGGTCCTCTGTCGCGCTTGCGAGCTGCCTTCACAACAAGCCAGCTTCAAGGCTCCACTCTGTCCCATCTCGTATTATTCCTGCGGAATCTGATCCACTCGTCCTCCATATCCGACAAGAAGTATCGCGACAAGCTACCCGAGCTCCTGAAGGAACTGCCCTCACAGGACGCAGAGTCAGCGCACAAGAGGAAGAGACGGAAGAAGAAGCTCAAGCCAGACAAGTATGGTCTGCTGCCAGACGAGGACGGTTACTTTGCCAAGTGGTGGTACCAGGACGAGGCCTCTGCACCGTCTGGCGAGACGGCCGAACAGTCGCTCAAACGCAAAAGTCCGCAGCTTCGAACTCGAGAGACGTTCATGCAGGTCGTCCTGGTGCTGGAGATCTTGAGCCTGGAAGCGCTGCCCGAATTCAAGTCGACGGAAGAACAAGCACCACAACCAAAGAGCAAGAAAGGCGACACAATCACGCTGAGTCTAGAGTTGCTCGTGGACAAGCTCTGTATCTGGCACTCTCTGCACACTGCCGACCTGCTAGGCGATGCGCCCAAGCCCGACAAGACAACCAAAGACGGTGCCAACCAACTGCACAGCTTCTGCGTCGAAGTCATCATTCCCTTCTACATGTCTCGCACCCACGAGCATGCCTCGTTCGTCAACAAGAAGCTCGGTGGCCCAGGTTCCTCAAGCACGACAAAACCCAAGCACAGCCGCAATCTTTCCGAAGCAGAAGGAGTCTCTAAGGCTCGCCGTCCGCTGGCTCGTGTCGCTACAGAGAGCTTCCCCCAACCTGCCAAAACACCTCGATCATTCAGCCGCTCCGCCACCGACTCGCAGGTCCTCCCCGTCAAATCCGAGACACCAGAAATTTCATTGTCTTCCATCCCTCCTCGGCGAGACAGCCAGCCGTCCATGGCAAGAAAGAGTGACGTCCTGGAGAAGCATCGTTTGCGTCAAAGAGAAGTCGACTTTGGTGCTCTTGCTGCTGCGAACGAGGCCAAGGCAAAGAGAAAACAAGAGGTCGAGCAGAAGCTCAAAGATGCCATTTCCACTTTGAAGAAGCCAAGTCGTGCAGCTGTCTCTGGAGAGTTTGTGGATGCTGTCGAGCAGAGAAAACGCATGGCAGAAGGCAGAGCAAGGCCGCCATTGAATAAGCGAAAGTCTTCGTCATTCGCTCAAGTTTCGGCCACTCCGAAGAATGGCCACAAGATCTCTGCCATTGCCGCAACACCTCACCACATTCCAGCTCCTTCTTTTGTTCGTCCATCAGTCCCATCTTCAGGTCCTTCTCTGGTGCCTTCGTCCAACATCAAGCAGAAGTCTCTGTCCTTTGCACACTTCCCTCCGGTCCACGAGGCGTCTGACGACGAGGATACCATTCCTGCTACCGACAATCGGCCTAACCATAGAGATGCGCTTGCTGAGACTCCTTCGAAACCTCGTGTTGGTTTTACTTCAATACCTGGCGCGTCTCCAGATGAAGATCAGGATCATTCTGGCTATGTTGGGCAGGACAGAGGCGGCTCTTCACCATTGCGTGAAAGTCCGACTTTGCTGAAGACCCCAAGCAAGCCACAGCGACCTAGGTTTAGCATCACTCCTAGCAAACCGACTCCGCCTTTAAACTTAGGTAAAGCCAAGGTTCAACAAAGCGTCAGTGTGACACCACTGGAGTTTACTGCCACCGCGACCTCAAAAAATTTGCTTGGTGGATCGTCTGCGTCAATCGGACAGCAAAGAGCTGTTGAAGCTAGATCAAAGGATCAACCCGACGATATCTATGCCGCTCTCGGGTGGGACGATGACCTTGATGATGATTAGTATCAATGTATAAATGCTTTATAAATATTGATGTCCACTGATCAGGCCGCCATCTTGACACCATTGCCAATCATGATTTGAGCGGTTCTCCTTGCGTCCAAAGGATTCCGACTACGCAGGGATGTTTTGATTCTTCTTGAGTCCAATCTGGGAGTCAGTAAACCTGCTGGTACACCTGGCTAAGTGCATGCAGAAGGATTTCATGATGCAATGGAACAGATCTCGCGTGGTTCCTTCATTGGTCGAAATCAGTACGCGCAAGGTTGAAAATAACTCTATTCCCGCACAATTGATGCTGCAAGACTCTTGAGATGAACAATTGTTGGTAATCCGAACTGACCAGTGGAGGTGTAGTCCGAGGTACCAACCACAAGTCACTTCTTCGCCAAGGCCATCAGCTTAGCTCCCTGGAGGATCTGATCCTTTGCAGATCTCGTCTTCGGTAAGAGCTCAGCCTCTTGTTTTGCTATTGCTTCACGCATACCGCATAGCCAGGATCGTCCTGGTCGAGATCCTACTGTCTTTGCGAAAGTATTAAGAATGTCTTTCCCGCTGCACACAATGATGGCTGTTCATCAGGGCTCTGTTGACTTTTGGAATCCCTACCATTGTCACTCCCAAGTCGAATACAGACGCTACTACGATTCATCGATTACTTCACAGACTTTGTTGCAATGATTGGTCTCAAGAGCTGCATTTCTCTGGCTCTTGCCACGATTTGCGCTGTCGACGTTCTTGCTCAAGCTCCACCGACACCTCAAGGCTTGACCTATCTCAACTCCACCATCTTTCCAGGCGCGTCCATATCCTTCAAAGAGACTACCATTTGTGAGACCAACGAGGGCGTCAGAGGTTGGAGCGGCTATGTCAANCTTCCTGCTTCACCTCAAGAGGGTCGCAACTACCCCATGCACAGCTGGTTCTGGTTNTTCGAAGCCCGTCATAATTCTCAGAGTGCGCCTCTTGCGCTTTGGCTCCAAGGCGGACCTGGTGCACCGACATCTGTGTCCGCTGTAAACGAGAACGGTCCTTGTAATTTGCTCAACAACTCACGAGACGCCGTCAACAACCCATGGTCCTGGAATGACAGAGTCAACATGCTATATGTTGACCAGCCGGTACAAACTGGCTTCTCATACGACACGTTGATAAATGGAACGATTAGCGAGTCTTACTCTCCCTTCCAAGCCTTCAAACAGGACCAATTCCCGATCAATGATACCAATCTCGCTGGCGTCTTTGCCTCCAATAATCCCAGCACGGCTCCAAACAATAGCGTCGCCGTCGCTCCTGCCATGTGGGATTTCATGCAAACTTGGTTGAGAGAGTGAGTTTGCTTCGGTACTCCCCGCTAGTTGCCTACTGACCCAATCACAGCNTTCCCTGGCTACACAGGCGACAAGACCAAGCTCAGCATCTGGGGAGAGTCATATGGAGGGCACTGGGTACCTACCTTTGCCGATTACTTCTACAAGCAGAATGACCGTATCAGCTCTGGCAGCCTCAACGCAATACCGCTGACCATCGAGTCTCTCGGCCTGATTAATGCTTGCGTAGACGCCGAAACTCAACTTCCCTTTTACCCCGTCATGGCTGCCAACAACACTTACGGTCTGAAAGTTTTTAACGATACCACCTACGCGACTTCCATGGCAGCTCTGCCGCAATGCCTGAACCTCATCAAGTCTTGCAGAGCACTTGACTCCCGCCTCAATCCTTACGCATTCAACAACACAGACGTGAACATGGCCTGTAGAAAGGCATACGAGTACTGCTTCGCTACTGTCGCTAGAGAGACTCAACTAGGCAATATTGAGGGCTACGATGTATGTTCTGACTGTCCATTCCCGATGCAGACTGTCACACTAACTTGTTTGACCACTTCANNGGCTTTCCACTTCGACATTGCATCGCCGTTCATTCATAACTTCCCGCCTCGTTATGCCGCTGGTTATCTGAACAATGGGACCGTGCAAGCAGATCTGGGCGTGCCCCTCAACTTCACTGGCTATTCTGCGGTAATTGCACAGTCATTTGAAGTTGCAGGCGACTTTGTCAAAGGTGACAATCTCGCGGCCCTGGGTCGATTGCTCGATCGCGGAGTCAAGATTTCTCTCTTGTATGGTGATCGTGACTACCAGTGTAACTGTATGTGTCCTGCTCTGATTCACGTCGTTCCATCACTAACGAGCTTTATACANGGGTTTGGCGGCGAAGCCATCAGTCTTGCCATCAACTCTAGTATCTCATCCTCGTTCAAGGAGGCTGGCTACACCAACTTCGAGACCAATGCATCATATACTGGTGGCTTGACTAGACAATACGGAAACTTGTCTTTTACTCGTGTCTTCCAAGCCGGACATGAAGGTATGTTTCATTTCCGGCACGACTATCATCCATCGCTGACATTATACTCCTANGTCTCATACTACCAGCCGGAAAGCACATACCAAATCTTCAACCGCGTCCTTTTCAACAACGACGTCGCCACCGGCCAAATCTCCACTGCATCCTCAAACTCTTCCACCTACGCCACTACAGGCAATTCCTCTGCACTGATCTCCATCGGTGCACCTATCGATTTCGAGGCCAAAGTGCCTTCATGCTACTTCTGGGATATCCTGGAGACTTGCACGCCAGCACAAGCTCTCCTCTTCCAGAATGGAAGTGCCATCACAGAAAACTTTATCCTTGTGGGCTACACGCTGAAAGATGGCACCAAGGTGTTCTACAATGAGACTGCTGGGGGAACTGGCAATGGACAAGGTATTGGAAACGGGTCATCTCCACAGCCATATGTCCCAGGCAGTGGTGGTTCGCATTTGTCTTCAATAAATCTGAGGTTGGCTGGTCTTGGTCTGGCTGTTGTTGCTTGGTTCGCAGAGTAGAGGATTGCAAGGATGGAAGCATCTGTACCATCATGGTCTATGGACACAAATGTATGAAATGTAAACAATGAGGCTCTGAATAAGCTTCCGCTCCAGAACAGGGGAGATCAGTCAGCCATACTGCATTAGTCAGCGAATGGGAGTAGTATTTGCTCTACAACATCAGCATCTAGCCATGTACAGTACGCAGTAGCAAGGGTGTAACACTACTGCACTTGCCAACATGTCTCCCATAGATATTCCCAACTCGGAACACATCGTTGGATACCCCCAAAACCCAAACCTCAGGCGTGTGGAACCGCGACTTCGAAAATCGTCATCTCCATCAAATCGACTTTGACGACACGCAAAACTTACAAACTGGCGGCTTTGCCGCTCACGACTATTTTGGCCATGGCAGTTTGTACCTCTTGGATACACTTGGTCATATGAAGAGTCATATTTGTGCGTTGGCTAGGGTTTACGTGGAACCTGCACGCTTTGTGTTTTTGGGAGGTGATATGGCACATCATGCAGAACAAATCAGGCCGTCGGTGCAGCTCGTTGGTGATGCTGCGACGCAGCCTTTTCAGACGCCTTCGCATGGTATACATCATGACTTGGATGTTCTACATGAGTCTTTGGAAAAAGTGAGGAGATTGGATGCTGATAGGATTTTGATTGCGTTGGCTCACGATGGATCCCTTTGTGGGCGTTTGGAGTTCTTTCCTGGAAGGATTGACAAGTCCTTTGACCTGAAGACACATGAGGAGATACGATGGGGGTTCCTGGAAGGTCCTGGACATGGTGATTAGCTAGGACGGAGGATATGGAGAAAGCTATGATACGCATGTCATCGGTCTGTGGTATGCATGAAGAGGCTGGGAGATGCACACTTCTTATCGACCACTATATCACATAGACTCACCCAGACTGTTACTTTAACCAGTCTGACTGCCGACCAGTTGTCTGAGGAAAACATTCAGGAACGTGATGCTGTCGTTGGATAGTTCACATCGCAAGAAACAGACGTCAAGGAGCGAGAGCTCGCAGCATACAGGGACCCTGCCAATGCCTGCATGCTAATCAGATCGAGATACAACCAGTCGTAAAGATGAATGAGCAGGCGACAGGACCTGGAGTGTTAATTACGCTACACATACAGATGCTCAGAGCGATAAAACCTGCCAATCATAAACCAAAAGCCTCCGATCCTTGGAATCCTACTTGTACACCGTTGTGGTGGGGTTCAACGCAAAGCGATTCCAAGTCTCGTCGACAAGCAAGTGCTGCCATGCATCCTCGGTAACGTCGACAAGTACATCTACAGTTCCCTTTGGTGCATCTGGAGGCGTGGGCATGATGACTTGGAACCCAGCACAGATACCGCTGGCAGGGAAACGCAATGCCTTCATACTGTGGCCGAACTCAGGACCCCATTCGATGCCATAGTGGTCAAATTTGCTCCAGTTGCTTTGCAGCATGTTGGCACCGGGCATGTCGAGGAAACAGGTACCAGCAAGGCAGTTCACGTTGTCCATGTTCTCGATGTAGTATGCCAGCTCGTCGTGGTATTGTTTGCCGCACTTGTTCACAGCCATCCGGACCATGACCGCCAGGTCTGCGAGCGAAGCTTTCTCGGGCGAGACAACTTCAGAAAGAGACAGTGTAGTTGCGGTATAACCGAGGATGTTGCCGAGCGTGTGTGGGTGAATTTCATCGTATGCCCGACGTCTTGTGTCAAGAGCGACCTGACAGAGAGACATCTTGTCAGCAGCAATCTGGGATGCGTCGGTATGCTGAGCGCGTTGGATAGACCTCCAGAGAAGTGCCGTCAGAGCATCGTTGGTTGAGATGAATCCGGGGAGAGGTGTCACAGAAGCCTGGTTCCTGAGCAGGTGCACATTAGAAGGCGCGCACTCATCCTTGAGCGCAGCGATGGCTTCAGACGAGAATCGGAACACATGTGCGTGGTGTGAAGCGTTGACCAAGGCGTCCGGGAAACCTGGCGGGACAAATGGCAGGTGAGCCCACTCGGGGTGTGCTGCCGCAAAAGCAGCAAGGTCGTACTTTCCAGTACTGCGAAGCAGTTTCTCACGATCATCGACAGTAACTTCGGCAGGGGTTTCGATTGGCAGACCTTGAGCGCGGCGTACTTCATCCGCAAACAGTTCGGTCAGCTTCCACATGCCCGCACCATCTCCCATCATGTGGAGGCACAGATGATTGAGCAAGAGTCCTCCCTTGATCATGTTGACCTGCATCATGGTGGTCGCAAGCCTGTCGACGCCAAAGTTGGGCCACGGGCCCCCGAGTTTTCGCAAACACAACTTCTCATCGTCCATGGCCCCGTTGGGAAAGCCTTGCTCATGCAATTGGGCGAAGGTGGGCATGTCGGCATCGTCGCGGTGATCTCTGAAGACAAAGTCCTCGACTTCGCCATCCTCGTATGCTTGAAGTTTGAACATACCCGCTGGCTGCTGCTCGATGTCTTCAGGTATCACTTCAACACCAACCATGGGGGTCCGGCGCCTGAAGTTCTTCCATGCCGAGAGAAGGATCGATGCGATGCGAGAGGCATCGTAGTCGGTATCAAGCTGGAAGACGTAGATGTTGTTGATCCAGCCTTTTGGCCCGACTTGCTCAGAAGCCAGAAGTGGAAGGGCTCTGTTGACGGCTTTCATCGTGAGTAATGGTAGATGGGAGCTGCGCCGAAGGACGTTATGACGAGGAGGAAAGAGGATCGACTGGACTTGGAAAGGACAGAGACACTCTTCTTGAGTTGCCTGGACATTCCGAATATTGTGAAGGTTCACAAAGACAAGCGAGATTGTGTCTCCCTCCGTCCGCAAATGTCGCTCAACAAGTAACTGCGCCGCGAGGATCCAATTCAGTACAATCTAGAAGCTGGTCATGGTGTATTATAGCTTGGGTGTTAGAATTGCCTCGACCAGGACTGGACTGATCCTACCGAAACTCAGAGTCCAAGTCGAGCCATCTAAGATGGCAACTTACAAGCTCTGTCAGAGGCAACGAGTCCTCAGAACATATAGAGTCAACATTGGCGATATCCGGACCCGGTCAGCTGGCTCGTGGCCATAAAGTTGACACAATGAACTGAGTTTTGACTCAAGTGACGACGTGTAAGTTCTTGAGGTAGGCTAAAGATCGGCATATTGCTCGAGCTCATATGAATATACTGTCAGTGGGCAGCGATCAGGGGTCTCTGGGGATGATCGCTGCGGCTGTCGGGTCGTTGCACGGTTGTCAAGAATCTTCACAACCTGCTGTCGGCTTCATATCGTGCTGACATTCCAGTAGGCGTTTGATACCAAGGGCGCGGCAGATTCGACGACACCGAGGCCGTGTTCAGGATTGGACAATGCCTCTTCTTCGGTCGGAAGCGCAACGTGATACAAGCAAAGACCGCAAAGTAGAGTTGTCAGAAAGATAAATGAAGTTGTTGAGGTGGTGGGTTCTTGACGCACAGACTCGGTTCTCGGGTGAGTGTCGCGGCTTGGGCACGCACCACGAACGCAATTGCCCGCTCAAGCCGGACCGACGCCTTGATCGGTTCTAACAACAAATCACGCATGAACATCTGGAGGAAACATCTCCCAGAGCGGACACCCGCAAACCCCAGGGGTGCACGCTATGGTTTTGCCTGCCGGGTTATACATGGACCACTCGGGCTTGACAACACTCACCGACGCTCAGCCTCGATGATATCCTTGCAAAGGTCCCGTAGGTCCCTGGCCGAACATCGTTATCCCGACACACTGCGCGATTGCTTGCCTGTTCCAACCATCCGTTATAGGAGCCTTATGCAGCGCTGTGCAATATGCAGCCCGACCGAAACATTTGCTTGTGCTGGTCCTGGCTTCACCTCTCACAATCTACGCAGCGCCTGGCGTGAGAATCATGCCATGGACTGACTGCATCAGCAATATTATAGAGTTCTTACCAGTCATTCGGTAGACTCTCTTCGTTATATCCACTTCACGTGCAAGTATTTCACGTAGATGAAAAAGCCGCGAGCACACCCAGTTCTACGATGATCTTCGCGAGCCTGACAGCAAAAAGCATTGGGTTTTTGCTTGGGTTGTCCCGGTATCTTCTAGCTCGGATCTTTTGTCCAAAGTAGCGGTCCCCTTCATGATTTCCCAAACCCTAATGTCCCTGTAGAGTCCTTTTGGATCATATCACGCTCTCGCCAGTTCTCAGACCATAAGAGCAACATTCAGCCTCGAAGCAGATTCCTACGATCACTCGTTGGTCCGCTATGTCCAACATCGATGCCGGGATCCAAGCAATCTTCGGTCAGCCGCCCAAAGACATTGACCTGGACGACTCAATCACTCTAGCATATGACGTTGCATCTTGCATCGTGCTGGGATTGGCCGTTGCAGCTGTGGCCTTGCGCTTTCACATACGCGTCCGGTACAATTCGCAGGCACGAAACCTGGGCATTGACGATTACACGATCCTGCTTGGACTTGTCTGCACAAGCGCTCTAGTCGCAACAACCATTATCGGTATGAGACTTTCTCGACATGTCAACAAAGGTTTTGCTAATGGTTGATGCGGCGCAAANGCTGGAGGTTACGGCTCAGGAAAACATGTCTGGACCAGCAATGTTGATCGACTAATGACACTGGTGAAGGTATGCACCACAACATAGGGCCACACACGCCGTGATTAATGACTGACCTTTCTCTTCGTCAGNGTTGTCTATGCTGAGCCATGGGTCTATGCAGCATCCGTTACATCCACTAAGGTCAGCATCCTCTTGCTGTACCGCAGACTCTTCTACGTCACGAGCAATCGAGAGATTTCTGCCGACCGCACGTTCTATATCATGCTTTGGGTCGCCATAGTGTTTACCGCATCATATCCTATCATCATGTGGACTGTCATGGCATGTGCTTGTCGCCCTGTCAGCTTCTACTGGAGGCAGTATGCTGGAGCTACGGATGGCGTATGCATAGATGTGCTGCATTTCTTCCTTGCATTTGGTGTGGTCAACATGGTCAATGACATTATCGTATTGGCGGTACCCATCCCACGCATCTTGAAGTTGCGCACAAGCAACAAAGAAAAGATTTCGATCTTGTGCATCTTGTTGCTCGGCAGTTTGTATGGTCCGCTTCAGTCGTTTATTACTGCAACACAACTGACTATGTGCAATCGCCAGNNTGTTTGCGTCGCCAGCGGAGTTCGCATTTACTATCTCACTAGATTGACCCGAGAGGTAGATGTGACCTGGATCTTCGGACCAGCATTCGGATGGTCCAGCCTTGAACCCTCAGTCGCCATTATCTCAGCCTGCCTACCAACATTTGCACCCTTGTTCCGCAGTCTCCACAGGAAGAGCACGTCCAAGCTTGGCAAGAGCGGACATGGCAGCCATTCGAGCTATCTGCGCAGTGGTCGCAGCGGTCATATACCTCTTCAGGACTGCAGTCAGACTACACTCGATGCAAAGTATGGCCGCACCAACGTCAGCATTGTGCACGAAAGGACCGAAGCAGGTAAACAGAACGACGTGCATCCGATGCACGGAAGACACTCCAGTCGCAGCGATACTGTTTTCCTTCGCGATACGATCACTGTAGACACTGATATCGAGGTCGTCACGACAGACAAGAGCGTTGAAAGAGGTTTTGCTTGATGCCCAAAAACATATGATGAGTTTCAAGCAAGTAAGAAGATTGTCGTAGGATCGGTAGTCCGACATGAATGTTCAATTCGAATGCCCATCCTTACTATCGCGGTCTTGTAGATGGCGCATACCTTGGGATCTTTTTCGGAGTCACCCCCTAAAAACGCCGGCCTTTTGTTCATGCTGGAGTCAGTTTGCTGCAAATTGAAGTCCTATCACCTCGTACAGAGGCAGGTCTTGTCTTGCGATATGATCGAGCTTTGTACGCGCAATGTGCAAATGTGCATAACTTTTAGCATAACTGTGGCTGTAGGTACGACCCTGACTGATCACATATCGACAGTGGCGGCGACGTCAAGGTAATATTGTTGTATGCAAATTAGATAGCCACCTGACTGTATATATATTGACCACTATGGAGGCGCTTTTGGGACAATACTAGCATGCCCACTTGGAAGACACCTTCACATGTTGATTCTCAGAATCTGAAATTGGGTCAATGGATGTGCACATCTCTGTCACTGTATCTTGTCTGGAGAAGGATCGCTCAGGTGTTTGATTGACAAGATGCTCTGCTGGGCGAGATCGACAAAGAGGCTGTCAACGTCCAGACCGAAGTCATCATGGCTAAGCATTGATTGTTCTGGGATGCCTGGGAAGGTAGGTTCGCTGTAACATGATAGTCTCTAGGATGTTTAGGTTCCCTTGTGCCTCAATACATCGACATTTTCGGTACTCATCTGAACCCATGACGAGTCTACTGGACTGCGCAAGCAGCGAATTGAGAGGAGAGTCGAAACCTTAGGAGTTCCAGTGATAAACAGGAAATTATCGGGTTTTCTGACGTTGGAGAAGCCCAAGAGCTCACTAGAAGCAGGACGGAGGAATGATCGACACCCAAGAAGTATCAACAAACAGTCGACAGAACATGGAACCATGGTATATAGGGCAAGGGTCTAGAATCTTCGACAAGTAACGCGATGGCCAGTATACGGGTGATTGGACGATGTCTTGTGAGTCGAGCAGAACAGTCAGATACATGCATAAGCTGAAGTCCAGTGGCAGTTGAAGGTTACTTCGCAAGTCTTTTAGAGAAACTGGATGTGAAGACGCATCGCAGAATGCTAAAGCGCAACCAAATTCTGCACGAAAATCTGGATTGTTCTTCATGCATGCACGAGTACATTTCATGTGTTCCAAAACTAGGCCCCGCACGCAACGCGTCAACCAAGCTGACACGCCTGTGGCTTCAAACCTTCTGCCTCTCTTACCGTTCAATCAAACCCTTGTCCAGTCAGAGATTGGAAACTTTAAACCTGCCCTCTAACGCCTGCAGTACCCTGCCTCCGCAAGTGACCAATGCCAGAGTCGATAGAGGTGGTGTGCCGATACAGTTTTGAAACCTTCGGACTCCAGAAAGCTTGAGACGGCAAGAGTGTGCGGGCATAGACCTCACACCATACAGATACCATGCACCCCATGGGTAGCAGCCCAGCTCTTGTAAAATCTTGTCCTTCGCTCATTCCTGAGCGCTTCATCAATCTCCAAACTCGATTGCGACCTCCATCGCGCCTTCAACACCAAACAATGGAACCAACGCTTGTCGCACAGCTACTCGCTATTCCGTGTGGTTTCGTGCTCGGCAGTTACAACGCGGTCTTCTCACAAAATGTCATGCCGCATCTCTACAAGCAGCCAGCTTCAGTAGTGGCCCCCATCTTCGCCAGAATTTACAACATCGGCTCGACTACTATTGTGCCTCTTGCAAGCACCGCTATCCTCGCTTATGGCTATTTGGCGTACAGCTCACCTCACAAACGACAACAATATGGCACAGCTGCAGTTTTGACATTAGCCACGCTACCGATGACTCAGATCGTCATGATGCCGAGCATCTCTCGCCTCCTGGAAATCAGCAGGATGGGTAATTTGCAGGCAAATGCAGGCCTCGATCAAGAAGTCACGAGATTGGTCAAGACTTGGGTTGCACAGAACTACTTCAGGGCCTCACTGCACCTGAGTGCTGGATTTGTTGGCCTCTATGCAGCGCTCTCATGAGATTGAAGTTTAGAGGTGAATGTGAAGATCATCGATGGTTGGGTACTAGCTGTTGCGTGTTCGTCGTCTCGCCGATGGTTTTGTGGTCATCTCATATGTTGTTGTTGTATGATTGCTTCTATCGGTCTGAATGGTCCGTCTCAGTGTTTGAGAATGATCATGCAATCCTCGGCTCTATGAGCATGAATCGGATGTTCAAAGATTTGGCCTGTTCCCGTGTTCGTCGGCCTCCAAATCGACTCTCACAGAAGGTTACTCTGCTATGCCATCGACTCGCTCTTCTCAAATAGTGTCTCTTCGGCTTTTGCGTCTCTAGTTTCTCCCTGCGGCAACCCAGTCTTTTGTTGACCCAGCCTGATCTCGACAGTGCAAGCGTTCCTACAACCGCAAATGGTCCAAGAGAGTGCCAGAGTGGTGGTACCAAATGCTTGTCGATTTCTCCCTGCTCAAGCATCTCTTTGGCCCAGAGTGCGCAATCAAGAATGGCTTTCGAGTACATGAAGGCGAAGGAATAAATGGCCCAAGCACTTGCTCCTTTCTTCTCCTCCTCCTCTGGCTGTTTTGCATTCTCGCTCTTCTCCAACTCTTTGAGCACGTTCTGCTTTGCTAACGTCCAGTCCCCAGCTGCCCGATATACAAGATGGAGCACGATGCCCACTGCTACTATGACCGCAGTGCTGAAACGGGCCCAAGTCCAGGGTCTTTGCTCCAGAAATTCAGAACCGCCTTTTGGCCATGTGTGGATAATATCGACAAAATCGATAGTGAAGTCTGCGAGTCCGTAACCAATGCAGCCGAACATCGAGATTATCAGCACCATATAGAGCCAGAACGATACATTTGGTCGCAAGTCAAAGTGAGCAGCGAGCTGTTGATATTTGAGTACTAGCACCAGGAGGGTGTATAAAATGAATAAGAATGGTGAGGGTCCCATACTTGTCGAATTCTGGCTTATCGGCCTGAGATTGACGACGACTTAGGAGGATGATGCAAAGATTCGAAGATGATGCGAATCGAGACAGAGGGGCGCAATGTTTTATAGTCGGGAATAGAACTCGAAGGATGAACGATAACCGCACAACCGTGGAGGATTGAAGCAGGGACCATGCTTTTTATGGATGCGTCGGCCAAAAAGTCTGCCGGGGATCCGAGCAGCGTCGACTATCTGTAGGCTACTGCCTGCCAAGTTTGAGCTACCGACCGTCGGTCTTTTCTGCAGCGAAGAACTCCAACGATCCACAATTGATCGGATGAGTATACATGCGATGGCGCCAACTGAGTATCCCTACGATCTAGGCACCCATCATACGACTGTCGCCACCTCGAGTAACTCTGCCCAAAGATGGTTTGACCGCGGCTTGATTTGGACTTTCGCCTTCAACCACGAAGAAGCCATCACATGCTTCCAATGCGCCGTCGAGGAAGATGCCGACTGTGCTATGGCATATTGGGGTCTCGCATATGCTTCTGGCCCGAATTACAACAAGCCCTGGGAGTTTTTCGACGACGATGATTTTATCGCAAGCGTCAGAAAGGCGAACACTGCGGCTGTCGAAGCGCGAGAAAGAGGNAAATCTGCCTCATTGCTCGAGCAAGCTCTCATCGAGACGCTACAATCGCGCTACCCGTCCGATCTGTCTCGAAGGTATGACCAAGATGACTTCGGATCATGGAATCAGGCGTATGCCCATGCCATGAGAAAGGTGTATGTGCAATTCCCTGACAATCTCGACGTCGTGACATTGTTTGCCGACGCTCTGATGAATGTCACACCGTGGGCGTTGTGGGACCTAAAGACTGGTGAGCCCGCTTTAGGTGCTCATACAACAGAAGCAAAGGACGTGTTGGATCGTGTACTGGTTGGACCTGCCTCCGACCGGCATCCTGGACTCTTGCACATGTACATTCATTTAATGGAGATGTCGAGCACTCCAGAACTAGCCTTGCCAAAGGCCAACCTCCTTCGCGGCCTCGTCCCAGATGCTGGCCATTTGCATCACATGCCTACGCATCTGGACATTCTATGCGGTGACTACGAGTCTGCTGCCGTTTGGAACCTGGAAGCTATCAAGGCGGATGAGAAGTTCTTAGGTCGAGCTGGTCCAGTCAACTTCTACACACTCTATCGGTCGCACAACTATCACTTTCGTATCTACGCTGCAATGTTCGCTGGACAATCAAAGATTGCCTTGGAAAGTGCTGTCGATCTTGAAGCGTCTTTGCCCGAGACCTTGCTCCGAGTCGCATCTCCNCCAATGGCTGATTGGCTCGAAGGATTTTTGTCTGTACGTGTACACGTGTTGATCCGCTTCGGGATGTGGGAGAAGATTCTGGCTCTAGATCTCCCAGCCGACGAGAAGCTGTTTTGTGTCACTACAGCTTTCATACTCTATGGACGAGGAATTGCTTTTGCCGCCACCGGTCAAGTCAAAGCCGCTAGAGATGCGCTGCAGGAGTTCGAAGCAGCTCTCAATAAGGTGCCGGTATCACGTATGCTCTTCAACAACAGATGTGTCGACATACTCCAAGTAGCCAGATTAATGTTGTACGGAGAAGTCGAATACCGCGACCGCAACCCTGACAAGGCTTTCGAGTACTTGAAGAAAGCTGTCGAACTTGACGACACCTTACCATATGATGAACCATGCGGATGGATGCAGCCCACCAGGCATGCACTTGGTGCTTTGTTGCTCGAGCAAGGCAAGATAGAACAAGCCGAGAAGGTGTTCAAGGCTGATCTTGGTTTGGACAACACTCTCCCTCGTGCCTTACAGCATCCGAAAAACGTTTGGTCTTTGCATGGGTATCATGAATGTCTTGTCAAACTCGGAAAGGTCGAAGGAGCAAGAGAAATCGAAGGTCAACTAGCAACGGCAGTGGCAAAGGCAGATGTACCAATCAAGTCTTCTTGCTTTTGTCGCAATGGACGATGAAAGAATCTGAGCACTCCAGTCTTCGCCAGATAATTGACTCGCTAGTTGTCGATATGGAGCAGAGGGACGGGCCGTGAGATGGTTCGCATGTGGGCTCTGGAGAGAACATTCCTCTTTGAGAGCCCTTTGGATGCTCTTACGATGGATACCCGTCAACAATGGGCACACACCGCGCTTTCGAACACAAACACAACGCTACTTGTGGCCCTTTCGCTCGCCTTTTCAAATTCATGCACCAACTTCCGTCCAGATGCTTGAACATAATCTTGACGGCGACATCGTGCATCTTTTGCATGTGCCTCACCGATGCCCAGCTTTCTCCGCTCCAATCCGTCATCTGCTCGATGTTCTCATGCAGGTTTGTCCAATCGGATCCACACGGTAAGCGCCATGGGTAATTCGCTTCCTAAAGAGGCTGCACTGCCTCCTCCCTTCTTTCCCTTTTAAGATCTTCGGTTGCTCTTGTAGCTTTTTGCTTCGTCAAAAACTTCCCTCATCACTCCAAACAAATTCCCCAAACAGTAATAGCAGCCGACAATTTGTCTTGAGACTCTCCCTCATTCTTGGACATGGTCGTTGAGCTAGGCTTTGACCCTTTCAATTTCATCATCGCGGTCCTGGCCCTGCTCATCACTGCCACACAACTTTCCAAGAGTCTTTACCCACACGGCCACTGTCCGATCGGTAGATCATTTCCTGTCCCTATTGGTCCTCAAGCAACGCTTCCGCTCCCTGCAACCAGTTGCCATCGCCGGCGAGACCAACGCCAATTTTCATGTTCATCGCATATCGGCGCACCTTTCGGTATGATCTGAGAATCGTACCTGGGAGATCAGAGCTTCGAAAGCTCATTAGACGAAGCAGGAGAGCTCTCGGGTAGTTTGCGCGGCGACAAAGATGGTTCCAGCGGTCTTGCCGTATCTGAAACACTTTTCATGGACTAGCTTGAGTCACGAAACGCAGCCGGCGCTACCACCAACAGTTCACACAACATCCCTTGCGCCTATTGAAGAACAGCTCCACTTTCTTGCTGCACTCGTTTCACCAAGTCTTATGATTGCCCTGTGGATTTTTGCAAGTGACACGGTGCTCAAGCTGAAAATGCGAACGACCCTTCCGTCGCTGAATGCTTGAGCGCCGTTCAAATCCTGCGTTCCACGCGCGACTGATTCTCAGACTACTGCCTCAGCAAGACGTTTCGAGGAGAAAGCGATACAGCCGCATCATCTCTTCTCGAAGATCAGTAACTGGTTTAGACATTCGGTCAAAGAGCGTGACTTGCAAGTAGAATGCCTTACACTCGATGATACAAGGCACGGAATTCGCGATAGGTAAATAACCTTGTGTATCAGATCCACGTTTAACGAGCTCAACAAGCAACTCGAAAGATTACGCAAGCTTGACTATCTCACCTACTGGAACGGCATCGAACGGGTATTGCGCCCCTAACGGTCTTCGTGTCAGGCAAGGCCACACTCAGCGATATTATGACCGTAGACTCAAGTCGCCCTGATATCTTCTTCGATGCACCACTTGTCTCCCTTCACAGCGATGTTGAGGACGATTTCACGATGGAACCACCAATCTACAAATTCAACATCTCCAATTCACACTACGCATCCGGCGCGCTCAAAAGCGGCGTGAGGGCTCGTATCAACAGTGACGAATCCTCGCTAGCAAGCCAAGATGCTTCGAATGGTCAGCTAGAGCAGGTCAGAGACCGAGGTCTGATATCCAGGCATTGGGGATCTGCAAGCCCGAGGTATCAAATTACGGAACAGATCATGTGGGGATTTCTGATCAAGGTTAGGATAGGGATCTTCAACATGGATGATATGAGTGCCGTGAGGAACAGGACACGAGGAATGGGCGGATTGACAATTCAGGAGTAATCATGCAGTCTGTTGTAGGAACGGCGGATCGTCAAGGACGATACTTCCGACCAGACTCCGATCAAGTCCGATCCTGCCGACTACTTCTCTCCAAATATCAGTGATTCTTGTTAGCGGGCGTCATTCGTTCAAGTTTTGAGACGGCATGTAGTAGTCCTTCGTGACGTTTGCAAAAATGCCTCCGCGCCAATATTGTCGTCTCTCAGTCACCTATCCTGCCTCTCAGCACCGAAACACCATATACAGAAGATTAGTGACAGCGACTGCGGATTCTGAGACAGCACTTTGATGTGCTGAGACCGCGTAGAAGATGCCACATGCTGTGCGTGGAACAACTGACGGCTGAGAACATGCAGGAGCCTTTTGTCACTCGATCAAAATCAGACGGTTCGAGGAAACTTGCATCTGGCTGTGGAACCATGTGCGTCAGGATGATCAATAATCAGAGTTGGCGACGCTATCATGGCTGAGTCAATGACAACCCTTACCGGTTGATGCTTCCACTTTTGGTCAAGCAGATGTTTGCATTACGATTGCCATCTAGGCGATCTGGGCCGAGCTACGAATAAATGAACAAACAAAACCTATCAGTATGCGGCGGCTGAAATCCTCTTGAAGGTCTCGTCGAATACGCTTGACGCATGTGCCTCAGCGTCGTGTCCCAGAATCCAATCCTCTCGTGGCATCTGCACAGACGTCGGATCCTCCTTGACACGATCCCAGTCTGCTTTGTGCCACATATCTCGGGTCGTCTCCCNCGTCTTCTGCACTGCCTTGACCCGCTCGTNAGCTGGTGCTCGAACATTAGACAAACAACAATATGTTTTGGAGAGCTTATCGACATACCGGATATCCTGAAACGCGCGCAGTGCAGCCGGTATCTGGGACTTTCCTGCTACTCGTAGGCAATAGGCCATAGTCACACCATCCTCCATGGCTTGCGTCGCACCTTGCGCGCTGGTGGGTAAGAATGGATGGGCTGAATCCCCTAAAAGTGATATCCTTCCATGATCCGAGATCCAACGAGGTAGAGGATCGCGGTAGACTAGCTTCCAATCCANCTTGAAGTCTTCGTCAGCATGCATATTATTGTGTGTCCAGATATCGTATGACTCACCACAGGAAGGTGTCTTCTCGACAATAGCCTTACACAAAGGATCCCAACCCTCGATTACCTTGTACACATCTTCCATTTTTCCTGGCAGTGACCAACTTTCCTCAATATCATTGTCATCACGGTGTGTCATGACCCAACAGCAATCTTTGCCTCCCTTGATTGTCGAGAACAAGAAATGGACGTCGGGCCCAATCCAGCCTTGAAAGGTGTCGCCATTCTCACAGAACTTTTTGGTGCGTGGGTCAGCTATCATGTCGGTGTTAGGAAACCAAGCTCTGAAGACAGCATAGCCACTGGCTTTTGGTCGGTCGTCGTAGCCCAGAACGAGCTCTCTTGCCTTGGAGCGGACTCCATCTGAGCCGATGACGACGTCGGCGCATACCTGAGAAAATATTAGTACGTGATTGTTGAGTCACAAAGGAAGGCCGTTGACCTTCTCGTCGTCTTGCAGGATGATGCCGGCTTGTTGTTCGTCCTCGAAGTACTTCTGTATTCTCTTTCCCAAATGGATCGGGATGCCTAATTCGTCTCTTGCATACTCAAATACTATCGTATGAAGTTCTCCTCTGTGTCCGTTGAATGTAGGCGCCTCGGGATCTTGCTTGGGTGTTGGTTGGTTGATGACGAACTGGCCCGTCCACTTGTAGATGTCGAAGCCATGGTTGCTCAAGTCGATGGACAACGGTCTCAGGCGATCGGAGACACGATCGCCTGATCTATACCTCCACTTGCGGAAGATGCGGCCGGCATTACTGCCAAAGGAGATGATGTCGCCCAGGACTTTGAGTTCTTTGAAAGATTCGTAGATCTCAACATCGTGACCCTGACGATGGCATTCAATGGCTGCCGTGAGACCGCCGAAGCCTGCAATGGCAGTTAGCGAGATTCGATGAGGACAAGAGTACGACTGGCCTGCTCCAACGATAATGACTTTGATGCCAGTTTTTGATGCTCTGGCCTGTTCATCGTAACCGTCTGTGATTTTTGGGACCGACATTCTTGGTTGAGCTGAGCAGGAATGAGAAATTTCACTGCCTAGAGTCTTTGCTATCTGACGACGATTGTTACGTTCAGTCATATATATGCCGCTGAGTAGGTAGAGCCATCGGCAACGCATTTGCCGAGCATGCGGGCTACTGCGTTTCAAGTTTCCTTGAAGACTTGTTCCTCCGTCGATGCACCTTCCCGCCGTTCCTCGTGTCTTGAGTTGTCACATGCGAAGATCTTCGTATATTAATGTATGGTATGGGGAGAGTCGTACATGCCGCCAATAGTGAAAGGAGGAGAAAGTGGGGCAGTGTCATTGTCTTGGTGCGGGGCGCGTGCATGCATCCTTCAATTTCCAACTTCGCTCTGTGCTCTTTCCTATCATCGTTCGGCAACATCTTTCGGAAGGACTGCCAATTGTCTTGATTAGATATCTTGGATTACTGGTAGGAAGAGAGGGGTACAGACAGGCACAAGATCTGTTTTTATCCCATTGTTGTTGTATCCGAGTATCATTGAGGCGGCTCCATATGCGTACAACCGTAGAGCAGCAGAGCATTTGTGGAATTTGAGCGAGCAATTTGCTTCGAGGAGAATCACAAGATCTAGTTCTTTGTATGCTTCATTGAAGCGAATGATGGACTTTGAAATGGCATCGAGTGTCGTGCTGGTTGACAACAAGTTCATGTTACATTCGAAACTTAGAACACTATAGCGAAAAGTAGCAGTCAAGCTCACGACATGATGCCCCAAGTGCCTGCGGCTCAAGCAACAACCGCTGCGGACTCAGACGTAGCCTTGGGGTCCTGCCAGACCACTTCTTCAGTGGTGACCTCGATGCTGTCACCCTTTCCCTTCTTCTCCGCAGCCACAGCGACGGCAGCGCCGACACATTTGTACCCCTTGAACTTCCTGGCGGGCAATCCAATCTCAAACATCTCGGATATCTCCTCTAATGTTCTGTCTTTGATCTCGGGGAGGTAAAAGTAGATGAACACAGCAGCGACGACGCAGGAGGGTGCCCAGATGTATCCGTATTTTGGACCCCAGTTCAATGCGCTGGGGTTGATGAAGTAAGGTGCTGTGAAGGTGGCCAACCAAGCGCCGATGAATCCGATCGAAGCTGCAAGGCCGAATGTATACGATCGTAGCCTTTGCGATGGAATTTCTCCACCAGACAGCCAGGCGTAAGTGGCAATGAGGCNCCTGTGGCAGAGTGTCAGCGTATGCCTTCTTTTAAATTGCTTTTGGAGGATGCCTACATTGTAACTGAAGATGTAGATTACGCTCAGCGCAACGATGACCTTGGACGCTGCCGGACTGTTGGGTTTGGTCGTATAGACGACCGCAATGATGAGCTGCATAATGCCGCAAGAAAGCAGGCCGGTGATCAAAAATAGACGACGTCGACCGAAGCGTGTGATGATGCATGTGTTGAGGATGATAGCAATCACGCCAACGCCAGTGAGGATGCAAGAGTTCTGAAACGAATTGCCAACGCCGGCCATTTCGAAGAAGTAGGTACCGTATGCNNTTCAAGGAGGTCATGTCAGTCTAGTGTCAGGATAGCCTCTTTGATTAAACTCACCGATGATGAACATAGCACCAGATGCCGCCTGAGTGTTGATAGCGGCAACCGAGAGAATGGTCCTCCTGCGATCGATGGGATCTCTGAACATATCCCAGACGCTGACATCCGATCTCATGGCTTTCTCTTGGTCAATCCCTGCCTGGATTGCAGAGATCTCTTCGTCAACACGGGCTTGATCAGGGCGAAGCCATGAGAGAGATTTGCGGGCTTGCTCCGGTCGCTCATGTTCGAGCAACCAGCGAGGTGATTNCCCTGGTATGGTTGTCAGGTTTTGTCTGGACGAGAAATCTGTGGAGGGCACCCACGGAATGAAAATCAAGCCGATACAGATGATGGCGGGGACAACATAAATCAGCCCGAGTGGGATGAGGTATGAGCTTTTGCCTTCTCNTTTGGCTGTGAAGTTATCGACAATGGTACCGATAANGCTGCGAAAGACTTAGCTAATGTTCGAAAAAGCATACTCGAAACAAACACTTGCCGTTCCGAAGCTGGTGAAGAATTGGAAAGACGCAAGAGCCAAACCTCGGTATCTGGCCGGCGTGACTTCTTGAATGTAGAGCTGAGAGAAGGTCATAAGAAGCCCGTTGCCCAATCCGAGAACAAAACGCCCGACGTAAAGTGCGCCTATGTGTGTGGTTGCCTAGAGTGAGGTAAATACACCTTCCTGTGAACGAGAGCAATCAGAGAGACTCACCATCATAATTATATTTCCGACAGATAGCAGAACACATGCCATCCACAGACAAATTCTGCGGCCTAACTTCGCTGCGATAGGCCCAGCGCAGCCAGACGCAATCACAGCGCCCAGCACCATCAAAGAAGAAATGAGCTGTTGTCTCGTGGTAGATATGTTGAAGCCCAAAGGGAGGCTTGGATCTTCGTATCCATAAATCTAACAATATGTAAGTGATCGCAAATTCGCAGCGCATCGAATGCTGCTGACTTCAAGAAATCCGACCATGGCCTGGATACCACCGATCAAGCCATAGTCAATTCCGTACTGAAGATGATGGTCAGTGGTTGATATAGCCCATCACGAACGTATATGTTTATACCTGAANNATGGCGACATGGAAACAATCACCACAGCAAGCATGCACTTCCAGTTGGCGAGGAGGCTGTCTTCCTTCCGTGTCGCCATCATTGCAATGCAGTGGATAAAAATTAGCGTCAACACTTGAGAACGATAGTTTGACTCTCGAGGTAGGAACGTTATCGTCGAACATCAGAGCAGGACACAAGAGTGGAGCGCGAGCTTCAAGTAGACGACGGTCTTGCAGGCCTGTGAGCTTTGCTCATGGCAATTGTGGTTACCAAGATCTGCCGAAGGGTATCACGGCAGCTCCAGAAAACGACTTGCCAAACAGCAAAATCAGGCCGCAGTGTATGACATCCTACTTACTAGTCTCCAGAGGCGCGCGTTTGATACTCAGCTGCTTTTGCACATCCTTGAATGGCAAAGCAAGAGCGCATACGCCGTATCACGATTCGCCAGTGGACTTGCAGAACGGTTAGGGTCCGAGATGTCACGGTGCGGGGTATTCTGTATCAGCACTTTTCTTCTCGGATATGCAATATACCATTGGTGGATACTTATGTGATCGGCAGTCATTGCGTGGTCAACCAACAGAACATTATTGATCATGCTGCCTTGTGCCCCACGAGGCCCACACCTTGGCTGCATGCCCCAGGTTTCTTCAATGCGGGGAAGTCTGGAGAGGACGCGCATGCATACCATAAGAGTGCATTGCCGAAGACTGCGGCTACCTCGGTTTGTATACTTCTCGTACTGCATGAACTTCGTGGAGGTTCTCGAGTGGGGCGGCGATCCAGTGTCGAATCCAGCTTCAACACCATGCGGAGTACTTCTGTGATATCAGGCTTCTCCTCTCTCGGCTGAACAGCTCGGGAGTGATTAGCAGGGGGATAGTCTCCTTGTCGGTGGGTCTTCAGATATACCGTTTTGGTTATATCCTCATACAGCACTCTACCAAGTCCACTACCAAGGGAGCATTTCCAACACAGAACCATGGCAACTAAAGACTTTTTGGAAGGTCTGGGTTTGCTCAGAGCAAAAGACGTGGCTGCCAGACTCGACTTGAGCCAATTCTTCATTGGTATCTTGAGCGTTGGTCTGGTGCTATTGCTCGCCGACTATGCATATATGTTGTATATGCATAGGAAGCTGGTCAGTTATGATATCTGAGGTTAGAGACTAGAAACTGATGAGGTANNGCCACCTGGACCTATACCATTGCCGTTGATAGGAAACACCTACCTTCTCCCCGAGAACAAACCATGGATATATTTCGAAGAGCTGGCGAAGAAGTACCAGAGTCCAGTTATCACNTTTTGGATCGGCCGTAATTCTACGATCTGGATCAACGATGCTTGGGCGGCTTCCGAACTTCTGGATAGGAAAGCAGCACTGTATGCTTCACGACCAAGAATGCTTGTGTTCGCCGAGCTTAGTGGTGTTGGACAGTACAATCTTGTTAACATGCATTATGGAGATCGCTGGCGAGTGCATCGAAAGCTGACTCATCAAGGTGTCGGTCTGCAGCAAGTGCGCAAATATCGAGATTTCCAAAACAACGAGAGTAGAGTGATGGCATACGATATGTTGCGCGACCCAGAACGCTACGTCAGTCACATGGAGCGATACGCTACCTCAGTAGTATCGATTATTGGCTTTGGCAGACGAGTTGGCAAGCTGTCGGACCCACTGATAACACAAGTACTCGCGATCATGCAGCGAGCTGCTGAGCTCAACGTTCCGGGCAAAAGCTTCCCAATGATCATGGAGACATTTCCTTGGCTGGCAAAATTCCCGAAGCGCATTGCTCCTTGGTTGAAACCATTTGGCAATGGTGGTAGGGGCAGCGCCTTCTACTATGCGCTTGCAGATGAGGCCAACAACACCTCGCAAGAGGAGCCTTGTTATGTGAAGCAATTATTTAAGGAAGCGCCGAAGTACAATCTCAGTCAGACCGAAATCGCTTCACTCACAGGCAATCTGTTTGGAGCAGGAAGCGATACCTCGAGCTCGACCCTTGTCACATTTGCCTTGGCGTGTTGTGCCTTTCCTGAAATACTTCCTGCTGCTTGGGAAGAACTTGATCGAGTGGTGGGCCCCCACCGCAGTCCAGACTGGGATGACGAAGTCCACCTGCCATATGTCAAGGCCTTTGTGAAGGAAGTTTTCAGATGGAGGTCTGTGGCAATTATCGGAGGTCAACCTCACTCTCCCACTGATGACGATTATTGGAACGGATACCTCATTCCGAAGAATTCTTGGGTGCAAGGCAATACGTAAGGACCCCCACGAGATCGGCCGACCAAGACTGACATCGACTCTGCAGCNTGGGCAATCCACCACAACGAACGAGAGTTCCCAGGTAGGCCTGTCCTAAATATGATATAGGCCTGGCTAAGATTTTTTNNAGATCCCGATAGGTTCAATCCTAGACGTTTCTTTCATGACAGTCCAGATTCACGTCCTTTCCCGAACGACAAAGGCTATATGACCTTTGGTTGGGGTAGGAGAGTCTGCAGTGGACAGGGCCTAGCTGAGCAAGGCACCTTCATCAGTATCGCTCGTCTGCTTTGGGCGTTCCGATTCGAGAATGCAAAGGATGAAAATGGAAAAGACATTCCAGTCGATATATTTGCGTACACGTAAGAAAGGAAAGCCCCAGGTGGTATCATAAGCTGACATATGTAGNNGAACGGATTGAACATGCGTCCAGAGCCTTTTAGTTGCTCAATCACGCCACGTTCGGAAGTAATTCAAGAGACCATTCTGGCAGAAGGCAAGCAAGCGTTGGCGGAGTTGTCCATCTATGATGGCGAAACAAAATACGAGTTGAGCCAATTCTATAAGAAGCCCAATGTGGGTTGATATCTGGTAGTCGTAATTAGAGCGGAGTTTTAGTTGTATAGTCGGAGAAAAGATGCATATGAGTCTGAGTTCGTCTTCACCTTGCACGTGATACAAACAAGGTGATCATATGGGCGATCACCCTCCGCGGAAGGATCCGACTCTACGGCCGAGACTCTACAAGACTCCACGCTCCGCTTCTGCTCTCGACTTTCCGTTCTCATGACCCTTGCACATGCACATCGCCTTTCTCACAATTGAAACGGAAGTCCTGTATACGCATTGTTAGTGCGGAAATTGACGATATACAGCTGACGATGAGTGCGTAACGCGCTGTGAAACGTCCATAACCAAGAGAGTCGCTGATCGAGTCCAAGTTGTCCCAATCACAGCACTGCTAGTCACTCTAATCTATTTTGCAACCGCAACAGCTCCGCAAGATATCTTGATGGAAGCGGAAACCAACTCAGCAATTGAACACCACAAGAAACCAACATTGGCGCATTTCTCTATCGAAGACCTCAGTCCAACAGATTGGCAAGCCGAACACGAGCGTATGCGTGCCGCACTCGGTGATGAGGCCTACCTGACGCTTCGAAGATCTGAGCTCAAGGAGAAGATGGATAGTATCATTGAATTGATCAATGCTGGTCAATGGCAATTGCCTCCTGTCACAGGTAGTCAGCAACCCGATCGTATCGGTGTGGCTAACAGAGAGTTTCGCGTTGGGGTTTCACAAGGCGTTCCTGAGGAGGTTACTGAAGCAATGTTTGCGATGCTGGATGATCTACATGAGGACTACGAAATTCCTGAGGAGTGGCTGGAGTTTGAGGTTTCTGAGGAGGAACTAGACAGAGAAGAAAGGCAGACATACATGGACTGGGTACAGAGAGAGGAGGAACAAAGGCTCAAGGTTCTGAATGGCAAGCTTTCTGTCAGGGATATCGGCATCGAATGCTTATTGCCAGAGAAGCAAGAAGCGGGCATGGGCGAGACTAGAGAGTGATCCGATTGTTGCGACGGACCCATACATAATCTACCTGGGAGGATCCAAGCAGCATCAGTCTTTTACATGGTCCACACTCCGAACCAGACCACCCCAGCAATTAAGGCACTTGTGACTCCTGCTCCAGCCAACCTTGGTCCAGCGAACGCTCCGCTCGACGAGAGACCATAAGGTGGACGGTTATTAGGGTTCTGCTTCAGGTTTGCAGCAGCCTGAGGACTGGTCTCATTGATAGAGCGGGAGCCAGCAATTACACTGATATTCTCGAAGTGACCCGTCATACTCTCGAAAGATACGAATCTGTCAGTTAGCTCTGGGTAACATGCGCTGACTTCAGTTCCGTCGGCAATGGAGATGTTGGCTGGGCATCCTTGGACGTGACCAGTCACGCAGCGATAGATAGGTGTGAAGATCACTGANNATTGGAAGCGTGGTAAGCAAGAGTATATCTCGACGACTGTAGTATGACACCGAAGCAATGTCCGCAGTAAGAACTCACCATCTCCAGCGGTTCCATTCTCAAATGTCACTGTCTGATTCTCCACCGCAACCATATTGTTTCCATAAAGTACGTTGGAGTCGCCAGTTGCATTCCACAGACCGTAGCCAATGGCATAGCTGTCACGGACTGCAGAGCCGTTCGTGTGAAGGACAGCATTCTGAAGAGTCGGCCAGCCGCCGCTGAGTACGTCGCAGGAGGTGGAGAAGTTACTGTCGGGCACGTTGCACACAACTCCGCTGGATATAGTAAAGTTCTTCGTCTCCAGCGGTCTGGTATCGTTGGTCAGGATATCGAAGCCTTGACAGGATGGGAGTTGAGGTTCGCGCGTCGCATAGCCTGCAGCGTGGGCTAGATGAGATGAAGCCAGGAACAGGATGGACGAGGTAAGAGCGGAAGACAACATATTTGGCGGTTTCGGTGACGAACTGTGGGAAATATGAGGTCCTGGTTATAGAGAGATCCTGTCCCTGGAAAGAGCAATTTGTGGATGTTTGCTCGAGAATCAGGTGGCATCTTTGTGTCTCTTATAGACTCGCTCAAGTGGCACAGCAAGGAACCAATATACCACCGCAAGATCAGGTGCATAGCATATATGTCATCGTAGGATTGGATGCCTTGAATCAACGCCTTGGCTCACGTCCTTAAGTGAGGCATTGTTGGTGGTAACAGCGTTGCCAAGGGCGCGACCACTGCCAAGCTCCCTATTCTGTTGCTATTAAGGGCGTAAGCACGCGCCTTAATTCCGTAGGATTCGAGATCGGCCGAGGGATGAAAACCTTCATGCCGAAATCAACAACCCAACCTCCAACGACCAACAACCAACAAAGCATACATCAAAGTCGAGGGCCTCTCTCGTTGTCTCTATACTCCATTCAGGGCCTTTTCGGCAACAATGGATCCAGCAAAACGAGCCTCTCTCCAACCTCTGCTTCGCGACTCTTTCGACAGCTTCATCCAGATCATCTTCGCGGTCTTCTTCGACAGCATTGTCTTCTTTGTAACCTTGGGATTCTGCGTATCGGCACCTAGGATATTCGTACTGATCTTCAATCGGCTGGCACGATGGACCATCGGTCCTCAGAATCAAAAAGATCTTTGTCTCGTCTCGGCTATATTTCTGGGAACGACGCATCTCTTTTTGTGCACGCTGTTTGCTGTGTACGATGAATCAGAATTTGCTTCGCCCAATGCGCCGTCAGTCTTTTGGGCGATCATGTGGTCTACAGGCATCTTGGTTGGTGTGGTAGGGGGGTTTCTGGCTGCGACTGTGGTTGTGCTTGTGGGAATGGAAGTGATAGGAGTCTGAAGACAGGTTATGTTTCTGTCAACGACTCCCTTATCTTGGTGATAGAGAGCGTTGTCTTTTGGAAGGTCATTCGATTCGTCATGGGATCTATCTCAACCCCAATATTAAACATTACTAGACAGGTGTCACTCCTCCTGCCTGACTGGTCAATACTAGTGGATCGCACTCCGTGACGTTGTTACCGGTAACAATCCATTGCACCTCACCACTTAACAGAGTCTGCAATCCTTTCTCGTAATCGCTGACCAAGAAGACTTTGGAACCCTGCCACCTTGGCGCTGTGCACCAGGCCAAAGGTAGTTATGCCCATCAGTATCTGCCGCCACATAGGCAACGAGACCCTCTGGGGTCGAGACTGGCACGAGCGTGATGAGCTGTGCGCCCAATGGTGTGTCCAGTACCTGTGAGACGCGAAGTCTGGAAACACCATACGCCGACATGGTGTCCGGGTAGTAATGGAACATGCGCTCCGACTCATCCTTGTAGGCGATGGAGTCTTCGCTGAAGAATTGAGTACCTGGAGACTTGCCTCCCGTATTGCCGACCATGTAGAAATTGCCATCCTCTGCAGCTGCGAGACTGGACTTTTGTTGGGTGTCAAGATTGGTCAAGGTAGTCCAGCCAGTGAAAGGCTCACCAGATCCTGCTGTAGGAACCGCGCCAGCGACACCGACGGTCGCTGACTTCATGATGTCTTCAAAGGTTGGGAACTTGTACTTGTTGTCACCAATGTAGACGGCAGTCGCGGTGGGGACCGCTGCACCTAGAGTGTACGTACCACCTGCAAGGTTTCCACCAGGCACATAGTCGAAAGATGGGGCCTCGAGATTAGGTGGTAACGTCGGAGCCGCGTTGGCAGCTCCAAGAACGGGCACTGCTTGTGTCTTCTCGAGACTTGGCGCTGCATTCGCTGCTGCAATTGTTGGCATGGCATGGCCTTGAGATATAACAGGCGCTGCTTGAGTGCTTTCGACGGCGGGGACGGCGTTTGAAGCGGCGATGATCGGAACTCCTTCGGATACTGCAGGCGCTGCTTGGGGTTGACCAAGTACGGGCACACCGTTGGCGGCCGCGATGGTCGGGAGTGTATTGCCTCCAGAGATTACAGGCGCTGCTTGAGATTTTGCGAGGGTAGGAAGAGAATCGTCGCCAACGATATCAGGAACGGCAGCGACTGCTGAGATTGTAGGTAGTTGTCTTGCTTGTAGCGCAGTGTGATTGTGGAATGTTGCGAGATCGGGATGAACGATCATCTGTTGTTGAGCTAGCAAATCGCGCTTTTGGAACGCTGATGCACTATGGAACATGATTAGCGGAGTTACACAAATGAAGGACAGCTGCTGGGACCTACTCGGGCTCGAGTATGAAACTATCGAGTCTCACATCAAAGTCGTCGGATGTGCACTCAACCTCAATTCCCACCTTCATCTTGTACGAGGCTGCATTGTCCTTGGCTGGAATCGTGATGATAGTCTTCACAAAACGGTTTGGTCAGTATAGACTCACTGGACCGCAGCTTGCTGGAAGTCAAGACTTACCATGGCCTCTCCCAATCCAATCGCCAAGTTGCCAGGATTAGCTGTCGTTTTAGGCAAGATGTTCTTCCCGAACGGAATGTCTGCCTTGTACCAAGCAGAGTTGGGCTCCGCACCTTCCAGGAACCATTTGTTGACTTTGCAAGTTGTGCCGCCATTGAACCTTTCCAAGCGACCAGATACATATGCGTTGTACTGTGAGTAAGTACAGAGGTCCACCACCTGAGAGACAGTGAACTTCCAGGGTCCCTGCGGCTGAGGACAAACAGCGTCGCAACCACCATCGCACTCGCCGCTAGGCAGGCATGTACCAAAGACCGGAAAGCTTTCACAGATCCTTGCGAAGCACGACTGACCACCAAACGTCTCTCTATGAACAGATCTGGAACAATGTCAGTAGGAGACATACAGGGAAATATCATGATCAAACTTACAGTTCGCTATTTGTGCCCTCTGCTCTCACGCCCATGTCGGCATTGTCGTGACCAACCAGAGGTGTCCAGTACGAAAGTCCCTGGTCAAAATTGGGGTTTCTGAACACGTTGTCCACGAGCTCGCAACCAGCTCTGGTCTTGCCACCGACTGCTGGCTGTTCCTGTTGCCTGACAGTGGTCACACCGTTGTCATTGACGCAACCCTCGATGAATTTGGGACCTTCCCACTTTCCCAGCTCGTACTGTGACGTTCAGATTAGCTACATGCGCAACTCAATGGGCCGGTATACTCACAGCACCCACAAATGGGACTTCAAGCTCCAAAGAATTGACAACATTGCTGTAGAAGTAAATGCCTGCACATTCATCGCCACCAAGCTGAACTCCCTCCTCGTTGTCGTAGGAGGCCGAATACTCAGCCACGGCTTGGATGGCAGGCGTGTTGACTAGCGCGAGAGACTCCTCCCAGATCCCGTCCAGCACGCTCACGCCAAGATTGATACCAATGGGGATACCAAGTGATGCAGTGGCCGTAATCTCACCCGAAGCTTTGAAGACAGGGGTGACGATGGGTGAAAAGCCATAACTTCTAGCAGATCCGGGCAGGAGGAAGTCTACGAACATGCCCATCTCAGGCCAGTCAAGGTTCACACCAGCCAGAATCTGACCAACAGCTTCGACCTCAATCTTAGCAACGAGATCGACAGTCAGATAAGGACCGATAGTGATCACACCAGGAATAGAGAAACCAGGCAATCCGATGTCAGGTGTCAAGGGAATCTCCAAGATAGGGCGTTCGAATTTGTAGAAGCCATCAACGCCGATTTGGACATTCGCGTTCAGGTCACCGCGAAGGCGGAGACTCAAGCGTGTTGGGCCGATGATGGTAAATGTTGCTGCTCCGGTAGTATAGATTGATCCATGTATGCCGCAATCGACACACCAAACTGTGACACCAGGTTCTGGCAATTGTTCGACGCCGTCTATCTTGAAGGTCAGGATTTGATCGGCCCCGGTCATCTTAGCGAGTGTGTCGAAGCTGAGAGGGTCGAAGCTCTCTCCACCCTCCTCAGGTGACCACTTCCAGAGTTCAAGGCCTCCATCGCCCCAGGGACATTCGTCTAGCAATCTTGAGTTTGGTGCAAGTGCTACAGGGATAGTGAAAGATGCACTCGGATTCCAAGTCGGCAAAAGAGACTCTGCTAGTTTGTGTACCGCATTAACCACTGCCTTGACGACAGCAATGACCACGTCCACGATGAACTTAAACACCTTGACGACACCGGAGAGGAAATCGCCAAAGCCTCGTTTCTCGATGTATCCTCTCCGAGTAAGCACCCTGGTGGTGCCAGCTTGGGGAATGTTCGCAGTGGTGATACCAGTGTTTGGTGCCCATTTGCTCAAAGCTCCGTTCAGATTGGCAACATCCTTCAAATAAGTAAAGAAATCATCAACAGCCTTGTCAAAGTTGTTATCACAATCCACCTGAGAGAAGTATTTCGATATACCAGAAGGCATTGGGCTCGGGATGACACCGCACTTGCCGGTGCCCGTGGGTGGTACGAGCGTCTCGAACGATTCGCGTAATGTTGAGTTCGCTGCTAGTGATGGTGTTGCTGTGGCTGACCTAGTGCCATTGATCGATCCTGACGACGGTTGGGCGGTGGACTGAGCAAGAGCTACCAAAGCCTTTAGTCTGTCGGTAGACGAGGACAATCGTTGGCTTGAGGTCTGAGATGTGCCCGAGCCCTTCGCACTCGCAGTGCTTGACTTGCTTGAGCCGGGTGAACTCGTAGTCAACTTTGAGGAGGCCCGCGAGCTCAGGACGCTGGATCTCGAGGATGCCCGCGAGCTTGCCGCAGAAGATCTAGCTGAACTACGCGAGCTCATGGTGCTCAATTTAGATGAACTCCGAGAGTTCGCAATACTCAGACTGGATGAAGATCCCGCAGCGCTTGATTTTGATGTTGCGCGAGAGCTTACAGTATTGGATTTGGAGGTACGGCGGCCAGTCGTGCTACTCGATCGCGAGCTTGGAACACTCGATCTGCGCGAGGTGCTCGAACTTCTGGCGCTCGACGAGGAAGAGGTGCGCAAATTTGTGGTACTAGACTTGAGAGCGCTTGCGACAGCTGATCTCGTCGAGCTCCGGCTTGATGAGGTGGAAACATGAGAAGAAGAACTGCGTCTTGAGCTGCTAGAAACCTGACGAATGGTTGATGACGAGCTGCGCAAAGACACGCTCGATAAGAGAGATGACAATGCGAGGCGGGATGTTGAGGACGAGCTATGTTACGTCAGTACAACATTGTGAACCTTTGATATACAAGCACTTACCTGGTGCGCGTAGATGATGTGCGTGATGTGCTGGGAGACATGGCAGCTATCTTGACTTCGGGTGCCACATGTTGCTCCTTCTGTGGATTACCAGCGGCTTCCCAATGTCCCCAGACTATGTTGAACTCTTGGATGGCTTGTTCCACGGATATCTGACTGCCCTTTGCAGTCGCTGTCAGAGCCGCCTGGTCGTATGAAAGCATCGAAGTGTTGAAAAAGCCGAATTGGCCGGGATAAGTGGTATGACACGACTTGTCAGAGCTCACAAAGACGATGGTATCCCCTGTCCAGTTAGTCTTAGCAGCAGTAAGACTACTCAATGAATCCAGTTTGATCAGCATTTGATCCTGTCGACACGTCACATTCTTAACATAAGCGCTATGATCAAGAATGACGGCATCCCAGTGGAAGGTGGCATCCAAGGTAGCTACCATATCGGCATCTTGAAGCTCTGAATCACAGTCAAGTCAGCATGGTTGAACCTGTACATTGATCGGATTACCTACGAATGCCACCGTCTTTTGTGTAGAACAGCGAGTGGTCTTGCCTGGAGTGTAGGTGGATCACGTCTCTCTTGTCGAGATGCGGATGGATCGCAGGAAAGAGGTGGTTATGGCTTTGGTAACCAGCGGGTTCTTCTCTTTACGGATTGGTTGCTCCATAATAGGCGCTCGCTGTGGTTTGAGAGGTTGGACATCTTGTTGATCGAAAGAGTACATAAACGAATCGGCTGCACTTGCCGTAACCGCCCAGATCAACAGAGCAGGAAAAAAGACCTTCATGATAGCAGAAAAGCCTTGGCCACCGCAGCGTGGTACTAGCTAGGATGGACAAGAGACGAAAGAAAGGATTCAGGACAGGTTATCACAGTGTTCCTATATCCTCGACACCTTCTGTTGGATGTGTCCTCCAGACTATCCTCAGCTACAATCTGCTCGGGCATCCTGAGTGATGAGTGCTGACCTGAAACAGTCGGAGCAGTACCTGGAAACGGTAACGCTCTACAGCCGCACACCGTTGGGGGTCCGTTTGTGATACTTCGAGAGGAACCTAAATTTACACCCTACGCCCTGAGGCCAACACACATGGTATCGCCGAAGATCTAAGATCTGATAGAATGACTGGCGATTGTGGAGGATTGTTGTTGTCGTTCGACTCCAAGCTTCACCGTTTGGGGAGTCGTGCAGCGGGATCTTGCTCCCCATTGAATACAGCCCTTGAACAAGAGCCAAACTGGAGCGCACCAACAGCCATGCAATCCAAACAGCTTGTATTTCTCAAGAAAGAATACTCAACCAGAACAACATGAGGAGGGTAGATGGCATCGGACTGGCCGTCCAGATGTGTTTTTCAACATTGCTTGTCAGCTTCGGTCACTCCGACAGCTCCCTATGTTCATCGTTGCGCTATGGGCAAGATAAGATGAAAGATGAGGCGGTTCAAGACTATATTCCGACCATAGCAAGACACTATAGTCGAACGGTTGTAAGTCTTGTAGATGTGGAAGTACAGGAAGAGTCGAACGAAAGAGTTCTTCCCCTGATTGGGAATCGCCAAGATGCCAAGGTGTGGATATGCCAAGGTGCCAAGGTACACTTCAGACGCAGGAGTAACGGTTCATGAACATTTTCGGACCTCCGAGATGAGCTGTTGTAGGTACTTGTATGCACAAGCAGCGAAATCTGGACTGTCGGTAAGTCCGATGCCTCGTTCGAAGGTCCAATGAGTCTCAGGCTCCATCCGCTCGATTCATAAGGTCTTCATCGGATACTGGTAGACATGAATATCACGGCTGAGGCACTGAGACGGGGTAGAGAAGATACCCAAGGCAGAATAGCTGCTCGTGGTCGAACGTATAAGCCGATCACATTCGGGAAACAGGGTTGAGCGAGCGCTCGTAAGCCGACAGCGAAGCTTGAATAACATCTGCAAGAGGTGTAGAATTCTCCACGCAGAGGAGCACCCATGCAACGAGGCGTTTCGTGCATTCTGTCGGCCTCGGCTGACGATACCCTTGGTACCTAAAGTACTCAAGCCCTGACCAGATTCAAACTATCAGTCGAGAGCCGTAGAATCTCAATCATGCAGGATCGTTGGACAACGCGGAGCTGAGGAATCTTTGGACACTAGACCGTTAGATACCCCGACTCCTAATGGGCACGAGCTATCAAAATCCAGCTGCCGCATATCTGGTCTGAGGCTCTGCTATACCTCGGGGTTGGACAACATAACCATATCAAGTGGAGAAATGGTTCTGCAAAGACAACAACGCTTACATTGGACTGTTTGCGCCTCAGTCTATGGTATCAACTGTGGCTGCCTGAGATGCTACTGTTCCTCGCTCGAGACACGGTCATATCCGCACCACAGCAAGGGCCTATACCGCCTGATAGAAAATATAGGAATGAGAATCTGCCAAGCAAGTCGAGTATGATGGAAGCGAACAGGTATATCTAGCCTGACAGACCACTCACTTGTAGTCACTCCATCATCAAACTCTTTCGTTCTTTTCCATCCCTCATCATGCACTTGGTGCTTTCGTTTGCTGCCCTTCTGGGTGCTGCAGCTGCTCAAGACGTTTCTTCCACTGTCAACACACAATGCTTCACTCGTTATGCCCTTCAGAGCACTGCAGACATGGAAACAGTAAATCTGGCCACCACAGCAACTCGCACTGCGACGGTGTCTGTTACAGAGACTCCCCAGGAGACCCTTACCCCTCTCGAAGTCACTAGCTCCGTGACAACCACCCGCACTGTCTTTGAGACCACCACCTTGCCTATCCGTACAGACGCGTACACGACTTCGGTCACCCTGAGTACAACATTGACCGACACTGANAATCGAGAGCTATACTCAGACGGTCACCGAGTCATCCACTACCACTGTGCAATCCACGACTACGGTGAGTAATGATATTCTTGATCCTTGTGCGACGCTGAACGAAAGATCGTACAGGTACCCGCCCCTGCTGGATTCACCAACCTGGCTCAGATGGCAGGCTACGCTCAGAAGCGCAATGCAGTTGTCCAGAGACGCGATGCTCTTCAGTCGAGAGGCGAAATTAAGGGTGTTCTTCCTATCATTCCTGCAGCCGATCCATCAGCTGCCGGGCTTGTCGGTCGTGCAGTGAGTACAAGCTCCAAGAAGGTATCATCTACCAGTTCCAAGAAAGTATCATCTGCAAGTTCCAAGAAAACCAGCACCACGAGCTCCAAGAAGACCAGCACCACGAGCTCCAAGAAGACCAGCACCACGAGCTCCAAGAAGCCCGTCTCAACCAGCACATGCGTTGCCTCTGACCCCGTTATCGCTGCCATCAAGAACGACTTTGGCATGCCTCTCGCTTTCTGTCAATGGTGGATTGGAGCTTCTTACAAATCATCCAGCCCGATCACCGGTGTCACCCCTGCCGATATCAGCAGAGTATGTGCTTGCATCAAGGCGACTCCAGCTCTCATTGGCGGGACATCGACCAAAGCAATGGCTACGCCAACTGGCGTCAGCAAAGTAGCAAACTTGGACGCCTTTCAAAAACTCGTAGCCCAGCCTCTTGCTTTCTGCAAATTTTGGTTCAACGCGTAAGTTTAAGACTCTGATGGTGTTATGAATTGATACTGATTTCGATCCCTCTTNAGTCCTACACGTATGGGTAGTCCTTTCGCACCACTCCCTGCGCCTGCCGTCTCTCAAGTTTGCAAGGTCATCACTGCTACACCGAGTCTAGTCAGCTCAGCTCAGCCGACGTCCACCAAGTTGAGCAGCTCGTCTAGTAAAGTCTCCACTAAGAGCAGCAGCTCCAGCAAGGTCTCTTCCTCCGGCAAGCTAGTGACTAGCTCGAGCTCCAAGTCCAGTTCAGGCTTTCAGTCCAGCTCGAGCAGCCAGGTTACCTCAAGCAGCAAAGCCAGCATCAGCCAGCTTCCCACAGTGGGCCAGCAGTACCCTGTCGCAGTTTCTTGCACTAGAAGCACAACCATCTTTACTACCCTGNNAGCACAACTTTCACAGCGGCCACCATCACCTCTACCGCACCTGTTCCTACCAAAATGCTTACATTCACGAACACTTTGACTTCGACCATCACCGAGGTTCCAGCAGACCAGACCAAGATCATCACCATCTCTACTGATACGATCACCGCTACTTCGACTTCGACCACCAGTACGACCGAGTGAGTCCTCAACTCGTCTTGACGGATGTATGTTTGCTCTCGAGTGTGCTTATACTGACTTGATCTGCAGAACTCAAACAGCAACCTTTACTGTTGCAGTCGCCTCGGCCACTTTCCTGGCACAGTGTGCACCAGCCAACATCGTAAGCAGCGCCGTTGGTCAAAAAATCGGCACAATCAGCTTCAACAAGGCATTCACCCTGCAATCCCTCTACCTCCAAGACACCACTGGTTATGGCTGCTGTGGTAAGTTCCATCCTCACTTCAAAGTAAACTTCAGATGGACTAACAATCTTCACNNAGCACAATGCGCTCTCAGCGAGAACTGTGCTGGATATGCACAGGCTCCTGTGTCGCAGGGCGGTGCTTGTTATTACCTTACCACTGATGGGCGCTGCGACGTCGAGCAGAGCTGGGGCGATCGCTTCCACTACTACAACACCAATGGCGCTGGCTACCAGGTCGGAAACGGTCAGTGTGGATTCCTGGGCCCTCAAGCTGGTCTTCCCGCTGCATAGGTTGGCTCTGGTGGACTGTATGCGTTCTCGAATCTCGGCGGCGGGATCTTTCTCCGCCCCTATACTATTTCGTATGTCATTGGGATTTGTTTGATTGTGGTTCTTGTACCTAAGCCGTAATGTCTGAACTTGTTCTGAAAAAGCAAAAGTCAATGCCATTAGTCTGTTGGAATTTGTCTCTAGTGATATCTACTTTTGAGCGTTGTTCCAGTGCTCTTGAGGCTTTAGACTCGGCTTTCCATGTCCACCATGGCATCACATTCAATCTCCACAAGCATCTCTGGGTCCACAAAACCACCTACAACAATCATGGTAGCAGCACACCCAATATCATCACCATTCTGCTTTCCCAACACCTCGCTGAGAGCTCGCGCCACGGCCCCACAGTCTTTCTGTCGTGCAACAAACATCTTGGTGCGTACAATGCTTTCTGCACCACGTCCTCCAAGCGCTCTCACAGCGTTCAAGATCTCTTGCAATGCAACATGAGCTTGAGCTTTTGCGTCGTCTGGATGAAGGACTTTTGGACTTGCGGCGTTGGAGGAAGGGTCGACTGCGGTAGTGCCCGAGACGAAGACGAAGGGGCCACGGCGGACGGTGCGGTAGTAGCCGATCTTTGCTTCCCATGGCGAGTTGGTTGAGTGGTATTGCTTTGCTGCGGGTTGCGAGGAGGAAGTGAATCGAGAAGACATTGCGACTGGAGGGCAATGGAAATGCAGTAGCAGCCTAGATTAGGCAATGGAAAAATGAAAGTTTGTCAAAATACAATGGGTATAGAGAGTCTTCATGAGGACGAGAAGCTTTGCAAGAAATGCGTCGTCGGGTGTGGTTGACAGTCGACCTTCAAGGTGAGTCTTACACCTTTTGGCAGCTCACAGACCGAGAAGCCGTGGCAAGTCATATCCTTCGAAGGTCAATCGAAAAACAAGGATCGAACTTCGAGACAACTCGGTGGAATTGTCACAATCATTGCACCGACAGAACATGAACAAACGACCTTTCGTGGCCTTCATCAGAGTACAGGCATCGTCCGTTAGGATTCGAGACCAACCCCTCCTCCGGGATGGCAGAAGACCGCCTTGTCTACCCAGAATGACCATAGAAAAAGTCCATGATAACAGGCGTAGCGTCAATCGGTGCTCCACCATTGATACTGGCCCAGAAATGTCCCCAACCAGCAATCTTGTAGTGTGTGACCAATCCCTGCACGCCCTTCGAAGCGCCAAAATCATACTTTGTAACTTTGCCACTTGCCAGTGACGTGGAAACATTAGAGCTAGACAAGCCATCTCTGAGAGCCCAGTCTGTGACCCAATGCGGCACCGTAGGCAAACAGTAACCTCTTCGGGGTCCACCAAGGTAAGGAATAGTGCCGTCGGCATCACCATGGAACTCGAGCATTGGGAGATTGGATCTGCCTGGCGAACAAATTGGCTGTACGATGGTGTTTGTGAGCACGTTGGGAGGGTCGCAAGTGCCGGTCGTATTGGTATACTCTGCACCCGAGTTTGCCGCGAAAGTGCTGAAGCGCTTCGAAAGTGTCGGGTCACAGGCGAGGGTTCCAACAAAGCCTCCTCCGTTAGAGAAGCCAGTGGCGAGCATGCGGCTGGTGTCGATACAGTAATGACTTGATATGTAGTCAAGCAGATCACTCGTGAAAGTCAAATCGTTGTAATAGGGAGATTCTCCGACAGTGGCCGGATCTCCTTGCCATTGTTNCCTGTCGCGATATTAGCTTGATTTCGGTCCGTTATTGTGAGGGATCACAGGACATACATCCTCGCCCAGAGGGTAGACCGCAATAGCGTATGGATTCCAGGTCTCGCTCGAAAGTTGTGAATCACTCTCCACCGAGAGCTGATTATTCGATCGTCCGTGGTAAGCAATGATCAGAGGTGAGGCCTTGTTGTTCTTGTACGAAGTAGGTACATGAACATTGAAAGATCTGACCACGCCACCAGAGGTGATGTTGAAAGTGACAGAAGAGCCTCCCAGTTGGATGCCAGGTGGTAAGGCAGCTCCGCAGCCAGAGCTTGCTTTGCTGTTGCCCGAAACAGGAACGGGGTAGTTCTGAGTGTTTATCAGGAATGCACTAGCTGCATTGGAATTCTTGATCAAGCTTGAGAAGGCCTTCTTGAAGTAGCATGAGGTGCCGATGTATGTGACCGCCGCACAACCTGAGATAGCTTTGCAAGCTGCGAGACATGCGGGGAAGCTGGAGGCAGAGGTGGAACCGAAAGATCCAGGGCTCGTATCGAACCCACACAGAATCTGCCAATTGTTCCCTTGAGTATCCGCATAGCCTGTGAGATTGGAAGCTGGGCATAGACTAGTCGAGGCTTGCACAGCGGCGACCGACGACGAAGCTACTGATGATGATACAGAAGTGGCCAGCGTGGACGCGACACTACTCTGCGATGATGACACACCGTTGGAGACTCTGATGGCGGAGACGTAGTTGTTGCCTGCCGCAGGGTAGCTTCCCCATGCTTTTTTTAGCCAGCAAGTACCTGATCCTGAACCTCCGGAACCACCGACATAAGTGAAGCCTTGACAACCTGCAGACGCGGCGGCATCGCAGGCAGTCATGCAGTCCAGATAGGAAGAGGTTGCGCCGGTATTTGCGTAAGATCCGACACTGTTGTCCGCCGAGCAGGTGACGCGATATGTGCTCCCATTGCTGTCTGTGATAGTCTGTCCACTCGCGGTCGGACACTGACTGGCAGTGGGTATTGCTTGCGCGCTAGCAAGTGCTGTTAGAGATAGCAAAATGACAAGAGCAGATTTCGGAGCCATGATGTCTTGTTGAAACCGGAGTACGAGATAGTCTAGTGCGCGAGGAGTCGAGAGATCTTATATCCCAGCCAGACCAACAGCGAGAGCCTCAATCAATGATGTTTGCAAGGCCACCATACTCAGGAATCGAAGATGGGTTTCCACATGATTGAAAAGCAAATCGTGGCTGGCCAGGATTCTGCATTCTTTGTTAGAGGCATGTGATTCAGATATGATCATCAAGAGAGCTAAAGAATGCATGTTTGACGCGAAAACAAATATTCTTTGGACATGCATCTGCAGCTCGAGCTCATAGGCCAGTCAGAACCATGGATAGTGACATCTCGAACTTGCCGCGAGGATATACAGTTTCGGGTTCTACGCCTTCGCCGAATTTTAGGCACAAAGCCCGCGGCTGTTACAGATTATGATCGCATCTCGCATAGAGGCGGACAATGACGGTTTCGCATGGAAGCGATAAATGAGTTATCTATCTGACACACTGCCGACGTCCCGGGTGTTTCGTATATGCGCAACTCGGGACTTGATGTTAGGGAACTTCCAACGAGGAGGAAGGAACGATGTTGGGAGGTTGTGGACAAAACTGGGAGTGGGGAAGGATCATCCTCGGCTCCGCTTCGGGTTGCCAGCGATGTGTGCCTGAATCCAACCTTGTTTGATGCACTTCTGCCTCGATCTCTTGGTCATCACTCTGCGGAAAAACAAACCGGGAGAGCAGATGAGAGTCAGTTCCTTGAGTTATTTGTGAAATTAGCGATAACAGCGCACTCGACCTCGAATAGCAACGACACTGAAGACAGTAATGCAGGGCAAGCCACACTACTACTGCTATAATGTTTTCTTGGTCTAGACTCTGTAGTGCAGTACGCAAGCAGTGAGTAGTGGTGCTTCTCGATTCCTGCTGGCTCGATGGTGGTCGTTGATTCGATGGCTGTGATAGCTGCCAAGGGAACTCATCCGGCGGCCATCCCCGTCCTCCAGAAAACAAGCTGAGTCTCCACCAGGTGCGTGGCTCGCTGGAATACAATGCCATAGTATGGGTGCACGTTCTCAACCTTTTGACACGAGGTCATCTTTCTGACCTTGGTCGATGGTAAACTTTACCACAATATGTCCTTGACCTCTTGAAACATAACAAAGCATCTCATCCTCTTGCTCTTTTGTCGTTAGCTCATTGCCCTTATGCAACACCTTTCCTTTCTTTACTACAATTCTGCAAGTACCGCAACTGCCCGTCTCGCACGAACTTGGCACATCAAACCATGCGGCTCTGGTAATCTCGAGTAGACTCTGTTCATTTCCAACGTCAAGTCTCCGAGTTTGGTCGCTAGAGACAATGTAAACACGAAAGGCATTCACAGAAGTGTCTGCCGCTAAAGTCCTGTAGTACACCTCGTCGTCTTGCGTACCTGCCTCCTGGGCCGCAGCGACAAGGCAAGCAACCTTGCGCCCAGGGCCACAACCAAAAACATTGCTATTCCATACTCTGTTTCTCAAGATCCGGGAGATATTCATGCTTTGCTCTTGTTGCTTGTCGTAGACTATCACATTAGGCCAGAAATCGCTCATTAGTGTTTGGAGGCGACGTCTTCTGAGGCGTAGTGCAGTTCCAAGGTCTGGTTGACGGAGCTAAGGGACAAACCAGGATTCGAAAGGCAAAAGTGCAAGAAAAGTCTAGAAACCAGCCAAGGGGGATCCAATATAAAAGATGGAGTTTGGAAAAGTAAACAGAGAAGACAAAAATAGGCTTTCGAAATGCTGGGTTCATAGTAATTGATCCTACATTGAAAGGAGCTAAGCATCTAGATATAAAAGGTATATAATGTGCTAAGCGCTATGCAAGAAAAAAAAGTTATCAAGGGCATCGCTCGAAAAAGAATGCAGATCGTAAAACATATGCCATCGTTGGCTTGGCAGAAGACTCTTCAGCCCTTTTCATGATTGCCATGTTCAAGACTCGCTCTGAAATAACCCCTTCAGTGTCTTCAGCGCCACAGGCTTCATCTGAAACTCATCAATCCCACTCGCCTCGGCCTCACGCCTCGACGCCTCAGACCCCAATGCCGTCAGCGCGACGATCCTAGATCGCGGCATTTTATTTTGCACCTCAAAGTCGCGGATGGCGCGCGAAGATTCAAAACCGTTCATCTTGGGCATCGAAATGTCCATGAGGATGGTGGTAAAGGGGTGTGTCTGTGCAAAACTCTTGTAGGTTTGGAGTGCGTCTTCGCCGTCGGTGGCTGTGTGGGCGTCCAAGGAGAGTTNTTTGATGAATGTCGAGAGGAGTTTGAGATTAATAGCGTTGTCGTCGACGAGGAGGAGATGTTGTGGCTTGGTGAGGTTGTTGGCGATATCCCTGATGGCAGGCTCAGTGGTAGTGTCCTCTGTTCGCTGGTTGGAAGGTTCGACACACAATTTCGCCTCGGTCTGTGCCAGCGCGTTTGTGGTAGCAAAAGCCGGAACGCTTTGACGGGGCTGGTCTATTGGCATCCTCAGAGCGGCATGAAGAGCGCGGACGAGTGCGCGGGGTCCAAGTGGGTAATTCAGCTCGACAAAGTCATCAGCGCACTGGCGTCGAGCCTGCACCAACTGCTTCTGGTTGCCAACCAAAATTGTACGACGTCTGTCAGTCATACCTGACCTCTTACTTGCCGAGCAAGCATAGACGCCATAGTCCGAAGCCTCGGCGATGTGAAAGTCTGCGTCAACTGCTTCAGCCATTTCGGCCAAAACGACCTTCATGTGGAACCAGTTGTCCGCGATCGACTTCACGTAGGAATGGATCAGGTCTGTACGCTCATGCAATTCAGAGGCACCTCCAATTGGGTTGCGGGGACATGAGAGCAAGCAAAGTGTGCGACCCCTCAAAAGTGCTTCCGGGTCCAATATCTCGCCTCCATCGAGTATAACTTCGTCAGAGATAGATTCCCGCTCTATGACAGGAACAAGCACGTCAAATCGAGTGCCAGTACCCAATGTGCTCTTGACACTAATGGTCCCATGCATGTCGTTGACAATCTGCTTCACGATGTTGAGCCCGAGCCCGGTTCCACTGACAAGCGAGTTGGCTTGCACAAATGGACGGTAGAGTGCATGCTTCAGGAACTTCTCGCTCATCCCAATACCCGTATCGCTGACCATGAGATGAGCCATCCGTTTCTCGCAATTCTTTGGATCCGGTACCATTTTGAGAGTAATCTCGATATGGCCGCTTGGACAGAATTTGAGCGCGTTGCCAAACAGATTCATGACCAATCTCTTCCAGGCTCCGGCCGAAACCATGGAGAACCATGCTGTCAGACTCTCCATGTATAGAAAGACGGCAACATCCTTGTTCTTTACAGTAGCCTCATCGATGTCAAAGTGCATTGTATGGTCTTGTGGTAAACCACTCAGGTCTGATTGGTGGGCAGCTTGCTCCCTATCATGGCCATATGAAACACCCTCAACCACGTCTTGAACAAGACGGCACAAGTAGTCCTCGACGGTTTGGCCAAATGTGTTTCGGGGCACATCTGGTAATGTGTCGCCATGAGAGCCTCTACGATTCCTGGATGGCATGCGATCGAGATCATTGATTTTAGAGAAATCCAGTAAGTGGTTCATCGTGTACAATAGTGTTGAAGCACAAGATTCGATCATCCCCAGGAGATCGATCTGGGGCTTGTCGAGTGCGGTGTCGCGCAAAACTTCGACAGCAGCCAGGCATCCATGCAACGGTGAACGTAGTTCATGACTCAGAGAGGATACAAAATCAGACTTTGTTGCTTCGGTGTCGATGGCATCNNTACATATCTAGAAATTAATAAATGTTTCTTGGAGCATGGTTGGAGGATACATACCTAAGCGTGTGATTTCTGCAGTCAGGATCCTGCCATATATAGCCAAAGAAAGTAGGTCATGCTCAGTGAACACTCGCGTGGGATCCACAGGCCAACCCAGCATGCCGGCGTAGAAGGCCTGGCGTGCCGAGTCCCACAAAGGCATGAAGATCAGGGATTGGGCCTGGTGAAGAAGCAGATACAAATCTGGAGGTATGACAAGGGTCTTGTCTAGTTTCTCATACGACGATAGTCCACAACTCGACGTTTCCTCAACGACGAGAGCCAATACTTCTCCTTCGTCGACTTTTAGAATACAGCCTTGAGGGAAGTATGAGATGAGGTAGTCGAGAGTCTCGTGCTCGATGGACATGGAAGATGTGATGCGTGCGGGAGTACGATCTTCCGCGACCATGGAGACTTCGAGCTTCTCACACATGGACAGATGCTCGGCTGTTGTGTTGTCGATGGGTTGGAACAGGTTGTCGTTACTGCTGAAAGTGGTGTCCAACAATACCAGCCCTTGAAGATCGTGAGCGGCGCGAATCAGATTTGTAGCATCTGACAGTGTCTGGTTTGATGGTCGGCTATTGGCATTCCCGAAATATTCGTGTGACTCGGCTACGGAATTCTGGTCCAGCAAGCAGGGAGTCATTGCAGGCACTGGTAGCGGGTCCAGAAAGCTGAATCCACAACATTCTTCTGCTGGGGTCGTCAAGGGAGTATTCTCAACTGAAGAGACGGTTCCGTCAAGCGGCTTGCCGGCCAGAGCGCTATTGGAAGAAGACGAGGAGTCGGGACTCGAGTGTCTTTGCTCAGAGTCTGTGAGATCATGCAATAAACTTGGTAGATGGCTGGATGTGTCAAACTCCCTCGCAGGTTGTGGTCTGTTATGCTCCAGAAATCTCGAAAGATCCAGCTTGGCTTTCCTATCATGATCCCTCTCAAGCCGAGCGGTTTGTGACTCTAGATGGATCGAGATGGCGGAAACGATATCACTCAGAATATTGTAAGTCTCCGGCTCAAGGAAGTCGCGTCGTATCTTGCCATCCATGACACAATAACTTCCCAGAAGTTGACCTGTGGCAGATTTGATTGGGACGGCAGCATACGACTTCCAATATAACACACCATCCTCTTGGTATTCGAGGCAAGCCAAGTCCCGGATGATATGTCGAGTCTGATCGGCAATGACATTGTCAGAATCAGTCGTCGAGGACTCCAAGCCTTGGAAGATGGCTGATGATTGAATTCGATCCAGAGACGCCTGTTGTTGGCGTTTGTTGATGGCGGTGTGGTTGTTCGGGGTACATAGCGAGGTGGACTGTCCAGCGTCTGCGAAGACGCGTGGTGAACCATTTTTTGTCAATGACACGAGCGCGCAATCACAGCGGAGACGGAGAGCACCGTTCTGCGCCAGAGCGGTGAGTAGAGGGTCGTTGACATGGCTAGAGTGATCATGTCAGACGGAAGCAGGATAGCTGGGCGCTTCTAGAACTTGCCTTGGTGGCTCTTGACAGGCGGCTGTCATGTCCATGGCACCGGAAGGGGCTCCAGATCGGGGAATCGCTGATGGGCATTTGGAATCGGATGAGGCTGCGCCTATATATTTGCTCCTGGGAGCCGCATCGAACCCCACCTTCGAGCGCACCTTCCTCGTTAACAACTGTTACCATCTGCATTTGAGCATACGCTTAAGCATCCAGTGTCCGCGGTCTATGCTGTCGCTACGCGGACCGTCGTTGTTTTTGGTGATCTTTTCCTCAGGCAGAATGGTAGGCTGGAGTTGAGTTTGGTGCTCCACAGCAAATCGACGATCTGAGCCGTGTCTCATGGTCCTTATACACGGAGCTCCGCTCCTCTAATCCCGTACTCGTGCAATTCCTCGTGGCATTCCCTTTCGCGGAGCCTTAACTTGCAGCTTCGTTCTCGAGGAGCACCTGCTATCCTCTTTCTCCCAGGCGTCCACTAGTGCCTGCTACGGACAAAGTACAGCCAGATTTCGCGGGCAGAGTCTACGACTGCTGCCTCCTTGACGCTCCCCAGAATTCGCGCGAGGAACTTCCTCGGGGCAACGACGGGAAACACGTCCAGCATGTTTAAGCGATGCGCTACAAACCGCGACGGCTGCAAAACCCGAAAAGTCCGCTCAAGATAGACAAAACTCATGAAGGGAACAGGTTCATATACCACAAGGGTATTAGCACCGCGCACGTGGACCTCTTGCGTGCGACGTCTCTTGAGGCTCTGCTTGACAGCGAGGAGTCGAGGACCCAGTCAGATGAAACTGGCAGGTGCTGTGCAAGACTTTTACAAACTTCTCCGCGCACGTCCATCTGCTGCTTCGTCTTCCTTTAGGCCGCCCATTGTCAACCTGTCAAAGCGTCGCGCAACTCATCAATCAGCGGTTTGGACAGGAGGATCTTGCACCAGCCTATGGAATACTGAATTTGCTCGACTTGGCAATTTGTCGTACTTTGCTGCCGTTGTCTCCGGAGGTCTTCTACACCACAGTTATTCTCACTCTTACTCTCGCCGAGACGCATTCGAAAAATCAGAGCTCAACAACGCTGTGACCACCATTCTGCGTCTCCCGAGCGAGGATGGACGCACAAATGAGATCTTCATTTGAACCCACCCCGTGCTGGGATGTATCCACACATCTTTTGATCTGACTCACTCTCGATCTTACAGGCCAGCTTGACTTTACAGTCAAAGCCTAGAAGAATGCGTAAAAGAAGGCGGGTTCTCGAGTTTTCCTGTCTTTGATGCAAGGTATGCTCTGAGGTCTGGTAATCAAGTGCTGGGGGATGTCTCGGATCAAGACATATCGCCCACGGTAAGACATAGTTCAGTGAGGTAAACCGAACATTTTACATATGCCAGAGTTGTCCCTGACTTGGAATTTGGACAAGCAGAATCAATGCAGTCTATCATACGGTGTTGAACAAAGGACTGGTGGATGAGTATTGTCTTGTAAAGCAAGTAGCCAACACATTTCTGACCTATCTGCAGCGCTAACTGACACAACGTCTCGTGTTTCAAAAGCTTTCAACAGGCTGCCCACAGGGTTTGTGAGGATATTGAGGCAAGAGTTGGGGTTGCAGGCAAGTGAAGTCAGCAACGAGATGGAGACGTAAGTTGCTTGAAACGGGACCAGGCCGATATTCTTGATACACATTTCTGTGACCATCCCTTCCTTGCTTGATTTTTTAGTTGAAATTCAAAACGCGCATACTCGATCGTGACCGTCAACACTTCCCCTTCACCTTGGGCGTTGCTCTTGACGACTCTAGCTACGAACTCCTTCTACATTCGCGACATTCTCATGCCCAGCATGACCATCGAAGTAGGCCTTGTAGTCCGCAGCATCAAGTCCAACGGCATGGCCTCCCACCACATCTTCATCGTCGGCGGCATCGGCGTCACAGCCTTCATCTCCGTCCTCCAAGAACTGCACAGATAAAGCAGTAAAGACAGGTAGACAAGCTCAGCACGTTCGCTGATTTTGCAAGTATCAATTGATGCAACGATGGCATTTGATGCAGAGATTTGCAATCAACCATACATGCATATAGTCCCATCAACAACATTCCACCGTCTCAACGACACTTTCCCCTCATCTCAACCCTCCACCTGAGCACCTCTATCACTCTCCTCCAACGCCCTCATAAACTCATCAATCTCTTTAGGGTCAGTCAAAGCCAACACACCACCTCNCCTTACCACCTAACCCTTTACTCCCCACCTCTTTGCNNCCACCAAATTTCTGCCTACCTTGCCGGGGCCTATACCTATCCATCTCTTGACATTTTCCTCCTTGTGCAAGTATTGTATACTTTGATGCCAAAACACTGGTTCCGCCGCACTCCTCGCCAATAGATCTATCAATTCGGAAGCAGAGGTAAAGGGTTTTGCGGTGACGTTGGAGATACAAGGTAGAGTAGCAGAGGAAAAGGTTACTGCCGCAGGTGCAGAAAGCAGTTCCCGCATCAAAGACACCGCAGGCAGCATCAATGGCGAATGAAACGGGGAATCGGCTTTTAGTCTCACGGCGCGTGGATCATGGCTGTCGAAATGGCGGATATGCGTCAGCGTCTCATGAATATGCGCAATCTCTCCACTAAGCACGAATTGCGTTTTGGAATTGATGTTGGCGACATTGCAGCGCAAGTGGGTGTTTGCAGTGAGATGGCGAGAAATGGCAGAGAGCGTGGGGTCGCGTTGCTCGGGCTCGCAGACTAGAGCTATCATGCCCATTTCTTGGTGTGAGGCGGACGAGCAGTGCGCCATGACTTCGCCTCTCTTCCTCACCATTTGCAACGCATTCCCAAATTCCAAGTTTCCTGCTGCGACCAAGGCAGCAAATTCGCCTAGACTGTGGCCAAGCGTAAAGTCCACTGTGCTCTTGGTATCAAAACCAAACTCTTTTTCCAAGACGCGGAGGATCAGGATGGAGGTGGCCATGATAGCAGGTTGAGCGTTTTGTGTTGCGGTGAGAGTGGCATTGGTGCCGTGGGAGATGAGTTGAGTCAAGGAGGGAGAGATGTTGAGGGTATGGTCGATCTCTTCGAGGAGAGGTTTCACGGTCGAGGGGAAGGTGGTGAGCCAGGGGTCGAGCATGCCCACACGTTGAACACCTTGGCCGGGGAAGAAGAGGGCGGTTTTGGGGCGTGTGGTGGGGGTCGAGGAGTAGTCTCTTGAGGGTGGACATGCTGATGTGTGTGTTGATGTGTGTATTGATGTGTGTGTTGCTGCTCTGGCTCCCCTGACTCTCAGTATGGCTGGGGCTCTCATCATGGTCGTCGTGGTCGCGCCGAGGCTGTGTATGTTGCTGCGTCCGGGCGCATGTCCTTGCAGCCTTGATATGGTCTAAGGCGACTGTGAAAGTCGCTGTGTTTATTGCGACATTTACACGCAGTCAAATCATAGAATGAATAGCTTCCACAAACAACCCTGATGAGCCGAGGTTACCGTCATCACTGGACAAGCGCCTGCCCGCGGCTGAGAGCTTTCTCCACGTTCATTCGAAGCGGCCACCTTCGGCTTTGCCATTTCACCCTCCTCTTATATACAACCCATCACACCCCATCCCAAGACGAACAAAGACGAACAAAGACTCCTTCAAGGATCATGGTAGACACAAGCACAACAAGGTAGGTCAAACAGGTTGGTGTTTTCCATAACAAAAAGGGATATCATAACATTTCGTTGACTAACTAAGAAAGAAGATCATGCTGATGATCAAAAAGGTATCAAAGGGGAATCTTGTTTTTCGTAAATGGCAGGCAGAGACACACGCAAACAATGCATTTACCACCAGTCACCCTGGTCGTGCATGGCCTGGGCGACCTTCTTGAAGCCGGCAATGTTGCTACCAGCAACCAGCGAAGGGAACTCGCCCTCGGCAGGGGTAACGTACTCCTTGGCGGTCTCGAGACCGTTCTCGAAGCAGTTCTTCATGATCTGCTTGAGCTTCTCATCGACCTCCTCGCTGGTCCACTTCAGGCGCTGCGAGTTCTGTGCCATCTCGAGACCCGACACGGCGACACCACCGGCGTTGGCGGCCTTTCCGGGGGCGTACCAGATGGCTGAACCCTTCTTCTCCTTTCTCGAAGCCTCGAAGATGTCGATGGCTTCCTGGGTGCAGCCCATGTTGGAACCCTCGGCGATGAACTTGGCGCCCTGCGAGATGAGAGCCTCGGCCTCGTCGGCAGAGACCTCGTTCTGGGTGGCTGAAGGCAGAGCAACGTCGACGTTGCCACAGTGCTTCCAGGGGCGGGCGCCCTCAATGTACTTGAACTGGCTGCTGTACTCGGAGCTAGAGGTCAGGTCGCTGAGGGCCTTGCGGTTGAGCTTGAGGTCGGCAATGACGTTGATGATCTCGGNGGTGAAGCCCTTGTCGCTGGTGGCGATGATGGCGCCCTTGGAGTCGGAGAGCGAGACGACTGTACCGCCGAGCTCGATGATCTTGAGGGCGGCGTACTGGGCGACGTTACCGGAACCGGAGATGGCAACCTTCTTGCCGGAGAACGACTCCTTGCCGCCAGAGGCGTACTGGATCATGTGCTCGACGTAGTAGACCAAACCGTAACCGGTGGCCTCGGGACGGATCAGAGAACCACCCCAGCTGCCGCCCTTGCCAGTGAGGATGCCCTCCCACTGGTTACGAATCGACTTGTAGGCACCGAACATGTAACCGACCTCACGGCCACCAACACCAATGTCACCGGCGGGAACATCAGTGTCGGCACCAATGTGTCTGCTCAACTCCTTCATGAAGGCGTAGCAGAAGCGACGGATCTCGTTGTCAGACTTGCCCTTGGGGTCGAAGTCGGCACCACCCTTGCCACCACCCATGTTCACNNTGGAAGGAACTGTTAGCCTCTGGGAGATGTGGAGAGAAAGAGTCTACTCACGGCCAGTAAGAGCATTCTTGAAGATTTGCTCAAAGCCAAGGAACTTGAGAATGGAAAGGTTGACGGTGGGGTGAAGGCGGAGACCACCCTTGTAAGGACCGAGGGCAGAGTTGTATTGAACGCGGTAACCACGGTTGACCTGGACTTCGTTCTTGTCGTTCTCCCAGACGACACGGAATTGGATGACGCGCTCGGGGACGGCGGCGATCTGGAGAGCACGCTTGTACTCGGGGTTCTTCTCGAAGAGAGTCGAGTTCTCAAGGGTCGAGGCAAGCTNCTGTGAGGGTCAAGTCAGTTCTGGTAACCTTGATGGGTTGAGGCTCAGCAACTGAGACATACCCTTGTAGGCCTGCTCGAACTCGGGCTCAGAGGGGAGGTTAGACATGGTGTATGGTATGTTTGTGTGTGATAAGGTGTGGTATGAAGGAGTGTAGGAGGGGAGAGAAGAAGTCGAAGATGAACAGATCAAAAAGTTGTCGCGGGCAGAGTGGATAGATAAAGCACGCAGCGATATGGGCGGCCGGTGCAGGTTGAGAAAAGTAATTGTGTACCGTCAAGTGTTGCCCCACGCAGCGCGACGGCGAAAAAGCAGCACCGATGACTGTGCGTCACCAAGCAGAACCCTGGACACGGTAGAGCGCGCCCATCTGTGGCTCGTTGCCTCCGGTTCTCGCCCTCATTGACGTTGAGCAACTGTCGTTCACATGGCTAGCGCTGTGCAGGGTAAACTTTGGCTGCCAGAAACACGGTCCGATGTCGGGAACAGCAGGATGGGCGGCTCTGTCCGCCGTAACTCCGTGGAAACTCGCACCACTTCGGGAGCAATTATGGGTGCCACTGCTATCTGAGTGGCTTGACACTGAACAGAGTCACTACCACAAACAATTGACTTCTGCTGGAAGGTTTGGAACAAGAGGTCGTGAGACTCTCGCCTGCTGGACCTTTGTTTATCCGGTCGAGATGCCTCGGCCATAGCAGCAACGACAAAAGCTTCCCCACAGATCCGCGCATCTGGCACGCTGCACGCGAGATTTAGCCACAGATGCGGCTTGGCTTCGGCGCGCTGCGTAATTGCAATCGAGTAACCGCGACACCTCAACAACTGATAAGACTCTCTACCCAAAAGATAGCAACACTCCGACAGCGGTGCGGACNNGCGGGGATCTACGGGGCATCGGTGGGATCCCAGTCTGNNGAGAAGGCACGGGCAAGTCAGCATAATCATCTCGGCAAATGTCGACTTGCATCTTACCAGTCACCAAATACTCGTCCAATCCATCCATCCTGGCCATGTCGCCCTCGTCAATCTCGAAGCCGCCAATGTCGCCGTTCTGTGCGATGCGCTCCTTCTTGACACTCTTGGGCAACGGCACGTAGCCATGCTGGACCGACCACCTCACCAGCAACTGACCCGGATTGCAATTGTACTTCTTGCTGAGCTCGACGATCACGGGGTGCTTCATGCGCAGAGCGCGCGCCAGAGGAGCATATGCCTCGACCATAATGTCGTTCTTCTGGCAGAAAGAGGTGATGTCGGTGCGCGTGTTGAACGGGTGCACCTCGATCTGGTTGACGGCTGGAGGGATGCGCGGCTTCGAGTCGAGGAGCTCCTGCAGGTGTTGGACACCGTAGTTGCTGACACCTCCGATCTTGATCTCGCCATCCATGATGGCGTNCTCGACGGCGCGCCAACTCTCCAGGCGAGCCTTCTTTCCTCCGTACGGACTGTGCAGCAGAAACAAATCTATATATCCCAGGCCACACTCCTGCACGCTCTTCTTGATGCTCTTTCTTGCCGTGTTGTAGTCGCTGTTGCTCGCAAGCTTTGATGTGTAGTGAATGTCCTCGCGGCCGAGGTTTACAGTGTTGTTGGGAGACTTGAGAAAGTCATTTATGGCGTTACCGACCTGGCGTTCGTTGTGGTACATCTGAGCGCTGTCGACAGCAAGGTATCCGGNCCTAGGGGAGGGTCAGGCTGAGATCGAGTAATATTGTTGGCGTAAACAGACCTCGAGTGCCCATCCTGTAGCCTTGGTCGTCTCATTGCCAGACGTCAAGTATACACCAAGGTGGATTTGTGGCATGGACAAGCCATTGTTAAGCTGCGACTCGGTGTGAGCCCAAGTTGGAGAGTGACGCAATTGTGAAAGAACGTGCCTTGACGCGACTGGCAAGATTATACGTCTTCTGCGACATGGTCTATTGTTCTGATTCGTAAGAGTCTTTCTGTTGCTAAGTGAGACACTGATTGTTGTATTGACAGATACTTCGAGTGCATGGATGTGCAAGGGCATGAGTATTTCAGATTCCTGTCGCTTTCGCATTGAGCACAGAGCCGCATCATCGAATGACGTCTTTTGCTGTCTCGGTGATGCCTACCTGGTACTCGTCTCTACGACACAACAATCTCTCTTTCTACTCGAAACACATCAAGATGAATCTCTATATAGCCAAATCACCATATCAACCAGCACAGACAAACAGCTCTGCCTGCTTGTCAAATTTTGTCGTTCAGAGCCGCAAGATCACTAACCATTATTGATGGATTGCAGCAAGCACTGGCCTCGCCAAGGACGCCACTGAGATGCATCCTCAGGGTCCCGTCTCGCATCCGCAAAAGACCATTCAAGGGCTCACTGGAATTCCACTGCCGCCGTACCGGACTGGATCCATCATCGCGCATGCTGCTCTGATTTGGTCGCCTCCTTTTTATCCATCATGCCATGGCGTCAGCCTTGTATCTGCTGAAACAAAACATTCACCGTGAACCTCTTACCCGGCGCCTCTGACTTTGACCAGCAGCATATACTTGATATCGGACCCCGCTATCTAGCAACATCCGCGACCGTTGTTTCCCTGTAGCCTTCGGCTCGCCCTAGCATCAACTTACCACAAAAGGATATTTATAATTATAAAGACCGAGCACTGTCCACAACTTTTCCCACGTAAGTCATCAAAATCATCAAATATTTCATCTTCATCATGCCCATGCATCTCATGACAGACGACGACAGCATGTCCTACAACGGCAACTACGTCAACTCATCTCGTTACGAGCAGCGGGAGCCGTCTCAGCAACAACAACCACAGCAGCCAGGGACCCAGCAGAACCGCCAACAACCTCAGGACCCACCACTCACAACTTCGCCAAACTTTGACATTCTGGACTGGCATCCGGCATATGAATCCTGCCAGCGTTACTTCCTTGATCACGCTCAGCATGAAGCTGGCACCCAGGCATTGTGTGCTTTGATCAACATCCGACTGCCATTTCAATGGCATCAGAACCCTGTCATCTCATCAAACCCTTCACAAGTCCCAGGAACCAGTCCTGGTTCTGGAGGCCCATCTTTCAACTTCAATCAATGGTCACGACCAAACTCTTCTGCCAACGGTCGCAATTCACAGCAGACTCCCGCTTTTGTATCTTTAGTCCCTTATATTCGACGTCTAGTCATTACCGGATTCGACAAGCCTGGAATCTTGCATGGCTTCTTTGGCGATGCATACCAAGCCGGTATCACTCCCATGCAGGACTGCGAACGCCGAAACTATCTTTTCGCTGCCAAGCACGGCGGTTGGCGAACCTGCAAGAAGCAGTACGACATGAATCCCGAAGAAACGGTGCCTTTCCTTAAGCCGTTGCAAAGCATCCGCGACGAGGAGTTGGATGCTGCAGAGAAGAACTGGAGTTCATGGTTGGCTATGGAGGATTGGATGATTGGTCCTCGTGCTCCTCATGAGGAGACTGGACAAGATCAATCGAGTGAACGTTCTAGACCTTGGGAGCGTGCAGGGGGTATGGCGGGCTACGACTCTGGGCTTCCAGATGGTATCTGAAGTGTGTGTCATTCTGCTTCTTATGTATTCTGGCGAAACACTCTATACCTTGTATCGGCGCAACTTCGTTTTCTCCGCACAAATTACCTCTTCTCACCTATTTTTATTATACACAATTGTATCTGAAGCAAGCGAGGTCGCCGAGGAGAGTTAGTGGTGGAATATTGCCTCTCAGCCGACACTGTCCTGTTTCTCGATATCATTGTGCATTTTTCCTATCTATCACGTTGTGCACTTTTGCAAATGTCGAAGAGAGTGACTTCCTCTTTGCTCGTCGTCGGTGGAGACCGTGCATCACGCCTGCCCTGCCAAGACAAATTCATGCCTTCCAACTTTCGACGAACCATCAATTAATCCGCTTCATCTTTCTTGTCGACAACACCACCAATTTCTATGATCGTCGCATTGCATTCTCTATCACCATCTCGATAACACTTCGGAAGAGCGGCCTCTCGAACACCATCGTGATGGATTCGGCGTCAGCCAGCCATGCCGCTGAACAGTGGTCAACATTATTCCGAACTTGCTTCAGTCATCGCATACGTGCTACACAGCTAAGCAATCCATTCTCTGAGCTTTGGAGCTCTCAGCCCATAGCTGGATCACAACTCGCTAGCATCGTATTCACATCCGGAGCCTCTGGCATCGACCCTCTAATTCACGAGTATCTTGAGCAAATTCTACGCGTCACCACCATCGACATATGCGATATCCTGGTTGCTTTGCTGGCTCACTCTCGGTATGCGCTTAAGAGAAAGGCTTTAAATCGCACTCTAATGAGTAACGCATTCTTTGAACATGTATTGTCGCTGCTCGTGCGCCTGGTCGCCGCGGGTGAGCGACCGAAATCCACTCGTGAAGCCCGCAACGTCGTACGAGCCTTGGGAGAATGCCTTACCGCTTGCCGTGCTCATGAGATGGTCCTCCTCATGCAGCAGGTCGAAGTCATGCAGAGCCCAGACCCTCAGGTTGTCACGTCCTTCGAAACACTGGCAACGCTTGCAATCGCTCTCCTAAACCATGCCACGGTCAAGACCGACATTGGTGTTTGGCCACAGACTCTAAAGGGAAAAGTCGCCTCTGCGTGTAGTGACTTTGCAGAACTTATAAGTCCGTGGTCTCATTCGCAAATTGGTGCACGCCTTCACATGATGGCCAAGACTCCACCCCTCGGCAAACCTGACTTTAGCACTGCAGAAATAGCTTCGGCAGTCAACGATCTTCCAGTCACCAACTCGCGAGTTGGCCTCTACGCATACCTCAATGCAGCGTTGTGTGCGAGACCTCTGACAGATGACATGTCGCTCTTCAACTATTTACATGCCAAATATCAAAATGACACACAAGCGCTGGTTTCAGATTTGATAGTGGCTTCTTTCGACGTTTTGGCGAATGCCTTGCAGCAAAGGCAGTCACCCAATCACATTCTCTGCTACCGCTCGTTCATCGCCAACAAGCTACCCTTGCTAATCACAACCTTGTCCGGGTCATTCGCACCTATGACTTCTCAAGTTTACATTCAGATGGCTCTGAGACGAGTCGATGTTCATCCATTCCCACCATTGTCTTCGGAGAACGATACCACCAACAACGAGATCTTGAAAAAGAGTCGTCAAGAGTTTGTGCAGGCTTGCATCATGTTCCAGCTTGGCAATGAACAGGCTTTCCATTCCGTGATGGGCGAGTCGCCTGCTCCAGTTGCTTCTCGAGTGGTCAGGTACAACAGACAATCTCTGGCTCAGCAATGTATTGCCAACATACACCGTGTGGAAGAATTGGCTCGTGAGCTTGAAGGCATGAACGGTAACGCAGGTGCAATCTCAGGAGCGCTGGTTGACACAATACGACACTTGTACACTGCGAAAGAAACCATGTCTTTGCGAACGTTGTGCAATATCCTCTCTCGACGATTGCCACTGATGGACATTATCTTCCAATACTCTCAGCCCGCAGACGTGCTTTTACCACTTTGCAATCTGCTAAACGAATGGACCCACGACGAGGACCAGAGCGAATTCCAACCACCGTACGAAGAGTTCGCCTCAGTTTTGCTGTTGGTTTTGGCCGTCATTCATCGTTACCAACTGGCAGAAGCTGAGATTGGAGCATTCTCGTCTGACACGTTCATCGTGAGATTCCTCAACAACATGTCGACGAGCATCCCTATCAGGGCACTCGACGATGACCAGCAAAAGCAGCTCACAAAATGGGTTCAAGGCCTGTATGCAACTGATGAACAGGGTGAGACGAACGGTATCAGCGATGAAACCATGTCACACTGCCCACCTCAGTCTTTCTATCTGCTGGTTCCAACACTGTTTGAGCAGAGTGTGCAAGCCTGCAAGCTCATGGTTCTGGCCATCAATACATTGAAAGGCGGACTCGAATTTCTCCTTGAGCCTTTCCTACTTCCTTCACTGATTGGAGGCCTCAGCTGGGTTACCAAACACTCTTGGGAGGATCATGGCGACACGGAGATCTTGCTACAGATGCTGCGCAAGTTGATCCAGCCTGACTCGATCTCTGGTGATGCTCAAGCGATGCATCAGACCATACTTGCCATGGTCGCAAGACCTTTGGTGATGTCTCTGCAGGAGTTACAGCGAAGGCAGCCCAAGCGCAAAGACGTCGCTCCACTTGTCGAGGTTCTCTCATCTCACTTGGACAGCCAGCGATCCGGCAAATGTGGTTCAGCCGATTTCACAGCATGGTCCGCTGCTCCTGAAGGTGGCTTGCGAGCTACGTTCAGCAGTGTTGTCCGCGGTCTGGTCCAATGGTCTTCACAGGGCAGCATAAATTCTATACCTTACAGCTACACGCACCGAACCATCACAACAGCTCTGGAAATGCTTGGAGCTGATGAGATCTTGGCCATCATACTGGACGAGCTCAGGTCACAAACTCGGAGCGGATCCGGGTCAGCAGCGCTTGAAGTTGCTACCGCTATTATTTGTGCGCCTTCGCCTCTACCCGCACTGTCTCAGACAAACGCTCTCATGCAATTTGAACAATCTGCTCCGCTGTCGGTCAATCAACGACGCACGCTGCGTCAGGCGCTGCGAGCAAGATTGGAAGAACCCAAGGAGCTTCTGGGTATGGAGGCTGAGCGTGTGGAAACACTCGTGAGACTCGGTCGTCGTGTTGAGACGCAACTTGCTGTCCCAGCACAGCTTACCATGCCCATGACGAATCTTGATCTTGACATGAACATGGCTGGTGCAGACATGCAAATAACCAGCGCAGAAATGCAGATGACCGGAGACACCACGACTGACCCTGCTGCTGCTGCTGCTGTCGTGGCGGACCAGGACTTTACAGCTGCCATGGATCAATCACTGCAGATGGACACAACCAATATCAACAATCCCAACCCCATGTCACTCGACATGTCCAACAACCTCTTCACTAGCCAGGATATGGACTTTGATCTGACCGGTACATCTCAGCAACATGGAGCTGGGCAGATGAGCAACGAAGATGATATCTTCGCCGGTCTTGAAATGGATCTTGGCGGTGACGACTTTGATTTCTCCTAGTTTGGGACTTCTTCTCTTCCTTACTCTGGACACGACTGGGATTGGGAGAATTATCTACATCTCGCCAAGCAAGAAGAGAGGCCCGGGCCGAGTCGTGCTTCGGCTGTCGCTCTCGCTGCACAGCGTCAATCTGGAAACGACTTTGTGGTTTTCAGCACGGAGCTGATGAATGGTTCAGCGGAACCAGGGATAAGTTCAGCTGAATCAGTAGATGGTTCAGCTGAAGAGGATGGAGACCAATCTAACCAACACAATGGATCCCAAACGACCTGTGACCTTGTCTACCTTACGGCGCCGGCAATATCCGATCCCGAGTGGCATGCAGAACACCTGAGGGCATTGCTTGGACTCGGAAGCAGGCGTTACTCGGCACCGACACCTTCGGCGCCCGTAAGTTCAGACGTTCCTTGGTATGCAGAGGCCAGACTTCGGGCAATTCGAACTCGAGAGCGCGATGCCGCGAGGAGAGTTCGCAGACAACGAGAGCGAGAGGAAATGCAGCGTCGCATGCAACAACCCCCAGTGGCAGATACAGCACCACAATCAGCAGATCCAGATACCATGGCTTCACAGGATTCGTCCTTGCCAAGGCTGACTCAGTCGGTCAATGATATGTTGCCAGACGAAGACGACCAAGCCCACCCCCAACGTTCGAACTCTTTTCCTCCTGAGAATCTATATCCACCAGAAGATGAGCGAGGCCGAACTCAGCAAGCCGCTTCCAGACTTCGAGGCGGCCGGACTCTTCTTCCAGCACCCGCATTTTCAGAATTCTGGCGTGCAAGAGCTAAAAGTTGGAAGATAACACGTCGAGGAAATGCTGGCAGAGAGCGCAGGAAAAAGGCTTTCGAAGAACAGAAGCGGGAGGAGGAAAGAAGACTAGAACAGGACGCAAAATCGCATCCTGGTCCCCAGAGAGTCGATGAAAACAGCACCCCGGTGACGGCAAATGACAGAGGTCCCAATGGAAACGACGACGGAGGCGACGATGATGAGCCGTCCGGAGACATGAGTACAACCTCTGGTACTGTCACAGATTTGCTCTTCACTTTTGGCGATACGTGGTTCGCGGTCCACAGACGATCCGTCTGCTTGCTATGTCAATATCCGGTGCAAGCGGAGGGTCAGCGAGGCCCTAATGGAAGCGATGACAGTGGCGGCGACGTTCCGACGATTAGAATGGAGAGCAAAAGCCCTGCATCAGGCACAGGGCAAATGTTGAGGTTTGGCGAATTGCGGTTTCCGGTGCCTAGGCGCTGAAGTCGCTCGCTCTGGATGTTTGATACCACTATCTATCTCTTAGCAGTGAGGTGTGTAGTCTGACCTAGCAGTCATTATGGTAATACAATCACTAGTATTGAGATACACATCCTACGAACTCTTTTGATCAGTTCCCTTGGTTTCGCTGCATCGTGGACATCGTGGATGTTGCAACGATGAGACTTTGGTGCTTTGCCAACACGATCTGATGGGTTTCCAGGGCGAATGATTTGCATTCTACAGCTTTATTACCACACATGCTATTGATAAGATTGCATCGTAGCTGTGCATTATCATTCGTTTATGCGTATTACGAGAAGAGGAAAAAGGAAATAAAAGAAGTCGCCAGGGTAGCACCCTGTCTTGTATTCTGTATCACCATCCTAAAGACTATTAGCATACAGTGTCTGCATCACTCTGTTTGCAGCACTTTTCTTACATGTTTGCATACGATGTGGTAGTTTTGGTGTGTGTAGATGGTAAGAATGTGGGTACTTCAGGACCAGTGGGTTTGGTTCTTTTGTTCAGAAGTCAGTGCATGGGTTGTTGTGACCACCACTATTCCTACATTGCAACGGCACACGTTCAAGGTGAGCAGTGGGTGGAACCGGCAACCGTGAGCACAGCTATGAATGGGGAATACATCTAGACATGGAAAGTCAAGGGAAATGAATATGAACTGTCGATCATGATGTCTTTTCAAACTGTCGTCCTCTTCATATTACCACAGCAAAGCTATAAATCGTACACACACGTCTCTTCTATCATAACAATGAGCATAGTCAAGACCATCACTCCTATCCAGTACTTCCTCTAATCAGACTTCGCCATACTAAAATCCTTCAACGCGCGTCCATTCTCCACTTCCTTCTTCCAACACGTGCGTTCTTCACTCGCAACACCAGGCCCCTGATACACAGACCCATACAACCCAGTCGAATAACTCTCTTTGCTATTCTTGCCTGAAAACTTCTTCTTGTACCATTTGCCGTACGCAAGCAGATAGTAAAGACGGAAAGCGAGGAGGGCAAACTTGTCACGCTCGAGGTCTTCGGGATAATTTGCGCCGAGGTCGACGGCGGCGGCGATACCGCTGATACAGGCTACTTCGTGGGCATTTACCATTGTCCAGGCGGCGGCGAAGCGGGTGTTGTTGCGGCCGTTGAGGGACCACATCCAAGGTACCACAAACAGGTAATGGGTAAACGAGTGGCAGAGCTGGTGCCACCAATCCTTGCGAATGATCTTGGACTCGTCAATTTCGTCGATGGACCAGAGATGCGAGTCTCTGTCTTTGTTGAGGAAGATGGTTTGGAAGACTGCGTTGTCGAGTGGCGTGTCCGGAGGGAATTGACTCTGGTAGTTGCTGCAGTTAAAACTCATTTCCAGTTTCGTGAGATCGGAAGGGTACATTTTGATAAGGTACATGGGCTTGAAGTTTTTGCGCGCAAACTCGACGCGAGAAGTTTGGTCTGCGCCGTTGAGTGTGGTGACGGCTTGCTGTTCGTTAAATTCCATTTCGTAGTGCTTGCGCATGTAGTTTGCATCTGAGTGCGTAATGGTAATGTCGTTTGCGAATTTGGCGGAGCCCAAGACTTTGTTTTCGCGCCATGTTGCGCAGGGTTTGAGGAGGCGTTTTGCAGTGTCGGTGAGTACGCAGAGGACGATTTCGTCGTAGTGTTCTTCGTGCTCGATGGCGTTGGGGTCGCCGTTGCTGCCTTCGACTGTGTTGGGGACCCAGGCGCTGTCTTGGGTGTGGCCGTCGGAGGCGGGAGTGCGCTTGATGATTTTGACGTCAACGCCGTCTTTGTTTCTGCGTACCACTTGGGTGACTTCGGTGGATAAGCGAATGTGCACGCCCTTTTTCTCCAGACTGGTCTTCCAGTCGCCGTAGAATTCGCTGAAGTTGGGGAAGACGACCATAGGAGGCATGTTGCTGGCTACACTAGCCTTGTCTGGCGGGAACCACATTCCGTAGGTGGGACTGGTGCAGAGTCTCTCGAGCACCATACTGGGGACTTCAGGGGCGTAGTTGCCGGTTCCCAAGAACAGAGCTACCATGGGCAGAGCAACGACGTTGGCAAACTCGTCGGAAAACATGAAGAGCTTGACCACATGCTTGATGGGGATGAGTGCGAAGAAGACCTCGAACCAACGAATAATCTTGATCATGTAGTAGAAGCGCCTGACCTCCTTTTCATGTTTCTTGAGCATCATGGTCGAGTAGACGTTTGTCCAGAACTGGTCGTCCTTGCCAAACGAGACGTGCAGCTTGACGGGGTCGGCGTGGTGTCCCTGGCGCGCGAACATGGTCATGGTGTGGTGGAAAATGTACGAGCCGCCCTGGACACCTTGGTTGAGCCAGCTGGCTCCGTACTTGTTCTTGTCGATGGGGATACTGTAGGCTTGGCCACCGCAGTAGTCGACGGCGTCCACGAGCGTGACATCGAACTTGCCGGGCTGCTCGGCGAGGTGGTGCGCACAGCTCATGCNCTATCCCAACACGTCAGTTCTGCTATGCTGTTCGTGCCAATACCATGTCGACTCACCTGCAGCTCCGGCGCCGACAACCAGCACCTTTTTTCTCTTCTGGTTCTCCATCTGTTGACCCATATCGTACCGCGTCTGGGAGGGTTGAGCTGATAACAAAGGCCTCTCTTCTGGCATGTGTGCAAAGGTCGGGAGGTGCAGTGGTCACAGCAATGCACTTGTACTTCTAGCACGCGACAAGCAAGAAGGATGGATCATGCAATGGTCATGTATGCCCCTTACGCGACAAAGAATGACATAGACGCAAAACAAAAATCACATCATGACCTCCAAGAAAGGGACGACGACATCGTCATAGATCACCAACATATCTGGGGTACTTCGGCCACTATCGCCGATCGGGCTCTAGTGCGCGAGATTGGCTTCAATATATTCCTCCGACTCTCGATCTGTTTTCGTTATGCGACAGGAGTTGTTGATGGAGATGCGAAGATTGCAGTGATGGGACATCATATTGTTCAAAGGACTTGGTAGGCGTCGTAGATGACCATGTCTCCCACGCGTCCGGAGCTCGCGATAAAAACAGCCGAGTTAAGCCATGAGTACCTCTCATCACCAGTCTCAAAGGTGAGATTGAGTCGCATCCTGAACTGATCAGGACCGATTTTGCCCTCTCCCAATTTCTCAAGAACCTCCTTCTTTCCCGTCCTCGTTCTGTATTCCATAGTGTCAGCTTGCCGTCTTCTGTTCTGCTTTCTCAGCCTTCTGTTGCGAGGGTTGCACTACTCACCNNCTGTCGTGCGCAGGTAAATCGTCGCGCCGTCATGTGTCTCCAAGTTGTATCTGGTGTCCAGGTGCGCAGTTTGCTGATCCCCATCGTGGTCTCGCACAATCTCCCAATCTTTTTCAACCATTGGTTAGCGGACCTAGATACATTGGCACACAGAAAAAGGTACATCGTGCTCACCTCCGCCTCCGGGAAGAATCTTGCCTCTTAGGCGTGGACCCTCGAATCGGCCGCCCTTGAATATCACAGTCGACCTGTCACCGTGGGGGCCCTTTCCTATGTGCCTGAAGGATTCCATGTCGCATTCGAGGTGGAACAGGAATTGAAGTGAGGGGATGGGCAGCTTGTATTCTGGCTTGACCCAGTTGCTGTTGGGCAATCGGTCGATGCTGACGGGCGGCTCGACGGTGCCTGGCTGCGGTGTCGAAGATGCCATGGCTGGAGTGTGTCTGACAAGAGTTGTGTCTTGTGAACCAATCGTTTTTGGCGTGGACAAGTGGTATCACCTGTCATCACATTGCGGCGAGTTTCTTTATAGAATTCATGGTCTCTCAATGACGTCGTGCTTGGATTTTTTGCTATCCGTAGATTGCCGACTCCACACAATTAAGCAACGGCAATTGTTTATGGCAGACAAATGCATCAGTATGGACCAAGACAACATTTTGGTATTTTCATGGTCGTGAGGAACGGAGAGGTGTCGAGATGGCAGAGGCAGATTGCTGCTGGGGATTGCCCACGCTGCTGCTGCTGGCACTGACCACCTCGGTCACGAACAACTCACCTTGATGGACGATCGCAAAATAAGTGGAGCACTGCAAACTACTCGACTTCACCCAACATGATCACTGCCCTGATGCATACCATCATCCAGCATTGCAGCCAAGTATGGGGCGGAAAATGCTCTTATCAGGCGCATTGCCGTCGCCTAATCCTACTATCATCTTTATCGCTGGCCTCAAGACCAACGCGGCTACCATCCCGCGCTTTTAATCTATTGCAGCTCCAAGGGCATTGCGCAGCCTATCCCCCAAGTATGGCGATAAGCAGTTTTGATAAAAATGCATCGTCATGTTATGGAAAGAGGGGTCGACTACCCAAGCGCCACGCGGGCGACGATAACGAAATCCAGCCATGTCGTGCTTCCCGCCAACGAGGGTCCGCGATAGCCGGTCTTGTTATAGTGGTCGTATACAGTATCTCTCTAGCGTGGGGAAGAGCTTGAGGAAATGACCTTGGCGTCTTGTTTTGCTATCAGTAGTACTGCTCTCTGGCAGCAGACCCCGCCCATGAATATGACGAACAAGGGCAGAGCTAGTGCCATGGCAAGGCTCTACCTGAAGATGACCTTGATGTCCATCGATCACGCCCCCAAGATAGATCCGCAGAGAAGGCCAAGGGCTCGGACCGGCTCTACTCTTGACAGCTGTTAGCGCCAGCAGGTACCAACCCAAGTGGAAATACCACNNAGGCTGCATGCAAACAACCATTGGCTCCAAGAAGNNAGTCGAGATAACAGCCACACGCGCATCTTTCCTTGGACATGAGCCCTTGGCGGATAGTGAACGAGCGGAATCCTCGATAGCTCATAGNGTTCCCTCCAGCCTCGCTTGATCGCTTACGTTGTAAGACGACAGCGCGTGCGTGCTCTTTGGAAGNATCCTGCCAGTCACTCCCGTCGCACAGCTTCTTCGGGTCGACTTGGGAGCTTGCAGCTAGCTCTTCCTGAGGCCAAGGCGATGGAGTGTATTTGCTGCAAACGTGCCACAGTGCTGGGAAGANGAGGCACAGTACACGGACGTCATGAAGCATTGATGCCGCNNTCGCTGCAGTTGTTCTGCAATCGCCGCATGCGATGGTGACAGCTTGNNAGCTTGCCTGCTGTGCTCAAACCAGAAGCGTGAATTGCACCANTTTGTGATGTGACGGGGCCTTGACCACCTGATGGCCTTGATAAACGTTNNAGTTCTTGCGCCATATGTTGAGGATNNGTTGTGGAGGATTAGATGATGANNGCGTCAAATTCGGCATACACAATATGCGCAATCGATGGCGTGGGGTTGCTCTCCAGCCTCATTGGCACTTGATTACGCAGGGCAAGCGAGGTACCGAACACGCCCCTCTCAGCAAGCATGCATCATGTCTGGGGGCTGAAGCTCCACTCGTCGCGGCGCCCAACGAGGCACTTGACGTCTCAGTCAGAGTGAAGGCTCTCGATCAGAGACAGGTGTTGTGTACGATTGCCTGTCCCCGAGACCCTTGATTCGGGGTCTACAGGGAGCAGGACCGGCAGGGGAACAACAACTCAAAGCTTCGAAGTTCGAACAAAACGAGTGAGCAGCAGTAAGCAAGGCAGTTACTACCGGTTTCAATGCACATCGCTTGGGGCGAGCTTCTTGCACCTGCATGCAGCAAAGACTTGAAACCAAAGCAACGTAAGAGCGGGCGGAGAAGTGATGCATAGCAGCTTGTGCACAACTATGCCATTGGCTCTCGTGAGCTGTCCTGATCAAGGTGGTTTCAGAGCTACTGGGATGGCCACAATCAAGGTGAGAAGTGGCAGGGGTGTGACGACGACGTCGTCGACGACGACCGACTAGGATGAGAGAAGAGGTGAAGCCTGGAGGCAACAGCCCAAGTGACAAAAAGCCAAACCCAACACTAGAAGATCTCTTCGGCTAGGCTGGCGCCGGCCGGAACCCGAAAGATGAGATCAACAAATACAAGACAATTGTTCACACTCTTCAGCAGGCAACGATTGAGGAACTAAATTTGATTGAACTGCTCATCATTCCAGTGCCGTTCATGCCTCGTGAGCAGTGAGCAGCTGGGCTTGAGGCCAACCGTCCCCAAGCGGAATGTTGCTTCTATTCGCGCATGACAAGGCGCTCCGGATGATTTTCACGCTAAAAAACTCTGTCGAGCACGCCCCCGCGCCCATCCCTCGACAGGAGCCAAGACAAGGATACATGAAAACATACGGAGCGAAACGGACATCACGCAAGCACAAAGACGTTTTGCCGATCGCGGCCGTACGGTCATGACTGCAAGAATTCTGCTGCGACGTCGCTGTGGTGACTGTGCTCTGGACTGGTGACAGACTGCCGTGAGGCCGAGGAGGAGGATGATTTGTGAAAGCCGTATGGTTCAATAGTGAACGAACGAACAGGTTCAAGGACAGGTAAACGTTGTTCATCCTACCCGAACAACGAATCCTGCCNNAGATTCTCCGNNCTGTCCGAAACCCCCACGCAGAAGGTTTCGGGGTGGCTTTCCACTGNNGGCGCATGCAGGTGAGGGTCGAGAGCGCAAGAGCGGGAAAGGCCAGCAGGGTGCATGCACAACAGCCCCATACGCCAATGTATCTGCTGATCATGGCGTGGGCACGCCNAGTGGTGTGCCTGAAGATGTTATATGTTGCCANTGCCCGCCCTCTTTTGTTCGCTACTATATCATCAACCCCCAAGGCGACCACCTTCTCCCATCTTTCCAGCACTTTCTGTCGCAATCGCACATTATCGAAACATTCTGTGACAAGCTTTGACCCCGCCTACCAACTTCTTGCATCTTCGGTCCCTCCGGTCTGAGTCACATCACACCTCTTACTCACGCCATAAGGTCCGGGCGTTTTTATATGATTCATTTCCCACATTGCTCATAACCATCAACGTCCTACCTTGATAATCTCTGCCATACATAAGAAGGAAACATCTCTTCCACCTTGGTCATTCCATCAAGACATCAACACATCTCACCACTCAACACAAACACCTACCATGGACTGCTTCCTCGACTTCTGCCTTGCTTGTGACAAGCAAACCAGCGAAGGCCTCTACTGCTCTCAAGCTTGCCGCTTGGCCGACCTCGAGAAGGCTGGCTCATCAACACCTTCATCACCCTTCTCGCCTGTTATGGAGTCAAGCTCTTCCTCGTACTTCCCTTCCGGCTCGAGTGGCTTCCAGCTCCCCGAGGCTTTCAGCTTTAAGCCTGCCAGCACTTCAACCTTCACCGAATCATCATCACCTCGCCGTGCCTTGTCACCATCATCATCACGAAGCTCGTTGTCGTCCTCGGCAGGCAGCCAAACCGGCACCATCATCTCAGAGCAAGCACGCACAGAGCTCCAGACCTACGTCAGCGCCTTTGACCAGACGCGCGAGATGAAGAGGCGTTCATTGAGCAGCCACTGATGTTTTTTCTCACAACGGCTAGAGCATTGACACTGGCCATCCATCATGACGCTTTTACGAACACCACACTCTCATCTCGACCACAACCACCCTTCAACACCTCTCTCTGTACGACTCAACGACTCATCTCTCGGCATTTCGCACATTGTATCTGCCTTTCTTCTACTTTACACAGCGACCAACCATTTTCGGATTTCCATCTTCCTCGCATCTGTTGTACTACAAAAAGTCAAAACACATTTCGGACTATAAAGGCGCATTCATGAAAATCTTACTTTGCATTGGCGGAAAGGAAAGGAAATGGGAACTTGTAGGAAAAAGGGATCACAGAATGCATTCGCTTGTCATCGAACCACTTTCTCATTTCATTATATCGGTTGCATATTTCATTCAAAAGAGGATACCCATTGCTTTTCTATTTACTCATAACAAAATCATCAAAGGATGGCGGACATTGTTTTCTTCTCATCTCTTCATCAATTACTATCTTTTTCATCGTACATGTTTGGAACAACAACACTGCCAGTGCAGAATTTTCATCAACATTCATCAAAGCATTTTTCTTCCTCTTCCAATCTCCAACAAGCTCGTTTCTCCTGTGCACGTTTTCTTCGGTTGCTCGCCCTACCTTGCACAGCCTGGACGTTTTGTTGGTCCCTGATTTCTGTGGAGCCGCCTCTCCCTCCCCATCGAACCAACAAACCCCGCACGTGTACAAAAGTACCAAAGTGTTTCTGTACCTCTCTTACCCAGCCTATCAGCACATCAGCATCTGCCGCGCAAGGAACAGCAGTTCCCACTTCTTTTTGGCCTTTGATGCCAATTTCTTCAAATGTTTCACCCGCGCTTTGCGAGTGACAACACAGCAGCGAGAAAGAAGTTACGTACAGAGGCTGTCACTACCGCTGCCAGTGACAACACCATTGGAATCCCTTCCACTTGGCTATTCTCCGCAAAGCCTAGAAGAGAAAAAGAGCTTTTTTGCATTTCTGGCCAAGCGCCACCCACGAACGAGGCGTTTTGTGCGATAAAACAAAAGGCTTCCGCCACACGCAGAAAGGCAACATATTTGAAGCCGCTGCATTCGGCGAGGAAAACCGATTTCCATGAGTCGCGTAATACACGGTGACACTCTCCGCGCTTTTTCGTTTGTGGAGAGAGAGACAGAGCGGCCAACTCCTGGTTTTTTTGTCAAGCAAAAGTCAATTCTCCCTTTGCGAGGTCGAGCATCGGCGACTCCGTGACGGGTAAAGAGTCATTCGGGCCGTAGGGGAAGACAGCCACGGGCACGGTGGGCCCCCGACAAAATCACCGTCTCTGGGTGCTGGTGTTACAGTATACGGCAGCGGTACCGTGTGCCGGTCTGGGTCTTGTCCTGGGGTTGGAGAGTGAGGAAGAGCTACAACTGTGGAGCTTTTCGGATCTTTGCCTAAAAGAATCTCTGCTTGATTCATACCAACCTGCAGTCAAAGCTTTCTCCTTGGGTGTAACGACTTTGCTTGGTGCTTGAGCTGCCCTCCATGTCGGTAGACGGACCCGGCCGGCGGCATGTCTGTTGAGGTGATGGCAGGATTTTCACGTCCACGCCGTGACTTCTCTGATTGGTCTGCTTGCTCTGCTGCCGCTACAAGCGCTGGTGTTGAGAACGGGGTTTGGCGAACCCCACAGCGAAGAGAGCGTCTAGCTAGCACCCTAGTTTGCCGTTGCTCGAAGCACAGAGCTTTCTGCTACGTACCTATATCAAGGTATGGGACGTGGGGGCTTTTGGTGAACAACTGCAGCCAATGAGCGTACCTTGGCCTAACACTCGCTGCAAAGAGAGAGAATGGGCTTCCCAGCAGTAATTGCGACTCCTTTACTCTCTTCCTCCATTACTGCAAGGACAACACCTACATCGCGAGACTAACAGCAAGCGAACACAACTAGCGGTAATTTTAACTCTTCGAGTCACAGAAGAGGTTCAAAAAGCCATTGATCAGCCCTCGGAGCCCGGAGACACTTACGAACTCTCTTCAACACACAATGTCTTATCTCCCGCAACCCGCAAAAAGCAAAGACAGCTTTGACTTTGGCTCTAGCAAGAGCAGCTTCCCCTTTGCACAAGATTATTGCCTCCTTGCACAAACATCACTGAATCGCTGCGCAAAACCCTTGGCCAAAGCTCTTTGCTGCGTTGCACATCTCGTTCACCAAGATCTCCGAGACCCCACGGGAGAGAGACAAACGCAGAGGCAGACGATCCGGATCAGCCTTGCGAATTGGCAATCTTATCTTAGACTCTTCGAGACACATCATTTTGTGGAACTGCAAGATGATGGAAGCAAAAGAAGATCAAATGAAGAAGCGGTGACAGAGAAGAAGGCTAATGAAATGATAGGGTCATGTGTCTGAGTAGAGCCTCTCCCCTGCCAATTTGCCTCTTCACACAGCAAAATGCACACGGCTCGCTTGAAAGGTCGAATAAAGACGTCGTCACCGCAATTATAGGGAGATATAGGGAATGTAAAGTAACAAGCGTGAGTCACGAGTGTCGTAATTCTTTTCTGTTTCGAACGACTCCTTTCACTCTTTGCTCACCTTCTTATTTTTCCCATGACGGTGGCCTCCGACAATAACCCCGGAATATACGATCACCATAAAGATTTGAAGAACAGAGACGATCGAATGTCGCAACTGTCTAACCTTCTCTTTTACAGGGTCTTCCTCCATCTAGATCTTTGTACCTCTTTCCTATGCAAGGAATCCACGCGTATACCTGCCCCCATCGCCAACGCACATATGGAAATCTTGGTCCACGAAGAAATCACTATGTGTAGGTTTGTCCCAGATTGTGGCAGGGTTGGGCCCAACGTCAGGAAGCAAAGTAGATGAGTCAACCTCCAGTCTTTCACGCCTCTGTCTGCCGTCTGCCGTGGGCCGACCAGCGTCTGTAGCGCTCAACGGGTAGAGAGCAAGCCACCCAAAGGTCTTAACAGCGGGTACTCGAAGTCATTGAGGATAACAGCTGCAGGCCATACTCACGATTCGGTAATGATTCGTACTTCGGGGTATTATGATTCAACACTCTCGGGGACAGCGAAGAGGCTTGCCATTTGAGATCGGTTGACGTTTTGTGGAGGTCTGGGGCTTTTGACGATGGTATGAGTGTCTCGATGTCGTTTCGTCGTGCGCAAATGTCAAAGGCTCTCCATCGTCTTCGTCTTGCTCCAGGGCTAGACGAGGGCATACAGATCTTTGGCTGGAATGTGTTAGTGGACAGGTAGATGCGCCACAAAAGGCAAGTGATACGTTCTTATATCTTCCAACGGACTTTTCCTCCTCTTCGTTATCTCAATCCACGACCCCTGTCTTTAATGACCGACGGCATCTCGTAAGAAACCCCTTCAAAGTCACAGACCCTGCAAACTTCGAGCGACAGCGTATCCCGGATCGTAGACTAGAAAGCGGTATGCGTGAGTGTCCTGTCACAGTACCTCAGAGAGCGCAGAGCCGTCGCACAGTTGTTAGTTACTGGGATCGCGCAGAACTGCCGTTTATGCCCTGTCAACTAACCATACACTTGAGGGCCAGAGTCACTTGCACTGTCCGTTCCGAACAAGCGCGTGCATGGCACTCTGTCTGCCTTCCGTTGAGCATAGCCAATGAATCACCGAACCACAGGCCTTTTACGAATTCGCACCTAGTCTCGAGCACAACTTACTCTCTTGCGCGTGACAATAACCACAAGTGCGCGCTCTCTCGTTCTCTCTTCCGGGCCACTGTCACCCGGAGTGTGGACTGGCATCTCGAACTCGTTATTCCTACGCCAACGATCTCGACATTGTTCGAAAAGTGGTGGACTTGACCCGCCAGTCCTGCGGTATCATGCTGCGAACTATGATGCCAGGGTGCTACCTTCACCAACTTTTTCTCGTCTTGATTTTTTTTTTGTCCTCTCAACTTTATATCTTTCCATTCTCTTCATCTTCCTGGTTTTTGTGATCAACGACAACGACATGTTTGGCACATACCCTGTGCCTGATCCTATATGGTGAACGATAAGCTCAGATGAAGGGACCGCATAGTTTTTCGAGGTGATGAATTATAATCGCATTCCACTATTCCTTTTCTGTATGAATATCTTAACATTGTTGGCGTATGCTATGCATCCACACAGTCACAATTCACAAGCCTTCAGCACAAGGAGATGATATTCTCAGAATTGAGTTCATGATGTAAAGCCGCAACTAACTCATCCAAGCAACACCCCCTCAACTTTGAGTCGTCCTTAGGGGATCACACCATCTGTTGAGCGAAAGACTAAGAGTCGTTTGAAAAAGGTATGGTTCCTCAACACTGCTTCTGTGTTTTCTGTTCTTCGTTTGTTCCTTTCATCTGGCAATATTCGTGCCGTCCAGACACTAAATTCATCGTCCATCATGCTTGTCCATCATCTCCTTCTCTACCTTGTTCCCTTCGCTACTACCATGCATGGCCATGCTATCTCCACAAGGGCCAAGAATCCCACGAGAGTTGATCTCTCGACGTCGATTCTCAACTCGAGGGTCCCGGAGCATGCTCTTGCTGTGAGCAATCTCAAAGCCGTAAAGAAGGAGATCGATGCACCAACCACTCCATGCAGTCAATCAGACGCAAGTGCAAGCTCCACCTCAAGCACCTCTTCCTGCGGTCAATCCGACCCTTGTGCCACCGGCGTCACTACAGAAACAGAAACCCACCTCGCAACCATGACAATCCAGACCACAGAAATGCAGACTGCATACATCACCGACCACAAAACAACCACCCAACACACTTTGCAAATGGTCATCAAGACAGTCAAAGAAGCAGGAACCACCACAGTGACTTCGACAGAAGTGGGTTGTAGCACAGTGATAACGACAACAACGAGTATGTCGCTCACGACGACGATAAACTGGCATACTGCGCCCAAACCTTCTTCTGAGCCTCCACTTCCACCTCCACCTCCATCATCGGATTGTGGAAGTGCTAGTTGTACCGTCACAACCACCAAAGTCACCGATATCGATATGCCCACCACCGCCGTCAAATACGCCAAAATCTCCGGTCAGGATATTGTCCAAGCGGTCCCCGAGCGAGAGATGAACAAGATCTTCGAAAAAGACCACAAGAAAGGAATCGCAGGACGAGATCTCCAAGCAAGTGCTGCAGTCACATCCTCTGCCAAACTCATTGCTCGTCAAAGTCAAGGTCCTGATGGCGAGTACTCGCCAATTACCAAGATCACCAAAGGCCAGACTTTGCAGGTGATCGCTGGGGAGCTCCGTGGCATGTCACGTTTATTACCATTGGTGAGAGGGCTATTAAGACTACTTTGGCAACCAAGACTGTAGATTAGAGTTTCCAAGCAAAGGAAGTATAGTACATAGCTTTTGAAAAGTATGCGCTTAATTTTTGTAGAACGGCTGCTTTCACGCTTTAATGCCATCTTTTACTACCTTTTGTTACTTTAGTTGTCCTTGTTATTGGGTTTATTGTTTCTATGTTTTCATTGGGCTTTTTATCTTCAAGCTTGTTGATTTTTGGATTGTGACATGAAAGCTCGTGATCAGGGTTTCCGAGCGACGGAAGTGTGATTAATGTAGCTTCCAAGGTTCGCGCCAAGTATTTCGGTTCTTTCCTTGTTGTTCGTTCCCCATCGTGCCACGATTTCTTCTTCTACGAGCCGGGGCTGCTCAGTCTCTATACAAATTCCCGGTGGGAGGGATCCTCGATCTCGTCGAGGGGTTTCCTGCTATACCTGATTCTTTGGCATGATGGCCGCACCTATAGTGCGAAGACGGAGCCTTGGAGATTGTATAGGAATGCTGTATCGATTCATGCGTATAGTCTAACATCAAAACTACGTCTGGCGTGTCATTCAAGTCGAAGATATGTAAGTTTGCACAAATACACCGGTAGAGATCTCATGTAGCCAACAGACACGGCCCCATCCAGCTCTTTCAGATCAGACAACTAACACGTTTCTCCCATTACTGGGTGAGCTGCTGCAAGATAACATCGGCCGCCTTCTCGGCAATCATGTATGTAGAGACGGCAGTGAAAGTACCGGGAATCTTGGGGAAAACGGAAGCATCGACGACACGCAGACCGGCAGTGCCGCGGACCCTGAAGCTCGAATCAAGAACAGCCATCTCGTCATCATCGGCGCCAATGGGGCACGACGATGAGGCGTGGTGACCCCATGCAGTGTCCTTTGCGTACTGAGAGATGCCTTCCCTGGTAGTGACATCCTTGCCAGGGAGGACCTCATCGATCTCGACGAGCTGACGCTTGAACGAGTCACGAGCGAGGTCGACGGCCTCGTTGAGGGCAGTGAGATCCTTCTCGTAGTCACCGACGCCAGTGTCAAAGTAGTTGTAGACAATCTCGGGGGTGTCGAGAGGGTCTGCAGAGCGGAGCTTGATGGTTCCTGCATTGTTGCGAGGATGGGCCTTGAGGATTGCCCAGGTGAACCAGTCGTGCTCGGCGGTAGCGTTGACACTGTAACCAGGGAAGTAACCACGGAAGTTGACGGGGCCGCCGAAAACGAAGACGTCAAACTCGTTCTGCTCGGCGACGCTGGACTTATAGAACATGGCGGCGCCGAGACCGGGCGAAGAGTAGATGCCACGGTCCCCGAGAATAGGCTTATTGTAGCGATCCAGGCACTTGTCCTGGGCGCTGCCGTCGAANNAAGTACAGCCATTGAGTGCGGAGAAATTGGAGGGAGCTTTGCCCTGGACGTTGATCTCATAGTGGTCTTGGAGGTTGGTGCCGACACCGGGGAGGTCGACGATGACGGGAATGTCAAACTGCTTGAGCTCGTCGGCCGGTCCCACACCTGAGAGCTTCAGGAGCTGGGGAGAGTTGTAGGTTCCACCGGAGATGATGACCTCGCGAGACGCAGTTGCAGATCCAGCGGTACCAGCATTGCCGGAATTTTTAGGACTCGCCTTGTAGAGATAAGCACCGTCAAGAAACTCGACACCGGTAGCGCGAGGAGGTGTAGACTGGTCGAAGGTGATCTTGGTAACATGGCAGTTGGTCCTGACGTNCTGGGCTCCGCGTTAGATTGGATATTCTCTAAGAAAAAAAAAGTATTACACGGGAAACTCACCAAGAGGGAAAGCCTTTGAGCCATCGGCGGTCTTGGCATCACGGACAGCGACAACAAATTCTCTGGAGCCACCGCGCTTGCCATCAGCGGTCGACAAGGGAATCTGGAAGATGGAGGGCTGGCTATCACGTGTGGCAGAGGCCGAGTTGGCATCGCCAGCGACAAGGGAGGCGAGGTTAAGAATAGCATTGGTCTGGTTACCGAGTGCAAAGGTAGCGCCGGTCACAAGACTGAGAAGCTTAGGGTCAGTGAGGACGATATCGATGGGGGCGTAAGAGGTTCCGAGCCAGCCCTCGTAGCCATGGCCCTTCTGGCCAGGGAGCAAGTAGTGGTTGTCTTCAAGCTTGACAAAGTACTTGCGCATGTTATCGGCAGACCATGATGCATCGCCGGTGATGGTAGCAATGTTATCAAAGTCTATGAAATGTGTCAGTGAGAATCCCACACTTGGCTGAACAAGCTACGCACCCGAGCGATGAGGATAGACAGCGATCAAGGCATTGTGTGCTGTGCAGCCTCCGAGAGTACCAGTACGAGGATACAGAGTACCCTTCATCTCGGACCCTGCCGGAGGGTCAAGACCAGTGTAGAGACCGCCATCAGGGGTTTGGTAAGAGGTCTTGAAATCCCGAGCTTGACGCTCCTCATCAGCGTAGTGCTTGACAAAGAAGTTCCATGCCAGATTGGGGTCCTCTGAGACCTTGGCATTGTAGGAAGGAACAGTGTAGTTGACATTGGCGCCCTGATCGTCTCCAGCTTCGATGAGCAGTGTCTTGTGGCCAGCAAGAGCAAGACGAGCGGCAAGGGGACTGTGAGATGATTAGATATGACACAAGTAAGTTCATGTGGTTTAAGTACCNNCTCCACCAGCACCAGATCCGACAACGACATATTCGTAGCCAGTAAGATCAACAGCAGTAGCGAAGGAAGCCAAAGCTGCAAGAGAGCCGATTACCTGCTGGAAACGCATTGTGATAAGAGAATGCTGGTTTGAGAGATTAGCATTCAGGCGAGAGAATGGCGTGAAGGATTACTTACTGGAAGTTGTGATGAACGACTGGACAGAGGCTATCTGTAGGCCTGCTTGAGGAAGACATGGTAGACTTGCAGGACGACGCTCCTTATACTTAGTCAAGCTTCCCCTTTGACGGCTCAGGCTTGATATGAGTGTCTCTGGATTGCACAAGTGCTGACCGGTCGAGGACTACTAGTTGCAGATCAATTCATATAATAGGTCGTAGGTGGTACGGCGTGGTCCTCTCTTTGGCCATGCGATGCTCGTTTTCATTTATTAACTGTGGCCGAGGCACCATTAAGTTGAGCAGTTTCTCGCTAGCTTCAATCACATTCCCACAACAGCAAGTGGCCGACGTCTGAATGTAGCATCGATTCTCGACTTGTCACAGCCAAGACACACAAACTCGACCCTATAATTTTCTGTAAGCCCCAAGACGCGCTGCTCGAGTTCTGAGATGTTGAGAATTGGTGATACGCTCAAGCTTGGGCCACGAGCTCTGAGAGTGTCTGGGGCTTTAGCGAGGGGTTTGATTTGTTTGCCCACGGTGACCAAATTTGCCTCTCGGAGTGGCTCGATGTGGGAAGACTGGCAAGGACATGCCTGAACATTTAATCTCCGAGGCCTTCGCTTCGACAGCAGACTCTTATTGACCATTTGATATAATATGCGTATATTGTAGGGATGGTCGATCGCGGTACTTCCCTGGACCCTCATGAAGCGACTTCTTGTCTCCACTTTGGCCAAGCCGAGACCGTTCCCAATGTTGATATTCAAGTTGAGTGTTCAAGTCGAGTTTGAGCTGCTGTCAAGTCATTGTCAATACCCGGATAACAGCATTCTGTGGGGTAAAAATGAGGCTCTGCCGCGATAACAGGCAGTGACGTATGGGCGAGCGGGCTCCTGCCGCAAGTGTCGCTTTCGTTCCTGGCCATCACTGGGCGATCTCACCATCAGTGATGCAAGTGTTTTGTTTTTTTGGTATCCCTGGCTGTGCTCGCGTGTCCTTGACGAGACGTCTGCTCCCCTTCTCTCACCAATCCATCACACATTCATCAGCATCATGTCTGGAGTGAAAGAGAACTTTGTCATTCCCTTCACGGGAGCGCTACAAGCCTCGCTTGCGGTGCTGTTGACCATCTTTTATGGTGTCATTGCAGCTCAATTCAATCTGCTGACTGAGAAGTCGGCGAAGGATATCTCCAAGGCTTGTGTCAGGCTGTTCCTGCCTGCTTTATTGATTGTCAATGTTGGACAGCAGTTGAGTCTCGAATCTGTAAGTGGCAGCTCTGCGAGGAGAAGGGAGAGGGAGAGAGAAGAGCTGACATGAGGGCGACAGGGAACAAAGTATCTGGCCGTCTTCATCTGGGCCATCATCTACAATGTGCTTAGCATGGTGTTTGGTCTTGCAGTGTGAGTCTCGTCGACCATTTTGAACTTTGTCGTGGACAGAGTTCCGCGGAGGTTTAAAGACAGGTTGAGCCTCCGCATGCTAGACACCTCTTGCTAACACAGTCTTGTGCAGNNGACCAAGTTCCTGAATCTGCCTCAATGGGTCACTCCTGCCCTCGCCTTCAACAATACTACCTCCCTCCCTCTTCTTCTCGTTCAGTCACTGCAATCAACCGGCATCCTCGACTCTCTCGATGCATCCAGCGATACCATCGACCGTGCCAAGTCATACTTCCTCGTCAATGCCATGGTCTCGAATTCCTTGACCTTCGCCCTCGGACCTCGCTTGTTGAACGGACAAGACGAAGATTCGCCAGACGAAGAGCCCGGGAAAGAAGAAGATGACACAGAAGAAGCCGAACGAGGCTCAATCCACGAACACCAAGAAGAGAATGAGCAAACCTCTCTTCTCCCCAACCGTGCTGTACGTCCCGGCGTCAAGGCCATCTACCACACTCACAAGCGCTTGAGTAACTACTACAACTCGCTCTCTCCCCGCACACAAGCTACACTCGACTTCCTCTACCAATTCTGGAACCCACCTCTCATCGGCGCCGTTATTGGTGCAATCGTCGGCTTGGTGCCCGCCTTGCACACCCTCTTCTTCAGCTCCCCCAACGAAGGCGGCTACCTCAACGCCTGGCTAACCTCCTCCATCAAAAATATCGGCGACCTCTTCGCATCCCTCCAAGTCGTTGTCGTCGGCGTAAAGCTCTCGCAAGCCATGCTGCGCTACAAGAAAGGAGAGCAGAGTGGAAATGTGCCTTGGAAACCTTTTACCATCATTACTGTCGTTCGCTTTGTCATCTGGCCATTGATCAGTATTCCCTTGGTCTGGGTCTTGGCCAGCAAGACTAGCGTTCTCTCTGACGACCCGATTTTGTGGTTTGCCATGATGTTGATGCCTACTGGTCCGCCCGCCATGAAGTTGACTGCGCTTGCCGATGTTAGTGGTGCTGGTGATGAGGAAAAGATGAGTATTGCAAAGTTCTTGACTGTAAGTGCAACATCCTCCTTTGCCCCTACTAGTTCATTTTGTGCTATACGAGCTATGACTGACTTTGTGTAATTCAGNATCTCATATGCCATCTCGCCATTAATTTGTTTCTCAGTCGTTGGTGCATTGAAGGCTAGTCAGGCTATCGCTAGTAGCTAGACTCGTCCAGATATCTCGGAGATGGTATCCACTCGATCTTTTTTTTTTTGTTTTTCACACAAATGCTTCTGATAGAAGACTTGCAACAAATGCTTCTTCTCGAACTTACTCTTCTCTTCATCTTTCTTGTAATTAAAAACGGTTTGCTTTTCTTAGGCTACGATAGACCCACAGTATATATCAATCTGCCTTCCGTCTCTACTATCCAAAACCTCAGCCACGCGTACACAAACCTCGCTGTTCCCCACGAGTACCAACCTATCAAAATCATATACCCCTTTTTTTTTTGCTCACCTGACCTAAACCAGACTTTTGTCTCACACCACCAGAACTGTACAAAAACAACGAGTATAAATCCCGCCATTACTGCCACTTTTTTGAAATATCCGACATAAGAGTTTGTTCTTTTGATAAGAAGTCAATCTGTATATCTGGCACTTTTTTTTTCCGTTCAGAATTCACGCGTTACTATAGTCTTTCTTATAGGGCTTCTAAGGCTGGAGTGACTGTGTGGCAGATTAAAGCAGTAGCGGTGTCAATTGCTGTGTAAACTGTATCGCCAGTCTTTCCCTTTCCGCTTCTCTTTCTCCCAAACATCACAGATTTGCTCTTTGCGGATAAAGAAAACAGGTTACCGCCCTACCCAAGTACAATCTTCGGTATACTCATAAAAAGCGATCATTGCAATTTTCTTTCGACGGAGGGAAGAACGCATAAACAATATTGCGAAGGGGATTAGGATGTAGGTTTAGGCAGCACATGTGTTTAGAATATGAGGGAATCTTTATAACGGATGAGTAGATGTCAAGAGCCGCTTTACGTACTACCAAGTTTTCGTAAAAGCAAGATTTGCGAATGGAAAAGAATGGGAGGAGAGAGAAAAGGGGAAATTATATAGCTCCTGTCAGGAATATAGCATTGTCCTTTTTCTTTTTTTTTTTTTGGGGGGGGTCCCTAGAAACGGGTAGCCTGTTCACCGCAAATAGAAGCAAGATACATTGATAGGGGAGTATTGGTAGTTACGAGGGAGGTTTGACACAAAGAAGAGGCAAACAACGAAAAAAAGAAAAAAAAAGGGAGATTCGCGTTGTGCAGAGATGGATTATCTTTTTCATCGCTTCAATGGCACTTATCCTATCTTGCTTTGTATCTCATCTTTGCCTCTGTGTTGGTCGTTTCATGTACCGCTTTAATCTCCATCGTTTTCTGCTGTTGCCATACACATTAAACCCGATTCACCCTTTCTTATACTGCTATCCTCCAATCACACAAGCATTACCACCACCAAGCCTTCTACACCACAGCAGCAGCACTCGCGACAGTCTTCCTCCTCTCCTCTTTTTCCTTCTTCTTCGCAGCCCACTCCCTACTAGCTTGTCTCCCCTTTTCCGCAGCCTCATGCCTCGCCTTCTTAGCCGCTTCCTCTTTTTCTTTTTTTCTCTGCTGCTTCTTTTTCTTTTTCCTCTTTTGCTCTGCCGAAAACTTGTTTGCCTTTTGCTGAAGGGGTAATGCTTTGGCGCTTTGACACAGAGGTTGCGGGACGAGGGGGTAGTGTGGTGGTAGAGGAGGAAGGATGGAATGAGGATAGACGTTTTTGTGCGGCAGGGTCGCGGACACTGGTTGCCCTTCTGATGCCATTCGTTGCGTTTTCGTTCGAGGCAGAAGGTAGTCTTGCACGACTAGCGGCATTCTGTCTCACTTCTGCGGGTTTGGCCATCGATTTGGGGACTGGTCTTGCTTTGAAACTNNTGCTCTCTCTTTTCCTTTCTTTTCCTCGTCTTCTTTTGTTTGAGCAGGCGAGCTTCCTTTTGTGCTTTCATTTTTGCTGCAAAGACATCACTAGACAACTGGAATGTGGCTTTGGTGACTGGTTTTGTGCTCTTTTGAGTCGCGGGAGGAATGTAAGCGGCCTTGTGAGCATTTTCTTCCGCTGCACGTTTCTGTCGTTCTTCTTTTTCTTGCTTGAGTTTTGCTGCGATGGCTTCGCCAGGTAGCTGGAAGGTTGCTTTTGTGGGTGCCTTTGTTGATTTCTGGGTCACGGGGGTTTGTAGCTTTGTCGTTGAGAAGAAGCGCCAGATTCGGCTTGTCGTTGAAGACGGGCTTTCTTGTCGGCCTTGAGTTTGGCGGCGATGGCCTCGCCAGGGAGTTGGAAGGTCGATTGGGTGGGTGCCTTTGATGACTTTGGAGGCGGAGGAGGAGTGGGGAAGGACATGGACATGGGACGAGGTTTGGAGTGTGGGATGTGTGCGGGAGCAGCGGGGCGTTCGGTAGACTGTGAGGAGCCTGCTCGGGGAGCCATGCTGGGGCGGACAGAGGAGCGCTTGGTGGAGGTTGTGCGCTTGATGGCAGTGCTTGTCGATGGTTCGGGACGCGAGGGTGGAGCCATGGACTTGCGAATGACGGAAGACTGGCGACCTAGGGTCGATTGTCTTACTGAAGGCTTCCGTGCGGGCTTGGTGGTGTCAGTTGTGGCAGATGCAGACGAGGGTTTCTTTGCAGTCGAGGAAGCAAGATCCTTCTTCTCTCTGCCCTGGTTCGAGTCTTGTTTCTGCGACTGCTGAGAATCATCTTTGGCCTTGTCCGTTTGCTTTACAGGTTCCTTCTGCGCATCGGTGCTCTGGCTGGGCAGATGTGGCTGTTCTGCACCAGGCACAACTTCCCGCTCGCTGAACTTTTGCTTCTTCGGAGAGACGCTCAAGGCCTCGAAGTGATTGATGAGGCTATCGTCTTGTCCGTCCTCTGCTTGCGGCGTCTTTGGTTCTGTCTGCATTGCGTCTCCATTCTCTCCACGATCGTGATCCTCAGGCTGCTGCACAGGCTGGGCGCGTTCACCCTGATGCGATGTCTCTTGGCCAGGACCTAGAAACTCAACCTGAGTCTGCATCCTGTCCACAGGCCCTGTAACAGCGCCCTCAGCTGGCACCATATTTTCCTTGTTCGAAGTACTCCTCATGTGGGCAAACTCGTTCTTGATGATGTTCTTGGCTGGCGTGCGTTGAGGGGTAATGTTGAGCAGTGGCAGCTCGGTGGTAGGCGATCCAGCGTCCAGGTCCTTCTGAGGAGGTTGAAGGGTGTCGTCTTGGTGAATCGAGATGTGATTGGGCTTGTCGTTGTTGTCGCTCGAAATAATTGATGTAGCATTCGCTGTTGTAGCGAGGTTAGCGAGGGCTTCTTGGGAGTAGGTAGGGACAGGCTTCAACATACCTTGATGCTCGTCCTCTGCTGCCTTGTCTGCTTTGCCATTGGCTTCTTCATGTTCACTCTTCTCCTCCATGTCTGCCTCTTCCACCTGCTCTCCAAAAACCGCACCGTTTTCCTCCTCTTTGTTGGTGTTCAAGATGTTCGTCAATTCACTCAATACTTCGCGCCCCTGAGGTTCTCCAGTAGGCGTCGTAGATCCGTTCCTCTCGTTCTCGTTATCATGGTCGTTATTGTCGTTGGCAGCTCCAAGATCAGCACCATCCACATCAGCTTCAGCAGCCGCAAGCGCAGCCGCTTGAGCTCTAGTCATACGCATATTGGATCAATGCCGTCGATAAATCAGATGCCAATGAGAGATACAGACGCGATGCGATGCTGGAGAAGGAATGAATGTCTGGCGCGTAGGGAGATGAGAGAGAAGAGAGGCAGGTGTTACACAAAGGAACTGAGTGTTTCAGCTTGCGACAAGGAAGGACCCTGTTGTTGCTGTGCCGCAAGCGCCAATGTTTTTGTTGATGCGCAGGCCTTCCCCACAATCTCCATGCGTTTCATCCACCATGCGAACACCAGTTGATCTGGAATGACTCGTGCGTTGAAGAAGACATCTGTTGTAACTCTTGTGATTTGGAAAGAGAAAGAAGGGGTATCTAGACCATCATGCTACGTCTGCGTGCTCCGCTGCGGTCTACTCGTGCTGACCGAGGTGCCTTGCGAACAGTCTCTTGCACTTCCTCCTCCTGCTTCTCGTCTGCTGGCTGGCCTTCGTCTTGGAGCTCTGCGCCGAAGCTTGACCTTTCACTGCCATCTGTCATCGAAGAGTGCCGCCGGCTGTTTCTTTTCCTGCTTGTAGCACTCTCTTCCACATCCGACGAGTCTTTTAGCTCATGCACTCCTACATCTTCGCTTACTTCCTTCTCTTGCTTCTTGGATCCTGCCATCAAGGCTGATATGGCTCTGCCAGATGCTGAAGAAATCTTGTTCGCTTCAAATGTTCGTTCATGCTCTCTGTCAACTTTTTGATCCAGCGGACTCGGTGCTTCAGAGCCCATATCTCGTGTCAAAGATCCAGTCATGTCGTCTCCTTTGATAACGACAGTCCTCATAGTCTTCTTTTCCGACGTCGTAATGTTGCTGCTGATTCTTCGACCGTTTGCGTCTACGGCGTCTGCCTTTGCTGCTGTGGGTCGGCGCATCTTGCTCACCAGGTTCGGCTCTGCATAGTTCACCGCTGCTCTGGCTCGTCGCGAAGGCCTACTAGCGCCATTCAGAGCAGCTGGTCCCGAGCTCATCGATTTCAGTCCTGATGGTGGTGGTGTATCTCTTCCTTCGTCTCTTGCTGTCGAAGGCTCTGACGGTGTAGGCGAGAAGAATTCCGGTAGAGGTGTTTTGGGCGCCAGATCTTCGACTTCCTCGGAAGGTAAGTGTGATGGGAGCGCAATCTCGATTGTCCGCATGATTGTCTCTGGTTCAGTCTCTGCAATGGTCACTGATTTGGCGGATGGATTCTTCGACTTCCTGCGATCCGTCGTCTTCGTAGCAGGTTTGAGCGGAACATCTTCCTTCTTCAAGTCTCCTTTTCCTTTGACGCCTCTCGACAGTTTTCGTGGTGAAACGTTGACACTCTTGTTGCCCAGGACTTTGCGCTCAGGCAACAAAGCTGGCGTCTCGGTATCCTCCAGGATACTTGTCGGTTCCGTGACTGGCTCGGGGTTTGTAAAATCGGCGGCGATCGAGGATCTTCTGCCGAACTTGAAGTCGTCCTTCACGACACGCTTCTCAGCGTCATCCTCCACATCGCGCATACTGAGCTTTCTCTTAGCGCTCGTTCGTGTGAGTTGTGGCTGCTCGTCGTGGGCCAGATCTGGTGAGAGTAGCGAGCTCCTGCGTAGTTGTACTTTCGAGTCTTTGCGCTTTCGTCTCGTCTCCAGATTGACTGATAGGTTGGTGGGAAGAGATTCATGGTCGGAAGTGGCTTGTTCATCGCGTTCGGGATAATCGGGCTGGTCGGTGTCTGTAGAAAGAGGATCGAACTTCATAGGATCCTCATTGTTGAAGTGGACGATCAGAGGCGGACCAATGTCAGGGGAGGGGTTACTGTGATCAGAGAGGCGGATGATGTTATTGCGNNATTAATTCTGATACTGTCAGCTTGGGTAGAGTTTGGCAAGTTGTATCTGAACATACCGTAGAGAGCCGCCAGGAGAGGAAGCTTCTTCAGCGATGCCATCCATTCTCGGCGCTTGGCCAGACAGAATGGCAGTTGGAACGTCAGGGCGCCATGAGGAAGGGTCGACAAATTTGTCTTGTGGAAGCGAAGAGTGGGTAGTTTGTATCTGGCCAAGCTCCGAGACGAGGGCACCGAACTCGAGCAGCTTAGCTTGTAGTTGATCCTTGACCGAGATGAGGGCAGAGTTGTCTATGTGGGAGCGAGGTTCGGACAGTTGGGCCTGGAGGTGGACAATGTCTTCACGAAGGTCGAGGTTCTCGGCGAGCAGACGCGAGACTTCGCATTCGAGGGCACGGATTCGCAGACATTGCGCCGAGTTGTNTCCTAGAGACAAGACAGTTAGGCTTGGAGAGTTGAGTGAAGTTGTAGGTGCAGGCGCATACTTGGCGAGCTCGCGGTTTTGTCGTACAAAGCGGCGCTTTACTGGGAGTCGTCAGCATGGTCGACAGCAAGGTTAGAAAGTGAAAGACATACGAGCATCGACGCTCTCTGTCGGCAGAGGAGCTTCGTTGAGTCTGGCCATGAGGCAGGCGACAAGCTATATCGTGGACGGTATATGCTGAGTAGAAATTTGGTATGCGTCGAGGGTCTAAGCTGGCCGCCGTCGGGGCACTGACGCCGTGTTTGTTTGCGAGCCGTCGCCGTGGGCAACGCTGAGTCGCGCTTCCACGCCAAGTCCGTCTTTACGATTCAGACACTTTCAGGGCCGTCAACATTCAATCGACATACCGACTGTTTCTATTGACTTAAACACCAGTTCAGAGCAGCCATGTATCGACCCACGAGCAGCCTTCCGTCGCATCTGCGCCAATCGTCACTGTCGACCTCAAACTCGCAAACATCCGCCCTGCAGCAGCGCATCAACGAGAAACGTGCCGAGCTGGAGAACCTCAAACAACTGCGCGAACTCAGTGCTGGTCTTGCTGGTCAGATGGAGCAGCTGGAGGAGAAATTGTCCACTCTCTCTGATGGCACCCAGGGTGCGTCGAATCTTCAATGACTGAATACCAGAGCTGACCCTCACNNAGCCATCGCAACCGTCCTCTCCAACTGGCATACCGTGCTCAGAGCAATTCACATGGCTTCCGGTATGCAATCATCCTCGTCCATATACCTCAGTTCTTTTGCTGACCTTGATGCAGCCCACATTGCGAAGCCGAACCAAGAGACTGAATCCGAATCTGAACAACAACTTCCTCTGCCTCAGACCCTCGTCAGAATACCCATGCAGCACGTCGACCAGTCCGAGCCAGCTCAGTCTGAAAATGACGACGAATCGACTGTCAAATGAAAGCTTGTCAAGACATGACTCTCTTTGTTGTCCGTACACCCCAAGATGAGCGCCTCAACCACTCTCTTGTGTATGCTCCTGGCCTTTCCCCAAGGATACAAAAGAAATTTCCACACAACGACTACCTGGAGACAATCTTCGCCTTTCCGAAGCCAGGCCTTTGGAAAATATGTTGTTACCAAGTCCCGGGAGAAGATATGCACAAACATTCGCGATCAAGGAACGACGACTTCACTGGTCATTCATTCGGTCCTTTTTGGGAACCTTCCTTTTAGGAACTCTTTCATAGGCATTGGGACTGGGCTTGCGAGCCTTTTGCTTGCCCTTGCCGGAGCCGTGCGAGTGGGAAGGGTCGGCGTGATCATGGTCGCATGGACCGTCTGGGTGTTGGTGAGGCTGATTGCGACGGCGATTTGCAGGCTGAGCCCTGCTGGTATCGGGCTCACTGTCCGAGTCGGAGGAAGAAGACGAGGAAGAGTCTTCATCGGAGGATTCACCAGCCTCGCGTGGTTTGTGGTAGATGCAGCATACTGTTGTAGTGTGTCAGTGGACAAAGATACTTCTTTTGAGAGGAACTCACCTTTNTGAACTCTTCTTTCCCATGCCTTCATTGTCAATCACATCTTCGGCCCACTGAATGCGAGGACGGCGTTCGGACGGCTCGGCCTCGGCCCTGAGACGGAGAGTGGTAGGCCCCGCTTGCGAGGCGGTGAGGGTGAGACTGCCGTGCGTGTTGGACGCTATATTGGACTGGTTGGAAGACATGGTTCTGGATGCAAACTCAAGACGGCGGCATGAGTGGAGGGTATTGTTGTAGTAGGCTTGTAGCGTGGAGTTCTGAACAGGATGTTTGTCGACAAGCAGAAGAGGGACTTGAGTGTGACGTGCAGCGAACACAATGGAAAGGCGGAAGGAGCTATGCACAAAGAGCCTAGCAGTTGCCTTGTTGGGCCTAGCACGAAGGGTCTTCTAGAAACAAGAGGCGACGCCCAAAGTTCAAACAGCCAAGACCGAGAGAAGGCAGGAGCCAGCAAAGGCAAGAAGCAGCCGCAGCCGCAGCAGCAGCAAAGAGCGTTAGGCAAGCCCGACAGCATCGGAGAGCTCGACACCATCAACTTTGCACCACTTTCTGTCAACCACAACCCCACCAACTCTCACACTCCCCTTGCACAGCTGTGCGCTTACTGGGTTACCTCTCGCCAACACCTCACTTCCGCATCTTCACTCCAGACGCGTCTCTGCCACCGACCAGAGCGTCTTCTCTACACGCGCCGCCCCACCTCGTCCGGCCTCTACCAATCCGCTCATCCTCTGCCTCCTCTGGCAAGCGCATGCTAGAGTAGAGACAAGCTTCTCTCGCACCAGGCAGCGCGCCGTACCTCACTACACTCGCAACAACTACCGTCCCGCGACGAAGACTCCCCCACCATGGCTTCGTCAATACAGGAGCTGGACGCCACTGTCCAGGCCTTCTACACTGGCCACGGTGAACAGGTGCGCCATGGACATTCTGCATCTAGTAGTGGACAAGCTGACACCTTTCCANNACAGCATAAACAAGCCCAAGCTACCCTTAATCAGGTGAGTTGCAAGCTCTTACACTCACTCAACCTCTTCCCCGCTAATCCTCTGNNCCAGTTCAAGGAAAACCCCGACGCATGGCTCATGGTCGACAAGATCCTTCAAGACGCCCAATACCCTCAGACCAAGTGTACGCCATCTCCCAGATCCATCGCTCCTACCTCGTTTTACATGTACTGACCTACAACAGTCCTCGGTCTACAAGTCCTTGACAATGTGATCATGACGCGGTGGAAGGTCCTGCCCCGCGAGCAGTGCCAGGGCATCCGCAACTTTGTTGTCCAGTTCATCATCCAGATGTCGAGCACCGACGAGAGCCTGCGCAAGGAGAGAGCTCTGATCAACAAGCTCAACCTGGTCCTCGTCTCCATCCTCAAGCAGGAATGGCCCCACAACTGGCCCACCTTCATCAACGAGATTATCTCGTCCTGCCACAGCAGTCTACCTATCTGCGAGAACAACATGGCCATCCTGCGTCTTCTCTCGGAAGAAGTTTTCGACTTCTCGGCTGAACAAATGACCTCGACTAAGACGCGCCAACTCAAGCAGAGCATGTGTGACGAGTTCACCTCCATCTACAACTTGTGCAGTGAGATTCTGCGCACCGCCACACAACCCTCGCTGATCAAGGCTACTCTTGAGACCCTGCTGCGCTTCCTCAACTGGATTCCTCTCGGCTTCATCTTCGAGACACCACCTACCGGTGTCAGCTTGCTCGAGACTCTTCGCAGCCGTTTCCTTGAGGTCCCCGAGTTCCGCAATGTCACCCTCAAGTGCTTGACAGAAGTCGGCGGTCTGCAGACCGACCAGCAGTACAACGAGAAGCTCATCGCCATGTTCACCGACACCATGACTACCATTAGTACTGTCATTCCTCTGTCGCTCGACCTCAAGCAAACTTACGCTTCCAGCAACAGCCGTGACCAAGAATTCGTCCAGAATCTCGCCCTCTTCCTGACCAACTTCTTCTCTAATCACCTTAGCATCATCGAGAACCTGCCCAACCCTGACTTCTTGGTTCACGGCCACTTCTACCTCATTCGCATCAGTCAGATTGACGATCGCGAAATCTTCAAGATTTGTCTGGAATACTGGACCAAGCTGGTGTGCGATCTCTACGACGAAATGCAGCAACTCCCCATCACCGACCTCAACCCTCTGGTCAGCATGTCTATGAGCGGTCTCTCCAATGGTGGCGCCCCTCATCCTCAGACCATGGCTGGCTACCCTCTTCGTAAGAACAAGTACGGCGAAGTCTTGACAAACCTGCGTCAGGTCATGATCGAAAAGATGGTCCGTCCTGAGGAAGTCTTGATCGTCGAGAACGACGAAGGTGAGATCGTTCGCGAGTTCGTCAAGGAGAGTGACACAATTCAGCTCTACAAGACCACCAGAGAGTGTTTGGTCTTCCTTACTCACTTGGACGTTGTCGACACCGAGACCATTATGTCCGACAAGCTCTCGAAGCAGGTTGACGGTTCTGAATGGTCATGGGCAAACTGCAACACTCTTTGCTGGGCCATCGGTTCCATCTCGGGTGCCATGAACGAAGAGACCGAAAAGCGCTTCTTGGTTACCGTCATCAAGGACCTTCTCGGCTTGACAGAACAGAAGCGTGGCAAGGACAACAAGGCCGTCGTCGCGTCCAATATCATGTACATCGTCGGCCAGTACCCTCGCTTCCTCAAGGCTCACTGGAAGTTCCTCAAGACTGTCGTCAACAAGCTTTTCGAATTCATGCACGAGACCCACGAGGGTGTTCAAGACATGGCTTGCGATACCTTTATCAAGATTGCCAACAAGTGCAAGCGTCACTTCGTCTTGACTCAGCCTGGCGAGTCGGAGCCTTTCATCGATGAAATTGTGCGTAACATGCGCAAGATCACCTGTGATTTGTCTCCCCAGCAGGTCCACACCTTCTACGAGGCTTGCGGTTACATGATCAGCGCGCAGGGCCAGAAGGCCATGCAGGAGCGTTTGATCGGCGAGCTCATGGCTCTTCCTAACCAAGCTTGGGATGCTATCATTCAGTCTGCACACGTCGACCCTAACATCCTCCAAGATGCCGAGACCATCAAGGTCGTAGGCAACATCATGAAGACCAATGTCTCTGCCTGCTCTTCGGTCGGAAGCTACTTCTACCCTCAGATTGGCAAGATCTACCTCGACATGCTCACCATGTACCGCGCTAGCAGTCAGCTCATTGATGAAGCTGTGCAAAGAGATGGTATGCTTCGCTCGTATGTTTTTGTATAATCAGTATTAATCTCCACAGGTAACATTGCCACTAAGATGCCCAAGGTCCGCGGCCTTAGAACCATCAAGAAGGAAATCCTCAAGTTAATCAGCACATACGTTGACAAGGCTGATGACCTTGAGATGGTTCACGAGCGCCTTGTGCCCGACCTGTTGCAAGCTGTTCTTCTCGACTACCAGAACAACGTCCCTGATGCTCGCGAGGCTGAGGTCCTGAACGTCATGACTACCATCATCAAGAAGCTTCAAGTACGTTGGACCCCTAATCGTAGCAGACACTCGGTCGGCTTGATCGCCATTCCACTTTTCACGCATCACGCTAACATTTTCCAGGGCTTGATGACCAAGGACGTTCCCGGCATTCTCGGTGCTGTCTTCGAGTGCACTCTGGACATGATTAACAAGGACTTCTCCGAATACCCCGAGCATCGTGTCGAATTCTTCAAGCTTCTCCGCGAGATCAACTTGCGTTGTTTCCCTGCTCTTCTTCAGCTCGACCAGCGCCAGTTCAAGTTTGTCATCGACTCTTGCATGTGGGCCAGCAAGCACGACAACCGCCTGGTCGAGGGCGAAGGTCTCAACATGTGCTACGAGCTTGTCCAGAACATGTCAGAGACCGACGCCGAGATTAGCGGACCCTTCTTCCAGAACTTCTACACTACCATTCTCCAGGATGTCTTCTTCGTCTTGACTGACTCGGACCACAAGGCTGGCTTCAAGTACCAGTCTATGCTCCTCGCACAAATGTTCTACCTCGTCGGCTCTGGCAAGCTGAACTCGCCCATCTACACCTCCGACATGGCACCTGCGGGCACATCGAACAGAGAGTTCCTTCAAAACTTCGTTGGCAACCTTCTTGTCAACGCCTTCCCTAACCTCACACCCGCACAAATCCAGAAGTTCATCACCGACCTGTTCTCGCAAGCCGATGACATCAACCGCTTCAAGCTCACATTGCGCGACTTCTTGATTCAGCTCAAGGAGTTTGCTGGTGACAATGCCGAATTGTTCATCGAGGACCGTGAGAAGGCTGCCCAAGAGGCCAAGGTGCAAGAGAGAGAGCGCGCCATGAAAGTTGGCGGTCTACTCAAGCCCAGTGAGATCGATGATGACGAGCTGTGACTTGACCACGAGTTGGGCACCAGAACAGCTCACGATCCTAGGGACCCCGTCGTGCCGGTAGAAGCGAGACCCAACGTGGTTGGAGATGATGGCCTGGACGGCTGGCAGCTGTACGGCCTGTAGAGCTGTGCATCACCGTCGCGGCAACAGCACCTTACCGCATCGAAAGCCGGACGAATACCCTCGGGCATGAACAAAAAGGGCAAGGACCTAGTGCAAAGACATGAAAAAGGTACAAACTACGAAACATTTGGCAGTTCTGCGCAATGGCCTGGCGCAAGGTGTTTATGCTGGGGACACCAGCAGGGGCGGAGCGAGCAACGACCTCGCCATCTTGTTGTATACACAAGAGCCATTGGCGAAGGCAGGAGTCGGGAAATGTTTACATTTGCGTGTGTTGTTTCGTCTCTTCTTTTCGCTCACTCTGCTCCATCTTCACCAGATGGCGTGGGCAGATCTCTGACTGTCAGTCTTCTTTCCTCTCTTAGCGGGTCACAAGCATTAGATACTCCATGGTATAAAATTCATCACTGTAAACTGTTTTCCTCTGTCTCTTGTGTTACTCAAACCTTGTTGCATATCCACATGGTATGAATTGATGCCAATGGTGACCAAGGCCTTAGGCCCCCGCTGTGGAGACTGGTTCGAGGCCCCACAACCGCCCGCATTTCACCCTGGTCCACGTCGTTCGACGCGGTGGCTAGCTTCCTTCTCCTCAATATATCCTCGGGATGCTCGGTCTTCTTATTGCTGGGCTGGCTGGGCACTGTTTCGCGATTGGGTATCATCCATGCATACATCTTGTCTCATATTGTGCTTCCATTGTCAACCTCTGACACGAGGATCAAAGACATTCGTCTTGAAAAGAACACGAGAAGATGGGCATGAAATACGGTCTCCGGAGAGAACCGCGTTGGCCGAGCGACGTGTGGAGGAGGTCGGCATGCCGTGATTCCCTGACACTGCTCCACCTCAAAACACCTCAGACCCTACGCGCAGAGGTCGCGACCTGGTAAATGCTTCTTCCTCGTGGCATGGGGCACCGACGGGGTGGCAGAGATGTTTAGGCTATACCGGCCGACGTGGAAGCATGGCAGCGTGATCTACAAGGTAAGGTCGTATTGGTATAAAGGGCAAGCACCTGCCGCATGCATCTGGCAAGTGTACCCCTCATTTTTTCTTCCTCCAAACATGCGTTCCTCTCTATTTGCGGGACTGGTTGGTGTGTCTGCTGTTGGTGCTGTTAAGCCCTTGGTGGATGTGAGCTACTCCAAATACCAAGGTGTTTCGCTTGAGAATGGCATTACACAGTGGTTGGGTGTGCGGTATGCTGCCCCTCCGGTTGGCAATTTGAGATTCGCGGCGCCGGTTGATCCGGTCAAGAACAAGACTACCATTGTTGCTGATACTGTGAGTGCTCATGGGTGAAGATGCTATTGTCCTTGCTAACGATTTCATCTCATANNGTTCGGCAATATTTGTCTGGGTACTGGATCGGCACCTAGCAACACTTCATCTGAGGACTGTCTGTTCATGAACATCTACGCTCCTTCGAATGCCACTTCAGACCACCCACTTCCCGTCTACTTTTTCATCCAAGGCGGTGGCTTCAACACAAACTCGAACCCCAATTACAACGGCACCGGTCTGATTGAGGCAAGCAACCACAACATTGTCGTTGTAAACTTCAACTACCGCGTTGGTCCCTACGGCTTCCTTGCCTCTGATGAGATTGTCAAGGGAGGCAGCACCAACAACGGTCTCAAGGACCAAATCAAGGCTCTACAGTGGTTGCANAAGAACATTCGCAAGTTTGGCGGTGATCCCAATCATGTGGTTATCGGAGGCGCATCTGCAGGTGCTGCTTCCGTTACTCTTCTTCTTACTGCGCACAATGGTCGCAATGACAATCTCTTCCACGCCTCGGCTGCCGAATCTCAGTCTTTTGCTGCTGTTCGCAGTATCAATGAATCGCAATTCATGTACGATAACCTGGTCATCCGCACTGGTTGCACGACTTCCAAGGATACACTTGCTTGTTTGCGAAGTCTCAATGCCACTTACCTCCAGACCAAAAACATCAACACGCCTTTCCCTGGCGCTGAAGGTGCTCCGCTGTATATGTACGGCCCCACCCTCGACGGCGATGTCGTCAGCGATCTCACCATGGCCGCCTACCGCAAAGGCAACTTTATCAAGCTACCCGCCATCTACGGCGACGACACCAATGAAGGCACCGTCTTCGTCCCCGTCAACACTTCTTCCCTCGGCGAAAGCAACACCTTTCTCAAAAACCAATTTCCTCTACTCACCACCGACCAAATCCGCAATATCAATGCTTTGTATCCTAACAATGCTTCCAACACTTTCCCGAACTCGGGGGCTTGGTGGAGGCAAGCTAGTGATCAGTATGGAGAGCTACGGTATAACTGTCCTGGCATCAATATCTCTGATATTTATGCTGCAAATNNTCTCAACCGCAAGGATATTTATAACTATCATTGGGATGTCGTTGATCCTGTTTCTGCAGCTGCTGGTCGTGGAGTCACGCATACTGTGGAAATCAATGCGATCTGGGGACCTGAGAATGTCAGAGGTAATGCGCCTGCCTCTTACAGCACTGTTAATGCTGCTATTGTGCCAGTGACGCAGGCCTACTGGACTTCCTTCATCAGAAGCTTTAACCCCAATACGTATAGATTGAAGGGCAGTCCGACTTGGGAGGCTTGGACGCAGGGGCAGAAGCAGAGAATGCATTTTGTTACTAATGCTACGATGATGGAGAATGTAGATGAGGGGCAGAAGCAGAGGTGTGCTTATCTGAGCAGTATTGCGTTGGATATCAAGCAGTAGGGCTGGTTTTCTTGCCTTTGGACAGGATATGAGTATGCAGGTTATGAGATTTTATTGTCTTCTTTTGCATTTGTTTCCTTTCGTGGAGTCTTCCGGCGATGCTGTGTCAGAGATCTGTTCCATGGCTTATCTATAGACATCTAAAGTCTGATGTATGTGCCATTGAAAGCTCAGACGAGACTTTCGACTCACAGTGGCAGACCTGTCATATTTCTGTACGTCCAATATGCAATCATCTCACTAATGCTTGTATATCGAGTACATTCGAGCTTTCTATATCCTTATACATCTAGGATATCACTTCTTTCAAGAATCCTTATCTCTGCTTCTGCTACGAGAGTAGCTTTGGAACGAGGTCAGGGTGGTATCGTTAACATATAATTCTTGTCATTACACCTATGACAACAGACAAGGGTGGTTATATTGAGACTTTCAGTACTTTGTCATCTTTTTACAACTAGGTGCAGCTTGTTAGGGTTGGAACAGGAAGATTTCCAGGTTAAGAATGAGGTTTGGGAGATGGGTTCATAATGGCCAGGTGTGGAAAGTTTAGCGGCAACGGCATGACAAATTCACAGAGTATCGAACAAATCAAGCTTTTGGTCTACGTGATTGAGCGATAGAATGGCCTTAAGATCTGGCGATTTGCTATCAGTCTAAGCGCTGGATATGATCGAAGACCCATAGGAGGGGGTACCCTGATTCCGTCTGTATGTTCGGGTCAGCGCCGTTCTCTAACAGAACGCGCAAAGTTTCAAGTTGGTTAATCTGCGCTTTGAAAGCTTCCTCGATTGCACTCCGGCCACTGACAGAGCGGCGGTTGGGACCCGCACCGATATCAACAAGAAGCTTCATACGTTCAAGACGGTGAACCTCTTCATGAAAGATAACATTCAACAGAATGCTGTGAGGATCCCTCCGGAATATGTTCCCCGAGACGAGATTGATGATGTCGGTAAAGCCTAGTGATCTTGCTCTCTCTATGATTTCAGCTCGAGCTGCTCCAGAGCTTCCAACAGACGAGTTGTCACTGAATGTCTCTTCTAAGTTGCTCGTATCAAAATTGCGTTGCAGCAATGCGTCGTGTAACTGAAGCTTCTTCTGGCTGGATGTTTCGTCTGGGCTGCTTGAATCAAAGTCGCGTTGCCGCAAGGAGTCGTGTAACCGAAGTTTCTTCTCAAGGACTTCAAGCTTATGGCGGATGCAAGCTTTTGTCACCACTGCATATTCCTCAGCAGTTTGGTAGTAGTTCAACACTGTGGTTTATGACTCTAGCGCATTCTCGAATCGACCCGCCTTTCGATGGCAGTCACCGAGATCTTCAAGAAGGCGAACTGAAGCTTTGTCACTAGGCTATCTTGATCCCTGTTCTGACTTGTCGTGGTTGATGAGGTCCCCAGGATTTGCTGTGCTTCCGCGAAGTTGTGCATGGAAAGAAGTCGTGCACCTAGCCAGGCTGCAGATTGCCTCCAGAAGTGTGATACCAGTATGCTTTCTTCCAGGTGCAAAGTCGGTACGAGGTACTTGTGGTACTTGGCCACAATATTCTGGATGGGAAGATCCAGGGAACGTTGCATAATTGCCAGCGCGTCTGCTTCTCGAAACCCTCGGAGACTTTCACCAAGGTATAGGCTGAGAAGAGCACCACATGTTGTTGGTATGTATGATTGGCTCGACCTATAGCCCACTTCTGGATGGTGTTGTGTATTATGACTCCTAATATCTTGCCTTGCGAGTCGCAGCGTATAGTTAGCATGCAGGAATCTTCCAAAAGCCATATCGACTCCCAGAGCACCACAGGGTCGCTGGTTGCATTAGCTAGATCGGTAAAAATCTCGGGCAAGTCTTGAGGCCCTTGTATATCGTCTTTCCAACCGGCATGAGGTGACTTTGCTTTTGTGGTGTCTCCATATCCGAATGGGATCAGAGCATGTCGCGAGATCTCTCCAGGACCTAGAAACGCAAGCCATGTGACGATACTGATGGAGTGTGTATCTTCCCAGACCAATTGTGATGCTAGATGCTCCAAGATAGCATAAAGTGGTTCGTTTCTGCTATAAGCCCATTCGCCTATACCAGGTCTTTTTGACAAAAAAACAGAATGTATCTCAGCCTCAATGATGTCTGTGGAGTGGTGTTTAACTGTGGCAAGAGCGGATATCGCAACTCAAGTGTAGCTCAGCAAGAATTCTCTGCCTTCTTCTTGCGCCCCAATCTCTTCGCCATCTTCAACGCCCTTTTGCCAAAATTGCCCCCAGACACAACAAGCCACGGCGACTTCTTTTCCTCTTCGACTAGCACTGCTGCAATTTCTTCTACACTATACCCCAACTCAATCAACTCGCTCAACCATTCAAAGTCAAAAGCCAACTCAGAAGCCTTTTGGGCTAGTAGGTCTTGTACTAGACTTGTGTCTGAGTTGATGACTGCCTTCATCAAGGTGTCGTCTGAAGCTGTGAGGACAGTGTTTTGGAGTAGAGATGAGGAGCGCTGGTGTCGAGGTCGGGGGTCTGCTGAGTCGCGTCGGCGGGATGGGCTGGAGGCGTTGATGTGGTTTTTGTATGTGGTTTTTGGGCTTGGGCGGGGTGTATAACTATAGGGGTCTTCAAGCGGCTTGGGTTCAATTTGAAGAGGTTTTGTGTTATGATCTGGAAGCGCTACTGGGTCGTCTGCCCAGGATATGGCTTTCTTGTCTTTAGTTGTGGCGGTGTGCTTCGTCCATGTTTTCCAGGCTTCGTATGTTCTTGATGGGTACCTCTGACTATCTACTCTCGCCATTTGTGCTAGACTTTTGTCGTTGTGTGGATGATAGGGCGATTCGAAGTCGATGATGTCGGCAGCATAATCTGGTATCCTTCTGTCCTGGAATGGAAGCACAGATACAACACTCTCGAGAATGGCAGGGATGATAGGAAGCCGAGTCAATATACGGCCGAAAGGTGCATACAGGGACGTTTTCGAAGATTGATATACATCGCCGGAGCCAGTACTGGTAGCAGGTGACTGTATTGATGTCTTCAGGAAAGCGATCTGCCAATGTGTGTCCTGGAATACTGTTTGAGATGGGAATTGTTGGACAACAGATTGAAGAGCCCAGCACAGGACTGCATTGCTAAGTACATGGTTCGGCTCGATGACACCACTGAGTAGCCTCGGAGCAAGAAAGAGCCAGCCTCTCGGAAAAAATCGACAGCTCTGTCGTCCGATATCATAATGACATCCAGGAAACCAAGTTTCGTATATCTGAGGTGTAGTGTTGTGATCTGCTTTGGTTGCAAGACATGGTTGTAGTACTGGCAAACGATCGTGTATAGAGCAGGCATGCAAGACCTTCTCCACGACGCTTGGAACGATCTCATTTGGGAGTATTGGATTTGATGACATGGTCCCAGTGCTGATACAGCCATGGCTGACGCTGCCGACAGTGTCTAGTAAAACCATGATCTTGATGGGCGAGGCCACTTCCCAGCTAGCTCTCCTGCGAAAGTCTGCACTATGGTCCGAGGAAGGTCTGTCGTTCTCCCGAGGGGATGCATAAGTCTGATAGACAAGACCGCATAGTTCATCGGTTGGGCTCTTGACAATGCCACAGTTATCAATCATGCCGACTACGCAACGCAGAGCATAAGCTCCTCGACCTAGACCAAAGAGCCAGATCTCTGTCCTGTCCGTATAGTATCGCGCGATGTAACGATAGATCTCAAGACAAAGTTGTCCAATGTTGTCGGGCGATGCACCGAGGCCATATGTCAAGTAGTTGCAAGTTATCCCGTTGAAGTACTTGGCCCTCAGTCGCCGTGAGGTATCTTGAATTTCTCTTGAGCCTTTTCTAGCATCCATATCGATACCGGCCATCTCGGCCAGCAGCTGTATGTTAGTACGTGTGCCATGTTCGGGGCCACACCAAGTGCCGTCGCAGAACACAATGAGCTTCTCAGCCGAGGAAGAGGAAGGTGCTATAGCTCTAGAGTCCATTGATGATTCATTCAGGCATGCCTAAAGGTGAAAGTACGAAAGTGCAGCTAAAGATCGGCTACATGTTCGATTTACCTCTGGTCCGTCTCTTGGTCATTAAGGTGCATGCATGACGGCTTACCTCGTAACATGTGCGCGTAGCTTGCTGTAGTAGCACGATACACTGTTGGAAGGCAGCATTCGAGAACTTGAAGAATTCCGACCATTTCCAAGTGATAGATTGTTGGAACAGCTATTCAGCACCATCCTTCATGCATCGTTGTGTTCAATGTAGCTGTTCCTGGCTCGAGCAGAGGAGGAGGCTAGAGTGTGGAACTCTGGAAGGAAAGCGCAACCGGCCGAAGCAAGCTCGGCTGCACCTTCCCTCAGCTCTCCAAACGTCATTCTAGAAAGCTCCAAAAGTTGACCCGCATGCTCCAGCTTCGACGATCACAAACTGGACTTGTGTTTGCTCCTCCATTTCACATTCTTATTTCTCCATTACTAGCAGTCAAAGATGCCTGGAAAGTGTGTGCACAAGGGCTGCGGCAAGACTTTTGCCGACGACAATGAAGACTGTGTCTATCATCCTGGTCCAGTGAGCACATGCATTCGATCCAATGTGTCGAGTATAGCAAGCTAACCGCTATAACAGCCAGTCTTCCACGAAGGCCAGAAAGGATGGAAATGCTGCAAACCCCGCGTCCTGACCTTTGACGAATTCATGACCATCCCTCCCTGCACAACCGGCAAACACAGCACTGTAGACGACACAACCACCGAAGAACCCAAAACCGCTGCGGCCGATGCACCTACACTGGCATCCACATCTGCAACTCCCTCTGAACCAGCAGCACCAGCTCGCGCACCCACAGCACAAGCCCCACAACCACCTGCCTCGCCCGCGCCCCCAGAAGACGAAGACGACGACCCAAACACCCCCATCCCCGCCAACGCGACCTGCAAGCGCAAAGCCTGTGGCGCAACACACAAAGGCTCNCCCCGCAGCGACGACGAAAACTGTAGTCATCACCCCGGAGCTCCAATCTTCCACGAAGGCAGCAAAGGCTGGTCATGCTGCAAGCGCCGCGTTTTGGAGTTTGACGAGTTCCTACGTATCCCCGGCTGCAAGACTAAATCACGCCATCTGTTCGTAGGCGCAAAGAAAGACGACGGAGAGGAAAAGTTGGAGAGTGTGAGACATGACTTTTACCAGACACCTGACAAAGTGATGGCTTCGTTGTACCTGAAGAAGATCGACAAGGCAATCTCAAAGGTCGAGTTTCAGGACAAAGCCGTGGACTTGGATTTGAGGACGAGCGATCGTAAGAGGTTCCAGCAGGTCGTGCCGCTGTTTGGCGCCATTGACAAGGCAAAGAGCGAGTTCAGTATCATGGGCACAAAGCTAGAGTTGAGGCTCGTCAAGGCAGATGGTGCTTCTTGGCCAGTGTTGCGTGGAGACGAGAAGCACACTGGCGAGATTATCCAGATGGGCCGCGCAGGAAGAGCATAAGAACGTTCATTGGAGAGCATAAAAACATTCATTGGTATACTTGGAAGGTCAAAGCAGCAGTTCGATTGGGAGCAATGCAAAAGGCTCAGATTAGAGGATGCTGCAGACTGCAATGATATGCACCAGCAACTTTCAGCAATGCAAGAGTAAACACAAAAGAAAAAGCCTCCCTATCCTGGCGAACTCGACGACCGCATCCAAGGTAAAGCAAATGATGAGCGAGAAGAAAAAAAGAAAAAGAAACCTCAAGCTCGGCGCCTCTTCGCCTCCAACATCCGCGCAGGCCACTCAGCATACTGTTCAGCCGCAGAACTCTACTGCACGGTAGGAGCAGGAGCCTCAAACATATCGTCAATGCCATCCTTACTCTCATCACCCTCCTCACTATCCTCATCCTCCAGCTCCTCATCTTCCTCCTCAAACCCCGTCTCCAAACCTCCCTTTCTGAGTCTGTCCTTCATCTCCTCTCTCTTTTCTTCCTGCCATCTCATCAATGCAGCAGCAGCATGGACTCTAAAGCCATAGATGCGTGGTTCATAGCGTCTTTGGGTTTTGGNGGGCAACATGGCAGGGTACACCTGGAAGAGGATGTTGTGGAAGGAGGTGCCAAAGTAGGCGCCGTCGATGGCGTTGTGGCGCGAGGACTTGGGGTTGTAGATGTCTTCGCATTTGGCGCAGTAGAGTTTTACGGTCGAGGTGCCGGGGACGTCGTGGAGACCCATGGGCAAGAGGTGTTGTTGGTCGCAGATGACGCGGGGGCATTTGCCAAAGGTGCCGGACTTGTACTTGTCGAGCTTTTTTGCATGGAGTGTTAGTCGATGATGTTTTTCTTTTGCTCGTGAAGGACGCTCAGGTAGATTCGATAAGAAGAGAAGCAATGAAAAATTAATGCTTACCATCTTTGCGAGACCTCTAGTCGTCACAACGTAGCGCGCATGCACGAGACCGTAGAGATGTCTGGCGCTCTTTTCGATTTGCTCGCGCATGTCGTCGTCGACCTCCATGTCAAACACATCGGTCACGAGATCGAGCGCATACTGGTAGTATTGGACTTCCGTGTTAAGGCCAGTCAGGTTGAAGCGGTCGGTCAAGTAATCTTCGTCGATTTCGCAGTAGTACTCGTTGCCGCGAGACGAGACGAACTGTATTGCACACAAGTCAGTGTTCTGAGATCTTCTGATGAGAAAGTGATGCGAGAAGGATGGTGCAAGGAGAAGCGTCAAGACGATGTGTAGTGTGCAGCAGCCCTGCGCAACATGCGAAACAGCGACCTCCTCTTGGAGAGTCATGGCAAAGCATTGTGTTTTATCCTGACGCTCTCTGATATGCACATTGGTAGTAAACTCAAGGAGATGACGCGCCCTGTTGATCCAAGTCTTGTCGTAGGTCCACACGATGCCATCCCAGTTGTAAGTCATATTGATGTAAATCGTATGCAAGCTGGCAGTCGCACAAACTCTTGCAACCACAACATCGTTTTGGTTAGACGGCAATCCACGACTTTCCTGCAGTTCGTGAAAGCGCTGAGCGTCCAGCGCTCACGCCAGACTCACAGCTCGCCGCATATGATGGGGATCTCTCGTCGACCGGCCGATACCTCACTCTTTCGCGCAAAGTGACGGGAACGAAAGGAAAGCATGGTTACAACGAAAAGTCACTCACCCAATCCCGCCAATAACTGGTGTAGTCGCTGTCGGTCTCGCTGGCGAAGTTATCCATGGTTTCTTCAATTCTCTCCCCGACCGCGGCCGTAGAAAATCGTCAGGGTCCGGGGATTCCGGCGATCTGAGATTCTTTCTTGTTTATTTCGCAGTGTCGATTTTTCTTGTTAAAGCGCTTGTGAGATTGATGGTTAGCCGATGTTTGTGGTGATTGTTGCTGTAGATGCTGCAAAGCGTGCTTGATGTGTGTTGTTGTTTGGCTTTGGCTTCGAGGCTTTTCAGGAAAGAGATGAGAGTGGGTTGGGCGTTGCTTGAATTGGGGATTTGACCACGACCATCACTATAATTCTCTACTCAACAGGATTTTCCTGGTTGATTCATGGCACTGAATTTTATTAAGAGGGTTGCAGAACTAATCTGCGATATATGCTGAAGTTGAGCTACACGGTATTTACAAGAACTCATCCTTAAATCCGAAGTGAGACAGCACGAAAACAATTATTCTGCTTCGAACGATATGGTCATACGACAGCACCAAGTCACTGTACCGTAGGAGGATCATTATCCAAACACATACCCAGTGCTTGTGTATCGGTTCATATCATGCAACTTTTAGGCTAGGTATCTTATGCAGTCGTGTCGAAGATGATGGTTGCCCCAGACTCTAGAGAGACAGGTTCCACAAACCATCACCAAGGTAGTGGCCGTTCTCAAGACCAACACCCTTCTTCTTCTCCTTCATGTCCTTGGTGCTCATCTTCAAAACGCCAACCAGGCAAGCGCTCTCCTTGCCCTCGGCTTCAACAACGACAATGTCCCCTGCTTGCAACTCTTTTCCTCCATAGCCATCGTTGGCCTCCTTGTCATCCTCGCTGACCGAAGGATCGGGCAAGCGACCACCGGNGGATGTCAAGCCAGGTACCATGAGAGCAGCTCCTGAGAGAACGAAGCGGATAGCACCACGATCAATTCGTATCCTGTCAAAGCATTGAGGGTACTTGTGAACGAGAGAGAGGTGGGGTATCAGAGGGTCGTCCATGTGCTGCCAGAAAAGAGGAGTAGAACCAAGAACGTAAAGCGAGACGCGATCGGGTCTGTCAACTGAATGTCAGTTGATGTGGCTAGGGTGCTGGCGGCCTCGTGCTGGACAAGAAGCCTCTGTGGTTGAAGTATGAAATATTTGGCCCTGCTCTTTCTGGGAAGCAACGTACACTTTGACGAGATCGATCTGTTCCTTCTTTGGCATGATTTCGTCCATGTAAGGCTCGAGGCGGGGATAGGTCTCAATGGCCTTTGCGCGAATGGCACGCTGGGCCGACGACTTGACCTTGCTTTTGGCGCCGGGTGTCAAGCTGGTAGGAATCAGTCTCTGGATCGAGAAGCGCCGTGCATGACTTACTGACTCTTTCTTGAACATGGCGTGGATGTGTATGTGTATCTGGAAAGAACGATTGATTGTAATTCAGCAGGGTCGTCACCGACTCGCACTTGCTGCCCCACCACCGACTGCAACCCCGCGAAATGCCAAGGCGACTGCGCATTGTTGCCGCCTGCCTGTTTCGAACCTTCTGGGCCATTGAGTCGCGCTGTCCTGAATATTGTCCCTTCGTTCTCCGTCGTCGCTCCTTGTTCCTCAACAACCCATCAACATCATGTCCGACTCAAAGAAGAAGCTGGCTCTGGCCATCATTGACTTCCTCAACACCTCTCTCAAAGACGGTACCCTCCAGTCTGACGACTCCGAATCTATCGAGATCGCAACTTCATGCATCGCCGAAGCGTTCCATGTCGATCCTACCGACAAGACTGCCATGACCCAAGCTCTNGGGGGACAGAACCTGCTCAGCATCTACGGCGTGTACGAGAAGCTGAAGGGCAAGAGCACCGCCAGCACTGAGGGCGCCAGCAGCGCTAAGGAGGGCCGCCCTTCCACCCCTACCGCTTCCTCCAAGGGCGCCAACGAGAAGTCGAATGCTCCTACCGCCGATTCTGAGTCGCTCAAGGCCCAGGGTAACGCTGCCATGCAGAAGAAGGACTACGCTACCGCCATCGACTACTACACCCAGGCCCTCGAAATCGCNCCCCTGAACACCATCTACCTTTCCAACCGCGCCGCTGCCTACTCCGGTGCTGGCCAACACGAATCAGCCAAGAACGACGCAGAGCTCGCTACTGCTGCCGACCCCAAGTACACCAAGGCCTGGAGCAGACTTGGTCTCGCACGTTTCGCCCTTGGAGACGCTCAGGGCAGCATGGACGCATACAAGGCCGGTATTGATGCTGAGGGCAATGGAGGCAGTGACGCCATGAAGCGTGGTTACGAGACTGCCAGAAGAAGAGTTGAAGAGGAGGGTGGTGTTACCGAGGACTCTTCCCGTGGCGCCCCTGGCGGTGGTGCCGGCGGTATGCCCGACCTCTCATCCCTTGCTGGCATGTTCGGTGGTGGTGGCGCAGGTGGCGCAGGTGGTGCTGGCGGTATGCCCGACTTTGCCAGCCTCATGCAGAACCCTATGATGCAGCAGATGGCACAGAACCTCATGAAGGACCCCAACATGATGAACAACCTGATGAGCAACCCCCGCGTCAGAGAGATGGCCGATAGATTCGGTGGAGGTGGTGCCGGAGGTGCCGGAGGTGCTAGCGGTCAGGGCGGCGGCATGCCCGATCTGTCCAGCTTGATGAACGACCCCAGCATTGCTGAGATGTGAGTAGAGACTTATCATCTGTACACGATTGCGTTACTGACAAGAATCACAGGGCAAAGAACTTCATGGGGGTGCTGGCGGTGCCGGCGGCGCAGGCCGTGGTGGCAGATAAAGCGAGCAGAATTCATGGCATATTCATGAAAGCGAACAAGTCTTTATTTAGTGCGCGCTATGATAGACGCAAATGATACCAGTCCAGGCATGATTTTCATACGATGCATGCATGCGACACTAGGGATGTGTAGTACAATAAGTTAATATACAAGAGGCGTAACAAAACCCTCCAACCAACGCCGTGCCGATCCTTTTGTGGCCATGAGAAATTTGTAAAGATGTGCAGCCCTGAGTAGCAGCTCCAGGGGACGAACAGAAGACAAGACGAAACATGGCGATCAACCCAATCTTCTGGGCTTGGGACTTCTAGAACCACCAAACTTGAGTCTGGTAGCATCCTTGACCGAGCTGATCTTATTCCTGACCAAGTAGCCCTCTGAACCCAACAAAGCCTTTGTGACAGCCTCTCTTCCCTTTCCGAAGCCACGCAGCACGACCTCCAGACTGTGCAGGTCGCGCATGAGACCACGTTCTTGGATTTGCTTGAGCACGAAAGCAGCGAGTTGGTAACCAGCATCATAACTGCCACGACCAGCCTTCTTGAAACCAATGTTGCCGGCAGAAAGCGACATCAAGACATCGATTTGCTTGCCAGGGTTTGCGGGGTCCTTTCTCGGGGGTTGGGTGAGGGTGATGTGGGTGTTGTGCTTTGTTGCGTAGATGTGCATGCGATGCGGTTGAGGAGGACCGACTTCGATGTTGACGCCTGGAGGGCCGCTGGAGCCGTTGCTGCCTAGGCGGCTGATCCAGTCGCCGAGTTCGAGGGCGCTGCCTCGTCTGGTTGATGGTGCGGCTGCGGCGGGTGGTGGTGTTGAGGAGATGGCGCGGATGAGTGGTGATGGGAGGATGGAGGATGGGCGGGCGGCCAGTCTGGCCAGTGGTCGGAAAACGTTCATGTTGTATGTGTGATTGGCGACAGCGAGGGATCGTACTGGCAGGCAGGAGCTGTATGCAATTGGCAAGCACGAGGCCTGGAATTCTTTGGAGATGCGGCGGAAGTCGGCCTTGGCGCTTCCGCGTTTTTTGAGTAGCTGCAGTCACTCTCGAACATTCCGTGGCCAACAGCGGGCGACATCTGCTGGAGATTCTCTGTCCTTTGCCTCTCACATACCACACACCACAGCATGAGCTCGTTAAGTCGACAAGTGCTCTTGCCTAGAGCTCCCACGAATATCGCTCGCAATGCGCCTTCCTTCCAGGGCCGAACGGCTGCATACCGCCGGATATCCACACATGTCTTGAACCGCTCGAATGTTGCATCTTCGCCCTTGGTCTCTTCCGCTGCCTCGACACCCTCAAGACTGTCATCGCCTTTCCTCCCTGCCTCTGTCGCCACCACCTTCGTGCGCTCAGTCTCGTTCAAGGAAATGCAGGCTGAGCGCAAGCGTCAACGCGCCGCTCAAGGATCCGCACCAAAGGAAGAGCCCAAGTCAGAGCCTGCTGCTAAGCAATCAAAGGATGCCGAAACAAAGTCCGAGCCTGCTCAAAAGGCAAAGAAGGCCGACGAGCCCATGAGCGAAGCCGAGAGAATCTACCAAGCCACTGCTGCCCGTGACGCCGGTGCCTACGTGCCTGACCCCGAGAACGATGCGCCCAAGAAGGAGAAGAAAGAAGGCGAGGAGGCTGAGGGTGCAGCTGCTGAAGGCGAAGGCGAAGGCGAAGGCGAGGGTGCCGAGAAGAAGGAAAAGAAGGACAAGAAGCCTCCACCACCAAAGCACGGCAACAAGACCCCATGGCAGGTCTTTACCGAGACGCTGCAGACCGAGTTCAAGGAGAGCAAGGAGTGGAACGAAGGTACCAAGCAATTGTCTGGTAGCATCCACGACTTCACCGAGAACCCCAACGTTCAAAAGGCTCGCGCCGCATACGAGAAGAGTACTGGTGCCCTTTCGTCTGCTGCTGGAAGCACCATCAAGACTACCGCTGGAGCCATTGGCAAGAGTGCTGCTTGGACATGGGACACCAGCGTGGTCAAGGGTATCAGATACGGTGCCGGTGCAGTCGGTTCGGGACTTGAGAAGGCCACTCGTCCTGTAAGAGAGACTGAGGCATTCAAGAACGTCAAAGAGGTCATTGATGATGGCAGCTCTATGCGTTATGGTGGTTGGGTCGAGAAGGAGGAGCGCAGAAAGCGCAGAGAGGCAAGAGAAGCAAAAGATATTGCTGAGGGTCGCAGACCTTCGGGCGAGCCCTTGGTAGAGGACCCCAAGTAAGTGGATTTTAACTCTACAATACCATTCGTGCTAACAACAATNCCCAGCGCCGGAGTCAACGTCACTGTTCACAAGGATGCCGCCTGGAAGGAGTCATGGCGCGAGTTCCGCGACAGCAGCAAGACCATGCAACGTCTCTTCGCCTTCAAGAACACCTACGCCGAATCCGAGAANCCCTTGATCTCCACCGCCCGTAGCATCAGCGACCGTGTGGCTGGCTTCTTCGCTGAGAATGAGACGGCAAAGGTTATCAAGAAGTTCCGCGAGATGGACCCCAGCTTCCAGATGGAGCCTTGGTTGCAGGAGATGCGCGAATACATCCTTCCTGAGGTTCTCGATGCCTACGTCAAGGGCGACACCGAGGTCCTCAAACAGTGGTTGAGCGCAGCACAATACCAGGTCTACGCCGCCTTGATGCAACAATACACTCAGCACGGCCTCGTATCAGATGGTCGTATTCTGGACATCCGTAACGTCGACGTACTCAACGCACGCCTGCTGGAGCCCGGTGACATTCCCGTCTTTGTCATTATGTGCCGTACACAGGAGGTGCACGTGTATAAGAACAAGAAGACTGGCCAGCTCGCCTCTGGTATGGAGGATAAGGTCCAGCAAGTCACATACGCCATTGGTGTCACCAGACTCCCCGAGGATGTACACAACCCCGAGACTCGCGGATGGAGACTGATCGAACTTCAGAAGAGCGCAAGAGAGTACATATAAGCTCGCAAGCTCACTCTTCCGTCTTTTCCTCGCATAATGCACGACATTACCTTCCTGTTCTGCATGTTCCTCCAGGTACGAGTCACACCATCTGTATGAGCTCTTTGTCACGGCGTTTTTTCCCTGGATCATACTCTCCCATACTCAAAAGCGCTTTCTCGGGAAACATCCGATGAATCTTCTTTCGCGGTCGAAGGAGAATATCCTCGTGTACTTTAAGCATTTCCATGCGCCTACTCTGTATTATACATTTACGCTTCTGATGTATTCGAATTTTTCCCTCAATATCTCATTCTCTTTTGACAAGATACAGCTCGTGTCAATACAAGATTCCTTATCAATCGAACACGCACTACCACTGTTTGTTATAGCTAGACGAGAATGTAGTTGGCGTTCGGAGTAAGGTCCTAGGGCGGTGAAGTGTGAATGCAACCAAAGCAAACAGCTCGGTACCTCGGGAGAATCGATGACATCAACCTTGTCTGTGGCTATCATCGCTTTCTGACGAGTCCACAGCATAGCTCGAACAAGCAAGCGACACAATCACGACAGTAACTGCAACATGTTCTCGACACCCTGAAGAAATCTCGAAACCATTCTTTTCTAGAATTGTAAATACCAAACAAGGACATGACAAATGGCGGCCAGAAACACAAGTCGTCGGCGGGTAAGCACTGAACCATTGCCTTGCTCGTTCTCTCTATTATTCTCAGTTGTCCAGTGACTGATGCCTTACTTGCAGCATTCCACTTCGCAGCCGGCCTGGGCTCCGGCGTGACGAGCGCTTTCCTCCTACAACCTGCCGACCTCCTCAAAACTCGCGTGCAACAATCCTCCAGCGCATCACTCTCAGTCGCTCTTAAGAGCATCCTCGCAGGCCCTTCTCCCATACAACAGCTATGGCGCGGCACCACGCCATCCGTCATCCGAACAGGCGCAGGCTCAGCCCTCTACTTCGGCATGCTGAACCAATTGCGACGAGCAACTTCCACCACCACATTAGGAATAGACGGCAAATCAAAAACAAATCTCAGCAAGCCTGCAAACCTGGTCACGGGAGCTGCAGCAAGAGCATTAGCTGGCTTTGTCATGAGCCCAGTCACCGTCTTGAAAGTGCGGTACGAGAGCAGTCTATACGCCTACACCTCACTATCCTCCGCCGCAAGAGACATCTTCAAGACAAACGGCGCCAAAGGCTTTTTCGCAGGTTTTGGCGCAACAGCCATCAGAGATGCACCATATGCAGGTCTCTACGTCCTGTTCTACGAGCAAAGCAAGACTTCACTATTCGGACACTTGGACATTGCCGCACCGCTTGCAAACTTTGGATCTGGAGTTCTGGCTGCTGCTGCGGCGACGGCGGTCACAAATCCTTTTGATGCGGTCAAGACAAGATTGCAGTTGCGGCCTGAGAAGTACAGGAATGCGATTAGTGCTGCCAAGAAGATGATTGCGGAAGAAGGTGCTATGTGTCTGTTTGATGGGCTGGGCATTAGGATGGCGAGGAAGGCTGTTAGTTCTGCGTTAGCGTGGACGGTGTATGAAGAGTTGATTCGCAGGGCGGAGGATAAAATCGTCACATAGAGCATACGGCGATATTCATCTCTTCTCTCGGCGAACTATTGCTTATGCATGAATGCATGATTGGATTATGACTTTTGTTTAGGAAAGCGCAATGGTTCTTTCGAGTGGTTCCTGCGTACTCGAACCTCGATCTCGACAGCTGATGTCTACAGATTCTGCTCACCCTCCAAATTTCCTTTCCGGATTTACCTCCTACCATCGACATGCCATGTATCAAAGCTTCGCTCACCAATGCTATACTCTGGAGCTAGTCGTCAACGCGCATTGTCTTCCGATAACGCCAAAGTTTCACCAAAATTCTCGGCCAACACTTTCCTGTAGCCATGATCTGATCTTTCTCGATTTAACAAACCACACCTTCAAACTGTTGCACGCTGGTATACCCCAACAAGCAAGAGGCTTTGTTGATAGGAATAGTTTGCCGATCCAACCACCTCTACCCCACCCAATGCCCCATATCTGCAGCAACTCAAAATGGAATACCCCATCCGCCTTCATGCTTTGACAATCAACTCGCAACTTTCATCAGGCGTCTCAACTTGACTGACTTCATCATGCTATACCACGATAAGTAGATTTTCGTTGGAAAAAGTCAGATGGCCGGATCCAATCCACTTGCTTATCGCGAAAGAATGCATGGTATGATCGTTCAACAGCAGACACCGAGCAAGACCTCGGACGATTGATTCCATGGAGTTGTCTACTGAGGACAGAACTCTCGAGTATTGTTCGACTTCTCCTCACACCTTCGTGCTGGCCTATATCAAGGCTTTCTGCTCCTTGTTTTTTCTGTCTCCTTTTCCTTCACCATTCATCTCATCATGCATTTCAACTCCGTTGCTCTGACTTTTGGTCTTGCTGCTACTCTGGTGGCTGCCGTGCCCGTTGAGAATGTTACCGATCCGATTTTCCACCCCATTTGAGCACAAGATCTATCGTCAAAGAACCAAAGCAATTGTCCTCTGGAATCACACAAACATGCATAGACTCAGGCTGAATCTGACTCTGCCTATCGTACCCACCATTCTACAGCGATTCCCCAAATGGTTCAGAGGATATGGGAAACAATCGGTCTCATCAGCATTGCTTTAGGTACTAGCATCGATGCCACAGTTCTTTGACCACGTTCTTCATCTTTGGAGCTTGGAAGCCCTTTGGACAGGAAGCAAATCTTCCATGCAAACCAGTATGTTAACACAAAGCATGTCTCCAAGTCACCTCAGTCACTGGGGATGCAAAGGTCGACTAAAGCCATTGTGGACCGCTTCCCATGTCATCTATCAAACTCTCTAGACCCATTGTCGAGACTAAAGAACAAGAACAACAACACTAAGATTGCTTTGAAGAATGCTCTGGCTGTTCGTGATGGTATGCCATGCGTCTTCTCTCGAAGCATTCGCACAGTCCACCACGCCTCGACATGGCCGCAATCGTTGGATACTTGAATGAGCAAACCGAAGATGATGCTATGCCATGCGTCATCGAGAAGCAAACGTTGGCACAGCTACAGCAATGCCCATGAATGGCGTCAGTGACCATAATTACAAGGCCCTCTGATCTCAGATTGATTGACAATCTCGTAAGGAGTGCTGATGGACACCACAAACTATACAGTCCAAAGCTCTGGATACTCGGAGGATGGAAGTGCTCTTACAGACAAACTACGAGCTTTAGGGGCACAAACATGCTTGAGCATTCAGTGCAATCTCATTCTCTCCGAAGCGGAGTAGGTACCGGAGTCGTGTAGAATGCAAAGAATCTTCCGGGGCTCTTTGGTTTCGACATGGAGAGCAGTGTTGGTATAAGTTGAGATGAAGACCTGAGTCTCAGTTCTCTCTGAGCGACAACAACACAGCAGGCACTCGCTCGAGCTCACACCTACCACAATCCCTCTATCACAACTCCACTACCACGACATACCTGTCACAGCACTCTACCTTGACTCAAACACCACCTTCCAGCAAGCAAGGCAAGTATTCGACCACGAACCCTCCCATCTTCCCCTTCTAACCCTCTCCTCTGCCAGCAATGTGCCGCCGCACCCGCTACACCCACCAAGTCTGCGGCCACGAACACCAAATCCTTCACGAAGCATGCGACAAGGCCTTAGCTGGCGAACCCTGCGCTTCTGTGATGTTCTTCCAGCCTCCCGAGGGTTCATGCAGAGCCTGCCGCGAGAGAGAGGAGCAGGAGGCCTGGCTCGCTGACTACGATGCCATGATGGAGGAGAGAAGACTGGCCGATGAGGGCTAGAGACAGGGCCAACGAGGAGAGTGGCAACAGATGAGTGGGTCTGTGATTGGATGCAGACTTTGATTGTTGACCGGGTTGATGGCGACAACAGATGATGAAGGGGTCTGGTGAAAGAAAGAGCAGAGGTCAGAGAGGGCATTGAACAGAGGCGCTTCGACAAGCACTCAACATTAAGGGTTTGAGTCTTCAGCATGAATCGATTTGTCTCCATGCTCGCATCTGCTCCTTACCGTCTGAGCTAAAGAAGGAAAATGGATTGAGGAATTGAGGAAGTCGCTCCGGCCCAGAGAGTTGGTAGACGCGTCTGCAATAGCGAATCCTTTTATTCATTGTGTACCAAAAACTGTCAAACATTAACCGATTTGACAAAAGGATCTTGCATACCGGCAAACTGTTGTTCATGCATGTTGATTAGTAAGGGTCTTGACCTACGTACGATCACATGTTCGTCCATCAGGGCAGGATCCTGATTGAGATCATGGCGGCATTTACATACACATCTTGATCCTGTTTGGAAAGTGGTGCCTGCATGCATGAATGGCGGTGTGGCCAGACCAGGCCTGTGTTCAACTGTATACATCTCCTGAGCCTAACAGCCAGAGCGTGTTCGCTAGCTAGCAGGTCATGCGCACTCTCGCGATTGATTTGAACAAAGCAGGCAGATTATAATGATTGGCAACCATAGTAGTGTTGTCATACCATCCAGTGCTCTCGGGGACAGGGCTGTACTCCGGCCGAGAGGTGTATGATGGGGTAGTAAATACTACCAGTATGGTCCTCAAAGAGGAGCGGTTGCTGGGGACTTACTTGAGCATTCTTCTCTTCAGTCGTAGCGCAACTTTATGCAGAACTATAGCAGAGTTCTGAGTGCATTTGCGCTGTAAACTCGAACATGGTATCAGTAACTTATAGAAGCTCGTGTTTCTTTCGGCAGGCTGGTGTCCTCATCTGTGGTGTGGGTGACTGGCTTGAAGTGAACAAAAGGCTACGCACGTAGCATCTCTTTGTTCGAGCGGTGTTCATGACCCTCCATGTCAGCTTGTGGGATGCGAACAAGTACACGTATGCATGTCTTGCAGGGAGCAGCATTCGAACAGGTGAGCGGTGGCGCCGTAGGTGTGCTGATTGGACTATGTGGGCATAGATGAAGAGGTGGGAGCAGAATTCGAACGTGTCGCATGGACCAGCGCATCCAAGACTTGGTCGAGAAGCGAAGAGAATATTGTCAAATCAGACGGTGCATGTGGACCTGTATGGGTATGCAGCAACGAATGGGCAGCTCAGATGCAATTGACGCAGCAGCTGACGCCGAGGACGTTGACGAAAGTGGTTTGAATGGAAGAGAGGTTGGCATGCGGCTAGCGAAGTTTAAAGCCACAGTGATATGTTGGCATTTGGCACGGCAGCAGACACGATTGAGCAGCGGGTTATTTGAAATGGACGGTGGAAGGCACAAGATGGCCGACGCAATGGTCGGGATGGCGCGAGGTGAATTGGGAATAGGTCGTGGGCAAGAGCGATGCGAAGTGTTTCCGTGTCACCCTGGAGCGGTCTCGACTCTCGATGCTTAGCGGCCTGGGGTCCCGCAGAGAAAGGAGCGATGCACCGATGGCGCCTCAATAATGGCATTTGAGTTTCTACCGACACCCATGTAGGCAGACTGGGCACTGGGCAGGAGCAAGCTGTCGCGACTCTTTCGAACTTAGCCAAAAACCAAAAGAAATCACAGGAGCCGATTTCTACTTCTTCGCACCATTGACGGCTGTTGTTTGTTGATGCTGCCACTGCCACTGCCACTCCATCGCCCCATGCCATTTACGTAGCGAACTTGTCATTGCCCGCCCTTGCCCTTGCAACCGCAGAAGCAGCTTCCGATGCAACAAGATCGTCCTCGCAAGTTGCAGCGCATCTCCCAAGCATGCGATCTTTGTCACCGACGCAGCATTCGTTGCAGGCCCAGCAACGAGGACCAGGACCGCTGCCAGAACTGCTACGACTTCGATGTCGCCTGCACTTATGAGCGTCCCTCGAAGCGCAAGAAGCACCCCCAAGCACCTGCCGCTCCTGCCCAACCCGCGCAACCCTCGGCGCGGTCTTCCACATCACGGAACGCTCTTTCCTCGGACCTGGTCTCGGCTGCGACTACCGCGCCCTCCACAACCAACTCGACTCGCAACGACTCGATAGGCAAGGCCAACGACTTCGCCCTCGTGCCTGCCCTCGCTTCCCATCGCGACACTACCGAACTCGACCTGCCATGGAAGGTCTTTGCCCTCTCGAGCGAGCCCATCATCTTCGACCTTTTCGATGTCTACATGGAGATTGTCTATCCACTGTATCCCTTCTTCCACGAGGCCACCGACAAGGCAAAGATCAAGAATAGAGATCACTTGACTGACAGGGGCTTCTTTGCGTCCGTCATGTCCATGTGTGCTCTGGCTTCGGCACGTATCCGCGACGGCGCTCTTCCAACCAGAATACCCGACGCTGTCAGAAATCCCGAAGCCTCGTCCGAGGTCTTCTTCTCTGCTGCAAAGTCTGTCTTCACCTCCGACTTCGATAAACTTCGTGGTTTCGACTACATAAGAGCCTGCGCACTTCTCTCCTTGACCAGCATTCAATACGGCCAATCTCTGGAAGTCCAGCAGTACTCGGGCATTGGCAGCACTCTCATCGCCATGCAACGCTTCTACGATGAGAAGTATTGGCCCAGTGGCTTGGAAGAATATCAGAAAGAGACGTATAGACGTCTTTACTGGGGGTCCTATACTTTGGAGGTCTTCACCGCCGTAGTCTGGAACTGTTTCATACGTACTCAGGAAGTCCATCTGAACGTGCGATACCCCAACGAGTATGACGACGGAACCATTGCCAGTACCAAAATTGAAGCCCCTCCTGGCCAACATCGAGTCAGCTGGCTGGTAGGCTGGAATTTCACCATCGATTTGTACCGTGTCCTAGAACACGTCGTTAACAAGTCTCGTGCCAAGCGTTTCAATCACGATGATCGTCGTAGCGTTGATAGTCTCGTCTTTGGTGACGCCTTTTCCGAAAAGAGTGTCATGGCTACCATGCTTAACATGTACTACGCCCTGCCTCCACAGTTCAAGTCTACCCCTCAGATGACCGGTGACCCCACTCAGGACATCTATGCCTTCCAGGCTGCAAACATTCAGGCAACACTTCAGCTGCTTCGTATGATGCTGTTCTCCACAGAGGACGGTCCCAGCGTTGACAGAAAGTGTGACGTAGCGAACGAAGTCTTGACCGTTTTCCAGACGATTCCTCACAGATATTTGAGGGCTATAAGCACCCCTATGATCTACCAACTGGGAAGCATTGGTGGTGTGCTTGGTTCTGTGTTCGAGCAACCCCTGCAGCAGCAAGTCTACGAGCGTGTGCGCAGTTCGCTGTTGCTTATGGCAGAATTGCTTGAGACGTTGGAGTCCAATCTACATCGCTCAGCGGGTGCCAGCCAAGGTCTGTTAGCTCAAGTTGAGAAAATCGACCAGTATATGCAAACCCAAAGGGGTGTTCCCCAAGCCGTGCCGCCACAGCACCCAGCACAGCCCGCCGTCTCACGACCACCACTGACAATGGGAATGCCTCAACCCGTTTCAGAACTCAACGGCAATGGCACTAGTGCTATCCAGCTTCCAACAGATCTTGCTTTAGAATGGCCGTGGCCAGTCTACCAGGAGTATCCTTATTACATGGAAAACAACGGATTCTAGGGATATGCCGATGTTATGGATGAGATTCCAGGTTTTCCTGATGGGCGTGTGGTCCAACCCCGTGAGGACAGCTGAGCACATCATCTCGGCTTGTCAGTCCTCGGTAACCACATCGCTCCAGTATATGTGGCTACTAGCAAAGCGGCTTGTCATGAGTAAACGAGCGAGCTCTAGGTGGCGATTCTCAGCTCGTATGAGTGCACACCCGGACCGTACTTCAGCCGTTTGAGGAGTACAGTGATGCGAATGTCGAGACCGCTAGAAGATGTTCCCAAAAGCGGGCACCAATGCGCAGACCTCCTACATGGATAGGAAGTGGAGTACAACAATCGATTGCTTATCGAACACGACCACGATCAGGACCAATCTCTGGCACTTGGTCGTCCAGTCATTTGTGGGCGGGCTGAGCACAGCACAGAACATACGCATGATAGTTGGAGGAGAGCAAGGGCCTGTTGGGAGTTAGTTATTGCTTGTCAATGGCGTTCTTCTAAAGAGTCAGACTTGCGAGGAGGTTAGGTATCGAAGTTACGACGAATTTGAATAACGATGTGGTTTTCTCGAGTTTGCTTAGAGTTGTTCGGTTTATGTTCCAAATGTGATTCAAGACCTTAAGAGTATGCGATCCAGGCTTCGGGCGTAAACTCGAATCAAGACGATCAGGTTGTCGAATATGCTGCTCCGGAGCAGCAGTAACACTTCTATTGGCCTACAGCCTCATGGCTCGAGCAAAGTCATATCGAGCCCATCTGCCACCAGATTGACCCTTGACTTTATAAATACATACAGGCCAAGACACTTAAGAGTCGCTCCGTGTGGCTCCAAGTCGCTCCAGATTGGTGAACTAAACGCCCCCTAAGTCATGAATCACCTTCTTGTCCCTTATGTCGTGATAAGTCCCATTAGTGTATGTTAGTAGCGCCTGTCATAAGATAAGAAAACCTCGAGTTCAGATTATACCTCGAGCCCGTATTACTAGGTGCTGTTTTCGTGCCCAACTTGTCGAACAAGCAAGAAGTGTCGGCTAGAGTCAAGCGTTAGGAAACAAAACATCTTGTAAAAAAAATAAATAAAAATGGTTCAAGGTTTTCCATGGCGTGGTTATGTATTACTAAATTTCCTCCTGTTCAGTCTCCTGTCGAGGCTGAACAGGATCCTGTTCGTATAGAATAGGATGCTAGAGTGCTTTAACTAGCAGGTCAATGGAGGGCTAGGAACTGCTACTGTGTCGTTTCGGACAGGAGCTTATAACGTCGCACAACTTCTGGCAAAGACTGCCATGTTGCTGCTTCTCTCGAGAGCCGACAGGTCCTAGTCATAGCAAGCTACTGCTCAGGATGAACGACGATAGGAGAGCTGATGCACATGAACTTAAGCACCATCTCGTTTACTTCTGCGAAGAGCTTTGAATACTCGACGAAGAGATAGAGAAGTATTGAAAGGAATTGAAAGAGAATAATTCAAGCTAGTCTCTTTTGGTTCGAGCGACTGGATCTTCTCTGCATTCGTTGGCAAAAAGACTCCAGCCTTATCAATCAGAGCCGCGGAATGAGCGGCAAGTGTGCAACAGAAAACTGCGGTGGCAAGTCCGATAACTTACGGCTGAGATAGTAAGAATCCTTGAGCCTGTCAAAGAATAATGGCGAGGGCGGGAGCGGACTCCGAGGGCAGAGACTCCTAGAGTCAGGGCAAGCGACAGGTATGACACACTTACTCGTACAGCAGTATAGCGGACCGTGTCTGTCTGTCTGCCTATCCATAAGGGCTCTTTAACCCTAGAGCCCTCCTCTACACAACCCCAGTCTACCCCGTATACCTCAGAAGCAGAACTGTAGAACATGAGTTCCGCGATTCCCTCTGGCTAGAGCTGAAGATGACAGTCGAGCTGACACTTGCAGAGAAATCCGGACCTTCTCTCCTTTGTGTGCGCAGGAGTTCGATCCGGTTTTCTTGTTCAAGAGTGGCGTGCGCAAGCACGACCGCTCGCTCGGGGAGGTTGTGAGACAGGAAGCAGGACCCGCTTAAGCATTCACCCGATTGCCACGTAAGATGTGCATCCATATGTATCACGGGCCTTATCCCGTGGGACAGGGGCCCAAATATGCGCACATCTCACTGCTTGTGCTTTCTCAGCCACAAGGATGATGCTTACACAAAGAACGACGTATTGTTGCCACACTTTTGAAGCCAGCGAGTGTGATTGTGTTGGAGGTTCTTCGATGTGGTGGCTCACAAACCACGCCCTACCTGATCATCCAACCAATCACTGAGTAGTATAAACCATGCATATAAAAGATAGGTGGATCTTATAGGTCAAGGCAGGTTGAGCCGTAAACGGCTGGTGGGGAAGTGCGCTTAGAGCAGGATCAAGCGGGAGATGACGGATGTTGACGCTTAGCACGCAGCCATGGGGATTTGCTCATGGCATTTGTTTCGGCGAAAACCCGCGTCATGTGTGCTTAGCAAGCTCCCTCCTCTCTTTTCGCGTTCGCACACGGCATTTGCCTTTTGTGCATCCCGGACACGTTTGCCATGAGGGATATCTCCCTTTTCTCGGGATGCAGGGATGTGTGAGGCGACAGATAACGTGTAGCGAGTTATGGTGTAGGGCGCCCACCTATTCTTGTTGCCATGAAAATATAGGTGGTGCTCGGACTCACCGACTCGCGATATGAGACCGTTGACTGGCAAGCGCAAACGAGTCGACGTTTAGGGTGGTGGCCTTACTTAGAGTAGGTAGTGAACAGACAGATGTTCCTGCGATTGGTGCGCATGTTTTTGCCGTAGACTCAAAGAGGAAGCTGAAAAGATCAAAGCGAACAGGTGATCCATGACTTTCGGCGAAGCGCCTACGCGGCGAGATTTATGCTTTGGTATGTTCGTGGTGAGGCGCAAGCCTGGGAGCTGGGACGAAAGCATCTGACATCTCACATCTCCATCCATGATCCTACAGAATGTGGTTCTGACGGGAGTAGGTCCGATGACGTTCGCTAATTGCGTAGAGAACAAGGCAATTTTTGTTGGAAGAACGGCGGCTCTGTGGCCCCGCTTTCCCCCACCACTGCCGCTGTCTCCCACTCTTGCTTCCGCTGTAATAGCGTGGCCGCCTATTTGGCGAAAAGAGAGAAGAGATCGATGATGATTGAACGAGAGGCATGCCTGATCAGACGAGAGCGAAGATAAAAGGATCGCCAATCATTCACACTATGCCAGCTCAAGGATGCGCATGGGTTGAGCGGAGTCTGAGGTCCGTCACCACTAACTGGTGATTGGCCCGGTGGATTGTTCTGCAAGTGGTAAGGATCTGAAGCGGCTGCTGCATCGATCGTCGAGATTCGAGCGTCAGAAGTCAAAATGATGCGGCTCCTTCGCACGAAGCGGGCTGCGACTCTGCGAGCCGACGACACACAGAGCTGCATCTGACGTCGATTCGGAGACACCCCCTGGTCGGGCTTGAATCCGCTTCTCTGTTCTGCGACTCCTACGGCGTTTGGTAGCAAGAACGAGAGGGAACACGGTATAGCCAATACGACGTTTACTCCGCCTTCGTACATGTGGCATGACGAGCGACGAAAATTCTCTGAGAATCGTGTCAGCCAAAAAGCTGTTAAAGAAGCTCGATCATCGACGGAAACCTCAGCCAAAGTTCTTTCCTTCCGGTTAGCCTACCCCGCCGAATCGGTCACATACGTCGGTGTATCCGCAGAGCCTCATCCCATTCCAATCCTTGTCCCCAGCTTCCTCGTTTGCGGCTGTTTCTTCTTGCCACAGCACAATCCCATCTCAATCCCATCTCAATCCCATCTCCCTTTATTCAAGCCATTGACTTGAATTTCACTGCTCGATCCAAGCCCTTTTCCATCAGCAACAGCTTACCGTCTGTCTTTCGACCAGAGTCAAAACAATCTGCCAATTCTCATCGCAAGCTGCTTTGATCCGCAACGCTGTCTTTGGCTTAAGCTGTCAGACTCAAAACACAATCGTCGACCGCCTACACAGCGCAACTCAACTCAACACAACACCTACCAAAGCTTCACTCGCACTGCATAACAACTTATTCGTTACACTGTGTTTGTGCTGCGTTTCGACTGAAAAGCAAGTGCTCGTTGCAGTAGCTCCTTCGAGGTGCCTCGCGTCTGAGAACGCTCTCCACCCCAGCAGAGCTTTTGCTTGCCGCATCAGCAACCATCACCCTGTCCACAGAACTGGGCAATATCAACTCCTTTGATATGAATCTTTTCCACTTCGATCAAGCCTCGCCTCAAGATAACGACATGATTCCAATGTCCACGACCTACGACTTCCACCCCATCAGCCCGACCGCACTCGAGTCCAGCTCCATGTTCGGCAACCACGACATGTCATCACAAATGCATGGCAACCCAGGCACCATGTGGAGTGGCATGTCACAGCCTGCATTGGATGGCGGCCTGGAGAAACTCCTCAACAACTATGGCACGACAATGGAGCGGTACGGTCAAGTGACGCCGCCAGATGATGCGAATATGCAGGAAACGACAAAGTCGTTCGGCAAGAGAGCTGACTCTGGAGCTTCTGGCATGGAGGTTAACGACGCCTCGAGTATGTCTCCTCGCAGTTTCATATCCAGCAAGCGGCCTTCGGTAAGGTCATCCCAGAAGAGCCGGAAAGAGAGTCGGACGTCAGAAGATGGTTTGACTGGCGACAAGAAAGACAAATACCGAGAGAAGAATCGCGTCGCTGCGGCCAAGTGTCGTGCAAAGAAGAAGGAACATACCGACCAGCTCGAAGACACATACCGTACGCAGAGCGCAATGAACAGCGCCTTGAAGCAGACCGAGAAATCTCTGCGTGATGAGTTGTCGTACTGGCGTACGCAAGCACTACAACACACCTTCTGCAGCTGCCACTCCATCCAGGAATACAACATGAGGAAAGCCCAGAGCATGGCCTTTGGTACCAACTACGGCACAACATCTTCCCCAGTCATGGCAGATGGTCGTTCAGCTTCCTTCAGTCACAACCATATGCGGTCGTCCTCGGCTGCCGGCATAGCTTCTCCTGTAATGAGCGAGATTAACGGCAAAACACCTTCAACGGCCTCCTTGTCAGGTGTACCCGATCCAGAGACCAGAGAGATGACCAGACAATAGCGGTCCGCCTTTGATAATTTGAGCAGGTCCGGTGATGTCCAGTGTGAACTTGTTGCAGCAGCAGTAGCATGATCTTCTTTTCTTTTCTTTTGCTCGGAGTCGTTTTGGTAGGATGGTGTTTCGGGTTGGTAGCGTTGAGGGTTGACGGTTAAAGTACACACGAACGGGACGACCATGGTTATCTTCATTTCTTTCTGTAAGATTAGTCTTTATGTTTCTCGCGACCTTTTTTTTTTCAAGGCCATGTTAGTCTGCAAAGCAACAAGACGACATCAAAATCAAAACCTTTTTAGCTCACGTTTCATTTGCCAACACTTTCCTGTATCTTTGAGTCCAGACGGCAGAAGGCCAGGCGACAAGATGTTGTTCGTATCTTCGTTGATGATGATGTTGGTTGAATGGAAGGGTCGGATTTGTCTGGGAGGTGATGTGTCGAGGTTGGTGATGACGAAAATCGTAACAAGGACGGTGGGAAGACATCAAGAAGGGAGTTGCAGTCTTGTAGTACGTGAGGTTGTGACTTGACGCCCCCTCCTGTCCTCGTGGTAGAAAGTTTTTTCGTCACCATGAGGCGTTTGTGATGTTATGGTCTTTGGACCCACGGCGGAAGCGGTCTGGCATCCGATGACAGCTACGACGCCAACCCGAGTACATTGAGGAAGTCGTTGACTTCGGGAACACGGCCAAAGTGCTCGAATGAGGTAAACCTGCAGTCACCAGAAATACCAGGAAATCGAAGATGAGTCGTCGTTTTGATCCCGAAAAGCTGGTAGAGAGTGGCACGGTCCAGATTTGTTGGCACTGCTTCAGGATACCGACCTATCGTGTGCCTCTGAAGATGGCAAATGTATGCCGGTCTTTATTGTTTCCCTTGCTATGCATGATATGTTGAATGGTAACATGCAAAGGACCCTGGTGGATATTTTCTTTATTGCTTTCGTGCACCGCCACTCTCCAGACATAACCGCGTTTCCAGTCCTGTAGCGCCGTTGGCATCGAGTCGACGCCAAATTTCAGTTTTCTCCAGATGGACTTGGAGAACAAAACATCAATCGAGAAAGAGGTATCAGACACCAAGATCTGGTTTCGAGGAAGTCTTTGAGTAATTCAAAGGGGGCGAAAGGGTCAGGAAATGTGTGTGAGAGTTGACAGCGCTAGGTCAAGTTGTTTTCCCTTCCCGTGTGATGTGATCGTCATTTTTACCAGCTGACTGCCGCTTTTGCTATTCGGGGACGGGCCCCTCCCCGAATAGCAGCGTTTTAAAGGGCCCAGACCGCAGCGTTCGTCTGTCGCCAAGACTGTCTTTATTTGGTTTTCTCCTTCGCCTACTACCCACTCACCAGATGAGATCGAGATGTGAGCGTCTGCAAAGCTCGATGCGCGGTGTTTGCAACCGATCTGAATACTGGTGTTGCCTTCGTGGATTACTCAACACACGGGTCAAGATATCCAAGGCATAGGAACAATGATGAGCCCAAATCAACGGATACACGTACACCTCAAAACAGTCAGTGCTTTTTTGGGATGTGGCTGTCAAGGGTCGCTCTGACTCGCTCATCTCGTCGGAATGCTTATTTCCAGATCTGAGATCATCCTATCCGAACGCTCCCGAGCCTGATCTTGATATCATGACTCGGGGATGTGGACATATTTGGCGACCTGGATAACTGATTAGATCAAGTCGGGCGCTGCCGGCTGTGTAGAGGGCTCTGTCACAGCCATTATGCTGGTGTCTATTGCAATACAGGTGATACCAGATTCGAGCATGTTGACGGCTTGATGGACTGTGACTACGTACTGGCTTATACTATCAAGGTGGGGTCACAACCTGGAGCACAATTCCATGTGCATATGCGAACGGCTGGCTGCATGATGAAGGTGTTATTGCTACATAGTGCTCGCATACAGACGACACTATTCGTGATACTCGTCGCGAAGTCTGCAATTGTACAAAATCATGCGTACTAATTGGTATCTCAAACTGAAGAAACAATACAGGCAAACTGATTGCCAAACCGTGGATGATCCAACACCAGCGATGTCACTTGGCTAACAATGTCGTAAGGTCATATAAGAATAAGAGTTAGCATCTCATCTGCTCAATATGCTCCCTTAGCATCCGGAGCAGTCCTCTAGACATCTCCATAGTTGTATGATGGTGGTGCCAGATCCTCGCGGAACTCTGGTGGAGCTGTGAAGCTCGAAGATGCTTGGTTGTCACTCTGGAGCTGTGGTGGATAGAGTGCTGATGGTCCAGCTTCGACCAAAGATGTCTGCTGCTCGCTGTATGCGGGCACAGCCACTTCTCCTGGGAGTATTTCAAAGGNGAACTTGCTTTCGAACTTCCATACATGGCCTGTCTGGGCATGGCGAATCCGTATCTTGACAACCATCTTATAGGTCGTTGAGATGATCCAGGTTCTGAAAGTGGGGACAAGACGATGGACATGCGGTGTCATGTCTGCCAGACGAACGGGATCAGAAATGGGAACGAATGAACCACCATGCGGCAGCAACGTGTTGTTGCCGCGTAGTGTATGACTAAGAACCGTCTCCTTTCCGTCGTCGTGATGTTCGCTGAGAGTGCCGCTCGCTCTGACGTTGACATACGTCTTGAGGGAGAAGGTGCAACCATTGAGGACGAGATCTGGAGATTCTGGATCGTTCTGACCTGTCTTCGTGTATTTACAAGAAAGCTCCAATGGCATGTACTGTGTCGCGCTGACGCACCGAGGCATCTTGAAAGACACCGCGATATTGATTTCTGGAGTTTTCAATGAGGAGTCGCTGGTGAAAGCGTGTTTCATCTTCTCCTTCAATGTATGCTGAGTTGGTCGTAGAGAGTTGCTCTTGAAGCGCCCATTACCTTCGCTGTTACTATCCAGTGGTACTGGTGGTTTCAAAGGAGTCGCAGAAAGAGACCACACCGGGAGTTCTTTCGCGCGCTTCGCCGAATGTATGAAATTCCCTGGGTTGATTTTAACTTTCAATTTGTAGGTGACTTTTTGCTTCAGGGGGGNGTTTGAGAAGTTTTCGCTGTCCAGTTTGAAAGTGGGAGGTAGTGCTTGTTCGCCTAATTGGTACTGGCCATCTCTCTTGTGGCTCTTACGACGGTAATCGGCTCTGACAGGCAGTTGAAAACGGAACGGCCATTCATATCTTCCCGCAGGGATTGTGTGAGGACCTCTGAATATCGTGTCCAGATTCCTGAACAAGATGATCTTTTCGGGATAGTGACTCGTGGTGTTACCACTGCGTTCCGTGATTTCTGTAAAGCATATTCCCTTGCAGATTATGATGACATGGTCGATGTCGACTTGAGTGCGAGGAGTGTATATGACCTTGCCCGAGATTGTCTGACCCGGCACGAATGTACCAAGTATCCCTTGGGGGATGCTGTCCACGACGATATTGATGTGCTCGGATGAGTATTTACTCATGTTGGATACTCCGTATATCTGTTTATGGTTCATTGATTCAGATGGAGGACCGCGATGCTTATATATTCATCCTTGAGGCACTTGATATATGATCAGCGCGTGCCACGAGCCATACCTAAACATGGTTCGAAGGATTCGTCTTGGCGACTCAGCCTGAGCACTGCTGAGGAGATTGAGGCACGCCCAATGCACAGCCCATGGATGACCTGGTGTACCGAAGCAGGCTGCACAGATAGAGTTCTTGATGTCACTAGAGCAAAGGATCCCCATCACACCCTCACATGCGCTATCTTCCACTGTTCTATGGAAAATCTCTCTACAGCTGGCGGACTCAAGGCAATCGGAAATAATTCTCGCCAAGCTTTCAAGCAAGTTCTTCGGCCCGCGTTCCGAACCTGCATTGGCACAGCTGTTACTAACAACACCAACACTGGTATACCCTTGTGACATACGTATCAGTATAGTCAAGTGAGTATCACGCACAACTACCTGAGACCTGTTACGGCCTCAGATCGAAGTGTGTCTCCATGTTCGTTCTGTCCCGACTCTTGAGAATCACAGCCAGTCAAATATTGAACTGGTGGCACTCACTATCTTGCTGCGGACCTGCCTGATTGGAGTCGAGGTCCGAGCTTGAGGCTGTGCAGCTGCTGCCTCACCCTGCCTTGATGGTCAACTCTGTCTACTTCAATACTTGGCATCGGTGCAACTATCAAACACCATCATCATAATCGTTATGCCAGAGACAACGCAACTGCTGGATCTTCCAGTAGACATCCTGTATCTGATGTTTCCCTACCTCGATGTCACCAGCTTCGTGGCCTTGACATCAACCTGCTCGGCATTGCATCAACCTGATATTGCTCAATATGCTCCTTACTGGAGCTTAGCGGCGCGCAATACCTTCCGTGTTCCGAACCAGCCGGTTGTCGAGAATGACGGTCTCAGATGGCAGAAGATGTATCGTCGACTTTTGACCGAGTCTCGCTGCTTTACCTGGGGCAACAATGACAGAACTTGTCTCGGTCATAGTCAACAAACGCACATGGGAGCCCCTTTCGGTCGCGGTGGTATTGGACCTGCTGGACGCCGCAGACCTGTCGTGCGCACCCGCCAACACGTATCATGGCCTACTGAAATGGAGAATGTGGAGCAGCTGGGCATCATTGCCGATATGCAATGCGGTGGCTGGTCCACGAATCTACTGACCTCAAAAGGCGGCTTGTACAGCGTTGGTGTTATGGATGGCATATTCGTTGGTCAACCTGCCAAGTCAAAACCTGAGAAACTTCGCTATCCTGCCGGGCTGCCTCACCCCAACGAACGTTACGAGCCAGCATCTGCTATCAAACAATTCTCTGCCGGACGTCGCCATATCCTGGCTCTATCAGACGCTGGGTACATGTGGTCCTGGAGTCACATCAACATGCCTGCACTTCAAGTCAAGTTCCTGAACGTCGACACAGTAGTCAGAGAGAATGCTGGTCCATCAACCCGTGGGTATGTCAAGAAAGTTGTTGCGGGCTGGGCNAAAAGTGCCGCTCTTGTGGTGGGCACCGGTATCGTTCTTTGGGAACCTTTGGCTCGTGGTCCACGACAGCCAGAAGGAGAAGAAGATGCTGTGCTTGTTCTGGAGACCGCAATCTGCCCAGGTACCGACTTCCAGAAGCATCCTACATCGTACCAGCCTTCGCCTGCGAGCTCAAGTATCGGCGAAGTGCAAAACTTCATCTGTCTTGAGCATTACATTGTATTCAACACTCATCTTGGTAAAGTCTACGCGGCCAAGATTGTCTGGAACGCACAAAGCAAGGCACTGGACGATGTCAGAGAGCTGCCNCTTGGATTCGAAGGAGAGACGAAGTTCGCTACAGACGTCCAAGGATCGTTCCGATCATTCGCAATCTTCATCAACGATGGGACTGTATACACAGGCAACCAGGATGATCATCTGCATCTTCTGTTTCATCCTCTTCCAGGTGACAGCACCATATCCCTCAAACGTATCCCCGCTCTTCAACAATCTCAGGTCATCTCGATAGCTTTCGGTGATTACCACTTCCACGCGCTGCATGCTCCTGGTTACATCNNATCGTACGGCACAGAGCCCCAGAGCTGTGGTTGCCTCGGTTTGGGTGGTCATGGAGACCCCGAGGGTCGAATTCGTGGGCTTCGTTATCAGGGTATCGGTGGAGATGGACGCCTGGTTCCTCATGCCAGCCTGCATGGCCGCAGAATCTGGTTCGAAAAGGAAAAGCAGAAGTGGATCACGTTCCTTACAAGCGGCGGCCGAGATCCCGAGGAGGCCAGAGAGCGCATGCGCATGCTTTCTGAGCTCAAGGTCCAAGGCGAGGTCAGCGAATGGGTCGAGCAAGAAGGCAATGCTTGGGAGCAGAAGTATGGAGGATCGAACGATGCACCTTGCGATGACGATCTTGCCACATACTTCGCTCTCAGTGTCACGGCAGCTGGTTGGCACTCTGGTGCTCTAGTCCTTGTCAACGAGGACAAGGCAAAGAGAATCAGCGAAGCTTGTCTGGAAGCAGCGAATGACGAACCTGGAGACGATATTGTGGCCAACGAAGAAGATGTGCAGGGAGACCAAGTTGACAACCGTGGGTTACTCAATCGCGCTCTTGACTACGCAGGCGACCTTGTACGGTGGTTCAATGGCTCACCTCGTACAGATACCGCAGGACCTGGCTTCCGCGACCCTAATGATCCTGATGCTTTTGTCAACCCTCAGAACCATGGCGCCGTTGCTGAGGATGGCCGTCCGTATGTCTGGGCCCAGGACTCGTTTCCACGTCTCAGACTTGCAAATGGTGAAGACATGCCTGGAGAGATTGACTTTTCGGAGTGGAGATATGGGAGACCAGAATGGGAAAATAAGGTCGAGGGTTATTAGGTAAGACGAGGACGAAAATCAGATCAAAGATTGACGAATATTGATGGTTGAATGATGCGATCACGCGAGACGACTGTTTGCGCGTTTCCCTTATGTAGAACGTATTCTTGCCTAAGCAGAGCAGGGTGATTGTACACGACGTTCTTTCAAGTTCTCTTGCTGAGTCTGCATGGTGATTGTTACTATCTAGATGCTTCTGATCCACTTGGTCCCCGTCGCCTCCGCTCCGACTGCTTTCTGATGACTCTCAATCCTTCGTCTCACTGCCTCGTTCAGTCGCTACTGCCCTTAGAGAACCTGGTAGCCTCTCCTCATGCACCTTCGTCAGTATTGTATCGATGTTCTTTACCTTGGCTTTGGTGCCTAAAATCAATATGCTGTGTATGTTTTTTTGTAGATATTGTCGTTCCAGCTTTGGATGCTTCAGAATTTTCGATTTTGGACAACAGCGGTTTCATTTATGGGTTTACAAGCACTATTCGATACAAGTCTACCTTCAATACACTATTTGAAGCTATACTGAGATCCACGCGACAATCGGACAGAGAGGTGACGAGATATAGTGCTTTTGTGGTTTCGAGTAATGGTTTCGGGTAACACCCTGGCCATGAGATCAAGCAAGGGTAGGTCACCCTGTCTCTTCGATGCCTATGAATACGAGAAAATTATTGACAACAACGACGACACGATTGAGGACGCATACAGAGGAGCGAATAGAATCTGTGGCTTTTATTAAGATTTTGCTATTGCATTAATTGCTACTGATCTGTGATTATGCCTCGCTATCCGCTCTACAAAGGGAGCCATCTGCCCAGCAGGAGGAACCAGGCTCAGCTCTTGACGGCAGTGACCAGAATGGGCGAGAACATCCTTTGACACTGATAAGCTACTTGCAATACCGTCAGACCAGGGTAAGGTGTAGTGCAAGTTGAAGTGTATAAGATGAGATGATGTCGGGTATCTCTGCCCAGTCGCATCAAGCTCGCGTCAAGTCCTAGCATCCATAATCTCAGACGCAGCATACCCATCAACTCGACACTAACGGAACTTCAACTTCAACTTGAATTTGGGAGAAGGCAAAGTCAAAGCAGAACCTTCGGTCGGCAGAGGTTCAACTTTGATGTTAGACTCCGCTTCGACTGAGGCAATCGGGTGTTATGCTTCGAATGAATTGATCAAAGGTTCGGGCCACATGACCTGACGCAGAGACGACTGAGCAAAGGCAGTGGTGTTTCGAGAAGGGCGGAACTTTCGTGGCGAGATGGAATCCTAGTCCATTTCCTCCTTCAAGCTAGCAACGCCCTTCTTGACTGTATTCGCGCCCGCACCGACCTTGCCGTCGAACCCGCCGTCTTGATCGAAGAAATCGACTTCGTCGAGGACGTCCCACACTATGTCTTCGGCTATCTGCTCATTGAATCTCTCAGAGATGGGTCGAAGCGCACGGCCGCGGTAGAATCTTCGATCCGAATCCGAAGTATCGGCAATGTTGGGGACAGGCTTTAGGTGGGCTGGGGNGTACCAGAAACCATTCTCACCAAAGTTCAGCTCGGCGATGCCGCCACTGAAACAGGCGATGGCAGGGAAATAGCCAAGCATACCGTCATCGAAGCCTTCGCGCGCGCCTTGAGCTTTGCTGACTTGACTGGCTGGTGGCAGAAACGCCAGGAGATTCTCAAAGGCAGTGCCGATCAAGTGGCCGTTCTTGTAGACACGGATGTTGCTGTGTGGTAGAGTGCGAAGCGGAGGGTCTTGGTGATGGGCGCCGGGATGCGATTTGATAGAGGTGGGTGCGCCAGGGGCAGGTGTAGACAGAGAAGTCAGAGATAGTGTGCGGTCTGCATATGCTTCGACAGGTTTGGTCGAGACATAGTCCATGGTCTCAAAGTAGACGTTGCCTTTGTAAGGCACGGGAATGCGGTCGCGGATGATGTGGTGAGGCTCTGCCGAAGGATCGGGACGTGGCGGTTGATCTTCGAAGCCATCGCCCAGGTCGACGGCAGGGTTGTAGTGACCTTCGACGACCTTCTGATGCAGCGACAGCGAGGGAAGAGTAATCTCCAGGCCGACGACATCGCCTTCGCGGATGCTGTCGTTGAGTTGGATAGGCGTGTTGGCTTTTGCCTTGGATGTCCTGGGGTGGAAGAACTTGGATGGTCTGCTGCGGTGCATGGGCTCGAAGCGCAGATCACTGATTCCGTAGCTGTAGCCGTCGAAACCGACTGGCGCATCCAGAGGAGCTTCGCGACGTGCCCATCCAACTCTTACGTGTGGCTGTGGTCCCTTGGTCTCCCNTGACTGCACCGTGGGCACACCACGCACGACGCGCACTTCAAAGTAGAATGAACCCTCGCGGGCGCAGACGTTGGCCCTCGCCATGCGCCATCCTCTTCCGTTGGTCATGATGTGGCCACTGGTATCATAGTGAATTGAACGGTCGGCGTCTTCGAAGGACATGCGGGCTCCGTAGGGCAAGCCATCAGACTGGCGATAAAACTGCTTGTGCCGGAAGTTGGGGTCTGCCACGGCTAGAGTGTATCGGTATGCGCGCTTGTTCTCGGCCTGGTCCGTCACTTTCTTGAGCTCCGTCTTGCCATCGGGTGCCATGTAAGGTAGGGGTTCGTGCGAAGTGAAGACTGGTGGCTTGGGCGGATCGTAATCGGATGATTTGGGCGGAGGGATCTGGTAGCGCATGGGCGACGGCGCCGACTGCGCAGTTGTATGGCGACCATTCGAGGCGCCGGTCGTCTTGCGTTTGGCGGGCACTGTCGGTGTCATGCCGCGTGTAGCCTCGCGCTTCTTGGCCGTCTCTTTGCGCTCGCGCTGCGAGCGTCCTCTGACCTCGGGGTTCAGGGNGGATGAGATGGCTGGCGCATTCTCCTGCACCAGACGAAGCGCTTCGGCCGGTGGAGCTGGTGACTGTGAGTCGGTCATGGCGATGGTGAAGCTTGTTGAACACTTGTCGACACGCAGCTACAGTGCACAAGAGAAGTTGACGCGCTGCAGCAGCATCCGAGCTTTGACGGATAGATCCGCCCGTCTAATCTTATCAACTACCTAGCCATCAATGATCATCCTCATGTAGAGCAGCATCTTCCACCGTACAAAGAGGAACCCTTGGACTGAGCACTTTCCAATACGCTACCAGTTCGCGCTCGTCAGGACACTATATCTCCTGATTCATCGCCCATCACTTCATGCCCTCGTGTCATGCAGAGTTTTTTCATCACCTCAGTTTTGCTCCATGGGGCGCCACATCCTCCACTTTGTTCCTACTTTACCCGCCATGGGTGATGCATACAGCGAACCCGACACCACCGCAATAATCCTCCGCGCAATCCGCATTTCCACCACATTTTCCCCGTAACGACTCTCATCACCTGAAAACCTCATCCCACCATGGAGTGCAACTGTGGGTCTGTAAGACAGGTACCATCGTCTGCGCGTGGCTGCACGTCTCGGGGATCATCAAGGTAACATATCCGGAAATGTGATTAAACGCGTGCTGAAGCGTGTTTGACGTGTCTGAGAACTGTCTTCCATTTGCCGGAGATGTGCTATTGGCTACCCGTGTGTGAAATCTCGTTCTCATCCCAACATGCTCCGAAGAAGAACCTGTTGAACCCAGGAGAACCGAAGTAAGACCACTGCCTACTTTGTATGCCCACCGAGGTCGGTCCTTCGCCGGTCGGCCAGAGATATTGCGGTCCACAAGGCCCTTCACTTTCTAGCGAGAGGCGACTGACACCGAGATCTCCTCTTCGAGACCTCAAAATCGATGCCTTCCTGCATGGGATCCAACGTGAAATGTCGAGTCGTGTAGTGTCAACTTCCAGACCTCGAATAGGACGTCATCCTGTTCCTCGAGGGACGTTGAAAAGACTTTTACGGGTGGCTTGAAAAGAGGCTTCTGCGAGACGGGCCGAGCAAAGCCATCAAAGGGCCGATATATGCTTTTCCGACTTGGCATTTTCCTGGCCGACGCCCTTCGATGTGTTTTCTGGCCGCCTTCTTCGACCCACATCACGACTCTTGCAAGCTCGCATCAGGCCCCGGAGCTGTCCCAGACTTGTCCCACTGACTTGCGAAGTGAGTGCTCGTCGCTTGATCCTGGAGCAATCAAACCCCAAACGGGCCCCAGGCTAACCCTCCATCTCCAAGGAAAAAATCTCTCTCTTGTGTTACCGTTACGTGGGTGTTGTGTCCAATTAGCTCGTGAAATGCGACGTCATTTTCGATGAGCTGATGCCTTTTGCTGGGCGTTTGAGCGAGATATGGCTGCAACTTCCGTAACTAACGCCTTCCGAATCGTGATGGTTCAGTCGGCTTCGGCACGCAAGGCAAATTTTGCTTGTAGCTTCGTCCCGAGAGCTGCTCGTCCAGCCCAGGGCTCGAAGCTGTTGCTTGCAGGTGACCTGAACCATCACCGGACCGTGGTCTTGGTTTGACGTCGCTGCTCGGCTGCTTGATTCCAGCTAGTGGCTCGACCCTTCCTTGGACCCATATATATCCTCCGTGCAGAGCGTAGAACATCGAAACCAAACCTCCATCAACAGACCCCAAAGTGTCTCGTGCTCTATCATTTCCAACCGACTCTCTGCCCACGCCCGCGTTGAGTGCCGACCTTGTATCCGGAGCACTCCATAGCGACCCCGATCTATTACCGTCTCTCTGTTTTGCTCCATCCTTTATAAGCTCGAATCTCCTCATTTTTCTTTTCGATCTCCCCAGCAGACCCTCACCTGGCTGTCATAAGACCTTTCCTTTCGCCCTCCATCTGGTTTCCACTCTGCATCCTTCCCTCATCATCAACCAGTCAAACATCCTAACCCATCCTCACCATGGGTCTCTTCTCCAAGCGTACTGAGACCGAGGCCATGACCGCTGGTCAGGTCGAGTCGACCGCTGGCAACCATGAGCTTCCTGCNCCTGCCGGCAAGGTCACTTTCATGGCCATCTTCATGGGTCTCGTTGCCTCTATCGGTGGTTTCATGTTCGGTTATGCTTCTGGTCAAATCTCTGGTATGTCTAAAGCTCCTTCAAAGTTCCCCAAGCTCCTTGCTAATATCTCTCAAGGTTACTGGCAAATGTCCGACTTCCTTCGCCGTTTCGGTCAACAGAACCCCGATGGTACATACTACTTCAGCGCTTACCGCCAGGGTGCCATCACTGCTCTTCTCTGTGGTGGTGCCGCCGTCGGTTCCCTCATCGCTGGTAGACTTGCCGATGTCATTGGCCGCAAGTTCTGTATCTCGCTCTTCGCTTTCTGGACTGCCATCGGTGTTGTTATCGAGATTTCGTCCATGAACTCCTGGGGCCAATTCGCCGCCGGTCGTTTCGTCGACGGTATCGGTATCGGTGCTCTCTCCGTCGTCGTCCCCATGTACCAGGGAGAGTCCGCCCCTCGTGTCATTCGTGGTGTCCTTATCGCTTGCTACCAGCTTTTCGTCACCCTCGGTATCTGGACTTCTTACATGATTGACTTCGGCACCCACGACGCCTACTCCAACAGCGCTCAGTGGAGAATCCCCGAGGGTATCTCTTTCCTCTGGGCCTTCGTCCTTGGTGTTGGTATCCTCTTCCTTCCCGAGTCTCCCCGTTTCGCCTACCGTGCCGGTCGTGAGGACGAGGCTCGCAACACCATCGCCCGCTACGCCGGTATTGACCCTGAGCACAAGGAGGTCAGCGACCAGATCAGCGACATCCGTGTCAAGCTCGATGAGGAGAACGCTGCCGTCGGTGCCAAGTGGTACGAGTGCTTCACTGGTCCCCGCATGGCTTACCGTACTATCCTCGGTATGACTCTCCAGGCTGGCCAGCAGCTTACCGGTGCCAATTTCTTCTTTTACTATGGTACAACCATCTTCCAGGCCACTGGTCTCAGCGACTCCTACGTCACCCAGATCATCCTTGGTACTGTCAACGTTGTCTGCACTTTCGGTGGTCTCTACGTTGTTGCCAAGTGTGGTCGCCGCAAGGCTCTCATTGTTGGTGCTCTCTGGGCCTTCGTCTGCTTCATGATCTACGCCTTCGTCGGTTACTTCAAGCTCCCTCCTTTCGCCAAGGAGAACAACCAGGCTGCCGGAAGTGTTCTGATCGTCTTCACCTGCTTGTTCATCGTCTCGTTCGCCACCACCTGGGGACCCCTTGTCTGGGCCGTCGTTGCTGAGCTGTACCCTGCCCGCTACCGCGCCACCTGCATGGGTCTCGCCACTGCCTCCAACTGGATCTGGAACTTCTTGATCTCGCTCTTCTCCACCGTCATCGTCGACGACATTCACTGGTTCTTCGGTCTTGTCTTCGGTGGCTGCTGTCTTGGTCTTGCCGCCATTGTCTACTTCTTCGTCATCGAGTCCAAGGACCGTTCGCTCGAGGAGATCGACACCATGTACATCCTCCACGTCAACCCTATCACCTCCTCCAAGTGGGACGGTTCCAAGGTCCCCGAGGATGCCTACGCCTCTGGTGTCGCCGAGCAGGGCAATGTCCCTGTCTCCCGCATTGCCTCCAAGGCTGAGGAGGAGAAGTAAACAAACGTACAGACTTCAGGAAGTCTTTACGACAAAAGTTCGCATTTCTCTTTGGCATAGCATTGGTGTATGGGTCTGGGCAAACAGGCAATTTTTGAACGTAATCGGGAGGTTTTATTCTCACTGAGATTTTTTTAATGTACATACCCCGAATTGTTATGACTTTCAATATTTTCACAACTCAACTTTTTCTACAATTGCTCTCTTCCTCTCAATGTGTCTGTGAAGTGTCTCTTTTATCTGCTGAGAACAACTGTTGGTTCTAAACATTGGGTGGTCAATTGAACATCGAATCGATCGTTTCGTAATCCGGACCGACTCGACTGTTTCCCTTTACTCTAGCATCCCTCTGATATCAGAAAAACCCACACTTGGCGACCACGTATATCCCTTTTCTTTCTGGACCATACCAAGACCGAAATTTGTGGGCAAGCTGGAGCGAGCGCCGACCTCAAACGCGACACGAGTCTGTCTTTTGTTTTGCTACGACTCGACTTCGATCGATTGCATCAAAGTGCTGGGAGACACGCAAACACGACTTTCAGGGCTGGACGTTTCGCGATTGCGTCGGTGAAATTACCGTGATGGAGTTTTGTGGTGCCTTTTTCAGGGCTCGGAGTGATATGAGACGGATGCGTTGTTCTGAAACGGGAGGCCTGGAGTTTCTTTACTTTCTTCTATTTTCCTTTTTCTTTCTTTCCCTTTTGTTTCCTCTCTTTCTTTTTTTCTTTCTTTTTGTCTCAATTCTTGATTTTATTTTCTCGTCTCCTTCTCTTTTCCCCATTGTTAGGTTATGCTTACTTTTTGATTCGGCTGTGTTTTGCAGTAGAAGAAGAAGAAGAAGACTTGCCAATTTCTTGCGTTCGACGGGAGTGACTTCCGCGCGACTTGTCACTTCTATCGCTATACTGTTCCTTCGGCTTGTTAGGTGCATTTGTCTTTTGGTATAACATGCTGCAGGTCTCTTGCTAGTGACAGCCGTTGGAGGCTCACTTTATGTTATCGACCAGCGGTGACACGGTAAGCTGCCTCCATGTCACCCTTGCCCAGCTATCTAAGCATCTTGTGAAGGTCACAGTTCGGTCGTACCGAATCAACTTCTCTTCTTGTGCTAAGAGTCGGGTGTGGCTTACAGAGTGAAGATGATCTGACAAAGTGGATGTAACATCTTTGAGGTGTGGTTCCGATGCCTCGCCGTGTGTTGAAAGACAGTCATGATTTCGTGAACAACTTCTCTTCCGGAATGGTATATCACTGATGACTGGTACAAAGATGTATTAACCTCATACAGCAAGATAACCAAGTCGTGAAAACCAGAGACTTCCAAGTCTACTGATCTTGCACATACCCGTATCGTCCTCCTAGAACCTACAAACCTTCATGATACTCTGCAGCTTATCATCGTTGTTCTTGAACACACTCCCCAAACTCGCCACCGAGTCCGCAGACATGCCTCTCCTCGCACTCGCCACACCGGAGATGCCTTTGCCGTCGCGAGAAGCTATCGCTGTTCCCGCTGTCACTCGAATAGAATGGTAGACCAGGGTCGGCTGTTGCGCGATGATCCGTCAGTAGGAGGTGATGTAGGAATATGTAGTGGCTTACCAATGGATCCGTCATCTCCACCACTGCCTTTTCCGCATTCGTTGAAATAGGTCCAAGCCTTGAATAGTTTAGCATGAGATTCGTCAGTTGATAACAACAGATGGTTTCACTTACTTGATTACTAACGGGAAGGACATGGATCAAATCAGCTCTGCCTAGTCCACCTTGATTTGCAAAGTGCTGCCGTCGACAGAATTAGCCAGTGGAAGGCAACGGGTATGTGTTGACGCTAGACATACCATGGTTTCGCCTCGATCGATAGGAGAATACAGCACGCCTCGGTTAGTCCAAGAGAACGAACTTCCTTTGCCTCCAGGTTTGTGTCCGTTATTCTTGACGACGGTTGCGGCGCCAGTGAACTTGTCAAGATGAATGATGTCTGCTCTGCCTGAGGCTTCCACATCAGCGAACCTGATGTTCGCTCTGTCCCATCCTTCGCTGAACTTGATCTGGCCAACGTCTACAAGTCCTGCTTTTGGGTTGAGCCACGCTGTGATTCTGCCGTTCGGTTCGATACAGAGTACATCGGCTCGTCCATCACCGCTGTAGCCATTGTTATCAGTCTTTGAGGCTTGCAAAAGAAATCAGAAACTTCTTACTCGATGTCCGTGACAGCCATGCCTCGATCGAAGATGCCTACTCCCCAGCCTTGAGTGCAAGTAGCAGCCCCGGTGACCACACCTACATTAGCAAATTTGAGGGTGTTTGTCGAGGCATCGTAGCGGTTCTCCCACATCGTGAGCGCACCAGTCTTCTTGTCCTGAACCAGGACATCGCACTTGCCATCACCATTCCAGTCCGCAAGATGGATACCCATCCTCGGGCCAGGGACTTTGAGTGTAATCTTCGTTTCGTGACCCCAACCAGGTGGTTCGTGTATGTTTGCGTAGAAGTCTCCTGAGTCGGCATGGCCATCGCTGTAGATCCACACATAATCATCTGAGCCTATGTTTCTCATATCGCAGTAGAAGACGCCATCACCTAAGGAGAAAATTTAGAAACAGCATGATTCAGCGATTAGGCAACATACCTTTTCTTCGTGTGCCTCCGCCACCATTGTTTTGCCAGACGTGCATCTCGTATCCGTCGCTCACGTTCTTAAAGTAGACATAGTCTAATCTTCCAGAACCATAGATACGACCAAACTTGATCTGTTTGCGCACACCTGATGTGCCCATACCGCCATGAGTTATGCCAGAACGAGTCCAATCAGGAACCTTGGGACATCAGAAACTGCTTGGAGAGAGGTAATGACTAGACACTTACAATACCGGTTCCCCACCCACGTTGATTGATCCAAGTGTCAATATCGCCTTGGTCGCCAATCCACATCCAATCGCTGCGAAAGCTGTGATAAGATATGGTTAGTTTTGAGACATGCTACTGTAATCACATAATACCTACTCCCCATTGAGATCGGCTATACGAAGCAATGTTAGTGATTCAATTTGTGCCGCCAAAGGTTTGATACTAACCTAGTCGGACTCCGGACGCATCGCCTTTGTTCTTGGCTGTGAAAACCACCTCCCGCAGACCACCAACAGTCTTGAATCCCTGCCAGCTATAACTATCCCCCTGCCCCTGGTTACGGGAGCAGCTTCAAGCAATCAGACATTAGGTGACCAATGGATAAGATGGGACACTTACAGGATATCACCATTATGCCCAATGAGGCAATAATCAGCCCTGCCATCGCCACTACATAGTAACTAGGGTCAGTATGTTATGACTCCAGCAAGAGGAAGTCCTTACTCGATATCTGCAATGCGGACGTCAGTGGCCATGTAGCCATCATGCTCGGGAACCACCTTGAGCCGGTTAGCGTAACACTTCTCACAGGATCAGTAATGCGTACTTGACCAATGTGCTCAAACTTTGGAGGATTGCCCCCTCGGTTCAACGATACCGACACTCGGGAACCACCCCTAAACAGAAGAAGTCATCCAGACCATCATTGTTGAAATCTGCGAACCAGTAGGTGGGGCCGCCGTCGCAATTCATATTCACGTCAAAGGTTACGTGATCCGCAAAGTACCATCGCCTTTGTTTACACGGAGCCAGTAAGTGTTGGTGCCATCTGCTTTGTGTTCAACGCGCACCCAGTCGTCGAGCGCTCCGGCACGATCCGCACCACCAGAGTTAACCAACTGAGCAAAGAACCTGTTATTGTATGTGGTTAGCGTGCGCGTTCCATGAATGCCACATGACTCGCTTACATATGCTCAGGTATAGCAGCGTTGATTTTAGTGTCAGGACCGAAGAACACTTTGCCAGAAGGTATGTTACCTTTGGACGTAGAGTGGTGGATGTAAAGCCCGTCATCATGACCACTGCCTTGTTGTGATTTGATAGGCCCTCGAGCATTGCCAGCAACTTTTGTACAGTTGTGAACTGCCGAGAAACCAGTGTCGATCATTCCGTTGTCGTTGGCTGGAGCTTGTATGGTACTCTCTGCTCTGGAAATGGCGTCCCACCACACTGCCGCCATCTTTCTGTATCCGGGGTCGAGTGGATGGATGCCGTCATCGGAAAGATCACTAACTTTGAGGAACGCGTGCATATCGGCAAGATGGAGCCTGGTTTTAGGGTCTGCCTGAAAGTAACTGAGGGTCAAATCACGATATTGGTTCGAGATGGAGGTCGCGCAAGTATTGAAGTCTCGTTTGACTCAACGCTGAGTACACCATGTAGAAAGTCGAGACGCAAAAGTTCCAATTACAGAACGGAGGCTCATACGAAGCCATCGACACAAAGGCCACCCTCGAGAAGCACAAAAGCGAGTCTCAACAGTTGTTAGATGCTGTCAAGCATTGGGCCACCACATTCGACACCATGACCAAAAGACAACGAAAGGCATTTGAAGGCCATTCAGGTGTGCAAGGCGATCGTCGTAAAGTTGCTCAGCAGTTGCTAGGTAATAATCCTTATTGATTCGTTCTGCAAGTTTGTCCGGAAACGATTTTTAGATAAATCATTTTGAGCGTAGTCCGAGCCAGTTGTAAGCAAGTCGGGATATCTTGACTTGGGACGATGACTTCCTTATGGCTTCTCCTGTTTAAAATTCCATTTCTGTCGTGCGTTGCCCAGATCAAATCTCGACACGATGATTGCACATGCGAGTGCACAGGCGAAACATGATTGCCGGATGCATAATCGTAGTCAACTCGTCGGAGTGGAAATTCGTTGTGATCACACGTCTCAGATGTTGCCTCATCGAATCGGCAGACTGTCGCGTAAGATCTTGTGCAACGGTAACGGGCTGCCTACGTTCGCACTCCTCAGCTAGGTCATAAAATCTGTTCAGCCTGGCTTGATCTGATGCTGGAACGATTTGCACAGGGGCATCTCCCAATAGGCTGAACAGACCAGTTGCTGCTGCAGCGTCGAGATGGGCATGCACAACAACAACTCGCATGACGACTAGCCATGCTGATAGCTGTTTGTATGCATTGATAACTTTGACTTTATCTGGAGTCACAAGCTTCGGGACCGGTAACATAGATTGAGTCTGCAGAAACAGTCTAGAAGCATGAGGCTCATGCGCCGTGGGATCGAGATATGTCAGCATGATGGAGGGAGTGGCAGACATCCGCGAGGCCTCCCACACGAGACATTGAAGGGAATCGCCAGAGTAATCATAATCAGCTTCATATCCGGAGGTCCAATTGAGGTGAGGCGAGTCAGGAGTTGTGTCAAACCAGGCATCCGAGTTGTCCGTCCCTGAGATCCACTGAGTGTCGAGAGGCCGATCTGGATCGCAAACCGTAGCAGAGCCGCCGGACTCGGTCGCAACAAAGCGCGATTCACGACACACATGGCTTATGAGTGGCGGTCGTCCGTTTTGATAGGTTGTTTGGTAGAGCTGACATGGTGAGGAACTGTCATCGTCAAGGTTGAAAACGATCCGGTCCACAGGCTGATCAAGTTCACACACCCGATGCGGAAGACAGTAACGCCATACTTTCAGTCGCAGCTCGGCGGGTAGTTGTGCGAAGAGACGGAAGGCTGGCGCCGGCACTGTCATGTTGATGGAGATGATGGGGCCTGAAGTGTGGTATCTTTCGGGTGACAACAACTACGGAGGAGTGAGAAAGCTAGCTTGTGAGGAATCAGGCCTCCAACATTCAATACCATAATGGCGGATTGTTGGAGGCTTGGCGTCTGACAGCTGTCGTGGACTGGGAGCGACTCGATGAGCTGCTTCCGAGCCACTCTTACTCAGTCATCCACCCTACTTCCATTAAAAACGTTCATTTCAGCTTGAGCGAGTCTGAGATGAAGATATATGAGGCTCTTGTGAGGCTCCAGGGGTAAGGTTGTAGATCAGGAGATCGGGACCGGGGTAAAGACAAACACCGAGATGGGGTTCTCACAAACGTCATCACTTTTAGAGCTTGATGAGTTCATGACTTTTGACAGCATTCCTTGGTGCTTTTGTAAAAGATCTATCAGGCAGGTGCTCCTTCTCTCCTTCATACCAACACATTTTCAACCAAACAGCCTCACTCAGACTATATCGCAATCATGGGTCTTGAATACAGCACCGCCAAATGGCTCGCACCTGCATCGTTCATCTACGACTTTGCGCTCCAGCAGTATGGACTTAACAGCACTCCTTCGATGAAGCAGATCAACGACAGAAACATTTCTTTCTGGAGCCCTCAGCCTTACTTCATCGGAGGCTTCTTTGCACCTCAGCAGATTGTACAGATTGCATGGTTGTACCGTCTGTGGAAGCTTGATCCCAGCAAGCCCAAAGAGAAGAGCGAGTTGGACCAGATTGTCAACTTTGTCCCTTACTACGCCCTCGGTAACTTCTGCATTGGAACGTAAGTTATATATTCTCTTCCTGGCATGAAGGGACGCTAATCCTACGAAAGCTGGATGTTCTTTTGGAATAGCGAGCAGCTCAAGATCTCCAACATGTTCGTTGTCGTCAACTCCCTCAGCCAGCTTTACTTCATCTTCACCAAGCTCGGCCCCATGAACACCAAGTCCCTCTCGTCCGTCCTTACGCACGTCAACGCGAAGACCTTTGCCGGTATTGGTGTCCTCGACTTCCTTCACAACCTCAGTGTTGCATACTACAAGGATGCCCTCCCTAGCCCCGCCATCAAGGCCATCACCGGCGCCGGTTTCGCCGGTCTCGCTGCCTGCAGCGACTGGATCTTCGGTGGATGCCTCGTCTACGATCTTGTTGCCTTGAGCGTTGGCCAGGCCACCGTGGGCAACCCCGACTGGAGCAAGATGTTGGGTGGATTTGCCGTCATGACTGCCGGCATTGTTGGCCTGAGAAACTACTTTATGTAGGAGACTGTCCCGCACACCTTTTTCGAGCGGTATCTATTCACGACATGGCAAGTCTGACGGTTTCTTATTTACAGCCCTCCCTACGTCAGTGAGCCCGGATACGCTCTTGCAGATGACGATGACACTTTTGATGATCGTGTTTGAGCGGATACTCATACTCATACCCCAGAATTATGTAATGTACTATTAGGAATCTACCAGCGGTTTATCTCACATAGCTACGAAGAATGAACAGTTACAAAAACATATGCATACACATCTCATCTCGATTGCAGTCTCAGATCAGCAGCCTGGCAGTATGAATGCTGATGAGACAACACCATGAATGCTGATGCGTTGCAGATATCCTGGGGGCTACAGGCACCAGTGTCTCAGTTATTACAAACGCCAATCGATATCACCATCCTTACAAGAAGAACATGCTCAACAAGACTTGCAAGCCTTCAGAGTCGATACACAAGCAGTCCAAGATGCCACCCTGTCTGTACATCTGCTGCCACTTTGAGATCACCGACGACCACCATGGCTCCCCATCAAGACCCAAAGCCATTCAAGATGGTCGACACATCTCCCGCCGCCACTCCCATACCAGNAGAACGACAACGACAAAGTCCTCGAGCAGACAAGCCAAGAGNAAAGATCACACGAAAGACCCAGACATCAATCTCGCCATCGTTCTCCCACATCTCCAGTACGCATATTTTACCCAACAAGCACATCAAGCATTGCCCCCTCCTAACATTGCAATATCAGCGAATCCACCATCGTCAAGAGATTAACAACTCGGCGCCTGAAACTTCTGCCCAAAACACCACCATTGTAACACAAGACCAACCCCAGTAGCCACCCAAATCAATGCCATCCGCGAACACATCGAAAAAGAAGACACACGCCACTCCCTCACCATCACAAAACTACACAAAACCCTCGATACCGAGCACGCCCGCTACGATTCCCGCACCAAAGGCTTCCGCTCGCGACTCATTGACTTAAGTACCGCGCATCAACACCATCTCCGCAGTTCACCCAAGAAGTTGCTGCAGCAGCCCGAAAATGTCAACGATGATGGAGGAGTGATTTGTGAGAGTGCAGGCAAACAAGGCTACATAGCCAAATGGCTTGAGGGACTCAAATCCATGAGTTCGTTTTCTGGGATGAGGGAAAGTAGTGATGGGGACAGTAGCGTGGAGGTTGTGGCTGCCAAAGATGCAAAGGGAAAAGGCAANGGGGTTAGGATCGTTAGTGATGGGGTCGAGGAGGGTGGTGGTGATGTCTGAGGACAAGGCCCAAGAAAGAAGGACAGAAGGAAGAAGATAGGAAACTCACACCTACCTTTGAAAAGGGATCTGTATAGTATGTGAGCAGCCTTCCTTGGTTCCCTCGCAGCGAAGGATATACTCCCAAAACAGACTTTCATGCAGCACATCATTCCAATCATGACCCTGCCCGCGCAGGAGAAAGGCAGATACACTATCTGCACAGTCATGGACGTGATTGTCTTGTTCGGCCTGACCAATGTCATCACAGAGAAAGAATGGCGGACGACGCAAGAGCAACATGCTAAACACGCGACTCAAACACGACAACCAAGTGCTGTTAGTCTTCTACAGTGTACTGTACAAGGAACAAAAACAGATTGGACATCTCTTATAGCGCTTGTCTTTAGAGAGTGGTCAAAGTGAGTAATGACAATGTCCAGCTTTCGGGCAAGATAATGTCCTTTCCTTCATTCTCTTTCTTCCTCATTCACTTACTTCCACTATCATATCACATTATAATCATCTCTAATCCAGAGATCGGTCCTGTGGCTCACACGGTAGCGTCAACTCGATGGAAAACCTTTTTCACAAGTCTAGCATAAATAGAATCCAGAGGTGGTGAGTTCGACTCTCTGCCTTGGTTGGTCGCGATCATGACTTTGGGTGTTTCCCCCAAGCTGAGTCTTGGTTTTTTTGCTCTTGTACGAATGGATGTTCATTCTTACTGCAGCGAATGCATCACTACTAGTTTTTGTTTTCTGCAGCGAGGGTGTAATCATCAATGAAAGGGGTATCATTTTGAGGCAAAGAGAATGTAAGAGGGGATTGAAACAATCTAGTCGAAGGGCAGTCTTCTCAACGATTCACCACCTTGGCGTTTCTTCATTTCTTGCATGGCACCAATGGCAGNAGGAACCTTGATACCACAGCAGTCATCCCATGTCTTGCCGCTGTGATCGTGAACGTGCTTCATACCGCCTTCCGGCGCGACTCGGCCCTGCCCACCTTCTGTCTCTTCCATTTCACCAGCAACGTCGGTCTCGTCTTCTGTGCTCATACCGTCAACGGCAGGTACTAGGCTACCGAACAAAAAGTGTTGCATGACGGGCAGCTTGCCCAAGACTTCAGCGACAAACATCTTCTTCATGCCGGCTTCGACCTTTTCCCAGTTCTTTGCGCTGCTGATGTCGTCGAGCATGGGTGAATGCCAGCGCAGGCCATCGACATTCTTGACGCTGTTGACGTAGGCGACTTGTTCGAGGTAGAGATAGTCTTTGGAGCATTCTTCAAGAATGAGAGGTTTGTGGATCGACATGGGGCGGATATGAGGATGGTGGACGAGTTGCGCGCTGCCGAAGAGGAAGGGAGCGAATTGGTAGTCGTCGAGACCCCAGACACCGTGTGAGCCAGCGGGTTCGAGGTAATATGTTGACTGGACGACACGCATGACGCGAAGATAGCGAGGGAAGACTACAAGGGTGATTTGTGGGAAGGTGGATTGAGGAAGAAGGTCCATGCGGTTCAGACATAGCAACCAGATGAGGAAGTTGAGCTCGTGACCAGATCCGTAATCAATGCGGGTCTTGTTGCCAAAAGAATGGAAGATATATGTCGAGACTTCATCCTGAGCAGCGGAGTCTGTTACGCCGAGCTTGTCGTGCCATGACTTGAGTAATGTCTCGATCTTGTCGAGGTATGTGATGAAGGCCTTGTTGCCAAAGCGAGAGCCGCCAGCATCTTCAGCAGGGCATTCGGCGACTGTCCTCTCTGCCTCCTCTAGGATGTTCACAATTGTATCGATAGCAGGATCTCTTTGGGTCTTCTGAACAGAAGTGACTGTTGTTTGGCGGACCGAGTCGGAGAGGCCAAAGACGAAGGCCGTGACCAAGTCATATGTGGGAGAGTTCAGGAATAGATCATGATCTTTCTTGGAGAGGATACGGCGTGTGGGATGTTGGAACTTGACGTCCTCCTTGTTGGGGGCAGCAGGGAGGGCGGGAGTTGGTGGTGGTGGATTTAACGGAGGTTCGGTCGACTTGTCTTGCTTGCGTCGGGGAATGAGTTTAGGGAGTTTGTTGGAGAGGTCTGGCGGCGGACTGAGGATCTGAGTATCGGGAATGGGTTCGGCGGACGGCATTGCGAGGTGTCTAGTGCTTCCAGGTGTTGGAAAGAAAGAAGGACATGAATGGTTTCAAGGGAAATGTCTTGGCAACGATGCCACATGGAGTCAGTCGCGGTTCCTGTTTGCGGAGGTGATGATCATTTCCACCTTCCTTAATATCACCATCCGGCAGGACTCGACCACCGATTCGCGCCTTCTCTCCCTTCTTCGGAGCGCCCATCTCATCGCTATCCTTCCTGGCCCTCGCGACCTGCTCCCGGTCACCGCCAGCGACATTTCCGCCTCGGCCGCCAAGGACCCCCAGGAGACGTCATCAGGCCCGGCTCTTGTTTTTCTAGAATGCTATAACAAACACGACTCTGCATGCCATAGCCGCCACCACGCCTGAGGGCATGTCCTGCCCCCGATGGTCAAGCGCCCGCGACTCCCCTTTCGCATTCCTTTCTTCCGCATCTTCTACAGCACCACTTACACCACCCTCTTCCTCCTTATCCTCATCTTGCTGGCCATCACTCCGGCAACCCTCATCTATACCGCTCTTCGCGCCAGCGCCTATCAGTATGTCTTCGAAGTCGGCGGCGTCTATGTTCTGGTCGTCATCTTTACCCTCTTCATCTACTCGAGTCGACTCTACACCAACCGCTCCGTCCTCGCCGCCGTTGGCAAGTCTTGGATTCCCGTACAGCCCGGCGAGGTCAGCAAGAATGTTCGCAAGGAGGTCGTCGAGGCCGCGAATAGAAGCGCTAGGATTGCTTTCGAAACCAAGCCCAGGAATCTCCAGTCTGAGCTTTCGCGCAACAAGAAGCAGCACCACGACTTCGACGATAGCGAGCCCACCACCGTTGGCAACATAGTCCACATCGATCCACATCATCCTCCTTGGGGTCGCATCTCACACGCTGGCTGGTCTTCGCCCTCTCAGCTCGATGCGAACCTCGCCCCTCACATTCAATTTCGCACCGTCGTCATGGAGCTGCCCAATCTTATTGAAGCCCGTGCTGTTTCGCTAGCTCCTCCGCTTATGATACAGGATGCTACCGCTACACCCGACCCACGGGTTGTCAACGTGCTCTCGAGGCAGCCCATGGCGGATATGCGCTCATACCTAGCCCAAATCTCTGGCCTCGGCCTCATTCCACCAGACGTTGGCCAAGATTTTGTTCAACGCTACGAGCATGCACGATTCTCTCCTATACCCATCAATGAGGATGAATTCGAAGATCTCATGTCGGACTTTGCGACCCTACTCGCCAACATGAACCAGTTACCACCGAAGGTCATCGACATTGCTCATGCTGGTTCAGTTATTACCTCCGAAACTTCAAGCTTATCTTCCATTTCTTCTCGCAGCGATAGCATTTCCTCCTCTATTGCTGGCTCTGTCTTCCGCGCTCGTACCCCTGGCTCGAGACTACCATCCTTTTATACACCACGCGCGTCCATGTCTNNTGTCGCACGCACACCCTCCCCGAGCACGCGTCGTACAGCTCCATTCTCAACACCTCGACCACAAACTTCACAGACTGCCAACACTGTCTACCGTACACCATCCGAACAGACCTTCTCGACTATGAACTCGGTCCGTAGAACAGCACCGAGCAGTCGACGAGCCATGGTCGACGGTGATGGCTCACCTGCAGCTAGTCTCCGTCGACTAGAAAGCTATGAGAGCGGACAGAGTGTTATACGGACGCCACTCCCTTCTAGCTCTGCTACGTCCTATTATGGATGAGCGAATGGCTGCCCGCGAAGTTTCTTCTCTTCTCTGTTGATATTGTTATTCTTTTTACTACATATACCCCCTTTTTAGATCATGTTAATGAAAACAAAAATGTTTAATGCCTTTCTTTTCTGGCTCTCCACGAATCTTTATCGTCCCTGCCTTCCCAAGATCCGAATGCTCACCAGTTTCTCGTTGCCTCCGTCTGTGATACCACCATTTCTCCCACAAAACTCCAGAGAGCAACTCAAAGAGTTGAACATGCCACAGACATTGCAAGTCGCCAGGAAACCTACTGTTCGTCTTTAATAGAGCTCAGATGGTTAATCAAGACATGAGAAACCGAGAAGGTGTATCTACCTCTGCAATGTCAAGATGGAGGTGTAACTATAGTCTACGGATATCCGAAAAGAGCTTGATCGACGAGCATGAGAAGTCCACAGAAGAGGGAGCAAGGAGACGGGAGAGTATATCCACGTATATGATATGTGAATGTGGTGAACAAGACAAACAAACATGCGTCTGAGCACAAGCAAGACAGAACACTCACACGACTCCCAGAGACCATAAGACCTTGTGCAAGAAATCACAACAATGATTTTTCTTTTGTGACAGGTCACTGATCAGACAACCTTGGCTCTGTCTCCCCATCTCGGCACTCGATTGATGTTTCTGCCGGACGACAATCGTGAATACAAGACTTGTATACATGACTGTCATACGAGATCCACTCAGCTGCTTCAATGCTCACAAAAGTAAAAGGTGGCCTCACAACCAACCATGGACTCAGCAAGCGGACCACGCTCCTCCATCAACTCCTCCCTAAACCCCTTGGCCGCGTCCATGGAGATGGGAAAGTCTGTGACATCTCCAAAGACCTTTTCCATCAATTCGTTTGGCAGCGTCTTGAGTTTGTCGATGTGTTCGCGCTGCTCACGAAGTTCGCTTGCCCACCAATGTTTTTGCTGTGGGGGAACCTTTGACGTGGACAAGATGCGTACATGTGGGTCCACCAGAAAGAGTGCTAGAATCTTTCTCTCACCGGGCCGTGTGTTGTCTTCGAGTTGGAATGAACCGACGTTATGCTGCAAAACGTTTGGAAAAGCCAGTAGACGGCCTTGTTTACACAGTACACTGCCGAGATCCTGAATAAGGACATCTTCGTCATTCTTGAAGCCCGTGATCTTCTCGAGATGGTCCCAATCGCCTTGTTCGTACTTCAAGTCCAGATGAGCTTCTTCGTTGCAGTTGTGGCGGAATTTCAGATGGGAGGGTGTGATGTTGTCGTTTGAGAAATAATAGCTGGCTGTCGCGACGATGTGTTCATTCAAGAGACCTTGGGATTCAGTCAGCATCGTGTAACCAGATTCGTGTCGATGCCTTACCTTCGACGTGCCAGCTACCTCCTTCCCATACTGGATCATCAGGCGTCAAGTAGGTATTCGCCAGCTTGACGATGATCTGCAATCCGCTATCGGCGTACTCTTTGCGAAGGTCAAGCGGTGGTTCTTCTAAAACTTCGCGAGGTTTGTAGGGGTTTGGTTCAGGAAAGTGCAATGTACGCATGTTATCCCTCCACCACTCGTCTAACTCATAGCTGTCGTCACTGTCGATGCCTTTTTGTTCTTTGTCGATCTTGTGGCTAATGCCCGACCAATTATATTCAAGGGCACCCGCGGCATCCGATAATGCTTTGAGCTCTGCTTTCTCTTCTTCAGTCTCTGGATGTCTGCCCAGGGTCCAACCTCCCGGTCGCTCATCTCTGCCATGGACCCACTCGAAGTGGAAGTCGTTGATCCCGATACGAGGATGAAATGGCCTGACATAATCACGGCTTCTTAAAGTGCCATTGTTGGCAGAAAGTGAGCCACCAGTGTGGCTGAGTAGTTGGTCCCATAGAGGTACCGCTTTTGCGATGACTTTTTCGATTAGATGATAGAGCCCAGCATGTTCTCGAGGATGCAGGTTGTTGATGTAGCTAACGATCTTCACTTCGTTCTCCCCTTCGAATTTGACGTCGCAAGGCAGCCATTGAAACTCGTCTGAGTAGTAATCACTATAGACTTTGGGTTTCCCGATGACTTCCCCTTGTCCGCAATAAGACGTGCAGTCTTCGAGCCCAACCACGCCTTCCTTCAAGACCTTGGAATGTCCATAGATCAAAGGAAAGAGGGAAGGGTGAACAAGATCGAGGACTCTATCCCGAGTCCTGGGATGCCAGTCCTTGTCTTTGTCAGGCACGTTCTCCAGTGAGGCGACCGCTCGATTGAGTTCCTGTCTCAACTCTTGAGAGATTGTATTGTCCGAATAGACCACCTGTGCGTCGACGTCGATGGCTGCGACAATGCCTGTCTTCTCCAGTGTTTTGGCCTTGTCGCGAAGCTCGGCAACGCAATACTGCCACATGAGCTCACTGAAGTCCTCCGCTTGGCTCATGAGCTCAGCCATCCACTTGTCGCAGATGGTGTCGTCGAAGACCTTACGAAACCATTCAGGCTTCTCCATGAGTTTCTGCATGGCAATCATCATGTTAAGCTCGCGGATTGCGAGAAGGGCTCCAGTCCAGGCAGTAGGATCCACGTCCACCAGCCGGTGATGTGGGCATTTGTATTGATTGCATTCCGAGGCGTCAAGATCCATACCTAGGCCAGGGAATATTTGCTGTCCAGCATCGTTGGCAAAGTGATGGCATTTGATATTGTCCGGGACGGTCTTTTGCTGAATTGTTTCTGGAGTCGACATGGCGTATGTGGGTTTGAGCTTCGAATGTAGCTACTCTCTTGATGAAGCTTGATTGAGGGGTTGATGGGCTACTTGAGTTTTTGCGAACGTCAGTTGATGCTCGAGTCGTGGGAAATTGGATGTTGAAGACTGGGCGCGCGAAGGAAGCGGGACCAGAGTTTCGGAGAGGTCTGGCATCCAGTCCTCTTCAGGCAGCGACAGGCAGCCGCAGGCAGACGCGACGTGTTATGGCCGCTGGCAACCGGTGCGAAAAAGACGGACAATGTTGAAAAAGATCATTACGAGTGCTGACCGAAATTGTTGCAAGACTCACAAGAGAGCGTGTCCAGACGAACAGACTGAGGTGAAGATATGAGGGCCGGGAGAGAAGGTGCGTATGGGTATGGGGAATTGGTCAGGGTAACGGAAAGTCTTGGTCTTATCGTAACCTCTATCGTGCTCTCCTCAAGAGTGCACATTATCTGCAGAGCGTATTCTAGCGGCTGTGGAACTGTTACGTTCGACCCGGCCTTCAGTTCGACCTGGCCTTATATTCGACCCTGATCCTTGCCTTTGATCCCTCGACAAAAGTGCCCAGTGGTCTCGTACCAGGCACAAGCTCCTCTTCTCTTTCCTTCCACTGTTCACCGACGTCTTCTGCATCGTCTTCATCAGAATCCCATTCCTCTACCCCGTTCCATGTTGCCATGTCTACGCGATCTTTCTCGCCAGTCTCCAGAATCAGCCGGAGTTGAGTAGGCTCGGCACCCAGACGCCTGCCGAGAATCCCATAAACCTTGTAGATGCTGCAGGCTTTGGGTATCTCAACTACGAGCGGATTCTGTTCGTTTGGCAGATTGATGTTTCCAGCTGCCGCCGGCGAATACACCGTACATTCTAGTAGCCTTGCTGCCAGAGAATTGGGATCAATCCCGCTTGCTGCTTTACGCTCAACCTTCGGCTCTCCATACTCCTCGCACAGCTGCTTCCACCTTGGGTGAGATGCCAGTATATTCTTCTCCTTTTCCTTGGGTGACAGAGATAGCTCTCTGCCGATTTGGGAGAGGTAGTATGTTTCCGAGTTCAGCCGTTCTTTGTCGGTGATTCTTGAGTAATTGAGAGTTTCAAGTTGGGGCAGCCGGGCAATGGTGAGCATGTAGCCGTCAGCTGAAGTGAGAGGCTTGCCGTCGGCCGAGCGTAATGTGGAGAATAGGGGATTGTGAGCTATACGTAGATGCTTNNCCAGTCCTGGAAAGGTCGTCGATAGCTGATTGATGATAGCCCATGATGTTATGTTATTGTATGCGAGATCCAGATCGACTATTGTTTCCGGTAGCTTAACGGCATCTTTGTGCTGTAGGTTTCTCAAGGTACGCGAAATCTGATTGTTCTTGAGATTTAGCGTGCGTAGTCGTGGGCAGCACTCGCTCAGGTGTTGTACATCTTCCAAAGATGAAAAGTTGTTGTCTTCTAGAGCAATTGAGGTCAAGGTGCTTGGTAATTTGCATCCATCTAAAGAGCCCAGTTGATTACTCGATGCTGATAGTTCCTTGACACTCGGCATTGAGCGTAGGAGAGTTTCGAGNNCTGGTCGAGGATTAGCATAAAGAACCTTGTCTCGTGTAGAGGATTGACCGACTTCTTTGCCCGTGCATAGCATATGATCAAGACTCGCAGAAGTGATCTGAGCCAGACCAGAAACACCCTCATGAAAAGAGCTTTCACGGCTAGAAACATTTCTCAGTCGATTTGCNNACTGGCGCAAGTCAGCAACCATCAACAACAACATCTCAATTACCTACTCTAGCCTCAAGAACTTTAACTTTGGTAAACGATCGCATATATCAGAAATCTCGGACAGAGTCTCGAACAGATTTCTTCCCAGGTCGAGGTCAGTGATGTTTGGACATATCTCTGATATCCGGTCCAGGCTGTCTTGAGAATTTGTGGTGTCCTCATCGTAAGCCTTGACGAGCAAATCGTCCAATACCACAATGCGAAGATTTTGCAGTTGAGCTTGCTGACGGGCAATCTTTTCGAAACCAACTTCTTCGGCTTCTTTACCACTGATTCTGATAACGTTTTGATTTGATGCATGCTCTCCAATTTCGATGGCTGCGTATTTCGTTTTCAGTGCTTCGAGGAATGTCTTGGGTTGATCCGATGCTGCTGAAGGACGAAGGAAAGAGCCAGCTGTGGGTCGCGAACTCCNTACCTTGAAATGAGATCAGAATTACTATAACGATATTCAAGATGTTGAGAACAACCTACACTCGAAGTACTCCACCCCGTCATGAGTTCCAGAATGCTTTCCTCGGGTAGGATCATCCCATTCCACGCCTAGCCACTGGCCTTGTTTGCCTTTGACTTCACCGACATAACGCACCGTGCAGCGTTCGCCTTTTGTAGAAAAGCGTCTTCCAGGATAAAAAGACGACATCGAGGATGGTTTGACACTCGTCAAAATATGAATTCAAGAAGGGTCCATCTTGGACTGGTCTGTGCTTGGGCCCGAGACGTGGGCGACCCAAGGAGGACTGGGAGGATTTCTTTGACACCGACACATCTTCCACACCTGACAACTCTGTAGTGCAGAAGTTCTCGCGCTTTGATACCATACCAACCGCCAGCTTCTTGGACCTCAGCATATAGATACTCTGTCAGGAACTCGCAAGAGCTTCGCCCATACACCACTTTACGCGTCCTTCCGCGAAACTTTCGCGCTCCCCATCTCCTTGCGCCGACGACAAACGGGGTCTAAGAATATCCAAGAGCAATATCATCAAAAGATTGCTTTACTCTGTCTCCTGCACCTAACTAAACGACGTATCACTACACATCGGTATCCAGGTTTTGCAACGACACAACTCCACAACCGCAACCATGCCAGGCAGAAAATCAAACCTTTCGACCGTTACAAATGGCGATGAAGAGTCGCCCGCACCCACTGGCCGTGCAGCACGCGAGGGATCGAGTGTAGAGGTAACAAGATGATACTGATAGTTGTAATCTGTGAAAATAGCTAATTGGTATATGTAGGATCTTTCTCTACCGCGAACTATGATTTCGCGGCTAGCGAAGGCGTTTACCTCCCAACACATCAATCCACAAGGATGCTCTGTTGGCACTGAGTAAAAGCTGTACTGTCTTTGTCAACTTCCTGGCGTCCAAGTAAGTTGATTTTGATGTTTTCGTTCTTTCGAGGGGCTCTGCTCGTGATTTCATGGGATACCATTCAGCGTATCCTCTATTTCCATCCAATACTAATAGATCAATCTCCAGCTCAAACGAATACGCTCAACTCGGCGGTAAAAAGACAATCCAACCCGCAGACGTGATAGCAGCACTCAAAGAAAACGAATTCGAGCACTTTATCCCACGCCTGGAAGCAGAACTCAAGAGTAACATTCTCCTCCCCCAGACCATCCTTTGCCCATCTTAGCTAATAAACTACAAAAAACAGAATACAACACAGTCCAATGCGACAAACGCAATTCCTACCGTCGCAAGATCCGCGAAGAAAAAGCCTCTTCAAAAACCGGCGGCGTCGACGATGATGGCAAACCCACAGACAGTGGAGCCGAAAACGGAGACGCTGATGCCTCGATGCTGGATGCCACCGAAATGTCTGCAGTAAACGGACACAGCAGAAATGATGACGAGGAACCACCGTCCAAGAAACTGAGACGGGAGAATGGGGAGGAAGATGAGGAGGAGGAAGGTGATGACGAAGAGTTCCACGATGCGTTGGAGGGCGAGGACGATGAGGTTGTGGAGGGCGAAGGTGAGGACGAGGTGGATGAGGAGGACGAGGATGAAGATGGCGAGGAGGAGCAGGTTGGGGATGGGGTTGATGAGGAGGAAGAGAGGGTGGGTGATGGTATGAGAGATGAGGCGTTGGATGATGCCAGCGAGGATAGTGATTAGAGATTCCAGGCAAGTGGTTGATAAAGAGCACCAACTTGGTCAGCGGTTGGAGGCACCTAGAAGCCACTGAGCTGAATACATGCTCGCGCGAGACACATCGATGCATGACATCTGTATTGCTACGCTTCTTCAAACATCAACCGAAAGCAAAATTCATGGATCGTGACTGAGCTCTCAAACAATACAAGACTAGCGCTTTGGAGTTGAGACGGATGGTTGAAGAATTGATTTGCATTGCTGAAGTTTTATTGAATTCGCAGTCCTTCAGCCGATGGTATCATTGTTCGCTGTGCTATGTGCGTCCCTATGCTATGCCTTTTTGCCATTTCACCGCCAATGCGATCCATTCCCCAGAACGTTATGTAGTTCCAACGCCGTGCGCCATGCTTGCTTGTAAAATATGAAGGACGTGATATCGTCAAAGCAGAAAAGTCGAGATTGGCTACTGTTGGCGCGAGTTCATCATGGCAAGTTCGCGGTCGGCCATGGCAAACGGATCGCCGTACTTGTCNNTGGGTCGTGTCAGCGAAACAATCTACCACTCTGGCAAAGAAGAATACGCACTGCCGATTCTGCGGTTCTTGTCGACCAGCGAGTCCCAAGCACGAGTGAAGTCGTCTTGGGCCTTCTTGTTCTTCCAAGCATAGCCAGGTGCGTCCTCTGGTTGTGTGTACTGGTAGCTGGAGGAAGCCTTGATTGAAGCATCGGTGGGAATGCTGGCGCTGAGTGACGCACCGCCCTGTGACTCTTGGGAGTGGTCGATGGAGGAGATGGGACGTTTTCCGTTCATGTTTGCGCCGGAAGCAGAGGGGGCGACTGTGGGCATGTCGACTGGAAGAGGGACGCCTTGAGAGTCTGGAGGTGAGAGGTCGGAGATGGCGATGGAGCGGATCTGAGCGTTCGGAGTGCTCGGATCAGAGTTGCCAGACTGCATAAGACTGTCACCGTCGTGGTCGAAGGGAGAGTTGGCGCCTGTTGTTTGAGTAAAGTGGATTAGTCATGGACCTCGACGCAGGCCGCGCCGGCAAGAGCATTGGTTACCTGTCATGATGGAAGATGTTACGAGATGGCAGGTCAGTCGAGAGTCTGAATGGAGCGAGCAGGCTGGACGAGCAGGATGACCGTTTCAATCCCCGACATGCAGATGAAACAGAGCAGCAGTGTGGAATTGCTAGAGGGAGCTCGGACATGACGCATCGCGGGGTGCAGCAACGGCCAGAGCGCGTCGGCCCGCCTTCACCGACCATCTGATTTACGAATTAGCCCACCCTGTCCTGTCACACTTGCTCACTCATACTCGATGCTGCCACCTCTCACAACCACATCACTCGCCATATCGCACATCGACCACTTACACCAGTCCAAGTCTTGATTCAGCTTCGTCATCAAATCCAGCTGAAAACCTACCACCTGACCATCTTGAACAACCACTACTACCACAATGCCCGATGCGTGGGATGACGACTGGGACAAGGTCGCTGATGTATGTCTTCGACAGTCCAAACCTGTCATGTCAGCGGTTAACCCAGAATCANNGACCTCGGTCAAGTCTGCACCAGTCCAACCTGCCGTCAAGCTATCTCGCGCCGAACGCAAAGCCCAACACCAAGAACTGAACAAGCAGTTATGGGATGCCGCCGAACAACCCGAACGTTCCTACTTTCTCGAGGCAAGAGGCGCCGCTCCTCTCGCATCCGACTTTAAGCCTCAGGTCAAGCTCCTGACCCGCAGACCCACTCCACAAATCGCGAACCGCATGGCTGGCCTGAACCTGGAGGATGAAGACGACAGCGAGGAAGAAGAGAGAAAGAGACAGGAGTCTTCGCTCGCCGAGAGACAACGCAAGGCTGCCGAAGAGCGCAAGGAAAAGGAGCGCAAGTACGCCGAAGTACGCGAACGTCTGTTTGGTTCCCCAGACTCATCCCGAGATCCATCAGCCTCGCGCACATCGTCCACTAGAGGCGACAGAACTTCGCGCAGAGGTAATCGAGGCAGAGGAGGTCGCAATGGTACCCCAAGAGACAGTCAGTCCAATTCTCCTGCCGACCAGTCACCTACGAGGTCCACATATCGACCAACCCAACTTTTCGATCCCACCTACGAGCAAAAACCCAGAACTATTGCCAGCCCAAGGCCTGCTGCTCCTATAGATGAGCAGCCTGTCCGCCAACCTAGAGGTCCCGAAGGCCGTGGTGGTTTTGGCTTCGCTCCTCGTGGTGGCGCCAGGTTAGGGCCATGAAGACTCGAAGACATATGAAGATAAATCACCGCTCTGGAGACGACAGCCAACCTGGGACAACTGACGCAGCGACAATATCCGAACAACTGAGCTGTCCGTTTGCTCCACTGACAATGTCGAGCCGGGCATGCAAAGCCGACCCTGGGAAACATAGCTGGAGATCACAGGATATCAATCTCAGGGAACGCGTGGCAGCCCTATTGCCCTCGACAGACATATTGCGCTATAGAAGCTCGATATAAGCATCTTGTACGCTCATCGCTTTGCTTCTGAATTTTCTCCTGGTCGACAAACCTAGACCACACTGAGCTGTCGTTCGGGGAGAAGATTCTCATCGCGCCAAACTGCCATCAGGTGAACGTTCTCCCTATTCGGCTCCAGGCGAAGAACGGGCTGGAAGGAGTGGGTGTTTCAGCTTGACGAGGTTATCTGCCTCTCGAAGTTTCAGATGGAGATCAGCCCTAAATCTCGTGCAAGCCCTATAATGCCTTATACAAAACGCACCCCAACACTGCTTGCATGCGTGTTTTGTCTCTCTTCTGGTTCTCTCACTTTGCATCCTCTCGTTTGTTGTTTTCCCGTCGCTCTTTCAGCCGAACATGTCTTCCTTCTTCGCAAAGGCATTGGCCCTCAGCGCTCTGGCAGCGCCTGCTTTTGCCGCTCCTAGCTCTATGGTCAAGAAGTCGCAGATCATCAACACTTCTGCCAAGCAAGCTGCTATCGACCTCTGCGGTACTGCCGACAATCTTGTCCTTTACGACACGCCTTGGATTGTGTACAACATGTTTTATGGCGCTGCTGGATCAGTCGGTACTCAATGCACACGTTACGATCACGTCGAGGCTGCTACCACCGGCAACAAGAAGATTGTCTGGAGCAGCGAGACAAACATTGAATATGTCGAAGCAACGTTAGTTATCTCTTCCACATGAAGCGTGCGAAAATCACTAACAGCCCGAGCAGTNGACAATGTGCCCAAGGGTTACGCTTTCGTCGGCCTGACTCAAAACCTCGAGACCACCGTCTCTGGCATCAACTCCATCCCCACCACATACGACTGGACTCGAACCAACAGCACTGCTTTCAAGGGCAACGTCTGCTACGACTTCATGACTAGCAACACAAAGGGCGACTCGACATCTTCGAATGCCCAAGAGCTCATGCTTTGGCTTCAATACGAAGGTGGCCAACTCCCCATCGGCTGGGCCGATGGCGCAAAAGCCACCATCGAGAACCTCTTTGGCACATCTTGGAAGCTGTACGAGGGCAAGAATGATGACACTGGTATCACCGTCCACACCATGATGCCTGAGAAGCAGTTTGAGGGTAGCTTCAGTGGTGATCTCAAGGAGTGGCTTGAGGCTCTTGTGCAGCATGGCACTTTCAAGGAGTCTACCTATGTCAATGTTGGCAATGCTGGTACTGAGTACTTCTATGGTCACAGCAACCTGAACGCTACTCTGGGTCTTCAGATTGATCTCGACTAAGTAAACACTCATGGAGGGGAAAACTGTTGTCCTTCATACCTTCCGGTGTGCAATAGTCTATCACCTCTCCTACAGTGATGCAGAGCGGTAGTGTAGTCTATAGAAATGCAGGAGACTTTTCAAGAGCAAGTGATGTCCAGGGAGAGGCGTTGTTTCAGGGGATCTCTGTAGCCATACTCGTGATTCAGAAAGCAATGATGCATTTTCATACCCGCGCTACGACAGTTTTTGGATGCTTAGACGAGGTGATTACTCCTCGCATGTTGCGTACGTGCACTAGTCTGTCTTGTGTATAGTTGCAAATCAAAAGAAGAAGCCCTACTCGTGGACTATCAAGCATACCAAGCTTTGCCTGCCCTTGCCGATCCGTGAGGGGGACAGCTGAATTCGTGGGGTGTTTCAGATTAGGAGTCCGCACTTTGCTTCACCTCTTGCCCTCGTCTACGACAGAACCTAGCCTTCAATGTTCAGCCATGCGTTCGCACAATGCTTGCGATATTGTCGCGTCTAGTCTTCCACCAATGGGATCCTCGCAGCATAGTGGTTATGGTCAGCTGAACAGGTCCTCGACCGAGCTCAGCCATACAGCTCCTGATCGGCCTACTTACTCCAAACTGTGTTTCCAAGGCTATTGTATATCGGCAAATACTCAATTACCCCTCATAAAGAGATAGCCAGTGACAATCCATTTGGTGACGCGGGAAATACGGTCTCTGCGTGCTCTGGCATTTGTGGAAAAATTTACTGCATCTTAGGACTTGTTTCATGTCGTAGCCGACGTCTAGACTTTGTGAGGGTAGCCCTAGTAGCAGCTCTATAGTACACTCGGGTAATCAACCCAATACGGGTGCAAGCCGCGAAGAAGATACGTAAAAGGATGGCTTCCCTCCACCGTATACTCCTCTCCAGCAGACTCCTCCCTCCTCGCTCAAAGCGTTCTCATTAACAATGCTCCCCTACCTTCTGGCCTTGTGCCTAAACCTCTACCTCGCGCTGGCCGCCAGCAGAACCTCTGCCCCAACCGGCGCCCTCATCGTCTCCAAAGCCCCCTCCACAGGCCAATACTCCAAAATCCAAGACGCCATCAATGCCCTCTCAACTACTTCCACTACAGCCCAATCCATCTTCATCGAAGCAGGCACTTATTCTGAACAAGTCTACATCGCACCCCGCAAAGCTGCCTTGACTATCTATGGATACTCGACAAACACGGACGACTATAACAGTAATGTAGTCACCATTACGCAAAAACTGAGCTTGAATCAGGTTACTACTGATGATTTGACTGCTACCCTGCGGGCATGGAGCACAAACTTCAAACTCTACAACGTGAATTTGGTGAACAGTTATGGGTCAGGAGCTCAAGCTCTGGCGTTAAGTTCTGCTGCTAGTGTATGTTTCTCTCTCCCTCCTTCCCTACTTTCTCTACTGAGAACTACCGCTAACACACAACACAGNAACCAAGGCTTCTACGCCTGCAAGTTCTCCGGCTATCAAGACACCATCCTAGCACAAACCGGCACTTCCCTCTTCGCAAAATCCTACATCGAAGGCGCTACAGATTTCATCTTTGGCCAACACGGCTCATCATGGTATTCGCACTGCGATATTCGCGTTTTGGCTGCTAGTCAGGGCTACATTACCGCTTCTGGACGCGCTTCCAATGAAGCTGGTTACTATGTGTTGGATCACTGCTCTATTGCTGCAAAGAGTGGAGCCACCGTGCCAAAGGGTGCTTATTATCTGGGTAGACCTTGGGGTGATTATGCGAGGGTTGCTGTGCAATACACTACCATCACCAATGTTGTCAACGCGGCGGGTTGGCATATCTGGAATACTGGGGATGAGAGGACTGATCATGTCAGTTTCGGAGAGTATGACAATACTGGAGATGGTGCTGCGGGCACTAGAGTTATTGGTACCAAGCTGAGCAAGGCTGTGCTCATTACTGATGTTTTGGGCAGTGGGTATGCTAGTGCTGCATATGTTGACAAGGCATACCTTTGAGGAAGGCACAATCGTGGCTAGATCTCACATAGCTTGAGTCAAAATCTATTGTTTGGTATCAGACGCTCTAAATCACAAGAACGAGCATTGATACTGTTCTGTCGCACAACGATTGGGCAAAGCACTGGAATGAAACGAAGCCAAACATTTTCTTCTGTTTTCCGAAAGAGCAGATCGCAATGCAACAAATCTTCTCGTCTTGTATGAGAAGATAAGAGCAAGAAAGAACTAAAGAAAGCAAAAGAGAAACACAAGCAAGCGCTTAAATCGCCTTTGGCATACAAATGCTTTTCATCGCCCAATGCTGTCATTTTCGCTTTTGGTCGTGTTCATGTCGTTGATGTCGTTTTTGTCGTAAGTTAGCTCTGAGAAGAGATTGGTGTGGGCAAGTCGGCTTGCGAGTCGATGCCGCTGGACGACGTCTAGTCGTAGCGACTGCTGCGGCGGCGGTACTTGGCATCATCGCTGCTTTCATAGTCGTGGCTGTCGTTGTATCTGAGTATCGTGTCAGTCTCAGGTTCTGAGCCTCGCCGGAAAATGAACTCATACCTTTCACCACGAGGTTCGGTGCGGTAGTCCTTGCGATCAAAGCGGTCCGATGAGCTACGAGGAGAGTCGCGAGCGTCACGACCGTAAGGGGCGTGCTGTGACTGAGCAGGTTTGTTGTAGACGTGGGCGTAAGGAACGTAGCCAGGGATCGGTCCAGATGTGGATGTAGGGCGAGAGCCATTGGTGAAAGAGGTCGTGGCAGGAGTAGCACCAGGCATGGGGCCGTTCTACAAACAAGTCAGTATCATCCTTGGAGTTGCGACGAACATCAACGAACCACGACGGTGCGACCATTGACAGGAGGCTGAACAGCATAGCCGTATCTGTCGACAGGAACATAGTCGGCGGGGTTGTAAGATCTACGATAGGTCGATCTGTCTTTTGGCTGCTGGCGACGTCCATCGAGACTGCGGTGTCTTCTGCGATCACGGCGATCGTACTCCTCATCGTCATAGCTGTCGGACTGCTCATCGTCGTCGAAATGGCGGGCTCTGTGGTGGCTGCCCGAGCGTTTGTGTGAGTGAGAATGTCTGCGCTTTTCCTTGTCCTTGCGAGCACGACGACGAGCTTCGCGCTCCTCCTCCTCCATTTCTTCTTCTCTAGCGCGGTAATAGGGAATCTTCTCCATCCATTTGTCGGGGAACTTTTCTGCCATATAGGCAATGCTGTGAAGCAGAATATTAGTCAAGGAAGGCATCTTGTCGGTGACCAATGGTCAAATTCAAGCGTGCCGAAAGCAAAGAATGTTCGAAGAAAAGTAATGGAAGCGCACTGAAAACCAGAGCGAGGTGTGAAAGGGAGATTCAAAGGCGATCACTGAGTGAAGTCTGCTGTTTGCGCCGAGCCAAACGAACGACGTGAGCATCCCATACAGGGTCAAGCTTCAAGAAACACCATTGTGCGTTGTTTCGCTGTCCCAAAGACAGAGCCTTGTTGACCGAGAACAATGCAGCTGCAGAGGACTGCATCGACTTCGATCTCTGCACATAGCCAGACTTACATCACGTAGCAACCCTCATACAATGCACCAGTCATGAATTTCGCAGGGTTTGCCATGGCTCAATGAAGTTCTTCCGACTGGCAACAGAATCGGCGTGTTGTGACTCAGAACAGGATGGAAGCAGTGAAGGACGGTGCAGACGTGCTCTGATAACCGGCGAGAATAACGACAGTGGGGTACAGAGATGAGAGATGAAACTTGAGGATGGAAAGGGATTGGAGAAGAAGAAAGAAGCAACGCACGATTTGAGTCCTAAGCCTGCCATCTTGAAATAGCAGTTTGGGCAAGAGCGAACGAGTAGGGAAGTCGCGACCAGACGAATCGCAGAACCAATTTTCTCAAAGCCTCTTCAATTATTCAAGCAGTATGAGAGGCTGAAGAGTTGTCGGTATTCAGAGTATAGTCCCTGTGTCCAAAAGATTGTTATAACTATTATTCATTCGTTAGCGATGTATTGTTATAGAGGGAAGGGCTTTAAGCATGGATACCTATATCAGAAACGTCAAAAAGCGCGGAATAGGATTTCAAGCAAATGTTAAATGAATCAAGCGACAGACGACCCAAGAACATGCAATGGCGAAGTATATAAAAAATCAGAAGTAGTACAAAAGATCGGTGAGCAAAAGGTAGTGATACGCGAGCCGATGACGTAGACAGGCATGCGCTTTCCAGCCATCTGTACACATCTTACCAGCCTCCTCCTTTGTTTTCTCGCGAGCTAGACCATTGAAAGCCCGTCAGAATGCCTACAAGCTTGTCGCTGTTGCAACTACTCCTAGTAGCAGCAAGAACTCTTCACCTGCACATGTTGGACGGACGCACTTGAGCCCAATCTCCAGGCACCACGTCACCCAAAGTCGTAGCGTGACCAACGGGAGCCTGCAGAAGACTGAAGATATGTACAGTATTTGCCTCGATGATTACTACATGCGCCTAATGACACGTCCATACGGAGGGTGTCTGGAGGTCGTATAAAAAGATAAACAGAAACAGCAAATTATGGTATCATCCGTCTGATCGTCCGTCTGACACTTAGTGGTGTCCCTGGCATTCATCTGTTGGCTCGGTCTGTTCCGGCAATCAGCATCTCCTCTTCACCCTCGCTGCCGGCCAAGCAACCATCTGTTGGCTTCCATCCAGATTGCTTATGCCACTTGGTTCCTGTCACGATTTCCACCGCCGCACTAGACAGATAGTCCCTGCCCTTGATCATATGCACCATAAGAGTTGGCAACCTGTTACCATTGAAAGCGCCTACGCCTTTCGACCGGCCTATTGGTACAAGCTGTGTTTCCGATGTGTTCTTCTTGTATTCGCGGTCATCTCCAGTCGGTTTGGCGTTGACGTCCTCGTGCGTAGCGAGAAGGTCGCGCTGTAGATTGGTCATGAGAACAGGGATCGCCTCATAGATGTCCATGATTCCGCCACGGCTGTAATTACCGACGTCTCCGATGGCATAAACACGAAGTCCTGCCTCGTCTACGCGAAGGGTCTCTTGGTTGGTCTTGACATAGCCTCGGTCGTCGAGAAGCTCGTAAGGGATGTATTCGGTCATGGGCGTTACACCGGTTGCTGCAAGATAAAGGTCGGATACGAGAGTTTCCCCATTCCCAAGGTTCAATTTGGTGTGTCCATTTCCCAGTTTCTCTGTTGACTCTATCCTGGAGCTGTACTTCACACTGACACCAACGCGTGCCAAGTAAGCCTCGGCCTGTTTAGCGAGTGCTGGACGTAGCACAGGAAGCAGCTTCTTCGATCCACAAAGCAAGATGACTTGCGTTCTCGGCCTTGTTGACTTCTTCTTGAACCATTTCGTAGTACCGTTGATGAACTCGCCAATCTCTCCGACAAGCTCAACTCCACTTGGTCCACCTCCAGCGACAATGATGGATTTGGCGTGTGCCAGCTTGTCATGAAGATCTGAAAAGGCCTCTATGACTTCTTCATGACCTCCACCTTGGAGAGACAATATCGTTAGGTGAGCCTTGGTTCCAGTTGCTAGGATCAGTGCATGATACGGCAGCTCGGTTTCTTTGCATTTGTCGAGTCCAGTATGTTGGATTGTGACAGTACATCGAGTGGTATCCATGCCTGTCGCCTTTCCTCGGAGGAACGTGAAGTCTTCTGGTTTGTACCCTTTGAAGTTATTGGAGATGTCGTAGAATATTTTCGTGGTGGGCATCAGATCGAAGGAGACAGAAGCGCGAGGCGCGGCAACTCGATGATAGAAGTGTGTCGATGGATCGACAAGATACACATGATAGTCCTCAAAAGATTTGGGAAGCGAAGGATGAATGTGCTTGAGAAAGTAATGTGCTGCGCTTAGACCTGCGTATGAGCCACCCAGAATGACAATGTTTCTCGTGTTCGCAGTCATCGTTGATTCAGAAACTTGTTAGGGGGAGTTTGAGGCCTGGAGGGAAGTTTTTTCTCTAGCACATAGAAACGCGGGACTTATTAAGTGAATACAGCCTGATGCTGATTCTGTTTGTCAAGTGTCAGGATGTTGCTGCTGCAAGGACTTGTATGGACAGAAACGACATGCGAAACTGAGGCGTTTTCGTGTACATGAAACCGCTAGACTTTTTATGGCAAGTTTATCTAGCACACAAGCACCATATGTTTCGCGCAGTCTGGGTGTATACTGTTCTCGAGTTACAAGTTGTCCATGGGTATGGAACATGGTGGCTTCGGAGTTAGAGCCGCACGATGAAACAAGGTTTCAATGGACGCATTAGGAAGTGCGACTGCCGATCATCCATCCCACTCTGAACCCTGACTATTTTACTGGAGTCAACGCAAAGATAGCTCCAGTGTAATCAGGCGTCCATAAGAGTAACATGTCTGGATATGACACTTCTAGTGAGTTTCACCTTTCTTCCCGACCAGCTTTTGAGCACACCTTACAAATTCGGTACAAATGTCTTCTATCGGGGCACTGAGCTCCCTCGCAACAATATGCCGAACGTGCTGTTCTTTAGACATTCCTTCGTTGTTCTGTAATGGCTTCGTGGTTCTGCCCAAGATGCAAGTGTTGCGAGTGGAAGGTATACGCAAGATTTCAGTTTCGACAACGAAGCCCACATCTTTCGCCAGACCTGAGACATAGTCGCAGAGAGAAGCATATGCTGACTGGACGTTCTTCGTGCCAGCTGGTTTCTTCAAGGATCCGGTCTCTGCAGCTTGGTTCTCACGCAATCGATCCGTGCCGACAACCTCGATTGCTGGAGACTCTTGACGTCGTTGTGCGGCAGCCTTTTCCTTTGCAGCTTTTGATATAGGTGCTCGCCATCGAGCGCCAGCTAGATTGTGGCTGCAGCACGGTATCGCAATGAATGGTGAATCATTGAGAAACGCGAGGAGAGGAGTCCATGGAGTGAGTTCATCCGCGTGGTTTGACACAATGAAAGTCCCGTTTTTGAAGAGGCCGTTGTGGAAGTCTCGGTCTCTTAGCAGATCGACTGCCTCCAACATGTTTTCCAGATCTGCCATGCTGTCTGAGTCCTCGGTTGGACCGTTGGAATTCAGTACTTGAGGTACTAAAATGCCTTCTGCAAGCTTGCTCTTGACGTCGGGGGCGAAGGTCTCCCACGACTTTCGATGTCTTGCATCAAACCNCCAACCTGGAAAGCCCTCTTTGATCAGGATATTCACAAGGAGACCGTTGCCACAGCCAATGTCAACAAATCCTGGAAATGGAGGTTTACGGCCATGCTCGGCTGACTGGGTATCGTCTCCAGCACCGTCACCAGTTGCATCGCAATCGTACATGACCTTCCAGAGCTCGATGAGAAAAGAAGCAATTCCGAGGTCTTCGAAGACGTGCTTTGCGGGATCAGTCACCTCCGCCCATCCTTCGATTAAGGATTTGGCATACGTGCTTTTGAGCCTGGCGTAAGTTTCCTGGAAGGTCTTCTGTGGAACGACTTGATCATGGTGAACCCTTTTCTGGTATCCTGCTTGTTGGCCTCGACTATGCTTGTGAATCTTAGTTAGTAGTTGCAACGCTGTTCGCTCGAGTCTTGAGTCGAGAGGTACGTCAGGAAACAAAGAGTAATGAACCGCGACAACTCCTGTTCTGGATGCCGCAGTCCAATCGTGGGAAAAGGCTACTGCGCAGACTCTGGGATGATACCATGGCATAGCTTCAGGATCCTCGACATGCGGAACATAGAGGATAAGGTTTCTCGTAGTTTGCTCGTCCTGGCGTGTATAGAAGTGACAAGTCTGCGGAAGATCTCGGTCTAGCTGTCGATTGCGTGGAACCAGCTGTCGGACGTATGTCCTTTCCCATTTGTACCCAGGTAGCTCAGTATATCTCGGCCGATATTCTTTTTGGAGATGCTTTGTGAAGTCGCTGAATTGTGCGGTTGTTGGCCCTTCGATGATAGTATGATCGGCATCACTATCATAAAGAATATCCGCTCGGAAAAGGTGAGTGGACATGATATTAGGATTCTTGATCAGGTTGTGCATGACCTTGAGAAACATCTCGGGTTCAAATGTGCAAAGACTCTCGAGCATTGGCTGCCATTGTCCTTCTACCACACCTGGGTTGAACAGCTGCTGCGAAGGAGTGCGTGGGCTGAACACACCAGGCGAGTCAACCACCTGTTCAGCCACGCCATTTTCCTCGGTCATAACAAAGTCGTTCTTCGAATCTTGAATTATGTCTTGTGGTTTTTAAACATTACTCACGCTCGAGATGCAGACTTGAAAAACGCTGCGGTGTGGCTTGGCGTTTGAAGGCGACACCTTCCTTGCAGGGGCCTTCTTTCCTCCTGCTATCGCACCCCATTACTGTTAACAAACCACCGATGGATTTCGCATTTTCGAGACCCGTGGGGTCTCTTTCGAACCTGATGATGCAGCGTATCAACCACAATTGGATTCTTGCTGCTGCATCGCCCGGCTTCGTGCGCAACACGCTTGACATGTTATTATTGAACACCAGAACTGGACAGACGTGCAAATCTTGTTCATGAGCAGCCATCAATCCCCTCCGTACGAGCCTGGACAGATACTGGACACAAAGACGAAAAACGCCGTAAGCGGACACAAAGGGGACCCGACGCCCGACTGAAGCGGATCAATCATCTTCGACAGCAAAGAACTTGACAGCGAGATGACCTTGCGATGAGGCGTCACCCAGGCCTTGCAGCTACGCACAAAGAGATGACATGACCCATTTTCTTTCATCTATTCGCATTCAAAATGACAATAGGTGAGCAGATGAACCACGGTAGGTGATATTCCCGTCGACCTCCAATACTCTGACTTTACGAAATTGCATCCGACACTCTACCACACATTATACTATTCAAGTCTAGAGAGAATCCTCTCCCGAATCAGCAGAATGGCTTTCCGTTGCCTCAAATTCATGTCTATCTTGGCAGTTGGCCTTTTGCCTGCCGTAGCTGCTGACGACTTCAGTATTGCTGATAACACTACGGTCCAGAAGCGAGAGATCACATTGACCCCTGTTATGAACGGTCTAAACTTTCCGGATCCCTCAGTCATACGGATCGGTAACGAGTGGTGGGCATTTTCAACCATGTCACACTACAATGGGAAGCGTGTTCATGTTCCAATGGCTCATACCTACGACTACTTTACGTGGACCAGTTCTGGAGAGAAAGATGCGCTTCCAAACCTACCGAACTGGGTTGACATTAACGCGCCTGCGGTATGGGCACCTGATGTTGTACAACTTGGACTCGGACGCTTCATCATGTACTATACCGCCGCACTCAAGTCGAACCCTAANGCTCATTGTTTGGGAACCGCTTCGGCTTCTACAGTCACCGGTCCTTATACACCTATAGGACCTGATCCATGGGCCTGCCCTACAGCACAGGGCGGTGCGATAGATCCTGCTGGCTAATATGATTCAAAAGACAACACGCGATGGGTCGTCTATAAGATCGACGGCAATGCGATTGGTGAGGGCGGCAGTTGTAACAACATGGTTAAGCCTATCGTCAGTACGCCTATAATGCTTCAACAGGTCTCAACCAACGATGGCTTCACGAAGATTGGTCTCCCGACGCCACTTATCGTCAATGACCCTGCTGATGGACCATATGTCGAGGCACCATCTCTTACCAAGATGCCCGACGGTACATATGTTCTTTACTACAGTTCGAATTGCTTCGTTACTCCTCTGTACGATGTATCCTATGCGACATCGAGGGATATCAGAGGTCCTTACAAGAAGTTCGGCGGCCTTATCCGAACCGGGACATATGGACTTGTGGCTCCAGGCGGCCTTGATATGGCTATCAATGGTGATCATGCTGTATTCCATGCAAATTGGAAGGGTGGACGTGCTATGTTTACGGCTCTCATACGTGGTCAAGGCAATCAGTCACAGGTCTATGTCAAGGGTTCTTGAGTTTATTGACAAGTTTTATGTTGTTAGTTAGACGAATAGAATAGGTTTGTTTGTGCGGCATGTAGAAGAATCGTTATAGTTTCAGGAATACAGACAGCTCCAGGTTTTGATGTGTCGGTCCAGGCTTTCGGATCGCTCGATTACCTGCACAGCGAACCGGGCCGGGGCGTCGGGCACCACGCCGAGCAAACCTCCGGTCCTGCGATTTTCCAGCCTCATGCCTTGACAAGGATTCCAGCATGACCAGAGACACTGTTAGCGTCTGTGTCCGGGTCAGATGGAGCTGAAGTTCGTAGGAGACAGGTCCGCCGTCACAAAACAGTGGGTGCGTGTCCTTCGTTCTCTCCTTTCTTCCTTCTCTCGGAAGTGATTCCGTCTTTTTGATCTGGCAATTGAGAATCGCAGGTCGCGCCTTGCTGTCAGAAGTTGCGGCACGTTGCTGTCGTCGTAAAGACGTCTCTCACACTCCTGGTCCGGCGACATGAACGGCGAATGCACCCCCAGCGACTCGACTCGCTCGAGCGAATCGGCTCATGCTAGCAACAAGACGGTTCCAAAACCAGCACTCCAGCAGTCAACGGACGCGAAAGTCACCAAGCCGAAACGCACTGTGGTCCATGTTGCATGTGCTTGTTGTAGACGACTTCGTATTAAGGTAAGAGTAGCATTCTCTCGGCCAGAGGGCTTGGTTGACAGCTGGTGGCAGTGTGACGGAGTCAGGCCGACTTGCCAACCATGCGCCAGAAGATACGAAGATTGCGTGTACGATGTTGAGGCCAACACGACGCGGTCGAACGCGCTGAAGCGCAAGAATGAAGAGCTTGCAAAGGAAAACACCCAGCTTCGAAGGCTGTACGACTTTCTCCTCAACCGTCCACTGGTCGAGGCCGAAGAGATCTTTCGTCGCATTCGCAGCACTCAGGATCCACTTGAAGTCTTGCGTCATGTCACCACTGCCGACATGCTTATGGCCCAGAAGACTGCCCCAGATACCCACATGCAGAGCCAGGATTCTCGACCCAGTTCATCCAAGGGGAAACACGTCTCAGGGTTACGCAGATATGATCCTGTTCACGACAATCAGTGAATAATCTGTCCAAGGAGCACTGAGGCGTCTTTTCATCTTAACTCGCTATTCACCAAGACAGCCAGGACATCCATCCGTATATCACAGTCTCGACAACCGAATGCATACGGCCGATTTGGAAACACCTTACTTACCTTGTCGAAGCTCTTGAACGCCGCTACCTTCTATCTCTCGCGTAATGCGCAAGGGGCCTTGATGGAAATCAACTTCCCTATCGTCTCGGATGCCCAATCGTAGGCTTTGGTCCAGAAAGAGAAGGAGTCAACAACGGACACAGAATGGGCGTCCATCTATCTTGGATGCATCAGGTCTGTGAGGCTGTTCCAATACAGCTGTACCTGCTGAGTAGGGCAAGAGTCACAGGAGGACAAATATTCACACTCCTTCAAGGTGGGTTACTTGTCCTCGTTGCTAAGCGGCAAAATGGCGCAGCTGTGACGCCTGCGCATGCCCCACCACGACCATCTATGTTGTCTGACGTAGCCATCAATGGATGGTATCTCATCTTCCCATTTCTGCCGTCTTACATCGCTTAGGTAGACCTATATCATATCTAATCAGGAAAAATGATACGGTCTTCTGTGCATTTACCTATGGTAAACAACCTTCGGACTTTTTGTTCGAAACAGAGGACTATCGACCATAATCTTGATTCACAAATATGGAAGTACACCAGTCTAACCACCTCCAGGTGCGGCCATAACTTCTTGTATCTTCTGTGGTGATACGTCCATGCCTAGTAGCCAACCGAAGCCAATAAAGGTATCAAAAATCGCCTTCTTGCTGCCGCTCAAGAATGGTAGGAAAGAGAAATGTGCATGAGGCAGTCCAGGCCAGATGTCGAGTTTTGTCTTGACTCCGTTTTCACTCAAAACTTGCTCGTAGATCAATCCATCGTCACGTAGAGGATCCATTCCGTCGACTTGGACGTATGTGGNGGGCAAGCCTTTGTGAGGATTTTTGCTGTTGAAAGGTGAATAGAGCTGGGATGACTGGTCAGGTTCGAGATGGCCAGCGATGGCATCGATAGCGTTCTTATCGAGGATAGGCGCGTCGGCGTTTTGCTCGTGGGAGAAGAAGACGTCTTTGTACTTGTCTGGCACTAAATCCTCGTTGGGGAAGACAAGGGGGACACACAGCCAAAGACCTGTGAGAGGATGTGCCAGGCTTTTGTCCTCGAGGGTCTTCTGGGCAATACAGGCAGACAGGTTACCNNTGTGATATGTTAGGCGCGCTTAACTCGCAGCAATGACCTAGTGGCTATACGAACCGCCTGCACTAACGCCTCCCAGGACAAATCCTTTGGAAGGGTCTGCACCCAAGGACTCTGCATTCTTCGCAAGCCATAACAGAGTGTCTTCGGTATCGTTCGGTGCAGTTGGGAACTTGTGCTCGGGTGCCAGTCTGTATGCAGTCGTCACGACAACTGCATCGAAGGCTCTGGCGAATCCACGGCCATAAGGGGTGAGCTGTTGGTTATCGCCAACCACAAAGCCACCACCAAACACCAAGACGATGAGAGGTCCTCCGCTCTTGCCCATGGGTTTGTGGATCTTGATCTGGCTTTCAAAGCCATCTCTCATGGTTATGCTCTTGAACTCTTCCTCGACGTGTGGGGCTGCTGGACCCAGGGCCTCGAGCTTTTGCTTTCCCATCTCGTCGCGCATTGCGCGGAATTGTTTGATATTGTTCCAGTCGCCCTTGGGGAGGGTGTTCTTGCTGAGGAACTGCTCGAGCTCAGCATATTGTTATCACAGGTGGGACTGTTCATCGCATACCTCAGCAAGCTCCGGGTCCATATCTGCGAGCTTCGCAACTTCTTCCTTGGTCCTCATCATGGCGGTCTAGCGAAGCAGTTGTATGAGAAGTCCAAGGGTCAACAGTTCTCAAGAGCTGTCAGGAGCGAGACAGCCGTCTTGCTTTCTCTTGTAATCTGCATCCGACCTCGGCACACTCCCAGCCGTTGCAGTCAAGCACCTCGGTCATAGAGCTTCTCCATGCCGACGTGGGTTTTAGACTTCAACCATCACGGTGTTGGTCCAGGGCGAGCGGTATGTGTGCCCCGCTTTGATCGTCGGCTGTCGGAGGTTGAATGACGCGATACGTATCTCGTATGGGTGCCGCTCATCCTCGTGCCTATCACAGGTCAACAAACACATCTACATGATCCAAGAAGTCGTTTCGAACAATCAATCGGTCAATCCTCAGGGATTCTTGGTGGCCAGCAATGATGGCTGGGCAAGGAGATTGACGTTTGAATGAAACTCAAGTAGCTGCTTCGAGCAGTATCGTGGTTCTACACCAACCGTTTTTAATCAACTATATTGTTTTATCAGCTCAGCAAAATGCTCATCACCGCTTTCTGCTTTCTTGACAAATGTGTTCCAGTTCTCTTTGATCCATGCGGCATCCTGTCCGGCAGGAGGCAAGTACAATCCAGCTTCCATGCCTGCAACAATCGCTCCGTAAAACATGACCAGTCGAAGCTCGGTCCCCGGCACTATCCTCACCCATTCATCTTCAAGAGCTTTGCTCACGGCATCATAGTCAGACTGCGTGCGTGAAGGGCCGTGTCGTACATAAGCGAGGATGCGATTGCTATTAAACTGGTTTGAAAACAACATATCAGTTTCCGAGCTGCCCGCACGACGACCTCGGATGTTGTTGCTTACCTGTTTTCCTGCTACATATGTTCGCTGGTTTGAGATATCTGTTATGCGAACATTGACAAAGAGTCTGGGAGTTGAGAACTGCTGGCTGTGGATTTTGGTGATTGCCTCGGCTAGTTGGTCTTTTTGGTCGTCGGATAGTTTGCAGACGTGCTCGACTTCGTAGGCTGGCATGGTGGGTATAATTCGATATGTCCGATATCTCGGATCTACTGGAAAAGTGCTTGTATCTAGCCACCGCCAGAAGTGCTGTAGACTTGCTTATATGTTTGGAAGTGCTCCAGTTGAGCGGAGCGGGGTAAGGATGGAATATATGTTACAACCTAGGTTTGTTGACTCAACTACAGCACATACTTATGATCTTGTAGCGATATGAGCAGAGACTAGCACGTCTTTGGAGATCATGCACTGGCCTTAAGATGGTTATCATCAGACCCTGCTTGTCATGAAGAAAGGACCATATATGTTTGCAACAAATGTTGGCAACATCAGAACGCCGAATCCATCATCATTCTTCCAAGCATTTTCGTTTTACATCTCACATCTACAATCATGTTTCCCACGCTCGCACTCCGAAACTTCGCCTGCCGCATCACGCTGTTCACGCGGTCAAACTGCAAACTGTGCTCAGATGCCAAAGAGGTCTTGTCCAATGTCTGGGACAAGCGACCTTTCGAGTATGACGAGATCAACGTGATGGAACATTCTGATCAAAAATGGAAGAATATGTACGAGTTTGATACGCCAGTGGTAAGTGTTCACACAAGATTCTCGTGGAAGCCATGTTGACAGTGTTGCTAGGTTCACGTAGACAAAGCGAAAGAGGGCAACCAGTTCAGCACTACAGGCGAGGCAAGAAAACTCATGCACAGATTCAAGGAGCATGAGGTGGAGAAGTTGATGGATGAAGCCATGTTGGATGAGCCTTCTTTATCTTCCTCCGCCTAACCTCGTTCCATTCATCATGTAAATCTGTACCTTTGCCGGCTCAGGAGGGAGGAAGAGCTACTGCTGACGAGGTGCGGGGCATCCTATCTTCACTCTTACCACGACTTGATGAGTCAACTTTTTAACCACGACACAAATCAGAGAACTGTTTCGTCGAACGTATCTACGACCAACAGATCATATTGCAGACTACCAACCATTCTCATTGAACCCATCAGTCCAATCACAACGCATCACATCACGTTCCATCAAGCCACCAGCGACTCGGCAGAGCTTTCATATTACCCATCATCGCCCATATCATCAGAAGATAATTCACCAAACCCAATTTGAAAACAATGCAAGCAGCCAACCACCTCCACAAAACCCTCTCCAGCAATGCACTCGCCCTGGGCGCCTGGCAAATGCTCCCAGGCTCAAACCTCTCCCGCATCCTCGCCCGCTCAAACCCCGACTGGATCTGCGTGGACACTGAACATGGAAACATCAGCGATACAGCCATGCACGAATCCGTTGCCGCCATCGCCTCTTGCGGTGTCTCTCCAATTGTCCGCACGGTCTCGAATGAAGGCTGGATGATCAAACGTGCATTAGATGCCGGTGCTCATGGCATTGTGATTCCCCAACTCAACAACGCAGAGGAAGCCAAAGGTGTGGTCAGAGCAGCCAAGTTTCCTCCACAAGGGATCAGGGGGTTTGGAAGCCCATTTGCTATGGAGAGATTTGTGCCTAAAGGTGGAGAACCTGTTTCTGCGGCAGAGTACTTGCAACAGGCCAATGAGGCACTTGTTACCATCATCCAGATCGAAAATCAATCAGCATTAGACAATGTGGATGCCATTGCTGCAGTTCCCGGCATTGACGTCCTTTTTATCGGCCCTTACGATCTAGGAAACAGTATCGGCTATCCCATTCTTGCTGATGGCATGCACGAGGAACTCAAAGCTGCCATAGAGAAGATCCACACTGCGGCAAAGAAGGCTGGCAAGCATTCAGGCATCTACTGTACGGATGGCGATCAAGCAAGACACTACGCAGACCGAGGCTTTAGCATGATCAGTGCCATGACGGATTCTCTGGCGCTGGGTCAAGGTGTAGGTACTGCGTTGGGCAGGGCGAGNGGGTCGTGGGGTCATGCGGCATTGCAGGGTGTCAAACAGGGTGCGAGCAAGATTGTTTCTTCGACTTCGCCGTATTGATGCTGTCTATTGGGACAATAGGCCTAGCCTTTATTACTCTATGTTTGAACATTTTCTCCATATCAGGTTATTGTTCTACTTCCATACCATGCATCATCTCTACCCTTTGTAACATGTCATCGAGCACAATTTAGGATCGAACAGGCTCAGACTGAATCTGGCCAAAACTTCTTATACGAGTGAGCCTGATGCATATCATCATCCGCAACAAGCGAGCCCTTGCCCATCCCCCTTCCCACCCATCCTTCATCGTAGCGCAAAGTCCAGTCACATGGCTCCTTCCTTCTATCCTAACTACAATGTCCCTCCAACTTCTGCCATGGCTCCATCGCTCCTTTCTTTTCTATATCCCTCAGATCACTCCCTTCCTCTCGTGCATTGGCTGCATCGCTCCTTCCCCCATACGTTTTGCTTGCATTGCCTCTTGCTCATACCCATTAACCCTTACTTTCGGGACGTACGGTTTAGATGTGACAATCCATTGCGTTATCACGTTTTCTTCCTGGAAACCCCCTGCTTCTTGATGATCATGTCGTAAGGATGATAGCAAGGTCTTTTGTCATTTTCTTGTTCTGCTTCGTATACACAGAATGGTGATTTCTCCTCGACGAGTTCTACAACAGAGAAGAAGCAAGTAACGGAACAGCCAAATGAAAAGGGTATCGTCGTTGAGGACTAACATGCACCGATCTGTAAGCATCCATGCAAAACAGAGAAAGACAAGATGTGGAATCCTCCAGAAATGGAAAACAGACAGAAAGAAAGCCACAACGTTCGACGAAACAGAGGAAAGAACATATATAATGTATGAAAAGAGAAGATATTAGAAAAATTTTTATGCAAACTGCGCTCGAAAAGTGGGAGAAACCCCCTGGACTTTTTTTGATAAAGTAGACAAGTTTCAGCACTGGAATCCTGAAAAGGCTTGTCTTTTGACATTAACTTCTGACACTTTGTAGTCGTTGATATTACTCCTCGGCCCATCGCTTCTCTCGTAATGTAGGCTCACGGCCTTCTCGTTGCCTGGAGCCGTCTTGCTCGGCTTTCCAAGCCCAGTACTCGCCAAGACGGACATCAGCATATGAAGCGTAATCAAAGTCGATCTGTGAAATGGTGGCTTGGATCAGGGACCAAATTCCCCAATAGAAGCCAGGTAGGCCGCGGAAAGTGTCGACTTGGCTGACCAGTTGCTGTTGTTCGCGTTTGATTGTTTCCGGATCTGATACAGGAGCGAAATTGCGGTATGATGCGAGATATTGGGCAATGAAATCGGCACGTTGACTGCGTGTTGGCAAAGCAGAGTAGTCGCAATCAAAACCGCCCCATTCAGCAAAGTGGTTGGCAATGTCGAAGGCAGCGGGTGCTGGGGTTGCGTATTCGTAGTCGATGAAGCTCACTGTGAGACCTTTCCCTCCTTCTCTTTTCTCAGGGTGTACAATTACGTTGCCGGATAGCAGGTCGCAATGAGCGAAAATGTAGTCGTAACCGTCCAAACCGGGGATTTGTCCCAGCTCGTTCGAGAGATGTGTCAATTCCTGTTCCAGCATGTGTTTGCGTTCCTTCTCTTTCTGTGTGGCTACGGGTAGCGCATTGATCCACTCTTGCATGACGGTCCACAGACTTGGTTTCGGCCTCTTGTTGCCGGCTGTGTCTGTGTGGTGGTGATCATCACCATTCTGGTCTTGCAGCGTCTGGAGCGAACTGATAGCAGCGATGGGTAGTGTGCTGTGCCATTGGCCGAGTCTTCTGGCGACTGCGCGATAGACGTCGGGTCTTCGGAGGTCTTCTGGGCTGCATACGTCGCCTGCGATGTATTTGTACAGTAGGCCATTCTCGAAGCGAGCGAATAGTGGAGGCGCTAGTCCGCGGCCCGCAAGCAGAGAGTGCGATCGAGTTTCTCCTGTTGTCGTGGTCAATTGGGCGTTTCATTTAGAAGAGGATACTCTCAGAGAGGTTGAATGTGGGAGAGACGTACTCTCGCGGTCTATCAGGACATCTGTTCCCTTTCCATATGCCCTCAGAAGGATCGCATCCGAGTCAATATCTTGTTGTGTGTACCCTGGTCGTTTCTTGATGGCCTTCATAANGCTGTGCATGGCGTGTGTCAGCCGCAATCCAGGTCAAACAGGCGCGAAAGGCTTGCCTTGACGTACAGTATTTGTGATGCCTTCAGTGAAGGGGATCAATTCAACCGGGCCTTCATCGTGCTCCCAGTCGGGGCATAATGTGTATATCAGGCGCAAAGCGGAGCGCTCGGAGTCGGTGTGATCATAGCAGAGATCGATGTGTCGGACGGCCATGGGAGAGTCTGCTCTAAGCAGGTGCAAGTCCATGTTAGAGAGTGTTATAGCGAGGAGTGGGCACGCGGGCAGGCAGTACAGGAAGCAACGACCAAGTAGTGTTGGAAGAAGGTGTGTAGAACTCGGTCGGTCAAGCCATGCAAAGACAGTGACAGATTAGAGTGACAATGTCAGGGCGGGCGGCAGCAAAAGTGGTCAAGGTGATCGTGTGAGTTGCGAGTTCGGGAATTGGCATATGGAGACGGAGGGGGTCAGTGCAGCACATTACCAGAGTGGGTAGGCCCTGGACGCGCCTCGAATCTACAAGCCAAGACGGACGGGACCCTTTCCCTTGGTGCACTCTATTATAAAACACTACAACAAAGGGGGCCTCGAAATCTCCTGAACAATGGCTGCTACCAAACACAGACTCTGTTTGCTGCCTCCAAACAGCCGACAGTCTCTGCGGCACATTCGCAGGGCGCCTTTTCACTCCCTATCCCAAGAGTCGAAATTGCTCACTTCCCTTCGCTTGACATTACCCGCCCGTCCAATCGCACGCGGCAAGGTTTCAAGCTCGGCCTCGCGATGACGCGCGCCTTCCGCAACATCCTATTCCCATGTGATTGCCCAATAAACCATGTTTGCACGTGAAGATTCACTCGGCTGCCTGCATACTGTACTCATGTAGGGAATAACTTCATGGCTGACATGCTTTGATAAAAGCTACAAACTTTTATTCGCTAATAGCGCTGAGTAGGCTGCTGGTCGCCATATAAGAGAGACGAGCTATACACGCCGAGAGGAACTGAGGTATTGAAAGAGTAGGAAATAAAGTGTCCTTCTTGTGGCCACATTGAACAGAAAACAAAACAAAGAGGATATCTATCGTGCCTTGACGCCATTCGTCCAGTAATACCCACAGACAAAATAATAACAAGAAAGAAAATAAAGACACCACTCGCTCATCACATCGTGACACTCAGGACCTGTGGCTGGGTGGACTACTGCTTGTCGCAGCCATCGACCTTGACATCTGGATGACCAGCAAATGGTCCCGACCCAAACGCCGGAGTCGTGTCATTGGACTGACTTGGCGGGTGGTTACCATCTACCTGCTGCTGGACGACGACAGGATCCTGAGGCTTGGTATCAGGGTGGATGTCAAGACCGCTCTCACGACTCAGGTCGCTTCGCGATCTGGCACGCGCAAACTTCATGCTGTCGTTGTCACCGTGTCCACGTTCTATCGGAGACCATGCTGCACCAATGCTGCCTGCAACGATGCCGGCCATGGCAGCGCCAGCGAATGCAGAGTTCGATCTTGAACGACCACGCGAACGGCGGCGAGAGTCTGGTGTGGGAGGTGCAAGCGATTGAGCGTCACCCTGTTCGCCGTTGGGAGTTTGCGGCAGAGACATGCTACTACGCGATCTGGATGCCGAGCGAGATTGAAGAAGAGCTTCGCGAGGGTGCTTGAGGGTGAACTTGATCTGGTTGAGACGGCCACCCTTGATTCTCTTGATGAATGCAAGTTCATCACGAATGTCAAGAAGGGCTTGGCTGTACTCGAATGGTCGCTCCTCGTCCTCTACAACAAGCTTGGGCGCAGCCTTGCGCTTGAGCCATGCTGGCACCAGGCGTGCAACGAGCTCGTCAGGAATCAGACGAATGATGATTCCAACTGGAATCGAGATGGCACCAAGGCCGACTGAGTAAGCCCATTGTTCTCCAGTCAATCTTTCAACACTGAAAGCGCGACCACCAACAAACATGATCATCACCTGTCCGCCGATCATAACAAGCGCGATGAAGATGAAGAAAGAGTTGCGTTGAACGCCTTCGAAGATGTTGAACTTGTTGTCGAGGCGTCTGTTGTTGAACATGTTGAAGATCTGCATCCAGACAAAGCAGTTAAAAACCATTGCGTTGAGTCTTTCTCTCTCCGCAGGATTGGCGTAGCTTAGCAGACCTGAACCACCTGATTTTTGACCGAAGTACAGAATGTAAGTGACGATGAGCTGGTAGATTGCTTGGCCGATGATCATTTTCCACATGTTCACTGTAATGAGAGGTGCGGATTTGGGAGCAGGCTTGCGGTTGATGATGTTGCGAGTAGGGGNGTCGGTAGCAAGAGCCAGAGCAGCAAATGTGTCCATGATCAGGTTGACCCAAAGAAGTTGCACTGCAGTGAGGACAGAAGCTTCGTCATCACTGGCGACGGCTGACACAAAGGCTAACAAAACAGCTGTGATGTTCACAGTAATCTGGAACTGCAGGAACTTTTGGACGGCGTCATTGACAGCACGACCCCACATGAGAGCCTTGATGATGGAAGCGAAGTTGTCGTCCATGAGGATGATGTCGGATGCCTCTTTTGCGACCTCAGTACCAGCAATACCCATGGAGAAACCGACATCAGCAGCCTTGAGAGCAGGGGCATCGTTGGTACCATCACCAGTCACGGCGACGGTCTCACCCATCTCTTTCAAACGCTTGACTAGCACACGCTTGTCGTCGGNGGAGGATCTTGCCAGGACTTGGAGTTTAGGGATGACGGCCAGTTGCTCTTGCTTGGACATCTTTCTGAAGACAGGTCCCTCAAGGGCAACACCTCCAGGTGTGAAGATACCGCATTCGGTAGCGATGGCCTTTGCAGTCATGATGTTGTCACCGGTAACCATACGAGGGAAGACGCCAGCAGTAAGGCAGTCCAAGACAGCATCAGTGACACCATCACGAAGGGGATCCTGGATACCAATGACTCCGAGGAAAGTCATGTCTCTCAAGACATCTTCGAAGATTACCTGAGTCTTGTCGTCTTCAGATCTGCGGGCATTCTTAGGAGGCCACTGTTCGAAGTCGCGGTAGAGGAAACCAATGGTGCGGAGAGAGTTGGATGCGTAAGTCTCGATGAGCTGGTTGAGGGTCGTAACGTTGTCGTTGGAGATGGAAACACCATCGACACCTTTGCTAGGGTCTCTGATGATCATTGTAGCATGTCTCAACATAATTTCCGAGGCACCTTTGACATAAAGTCTGTACTTGCCGCCAATCTTCTGAACAACACCCATGCACTTGCGACCGGAATCGAAGGGCATGAACTGAACGAGCTCGGCGTTTGAGCGCTCAGTGCTAATAGCGTCCATACCCAGGAAGTCGCGAGCGAAAGCCAAAAGAGCAGTCTCGGTCTTTGAGCCGATGTAAGTGGGCTTACCATTTTCCTCGCCCTCAAAGGCAGTAGAGTTCAACGCGATCGAGTCTTTCATGAGGGCGTTGACGTTATCACCCAGAGTGCCGACGAATTCGTTGGTGTCCACGCTATCGACATTGACTCCTTGAGCGTCTTGATCCTTGCTAGCCTTGCTGCTGAAGCGGGAAGTGGTTCCAACAGTTCCAGCCACAACAGTCATGACGTTTTGGGTGAGAGTACCAGTTTTGTCAGAGCAGACTGTGGTGGCATTTCCCATGGTCTCGCAAGATCTGAGCACACGGACAAGGTTGTTGTCCTTTGTCATGCGTTTGGTAGCGAAAGCCAGGGCGAGTGTAACGGCTAGAGGCAGACCTTCGGGAACTGCAACAACAACAATGGTGACAGCGACGATCAGAATGTTGAGGAAGTTTTGTGCCTTTTCGGAGGGAGTTCTACGGTCTCCGGGGAGCTTTGCACAGAACTTGATCAGAAGTACGACGAACAGCAGCAGTGCAGCAGCTCCACCAAGTTTGGCAATGTATTCGGCCAAGGTGTTCAACTTTGACTGCAGGGGAGTGACTTCGCTGTCCTCGCGAAGCGACATCATGGTTTTGCCGTAGCTTGAGTTAACACCAGTAGCGACAACAAGGAATTTACCAACTCCCTCGGTGACTTTGGCGCCGGAGAGGATGAATGGATCCAGTTTTCTAAGCGGTTCGCGAGCTTCCATAGCACGCCAGACCTCCTCGGAAGCACTCTTCTTGATAATATCAGATTCACCGGTTGCGGAAGATTCGTCACATTTGATGCCGTGACCTTCGATGAGCACACCGTCGACAGGGACCATGTCACCAGGTTCAAGAAGCAAAACGTCACCAGCGAAGATGTCGTGGACCGAGATTTCCAGAGTTTTTCCAGAGCGAATGACCTTGACGACACGGTTGTCCTTTTTCTTGTTGAGTTTGACGAATTGACGCTCCTTCTGCCAATCATTGAGAGCTCCGACTGAAACAACAATGACGATGGCGACAACGATGGCGACACCTTCGACCCATTCGACGTGTGGTTCTCCGTTTACTTTAGGGGTACCAAAGGTTTGGTAAAGACCAAGGGCAAGCGAGATGACAGCAGCACCAGTAAGCAAGAGGAGAATCTTGTCTTTGTAGGCCTCCCAAGCAAGACGCCACAGCGGCTTAGCCTTCTTCTCAGGAAGGCGGTTGTCGCCAAAGATGCGCACACGATCAGAGAAGGGACCGCTAGTAGATGTCGTGCTGTTGCCGCCCTTGGAGACGTATTGTGCGTTGGGGTTTTCGTGGTCAGTGGCTTCTTCGAATGAGACGTGGCCATCAAGGTGCTGCTCCTCTAAGCTCAAACCAGTCTTGCGGTCAGACCTGAGACCCTTCTCGATACCTGCAATACCTCCTAGGGCATGGAATGCACCCAGACTCTTGGGGTTGAACATCTTGCCCATCTGACCGGGGGTAAAGGCGAAGGGATTGTTCTCTCTTGTGAAGTCGGCCTCGGTTCCAGGGTCGGGGTGTAACGCCTCACTAGCGCTGAGGACTTCAGGGCCACCATGGCTGTCTTGTGGACCAAAGGCCTTGGGCACGCCGTGTTCTGGTGAAGAGTTGACGTAGGTTCCTGTCGATGTTGATTCGGCGCCGAGAGTATCGAAAGAACCGGCACGCGAGCGTGCAGGAGGGACCGAAAGGAAGTTCTGAGGGCTATTGAATGTTGGTGACGAGACATTGTGAGGCGAGGTCGGTCTGCTGTTCTCATTGTCAAATGAGTTGGTAGGGCGCAGTTCAGCAGGCGAAGTCTGGAAGGGGTGCAGCCCTGTTGAGGAATGGTCGTTGCCCTGCACAGCGAAGCTGCCGTCAGAAAGGGTGTCCATCGCTATGTCCTGACGAACCGAGGGTCTACCCACTGCTGAAGTGTCTATGGTGATGGTGGGTGCTCTGTTACGGCGGCCTTGGGCTGGCGAGTCCTGGCCTAGGTTGAGAGGATTCGAGTCCGACATGGTTGTGGCTGGTGTTGCACCACAGGTATGCAGGACGCTGAGGTTATGTCGAGGTCGACTGAACAATGGTCATTCGTAGGAGGTGTGGCTTGACCTTTGATGCACTGAGGTAAGGCGAATCAAGAGGCTGTGCTAGGGGCCTTCTAGCTCAGGTCGAGGCCGGAATGGTGGCAGTGGGGTCCGGTGATGTCGTTCAAGAGATGGTAATGCTCAATAGTACTAGGCACATGACAAGAGCATCAGCAATCCGACATGACTTCGCCCATACAAATGTCAAACAGCAGGGAGGCGCAGTGATAAATGTCCAAGAGCCAAGAATCTCTTGGACTCGTTTTGCTGGTTGCTACGCGATTGAAGAATGTGGAAAGAGGCTTTATTACACTTTACCATCGACACTGCCCGTTGCCGACGACTGTTCAGTTTGCCAACGCTCGTCTTCACCGGCTCGCTAGCTGTGGGTTCGGGGAGTAGAGATAAGCTGGGCGCTGCAGCGATGGGCAGGCTGTGTTGAGTCAAATGGTCGTTTTTGCGCGGATATGCGACTGCTTGATTTGATAAACAGCTTTACAGCCGATGATGTGCAGGTAAGGAGGGAGCAGCAACAAGGAGTCAATTGTCTTGCGAAACCAGGCCGTCTGTTTTGACTGCCGCCGGACAAAGAAAGTCAGCAAGCAGCTGTCAGAAGGCACAGCTCTGTAAACTACATTTCTCTTCACCTCCATCTTGTCCTGTGGTGGTTGTGCTCGTGGTGCTATGCCAAGAGCACTGCCTCAAGATCAAAGCACTAGCGTAAGGCTTCTCGATCGTCCCTTCCGCCTCGGCCCCCTGTCAAAGAGCCTCATCGGCGTTTCCATTGGCCGTTATGCCTGACTCTTGCTCAGAGTCTGGTCGCTCTTATGCGACCTGCCTTCTCCCTCTGCATGTCTTGCCAACCCATACAGCACTTGCACAACCTGAGAGTGTTTGATCAACTTCTTGAGATGCGGCAATAACTATTCGCTCAAGCAACTGCGACAAGAGACATGGGCCTAGAGTAGACGATAAATTGCAACAACCGAAGCCTTGGTCCCTTTTCATTCAACGCACAAACACTCATTTCAACCATCTGCAACCGAACAGATGTGATAGATTGTTTCTGTTATGATGCTATGGCCATCAGCCAAACATCCGTGGCGCTTTGGTGCGACTCTTCCAACCAACCCTCCCTTGGCTTTGTGTGCGGTATCTCGACAACCTGTCTTTGGCGAAGCAGGAATGAATATTATACGTTGATGTACTTTGGACCTTGCGGTTTGTGTCTCTTACGCATGTTGTGCTTTTTCTACTTGCTACCATGCGGACCGCCCTTCGAGTCCCACAGTACCCGATGGTGTGTGGATAACAACTCTCTCATGCCCGTCGACCTTCTTCTTGGGGACATGCTTTTCGAAGCTTCGATACGCCGAGCCATGGCATCAGAGAACACAGCCCCCGCCAAGCTCAATAGGCACACTGCATAGTACCGCAGAGTGAGGTCAGCGATTGCTGCGCTTTCTGCTCACTCAAGCACCGTATTCGTGTGTGAGTGGGTATACTCTGTAACCGTTGGCAAATCGTACTCTTTCGCGATGAGGACGGGTCACCATCCGTGTCTCTATCTTCCATGGAGAGATTGGAAGAGTTGCTATGAGCTTAGATTATGAACTGCGGCCGGCCAAGCATCAGCCATGTCCATCATCATGCGCGAAAGATTCTTCGTAATAGATACGGCGCAAAGAGGTCGACACCGGGCGACTGTACGCATCTTCCAACTCGGTTACCCGCATTGGGGCTGAGCCAGTTGCCTGCATCACCAGGGATCTCACCCTCACCGTCGTCTGGGGCTCGCTTCTTTCTGCCACGTCTATCCACAACCGTCATACCGCGTGTCCATTGACCTGTCGTTTCAATTCTGATATCCTCGTCCTTCTTGATCTTCCAACCCGCATCGTCGTGGGTGAGCGCGTACCAGATACACAGCGGATCATGCAGTTCAAGGCCAACAGAGTCACCACTGATGCCTTCCATCAACGATTCAACCTTATCAAACGTCGAGTTCAGGAACGCTGCGGTCCACTCTGCCAAGGGTGACCCAGCCTCAATCAAGGGCTTAATCGTCTGTTTGACCTGACCCCTTGTTATCTTATGAGGTGTTGTGATGTCGAGAGGGAACACAGTAAGCTTGAGCTGTCTCGACAGCTTTGCCGGATAAGGTGCCAAGTGGGGCAGTGAATGCGAGCCAGGCGGAGCAGGAGGCGAAGGAGGGATAGTCGTGTTTGGAGTAGGCGAAGTAAGTGCATACACACGGGCCGTGGCAATGCTATCGGCGTATGTATTGAATTCGGCCACTGGGGTTACCTGGTTACGGATGTTTAGACTAGTGCGCAAAGGTGTTTGTGGGGCCTTGATCAGGCGGAACGGTGGCTCTGGGATTGAGGCGGATGGGTAGATAGGGGGAGGTTGCTGGCGTACATTTCCTTGCTGGTCGATGGTATTTCCCATGACGACCACTTCCTTCACGCGCAAGAACGTCTCAGGATCCTGAGCCGCAGCGATGGCTAGGTTGGTCAGAGGTCCGATCGCGACAATGGTGATAGTGTCTGGCTCATTCTCCTCCAACAGACGCAGGATCTCTTCATGAGAACGACGCGGGGAAGGCTTGAACATGGAAGCCTCACGAACTTGCTGAGAAGTTCTGGTCGCTCCTGGTGACAGAGGTGCTCCCCNGGCGGCATCGAAGAGTATTTTCCATGTCTCCTGGGGAGTCAGATGAGGGTNGCTTCGACCGAGTTAGCCATTCAAGCTCCCATTTAGGACAAGTTCGACACTTACGCTGGAATGGATACCCCCAAGACCATCAGTACCATCTACCTGAATCAGTACCTTCTATACAAGCTCCCTAGGATACATACGGAAGAAGTCTGCCATCATAAGCTGCTCTGCCAGAGGCTCTTCGGCACCAACGGCAACAAGAGGCTTCGAAGCTCTCAAAGTCTCAAAACCTAACTCTTTGCCATTCTTGCTTCTCCACTCAATCTCTCTTTCCATGTGATGGAACAGCGAAACAGCATTACGGAGGCAATTTTGTACGTCAATATTCCCAAACGTCAGAGAGATAAGGAGGACCTCGATCTCTTCGGGTGTAGCACTGAATGCGAGGAGCATAGCCAGAATATCATCGACACCCTAGGATATGTGTTGGCCAAAATGTTGCTATTTGGGGCGGTGACATGATGATGAACATACTGGGTCGGTGTCGATGATGATCTTTTGCTTGGGTGCCATGATGGTTTCCTTTGGGCTTCTAATTTCCTTGACGGTGTGAATATGTAATCAATTGGTTTTGGAAACGATCTTGTCAGCTCGGGAGGTGTTGTCTGGATATGTGTTCTTGCGTGAGTCGTGAATGCTTTGTGCCAGAATGCCTGACGTTGCTACCCGCTTTTTTGACCCGGCTTCATTTAATGTCATGAACCTCGCACACTTCGTCCGGGTGCTCGTCGAGAGCATATATCTGGCTCCAGAGTATCTTAGTATGGACCAAACCATGCTTACTACCGGATAGTATCGTTCTTAGGTAGATGCGATGACAGCAGACAACAATATCTCTTGTCAAGATTGACGACAGGGTAGCACTCCCAGCAACGAATCCGGCTCTCGGCGCACGGACCACTCACAGTGTATAAAAAGTCTGCTTTCCCAAACCCTCTTCCTCCATCAACAATGTCAGTCGCCCACCCTTAGAGTCTCGGTACGACATTTCAATGTTTGTACAGGTCCATGAGGCCTCCATAGCGTGCTCCGGTGGTCGCAGAATCAAATACGCCTTCTGTCTAATTGTATCTATCTTCTTTCGGGAAGAGATGGGAATACAGCATGGACATGGGTGTGAAATCTCTATTCTATATACATATATTTTTGCGTGACTTGTGGCTGATGGCGCATCGCGATGGCCTACTGGATGTCCTGCGCGCGTTGTCTCATCTTCAGTCTGAAGATGGAGCGGAGAGCATGTCAACGAATTTCTCAACCACAGTTGGGAGTTATGGATGTGTACTTACCTCAAGAGACCAGCCTTTGGGCAACTCACGGTTGATGCGCTATCGCCATTCTTCTCGTAGAAGGCATTGCAACACTCGTACAAAGCATCAATCTGTGTACGATCAATATCGTTGTGATGTGCATGTATCGAAATTTGGCTACGCACCTGCTTCTGGCATTTGCTTTCATCGTAGCCATTCTTTTGTATGCAATCTGCCGCGATGTGAATAACGCTGTCTGAGCGAGAGATCAGCCTCGACCTCATACCTTGGATTGCACATGCGCGAGGATGACACGGAGGGTCAGTCTTGAGATCTTGCTCCATACCCTGCGTATCGTGGTCAGTTTCGATACTTTCGAGAATTGATCTTAAAAGTGTCTTTGTCATGACCTCATACCATGATTGGAAACTGAGGCAGTTGTGAAAGCCTTGGTGAACTGGAAAGTGAAGGTGGAAAGAAGCAATAGACAACAGAGACGAGACGGAGTGATAGTTCTAGTGACTTCTGTGAAACGTCGAGTGCTTTGTATTTGGGTGTATGCGACTTCCAGACGTTTCAGTGGTTGTTGGACTTTGAGGAAGGCGCCTCACAAAGACCCCGCGTGTGCCTGCTTCAATTGAGCGCGAACTAGCGTCACTGCTGCCTTTTGATCTTCAAATGCTCGACTCTCCGACACGTTCTTCATTCACGTCGCATAGATCCATCAGGTATTTCACTTCTGCAACACCTCTCGTTCATCCTCGCTCACCAAGCTCACCACCTCATCACAGCCTTGTTGCAGCTTTCACCAACTCAGCTCTCTTAACCCGCGCCGCCACGTGAGCCGACGACGACCGCAACAGCAAAGTCAACCTTCTTCGCAAAGGTACTTCCTCCCTCTTACATCTCACATCCAAACTCTCCACAACAAATCCGTCTAACACCACCTCTTCGCGCCAGAACAACAGACAATGTCCGACACTGGATCACCNCCACAAAAGCCCGAGGGCGGCGAGCACCTCAACATTAAGGTGACCGACAACAACAACGAGGTCTACTTCAAGATCAAGCGCACCACCCAGCTCAAGAAGCTCATGGACGCTTTCTGCGAGCGTCAAGGAAAAGCCCCTACCAGTGTGCGATTCCTCTTCGACGGCCAGAGAGTCAACCCTACCGACAATCCTGAGACCGTGAGTCGTCCTGTCCTTTGACCTTATCGCTGTCGCATTTCGTCTTTGCTTTGTTCCTTTGACTGACTTTATCCTTGCAGNCTCGACATGCAAGACGGCGACACCCTCGAGGTCCACCAGGAGCAGATCGGTGGCTGCTGATCACCTTGTTACACCACGAACCACTACACGAAGCAAGACTCGAGAAGTTGCGCCTACAAGCAAGGACATAGGAAGGAAAGACGAGCGCACTCCAGATGGTGCAACTTGGCGTTGGTGCCCAAGCAGGAGTTATAATCGATCAGGGCGGCCTGTCTATACCAGCGAATCGGGGCGTGCACTTTCTGTGACTGCTTTTCCACCAACAGAAGAGCGAGCGCGCATGATGTTTTCTGCTCTCCTGCCCCGTATTCTAGTCTTTTCCCACAATTATTTGCCAGAGCGATCAAGGTATCACAAAGAAATCTGATTGTCATCAAAATTCCTCGAGTCTTATTGCCCATTCCTGTGCTTCTTGTGCTAAAATCTTCTGATCTATCCTTTCCTATGCCTTCTCTCCTTCCACTGCTTGCCTACTATGCTGTCTATTTGCCCATGACTTCGTGTCGAGAGTGGCTCATATGCATCCTGATGTGACAAACGTCTTCTGTGCTCCCGACTCAATATCCTCGCTATGCAATATCCGTATGCGTTTCTTTGCTCCTTCGCGTCTTCTTCACTGCAGATTTGTGCTCTTGGTGCTCTTGTATCCCGGATGAGCCCAAGGAGTTCGGTAAGTTCAGCCTGCGATGCCTTCAGATCGTTCCCGACCCGATCTCGACCTTGTTATGCCAAGTTTGTTGATCCATGTCTCTCTGCGCAGCCGCTTCAATCGTCCCAGATGGCAGCCTTTGCCTTTGCGGCATCCTCCTCTGCCTTTTTCTTGGCCTCTCTTTCCTGATCTCTCTTTCTCTTCTCTTGCTCCCTCATGGCTTTGTCGTAGGCTCTCTGTTCTTCTGTTCTTCTAGGTACCTTGACACCCAGAGCTCCAGCGATCAAGCGGTGAGCGACTGCATTTGTCTTTTCAGGGCGGCGGTCAGAAGATGTGCTCGACGAGGGTGTGGTGCTACGTGAGGGTGGCGTGATACTGCGGCTTGGTGGCGAGGGAGCGGCAGAGCGGTATTTGAGGTGGGGAGGCAGGTATGTTGATTTGGGCACTGGTGCTGCTTCTTCGGTGGACTTGACGGCGGGTTTGGAGGTAGTGGAGGTGGTTGTGTTTGAGCACTCGGGTTCTGAGGACGCTTCTTCTTCCTCCCATGAATCTGCGACTCTGGTGGCAGGCTTGGTGTGTTTGTGGTGGAGGGCNNCATGCGGCTGGTTGCTGGCTTGGGGTTGGGCTCTGACTCGGAGGCTTCGTCTGTTGCGGCGGCAGGTGTAGTCTTGCTCTCCATTGCGGCTTCGGGNTCCAGTAGGATCGACAGTCTCGGATGTAACAGACTTCTCAGTGCTGGCGAGTGTGGCTGCTGGTGGCTGGTTTGCGACTCTGGCTGGCGAAGATGTGGTCGACTCGGCAGACTTGTTTGCTTGAGCGTACTTGCGGTGTGGTGGTGTGTAACGAGGAGCATCGGCACGGCTCTTGCCACTGACACTCATCTTCTCCATCTGTTTCGAAAGACCGTTGGTTGATTGAGTACTCGCCATGGTGGAGGAGTACGTAGCTGTAATCAGAAAAGAAAGATGGTTGGAAAGCAAGATCAAGTGAGGATAGGCCGCAGATCGTAAGAGGTGAGAGTCAGAGCAATTACAGAGCCAAGCAAACAGTGAGGAAGTGAAAGCAAATATTTGGTCCGGGTCGAGTGACAAAAAGTGGTATGCGACTCGAGTCGCAAGCCTGAAAGTGAACTCGCAAACCTAAATCCGGACCCCACGTTTTCAGAATATCTGCGGGGATAACAGAGTCTTGGCACTACTCGAGTGCTGACATCACATCTACCAAACCTGTGTTTGCTGTCGCAATCCGCCTAATTATTCTCTTGGAGATATCGTATATGACAAATTGTAGGGTCAAGATCCTGCAAGATCGGATCTTCAAAGTTCGACATTTTGGCACATCTAGACAGCCGATGGTATGCATCCAGGAGACAACACGGTTAATGATATAAACTCAGTTCGATGTTCCCTCCGGCCTCGGCCGGTAAGATCTACCTGATGCCGATACTCCACCTCGTCGTCCCGATGCTTCATATATTGATGCCGCCCTTCACGTCGTAGATCAGTCATTTCTGCACGCCGATTGCTAGAGAGGAGTCCGACATGCCTGTGCCCCGTTTCTCTTCGAATCTTTTGAGATCTTCAAGGACGAGACACTTCTCAACCTCGGTAGCGAGATGTTCTTATGAAGAGACAGTTCAAAACCTGAAGATCGGAAAACACACACGAGTTCTATACCAGGGATTCACCGGAAAGGTCGCAACACAGAACGCCAAGGAGTCTCTCGAATACGGCACGAACATTGTTGGTGGTGTAAAACCAGGNGGCAGCGGAGAACATCTAGGCTTGCCAGTATTACCTACTGTCAGAGAGGCCAAAGAGCAGTTGAAGCCAGATGCTACTGCAATCTACGTGGCCGCTCCTCACGCGGGCAAAGCCATCGAGGAAGCCATCGAGGCAGAGATACCGCTAATCGTCGCCGTGGCCGAACATATACCACTTCATGATATCCTACGAGTACGGAGTCCAACAGGAGAGTGAGATGAATGTAAGCTGATATATACCAGNATCATGTCAATCTTGAAGGCGCAGTCAAAAAGTCGACTAGTTGGTGCGAACGCTCCCGGCATTATCTCAGCAATTGGACATTGCAGGATAGGCTTTCAACCGCTACCGACATTCTCTCCTGGCCATGTCGGAATCGTAGCCAAGTCAGGCACTTTGAGTTACGAGACCGTGGCTTCGATAACTCGTGCTGGGCTTGGGCAGAGTCTGTGCATCGGCATGGGAGGCGATGTGGTAGCAGGCACAAACTTCGTCGACGCTTTGCGAGTCTTCGAGACGGATCCTGATACCGAAGCTATAGTGCTTGTTGGAGAGGTCGGTGGAAGTGCCGAGTTGGAAGCAGCCGACTGGATTAAAGACTACCATCGCCGCGAGAAGAACCCAAAGTAAGCTTATCGAGGTTCCCGACCAGATATGTATCATGCTAACGAGATGTTCAAGNNACCCATAGCTGCTGTTGTTGGAGGCAGAAGGGCACCTCCTGGTCGAGTGATGGGACATGCAGGCGCTTGGGCTGGTGTCGGTGAGCCCACTGCTGAGGAGAAGTACAAAATCTTGCAGAATGCAGGGGTCACTATGGTTGACCATCCCGAGAAGTTCGGTAACGTCATGAAAGGCTTGTTGAAGCAGGCTGGCAAGGACGTGGGCGAGATCCAACAATCTGTAAGCGCCAACCAACGAAGAGGCATGCACACCATGAGGCGAGTACGGCCAACTGTCACCTCGCAAGCTTCCAGATCTAGCACAAGTCCTCAGCGAAACTTGCATCTTCGCAACCAAAAAGCTGTAGATCATCTCAGCAAGTCATTGGAGGGCTTCAATGTTTTCGAAGAGACCCCCGACAACGCAGACAGCGTTTACTTGAGCATCTCAGTCGATCGCTCTAGCCGCTCACCCTGCGTCATCGCCTCGCCATCCACAAACCCTCGCAAACTTCACCATCGCCTGCGTCGCTTCCCATACTCTTACCTCGAAGGCCCGGACCAGGAGACCGTTCTCGCAGCCATACAACACCTGCAACTCGACGCCGCACCTCCGGCCGCTCACGCACGAACGGCAAAACTCATATCCCGTCTCGCGGACCTATATCGCGAACAAGAAGCCGTAAGCCTAGCCGTCAACCTCTCAATCTCCTCTTCAGGCTCCCTAAACCTCTCACAACCCCAACTCTTCTACGACGACGCTGCCTTCAAATCCAACAAGCGCCACCCCGACCTCCACGCCCTCCGCGATATATCCCAAGAACCCGCCGTCGAAGTCGAAGCCGAGAAATCAGGCATTGTGTTCGTAAAACTCCACCCTGATGACCATACCGCAAACATTGGTACTCTAGTCAATGGAGCAGGGTTAGCCATGAACACCGTCGATGCCCTCGCCCTACCACCCCACAATGGCAAATGTGCCAATTTCCTCGACACTGGCGGCAAAGCGACTTCAGAAACTGTAAAGACGTCTTTTGAGCTCATCCTCAGGGATCCCCGCGTCAAAGTCATTTTTGTAAACATCTTTGGCGGACTCACGGATTGTGGTATGATTGCTGATGGAGTGATTATGGCGTTTGAAAAGGTGGATATGCAGGGCAAGCCAGTTATTGTGAGATTGAGAGGAACCAATGAGGAGGTCGGTCAGAAGAAGATTGCGCAAAGCGGACTGCCGCTTGAAGCATTTGATGGGTTCCATGAGGCTGCGCAGAGAGTGGTTGAGTTGGCTGGAAAGTCATGAAATGAGATGTATAGATGTACAGTAGATGACCTTGACTTTGTGTTTGCTTAGAATGCTCTTTTATATGATCTCGTCCTCACCTCGTTAGCCATGTCATGCTTGGCCATCGATCTATCCTTTGTGGTCTCCTAAGAGAATTTAGTATTGTGGTTGTACGGTCATCGTACGCGTCCTTCATTTCTGTGAAAGCAGTCTAAAAACTCACATGTCCGAACGCCTCCAAAACGCAAAAGTCACAAGTCTATACCTCATCTACTTCTTTTCTCATTTTGATACCCCACAATCGATCCAACGGCTTACCTGTCGACAATACCGTGCGTGCTGCTCGCAGAACCACCGTTCAAGTCTCTTTTGCGCCACCGCTTTCGCACTTCTCGTCTCGAGGGTTCGTCACGGTTTCCTTCTCCCCTGGAGACAAGACTACACACGAGTGGCTATAGAGATGCACAATGCTTTCATGTAGATAGTTAGTAGCCTTCGAGATAGCAGACCCGGTTCTTGAGAAGAAGCACGAACTGACAAACAGACACGGGATACAACTGAAGTCAAAGAGTTTCATGTATTCTTCTTTCTAGTATAGGTGCTCAATCTAGCTACCCAAGATAGTACAGAGAAAAACCAAAACGATCGCGCAGCCTCTCGCAAGGCATCGAGGAAGGAAAAAGTAAAAAATAATGAGGCTTCATGCAAGTCCATATGCATGTACGCTGGCTAGAAATGCATCGGCAAGGCACCCAGACCAGCAGATCCCCTTTTCCGAAACGCCGCGCAAGATGGTGAACAATTCAAAAGAGCAAGACAGACGCAAGAAACAAGAAAAAGGAAAGAGGTAACGAGGAGGCAAGGAAATGGATCGTGAAGTTTCAGCACTGCTGTATTGGTCGTGGTAGGTTCGCTCCTGTAGTAACGCCGTAATGTATGATGGACATGCAAGCTTCAATCTTGCAAGATGTGGGTATAGACACGAATGAAAAGTCGCAAGGTTGAGAAGGTCGATGAGAATGGTGGAGAGAAGCACGACTTAGAAGTCCATGCTCCAGCGTTTTGTCACGTCTCGGCGCACTCTTTCGGCAGCCCATGTTGGGAATGAGTCAAAGTCCTTGCCCTCGTACCACGAGTCAAAGCCGGCCTTGCCGCTGCCTAGCAGCATCATCTCTTCATATTGATCGGCTGTAGGGAGTTCGATTCGAGTCTCGAAGGAAGGAGCTTTGGTGAGCCTTTGAGCATTGAGCAGTGAGTTGGCCGGCACAAGTTCTTGCAGAACGTTTAGAGAACTATCTTGACGCTTGATATCGTCCGGCCGAGGTTTGCGGTCCTCGGCTGAGGAATTGCGATGGCGACTACGACTACGGGAACGCTCGTCGGACTTGGCTGACATGACGGGAGAGAGGGGTTGCGGGGGTAGGAGATATCTCTTTGGTGAATTGTTTGGTCGTAGATCTGTCACAGGTGGTCCGACGGGTATGAGAGGGCNGGGTTTTGTTGCGTCTTCTTGGACATTGATGGGCGGCGGCGGCCTGCGTCGCCGTGACGGCTTCAAGTCATCTGTTGATGATGATGGTTGAAGACTGTCTACTGAAGGGGATTCACCGTTGCGTAGCTTCTCGTCGACAATGCGCTGGCTGACTTGTCGAGANNGATTCTCGTTTGTGGCTCGCCGTGTGCTGGGTCTGCTAGCACCACTATCACTTCTTGCGAGGGTCGACCCTGATCTGCCTCGAGCAGTGCGAGCAGGAGGCGGGGGTTGCAGCATCCACATGACATCGGCGCTGGTGTCCATGCGTGTGACGATCGNGGGATGAAGTTCGTTGATAGGAGGATTCGAGACGGAATAATAACTGGTTGCAGCGGATCGGTTCGTAGTAGCAGTGCGGGCAGTAAGCGGACGGCTGACTGTGCTGGCAGCATTGGTCGAGGGCCGACGACTGCTCCTATACGGATAGCTGGCACCCCAGTAGTTGTCGTCATCGTCATCTTGTTGCCAATTGCGCAGATTCCATGTGCTGTCGTTGCTCTCGTTCTGTGTCAGACCAAGGTTGACACTGCTCGCAACGTTGCTAGCGTTCTCGTCGCTCGTCCGCGTGCGACCCTTCTTCTGACCTCGACGCTTTCCAGGCGCCGGCGTTGGACCAAGGTCGATCTCGGTCTGCCAGTGAACGTTTGTCGCAAAGGGGCTGGGATGGCGATAGAGGCCCGGTTGTTCCATCTCGAGGGCATGTTTGGCGACGCGGTCACGGTCGGCCTCCTTTCTCCTCTTCTTGCGATATGAGTAGCCGGTGCAAGGGGCACATGATAGGTAGTAGAATATGGCGGACTGGATGCCGCGGTGGATGGCCATGCTTTGTTGAATGTGTGCGTGGATCTACGAGGAAAGAGTCTTGGTCAAGAAATGCATTGTTTTGCAGCAGCCAGTGCCGTATGGGGGTGGTCGTCGGGAAACGCGCGATATAGATGTTGGAAGTGTTGGAAGCCAGTTAGGGGTGGATTGGCCGTCTGTACGAATGACGTTTGCTAGTGTCGAAGTGCTCTGCTCTGCTCTGCCGTGCCGGGACAATCTCCAGAAGATCAGCACAATCCAGTGCCTCTGCGGTTTGACGAGAGTGAGAGAAGGAGCGGCCTCTCGTGTCAAAGGGAAAGGGCGACGTCGAGTCGACGGTGGTTGCGCTCTATTCTGGGAATGAGCCGAGCTAACGTAGCCAAGTCGATATGCTCCAGACTTCGTTTCCGCGCCCCGATGTGGCTCGCTACAACAAACGTTGGCAAAATGCGGAGTGCAAATGCGCGAAATTCAGACTGTGGCTGAACTGTGTAGCTGCGAGGTCTTACAGAAGGAAAATGATGGCCATACGATAAAGGGATTGCCGAGCAAGGAGTTTCCAACATGCAACACAGCCCTGTGAAGTCTGCGAGACAAGCATCAAGCAAACAACCAAAGACGTATATGGTAATTGCGATGTTCATCCCACCTCGTCCGAACCAACGCGCCCCGCCCACTGCTTCTCGGCCCGCCCGAATTTCCTCTGCTCGCTCCGTGACCGCCGTCAAAGAGGATGATTGCTTGTGTGCCCTGCCTGCAGATAGAGTGCTTCTACCGAGATTCCCACCACTGTGATTTCCTTCCATATGACATAGATACTATACAGTCAAACTTACTCTCGCAGCAGTCTTGCATCTCTGAACATCACAGTCGCATGTCGCGCGACGCGTTCAGCTCCTTGTCAAGAGGGCGGGCACGTTTCCTGTCGCCAGCCCCTCTCTCCCTTGGCGGGCTCCACCGCTCAGGAGTCTTTGGTCTCGGACTTTGGTGGACCCGTCTGAGAAAAGCATCTTGTCCGCCGCGCATCTGGAAATTGTCGTTTCAGCCGGCAGACTTCTTGATGACAAGCTGAGCAACTGATCCAGGGCAATTTTGATCGACATTTCCATGCACGTCACCAGGAGTCTGTCAAGTTTCAGACATCGGTTTGACCCTCCTATATCTTTCTTGACTGGGCCGGCAATGATATAGCGGTGTCAAGTACTGCAGGAGTCCATCTCGCAAACATGCAATGGAATTGTGCAGCGACTTGTGTTTTGGCTCGTTGAATGGTTGAATCCGTGTACGACGCTATTGAAGACCCAAGGAAGTTATCCTTGCGCTTGTTATCCACAGCCAGCCGTCTTTTCGCCCATCGTAATGTGGGGAGCTGAATAGACGACCAGATGTCAATCCTCCTTGGAAGGTCATGTCTTGAGGTGTCAGTCGGAGCACAACTTGTCAACATGGCCGAGTTTCGCAAAGCGAATTGTCCGGATATACAAGACTGATAAGACCAACAGTAGTAGCCAGTGTCCAGTGATATAAGAAATGCTCCAAGATGTTGACATTTGACTGCTTAGGCGTCATTACCCAGTCCGATAGACGTCGGTACTTACATAGAAAATATGCAACAACAGCGTTTGTCGCAAGAAGAAGTTCAATCAAGCATCTAGGCAACAGCGACAATCGCGTGTGAAGCTCAACGCGCTTTGGTGACATCGCCACGACAATTTGCGATAATTTACCTCCGTCTTCGACCATCCAACAACATCATCACTGCTATCAACAATCACAATGGCGCATCCGAACTACGGAAAGGACTACGAAACCGCAAGAACCGCCATCAATGCTGGAATCATCGATGATGGCCTCGCCACTTGCGAAACGCTACTCACAGATCCGGAACTTCCTCGTTACTATCGTATCAAGACCCTCGTCCTTCTAGCTTCAGCAAACAAACAATGGCGCCAGAAAGANAGTACTCACATCAACAACCCTATATTAGGACCAAACTTTCTAACAAGAAAATATCAGGACTTGCGTTTGCGCGCCGAACATACCTGGAATGAATCACGAAAATTGCATCCGCAAGGCCAAAACGAAACTACCGATGCCGTACTAGCAGAGCTGCGAGAATTGCTGGACGAACTCAAGACCGAGCAAATCAAGACCATGCCGCGAGCAAACTACGAAGACGACCTATCTGCTGCTCTGGCCGAGACGNNGAGATCGAGGACCTGGCTGACATTGCTGATGGAGAAATCGAAACATTGGTATGTTGTGTCCCGTGATCTTTGATGCAAAGAAAATATGCTGATTGTCTCAAAGGCCGATGAAGAATATGCTCGTGATCAACGTACCAGTGACGAGCCACTGATCAGCCATACGACAACTACTATCGCGGACGTTGAGACAGATGAGTTCAAGCTACCTGCTTCATCGCCGAATTCTTCCTTTGCGCCTGCATCTACGCTGAAGGCTTCGCAGGATGTCTTGGCTCCCCATATTCGTGATGGTCAAACTGCTGGCTCTAGGATGGTCCATCGTACTCGTGGTGTTGGAAGACGCTCTTCTTGAGCTTTGCATGGAAAGTCATTGATCTCGTGAAGGCGATGTTGGCAAGATGGTTTCTGCGACGGTCGAATATCAAGGATGTGTAGGAGTAAAGTAAACATGTCTATCGCGACCACAGAAATAAAAGATACCCGATTTCCAAATTCATCAACGAGTTTCGTTCCAATCCTTATAACCAACATCGGCAAGTGATATACACAGTAAAGCAATGGTCTCTCATCGTTCGTGTTTTTGTGCTCATCACAGCTTCGAGGATCCACGAGGTCTCTCGAGCATTTTCGTCTTGTTCTGGTAATTCTTGACCAGTTGTCTAATCGATAGATCAAACAAGACATCTTCGCTTCCACCAGGAATACGGTTACCGGGAACTTCTCTCCACANTCTCTGCTTATAGTCAGCATCCATTCCATCAAAGTTCTGATATATCCACTTACTCTCAGCAATCTCGCCCTGTCCGGATCTGGTAAAGCCATTGCCGCCAAACAGCAAGACGGCGCATTGAGCACACTCCATCAACACAACACCGGNCCGAGCTTTTGCGGCAGCGGTCAGGCCGCCCAACTCGACGTCGGCGTCTTTCTTGGGTAGCTTTACCATGGCGTAGACGAAGCTTTCTGTCCATGCCCATTGGGCTTCGAGCTGGGCGCCGCATTTGGCGAGGCGGTGTCGGACGACGGGTTGGTCCATGAGGGATTTGCCAAAGGCTTCTCGTTTGAGGCAGTATTCAAATGCTGAGCATGACGGTCAGTCCACGGCGTCCTTGGTTAGAGGGAGAGATGATATACCTGCGCTCAGAACAACTCTGGCTTGTCTCGCGCAACCGATGGCGATGGTCAAGCGTTCATGGTTGAAGTTTGTCATGATGTACTTCATTCCCATCCCTTCCTCGCCAATAAGATTCTCGGCTGGCACCACTACATCGTCTAACTCGATGTACGTGGTACCAGCACTGATCTGACCACTAACCTTGAGCCTCCTCATGCTAACACCTTCATGCCCCTTGAGCGGCACAACCATCAGCGACAACCCACCAGCCCCAGGTCCGCCAGTCCTAACAGCCATACAAGACAACTCACTCCAAATACCATTGGTAATCCACTTCTTGGTTCCATTAATGGTATACGTCTTCCCATCCTTGCTCTTGACCGCCGTAGTCTGGATATTCGCAACATCACTACCAGCATCAGGCTCCGTAATCGCAATACAAGCTCTCTTCTTTCCCGTCAATAGATCAGGCAAAAATCTATCTTGCAACTCTTTACTTCCAAATTTATACAATGGAGGCACACCAAACGCCATGCCCGTCGTCAAACTCCCACTCGGGCCCGCCAACCCACTCCTCAGCATCTCATCCGTATAAATCGCATTGTGGAAATAATCAAAGTCTTCCACAGGCAGACCAAGGATATCATGGATGCCCAAGCTCTTTAATCTATCCACAGGCAAAGGAGCAGGTAAACTGGGTAGTAACATATTGGCGGCGCAGAAGTCGTGGAAAACGTGTTCGGGGACGGTCTCGGCGGTTTCCCATTCCATGGCGTGGGTGGTCAGGTGTTTGGTGATGAAGGCGCGGCATTTCCTTTGCCATTCGAGGTGCGAGGGTGTGTAGTAGGGAGACGGTAGGCCGGAGAGGTAGGCTGGTTCGGAGAAGGGGATGGGGGTTGCTGGGGCCATGGTTGCGATTGTTGATCTGCGTCGTGTATAGCGAGGGAGTATTGACAAGAGAGCGCAAGGGGTTTAGACAGTTGTACTCAGGTCATGTTATGGCATGTGAAGATGGATGATAATCCGGGGTCTCGCGGGGAGCCGAGGTTCTCGGCTGGAAAGTCTGCCAGAACCCTGCCCATCAAGGTGTGCTTCACCAGACGTCTTCGCATTGCAATATTTCATTCCTCGATAGGGAATATATTCAAACACGAAAGTCTTGGTGCCGCGATTTAATTGAGCGTACTTTTGAATGTGTGTATCATCCGCCAGCAAACTGACTCAGGAATAATTCCATGTGTACCCGTACATTCGTCTGCTGCCGTAACAAGATATTGCTTACTTTATTTGTGGCAAGGGACAGCATAACGATCAGACCTTCCGCATGTCATCGAGCGCATGTATTGGATACGACTCTGGTACCGCCTTCGTCAGGAGCATTCGATATTGTGCACTGATCCGGTAGCACTGCCACCAGAAAGTCCTAATACTATCCGATTCCTTTTCCATGGTAGAGATATGAAAATCTTTCGCCTCAAGCAGTGGACGGTCTGCATCTATTGCGAGAGCATCTGCCGAAGAGGGTGCTTTGAGTAGATTAGATCTGGCGAGGAACAACTTCCGGGACAAGTCTTCCGATTGGTGCTTGAGCATTTGAAGGCGTTGATTGACAGCTACTGGGATTAGGTAGTCGTCTGTTGACCTCTGCTGCAATCATAGTTTCCAGCTATTCCCGGCTTCTGTCTTTTTGTATTCAGATTCGAGCTTGCGTAGGACGTGCATATTGGTAGGGCTCACACCTTGTAATTTCTGATGTGATGCATCGATATAGTCGTTGTCGAACTTGACCAGACACTCAAGCGCGCATACTTTGGTCGTGAGGTCTTCGCTTTCTGTCGTGTTTCTAGCCTTGATAGTCTCCAGCTGCTGCTCTAGATCCTTACAACCTTGACAGTGTTTGTAAGATTCTCTATAGAATACACGGGCTCTTCCTAGGTCTTTCTTCAAGAGGTTGATATAAGAATTCTTTTCCTCGACTTGCTTCTTCATTCTCTCGGGTTGTTCCTCCAAGGACTTTGCATCCTCGGGTTTGTCTGCGAGAACCTTTTTCAGCATGGTAATCTCCTGGTGCAAGGTTGCGATCATCGAATCCTTGTATCGTTGTCCTGCACGTTCTTGAGCCAGTGTCTGGAGCAACTCGCGCTCCCGATCTTTAATCGCAAGCAGCATCACATCGAGCTTTGATTGCTGCGACGTCGGCTGAGGTTGGGCTTCTGGTAACATAGACCAAGGGCTTTGACGAGGAATTTTCCCTAGCTAATGCTAGCTTTATTTTTTGCCAACTCATCTCATTAGACCTCATCTCAAAAGGACTTCATCCAGAACAAATCACTTTGTTGACAAGGGGCATCCGAAACAAGAAGATGAACAGTGAAGAGAGCCACAATATCTCTGCTTTTGATCCAGATCCATCGTCGACTTGCTAGGGACTACTTGAAGCATACCCTACGATCATGTAATAAGTGTTCCTAGGTCTTCTGAGAATACGGCGACTATCGCGTTATCAACATCGAGCAAAGTTATTAGCAAAGCATATTGATCTTCGAAAGCCTCTTTATGGTTAGCTGCACAGCTGAGCTTTTGACCTCACAGCCTCAACTCATAGCGTCACAGCGGCTCCAGTTTCCAGTAATGAGATGCTCGGAGATGGATTGGATATTATGTCTGAGAGAAAAGACTGCAATGATCAATCCAGAATTTGAGGTGAGAGGAGGTCAAACACATGGTCCATGCATTCCAAGCCAAGCCTTTCACATCACTTTCGGAGCGTCCAATCAAAACTTCATCCCCTCTCTACCGACCGCCTAGCTGCATAACTCAACCATCCTGTGCAATCATGTCGTCGTTCAATTGAACAGTTTTGTGCAAGTGTTTCAGAGACAGCAATCGAAAGCACAAAGATGCCACTGGACTGATGCTCCCGCCACACGTTGCTAAATGGTACAGAAACGGCTCGTCTCGAATCTCTCGGACCAGGTAGACCCTGAAAATCGAAAACATGCTGTGGTATCTGCTTTACCCAATTAGAGGGTAGGTTTTACAGCAAACATTATCGAAAACGTGTGTTGATGCATATTGCGTTGAAAGGACGAGTGATCCCCCTCGCTTGAGATCCGACCACCCCATCAGGCGGGCTTTCTATCGGCATGGACTCATCACAGCTCGGTACTGGCTTCTTTGTATGCTCGTATCAGTATCAGTCGGTGTTTCCTTGATATATCCTACAGTCTTCCAATCAGACTTTCCTGCTGCTGGTCTCAGCGGATTGCCTCATCATGTCTGGGCTTCGACAAGAGCGTTTCCGGGCGATGCAGATAAGCCTCACGATCTTGAGATGCGTCAAATCTGGATTCATGGGAGTTACATGAAAGCACTTGAGAAAGACCTGCTTCGGGACGTCTTTGTATTGCAGAACGCCATCCTTGGTGAAACCTCGCAGGCTGTTGTTCCAAGCACACATGGAGATGCGCATCCGAATTGGGGGTATCACTCACCACTCACATACTGGAACAACTCTCTAGCTCGCTTGGAAGCAGATCCGGATATCTTGTTGACTGTCAACGAGAACACATGTCAACCTTCCTTTTTGAATTTCACCCTCCGGCCCCTCTCCGTGTTTGCAGGCAAAGCCTTCTCTGGCTCACAACTCGAAGCAGCGGATGCATTGGTAATATCCCTGTTCAACCGTAACAATGATCCAAAGGGTGAGATCTGGCAAAGAAACATCAACATTGTTGCTAGCCAGTCTTCTGGTCTACCATTACAGTACGAGCGGAACGGAACACCTGAACACAGCCAATTATTCGAGTACCGCATCCAGCCACTCAGCTTTCGCCAAAATTCGCTTCTGGCTATGGCATATGGCATAATATTTATTTATGTTGGCTTGAGTCTGAGGAGATTGAAGGCTTTCCACAGTCGCTTTGGTCTGGTGGTTACTGCGATCACACAGATAACGACCTCTATTCTGGCGAGTTTCACCATTTGTGGACTGCTGCAAATCAATCTTGCTCAGATACCTCAGGAAGCTTACCCATTTGTGGTATTGGTCATTGGACTCGAGAATATCTTCAGACTCATCAACGCCGTTGTAGCGTACCCTCCAGAGATGATGAACACACAACGTATTGCCAACGGAATGGCCGACATTGGGCACTCTTCATTAGCTTCGGCAGCACAAAATCTGCTTATCCTATGGCTGCTTTCACTTGTCGTATCCCCAGGTGTGGCAGCATTCTGTGCTTTTGCTGCCGTCGCACTTCTTTTCGACTATTTCTTCCTCCTTACATTCTTCCTGGCTGTATTGAGTGTCGACATTCGAAGACTGGAGTTGCAGGATTCCATCACGAGGAGCAGTGCTCAACCAAAGCANAAGTCGAGACCGAAACATCATCGCACTCATAGTCACCATCATCCTCATCGGTCCGAAAAGCATACATGGATTGATGCTTTGATACACGGCAGAGTGCCTTTTTCTACACGAATGGCAGGATCTGCAGTAACGATTAGTTTCGTCATGGCTTTGAACTGGCATCTCACTGCTCATGGTCCACGCACTTCCGCGTCTGGTGTGTTTCCTGGACTCTTCGAGAAGCAAGCCTTGCCGATCACTGCATTTGACGGAACATCGCCTCCACCTACGAATCAAAGTCGACATCCTGCAACTTGGCTACGAACACAAGATTACGAGAATGCTGTACACTTTATGAAAGTTGTCAGGCCTGGAGGTCAAGGGTTCGTTGCCAAGATCTATGATCCGCTCATAATCACTCTTGGAGGCGCTGATAGAAGTGGCATTCTTCTCCGCAGAGAGACTTGGTTGCACTCTCTCCGTGGCGTTGCTATACAGCATTTTTACCCGACGGCCATAACTGTTGTCTTCGTTGTGGCCTTCGTCACAGTTCTCATGAACTTCCTCTTGTGGGATGAAAGAGCCGAAGATGCAGAGTACGAGAACGGAGGAGACAATCTTCCATTGACAGTACACGCGATCGAGACTGGCCACATGCTAGACGTCGTCAAGATGACTGGAAGTCGACAAGGGCATATGCTGTCCGTCGGTCTGGATCGTACGATTTCTATCCTGTTGTTCAAGCCAGTCAGCAATTCTTACACAACCATACATCCGTCGTCAGAACAGTGTAGGCAGATTAAATGGCCTATACGTGCATGCAGCATCAGTGATAAGGGAGATTGGATGGCCATTCTGGGCGACGATGGTCGGGTCTTGCTAGGCAGCTTGTCGAGAGGCGAGTTCACACACAACTTTGAGATCGACAGTGAAGAAAAGCTGCCACTCCTGTTCGAGTTTGTCCCGTCTCTATCAACACCCAACGGCCAAGGAGTTTCATTCGCTGTCGTCTCCGCCGATGGACGACTGACAGAGTATCACACGCACAACAACTCGATACAGACGTTCCGAGTTTCTGAGGGAGAGCTACTGGCTGCCTCATTCAGCTTGGCTCAACGACATCTATCAAAGATCATACTCTTGCATCCAGATGGACATATTTCAGCACTACAAAAAGCGTCGGGTATGTGGAGCTTCAAGGAACTGCCTCTTGGTTATCCTCGCCCACTATCAGATAAAGCAGCCAGCGCGAACGCATGTCTACACACCATCGACGAAGTAGAGGCATCGCTGATCTGCACAACAAACACCATAACCCTACTCCACACACCCACCGTGCGACAATCTGGCTCCTTCAACATCCCAAATGTTAAACCTAACAGCGTGCGCGTATTACATACAGGCAGAGATCAATGCCTTAGTTGCGGTGGCATGACAGCCGAAAGCCTTTCTCTAGTCTTCACAGACATTGAAACACGAGAATGCGTTGTCCGCACCTACGCCGCTCAAGGCGAGCCCTTTAAGCCCCTGGGTCTCTTCACCGAAGATCTCGTCTGCAACTGCGCTGCTAAATTCCATTGGGAGAAGAATGAGCACAGATTGTTGGAGGCCGGGTCTTGGGAGTCGACTACAGAAGCTGTGGTGGGGTTAAGGAGGAAACCACAGACTCCTCCGTCTTCTCCTGTTGTGTTGCCGAGGGATGGAGGGAATTTGTTGAGGAGAAGGAGAAGAGGTACTGGTGCTAGCGAGGGAGAAGGAGATGAGAGTGAGCAGTGGGAAGCGTATCTGTATTCTGCGTCTGGCGAGTTGCATACGGTGCCCATTGATATGCCTGGGGAAAACCAGCTGTATGCGACGAGGGCTGGTCCGGCGTGTCAGCTTGGCTATCGGTCTGTGGCCATTGTGTTGGGAAGCACGGTGTATGTGGTCAAGGTGTGGGATAATTGGGCAGACAAGGGTGCCAAAGGAGTTTCGGAAGGAGGATCACAGCCACTGCTCTCACGAAGACGGTGGACTAGAAAGGCACAGTAGATGTCTTATAGACACGCATAGAAGGCAGAAAAATGCTATGCGTAGTAGCAAATGAGAAAAATTCAAAAGCTCAGAGCCCGTGGCTCGGAAAAAAGGGTATACCAATCGCTGCTCTGTAACACGACGACCATGCCCCGTGTGTCGCAAAGCCGCTTCCCAAAACGCCCATCCATCATCATTCATATTGCATCTCCAAGCTCTTTCCCTCGATCAATTATACGCCCTAGTCTCTGCATTGGCATCCGCATTTCTCGCCAACAGGGCTTCCCTACTAGCCTCATTCATGGTCGAATTATGCGTCTGTGCCTNTTGCGCCTCTAATTGTTTTCCCAGTTTCCCTTTTGCTTGTTTGGGTTTATTGCGTTCNNCTGTTTGCCTTCTCGTCAGTCCTCTTCTTCTCATTCTTCCCCCGGCTGAATCGGGGTGGAGGGCAAAGCATACCTCAGCAGCTAATGCGGCAGCAGTGCGGGCATCGCTTTGGCTGGGAGATGCACTACTACCACCGATTGTACGTCCTTGTTTGGGCGTCGGCGAATAGGAAGCAGAGATGGCGGGGTTTTGGGTGTTTGCGACGGGTTTTGGGGGTTGGGATGCGCTGGTGCCGAGGGTTTGGCCTGAGGAAGAGAAGTTGTCGGATTTTTGTTTGCCGAAGCAGTTGCCCATTGTTGTTGTAGGTGAGAGGGTCAAACGAGAGGATGTATATTAGGGATAAGGAGGGAGCAGAGAAGACGAGGACATGGTAAGGATGTGGAAGGATAAGTAGTGTTGTCGCCCAGATATGGGCTTGGGAGGCTGGCTCTCGGCGGACGCGAGACGTCGCTACTGGCGGGGGTTGTGGGGGTCTCTGAACTAGAGAGATTGAGTGAGTCCAGAAGCAATTATGATGAACATGTGAGATGTAGATAGAGTAGAAACAGGTAAAAAAAAGCACTGTTTCAAAGCTGTTATCCAGGAATCGATTAATCGAAGTGTCTGTGTAGCTAGCTATAGAGTTGAACGATGTTTGTGGTTTGTTGATCCCGTCCAGCAAAGGCAGTTACGACCACCCCCTGTTCATGGAAGGCTTCATTGTTCACACATAATTTTCTGAGAGGGAGTGATGATCGAGCTGTCTCAAGGAGAACCTGTGTTTATGGGTTTAGTTTTCGCACTGTCATTTAGATGGTAGGTAGATGATGATTGCTGGGGGTAATCTATACACGCGAAAAATGCCAACATGCACGTGACAACCTTGATGAGTTCCGAGTTTTGCAGCTGCAGAGGTACACGGTCGACTGCAGGTCAGTGTTTCTGTGAAGAAATCTGTGAGACAGCCTCAATGGACGCTTCACTGCTCCAACGAAGTGTGGTATAATCTTACAGCTCGGGAATGAAAGGAAGACAGGAGGGAAGAGACATTGGTAATGTGGACGCCAAGGCTTCATCAAGGTGTTTTCGCACACCAACCAGACAGGAGGATGGCTCTTTGATCGATGACCGTCCAATTGAAGAGGGTCAAACAAGTAGCCGTCATGTCGCACATCCCCTACGCTTGGACCGACTGCCTGAGCGGTATGTATCCGTCGTTGTCGCATTCTTTCAGCGCCTCTGGTGCAGGAAACGAGGCGCGGGAGGACCCCACGCACAACAAGTTTCGCCAACAGCCATTCACGCCAGCCGAAAACGTCAGCGACAGCGCCGTCGAGTCCTTGGGCCTCTTCCACCACCACGCCGTCGACCACATGGCGCGCCAGCAGCTCCCGCCGCCCGGACCAATGTCGTCGTCGGCGTCGGCAGCGACTCTATCCAAGTCACAGATGGCCGGGCCCGAGCACGCAACCTGTTTTCTGTCGGCCCCGTGCGACAAGCCTGACTGCGATGAGGCCACCATTTGCTACGACTATTCTCTGCCGCACTATGCCGACATCCACTGCTCCCAGGACGCCTTCAACTGCCCCGAGACTTTCGACTGCGCGGAAACCAATTGCCATGCCGCTGACTGGGTGTGCACCGACCTGAACTGCCACGAACCCGGTTGCGACCAAGAACACGCTCGGGAATGCACTCCTGCCTGTGCTGCGACCGCTGTCCCCTGCTCCGATCCAACTTGCAGTGATGATCACCTCTACTGCTGTCTCTCGGACGTCTGCCCTCGCCCTCATCCCCCTGGCACCGAATGTCCTCAACCGCTATGTCACGATCAACATGTCCATCCTGCCACCACAATCTGCCACCCGGGCCCTGCAGTCGCCTGTACACAACCATATGGCTACAAAGTCCCCTCGACGGCGACTGCCAGCCAAGATACCATGTCGATCAGCACTATCAGCACCCCAACCACGGATTCTGTCCCCACGCCAGACAATTTTCAGTCTCTGATAGAGGCTGCCTCGTTGATGCCGCATGTCGGCTACAATNNTTTTCTGCCACAAGGTAATTGCTGTCCGACCTCATCGTCTTTGGTTAATTCACTGGCTGACCTTTACAGTGCTTACCCACCACGAAAACGCATGCGCCTCGAAGAGTCAAACTCTTCCTTCCACGACTTCAATTCACCTTATTACTCTTCGAACGACTACTGGCAACAGGACCTCTCCCACAGCTTCTCATCATCACAATTTGCTTCGGCGAGCCAACCAGCTACTGCCAGAGCCTCACCAGCCATCAAGACCAAAGCGCGCCAAGAAAAGGCTTCAAAAGACCTGGATGATATTGCCGTTTGCAGATGGAACGACGAAGTCACTNNGGGTAAGTCCTTCGCACACCTGTCTCCTTCAAACGTCACTGACCGAGAATCCATCAGACCATGCAATCGGGTNTTTGCTACCATCGAGGACTTGCACAACCATGTCAAGGACCATACTTGCACTTTGGTTCCTTCAAAAACACCTAACCGCACATTCATTTGTCGCTGGGATGGCTGTGAGAAGGATGCACCTTTTGGTACCAAAAACCACCTTGACCGTCATATGCAAAATCATACGCGATGTAAGTACCTATGTGCGACTAACATCAATCGCGACGATGCTCATGTCCAATTCNNAGTCAAGCCTTTTGCATGCAACATCTGTGGTCACCGTTGCGTTACCCAACAACAACTGAACAACCACCTGACGACACACTCACGAGAGAAGAAATTCAAGTGTGACTACCCCGGCTGCGGCAAAGTCTTCGGCGTCAAAACAGCTCTGTCAACTCACAAGCGTACCCATACCAATGAGAAGCCTTTCTCATGCCGCTGGTGTGGTGACAGCTACTCGGACAGTTCCAACCTATCCAAGCATCGGAAGACCGTCCACGAGGACGACAAAACCGCCATACCCTGCCCGGATCCAGACTGTGAGTACAAAGACTCACGCGCTCAGCGCCTCGAGCGCCATTGTCGCGATACCGGCCACGGAATGGCTCTATACGCCGACGCCCATAAGTGGAGCGAGTATACCAGGAAAAAGCAGGTCCGGAGCCGGACAGCCAGTATTGCTCCCAGCATGGTCTGAATCAAAAGAGGAGAGTGAAAAAGCATTAACGAGCTATGATCATAAAAAGTTTCATTTTCTGTCACTTTGGCTGTATGTTGTAGATAAGATTTCTTCTTTTTGTGTATAATTTGAGAGCGGCAAGGGAGGAATCATTGAGCATGGACAGAAGAATATCAGCATTTTCGTTTTGAGGCCGTATCAGAAGGCCTTTCCAACTTCTCTTATCACCCCGTTGCTAAGTTGCTATATGGTTCGGCTTGAGCATTCACTGCGAGCAAATGCATCAAGAACTCTTGACTGGGAAGCTCCTTCCCCCTTTTAATTATCGTCCCGATGAGTCTCACTCATTCATGGTTACTTCGAGGCTTCAGCCAACTTCAATAGGTCAACAACACTCATTGTGGTCTGTTCACTACTTCTCTGGACAGTCGAGACAATAGTCTTTGACGATTGCCTGTTAGAGAACTTTCGGTCTATCTCAGTAGCTCCTTCCTCTTCCTCATTCACCTACCCACAGCTCGTCGTCATCACTCGCCACCCCTCTTACCCTTGCTCTTTCACCTCAACCCACCACTTACGATCTTCCGAGACACTCACACCTTCCACGATCTCGATCAACTCCATCAAACACCTCTACTTCGACTCCATCATACCATCAAGGACGTCAATTCTTCGTCAAAGACCGTCACTCATCAACAACAATGGTCACAATCAAACGCAAGCAACTCAAGCGCTCCTACAAGATTCCTCGCTTGCTCAAGAAGTCCATCAAGAAGAATCTCAAGAAGATCGTCAAGATTGTCAAGACACGTGAACGCAAGATTCTTAATCGCAAAATCCGTAAGGAAGAGGTATGCACTCTTTTCTCTCCTTCCATGTACGCTCAATTCCCTCCCCTCTAATCCCCCTCCCTACTGTAACCTTCTCATCTCCTTCCAATCGAACCATTGACTTGATCTTCACAGTGAGACAAGGCCTCCCTGGATTTCGAGGACCAAACCGATGAGTTCAATGATACTCTCTATGCTCTGCTCGACATGTGGTCCAACTCTCATATGGGTGACGAGTTGAGGAAGACGATTGGCGATGTGATTGATCGCGGCTACTACAACATGACTTCGGTGGAGGCAAGACACAAGGGAGGACTGGATGCGCAGAAGGCTTGGGCAAAGGAAACTCTTGACAAAGGCTCCGTGCCCGAAGATCAAGCAAATGAGATCAGAGCTTGGCTGGTTGAGCACGGCGAGGATCAGGATGAAGTTGACAGACTGGGTAAGAGAGGAGGGGATGAACAAAGTGGTTCGGGAGCCACCGAGGAATACGACTGGACTTCCACAAGCATTCTGGAGTGATGAACACAGAAAACCAGGCACTTTGAAAACATTCAAACGCAGGCCTGACGAATTTTGGGAGGACGGCCAGGAAGCCGAACTTTCTTGCATGCATTACTGCTGCAAACATGGGTCAGGAGAACAACGACAAGAGGAAAGATTGATCGTGACGACACGGCGACTGGAAACCAAGACGGAGGGCGGAAGAAAGATTATGCTTCCTGCTGGATCAGGCTCCACGAGATATATAATCCGACGACACAGGCCTTCCATCATGCATCCCAAATCAAGACATCCTAGCCGATTACCAAGTCTAGTCGAATCCCTTCCATCAGCCATTTGCTTTTCTTCTTTTTCTTCCTGATCTTTCCTGTTTCGTTAAGCGATATATTGCAGTCAAGTATCCGGACGAAGTTAAGACGATATAACGATGCAAGTATGATCCACGTCTCCATCCTTGTTAATGGGCACTGTAGGGTAGAATATTCATTGATTGCCTGCTAGAGTGGAGAGCAACTATTTAGGCGTCGGAGTGATAGTCACAAGGGATAGGTGATAACAGCAGATAGGCATACAGTAAGAAGGAGAGTGTGTATAAAGAAGCAGTGTTGTAACGATATAGGATATGATTACAATCAAGACAGATAGTTCCGGAGGTTGTTTACAGCCGGCGTCACAATGGTTAACTCACCTCGGTTTGGTCCACAGCCTAGGTAAGCTGGTGTTTGTCTTAGTCAAAGCCTTTGCTAGGAGCTCGTAGGCAAGTACGGAATATGTTCCTCGACGTTCGCGTTTAGCTCTGGTCCTCTCGCTCTCTCTCGCTGCTCTTCGGGTCGCGAATCCTTGAACATTAGCTCAGTGCTGCAGCAATCTCCTTCTCTTGTGGTTTTCCACTAGAACACGAGTCGCAGTGGAATGAGATTGAACAAGTCTGCGGTCACTTGTAGCGATTCACTTGACTTGTCGTATAGGACTTTTCTCCTATTGCCATAATCCGGCACCGACTACCTGTCGCAACCATTTCCTCCACACTCTCACACCTTTCTCCCTATCCTCTTTTCCGTCCACTTACCTTCCATCATCTTATCCACTTACCTTCTTACCTTTCGATTTATCCTTTCACCTTTTAGTTTTTATCTCTGTCGTCTTTTCTTCTCTTGAGATCTACTTGCACAACCCCCACCTTCGTCCAGACCTGGAACGATCTTGATCACCACCTTTCCAGAGATCTTACCATGGCACGCATCCAGGGCCGGTTTAAGTCAAGAAAGCCCTTGCGCACTAGTAGGCTGGCCTACTACGAAGACGTATACGGCACAAAGAATCAGGAAGAAGATCTCGANGGAGTTCACATCCTTGACTCCGAAAGCGACTCTGAAGCCGAGATCTTGGGTCGCAAATCGAAGCTTAAAGCTCGCTTCCAACCCGCATCTACGACTGGCGGCGGCGACGACACTAGCTCTGACAAACGCGAACGAAACATGGAGAGCGTCGGAAGCGACGAGGTTGTGCCTACGATNAATCGACGGAAACACCGGTGCGTAGAGATCATCTCTAATACTGCCGAAGGATTGACTGCTAACGAGTGCTTAGTGGTCACAATTGACGACGACAGCGACGTCGACGAGCTTTTCGTCACCGATCTGCACAAACACGGTACGAAAGCCTCTCATGAGAGTTAAGATATTGCTAAGATTGTGCANGCAGCTCAGAACTCCAGCAACGATGGTAATGAAGGCGATAGTCGAATCATTCCGGCAGGCAGCAATGCGAGTGAGATAGACGCGGCGTTCCTGGCAGAAGTCGAGAGATATGGTAACACCATCTTGTTGACTGTTGCTCAGACACTTGCTGATGTTGAAATTTTTAGCNNAGCCCTGCCTCCAAGAATCGCCGATGAGCGTAACGACGAAATGCTTGACGAGATTGACAGACGAGGTATGCTGCCGTCCTATCTTTAAGACCGTACTAAGACAACCGCAGCTCAGCAGTTTGCAGGTCAAAGCCCTCTAGGTCCGAAGAAAGTACATGAGCCAAAGCATGCTGATCCCGTCATCCCATCGATCGAGGCGTCTGGCGACAGGACTATAAGAGGAACTTCTGTCGAGCCGGTCGACAGAACGTCGTTGGGAGTGTCAGCCGACCCAACAGATTCGAGAGTCTCTGACGGTGTAGTTGTCGAGAACACTGACAGACCGCCCATCGAGATTACTGTGAGGGCTCATAGTTGGGACCCAAGCCAAGGCTCAGACTATGTCTACTCGGACGAAGAAAACGGAGACGTGCCTATGAAGGCCAACACCAACATCGAGGGTTCTCACACTGTCGACAGTCAAGGCTACAGTTCTCATGGCAATTCTGCCGACGCTATCTTCCGGAAGGACAACAACGCTCGAGTTGAGGATGTCTGGGAGGACGACCACGAAGATAATGATCTTCTTGACGAGAAGCGCCATAGCAACAAAGCCCAGAACGAGGCAACTGACTCGACAGCAGAGTCTGTCAATACACATGATGATTCACCTGACGGCTTTCAAGAGGACGAGATCGCTGAACGAGTCATCGATCTCACCTCGTCTACTCGATCCTCAAGCGAAGATTCGCCAGTTCATCGCTTGTCCAAAACTTCCGGTCTCCGCTCTAGAGGCTATGATACACCAACGTCTGCTGGACTAGAAAGAGCTACGACCCGCTTAAAGCATAAGCGTTTCGGGTTATTTGCGTCGAAGGCATGTGACAGCAGTGANATCTGACTCCGAGTCGAGCAACGACACCCGCCCACAGAGGCTGCGAGATCTCGTCAAGAAGAGACGCAGAGAGCGCGATGAGCGAGAAGAGAGAGAATCCAGAACAAAGAAGGCNNAAGATACAATCTAAGCCCACGCCCACAGCAGAAGGGTCATCGTGAGGAAATCTCTCCTGGTGCGGGAACCGTCAGCAGAGCCACCATCTTGGGTTCCGAGACCGAAGACGAGGCAGATTCACCTCATGTTTCTCGCCGTATCACCAGGTCTATGACAACCAAGAACTCGATCACCCTTGAGGATGAAAGATCAACATCGGAGACCAAAGACGAGACAGACACTCCTCGCCGACCAGGCCGTGCAAAAAGACCAATCACGGACACCAAACCAACAAGAAAGCCAGTTCCACGATGGAAGGCTGCCAGAAAGACAGCATGGGCAGCCATGGGCATCACCCCTAAATGGGCACAAGACGATTCCCGCAGACAAAGATGCATTCGCCAAATCGTTCAAGTCGTGATTCCGAAGGTTGACAAATCTGCTTGGAAACTCACCCCTTCGTCTGTGTCTTCGCCTCAAACTGAGCGAACAAAGCCATCAGCCGTAGATGGAGATCAGGGCACAGAAGGCGAAGACGGAGCATCGTCAGCGCTCGCCGGCAAGGGCTTGAAGCGTGTTATGGTCAATGAGAAAAGCGAAGAAGAGTCAGAGGTTGATGGGAACAAGGCCTCGAAGGGCGATAAGCAGATTGTCCAGTACGTTCTCATTGATTGAATCTGAAAGGGGAGATGATCAATAGTCAACGAGGCTAGCCATGGATGACGATCGCCCAGAAGGCGATTGAGGCACTTGAGCGAGAGGCTTGAAAGGGCCGAAAGTTTCTCTGCGACACAATCACAAGTCCCGGGTCATTCGAGATGCAATTTACGATGGGAAAACGAGCTCGAAGAGTCGATGAGGAGGCAGCATTTGCGACTGCTGACCATATCTTTGGGAAGGAAGCAGGGCATCGCGATGGAAGGAAGTGGGAATAGGAACCAGTTCGATTGGCTGGCTGATCTTGGCTGCAGGGCGTCGAATACAGGGTAAAGAAGGGTCTGCCGATGGTTGCATTTTCGGGACAGATGATATTGCATCGTAGGATCCATGATTCTTACGTTGTTTTGCTAGATAGCACTGGGGCTTTTAGACCCGGGTCATCGATTCAAGACCATGAACAGGCCTTTCATTGAAACGTGATGGTACAGTGTGCGTATCATGGAAACAACAGAGACAGAGCGAAACGAAACGCGCGCCGAAAAGCTTCATACTCCGGCTTGGCCTTGGCGTTCCGCGATCTGTATGCAAACCAAGTCAATGCACGTCAGAGCCAAGCAACCGTTGGGTAAGGTAACCAAGGCAGCAGGGAGGGTTGGCTCGATGGGAACAATGTAGATGAAATTGCGGTGGCGGGCACTCACCTGAGAGCTGAGCGACCTCGTTGACTTTGTCTGTATACATTCCGTTGCTGGACAAGTCGCCCAAGATTCTATTCATCACACGCCGGGCCGTTACGAAGCATGAACTCCGACTCCGCTCGCCGGGCAGATGACCGCCTTCATCATCAGCAGAACGAACCCACCGACTCAGATCGTCAGCATGCAAGCAACATCTACGGTTCTGGCGACGCGCCGCATTCGACTGCCGCTGGCGGTGCTATTGAACATGCCCTAGGCCGCCATCAAGATCCGACCTTCCGCCCCGACCACACCGTAGACCCGCAAACCACAGAGCGACCCGTTTCGCGAAAGAGAGANGATGGCGCTGTCGGAGTTGGCGAAGGTCCTCAGATTCTCAGTACCTCGAATCAGGTTGAGACGTTGTGCGGTCCTCTGCTCAACTACAGATATATGAGCGGACAGTCGACAGACAACCCTTCGTGGCACGGCAGCGTTCTGATTGTCACTACTCCTGGCCAGAAGCAGCCTCAGCTTGTTATTCGTGGCGCCACCATTGACTTTAGCAGACAGATCGACGGTGTTAAGCTGTATGAAGACCCCAAGAGCGCCTTCTGGCGATTCGACATCCAAGTACCCTTCCTCCCTCAAGAGTCTAGATGGGACTACGAAATTCCTGGTGCTAAATACGTCGATTCCAAGAAGACGGTCGCCCCTGGCCCCAAGTCGTTTTACATCCCCTCCAAGACGCAGTCCATGAGAATCATGTTCCACTCCTGCAACGGCTTCTCTGTTGGTACCGATACCGACGCATGGTCTGGTTGCGCTCTGTGGAACGATGTTCTGCGCATGCACGAGCAAAAGCCTTTCCATGTCATGATTGGTGGTGGCGATCAGATCTACAACGATGGAGTCAGAGTCGATGGCCCGCTGAGACCCTGGACTGACATCGGCTCACCTCACAAGAGAAGACACTTCCCATTCAACGAAGAGCTGCGTGCCAAGTGTGATGAATACTACTTTAACAACTATGTGCGCTGGTATGGAACCGAGCCCTTCTCCTTTGCCAATGGTCAGATTCCTCAGCTCAACATCTGGGATGACCACGATATCATCGACGGTTTCGGCAGTTACACTGATCACTTCATGAGATGCGCTGTCTTCAGGGGTATTGGTGGTATCGCTCACAAGTACTACTTGCTGTTCCAACATCACATCGCTCCTCCGAAGAGTACCTTCACCACAGACGCGCCCCAAACCGTCCACGCCAATGAGAACGGTACAGCTGGTCCCGACGCTGTACAGCTGAACGACACATTTGTCAAGACTGGAGATGAGCACGAGCCATCGTACATCATTGGCTCCAAGCCTGGTCCGTACGTTGAAGAGCGTAGTAGATCTATGTACTGTCAGCTTGGTGCACGCATTGCTTTCGTTGGTATTGACGCCAGAACTGAGCGCACGAGACATCAGATCAACTACCCCGAGACCTACGACCAGATATTCCAGCGTACATCTGCTGAGCTTCAGGCAAACCCTGCCATCAAGCATCTCATCCTGCTCCTAGGAGTACCAATTGCCTACCCTCGTCTACAATGGCTAGAGAACATCCTTCAATCACCTGTCATCGGTCCCCTTCGTTTCCTTAACAAGAGATTCGGAGTTGCTGGTGGCTTCTTCAACCAATTCGATGGACAGGTCGATCTTCTCGACGATCTGGATGACCACTACACGGCGCATCAACACAAGACTGAGCGCAGAGAGTTGATCCAGCGTCTGCAGGACCTTGCCAAAAGACACGGCGTCCGCATTTCCATTCTTGGTGGTGATGTTCACTTGGCGGCTCTGGGTAGATTCTACAGCAACCCCAAGCTCAACATCCCTGTCGAGAAGGATTGGCGCTACATGGCTAACATCGTGTCTTCCGCCATTACCAACAAGCCTCCTCCGTCAGCCGTTGCCAACCTTCTTGCCAGTCGTAACAAGATCCATCACCTTGATCACGATACTGACGAGACGCTCCTCAACCTCTTCGACAAGGACCCTGGCTATGGACGTGACGATGTCAAAAACAAGACCAAGGATAAGAACCACTGCACTATGCCTAGTCGCAACTACGCAATCATCGCAGAGTCGCATAACGGTTTTGGATCTTCAGTTGGTGCTGCTGTCGATGCCGCCACCAACGGCCATACCAACGGTCATACTGACGGAACTTCGACACTCACAGCCACACAGTTTCCAACCGGAGGCAACCCTCGCGAAGCTCTGCACGCAGGTGAGCAAAAGGCTGGTACTACTCACCCTGCTGCCGAGGGCCTGCAGAACACTGGTCTGGGTGGTCCTGATGGTCTAGATGTCTGCATCAAGGTCGAGATTTCGCCCAGCGATCGTGAGGGCCATACTCAAGGCTACGGCTTCTCCATTCCTGGACTTGATGCTGGTGCATACAAGGGTCAGGGCACTTCCTGGTAAGCATGAGCTGTCAAAAACAAGAGGAGGATATAGTTGCTTGTTTTGAATTTTTCCTATTCATGTTTAGGTAATATCTCGATGATGGAACATCGAGAGATATGTTTGGATGATTAGATAATTCCTGGATACCCCTTACGAGCATTAATATCATTGTTTGCATTTTATCAGGTCACCTTTCCAGACCATCTTTCGACCAAGCAGCGACTGTGCAGCAAAGCGGGTTTGAACTTTTCGAGGTGGGTCTTATTCTTTCCGCCCATGCTCATGCGACTGCGGGCTCTTTTTCCAACTGCTCCAGTGATCCTGTCATTCGCTGAATTTCTTTGCACTTGTGGCTGGAAATCACGACTGTGTGATGCAAGATGTCTGATACGAAACAGCTACTCAAACTGGCGGGTAAGCGAGGGCTCTTGAGCTGCAGGATCAACCTGCATGACTAACTCATCTGCTGTTTATTCTTGCTCGGCGCCTATGCACACAAAAATCGCGCATGTTGCACCGTGGGACTAGGCATGCAACCACTCGATATATAGAGGGACTGCCAGGCACCTCTGTTTCCTTCTCGACATCGTCCCTCCTTGGAAATGCCTCCTCCCCCTACCACCTACCCAAGCTCAAGGCAGAGCAGATCGCCCGAGTTGAAGGCATCATCAAGTATCGGTTCCAAGACCATGAGAATGCATATCTATGGGAAGCTTTGCAAATGGTTGCACCGTCTCAGCGCTCTGTCACGTCTATCAACGGGCGTGTTTTCACCGGCAATAATCACAAACTTGCCATCATAGGCGATGCTGTGATGGCTATTGTGATCGCCGAGTATTGGTTCAGCCACAAATACAGTGTTCTAGGTTTGTCCATACGATCATGTTCACTGTCCAGGTGGCTAATCCTGAACAAGCCNGACTGGGATGATTTACGCAAAACAAAGCTGAGCAACCAGCATTTCAATAACGTAGCTCTCAAGAAGGACCTCATTTCTTGCACAGACTGGAAAGACTGTAACGAAAAGGTGGGAGCAAGTCTTGTCGAGGCACTCATGGGTGCTATCTTTCTCGATTCGGGTCGCAACATGAATGCTGTGAGGAACGCCATGATCTCTCTCGGATTTACGGAAGTTCTGGACGAGCCCGACTGTTCCAACAAGCAGCAAGTTCTCATGAACGATGCTACTGCCAACCTCGACATGATCACGCTCGAACATGAGATGGTCGACTCAGAGGAGGACAACTAGACTCTGGCCTACAAGGCTGTCCATGTGAGTTGTGCATAAGGTTCGGGTTGTCAAGCGCGAGGGTGAGCCATTGATGTCGACGAACTGATTTGGATCTGCCTCGCGCTCGGTAACGCGAGTCTTATGCGCAGCTGGCTTGAACAGTTCTGAGATCAGTCTCTTCTTGCTTTCTTTTGTCTGCAACCCTTTCTTGTTTCAGTTTCTTGGATACTCTACAGGTTCATCACCTCACATCGACACTAGGGTGGATGTGGCCTATCAACTAGGCGGGAGGTTCTTACTCGTCTTTCGTCCTATTTCAATGCTATCAAGGTCGTCGCTCATCTTTCCACTCCGCTCATCACAACAAGAGCATTCGCAGAGGGCCTATAGGAGGAACTGATCAAACATGTTATGCTTTTTGTCTTTCGCTTTTATGTAAAAACCCCACGCTCGTTAACAGACACCCGATTTCACACATCTATTGGTCGTGTCTTTCTCAACTCGTATCTTAACTCATCATTCATTAGAGGGTGACTTTGTCCAGGCTATACACCCTCAGCACATTGTATATCGAGTTTGCGTCACTTCTAGATCTGCTCGAGCGAGAAGACAAATCGCTGAGAAGACTCCTGTTCCAGTCGATCGATAGAAATGCTGTGTTCAGTACAGAGACATCGTTCGAGTCGATTCACGATCTTTTATCTGCTCTACAATCGCTCAAATTACACACAGTCGAACAATGGCAGCCGCTGAAGACTTCCAACAAATCATGGCACGCCTGCATGCTCGTGAAAGGGCACTAGACGAGAGCTTTGCCGCTTTCGAGGAGGAATCTCGTGCCTATGCGAGAGACCACTACGAATTTTTGCTCGCACTCGAGCGTGACCAGGGGTCTACTTGTGCTCCTCTGGATCGTGTCCCTGAGATTTTGGACACCTCTCACTCGACCGAGATTGGGGCATCTCCTGCAGTCGCCCCTAGTACTGAAGCTCAAATCCCTAAGGACGGAGATTCACTCTTCATCCCTGGAGATACTCGCCTGGAGGATCCCTCGCACGTTTCGCCTCCAATTCCTCGTCCCAAACGTCGTGTCACTTTTGCTGAGGTGCCAGTGACTCTCATCGACGGCGTTCCTCCTGCTACAAACTCGTATGCTGGAGCTTCACAGGATCAAGTGCAGTAAGATTCCTATAGATCGCTCACACAACTTTCACATCATCTACCGACACTCATCCACAGATTTTTTTCCCTTCTACAACCTTGATCTCCTTTTCACCCAGTTCGAAAAATCTCAATCCCAAACAAAAAGCCACCACACTACACAAGAAAAGACAACACTGAATCCACCGCAACCATGAACGACTCTTCTCATCTTATCAAGAAGCATACCATCAAGCCCGTCACAAGTTCATCCTCCAAGCAAACCGAGAAGCAGACTGAGAAACAGATCAAGAAGGACACTCAGAGCTCCAACATCACCAGCATCACCAAGACTTACCCAACCATCGACATGAGCGCCGACACTACTGTCGACAAGAACCTTGTGAGTGTCGAAGACCTCGAGCGCCAGCTCACTAAAGCTAGATGCTTCGCCGACGAGAAGGAGGAAAGCTTGCGCCGCTTGATCAAGAGAAACAGAGAGGCTATCGGCATGGTTCACACTGGAACCAAGGAGCATGGATCGACTTTGACGAAACTCAACACCGACAATACTCCTCTTGAATTCAAGCCCCGACAAGAATTCTAACAAAGGCACTCGAGCCAATCGTGCTGAGCTTGAACGCTACCGTTTCGAGAGATATCAGAGGCTGGATCGATTTATTGAGGAGAACAGAAAGGCTGGGGGTGGTTGGGCAGTGAAGGAACTCTTCTCTGCTGCGAGTGGTGGTTGCGCTTGATACTGCTCGGCGGCCCCATTTTTGGGTGCGCACATCAAGTCTTCGCCTGATAGCAAGTCCAGACTATATTCCCGAGTCTCGGTCCAAAAACCACAGTCGATTAACAATACACATTCTACCTTCATGTCTAATGTGACAGCTTCCAAGTGCATGTGTAAAGAACATGGTAGATCTGAAGTCCAGCTCACAAGACGCGAAGAATTGATAACATATCCAAGAGACATCAGAAAAGAGACAGTGAAGTGTGAAACCAGATTCTTGCATTACAAAATATACCTATCCCTTCCAACCCAACAGTCCAACGCCCATACCAACCGCACAACAGCCCAGAGTTAAACCTTTCATCCTTGTCAGTAACCGTTAAAAATCACATGCATGTGTAAAGTACAGAGATAAAAAAACAGAAGATCAGAGAAAAAGTGATTGTGAATAGTTGTGTCGGCATGGACAGAACGAGTCTGCCCCAAACGACTCCCGAGAGAGGCCGCTATAAAAAGTCCGAATTGCAGAATTCTTTGTGCATCATTTGGGTGTGGAGAGGAGAAGACAAAGAGATGGGGAGGAACTTACGAAATTAGCAGTGGCTTAGCAGATACACCTGACGGGATTGATGGGCTGCTGCTGTTGCGAAAGAAAGAAGGATGCAGAGCGTGAAGAAGAGAAAAGGCAAGTGCAAAGGTCTTGGCGGTGAGTCGCGTGCACGGTCCTTTCAGCCCATTCAGGTCTTTGAGCATTCGAGCAAAGTAAACAATCATCTCACCGTCAACTCATGCCACTTGTTTCCACTTCAGATCCTCTTGTCGCAAGTCACATAGCTGTAGAACACAACTATCACAATGTCTACAAACAACAGACCCCAACAAGGCGACAAAACATACTTTGAACAACAACGCGAACTCGTGCTCCAAGATGTTGCGACGGTAAGCAGCATCTTTCTACCGACCGCGTGAAAAGACATACTAAGAAGACACAAGAATCTAGAGCAAGTGCTTCAAAACATGAATACGTTGAACAGAAGTCTGGAAAGCGTTATCGCTGTACGTTTCCCCTTCTTGCTCTCTTGACACACCCAGAGATTCGATCCTAGAGGCACGACCAGGATAATATGAGGAATAGCACTGACATTCTCGCGAGAATAGGTCGGCAACGAGTTCGGCCAAGTTGAGGGCCTCTGGTCCATGTTCGAGAACGTTATGGCGCAGCAACAACAGACCCAATCCAATGACGAAGAAGGAAACACGCAAGCCCATACTGGCGCACAAGAAAGAGCACAATGATACCAGAAAAAAGGCTTAGGACACGATCAAGGAAGTAGAGATGAAGGAAGAGCAAGGAAAAGATAATGATACCCAAAGAAGAGGAATGTTACGACTGTTACGAGACAAACAGACGGAGTGGCTAGACGAGTGCGGTTTCACGAAAATATGAAGGGGAGCAGTAATGGCAGAGGCTCGTGATCTACACCCCGCGAGAAAGAGACCAGTGCCAGTAGACTTGCAATTGAGCATACATGCCAAAAGCTCTTGGTTGAGCATCTTTGCTGATGGCCGCTTTGGGCTGTTCATGCCTCCATCTCTACAGCATGGATGCCTTATCGTACGCTGGACAACGCAGTCAATCTGTGCTAGCTATGTACACACAAGCCCATGTCGAATTTCTCCACATCTAAGTGCCCATGCCGCACGAACGAACGACGAAGAAAACTCCCTCCACTTTATTCCTGGCATACCAGCCCTCCATCCCTGGGACGCTCACATACATCTACAATTGCACGTATGGACATACAAGGACATCAGGCAAACGTGTGTTTACAGCACAAGACCATACAGCCCACTTGATTGGACTTTTTCCTAGTAAACATTCCATCAAGAAGCAGTCTTTGTTATCGCGCCAGGTTTGCTGATTGTGCTCAGTAAGGCCGGCTCAAATCCGTCCTTACAACTCGCATCGCACGCCGCATGACTCACTGTGCAATGTACGTGTGACATTTACAGGGCAATGGAGCTGAGGCGTGCTGACCGTTGAATCATCGTGAATCCTGAAACAACGAAAAGGGCACTGGTGACCAAGCATCGATTCGAGAGAACAGAATACCAAAAAAAAAAAAAAAAAAAACAGGATGAGATCTTTATCCTGATTGCGACTTCTTCAAGCGAAATACTGAGCGTTTCTGACGCATCAACCTCAACATCCTTATTCTTCTTCTTAAGACAGATGTATAGAGTAAGAGGATATCGAATAACATGCAATACAATATGGCGAAAGGCAGCCGTAGCAGCGCGGGAAGGAACGATGGAACAACCGGTCGCATGAACACTAAGATACTGTAGCTGGAAGGTGCCACGGCACTGATGGTTTGGTTGGGTGTTCTGATCACCGTCAGAAACATATTTCTGGAACATAACATAATTGTCCGCGCCTATGCTTCCTATAAAGAGTCAGAGGCTGTCACGGCCATCGTCACGGGTCTCAAACTCATCGAGCTGCAGATCAGATCTGGCTTTTTTGAAGCAAAAGATTAGCCGGAATAGTGAGCGGTGCTGTGTTGACAATATCTTTCGCTTCAGCGGCGAACTTCTCTTTACTTGTGAGCGGTTGAAGTTCGAACCTGTCGATGATCGACTTGATTTCGTAGTAGAGCGGCAGCCAGTGCATTGCCAGGTGGTGCAGCACGCAATTACGGGCCGAGATATTGTCGAAGCCTCTAGGACAAGTCTCGGATAAGACAGTGCCCTAACCTGAACCCTGACCTGCACACTGATGTGACTCACGACTATATACAGCATCTGCTTGACAGAGCACGAGTGCCATGTCGGAGGACACCGTCTGTGCTACCCTGACGCGGACCCCGAAGCCTCATAGTGTAGTATCTCGTCTATGTCTATCGGTTCATTGCTGCTGTTTGAAGCACAAATGCGCATCTTGAGATGGTCCAATTCTCTAATTGCAGTGGTGACAGGGCGGTTTATTGAGTCCTGGGCTTCAGTGACAGCAATCAAACCGAAGCCGAGGCTTGGGCCGATGTCCTCGCCGACTAAACCGGGCAGTGATATGTAGCCGACGTTGACTGCTTAAAGCTTACGATCTATATCATCGGTCACAATCTCGAAGCTTAGTCCTTGAATGTTCGGATCATGTGTTTATGGTTGAGGCGACAAAGTCTACAACATCGTCAGAATCTAGAACTGTCACTCGTTCCAGAGGTCCATACCTGAGATCTTGCCATGCTTCCGTTTCAATAATTGCTTATTACTACGGCTTCCTTCCATCTTCTCCTCCATCATCGAGCAGATCGTTGATTCAAGCGCTCATCAACCAGCAGCTGCACATTGGCCAGACGAACATACCGATCGTTCTTGCGTGCAGGATTGTCTTGACCCATCTTCTTCTGAAGAATGCGAACATAAACATCTCGCGATTTTGGCGAGGCGGAAAGAGACTGCAGGAGTGAACGAAGCGTTTCATGGTGATTTTGTGACTGCGTACCGTCGGATAATGTTAGTGCGTCGAGTAGGGAGTAGGCGATTTCGAATTGTTTCTCGAACTGTTAAGGGGTGTGTGTTAGCCCCTAATCAGTTGGGATCTCTCTCATGTGTGAACAAGTGTCTCATGAGTAACTATAGAAATGCACGGTACTTATCAAACTAAGAATGTGGCCATAGAGATGCCTCAAGTTTCTAGTCTCTCCATGGACAGTACTCCTCTCAGGAAGATATTGTGCATTTCTATAGCTACCATCTGACAGTGCTTTGTGTAAGGAGATGTACTTACAATACCCAATCCATGAACCTCTATTGCAGCTGAGGATAGCGTCTTTAGGGTTTTACATAGCGAGGAAGCGATTTGTATAGGATAAGCGTACGTATACGAGGGATTCATCGCTGCCGAAGAGATCAAACCTAGCCTCAGGGCAGTCTGCCAGACCATAAGTCGAAGCCACTGTTGCGTGACCAGTATATCGGCTTGTTGGGTTTCGGAGACGTTAGTAAGGTCCAACACCTGGTGTAATTGTTCCTGCAGGGTAGCGAGCTCGATATACTCTTTTCCAGTGCCCTGAACCGAGGTCAGATCGTTTCGGGCCCGGAAGAAGTTTGAGTCAAGTAGAGAAAATAGGTGGAATAGCATGCTGAGGCCGATGGAGACTGAGGGCTCTTCCTCCGGTAGTCTTTCACAGGGCAGCATTGGCGACGATAGTATGCTGATGGAGAATGCATCATGTATGCAGGCGCCGCGTTCAGTGATAAATAGCAACGCGTAGATCCGTTGCCTGCGTAGTCGTTCAGCTGGCTGTAGCTTCACGTCGCTCTCAACGGTATGCATGCCCGCCGCTTGAGCCAAGCTGATGGCTTCTCTAACGTAGAACCAAGCGTTTTTGCGACACTTGAGATCGAAGTACGTCACTGCAATAAACAGCGATGTCAACACATCCTCGACCGTAGCATTTTCAATGTAGTTCGATGATATACGATCCTCGAGACATCGTCGGATATACTGTCGCGCAGCAGTGGTCCTCTTTTCCAGCTCCATCGTCGGCCACGCATCGACAGCCATTAGGGTTAGAGCGCATACAGACCATAGGAGCCGGACTTCTGACCGTTGAAGTTTGTGAGGAGGGGTTTCTAGGAGTGAACGCAAATGGTCCTCTTTCATGATCGGATATACAGCATACATCTTGTCAAAGAAGAGGCCAACGCTGTGCTCAATCTCCCGCCAATCCCCTTGATCGGGCGCGTCACTCCACGTTGATGGGCTTGTTATGGAGATATCATGCTGATTAACGGCAGGCACAGATTGCATCCCATTCCAGTTCAGAAGCAAGGAACGGTCTCCAACCAGTCTCTGCCCTTGTAATGGTACTGTAGACGAAAGTATATTCTGAGCGAAATCATCGAAGGTAAAGTACGCATCGTCCACAAAGCTTTGTGGTGAAGACTGGTTGTTATGCTGGTTCGGTTGAGAGTCTGCCAAAACAGACTGGAATAAACCAGGATGTACGTGATCCAGGCCAGCATTGTTCGGACTGGCTGTGGTGGTAGGTTGGTGGTGTTGGAAAGTCTGCTCAGTGTGGACATTCTCATGAGAACCGTTGTTGTGACCTTCGGAGCCAGTCAGTTGACTTTGTGGCTCTCGTAGCGATCCGATGACTGTGCCTGTGCCTGGTCTTGGGCCCCTCTTCTTCCTGACTGTTTGAAATGCGCAGGGAAGTTCATGGCTCTGGCAACGGTCGCATGGCATAGCATAGTTGCATCTCACTTTGCGTCGCCGACACTGATCGCATGGGTACTGCTTCGCCTTGGCTGTTCCATTGTTTGACATCTCGAGACTCGACATGCATCGTGTGTTTTGTTTGAAGGTGTTGAAGCCAAGGTGGGATGAATCTCGGAACCGTTGCTAACTTTCTGTTCGCAACGCTAATGCTGCAGTCGCGACCCTGCTTACATCACCATCTTGTTGTCCATAAGTACATCACGTCTGTTTTCACTCATGTGAATACACATTGGTGTTCGCATCACTATGGGCTTGGTCAGCAATGAATGTTAGTCTGTTTCTGATACGAGTCTTGTCTTTGCCCACCAATTACGGATTTGGACGGACTTGTCGTCAGGATGTGCAAAAGTATGCTGTTGGGTGTAAGGGCCGCTACAGACCAAGGGCATTTCTCATCAGGTTCTAGGTACACACTTACGAGTCGTGACGGCACCCCTATTCTGATTCTGCGTCATCAAAAACAAAAAGAACTATGGAATTTGAGATCTATACACAGTTTGGAATATCCTCCATGAAAATGCTATGGACTCTAATGACTAGAACACGATCTTCGTGCTGAGATGTATGCTCAACTCGACCATCTATTGATCAAGCAAGTATACACGCCCTTCCCATGGCTGCAGGTACCCAGCTTCTGATTCAATAGGAGTATCGGTGGTCAGATGATCAGACACGTTGTCGAGCAATAGCTTTGCCGAAGCTGTATCCACACCGTCGATCACAGGCACTCGGTTCTCGGCATCAGCAAAGTTGCACACGACAAGAGCCTTGATCTTGCCATCTGGAGATGTCTTGACAAAGGAGAAAACCTTCTCATTGTCTTCGTCCACAAGCTGGAACTTACCATGTACGAGTACTTCAGCATGGGTTTTGCGAACTTTGAGCATTCGTCGCCAGAAGTTCAAGACACTCGAGGGATCCTCGTGTTCTTCTTCGACATTGATACCCTCTTGTGCGCTAGTGTTGACCCTCATCCAAGGCTCAGCAGTCTTGCTTGTGAAACCAGCATTGAACTGCGAGGTCCATTGCATTGGAGTTCGTGCATGATCTCGAGACAAATGCTGCATTCCTGCTTTGGCGAAAGCATGTGCCGCTGCATCATCAGGTTTTCTTCGGACAGCCTCGGCATAAAAGTTGATGCTGTCGACATCCTTGTACTCTTCGATGGGCCAATCCTTGGGCATGTTGATCATGCCAATCTCCTGGCCTTGGTACACAAACAGCGTGCCAGACAATGATGCAAAGAGCATGGCGAGCATCTTTCCGGAACGTGAGCGCCAGAGGTGCGAGTCATTGCCAAAGCGTGAGATGCTGCGGGCTTGGTCATGGTTTTCGATAAAGCTTGTTGTCCACGCATCCGTGCCATCAAGCAAGCTTTGCGTGCGACAGATTGCACCTTTGACGTCGGCCAGCGTATAGTTGAATGGCGCGGTGTCGTATTTCGAAGGTTTGCTTTGCCCAACATCAACCGAGTCAAACTGGAACACCATGTTCATCTTTGCAGCTTCTGCGCTCACATAGCCGAGTACACGGGCTCGGTCAGGTGTTGCCGGGCATTCTCCCACACTCATGGCATTGTAACGAACCAAGATTGCATTCATCTCGTCCAGGTACTTGTCCATGTTGGGTCCATTGCAGTATAGAAGACTAGCATCTTGCCATGGTGTATCGGGATCTTGGACGGGAGCGTCTGGGAAGTCCATGGGCTTGCTGTACATGTTGACAGTGTCGATCCTGAAACCATCAACACCCCTGTCAAGCCATGAGATCATGGCCGACTGATAGACTGTCTGACGAGCTTCGTCATTCTCCCAGTTGATGTCTGGTTGCTCTGGGCAGAAGAGGTGAAGGAAGTATTCTTGAGTGTGCTCGTCCCATTCCCAGACCGAGCCCCCAAAGTTACTACGCCAGTTGGTGGGAGGTCTGCGATTGCCAACGCTATCATATTTAGCTGGTCTCCAGATGTACCAGTCACGCTTTGGATTGCCTTTGGAAGATCGCGATTCTTGGAACCACGTGTGTTGGTCTGATGTGTGGTTGATGACAAGATCGAGGATGATTTTCATGTTGCGGCGGTGTGTTTCTTTGATCAAGATCTCCATGTCTTGAACTGTGCCATATGGAGGATAGACAGCCTCGTAGTCGGAAATGTCGTAGCCCATGTCAATCTGCGGACTGGCATACCTGTTTTGTTCAAGTCAGTAACAAGACTGGGAAGACAAGATGCAAAGTGCCACTTACATAGGACAGACCCAGATAACCTCGACGCCGATTGACTGAATGTAATCCAATTTCTGTATGATACCTTGGATGTCTCCAATGCCATCATTATTGCTGTCGTTGAAGGACGCTGGGTAGATTTGGTAGACTGTGGCATCTTTCCACCAAGGTCGAGAAACGTGCGACATTTTGTCTCTTGCAAGTCTTTGTAAGAGCGAATATTCGAGTGTCTGTTGGAGGGAACGGAGTACAAGGCACGAGGACGACAAGGCTAAAAATTAAGAGAAGTCTGGGATGGTCAGCTGGAAGACGGGCCATCTTATACGACTATGATTGTTTGGTCAAGGCGCAATGCGGGCAGTTTGCTCCACTAGGGCAACGTTACTTTGGCTTTCTCCACGACATGGCGCGCGCTCTATCGCTCGCATTTATTCACTTGGGCAAACAAGTGTTCGAAACCCGGACATGGCACATCAATTAGACACCTTTGGCTGTGCAGTACTGTTGTCGGATGAAGCCCAAAGGGGGAAACAAGGTGCAGCGTTGCGACGCACGCATCATAGAAAGGCTCGAGTTCTCCGGCTTGGCACTCGCTTCGCAAGCCTCGGTTGACAACACATCTCCGCCTCGACACATCTTCATGTCACCTTTCTGAACCACATCAATCGACAGTTCTTTGTTTGACATCTACTATCATGAACGACATCGATATCTGTCGGGACTGGACTAGGAGCTGCTCGAACTTACAGGTCATGCGACTCGATTGCCATGTGTCGACCGAGCTGAAGCCATCGAATTTCTCCCTCTGCCCAACAGGCTTCACTGGACCAGCCAAACCTCCCTATTGATCAAGAGACATAGTTTCGCTGAATCTCTCGCGGAATTCCTCGCCCGGTAGACACAACGGATCGCGCCCGCCACCACACGACTCCGCATCGTTCACCAGATTTGGGCACGAGACTTCACTTTCGAAGCCATATTCTTGAGAAACATGCTTCTGTTCCCCATGGAGTCCACGGCAAACTGGGGTTGAAGTCACAACGTCCCTCTGGTATAAAGACCAATCCGATTCCCTTGCTGTGAGAGGATACCCACTCAGCTCACAACAATCCAATTCGCCAGTGATCAACCAGCTGCATTATCGGGATACTCCTTTCTCTTTGTACTTGAACAACATCGCAATGGCCGACATGAGGGATTTATCGGTGATCGGTAACGATGCTCCACGCACTGCCAGCATCACTCCCCAGGACATGCACCATTTTGCCAAAGTCGACACCAATGTCGCTGCAGAGGCCGCGAGAGCAGCTCAGTCTGAAGTGTCCATGACACTCTGGCAGGCCATCAAGACCTATCCCAAGGCCATTGGCTGGTCCATCCTCATCAGCACTTGCATCATTGTATGCCCGGCACCACATCTTTCATGCTCGATATGATGCTAACTCAATCATAGNATGGAAGGCTTCGACATCGTTCTCATCAACTCCCTGATGGCACTTCCTGCCTTCCAGCTCCGCTTTGGTGAGCGCTCAGCTGATGGCAGCTACCAAATCAGCGCTGCCTGGCAGTCCGGTCTGTCGAACGGTGCTTTGGTTGGTGAAGTGCTGGGTCTTCTGTTCATTGGATATATCGTCGAACGCATTGGCTACAAGAAGACCATGATCGGTTCTCTCACCCTTCTTACTGGCTTCATCTTCATCGTCTTCTTTGCACAGAGTCTGCCCATGCTACTCGTTGGAGAGATTCTCATGGGTATTCCATGGTAAGTCTACTGTTGTAGAGCAATAGCTCGAGACTCTGCTAACACAACATCTTAGGGAGCTTTCCAAACCCTGACCACCACCTACGCAGCCGAGGTCTGTCTAGTCAGTCTCCGCGCCTACCTCACGACTTACGTCAATCTTTGCTGGGTTATTGGACAGTTCCTCTCTTCAGCCGTTCTCAAAGGTGTTGCCAACAAGACTGGACCTATCGGCTACAAACTGCCCTATGGACTTCAGTGGATTTGGCCTCTTCCTTTGATCATCGGTATTGCATTGGCACCAGAATCGCCATGGTGGCTAGTCCGCAAGAACCGCCCAGAAGAAGCCAAGAAGCAAGTACTCCGCTTGACATCGCGCAACCAGACCGATTCTGGTTTCAACGTCGACGAGACAGTCAACATGATGATCTACACCAACGAACTCGAGAAGGCAAGCACTGAAGGAACCAGTTACTTGGACTGCTTCAAGGGCACCGACCTTCGCCGCACTGAGATCGTGTGTGTAGTCTGGGCCATCCAAACCATGTGCGGTGCATCTTCGTTCACTGGATATTCGACATACTTCTTCGAACAGGCGGGTCTCGATGTCTCTTCTGCTTTTTCCATGTCGCTGGGTCAGTATGGTCTTGGTGCCGTCGGTACCCTCCTGTCTTGGGTTCTGATGACCAAGTTTGGACGCCGAACTCTGTACCTTTGGGGACAAATCGCTATGGTGGCTATTCTGCTGATTGTCGGATTCCTCGGCATCGCACCCAAGAGCGCCGAAGGCCCAAGCTGGGCGATCGGTGCCATGATCCTGATCTATACATTCGTCTACGACATGACTGTTGGTCCAGTCTGGTAAGTTCTCACACATAAGTTCAACTCCCCGACCATTCAATGCTGATTTTGTGTCACAGCNTACTCCCTCGTTGCCGAAATCTCTTCCACCCGTCTCCGTAACAAGACCGTCGTCCTTGCCCGTAACCTGTACAACATCACCGGTGTAGTGGCCAACGTCCTGACCCCTCACATGCTCAACCCAGACGCTTGGGGCTGGGGAGCCAAAGCCGGATTCTTTTGGGCCGGCACTGGAGCTCTGTGCGCAGTGTGGACATACTTTCGTGTTCCTGAGCCCAAGGGCAGAACATATGCCGAGATGGACATGCTGTTTGATGCTAAGATTTCGGCGAGAAAGTTTTCTCAGACCAACGTCGAGTGTTTTGAGGATGCTGTCATGCATCAGAAGGGCGGCGAGAAGAGCACTGTCGAGTATGTTGACAAAGCTGACGCTTGAAAAACATCGGTGCTGCTTTAGCGGTTGAGTTTGCACGTTGATTTGCTAGAGATTTAGTCTAGCTAGACACAAGTTTTGAATTCCTTGATAGTACTCTCTATGAGAATGATATTATGCAATTCGATAAGATTGCCACAATAGCTTCTTACACATGGGGATGAACAACGGAGAGCAAGATGACAAGCAACAGCTGATGCAATACCCGGGTACATGTCGCCGACTCTACATCTCCGACTAACAACACTCCACTCTATCTCTCATGACACAGTCCAACATCATTGACTACCAGGTTCGCCGACAGAGACACTGAACAAAAGCCTCTATCGATCGTAACCTGATCCTCGACTTTAAAGTCGGCGACATCTAGGTGTCGAGGTAACGCCGAGGCCTTAGAGTACACTTAGAGCGAGAATCCCTCATAGCATTTGCAAGGGCATATGTTTATCTCTTGTTAAGACTTTTGTCGTTGCATGTCTGCTTCAAAGACTAGGAGGTAATGTTGTATGAGTGGGGATTATATACGAGGTAGAAGGAGGATGTTCCTTGCTTGTTTAATCAGGATATGGTCCCTTGCTTTAGTGGAGTTGTGATGATTGAATGATCCAGTGCTTTAATGGAGCCTTATATGGAAAGAGAAAGCAAAGAAAAACATCAAGTCAAGCGAGTCTAGCAGTACTAGAATACAACCGAGAATCTCGGTCATGTTTTGACAGCGGTATGGGATTTCTAGAGCAAAACAGTTGCCAGACCTTGCAAGTCACACTATCTTGCTACAAGGGTTCTGCATAAAAACTGCAGGATAGCGATTTTCATAGTCGTAATCTTAGAATGTTGTCCCGTGGTATCGACACGAAAGTCAAAAGGGCAGCAAAGTCGCAAGCATCGACATGTTCATTGAGTTTCTTGACCATGCGTTCGTAGATACATTCAATCTCTCTAGTAAGACTGTCCTCCTCCTCGTCAAGCACATGAGAGACATTACGCTATATTTTCCTCCTGACACAAACCCAGAGACTCGCTGATGGCAGACTCCCTAAGCACATCGCAAGGATCATGGTTTAGTTTGCCGAGAAAAGAACAAAGACAAGCTGGGAGTGGTACAGTCCATGACCACTCTTGGATGGTAACACGAGATGCAGAGTACATGATTACTCGTCAAGCTTGTATCATAAGCAGGTATGCTTTGTCAGGATTCTTCTGCATTCATCTCGTCTTGACTATATACATTGTTTGCATCAAGAAGGGCTCCTATCCATGTGACGGAGCTGGGTGCGGAGCAACATGATAATTCCTCTCCTTCTCCTTCTCCTCGATTGCTGACGGTGTGGGATATAAGAAAGGTAGAAAAGAAGAAGTGAAAAAGAAAAACACCATCAAATGCATAGAGCAACGGCAGCACGAGACACAATGTGCATGCCATAACGCTCTGGACTCATCGTAAACCCCTGAATCGTAGAAGAGCACACGGCAGTGGAGCGGTAGAATTAGTCCACCGTTGCTGTCAGTTCGTCATCTTCCTTCTCTTTGTTGTTTGTAACTCTTCTTTCGCTTCTCGTGCGTATCTTCGTTTCTGTCGTAGTTGGAACTTCATNCATCTGTGACGTGACGAGCGCCTCGTATTTCTGGTCCGTCTGTCGTCAGAGCTTGCACTGCCTATTTCCACTTTGTTAGCATCATTCCAAACAATCCTTCCAAGGCTCAAACTCACTCTCGCTGGTATAGTAATCACTGTACGTAGCGTCCGTATACGCACTGCTATACTCACTCTTCTCATCCCTCCTACGATCATTCTTCCTCTTCATGCCCAGAATGCCTGCTAGAGCAGCCAGTCCAGCACCAATGCCCAGCATTTCGGTAAACTTGCTGCGTTCCTTTTCTTTGCGCGGAGCTTCTGAGCCATACCATCTTCTATCGTCGGGGCGGCTGCCGGCGTATGCTGCTCCTCCGGCACCGCTGTAGGATCGGTGGTGGTGGGATTCGATGACTTCGGTACGTTCGGTGCGTCTGCGTTTGCGGCCGCCAAAGAGAGCAACCCAGATTGTTCTTGCGCAGCAGAAGAGACAGAGGAGGGAGAGTAAGATGAGGCCGGCGATGACTCCAATTACAATACCAGCGATAGCGCCGCCAGAAAGACCGTGCGAGTTGCTGGTCTCCGCGCCGGTGAGGGTGATGTTGGCGCCCGTGGCAACGGGTGCGAGAAAGGNGACAGTGGTAGTGGGAGACGAGGTTGCTGTAACGATTACCAAGGTGCTACTTGTTGGCAGGATGGCGGGAGAAATACCGGTTGAGCTTCTTGAGCTGACTTTGGATGTGCCTGCTCCTGCGGCGGCGGCACATTGTCCAGAGGTGAGGCAGTATTGATCGCTTGCACAGCATATGGTCCCGCAAGAAGACTGGCCTTGGTCCCAGTTGCAGCTAATTGAGGCAGCAGTCGTCGATGCAGCGGCAGTAGAAGGAGCAACCCAAACCGAAGTGGCTACACCTCCGCCACCTGCAACAGCAGTGGTTGAAGCATCGCCGCACCAAGAACTTCCAGTACTGTATTTGGTGATGATGTCCGTCTCTGTCTGTGTCTCTACCCAAGAGCTGGTCCAGTACTTCCAGTAGCCCGTTGTCTCAGTCTTTGCAGCAGCCGTTGTTGACGCACACTGTGCTTGGTTGCTCGAATCGGTAAAACACGACTCTCCTCCCGTACAGCATAATTGTCCAGACCAACCACAAGGGTTCTCGCAATTGCCTCTGCCGAACAAGGAGTTGAATGTTAAGCCACCGATGCCGAGTTCCGTTGGGATAAGCGGATTTGCCAACGTCGGACTGAGTGTGAGGGCGACCACGGCCAGTTGAAGAAGCGTTTGTGTGTGGGAATGTGAGGGCATGGCTGACTCGAGGCCGCTGTGTGGGGTACTGTGGAATGTGCGCTTGACACTGGTATAGCCGTTGCCAACCCCGCAATGTGCTTGTCGATAAAAGAAAAGCGGTGGTGTGTTTTTGCTGGATAGTTGCAAAAGGTTATCAGCAAACGACAGTTGGATCTGAACGGTGCGACTGTGAGCGAATAACGACTGCAAAGGTGTGAGATGGAAGAAAGGGCAAAAAGTGATGCGGGAAGGTGCAGATGGGTGGTGTGTTGGGTTTATCCTGTGCGTCTGCAGGGCTAGTCGACCAGCCTCCGAATATGCCCAACCACCTCGATTATCTCTCACTCAGGATCTGCGCCACGATCTCCCAGAACTCGATGCGATAACTTGATCTCTTGCACAACTAAAAGAATAGTCTTGGAAACAGCGCCGACTGTGAAACAAATCATGATGCTGTCGAGTCGACTCGATTTTATCGCGACTGCTCGACCATCCGTCCTTGGCGCTGTGTTTACTTCTGCCACAGCAACATAGATTGCTCCCGTCGCATTCAGCCGCAACTTTTCCTGCTGTTCACCATGTGTGCCCTCACACGAGACACACGTTGCCCGGTCGATGCGAGGAACAGACACCATTCACGGAGTACAGTCTCACCATCATCGTCATCGCTTTGTTCCAAAGAAAGATAATTTAGTGTCTAGAAGTTAAAGCTGCATGTATGGGTATGAATAATCAGAACATAGGAGAGAGGGTATCTAAACTGTTCAACCAAACAACAAGACTATATAAAGAGAAAAGAAAATGGCAGTTCTACTCATCAAAACATCAACCATTTTGTCGGACTCCATCCGCTCGATATGTCGGACAGGACATCAGACATGACACCGGGATGAGCCATCAATCCATGGCCTTCGCCAGGCAAGACGCGAATCTCGCAACCGCCATCGTTTGCTTCCGCGTTTTTGTCTTGCAGACTCCAGTGTAGCGTATTGTGTTTGTTCATCTGATCGCCGAGCCATCGAATATTCTCCACAGGCACGCGTTTGTCCTCGCTGCCATGTGTAATCACCACCTNTTTGTGCACATCCACATATTTGAATCCGATATTTCGGTGTCGCTCAAGACAGACGATCAAATCAGTAGCAGGATTCGCGTCTCGCGTTGCCAAAGTCCAAGTCCTCTCCGTCAGAAGAGCGGAATACGCTGCTTGGTGTTCCTTTGCCGCGTGTTCGGCAGCGCTGAGTGCCTCGGCTGCGAACATGAGTCCAGGGTCCATGGGAGATGCTGTCGCAGACAACTTGAGAGAGATTTCGGAAGGTTTGCGGACGGTCTTATCCCNCTTCTCATCCTCGCATAGCTCGGGCAAAGGGAACATAGTATCCCTGGGCCTCTCGGGTATAACTTGATCCATAAGGATCATGCTCTCTCGTCTTATGGCATTCGGCCGCCGGTTGGAATTCCTCCTACGAAGACCGCCGCGAGGACTGTCTGAGCTAGATGTGGGCGGTCCATCTCCTCTATTAGCACTGGCTGGCTTCAGAGATGCCGGAGAGAATAAATTGCCATTCGCGGCCTTCAAAAATGGCACAGGCAGAACTCGAAGAAATCGTTGACCCCTTGTCAAAGCCGCCATTGGTACATCGTCAGGTGATCTGTCCTTCTGGCTGATGTTCTCGAACTGAGAAGGTGGGATCCAAGGCGCAAGGAGCTGTACCTTGCCGCGTACACTATCCGGCAGTATCAAGGCAGTTGCCAAAGCGTATATCGCACCGGCAGAATGCGCGATCAAGCTGAATTCAGAGATACCGAGGTGGTGAGTTATGGTAACCACATCATCAGGCCAGGCTAGGGGTCCAATATGATCTCGGTCCCGATAGGCTTGACTCGCACCGACACCCGGTCTCTCGGGCGTGATGAGTCGAAGACCCAAGGAAGACGCTAGGTCATCATAAAAAACGCTCACAAAACGTGTAAGACCCATGCCAACGCAGACAATGACTGCATGTCCGTTCGGGTCACCAACTTCAGAGAAGGAGATGATGCGGCCAGTCTGAGGATGTGCTATCTTTTGGTTCAACCGCGGATTGTTCAAAAAGGCGTTGACTGACATAGAAACATTACTGCTTCGTTCATGCAGTATGTCATCTTCGAGGAGACGATTCTCACGAGCATCACTCATAGATTTTCGTCGAGATCTGGGATCATATGATATTCGTCGACTTGATCTCGGACGCGATTGAATTGTGGAATATGAATGAGCGGTACCGGGTGGTGACATGTCGAGACCTTCAATGTCAAGGCCGTTCAGCAGGTGAGAGTGGGTTGACTTCCTAGCCACAGCGCGTCTAGCGACCTCTGATGAATCATATGGTTGCCTCTCTGCACCATTGGCAATCTGGGTATGGAAGGGACGGTAATAGTCGGTCGAGGTAGAAAAGGCATTCCCGATGGTAGGAGAGTCGGGAGGAAAAGAAGACAGATTTGCAGAGACGTTGGGAGAGTCACGGGCGACGCTAGGTTGACTGCGAACGTCACTGTCAAAAGGGGAAGCCGTTGCGGTGTCTTTGGTTTGAACCACGGAAGCGTTGTGTGATAGTTCGTCGAGGCCGAGCATGCGGTGAGCCTTGGTCAAATCAGGGACTCTGGCGGGGCCTCTATTGGCGGGTCGCTTTTGCGGATCCGGCAATCTCGAGCCCGAAGAGCTTGCCGAGTCGTGCACGAGCCCCTTACCGTTCTGTGTCTGCAGAGCCTCATCAGATTCCATGCGGAGACGATNCTCGCTGTGCTTTTGTTGACGCAGTTGTTTGATGCGCAACACAGTCTCGTCTTGTTCGTCCAGGCCGTCAAACATGTCTTTGGGCGCATCAGCTTTTGACTTGCGCCGAGGACCACGCTCCTCCTTGACCTNCCTGAGGGCAGCCAAGGCGCGTTTGCCTTTGCTGAGTTTCTTGCCTTTGGGTTTGGTAGGGCTGGAGAGCCTGTTCAGGGAAGAAGATCTTGGAGGGATGATGGTGGCCATTGGGCCGCTGTGAGAGGTTGGCAGAGTGCTTCTCGAGTTACTGACGGACAGAGTCTCAGCTGCAGCCTTGAACGAAGCACCTCTGCTGCTCGAAGGGCGAGCGTTGGCAGACGGTGGTCGGGTCATTGCCATGTTGGGACTGGGTGTAGCCATGTCTTCAAGCACATCTTCCAAGTATAGTCTCCCCTTCGAACTCTTTCTACCAGAATCCTTGGCTTCAGAGCCCAGATTCGAGCTCAACAGAGCTTGGTCGGCCAGGTGTTGAGGATCCTTGTAAGACTTGAGTGTCTCGCGCGAAGCCTGACGAAGTGACAGTCTGCGGCCAAGTCTTTCTGTCGGGGATGTCGCGTCCAGGGACAGCTCTGTAGGAGAGGACAATGACTGCTTTCTGGAGCGACTCTCGACGCTCATCCTGCTATTGCTGCGACTGAGCTTGTCAAGACCGTTCAAAGACAGGGAGGTCTTGGAGGCGGAACGCAGTATCTCTCGCAAGCCGTTCAGGCTCGGTGACGGCGGTGCAGTATGTGCAGATTTTGCCGAAGGGCGTCTTGTGGTAGGGACGACAGGGAAGTCGGCGCCGTCGCTATCGTAGTCGTGATGTCGGACTGGCCGGCGGTAGGCGCCGTAGTCCATGCCAAAACTTTGGCTGTGTTTCAAGGGTGGGCGCAGGTCGGGACTGGTATAGAATGCGCCATCGTCGTCGTATTGGTCCGAGGTCGAGACGTAGGCGTAGGAAGCGTGCGTGATGGGGGAATTGTTTTGGTCGAGAGAAGCGATCAAGGAGGAGATGACCTGAGGCTCGTTCGGGGCGTGCTTGTTGGGAGTGCCGGCAGTCGAGGGCCGCTTGTCGCGACGGGCATCGAACGGACGATGGTGTTGGTGAGCCGGCGGCATGTTGAAGAGGATGCTACGCTCAGGATGCGGTCGACGCGCTACCTCGTACCTGTGACATGGGACTGCAGGGGATATTAAGTGAGCCGTTTCATGCACCCAAGTAGAATCTCACGTCGCACAAGCAGCTCCTGGTTGCATGCCACCTCTGTTGTCGAGACAATGCACTTGTACGCCGAAGGCGAGGACGGCAGCAGAAGAGGCTTCAGACATGCCTGGCGGACGGTGCAACATTCAACCAGCCAGCTCTTACCGTCAACTATGGCTGAACTGCAAATTAACATTCGGCTCTCAGGGGCGGGAGCGAGCGAAGCGAATCCACTCTTGCAGCGCACCCCACCATCAAACAAGGTATCAATCTATCCTGCAGCTACTCTATCTCCCGCCAAAGCCTTGATTTGACTCCCAAAACTTCTATGACGTCTCGACAACCCACAAACAACGACCGCTTCATGCAAGCCTGCGACCTTTGTCTTGTCATCCTCGTTGCATCTCGTTGAGAAGAAACACTTGGTCTGTCTCAGCTTGCACGTGGCGCCTGCGATTGACTTTCGCTAGCCCAATCCCTTGCCGCGTTGATCGGAAGCTTGACACCACACGACTCCAAGCAACCCCAGCTCCAACAACGCGACGGCAAACGCGTCAAGACAGCTCCAACCGCCTATCCAGGACTGCGCTTCCCTTTGTGCATTGCAACATTGTCGAACTCTCTGCATTATCGCGTCGCATAACCGAATCATAATCTCGAGCTTACGAGCTCCCATCCCTTGCAGCCATGGCTCTCCAAGCACTTCGCGATGAACTGGTTTACTACTATGGATACTCTCAAGGTCGTGGCTTCTCCATTGGTGACCTCTTATCAAGAACATCCGCCAAACTCCTTTCCCAAGTGTCATCCCTTATGACCATACCACTCCCCTTGCTCTCTTTCCTTGCTGTACCCTTCTTCGGCTCCTCGTCGACCACCATCAGCCTTGCTTTCTTCCTCCTGACCTGGGTGACTCTGGTCTCCACATATAANCCCCTATACTTGGAACTTGTCGGCACCCTTGCAATCAAGATCATCTTCTTCGTACTCCCCAGCTTGGCCGTCTTGGGCTTCGACTCTCTCATACCGAGTCTCTCCGCCAGCATAAAATCTCGTGGTGTTGCTCAGCTGCCAACTCAACTCAGCTCGCGAAGATTGAGGAACGTAATTTTTGTATCTATCTTCAATGTCGCATTCTCAGTTCTGATCCAGGGACTGTGCGAGTTTGTGCTTACTGAAATACTCAACACGCGATCTGCGATTCGTGTGAGCAAGATTCCCCCTGCTCCCTGGCCGACCATGGTCAAGGAAGTGCTGTACGGACTCGGGTGTCGCGGATTCCTGCATTACTTCATACATCGCGATGTCCTGCACGCTTCTCCAAGACATTCGGTCTTGGCTCGCTGGCATGCCGACTGGGCCCACAGCTTGAGACATCCTTTTTCCCTCGCATCTACTTACGATCATCCTGTTTGCCATTTGCTCACTGACTGGGCACCTTTATATCTGACGACGCTCTTCTTCCGCTTTCATGTCTTGACGTGGTATATTCTGACTGCCATTGTCAGTCTCGAACAATTCTTCATCTACTCTGGCTACTCGGTGCTACCATCGCAGATTCTGCTAGCTGGAATGGCCAGAAGAACCGATTCTCACTATGCTACTGGTGGTAAAGGCAACTATGGCAATTGGGGTGTCCTCGACTGGATCTTTGGCACTGGCTGTCCTGGTGATGCTGATGTCGTTGATGACGTGCAAGATGAGGTTGACAAGAGAGGTGTGAGAGAACGTACTGCGAACATGATCGGGAATGCAGGAGAAAGACTCAGAGAGGGCAACGATAGCGTAAGTCCTGGAATTCGATCAGAATCTAGNAAGGTGCTGACGTTNCTCACAGTCACAAAGAAACTCCTCCCAAGCGCGGAGAAGGAGCAAGAGACAGGCAGCATGAGCTCAATAGTGACCATGCTCCCAATATAAGGATCTTACCCTTCCGTGAGACAAGCGGTCGATTAAGATGTCTTGTGAAGGGAGTTGTAAACATCCCATCACCAAGCCCTGGATCATTTCTGTCTTCTCATCTGACCAAGACTCTCATTGTGGCTATAGAGATGCACAATGCTTTCTGCAGGGCGACGATGTCCATAGAGAGACGTTGAGTTGAGGTATCTCGGTGGCTACGCTCCTGGTGGAAAAGCATTTGTGCATTTCTATAGCTTTGTCACTTAGTCACATTTGATTACGGGAGATATATTGATTGTGAGACTGTTACATTTCTCAGCACATAGATCATTGTGCGAATTTGTTGCAAGTCAATTTGCAGGGTCAAACACAAGAATAGACATTTGCCTCGTACAAGGCGTGTCTCCATACTCTATTGCTCTCGTCCAGGAGCTTGTTGTTCATTTTGCAGCTGATGTTCCTACTGAGCAACAAGAGCTAAGGCATGAAATTGGCAGCTGGCGCTGAGATCAACTGCCACAATACAGACAAAGCAAGGACCAAAGTCTTCAACGTGTCGTTCTACTGAAAGAGCACAGGTATTGACAGCCTCTCTTCTTTGGCTAACGAAAGGCAAGATCTGATTATGCAAGACTATTGTACTTTTGCTCAACTCATTCAGGCGAGACACATGCAGAGGATCCTATGAAGGCGATGCAGAGATGCTCGTTCTGGGCGTTGTGGAGGACGGTGAAGAGTAGTTCTTTGCGAACCTACTTTTACGCTTCTTTGAGATGATCCCATAAGCAACGGGCAGTCTCAGTCAATCTCTTCAATGGCACGTTGATCAGTATGCTATGGCAACACAATACTCGTCAAAACAAGTTCATTACGAAGATTCATTAGGTTGTTGAGTCTATTCAACACCTTCCTCGTCAAATCGCAGCCGTGTTGTTTCACGGCTTCACATGTGACAGAGTCAAGTGTGAAGGAAGAAGGTATCAAACAGGCAGTCACGACCACTCAAAGCTTCGTTTACAATCTCGATTGCGAGAACAGTCACACTCCCTCATCTTCCCCCAACGCTCGTCGAGATCTACAGACCCATCCTCCGCATCAAACTCTCGACTGCTTTCTGAGGAACCAAGGCGCCGCCGCTCCACTCAAGACACCAAGTCCTCTCAGGCATTGAAAAATTTGTACCAAATCACACCATCTAACGCACCGGGAACACCTCGCACGAACGATCACCACGCTGCTCCACTTGATCGACGCCAGCCCCTCTCTCTGCGGCTTGATCAGCGCTGCGCTCCGCTTCACTCCTTCCAAACCATATTACACATCAGTTCTGTCCAGTATCTTGCATCCCTTCGCCTCCAGATCTACAGGTATGAATTCTATCACGCTTTACCACTGGTCGTTTCACCATCTAACTGTCGCCAGAGAACATGTCACAGCTCCACGAACTCGCTGCTGTCAAAAAGCACCTTCTGAATCATTACAAGCAGCTGTGCGTAGCACATGGTACCGTGCCAACTGAGGCCCAGGTTCAAGAGATGAGACTCATCGTCAGCCCTGTCTGTCCAGAAAGCGTCGCAAATTGCTTTCACCCCGCTCTGCTGTATTTCGTGTCGAGGTCTGCTATCATCTTCAAAAAGGTACCCTGTTCTTAGGGTGGATTTATCAGTCAGCTGGCTCGAAGAAAGAGCTTTGGTTCCAGCACAATGGGACCAAAGGGTTGGTATACTCTCGCTGTGGAGCGCCCCAGGATCGCTGTGTCGCATCGACTCTGATAAAAATCTTTGTGACGGATGGCACCCATCTCTCGAGGCGGTCTTCAAGCCTTGGCTGGCTGCGAGCGCTCACAGCCGTCGAACGCTGTACATGTATTTCGCTGCGACCATAAGCCTCATCAAAGCTAGTTCTCAGCATACATCATCTGGGGATCTCGCAACATCAGCTGCAGACCAGATGCCAGATACAGAGAGCATGTTCGCCGAAGCTGGAAGCAGATCTCTTACAAACAGAGACAACCGCAGAGAACGACTTCGCGCAAAGCGAGTCGTCGAAAGTGATCGCTCTAGTGACGATGACATGGATTCGGTAGCTTCCTCCAGAGCTTCAAGAATCATCAAGAAGACGAAACTTTTTGTATCGGCTGAAAAGACCCTGGCCGTCGACCTCACGAAATCTGAGTTCAAGAAAGACATCAAGCCCGAACCATTTGATGTTCCTAGTCCAGTTCCCGTCCGCCACCATGAGGTTCAACCGATCCCCCAAGCTGAACAACAAATCCAAGGACTGCGCGACAGGCTCCAAAGCAAGAAGATCAGCGAGATCCAAGACATGCTGGCCAAAGGACCTGGCCAACTTCCGGACTGGATCGAGAGCATCATGAGAGAGGAGATGGGCAAGAAGATAGCTCGCGATCTCGCAATGATCGGGAATCTGTTTTGATAGCAGTCGCTACTGTCACAGAATGCTCGGGATTGAAGTTTGTCGGAAAGAAGTTGCTGTTTTGGCGCATGGGGTTGCTCACCAAGTCCTAAAGTTGTTACAAAATCGTCAGACATTGAGGGTAGCTGAGAGGACAGGAACGATCAGGGGTGTGAAAGGAGGGTTTCAACTGCGAAAGAAGTGGAATATAGATAGTTCGGAGATAAGAAGAAAGTCAGCGCAGAACGATGTTGACCAAGAAGGGGCTCGATGAAGAACGAGGACACAACAAGACCAAATCAACCAGACACTAGAATTCATTATCAGTCGTTTTTGCAAACTCGTGAGTGTGACCCTCTAGAGAATATGAAGCGTATTACAGAAAACATGTGGTCAGTTGTCTATTCTTGATCAATCCTATATTTTCTTGTGCTTCTTATGTGCTACATATTGTCAAAGTATAGCCATAGAGGTAGACAATACCTCTGAGCACCAAATAATCCCCAAGAAGATATATCATTTTCGAACCAATCTCCATGGTTAGGATTATGCTCATCGTTGTTGTCTGTTAGCTGACGTCTCCTTTTGTGTACTGGTCTTCCGATCCGCAGCATCCATAGGTCTCCTCATCTAATGCTCACAGAAGCTGAACTCCTCCCCTTGATACATATTGTTGACATCCTTCACAAACGCCCTTCTCTCATCCATCAACTCCTCTCTCAAAGTCTTTGCTTCCTCGAGACTGATGGGGAAATCTCCCACTTCGGTCATGACCTGATGGCGCAACTCTGGGGATAGCTCGTCCAGTTTTCCTTCGAGTCCTTGCACAGCTTCAGCCCACCATTCGCGTTGCTGCGGCGGGACGTTGGCAGTGCTGACGACGCGGTGGAAGGGGTCTACCAGAAACAGAGCGAGGATCTTGCGGTGGCCGGGTTTTGTAGCATCGACGAGCTTGAAAGGCTGTACTTGATGTTGCAGCACATTCGGGAAAGCCAAAAGACGGCCCTCGTTAGTGGTCACTTGACCAATCTTCTGGATGCCTGGGCCATTGCGCTCAATGTCGAAGAGATAGCACACACCGCCGTTGTCGTCTTGCTGGTAGTCACGGGATGTTATCTCGTCGACTGAGCATTTGGTCCTGAAGGCGAGGTGAGAGTCTGTGATGTTTTCGTTGTCGTAGTAGTAGAGAGCTGTGGCGCAGATGTGCTCATTGAGTTTGCCCTCGATGTGCCAGCTTCCGCCCGAGTATTCGGGGTTCGAAGGTGTGAGGTGGATGTTGGCTAGTTTGACGATGACTTGAATGCCGTTTGCTGCGAAGTGCGAGCGAAGGCTTATGGGCTCGACTGCGTCTTTGTTCTTGTAGATGGAACGATCGTACTCGCGGGCATCGGGCTTGATGAGTACACGGTTGTCTCTTANCCTGCATTCATGGTTAGTTAGCATGATATTCTTGGGAAGGTCCGATAACGCAACGACTGTGGAGGGCAAATATACCCATTCGCTGATACCCATCCTAGGATAGCCCAAACGAACAAGAGTGTTTTGAATCTTCGTCGTGCTCCGTGATCTTCCTCGATACAAGGCAAGGGCTGCACTTACCCATTGTTCTGCAACTTCCCAATATTCATCATCATCTTCAGTCATACCTTCACGCACACTCTCTGGCGCCTCCTCACCCAGCGGAAACTCGTACTCTGTGCCCGTCATGGGTACGCGGAGTGTCTCGGTACGTTTGGTCGAGACGTACGATGAGAGCACAAGATCCCAGGCAGGAACAGACTTGGCGATGAACTTTTCAATGACCGGATAGATGGCCTTGTGATGTACTGGGTGAAGGTTGTTGATGTAACTTGTGATCTTGACGCCGTCTCCTTCGGTGAAGGCCACATTGCTCGGGAGCCATTGAAAGCGATTGGACCAATAATCGGTTTGGCCTTGTCCGTTGGTGGCTAGCCAATGTGTTTGCTGACCCAGTTTGCAGTCGTCATCGCTTGGTATTGGTACAATATCGCCCTTGCCAGAGTTCTGGATACAATCTTTCAGACCGATCGTGCCAGCGGGAAGAATCCTTGATCGGCCATAGATCAACGGGAAGAGCGAGGGGTGGACCAAATCAAGGACTTGTTCGTTGGATCCTGGGTGCCAGTCTTTGGCAATTGCCGGCACTTCTTCCAGAGGAGCTATAGCCTNTTTGAGTTCCTCTTTCAGTTCTCCAGAGATGATACTGTCCGACTTGACTACAGCCCACTCCGAGTCCAATACGGCGACTAAGTCGTCCTCTGTGTGTTGACCAGCCTTGTCCTGGAGTTCTGCGACACANNCTGTTTCCATCAGCAAACATTTAGTATATAGAGATACAAGTCATAAGCTTACATAGTCAAACATCTTTTCGGTAAAGCCTTGTCCCTCTTCAGTGACTGCTTCAGCCCGCCATTTGGCGATGATGGTGTCATCGAAGACTTTTCTTCTCCAGTCAGGCTTATCAGTGATAGCATTGACGACCTGCATCATGTTCCTCTCCCGCACGGTAAGTGGCTCAATGCCCCATTCCTGGAGTGCATTAGGCGTGCGATTGATTGTACTGCCCATTTCACCATGTGTGTGGCCAAACGTATCTTGCTCAAGCATATCATTGAGCGGCCTGCCAAATCCAGGCAAGAGGATTCTACCGTCTTCGGCCACGCGAGGTGTCAATTCATTGAGCTTCTCCTCGCTGATCCACCAGGCTCCATAATTTTCGGGCACTGCTGCTGGGGATTGGTTTTTGGCCTCCTGCACTGCGGCAGCATTCATCATGGAAGTTCGTGCCATTGTCGCTGAGCCGAATGATCTGGAGAAAGGAGTGGTGATGCTTTGCTGTAGACGACGTAGAGAAAGGGGGCGGACACGAACTTATGCATCCTTCCGTGTCTGTGCTTAAGAGAAGGACGCTCTGATTTTGGCTCGCTACACAGGCAGCAACCAGTCATGGCAGCCTCGGTCTTTTGAGTTATCTCCATCTGGCAGATTGTTTCCAGGCGACAAGGGGGTCTCGACTCGTGATGGACAGCGCGTCTTGAGGCTGAGGCAGCCGCGATGTGGGCGTCCCTGGTAAAGACGCCGCACAAGCCGAGCCTTCCGATTACATACGCCCCCTGTGACCCCTCATCTAAGCACAAGCTCTTTCGAGCGACATCATGCCATCCGACCGTATAGTACCTACGGTGCCATGATGGACTGAACAACAGCTCTGCGCTGGGTTTATTGTTTGCGACTCCGAATGCGTAAAGCGACGGACTTCTTTCACTGGTTGGTGTAGTATCGCTTTACACTCGACTCTCCATATGTCTCGAAAACATGCCGGTATAGTCAACCACCACCATGGATCACAAACTACCCTACATCTTTCAAGAAGACGCTCACTGGGCTGCCGAACCAGAAGAGATAGATATATACGCAAAACTCGTGGTAGCCTGTGCAGAAAACCATCTCAGTCCCCTGGCCGCAGCTCAAGAGATCACAGACATTTTGGCACGCGAGGCGTGGAAGAACAAGGCCGAGATCGACCTACACGACGAGGACAGACCATACAACACGAATACAGCATTAGTTGCTGTCTCGATAGGCAGTTGTGTGTCTTCATTTCCTCCACACAGTGTGGTGCACGAACGACTATTCAACATGATCAGGAGCTTTATAAAAGTGGAGAAGCGTTCGATACCGAACATTATGCTCGATCGCACTGGCAAGTTTCGGTATGGAGACCACGATGCACTGGAGGAGTCAAGGCCAACGGTGCTTTTATGGGAAAATTTGAGTCCTTTGTCATTCTCATCAAGCTGCGAGTGGCTGGCAGATGTCGGGGAGACTTGGACTGGAGTCGAGAAATGTGGAAGTCGGAATCAACAGCGGTGGCGGAATCTGTCGTACTTTTCTGCTAGATTAGCCATTGAGGGCATCGAGCATATGGGTTGGCGGAGTCCGCTACAACGACTGCTGCCAAAATATGGGATGCCGAATCAGAAGACGGTAGGATATTCTGGGTTTCTGGCTGGTCAGGTTCTCGCCGCGGCGCAGTGGTTCATACCCAAAGACCACGCGTTTTGGGTATGGCGGGCTTGTTGCAATTGTGAGAAGCTGTGCAAGTCCAGTCCTTGGCTAGCTAGCGGGCCTGGTTCGAGTGCTGATTCAAAGCGAAATATTCAAGAGGAGAAACAGGCCGATGAGAAATTCACGGCCAATAAGACTCTGAAAGAGCTCGCACAATCAGAAGGCTGGTTGTGGAATCTCGAGAATTGGAAGTCGTGGAAGGCAGCATTCACGGATATCGTAGGGAGAGTGGACGACGTAAGGGTTCATGGAATTGTTCGTAGAGACGCCTCCAAAGCGGTGAAGGTCATGGAAGAACTTGAGATATATGACGAAGCACATTCGTGCTTATTGGAGCCTGATTGAAGAACATTCGTCTGCGCGATGATGCTTCTTTTGGCCGCCTTACACATAGGAAAGACTCTGCTCGTCTACCATTGTGTATTGGAATTGAGCTGGCGATGCATCTACAACAAAGGTTACATCAAGACTTTCCGGCTACACATGCCAGAACGCGCTGGGCAGATCATTCTGTTAGCTGCCACAATCCTGTTGCACATATATATGATGACTTCGGTGTGAGCGATGTCGATCTTCGAGTCGTGTCCCTGAAACATCTTCAAGTGATTTCGAAAAATAGTCTAAGAATGTCAGAATTTGTCTGTGAGAGCCCACTGTCTTGGACAAGCGTCTCGACTGCTTCGACTGCATTGATATATCTCTGCACATCTGCTGGCTCGTTGATATTGTAGAACGTCCGACGGGACTGGTTCGCTAGATCATTCATCAGTGATGTCCAACTGGATGCAGACATTAAGTCAAGCGAAAGCTTACCAATTCTCGGATTCAGAGNATTTTGGAGAACACGACCCTTGAATGCTAAGAGAACCAAAGCTATATCGAGCGTCGTCATGCTTGGAAAGCACGACTCTGCCAGCTGGATTGCTCGTTGTATGTCTTGCTGTGATGTCGGACGTTTGAGATCCCACGCGGAGCGGAGTGCTCGGACACATTTGGTCCATTTTTCCCTCCCCTTCAGNNGGTCGTTGAACTCAGGATACAACTCGTATAACCCAGCATTGATGAGATCTTGTAGAGAGAACACGCAAGACCGGCCTTTGTGGTTCACTATCCCCTGAGACAAGTGCTCTCCATTGTAGTAGTCTGAATCTCTTCTAAGCCGAACCAGCTCTGAAAGCGGATCTTCTTTCCAAGACGTGTCCTGACACCTGTAGATCAGCTTCATATCTCGCATGAACTGTCCCTCTGGATATTTGCGCGTATCGACTGCGCAGATATGGATATCAGCTGGAGGCAATCTTTTCCGATGGGACCTCCAGATAGCGTATTGTATCATGAAGATCAGGGAGTTGCTCCAAGACATGAGATTGTCGGAGATTAAGCCATGGAAACAATTCTTCATGAGGTGATCATGAACCCTCACAGAGGCTTCTCTCCGTTCCAGGGAGAGGATATTGAGACGATCAGCTTCGTTGTCAGAGAGCAGACATGCCGTAGAGGCAACCACAGTATCATCGCTTTTCCCAGAGCTCAGCGAATCGAAGACTCGGAAACGATACTTCGAAGTATTGGTAGGTTCATCGAAGTCGGGAGTCCCTACAGGTACGAATAGCGTTGGGCCACCAGGACATCCTTGTAGTGCTTGCAACCAGAAACCGATCCAAGCTGCTTTGGAATTCTGCTTGTGCTCCGTCCTCTCTGAATTCATTCGTTCTTGTCGCATACGATACGCTTCGGCATAGCTTTCGTCGACCAGTAAGTTATTCTCGTGTTCGTAGTACTCAGCACTTGCTTAGTCAGGATCGTATGGTGATTCCAGGCTTGCTTCTTCCAATTCATCGAAGTAATGGTCATGGTTCAGAAGGCCGTCCCTGTCAAGCGTCTGGTTATAGCATTCTTCCAGGATTCTCAGGAGCTTTGGTTCATCCTCTTTGGCGCTGCTGAGTACACCTTGTATAATGGTCCTGACTTTGTGCTTGAAGTGCGATAGCAGACTAGAGACTACTGCTTTCGAGCTCCGCTAGCCGAGAGAGACAATATGAGCTGCTAAGCGATCCTCTGCAGCACGCGCCATCGACCTTATGATGGCTGTGAGTTTCGTGGCATTTCTAATCAGAGATTTCAGCATGGCGAGACTCTCCTCTATACACCCAATGGTGCTCGAAGTCTCCAAACATTGTTCAGCATCCTCGGATATCTCTTCGGCGACGCGTACCAGGGTTTTCTTTTCCAGAATTTCCTGTATCATATCTTGATTGGTGTTGTCCTCGACATATAACCTTCGCATCCTATCGATGGTGTTTCCAAGAGCTGCCATCGTACTTTCTGATTGATTTTGTGCCAGCTCGAAAATCTGGACCGGGAGGAACGCCGACCGACACTTTACAAGAGTGAGTATTCTAGGTGGTACGATTGTTTGTAACACATGACAGTGCCTCGGCTGCAGGCTGTGACTGGAATCTTGTCAATCGCGAAGCTTGCCGACGAGCCCTCACTTAGCATGCATGAGATTGATTTATTGCGTCGTCCACGAACCAATGGTGAGCAACAAATCAAATCGTCACGATGGTCAGTAACACCAATCGCTAATTTGAACTGTTATACAGAGATATTGGTACAGCCCTGCTACTGTCAATCATCATTATTTCTTACATATTCATATCACATACATGATCATATCACATTGGCTTGCCTAAACCTGTCATGACACATCTGATTGAACGTGCCCTTCTGGTCTTTCTCCTCCACTGGCTGCTTCACAGGACAGCTGGTGTTCCCATCCAGCAAGTTAATCCCAGGTGAGCAAAAGTCGCCATGACAATAACATATGTCATCGCCAAAATAGTGTATCTCTTGTGGCTTGAGCAGCAGAGTCGCCGCAAAAGATCGCACGGAAGCATCACCCCAGCGTTCGGAATAGAAACCGCCGAGTTTGTCCAGATGCTCCATCATTTGTCTATAATCCTCTCTGCGGAAGAAATCCAAGTCGGCGATTTCAAAATTGTTCCAGAAGTGGCAGAGATTCCACTCGTCGCCGTTGACATCACGGTAGGGCGCTAGACGCAATAACCAGCGGATTGGTAGGGGTGCCCATGAGGGACTTATCAGGGCGTTCCAGTATCGTGAGGGCTTTATATCCATGCGGTCTTTGTAGTCGCTGACCACTCTGTAAAGGCTGCGGACCGTGGACCCGACTTCTTGCAGTGCAATTGCGTAGGCGTAGCGTTTGTTTTCGCGCGACATGTATGCAAACGGGTCGAAGGTCATGGGGCAGGCGAAGGAGATGCCAGGTTCGATGCGCCAATACCATTTGTACGGTTGCATGGCAGGATGGTCGTAAAACTTCCTGAGCGAGTGTCAATCTTGGGGTGAGATAGTTTCTGTGGATACTCCTGACATTGAATAAAAACGACACATGTGGTGATAGCTTTCTTGTCCTGCGTGGATAATTCCTTTGTCTCCCTGCGCCTTGATGTGTGCTCGAGCAGCATCTTGATCGATATGATCGGGGTAACCCCACATCTCCGGAGAAATGGTGTCGAAGATGGCTTGTCCACTGACGATGCTCGACACCCCTTGCATAAACTCGTCGGTCCAGGGCTCGTTATTGAGAAAGACGACCGGATAGTGGTATCGATGATTGAATTGCGACTCAAAGGATACGAGGGACTCCATGGCTTCTTTGAGGTCGCTGTTCCTGGCAAGCATGAGTATGGTTGCATTTTGTCGAGCTACTGCGGCATCGTGGTCCAGCGAAAGTTCCTCCGCATGGCAACTCGAAAAGGGTGTTTTGTCGACATGGATCCGGGGCTGTTCTGTTGACCGACTTGTTGATAGGTGAAACCAGATCTCGAGCAAGAACACCAGGCATACCGCAAGGACGTATCGCTTCAAGGTGCCATTCCAAGAGGGTAATTTCATGACGGCGCATGTTCAAACAAAAGGAGAAAGTCAAGTTAGTGATGAAAGAAGGAGACAACCATCAAGCACAACGCCTCTGCTGCGGCCGCATGTACATCTTGGAAACAATATCGACGCATATGAAGGATTCCTTGGCCCGCGCTAGTCTTCGTACATTGTTCTAAAAGCGGCCTCACAGCAGGAGTACGCGCCGCACAGCCCGAGTTGTCCAGCTCGCCATGTGGCCGTTTGTTACAGATGTGTACGTGCGTGTTGTACGGCTGTGGTCTGAAGCAAGAGCACAATTTGCCTCGATAGGTTTCTCCATCTTTGAGCGGTCGCGACTCCCTAGGAAGGAGGTCTGAAACAAGGAGGAAGGAGCAAACGAGAAGCGGCCTTGGCGGCTTGACCAGAGGCCGCTATGACCCAAAGAGGTAAATCTCGGATCCGATAAGATAACATCCGACGATCAAGTCCGAAGCTATTTCGAGCCAATAGGACTCGGCTGTGGTCTTTCTGCATTTGGCTATATCGCTGCCTGGAATCCTATGATGGTTCAAAACTGCTATCTACAAGGGACCAGACGGTATCCTGGTCCGCGCGTCTTTCTAGAGGAGCTCGTACTTGAAGCCAATAGAACTCGACTGTAGTACTTCTGCGTTTGACTCTCACGTGTAGGCTCAATTTCGTAGCATCAGTAGACAAGATGTAGTGATCTCGGACCTTCTCAAAGTTCTTCTGATGGAGCCCTTGGACTACAAGGATTTTTGATATCGACTCTTGTATACATTTGTCTCAACCACTGCTGACAGTCTCAACCTTGCTCAAAATAGCCTCTAGCAAAGATGCTTCCATCCAACGTACCATGGTTTGGCGCAAGTGCTCTGTACGTGACACTGGTCTCAACCTTTTTGTTGTATGGACATCACATGTTCTACCGTGATCCTGGCAGCATGTTCTTCGATAAATCTCGCGCCTTTGAACGAATGTATAGTGCATACAGACAAGCAGAGGTTGAAACGTTTCAGCAAGCAACATCACAAGGCATCACTGGCAACTTGCGAGCAAGAGATTCGGCCTCTATCTGTGCAAGCTTTCTCTCTGTCTTTGATGTTCGCCATCATGTCAACCTGCCACAGACGCTATGGAAAAGTCCGAAGAGTACTTGATCGCGACTCGATATCTGTTATCTGCGTCCTAGCCATACCAACTTTCGTGGTACTCCTCTTCCAAGCGGGAAAAGCTTCGATGCTTCCTCCACGAGATGGAGTTCGTAAAGAAGCTTTCGGCTGCTGCTCGCAAGGGCTGGTGTTTCCAAGGGATAAGATTCCCAGAATAACAGAGTATCTGGCGTCAAGGGAACACGGTCAGATTGATCTCCTGCTCAACGCCCTTGCAGTTGAAGACTCATTAGATCGCTTTGCTCTTTACCCAGTGCAGCTGCAGCATATCGATATGTATTCCTCATGAATGATCGATACAGTTATACTGATTAGTGTTGACAGGCCAGAGATCTGTACGCGGTACAACGGCACATGAGGCACAAGCTATATGGAGTATGGCATTCGAATATTTGAACCCCCAAGCACTCCAGTTGGTCAAAACCAGAAGTCTGCAAAGAATGTTCCCAGACGAGTGCGCTCCGGGATGATGTTCGACAAGTAGACTACTTCATCCTTCCTAGGAAGCTCGCTTCTTGGGCCGCCGGATGTTTCATCTTGGCGTCGATAGCGGCTCCTCAGAAAAGGGACGGGCATCAGCTCTGGTGGACTTTCTCGCTCATACACTAGAAATGCTCCAGATATCATCAGCGCACCGGAAGTGTCGAACGTCCTTGGTTGGATTATTTCCTGACTAGGCACCCGTGTTGATGAGCGCTATCAGCTTTGAACGTTGTGTTCTCGTGGACCAAGTCCCGCGATCACCGTTCTCAGGACATTTGTCATCTTTCGACCTTTCTGACCAAGAGTGTAGGGCTTCAAAGATCATGACCATTGCTGCTTGGATTCTACCTATTACATACAGTGTAGAATGGGATCTCCTTTTTCTGTAAGTTCGAAGGTCCAAGGGTGGCTTCGACGGCATTATGACTGCCTCCAATATTCTGGCGGTCGCGGGAATCTCAGGTGCCTTATATTCCAGTCTGAAGCCCAGCGTCCCGTTCTTCAATCTCGACTACTGTGCGCAGATAGATGACTAGATATGTTGTATTAAAGACACCTTGCAGATTGATATGTCCCAATGTAGAGATACCTCGTGGGCGGACGGACGACATAGGTCAGCTCTTATTTGCCCGAACAGCCGAAGCTGCCAACACGTCCGACAACGCTGAGATGCAGCACATGGCTAGACACGGCACAGAGCAAACCACCAAGGTGGGATTCAACAAAATTTTCGTGCTTTTGAGTCACAATGTTAATGATATAACAAACCACAGTCTTTGGTGTTGAGATAGATACGCGTCGCAAGGAATAGCGCATTCAGCACTGAAAACATCTTTCTGCCTCAGGCACTCAGCCCGACACAGAAATGGAAGCCCAATCACGAGAAAAATCACCAGTCAGAGCATCCGCGGAAACTTCAACAACGGATGCAACAGGATCAAAAGATGAAGCTCTAGCACTCGCCGGCGAAACAGCTCGAGCAATCGACCCAGCCGTCGAACGTCGCGTCCTTAGGAAGATCGACCTTTTTCTCATGCCAGCTATGGTCATCGGCTATGGACTCGTATACTATGATAAAGCTATCTTGGGTAGTGCAGCACTGTTCGGGATGACAGCAGACCTTCACCTTACGGTTGTTGATCGCACGACCACCCCACCAACAACCAGTACAAACCGCTTGAGCTGGGCAACTTCACTATTCTACTTCGGAATGCTTGCTGGCTTGTACCCGATGAGTTTTGCCTTACAAAAGTTCAACATCGGCAGGATTCTTGGTCCCATAGTGGTACTTTGGGGCGGCATCTGCATGTTGACTGCCGCCGTGCAAGATTGGCGTGGTCTGTTTGTGCAAAGATTCGCTTTGGGTTTCGTGGAAAGCATCATTCCTACTGGATTCTCATGCATAGTGTCCAGCTACTATACCCAGCGCGAGCAGACTTTCCGCCAGGCCTGGTGGTTCTCTGGCACAGGTCTCTTCACGATTATTGGAAGTGCGTTGAACTATGGCTTTGGCCAAATTACTGGAGGTGACTTGAGGCGCTGGCAGTATATCTATCTGCTTGCCGGTGCACTAACGATCGTCTTTGGTGGTTGGTGCTTCTTGGTCCCGAACTCGCCGGTTAGCGCTTGGTTCTTGAATGCTGAAGAGCGGATTGTTGCTGTCGAAAGACTTCGCAAAGGTCAGACTGGCGTGAGATGCAAGGAGATCAAGATGTATCAGATCAGAGAAGCTCTGCTGGACGTCAAGGTGTACCTTGTCTTCATCATGATGGGGTGTGCGTACACAGTCAATGGCGCAGTGGCTGGCTTTGGACCATTGATTGTCAGCACTTTTGGCTGGAACACTCTTCAGTCCATCTTGCTCCAATTTCCTGTCGGCGGCATCAGTTGGTTGGGCATCTTACTTGCTGGCTTCATCCCACTCTATGTTCGCAACGTCAGAATCATCATCCTGATTGTCTGCTGTCTACCGGTCTTGGTTGGTTGCGCCCTCATCTGGAATTCAGACTGGACACATCACGCTGCAGCCCCAGTGGTAGGCTACTCCATCATCGGATTCTTTGGTCCTGTCGTTTCCCTCATCATCGCTTTGGGCATGTCGAATGTGGCAGGCGCGACCAAGAAGAGTTTCATGTCTGCTGCCATCTTTGTTGCTTATTGTGTCGGCAATATTGTTGGTCCGCAGCTTATAAAGAGCGAGACTCGCCGCGAACACTATCCCGAGCTTTGGACTGGATTGATCATCTTTTACTGCATCACTATCGCCGCTTCTTTGGCCCTGTACTATGTTATGTGGCGCGAGAACAAACGAAGAGATGGACTCAATCTGAACGAAGAAGACGCTGATCGACTTGCGTTCAAAGACCTCACGGATAAGGAGAACCTCCATTTCCGATATGTATTGTGAGTGTTCAATGCATTTCCTGAGCCGGCGGTCGTAAGGAATCGTGATCAAGATGCATATTGCGTCGTCTACATCTATGTATGTAGGTCCAAAAGTTCCAATGGTGTCTCCTTCTTCCAACAAGTTTCTTCAAGTCATAAGGTCTTTGAGCTTTCACTCGTCGTTGCAAAGGACGTAGCGGTAACGAGCCTTACCAGCATCCATGTCAACGATGGCTGCGTTTGCGTCCTTCATGGGACGCTTTTGGATCCAAGGGTGGATCTTCTGATCAGCTGCCAACTTCAACATCTCGTTGATCTCGTCGGGGCTACCGATAGCGCTACCGCCAACCTTGACGCCGTTTCCAATAAGAGTGAAGGCGTTGATGTTGGGAAGCTCACCACCGTCTGGTGCTCCAACTTGGATGAATGTTCCCTTGGTCTTGAGCATGCCGACGTAACCCTCGAGAGGCATCTTTCCGCTGGAGACAGTGCAGACGATCAGGTCGAGTGTGCGGCGGTTGGTCTGTTGCCAGTCCTTGTCATCGTCGGTAGCGACGTATCTGTCGGCACCGAGCTTGATAACTTCGTCCTTCTTGCTTGCCTTGCGAGAGATGCCGACAACCTCATCGGCTCCAAGAGCCTTCGCGAAGAGGACACCGAAGTGGCCGAGACCACCAACACCAACGATACCGANCCTGTTGAGGGTTAGAACAATTCCGCAGGATCTGCAAAATCTCCCAAAACTCACCTTCTTGCCAGGTCCAGCTCCATAGTTCTTCAATGGCGAGTAGACGGTGACACCACCACAAAGCATGGGAGCAGCCTCGGCACTGTCGAGACCTTCGGGTATGTTGAAGACGAAGTTGCCAGGGTGACGAGCATAGGTAGCGTAACCACCGTAAGACTTGCCGCTGCCATCCTTGTACTTGTCGCCGTATGTGTTGGTTGTGTTCACGCAGTGGTTCTGATCACCATTCTTGCAGTCGTCGCACTTGCCGCAGCTGTTCGATTGGGCGCCGACACCAACNNTATGAAACGGTCAGTATTGTTTTGATTAATTGGAATCTAGAGCAAGCGTACCTCTGTCACCAACCTTGACGTGCTTGACATTGCTTCCGACCTTGACAGCCTTGCCGACGATTTCGTGGCCAACACAGCAAGCTAGGAAATAGTTAGCCAGTCTGCAAAACGTCGTACAGCCAGTGACGACTTACGNGTAAGGTGTCTCGCCCCAGCCACTCTTCAGCATGTGAAGGTCAGAACCGCAGATACCACAATGGGAAACCTTGATGTCGACGTCGTCNNATCGCCTTGATGAAGAGTCAGCTTATACCACATTGTTCCAGCCTCAGAACAACTCACTCCACTTCTTGGGCTCAAATTCACCCCACTTCATGTTGCCCTTGACGGAGCTAGGGTCATGGCCGAGCCAACCCTCGAACTTGTAGTCGGTACCAGACATTGTGTTAATGGGTTTGGTGTATGTGTGTTTGTCGTGATGAAAACGTGTCAATTGGACAAAAAGAGGCTATGTTGAGCATAGGGGTAGCACCTTGTTCTTGTCTTATAAATCCACGGCCCAACAGCTTCAAACTGGTGATCTCATCGGCGAGCATAAATCTAGAGCTTCTGGCCGGACATAGTAGTATGCCCGTCTGTTTAGCCACGGAACGCTGCGGAGTATGTCACCGCGACTCTTGTTTTGTCACATACTTCCTTGTAAAGGTAGGTCATGTTGCTTGGATCCGGAGTTAAGAACTGTCTTCATCAAATCATGATGATAAGGTGCCCTTATCGTCAACGGCGATGACGTAACGAATGCCAGACGTCCTGACCGCTGTTCGTCGGCCGAAAACCGTGTCAAATGCTTCAACAAGACAAGTTGCATCTCTTCTGGTCTCCTCGGCCGAACTCCAGAGGTCGAAAAAGAAACAGCTGGACATGCTGCGGAAAGCGCCAGTGCAGAGGTGGAACGGGAAGCTGAATGTTCTAAGCTTCGGAATATAGCTTCTAGCCACTAGCAAACAGTGAACAATACGATATTTGGGTTGAGATGACCCGGAAGAAAAGAGCCACACATCATCTTCTACCAAGGCTGTCGCTTCCGTACATCCTTGAGACATTCTAGTACCTATGGATACTGAAGCGCACGGAACGACTGTCGACTCGCAAGCTGGACATGGAACCGGGTGACTCTGCCAGCATACATTCTATCGTTTTTCGACCAAAACATGGAAAATTAGGGACGACTGTCTGCCTAATAGGCATAGCTAGACAAAATTATCAGCATCCTATGGGGCTTCCTAGGACTTTTTCTCTACCATTCGGTTTACTACGGTGCTAGCAATTGATGAGACTGCATCGATTCCAGCTTTAACTCCGAATTCCAGTCCACTTTTTCGACAATTGGCAATTAACACAAAGTGACCAAACCTTTTTGTTATACTGGTACCATTGACAGTGCTACTAACACCGCTACAGACTCATGAGTGTCCGACCATCCGACCCAAGTATCCCGACCTGAGTCACCACGGAGGGAAGTACTGGTTACGAGTATTCGAAAATGGATCTCTTGTCATTGGACTGTTTACGAGTTGTGCTGTCAAGTCCATGAACCACAGTGTTTTGTCCGCACGCCCTTGGCTTGCTGTTTGATTGCTCTGATGGAAGTTGACCTCTAAAGCAAGATGATCATCCTCATATCAGCCACCCTGCCAAGATCCCCCACCCGAGGCAGCAACGTAAGGTTTCTACAAAGCCACCCATTTCCCCTCACTCTGCCAGCTGCTTGTATCAACACTTCGACTCACAGTCTTCCATTGAACCTCGTCGCGTCTTCTCTACTCATATCAAAATGGCTGCAGTACAATCGCTCCTCAAACCAGTCTTTGCCCTCGTCGGCTGGACCTTTGCAATGGAAGGCTGGATGTATGCCACCCGTCTCCCAGCTATGACCCAATACAAAGTCAAGACCGACCCAAGCTTCTCCAAGGAGAAACTGAACAACCAGATCCCACCTCATGTGAGATGGAAGGGTAAATGCTCTCTACCTCAGCTCGAGAAAGAAAGAATGCTAATTCGCAATATTACAGCTGACAACTATGACCATCTCCATGAAGCACCCACGCGATTCTATGCCGTGGCATTGGGACTGGCCCTTTACGCTAGCACTTCGCCTGCTGCGCTGTCTACAGGCTTCATGGCTACAGAGGCAAACTTGGCTTGGGGCTATGTGGCGCTGAGAGTGGCGCATAGTATTGTGCAGGCGAGCAGCAATCCCATCATGGTGAGATTTGGACTGTTTGCTGCCAGTGAGGTTACCATGTTGGGTTTGTTGCTCAAGGGTTTCAGTGCTGTGTATGCGGCCAAGGGTGTCGGAAGTTTGATTTGAGGGTTGTGAGGTCAGCGAAGTATAATGATGTTTGGAGGTGTTCCTGCTCTGCTCTGTTTTGTATCGTTATTGTCGCCAGACATGTTCAATCTCAGCAAGACACAACACAGCAACGACCATCTATATTACACAAGTCAGCAATACAGACTCCCAATACCTTCCAATCATCAACCCCAAAAGAGACAAAGAAAGAAGACTTACAAAACTAACATCCACCCCAGCCTCAACATGTGCCTTCCACACCGTCCTATCCACCCCCTTCTCCAGCCCACGCACATCATTAACTTCCGTATTCAAAATCAACCCCAACTCTTTGCCCTGCCACCTCACACTCGTAGTCAATGCACCTCTATCCCTAGGCCTAATCTCAATCGTATTCCCCACATCATCTGCAGGCCCTTCTCCATGAATCACAGCATCCAACACACTTCTATTTCTTGCTTCCATGCCTTTAACATGTTTGAGTGAGCAGATACGCTTTCCGGCAGAGTCTTCAACACTCCAGTCATTTTTCATGGCGTAGCCTTTGTGCCGGAGGTCGAAGAGTTTTTCGCCGGTGGGGTGAGNCAGGGTGCGGCGCCAGGAGAATGAGGTTGCGCCGGCGGAGGTGACGGAAAAGAGAGGGGTGGAGGTGGTAGAGTCGATGATGTCTACGCTCTTAAAGGTGCGGTCGTGGCAGTAGATTGTTATGTCGCAGGGAGTATCGCGCGAGAAACCTGGGAGGAGGGTTGGTGGGTTTGTGGGAGAAGGGTCTGCGAAGGGATCCATATTGAACTCGACAGCGAGGTTTACTGAGATTTCCAAGCAGGTAAGTCGATGTTGAAGTTCTGGTGGGAAACTGATAGGATTGGTGATCAAGATGCAGCGGCGCTAAACATCTTCTTATACCATCATTCACTGTATCCACTACGAGTCAGTGATCATGGCTGTTTTGCCGATCGAATGTTGACATGAATCCTTCCTTCACTTCATCGTTCCTTCTTGACTGTTTTCGGTATACAGATCGACATCTTTACCCCACATATTTGCATCAGCCACACCGTCATTCTAAACAATATCGGATAAACTCGATCAGTACGGACGTAACGAGCATACAGTACATCTATAATCAATTGGGATAAGAAGGCAGTTCAAAAGTTGTATAAACCACATTGTTTCTGTGCAAAATCGTGATGGCCTGGAAATGAGATTCACCGTGCATCTGAACGTTGTCTCCTATGGCTCCAAGGCAAAGCTTCATGTGCTGGGATCTATGGCGGAGAGGTTTGGCTGTATCCCGGAGACCTTGGAGAGTTGTAAGCATCAACAGAAAGGCTCTCCGCAGGGGGAGAGGTTAGCGAAGCAGGCGATTAGACAGGCGACTCCAGTGACCTAGTCCCATCCCCCTTCTTCCTCCCAATCAAATGCTCAAAGATTCTTCCCAGCTCAGAGGCAGATTTCTTGGGATACCTCGTCTTCTCACGACTCTCAAAATCAACCCAATGACTACCGAAACGATCCATGAATCCAGCAGCCCATTCCCAATTATCTGTGAACGTCCATGCAAAGTAACTTCTGATGTCTACACCATTGCGAACCGCTTCAGCTACAGCACCAATATATCCCTCAAAGAAGTCTTGACGGAACGTGTCGTCGAGTGGGATTGCAAGCCAATGAGCATCAGTAGGATCCCAAGTATCTTCGCCTTTTGCAGTAGTGCCATTTTCAGTAACGTAGATGGGAGTGTGGTAGCGATCCCAGATCCAATGCAGCAAAGCCAGAAACCCAGCAGGATTGCTTCGTAGCCATGCAGTTGCACTTTCTGCACCACGAGAGACGCCAGCTTTGTTGGTATCGTGAGAAGTAATGTTGCCTTTGTGGTCGTTGATGTCTGCTGGCTCATCGCGGTGGCGCACAANAAATGTGGTGTAACTATTCATGCCATAAAAATCGGAAGAACCGCGCACCAGTGACTTCTCTTCGGGTGTAAAGTGTGGAAGGCGGTCGCCGAGTTGCTCTCGCATGCAAGCTGGGTAGTCGCCAGATCCATAGACAGGATCGGCAAACCAGCCGATTTCAAACTCTAGGGCTCGCTCGGCGGCTGCGACATCCTTGGGGTCATTCTTGTCCCAGGGTGCGCTGTAGTTGCCATGAAGAGTGATACCAATAACACCTTNTTGGGTGGGCTTGAACTCTTCGCGGTATATGTTTACTGCGTGAGCATGGCTGACTAGCTCAGTGTGAGCAACAATGAAAGGCTCGGTGCTGCTGTCTCCAGGATCGTTGCGATCGGGTAGGGAAGAGCGACCAGGTGCATGAACGCCTGCAGCATAGCCGGCAAGCGTATAGACGCCAGGCTCGTTGTAGGTGATCCAATGTTTGACGCGATCACCCAAGGCAGCGAAGCATACTCGGGCGTAGCGTTCAAAGTCTTGCGTGTAACGAGCTTGGTCGAGCATACCACCATAGCGATCTTCGAGTGCCTGAGGCGTATCCCAGTGAAACAGAGTGACGAAAGGAGTGATGCCGTTGTCCAGAAGCTCATCGACAAGATTGCTGTAGTATCCAAGGCCAGCTTCGTTTACAGGGTCGTCTTTGCCACCTAGAGGAATGATTCGACTCCAAGCAAGACTAAAGCGGTAGGAATTGACGCCCAACTTTTTGAGTAGTTGAACATCTCCTTTGTAGAGATCATAGGCACGAGTTGCATCGGCAGGGGTGCTGCCATCAATGATCTTGCCGGGAATACGTGAGAACTTGTCCCAGATGGACTCGCCCTTGCCATCGGCATTCCATGCTCCTTCGACTTGGGCAGCAGCTGTTGCAAATCCCCAGTGGAAGTCTGGACGGAGTACCGAAGCGTTTTCTGACGAAGAAGCATTTGGTGGATTCTCCATGGCGGCATAATATTCAAGCCCTACCAGGTTGTCATGGGAGGACATGATGCAGGGCGTGAGTTAAGGAGGGTTTGTCAGTAATTCGAGAGGACAGCACGAAGGTACTGTATTAGTGGCTATATATCAGAAGTCGTCGAGAATAAGGCTGAGAAGGGTCGGTCGAAGATTGTCCGAAAGTGCGGAACGACATGCATGAAGGATTGGTGTTACGGTACGCGATATGCTCGTACGGATATACGGGCCGAAGTCCCGATGCTTGAGCTTTGCCTTGAATTGAGGCAGATGGTAGTGGAGAAAACTTCAAGGTATCAGATAAATATGTACAGACCATTCGCTTAGTTAAAAACATGTAGGGAATCAAAAAGACAAGTCGTAAGTCGTGTGAAGGTTAATTGTGGATGCATCGAGACCAACCTGCAGTGAGAGTTAGTACAGTTGCACCGAGAAAGAGAAAGATAGATGGACGTACCAGGCAAGCCGCATCCAAAGCCGACCAACAGGTAAACCAGGAAGATAATCACGAGAACAAGCAGAGCCATCAACTTGACGTTCTTCCACCACATTCTCCTCTTGAGGCCTCTGCTTCGGACGCGGAAGTCGTGAGCAGAGCCACCGAGACGATCGGTCTTGTCAACCAACAAATCAATTCTCTCGCCTCTTTCCAGAACCTGCTCAATGTTCTTGCTCATAATATCTCTGACGTTGTCGATCTCGGCTTGGACGTTCTTGAAAGCATCATCCTGACCAGCTTTTGTGGTTCCGTACTCGACCATCAGCTTCTTGAGATCCGAGTTGAAGCTGGCAGCACCGTAGGAAGGAAGGGAAGCAAAGTCGGCGTTGGGGTGTTGGCTCAGGAAGCGCTTCTTGATCTCGACGAGGTAGCCAAAGGGAATGCGACGTCCTAGGTCTTGCTTGGCGATGACGAGGTAGGTGAGGCCAGGCGCATTACCGGGAGAAGCTGGAGCGGCGTCGGCAATGTAATGGATGTGGTTTGCGCCATGGGTGTAGGTCAACTTCTGGGCGGACGAGTGATCGATTTTTGGGAGGATCAGAGAAGCCAGTGAAGAGGTTGCCGAGGCGGCGGATGTGGTGTGCTCGGTGAGGATTGTGTTGTGGTAGGCGATGCACGAGTATAGCAAGGGTGTTGCCGTGCTGCTTGAGGATGCCATCTTGAACGTGCGATCGTTGTGTCGAGAGGAAACAAGCAGTTGGTTCGAGAGCGACTTCGACACCGCCCACGACCGCCCAGACCTGGAACGCCTGTTGCATCATTCCCGTGCCAACATCACGTGCGATCATCTCTCCGCAATCTCTCCTCCTTAGGTTGCCAAGGCTGCCACAACCTTACGTGCGTAGGAAGCGGATAGGTAGTAGTAATTCGGATGTCTCGGCTTTGCTGTCGCATTTTCCCTCGGTCTATTCTGAGATTGTTGCTCACTCGACTTTGGGACTTCCAGGGTTAATCTTTTCTGTATGGGTCTCAGTGTAGTATCCCCCTGCTGCCAGCACCCTTTCTTGGTATTCGATGATAACCTCATGACCTAATATCACTCTCCAAAGCCTATCTACTCTTTCACTCATACGCCAACACCTTGGGACTTGCCACAATAACCTTGACTTGGAGGCATCGTTATTCTCAAAGTCGAGATCATTCAGATCTTCCTGTTCTCCAGCTCTGATATAGAAAAATTGGAAATAAAGGTCATAGGGATAAGGTATCTCGGAGCCAGCGGCGAAGAATTTCAAGGCCGGCATCCGAGTAGCGGCCCTTGCCATGGAGTGTAGTAAAATTTCCATCTTTGGAGAGGGCCAGGTGCGGAACCTGTGTGTAGTATCGTAGATTCGTCCACGCTCTTCTTCAGAACCAGAATCCGGGGAGCTGAGCACAGAGTCATCAGAGAAGTTGGCAGTCCGAGCTAGAGCTTCCTGCTCTGCGAATAATCGTTCGGGGTTGATGGCATGCTCTCCCAGTCCGGGTTGAACGGNAGATCGCTCATCATCATCACCATCATCATCTGGTAGGACGTAGGGGTTTTGCTCGAAGTACCAGCCGCCATCTGCCGCCATGCAGTTGATAGATACTCGCAAGATGGTCAGACTAGGCCAGTAATGTAGGGAGGTGCCGACCTCAGACGGCCAAAATAGGGCTGGGGATATGACTGCTTCGTGGACATCCAGAACAGACAAGCTTTCAAGTTGCGAGAAACTGTGAAGAGCTTGAATGAATTCATCCGAGGCCGAGCCGGGAAGCAGGAGACTGGGTGTCTCGATATCCTCGTTATCGGGAGTATTGGTGGATATAGTAAGCCTTGCTTCTCGTATTGACGAGTCCGCAAACGAACGTGCGTAAGTTTTCCGCGAACTCTAACGTATAAGTCAGCTGCTACTACTTCTCTGTATGGTTCTTANATACATACGGTACCGATCTCGCCGTCTGCGTACTGAATTCAAGGGCTCAGTATGCTCTTCTAATACCCAATCGAAGCTTTGCAGTCCAGGGAATCGAGACGCGATTACAGGCAAATTCCCGAGTTCGACCACGTTTCCTGAAATCTTGAAAGAGTTTATACGACGTACTTTGGGGGTTGTGTCTGGAACAAGCAATTTCACTCTCTCGTGTAGACGTACCTCATGATACCCCCAAATCTGGAAATGGATGCCACGATCGCGTGTCGGGTCGTAGGGCCAAGACTTCAAAGTGCTGAGCGGAGCGTTGAGAGCTGCAGTGAATGCCTCGTTATTGCACTGTCTCTTAACAGCTCGCTCAGTTCTTGAGCAAGGCTGCCAATCTCTGAAATTTGTACGTTCAGGTACATTGATTACCAGGGTTAATTTGTGCAGACACGCACGCCGATGTGCGCCTGTTTGACCTCCGTAGATGTTGGCAAATGTCTGCAGTTCTTCATCTTCGACCATTGTGGTATTGAATACACGACTCTCAACGATATCTCGCCATTGTCTGGAGATGAGCGCGATTGGTGCGGATCTTGATCCTGTTGAAGTCTCGTGCTCTCCGTCTAACACCAAGTCGACAATCCTTGTTATCAGCTCCGGAGGTAATTGATCCATCGTGATTGCAGATATTCAGTACGAAAAGAACTGTAGTGGTTGACGTGGTGTTGTTGCCTTGTTCCGTATTCAGACTGAGGCGTCAGAGTCCTGCATCTAGCACAAGTGATCCAGGTCTTGCATCTCGATTTATGGACACTCATGTACGAGCCGACGCAGATAGGAAGAACACTGTATTTGCTTGTAAACACAGAACTGAAAAAAGAACTATGTAGTGACACGGAGAAAGGACAATGGCTTAGAATGATCAACACTCGCCTACGGCTCAACTGCGGGAGACTTCAGTCCCCGAAACGCGCCTGCCTCCACTTCAAGCTTTCGCACCAAGCGCATCCACCTCTTCTTCTAGCACAGCCCGTTGCTTCTTGGCCTTCTGAATATCCAAACTGATCTTGACTGGATTGACACCAGGTGTCTCGAACACAACATCAATCTCCTCCAAACTCAACCCATATGTTTCTGGAAAAACAAAATATGACGCGATGAGCTGCAGAGTGTTGTACACAACATAGACAGCCCAAATTTTGTATCCGAGCTTGTCGATACCAACTGCGATGCCGTAATTCTGGACACTGCCGGCTGCACCCTGGATGAAAGAGTAGACGCCCATACCTCGAGCTCGAAGTGCCAGGGACAAGATCTCGACTGGATACAGGTTGTGCATGGTCGCGATGAAAGTGGCCGAGCACACCTGGAAAGTATAAACCCAGAAGATCGTTAGACCTGCGGCCGCATGTGTTGGATTGACACTGTACTGCCATGAGGTTATCGTTGTCGCAGTCTGTAAGATGATCATACTGATCAGGCCGGCGAAGATCAGTGTTCGTCTGCGGAATTTGTCGATGATATAGGAGCCGAAGAGTGTAAAGACAAAATATATGGCTGTCGATCCGAGTTNGACTAGTCATTTGTCAGCGAAGACGATCTTGACTTGAAACTGGATGATCACTTACATTCCGAGCTGCTCCATTGGCTTCTTGATACCAACCATGAGCAAAGCCGGAGTAAGATAATAGGTGATGATACCACCTCCGTTCCACTGCTGGAAGACAGAGTACAAAGTCAGAACCAACATACGGAACCCAACGGCCTTGGTGAAGAAAACTCGATAGTCCCACCAAGCACCAGCAAGCGCCTTCTCGTTCTCGAGAGACTCGTCGATTTGGCTGATCACCACATTGACCAAAGGTTCATCAAGATTCCCACTTGTAGTATGGTACTTGGCGACAACATGCTTCGCAGCATCTCTCTTTCCTACTTTAACCAAGTACCTAGGACTTTCTGGAGTCAGAAGATAGATGGTAACGCAGACGGTCAGAGCAAGACCAGCTTGAAGAAGCAATGGGATGCGCCAGGAATAGTTGCCTTCGAGTGTGGTGAGTCCGATCATGGCACCAGTCATACCAAGAGAACCGACCTGGAAACATGCGCCAAAGACACCCACCAATCTGCCGCGCAGATGGATTGGCGAAATCTCAGCCATGTATTGGCTGGAACTCATGAGAGCTGTACCGAAACCCATGAAGAACCNTTTGGGACACGTCAGCATGGTCTACATCATCCAATCTGCGGACGATTACCTTCCAGCCATGAACATCTCGGTGTTCTTCGCCCAAGCCTGCAACAGCGCCGCGAAGATAACGATGACATTGCCAGCAAAGTTGACACCACGTCGACCAATCACGTCCGCGAGACCCAGGAACGGAGCACCGCAAACAGTACCAATGGTCATAAGAGCGTTAATAACACCGATTGTGGAACCACTGTACCCGAAGCCGAAGTAAGTGTGCAGAGCTGGTAGAGCGTTGATACCTCCAATGACTGCCCAGTCAACACCATAACCAGCTTGGTTGCAACCTTGGACGAATAGAATCATGGCAAGTCTCCACCCGGTCCGGGACTTGAGGGTCAGAGATTCTCTTGAGAGTTTGTGGACATCTTCTTCTGTGAGCCGTGTTATGACCACTTCTTCAGTGTATTCGGTTGCTTGTTTGAGGTTGTCAAGATCCCCGAGCTCGTGGACTTCTTCGCCTGCGTTACCCATTCTGATTCACTGGTTTGCGGATACGGAATAAATCATATGTCTTCGACGCGCACGAGATAGAGGATGTGGAGGGGCACAGAGCAAGATCATATCTTTCTCGTCTGGAGCTGTTGTATGCCCACACTCTCGATCCTGCATTTTGCCCTAAGTCTCTAGTCATGGGACTCATGTTCAGAAGCGAGTGTGCCTGTTCTGCTGTTGGTTAGGGCAGGAGCTAAGGTGGTTCCTGCTTGGTGCTTCATCAGCAGCCAAACAGCCGACATACAGCACGATACGACGGCATAATGATTCTCCACGCGCGTATAGGCAGATCTAGCCCTGGATGACCGTCAAACGAATGGCGAACACGAGGTATGCATGTACTGCTCGCATATCAACAGCCTGAATGGCATATCTGTGTGCGATCAGCTTAGGGCATTGTTCAAGCACGGAAGAGATATGCCACCCCTTGCTAATAGTCGCAGAGCCTGTTCAATTTCATCCACTAGATTCATCTTCGTCGAGGCACAGGATGCAACTCGTCGGAGTTACTCCGTAGGATCGACAAAACCTGACCCCGCGTTTTCAATTCCACGGGGACCCCGCCAGATCGACCAACCACACCACCTTAGTCCACGAACTCCTCTTACCCCTCATCTGCTGCAGACCTTCGTACTCACGCGAAAATGTACACCGAGACATGTTTCTTGACCCAACATCCCTCTCGGCGAGCCAGATCTGGATTCGAGAAATATGGCAAAATCTTCGAAACTCTGGTACGACAAACCTGCTAGCGAATGGAACGAAGCTTTACCCATCGGGAATGGTAGACTGGGTTGTATGATTCATGGTCGTACCGCGACCGAACTACTCTGTCTCAATGAAGATTCAGTATGGTATGGGGGACCACAGGATCGAGTGCCACAAGACGCATCGCAGAACCTTCAAAAGTTGAGAGAGCTCGTAAGAGAGGGTCAACATGCTGATGCTGAGAAGCTTGTCGATCGGGCTTTCGGTGCTTCACCTAGCGGCCAAAGACATTATGAGCCATTAGGAAATGTCAAAGTCGAATTCGGGCATGATGCTGACAAAGTGATGGATTATCGCAGAGAGCTTGAGCTGACTACTGCTATTCACACGACGGATTATAGCCATGAAGGTGCCAAAGTCAAGGTGGAGATGCTGGCAAGTGCGATTGACCAAGTCATTGCCATACGTATTCAAAGCAGCAGCAATTTCGAGTTTGCCGTCAGGCTGACAAGAGAGAGCGAGATTGAATACGAAAGTCACGAATACCTGGACTCTGTGAGAACAACTGACAATCAAATTATCATGCTCGCAACCCCAGGAGGCTATCAAAGCGTCAGGGCTTGTTGTGCTCTTGGTATCAGAACGGACCATGAAGGCACCGTGGAAGCTCAAGGTGGTTCGCTGGTCGTCACTGCCAAAGAAGCGCTGGTTGTGATTGCCGCGAGAACCAGCTTCCGCCACGAAGATTTCGAAGCTGTAGCAGTTGGAGACGTCTCTGCAGCACTTGAACGTGGAGCAGAAAAGATCTGGGACCATCACGTTCAACACTATCAATCCTTTTACCATCAGACCCAACTCACACTGGGTCCACCTTCACCTCACGATGGACTTTCTACCGACCAAAGAATCAAGAAAGGCACAACGCCAGCTCTGGTAGCTCTATACACGAATTACTCTCGCTATCTTCTTCTGTCCAGCAGTCGACCGAGTAACGGCAACGATCGAACACTAGATCTGCCAGCCAACCTTCAGGGTATCTGGAATCCATCTTTCCACCCAGCTTGGGGTTCAAAGTTCACCCTCGATATCAACCTACAGATGAACTACTGGGGGTGCCTTCCATTATCTCTGGCTCCTTGTATGGAACCTCTCTTCTCTCTCCTCCACCGGCTTGCCCTCCCGGAGAATGGTGGTAGAGTTGCCAAGGAGATGTATGGTGCAAGAGGCTGGTGCTGTCACAACAATACGGATCTATGGGCTGATTGCTCACCCTGCGAACGCTGGCTACCTGCCACCCTCTGGCCGTTAGGAGGTGCTTGGTTGTCATCCTTCATCTGGGAGCACTATCTCTTCACCTGCTGTATCTCCACTCTTCGCAAGAACTTCCCAGTGCTTGAAGAAGCAGTGAAGTTCTGCCTGGATTGGCTTGTCTCGGAGACTTTTCCAGATGGCAAAGAGTACCGAGTTACAAATCCTAGTCTCTCGCCAGAGAACACTTTCATCGACGAATACACAGGAGAGAAAGGAGTATTCTGCAGAGGCAGCATGGCGGATCTCACAATCATCTCCTCGCTCTTTGAAGACTACCTTGAAGCTTGCAAGACTCTGCATCTCAAGCCTCATCTACTACGCGAAGTAGGCAAGGCAATGCTTGCACTCCCTCCACCTTCGATATGCAAAAAGACCGGCCGATTGCAAGAGTGGGGTATCGCCAATCACGCTGATGCCGAACCCGGTCACCGCCATATCTCGCATCTCCTTGGCGTATACCCTTTCACCTGTATAGATATGGATGCCTCACCTCAACTCTCCCGTGCCGCACTAAGATCACTCGAAATCAGGCTAGCTCATGGTGGCGGCCACACAGGCTGGAGTCGCTCACATCTGCTCTGTATTTTCAGTCGCCTTCGCATGCCAGATAAAGTTGCCGAGTCGTTTGCTGCTCTGCTCGATACGTCAACCTTGGCAAACCTCTTCTCTTCGCATCCGCCTTTTCAGATCGATGGAAACTTTGGCGCTGCAGCGGCAGTGGTCGAGTGCTTGGTGCAGAGTTTCGAGATCACCGGACAAGGGCAGAGGGTTTTAAGGATCCTGCCTTCTTGGCCTCAAGAGTGGGGTGATGGCGAGGTGAAAGGAGTCAGATGTCGAGGCGGCTGGAGCGTTGCGTTCAAGTGGAGGGATGGTATGGTTGATGGACCTGTTGAAGTCAAGAGTGTTGTTGAAGAAGACGGAAGCGCACATGGAGATGCGGGCAATGAGCACAGAAACAAGCATCGAAGTTCTGAAGAGAGGCGGGGTGTCGTGGTATTTCCCGATGGTGGGTTCATCACATTTGAGGGCACTGGTCCGCACTTTTGTCAGATTCAGTAAGTGCATTATGTCATAGCCTCCTGCCAGATCTCTATCTGGGTTCTAGATATGTGTACTTATCAACAACCACATCGAGACAAGACAAGACAAGTACGATTTACTGACATCCACATAGGGACTCCCCCGTATACCACTGATCTCACACAATAATGCTTGACGAGATATCTGGAGAAGCACAATATTTTACAAGGTTGACAACTCTCCATCCGGACTATCGTGTTAGAATCGCACTTAATTGATCTACCCTACGATGTGCTAAACAGTCTCTGTGGTATTCATCAAAACCCGGGTTTCCCCATGTGTCTGCACCACCCATCAGCTTTCTTTCTTTCATCCTATGACCCGCCATTCTCGAAAAATTGCCCTAGGTAAGTTCACATTAGGCACGAATACCAAAATCAAGGCCGAAGGGGCACCTTGAAAGTCTTCCAGTGCTGTAATTCATATGCTATTTTCACCTTAAGCACCTACGTTAGTATCCAATTCAAAGGTTAAATACTGCATTTGCATAGCTAAAGTCCAGAACAATCTATAAGAGACAAGATAATCACCGTCAAGTGTAGACAGCGTGTGACCCCTCAGAAAGCATAAGAAGAGGGTGATGATAAACCTGGTCGTCATCGTTGAGTTCCTGATTGCGAGTCACTCTTAGTCTTACTCTCAATTTTTTTGATTGTCAGTAAGCTTGAACGAACTGCAAAGTCCCGTGCTATGCTTGTTGTTAAGAACTTGTGAACTGTCTAGAAGAAGTGTCGTGATTGCACAGTCTTCGAGTGTTTCACCATCACAGGTAGCCTGCATGATGACTAGAGAGACGCCGCTCAATGTCAAGAGGATGTTCAGACCTAGCCACACGTAGATGCGCCATAGCAAGACACTGGCTCGCAGAGCATCTGTCGGTTTTGAACACCGAGTAGTCCTAAAGCTCTGGGAGTCGTTTTTGCCGTGAAATAGTCAGTCATGGCGCTCCAGGTTGCTCCATTGATGTCATAACAGGAAGTGGATCAAATATACTTTTGCCTTCAGAGGTACAGGTGTGACTAGAAGGGTCGCCGTGGTTGTAGTGTGAGCCAAGTCGGACGGCAGCATATTTGATGCCTGAGAAAACCGTCGCGGTTGGTAGCACTGACTCCGATGGTTTTGTCCATACGACGTCTTGAAGTAGTACTGCTGTGCCATCCAAGGTCTGCCAAATGGGATTGTTCGCAGAACTGTTACTTGTAATATTGAGGAAGCCAACGTCCTTATCCAAGATCACATCCTTGATCGCCTCTGGCAGTGTGGCCAGATCTGTAATCCAAGTTATGTCTTCGATCTGGAAGAAAGGAAGAGTCATGTTTTCGACGATTGTGCCTTTGGGATAATTTGCCAGGGTCGGGGCGATTCTGCGAGCTGCAAGCGGGCTGCCAAAAGTTTCGCTAACGTCGTATGTTCTGAGACTTGCTCTTCCCGCTGCACTTTTAACAAGTTTCGACCTCGTGTCGCTATAAGCGCCATACCAGATCCAAGGATCGCCTAGAGCTGCTTCATTGGTCCCGCATACGGTCGGGGTAGATATATATTGGGCCACCGGGATCCAGGATACAGCCCCAGACGCTATGAGGTTAGCGACCTGGGCCGGCCAGGTGAGAAGTAAGATGACAAAGACCGTCCATACCGTTGGAGTAGGTTTGCAGTGCCAGCCTCGAAGCGCATGCCATGTTGCGATGAAGCTGATATCAGCCAAGTTGATCTCGGCCTTTTCGAGCAGGATGAATATGCATCTCCATGCATACAAGGCCTGAATTACGCCAGCGATGAGTTTCGAGATCAGAAGGCACACTGAGATGATTGTTGTTACGTCAGACTGAGTCAGTGCGGTCTGTCGTCTAGTGCCAATGGCAAAGCTTCTGCCGTCCAGCCAGACCAGCATCGCAAAAGCGAGAACGATGGACCAGGTCATGTGCAAAGCGAGTAGATACCATTGGCGGATCCCTTGTCTCCACGATGTCTTTGGTGTACGTGGAGGTTGGCAGCGATGCTGCTGTGGATCTTGGACGTAGGAAAGTTCGTGGGATACTCCAAGACGGTCTGTAGAATCCATCGTTTAGTAGTTGCAATGGTGAATGAGTTGGCACTGCTGAGAACAATCCACCTCTTATATTCAGTCCACTGCCTCTAGTCAGGTCAAGGGTTAGTCTTGATGGCAGTGCAAAACATTAGAAGACGGAAGTAGCCCTGCGAACTCAAAGCATAGGATAGTTGCCTGGAATGGGGCCATGTACAGTACGTAGTCCTGAGGTTCAAGTTACAGCGCTGCATGCAGAGATAGTGAGATACAATCCAACATTGAGGGTCGCTTACTTCGGGCTCAACGCTGTTGCCAGACGTCTCTCTACCTGGAAGAGGTGACATGTAGGCAGGCGGTAGGCAGTACAAACTTCCTGAACCAGCTGTTGTCTGTCGGAGGACGTCCTTGTCAAGACTCTAAGGTTGCATGTGGCAGGCCCTCTAGATTTGTTTCCAAGTACGTCTATCATGCCATTCAGAGCTCAGCCACTTGAAGGATTGTCATGTAGGTACCTTCTTAGGGATAAAAATAGCAACCTCCTCGATCTGGACTTCACTAGGTGTTGGCACAGTTATGTGCTGTATCATGACTGACTTATTCTACGTGGAAATAAGGCGCTCCCTGTAATATCGATATCGTCTTCCGATCGCCTAAGACCTTCTGGCTGCATCGGTTCTTGAATGATGACGCGACTCGAAGAAGAGAGCCCACGGAAGCCGATGTAGGTCAGCACTAATCTTTTCAAGGCTGCACCAGAGCAAGTGTTTGACCCACGCCGAGGGCTGCCGTGTGGTAGTTGTCAAGCAGTACACCAAGCTCAAGCTAGCGCCATAGATGCCAATGCTGATCAGCCGCGCTCAGTGCATGACAGCTGGAAGATGATGTTCTCTTGTACCGTAACGGTAGCGCAGGCTGCACGACCCCACCATTGTGGGGTTTCTCTTCCTTCTTCTGGGGGCATTTCTTTTCTGCTTGATGTGTTCTCTTATTGTGATTTGGTTGTGACAGTTACCATGATATGAATCCATAAAGAAGCTGAGGTGGAGCTTGATCATAGGTTATCGCTCTCGTTCATGCACGAAATCTCAGGGTCCAGGGTTATTGTATCTTGGTTTACATCTCCAATCACATCACCATCATGGTATCCATCCAAGAAACAATGAGCATACACTGATATGCTCTATATCATACCGCTGTGATGATGATCGCACGACGCATCCTCGATGAAGCATTAGATCTATATAACATTCTACGGCATTAGCCTATCTCTTCAGGTGCGTCGCATCATCTCTGTCAATCTCGACTGTCGCCAGACAGATGGGGCATTACCTATAACATCTCTTAGCACCAATCTCTGTCTTCGTTGTTCGTCAAGTACCGGAGTTTTCACTCTCACCAGACACATCAAACACCCCTCATGTCGAAAAAACTCTTCCGTCCCCTTTTCTCAGCAACCAAACCACTCCGNACACCCTCAGGGATAAACGCAGGCGAAGGCGGTACAAAACCATCCCAAATGCTCACGCACACCGACCCACGCGCCGAACACAANAAACTGCTCAAAGGAGCCCGAAAGGATCCAGAACCATACGTACGTTACCTCTTTGCAATCACAGTCTCTGCGTATTTGACCTTGTCATAGGTACTCTACGCCATCACAGCAGCAAACTTTGCCCTCGCCGGCTGGTTCGGTGGCCGCCAATTAGCCCGCTACAAGATTGCCGATCGGGATGAGCGCGAGACTACAAAACTTCCTCACACAGAGCCATGGAAAGATGGTAGAAAAGGCAGTAGAGGAAAGTATCGGCATACTGATAGTACGAGTGTGTATGTGAGGATCAAGGATGTGCCTTCAGCGTTGAACTCGGTGATTGTGCCTGGGGTGGTTTTACCCTGGGTAAGTGATGGAAAAGGGAATTTGTGGGAGAGGGAACATCCTGATGAGGGATAGGGACTTCATGAGAGGTTTAACAAGTGGGGGAATGAGGAGTTTGATGAGTATTAAACCCGGTTTTTGCTCACCACAGACAACCCTTCTAGATCTAGGGAAGATCAGGATGCGATACCCTGCCAATATTTATCAACTAACATTAAAATTCCCACCTCCATCCCCCCCTCACCAGTCCAACACCTCCACCTTACTTCCAAAGGCCTTTATCGAATGAACCCACATCGTCTGGGCTTCAGCTCATGATCGATTTCCACATCTCCATACCATCTAAGCCTTTNNCACTCTCGTCCCCGTACTCTTCTTCATTCCAGTGTTTTTGCACATGGTTTGCTAGTCATTGCAACATCTCTTCTATTCCATTGTTCCCATAGCTTTTGTATGTATCTCTACCGATGCAGATTTGGAGATTTTCGAGGGCGAGAGAAGACAGAGGCTGCCACAAAGAGGTAAAGAGGTGAAGCCATGGTGTGTTGGAGAGATGTTTGTAGATTCTGAAGGTGAGGTTTAGTGTATGCAATTAAGTCGGAAGCGAAGAGAGGAAGGTGTAAAGTTCAGGGCAAGCGCCATCGATGACATTTAAAATTAGACTGTCAAGACTGTTGAGCTTTAGGTGTATGAGTAAGCCATTTGGCGACAAGTGGTCTCTTTCGTTATAGTAGGGCAGATTAGAAAGCGACAGGTGGGACAACCGAGGAAGATTGTTGATCATAGTAAACAAATCAACATGCTCTTGCTGCGAGAAAGCGACCTTGGTTTTGTGATCCGAGTGGGCGATCTTGAGTTCCAGGTGCTCCAGATGCTCCAGTTCATAGCCAAGTAGCAGCTGTTTATCCAAAACCAGCTTATCGATTTGAATCTTGTCGACCACAAGAGCAGATAACATAGNTCCGGCTTTTGACACAGCAGAGATGATATTGTTGGTCATACACGTCACCATATCGGTCTCTCTGTACTCCCAGTATGAAGAAGACTCGGAGTATGAACCATTGATCGGATGATAGCCAGTTATTTGCTTTACCCGCCGTGATCCAGGCACAATAGGGTCCTTGCCTCGCGCCGTCTTGGGCACTGCATGTATCTCCATACGCTCAACCTTCAAGTTTTGCAGCACAGCATCGAGCTTCTTGCCAAACATGCCTCCACGCACAAACGATACAGAGTCATTGACTGCCTTTCGTTCTGCCCAGTCTTCCGGAAATGGCAATTCGTCGTTTTCCAGGTAGCGTAGACGATAAGCCCAACTCTTGTTCAGCACGTTCCCTGTACAATGTGACCATCCNNCCTGGTGGAAGGTAGCGCATACAGACAGTTCCCGTATATAGTGACTAATACGCTGGCTCTTCGAAATCTCAGCAAGGATATCGAGGGCGTGGGACGTCGGCAACAGATACACAGATCCGAAACATAGTTTGCCGAAAGTGTCGAGAAGTAGAGTATCCATATATCTGCAGGTAGACCGTAGAGCTTTGATATCTTTCTTGTCTTCGATATGGGAAGCGATTTCCAAGGTAATCTCTAGAGGCAGATTAACGAGAGATGGTGCAGAAGCAACCGCTTCGATTTCCAGGGACGCGGCCTTTTGGATGCAAAGACCATTGTTCATGATCGCGGAGAGATAGCGTGAAGATTGTTAGAAAAAGACTAGCAACAAAGAGTGAAGTGTTGTGCTAGACAGGGAAACTGAGGGATCTATATATTGTGGAAGGATGCGTGCACGGTCCACTGATTTCATATTCGGACCCTCCCTAGTTAGGGATTACGACCATTCGTCATGAACGAGTACGCAGATACAACGAGCTTAGCAGGTTCTGATGGGACTGATGGAAAGAGAATGGATTTCAGTCTCAGCCTTATGCCGATGCTTAACCCTCACCATGTATACAGCGAGCAAAGAAGAGGAGAAGATAGAACATAGGAGATTGTGTGGAGAAGCATTGAAGAACAGTATCAAGAGCTCCTGCTTAGCTCCTTCCCTCTTCTTGAAACTTTGGAGAGGGCAAAAGCACTTACCATCTAGCTCCCTTGACCTCAAAGTGGCCTCCAAAGTCACCTCTGTTCCACCTTCCCACATCCCCACCACAAAGCCTCCACAACCTTTTCTCCAACTTCTCATTTCGCACCTGAATGTCAGACTTCCTGATTTTATCCTGTAAAACTTCCACTGGTGCAATGATCACACTTTTGTCCTCCTTCTCTGCAGATGGCAAAGCAATAAAAGAGGAACTCGGCGGAGACAGGGGGCGTTGCGGTGTAGTCTTTCTTGTGACTGGCGATAGCTTGCGAGGTTTCGCCAATCGAGGAGCAGGGATGGAAATAGGTGTTGATGCCTGTGGAACCACCATTTTTGGTTTTCGTCGTAGAGTGCGCGCTGCTTGGGTAGCTTGTGCAAGTTTCTTGTTTGCTGCAATCGCAGATCTGCGTTTTGGCAATTCGAATGAGGCTTCGATCTCAGAGGTGTCCGGCTCGGTATCGTTTGCAAGGTCGAAGGTGACATTGGGCTCCAGCAGAGACGAGGAGTCGAGGATAGTGGGTGTGGTTTGGGATTGTGATTGTGATGCGGTGAATTGTAGGCGTCTCGCTGCGCCTGTGCGGCTGCTTTCGGCTCTGCTGGGCTCCGGCCTAGAAGGTTGCTGGAAAAGGGTGTCGAAGTCTTTCTTCTGGGGACTCTTTCGTGGTGAGGGTGGGTATTCTATGCTCGCATTGCTCGCATCTCGGGCTTGCTTTTGAGGACTCTTCTTTGGTGAGGGTGGATATTCGGCTTCGGATTCTGTCATGTAGAGGTCTCGCAGTGGAGCTGGAGGTCCTTGTCGGCGAGGTGATAGTCGAGGAATTGGTGGCATGGCTGGTGATATCGTGAAACCATTACCTTGGTTCGTAGGTAGAATCTCAGACGAGTCATCCGGCATGATAGGTGTCGCGTGAGGCATAGGCAGACGAACCGCGCCAAAAACATCATCTCTAGCAGACTGACGCACGAAAGGACGTGATGTCGCAGGCGCTCGAGTAGGCGGAGGAGGTGGTGTGCCAGTCCTTGTCGTCTTCCTCCCACCTTCAACCGGAGTCTCGACCATTTCTCTCGGCAAAGGCGTCCCTCTCCTCCTCGTCCTACTTGCCTCTCCCATATTCAAAGCCGAATCCTTTCGTTCCAGTCCTTCACTCTCCTCACCCCTCCTCTGGGCTTCCAAAACAGCCTCCTTAAGATGTTTCGGCACTCCCGCCTGTAACCTCGTCATCATCCTCGCCCTTCTTTCAAACTGACTCCAGTCCCCTTGTTCCAGAAACATTCCCGCCTCAGCATTCAACGCACTGCTGGCATTGGGTTGAACCAACAAACAGCATATCGTCACCAAAACATCTCTCAACGTCAACTTTGCATCCCAATCCCGTTTCAGTGTTTCCACACAGACAGCTCCCGTCCCGTCATCGACGTTAGGATGGAAAATCTTGGTGCGAAAATATGCTTTGGGCGGTTCCTGAGGATATGTGGTAGGGATCGTGAGGTGAAGTTTGAAGACACCAGTTTCGTAAGGTGTGGCGCGCGGACCTGCTAGTAGTATATCCAGGGAAGTGAGCTCCGAGTCTGATGTCGAGGTCGGGTCAAAGAGATAATTCGGTGGTAATGGATTGTTGTGTAGAGCCGCATGGTCACCAGCCAATCGTCGCAGATTTCGCGAGTTCTATTTTCGCAATCGCCAACGAATCAGCCAATCATGTACAACAGTCCCATCAACATCGAGTGATTGTGTTTACCATGTTTTGAATGTTTTTGTCGCTGCTGATCTGAACTCCGATATCCCCGAAAGCTGCGGCACTCCCTCACTATCACGATACCGCAGAGAGGGATGCTCTAAGACTGGGAAGATAAATATCCTGGCTCGCAATCAATCTAGGTTTCTCGGTTTGGTTGTTTGAATGCTGCGTAAAACCTGCTGATGTGAGATTTGTTGTTGTTTGGTTCTGGGCTTGAGACGCGCGCTTGCGGAAGTCGCGGTCCGTTTCACCAATTTGCCCCATTTTTGGAAGTGCCAAGAGACATCTCTGAACAGTGAAGAGCGATATCAATGCATTTATTAAATCGTGTACAGTAAGTATACACCATGGATGGATGTACGTATCCATCGCCCGTCTTCAAGACGGGTTGTTCAACCTGTGAACCCAATACTCGGAAGACACCACTTCCTTTCTTCCACTCAGAACGCCTGTAAAAATTCCAGTAAAGTGGTTCCCTTGTCCTCGGATAGCGCCTAATCCCAATTCTTGCCTCGCCTTTCCCCGTAGGCTGCCCCGAGTCGATACTCTAGATTCACAAAAGTCGAAAACCGCAAAGACAAGTCGAATTTACTCGTCGTTTGCCTTGTCGGTCATGGGCTTCAGCTCAGCACCTTGACCACTCTGACCTCTCTTGCGACCGCTGCCAAAATGGAAGCCATGGTGACTTGATGTGGGCCTACTGTCCGGGCCATCGTCGTTGCTGTCTGTCAGGCGTGACAGAAAGCCGCGCTTCTTTGGCTTGGGGTCTTCGAGACCGACATCTTCGAAGCCTTCGTCTGCTGTTGGTAGAGGTCTGTTGAGAGCCAATGAGCTACGTGGGGGCTGGCGGTGGAATGATGAGTCGAGGGATTGGCGAGGACGACCCTCGGGTGGGATAATGGGCGAGCGAGCTGAAATGTCCTGGGGGATTCATGTTAGCATCTGCAACAGTGCTTCTGTCGGGCGTCGCGACATACGAAGGAGCGCCTGTATGAGTCGAAGGATTCNTCTAGAAATGTTGAATGGCTCTTCGCTGAGCATGGCTCGGTGGTTGGTAGATGAGTTGGTCGAGCTGTTTGACTTGGTCGACCAGAAGGTCTTGCGCTCGGTCGGAGAAGGCTGGGAAGGGTGCATCAGCAGGGGAACGGACGAGTAGGGAGAGGGACTGCATACAGGAAGGTAGACGCCGCTGTCGTTGATTTNCTACAAAGCATGTCAGTCGGAGGGTCGCAGGAAGGACGGCAGTGTGGGCGCATGCTAACCGCTCAACTTGTATTCGGCAGGCTCCTTGATCTCGATTGAACGCGGGGCAGAGACATTGCGACGGTCAGGTTGGGGTTCGACAGCACGCGCAACCTCTTCGGTGCGACGGAAGGGATTCCTGATGATGGGCATGATGTTGAGAAGTCGAGCAATATAGTGCGGGCGGAGAGCTGCGGCGGCCGTGCGGGGGAGAAATGTCACTGTCGGTAGTGGGTAGTCGATGCTGGGGAAGACAAGTCGATAGCGCTATGGTCGTTCAATTGGAAGAAGATGTCTGATTGAAGACGGGATGAAGTGGAAAGAAGATCAAGGTGACTCGACATGGTTGCGCCTTGGCTTGCTGCGGAGAAAGGCCGCTCGAATCATGATGCCGTTCACGCCCAAAACGAGTCCTTGATTGGCCGATACCCTGCCCGTTGACCGGCTGCTTCTACGCCCGAACCGCTTTTCCCTGCGAGCGCCGCAGACGTTGATGGCCAACAACCTTTCCGTTGTCGCAGTCAACACTTCCACCACCACAAGACTGACTTTGATGGCTTTTCTTCTGCGCGGTTTCAGATGGCTACGTCAATCTTTTTCCTCTTCTCCAGACTTGCCTCAAACAACTTTGTCCAGTCACCCCGCCGAGCAGCAACACCAGCACGCACCTTGCTTTGTTCTGTCACGCGTGAGCTGTCGCGACTATCACGCCTTTCTAAGCCTCGGCACACGAGCAGCCGTCAAACATGTTACATGACAGCCACATCCAGCCGTTCTCAAATCAAATCTGCCGGTTGCACAGAAACGTTCTTTTACGCAATCGATGGGCTTCGACCTATATATACAATTGTTTGCTTAAATACATTAAAGGATATCATAACGCTAAATCGTTTCTATCATATTTCGCCTCATCTTATAGGCGAAATTAGATGCTCAAGCTGCCGGTGAGCTGGATGTCTAGAACACTCTTGCCGACATAGATGGGGTAGCTGCCCTGTTGCAGACGCCATTTCTGGCTGACGGTATCCCACTCGCTCAGGTCACGTCTGGTGATATCGAAGTGGAAGTCGACGCTCTTGCCGGGTTGGACGCCTTGCTTGTTGTATCCACGGAGGACCTTGGCAGGGCCACCAGGGATGTGCACGTACAGCTGGGCGACCTCGGAGGCAGTGACTGAGCCAGTGTTGGTGATGGTGCAGTCGACTGTGGCGATGACGTCCCAGAGAGAAGTGACACCACCCTGAGCAATAGTGTTGCCGGGAGGGAACTCGGAGGTGCTGACGTTGCTGAGCACCTTGGTCTGCAGCGACGAGTAGTTGAAGGTTGTGTAAGTCAATCCGTAACCGAACTCGAAGCGAGGGGTGATGTTCTGAGCGATGAAGGCCTTGTAGTCAATGTAGACGCCCTCGGTGAAGTTGTCCTGGGTGTAGTAGTTGCTGGTGTTGTCGGGGGTGAGGTGCGACAGAAGGTTGCCGTAGTCGGCAGGCTTCTTGGCCACGGTGTAGGGCATGCGACCACTGGGTGACTGCTTTCCGTACAGGACCTCGACCAAAGCCTTGCCTGAGTCCTGTCCAGGGAGATGGGCGTAGACAATGGCAGTGATGTTGGGGTTGGAGTACCAGGCGTCGATGGTGCGGATACCAGCGTTGTGAAGAACGACCATGGTGTTGTTGCATTGAGCAGCAACGTTCATGACAAGGTCATCAGAGTACTCGTCCTCCAGGTAAGGGCGGTCGTAAGATTCACTGGCAAAGGCGTTGATGAAGACAAGGCATGCTTCGGATCCTCTCTGGACAACAGGGTTCTGGCTGTGGAAGTCCCACTGGAGCCAAGTGTCATCCTGCATTGCTTGCTCAGTGATGGCGCTGAAGGGATCACTAATGTAAGCAGGCTGAGCGGCACCAGAGCCACCTCCAGTAACCATAGTTCCGTTCATGGCGATGCCGGGCAGGCCCTTGGTGATGGACGAAGGGCTGGCAAACAGCATGAAGAGCTCGCTGGCGTTGACACCAGATACAGGGGCGAAGCCAAAGTTGGACAGAGTGAAAGCGGCTGCGTTGTCGGGAGTGTAGCTCGAAGGAGCAATACCATCGTAGCCAAAGAGGGAAATGAAACCAGGCTTCTTCAGGGGAAGAGCGTTGTTCACGTTCTTGACAAGGACGTGGCCCTCAACAGCAGTCTGGAAGGTGCTGACTTTGGAAGCAGGATCGCGAGCGTTGACAAACTCGTGAGGAAGAGTGAGGTTGATGGGCATACCAAATCCAGGGTTTTGCCACTCGGCGAGATGGTACCAAGATGCGACAATGCGAGTAGCCATGTCATCGAGTCTGGTAGATGAAAGCGAGCCGTTGTTGACGGCTTGGCTGAGGTTTCCGTTCTGCCAGAAGGTTGAGCTGGGCATGGCCATATCCAGACCAGCTTCAGCACTGGCAACGCCGGAGTGCTGGGCTCCCCAATCAGACACGAANNAAAGGCCGTTCATAACCTTGGAGTTCTGGCAGCTGTAGGAGTTGTTGACTCTCTGGTACGAGCACATGGCAGATCCAACTCCTGCGTGTACGGCATCTTGGAAAGGCCACATGTACAACTCATGCAGAGTCTTGTCGTCAATGTTTGCAGACATTGAGGCGTTGACGCCAGCAGGGTTGCGGTCAAGTTCTTGCTCGTTTCCGATAAGATGCTTGATGGTAGCGATGACGTTGTTTTGCATGCCCTTGACGGTCTCGAAAGTCAGACTGCCGGCGAGGTAAGGGTCGTTGCTGAAGCCTTCCCAGTTGCGACCACCCTCAGCCACTCTTCCAAGGGGTCCAGCGACGGGTCCAAGGAGAACGTTGACACCCTTGGCCTTGAACTCAGCACCCATGTAGTGAGCACGCTCGTAAGCAAGGTTACGATTCCATGTGGCACCGACGTGAACTCCCGAAGCAAATCCAGTGACACCGTCAGTAGCACGAAGGCCGTTTCCGGCATCACTGAGACAGAGACCAGGGAAGCCAACTCTTGGTGCTGATCCACTGTTACCACCACATCCATTTGTCCTGTTCATCTCGTTAGTGTTCCGATTCCAGTATGGCCTTAACCAGTCGACTTACTTGAAAGTGTATCCATATGTAATGTTGTTCTTCTCAAAGTCGGTCATGCTTGCGACCAAGGTTTTTGCCTTCTCGTAGGCAACAGCCCACTCATCTTTGCCTGCTCCCTGGGCTGANNATGAAGTCAGTATGCAACTATAACGATGAGACAGACAGTACATACGACTAGGGTATACTGGCGGCGATCTGCCATAAGACCAGAACTTCTCGAGGTTGGCCAGCTCAGCCTTCAGTTGAGCCTGAGCAACTGCAGTAGCATTGTATGTCGAATTTTGTGCAGAGGTGATATCTGCGAGGGCCAGCGCAACGGCTAGGAGCTCTGTAGTGAAACGCATAATGGAGAAGCCTTGTCAATGAGACTGGTACAATCTCTTGTCGATATGGAAGGCGTTGGCTGTTGCTGATCGATAGCAAGAAGTGGGCATGATGTGCTTTGATATCACACAGGGTTCGAGTGGCAGAAATTACCTTCCAGGGCCTTGGAAGCATAGTCCAGCATCGCATCTACCTCTGCCCTGAGTCAAGAACCTAAAGCGGGGTGCTCGCGTGGAGACCAAGGCCATGGATTGGAGTGATCTAACCGATCTTGCCGATTCTCGCGAGTGCTTGGACCGGATGTCAAGGTTTGAGGGCCGGGGATCAGACCGAAAGTGGCCTGCCGTCTGGTGAACCACCCACAATGTGCACCGATTCGAGCTCAGATCCATCTGCCAGACATCACTGCCGTGGTGATGGCTTGAAGTTCCCGATGTTTAACCCTCTATAATGTCTCTTCTCCAGCCTGCAAGCCACTTCCGTGTCTTGTGACATGGAAAGAAGTCCGTGAGGTTGGTAAAGACAACGGGAAATGTACTTGGCACCATGCCAAATGCTTAGGGCAACATCGGATGGCTTGGACGATGTGAAATCAAGGTCAGTTTGTGGGGCAGCATGGAGTGTATTCGAGTCAAGTCAACCCCAGCGTTCATGGCTCGATAGTACAGTAGCAGCGTTTATTAGGTCGCCCGGTCCGCGCCACATCTTTGTGAGATGATGGGTGGCCGGGCCTCTTCGTTGCAAAGACTACAAGATGAAGCTCCGGTATATCGGGTGTTAACGACACATTCGTGGTTCTTGATGTCGCATGGTGCAGTTGAATTCTCAAGATCATTAAGGCTCTCGTAAGGTTCCTTCGCTGGAAGATTTTGCTGTGAGGTCGATCACAACGTGGAGAGACTCCAGCTTCCTCCACGCCCCAAGTAACGGCAAGAACGCCCTGTGGGTCCCTTCCTCCACATCGGAAAGTGCGATGGTGGGGCCGCACAGAGGTCTTGTAAGGACTTCTTTCGCTTCCTCAAGCCAGATTCGTGCACGCTTTGACCCACAGCATCCAGGCCACTATTGACGACGAAGTGGCTTTGAGATGAGCCCATGTTTTTATGTCTCTTTCGAACGGTATATGCCATCAATGCCTACCAGCTCGGCCAGGACTTGGTCTGGGCAACAAGACCTTCACTCCGAGACGATGTGTTGAGACGTTCACATCGTCTTGCTCTACGAAAGGCTTTCGATAACCTCGATGAAAACTTCTAGGCCGGCTCACGACAAATCTTGACCTGCCCGTGCTTGATAGTTTCTTGCTGCACCGCACGACCAACCACGCTACTTACTATACACGACTCCACTCCAACGGTTATACACGGTTTCTTTTCACGGCCCGCTTTCTGTGGTCAGACTCCACTGTGCTCCCCACTGGGGTCTCACACTCGCCTTGGCTCACGCCGAGGCACATTTTCTATTGACAAAAAAGCGGCATCGCTGATTTTGTGAAGAGGATGCCGGGATTCGTACCGTGTCTCGGCCCGGCCAAGCTGGTTAGAGGGCACGGGTATCAAAGTCTTGCTTCTGACCTCTTTGATCCACGGCAGTTGACCTTGTCGGTTCTCTGTCTGGTCTCTAAATCTGCCATGCTCCAATGACTCGTTTGACAGCGACCCTCTCGGAGTTCCGCGATGGCAACGGGGATGTTCGCCTAGGCGGGCCTCAGATCCGTTCTGCGTGGTTCAACATACATCAACGCAATGGTATACGAACCCTCTACTCACAAGACTGGTCCAATAAACCCACAAAGCTCGAGAGCACCAATTTGGCTTGCGATCAGGTCTACATCAGTTGTCAGATGTTCTCATCTCGAATATCGCGGTGATGACCAGATACAAAAAGTGGTTTCTTTCATCATTTGAAAGTGTTCTTCGCTTTCAAGATGAGCTCTAGTCCAAGAATCATCGAAGCGACATGCCATCCAATCCTCCAGCAGGAAAACATGTACGCCCTAAACAGCTTGCAGGAGCGGGCTACGCTTCCTCGATCCCGAATAAGGCCACAATGGCATACCTGGGTCTGCGAATCCTCTTTGACTTGCTACTTCCTCCAAGGTTGGTCATATATGTACGATGATCAAAATGCACATTACCGTCCGGAAGGATATGGTTCTTGCAGAGAGATCGTTATCTTAGGTTTGGTGCTTCCAGGACCACACTTATATGCTGAGGATAGTTGTGGGCTCTGGGGGCTGCAGGGTGACAATATGCGCCCATATAGAAGCAGATCTAGCTATGCCGTAAATGCGGAATGTCTAGTTGGCATGGTGAAGCTTTGTTTGGCTAGCCACATAAACTTGTCAAGGTCTTTGAGACCAACTTGCCGTCTCTTTCAAAGACTGTTTTGTATCTCTTGAGCACATTGACTGTGTTGTCGACATCATGACGGACATCTTTTGTCTACGCCCAAGATCCAGAGCACAACCGGCAATAACGCAGTATTGGGAAGATCTACAAGTATATGAATGTCAAATTGATCTCATACGACAAACATACACAGTATTCATACCTACACTCACCCTACCGATCCTCCTGGATTTGCTTTTAGGCAGCCGAGCATTGGAGCTGATCGTCTTCGCCGTGCGAAGTACATGGTCTTCGGAAACACGACCAGGGTTACTAGCTCGACGTTGGGGAAAGAACACTCAGAAGATCTTTCGACACTCACACGCTGCCGCCCAAGCATGTTTCGTGAGATAAAGTAAACAAGTCCATAATATGAATGATACACATACAAAGGCTATCCATAACATACCCCTTACTCCCAGTCCCAGCAAAATAGCCGCCAATCCCAAACTCCAGCTGATATCTTCTTGCCCTCTACAAGTCTATGCCTGCACAGGCTCAACAATAACAGCATCACTCGCCATGACCTGATTCACAACCTCAACCGCCAACGCCTGCACACTAGCAAAGTCGCCACTAACATCCACACTCATGACATCCCTCTCATCCGTTGTCGGCGGCTCCAATGCCTCAAACTGACTCTTGACCATCGAATCCTTCATATAATGCCCCACTCTACCATGCACCCTCTGCAACAGCAGCTCTTGAGTCGCAGACAGATAGATGAAGTGTACTAGCACATTATTGTCGTTGTAGGACGCTACACGGATGACGTCACGGTATTTGCGTTTTAGAGCAGAGCAGGTGAGGACGACACCTGATGCGCCGGTGGAGAGGGCGGAAACGGCTTGGTCGCGGAGGAGGATGAGCCAGTCCCAGCGGTCTGCGTCGGTGAGGGGGATGTTGTTGGCCATTTNTTCGATGTTGGCTTGTGGGTGGAACTGTGTATGTTCGTGTCAGCAAAGACGGACTTCTGGGGATTGGGCAGGAAAGAGACTCACGCTGTCGCCTTCCAGGTAGGGCAGAGCAAAGGTCGTGGACAGGTATTCTGCTACAGACGTCTTTCCACATCCTGCTGGTCCTGTGATGATCCAGATGTGTCGATGTTGCGGCACTGCAGTCGTGCTGGCAGTAATCGTTGCATTCGCAGATGAAGAATTGGGCATTGGCGTCGAAGGCGCATTCGCAAGGTGATCAGAAGGCATAACAGGCGTCTTTTCGTAGTGCAGCATGGTCGCGGAAGAAGGTTGTTCGTGTGCTTGTCGTGGGAAATCGAGTCCTTGTCTCGAAGTCTGGTTACGAGATTGATTGAGGGCAGCAACAGTGACAGCGGTATAAAGATAATCAGAGGGAGGAGAAAAAGTACAAGGCTTCGAGCCAAAGGCATGTAGAGGGCATGTCTATTTGATCATCGGCCGGAGACTGAGGCTACAGATTTCCTGAAAGTCGGGATCTTCTCCACAACTTGCAGCATCGACGTCCCCCTTCGTCCCGCATTTTCGTGTTTCGAGGAGGATCGGCAAATGACGCATCTTGTTTCTGCTCTTTCAGATGCCGATCGGCTATCTGGACGGAGATGCTGCCTGAGTAATCTCCATATAGCTGCTCAATGAACAGTCTGTCTAGTCCACCAGCATCAGCAAGTATATAAGAAATCTTCTTCCATTGTACTTCTGCTCCTTCTAGAGGAACAACAACATCATGTCTAGGGCTCGTTGTCGACATCCAGGTCGACTGGCTGACTGTCACCCTGGGCGGTTCAGCACGGCCGACGCAATTGCCGCTCCGACTCGCCGTCGAATCCGGGGAATCAGCCTGAAGTTCACTGTCCTTTTCACTCACCATCTCTCTTGCTCGACTGTCAGAGTTACATGTGTCTATCGAAATACACAGAGTTATTGAGACAAAAAGCAGTGTTCATCGAGAGCTGTTATCACGGTGACTCTCTCTGGACACGACTTCAATCAAGAAAGGTCTGTGCCTTTCTATAGGCGATCCATCACTGTTTACTGGTTGGGGAGAGTTCGAGTGACAGACTCCTAAGACTTGGACGGGCACACGATGATATTTACATCACAAGTATAACAGGAAAGGTCAGGTGAGTAAAATGACTAGTATGTATGCCATTCCATATAACTATCTGGTCTTCACATGACTTTTCATGTATGAATCTTGGTATATCATCACAACTTCGTTTCGAGTCGCATATCAAAAGATGGATCTCTTCCACCAACGGCCTTATCATGACCATACCAATCAGCCCTTTATCCATCTCAGCAAAAACTCAAGGATGATGCTGCATCATCCAGCCAATCTGTCTCGCCTATCCCGGCATCTCATTATTCAGCTTGTGCAAAACCCTATCCACCGAACTCTTAACCTCATCCTCATTCTGTCTGACCACATTTCTCAGAGCAGTAATTTTGGTAGATGTGTGGCGGAGAGATCTCTTGACCAGTTGAATATAGCCGATATGCTTGGTGTGTGCTTCATGTGGGTGGGCTTCGTCTTCGCGAGGGATGGTGGGTCTCATGCGATGCCAGCTAGTAATCTCTCTCTGAGTTCGAGATCACGGAGCTCGGTATAATCATCCCAAGCGTCTTGATTGTTGGAAAAGGCCTCCCATAGCTCGCCGGAAACCCAGATATATCTGTGTCTGTAGAGTAAACTGCTGTTGTGGTATCCATATTGCGTGATGACTTATTGCTCTGCCAGACGGGCCTGGTATCTTGATCTGATCTCTTCTTCGACTGCTTGGAGAACTCGTAGTTGTGCTTGGGAGTCTCGTTCGAAGACGTAGGATGAGGAGCGTTCTTCTACCTCTTCTAGAAAAGCTTCTCTAGTCAATGTAAAGGCTTCGGGCATGGAGACAGTCTGATCCGCAAAGTGTGTATCGATGTTTGCCAAAGTTGTGAGCACGACGTAAGGCGTAAGCTGAGGCTGAAGATTGTCCAGGCGTCGTGCAGCCTCATACTCGCGATCCAGATCCTTCCAGTATCCAAAAGCGTCTCCCAGAATGACTCGTAGATCGTGTGCCATTGATTTGCTTGGGCTCTACTGATCTCGCCCCTGAGCACTTGTCTGCAGTGCTCGATACCGCGTAGTCTCATGTATCTTACAAACGCATCCATAGCATCAAAGGCGAATTAAGCTCTGTCTTTGAGTACTTGGATGTACCAGTACCTGTACAGAACACTTGCGTCCTGATATCGGTGGCTTGTAGCTGACATGAGTTCTGCCACAAGACTTCGATACCTGGTAACGAGATCCCGAAGCTCATGGTGAATTCCCTGGAGTTCCTGATCAAAGTTGCGACTCTGCACAGTTGGCTCGATTGCAAGATAGTGCACCACCTCTGCATCTCCGATATTGGGATCAAGGTTGAGACAGCTGTTGATAATGTGGTAGTTTGCCAAGCTAGGGGAGGTGATGGTGGATATGGAAGTGAAGCTGCGCCTGAGGGAGTGTCCTGAGAGTCAAAGATATTGGGAGCTCGAAAGGGACTGACAAGTTCTCCCGCATCTGGGAAGTGTGTACGGAACTCCGCCTCCAAGACTTCGTCGTCCAGGATATCAGTGTCAGACAAGCTGTCTTCAAGTTGCTGCGTCTCCTCTTCGTGCATAGGTGACCAGCCTCGTGTAGCTCGAAATTGATCCAGAATGCGGTGATACTCCTCAGGCGGCTGATGGGCGTTCTCCGTGGGCTGATTAGAGTCACTGGATTGACTTGGTATGATGAAGACCCAGTGAGAGACTATATAAGTGATGGATGATCTGATCAGAGAAGACAATGGATGCTTAATGAGATAAGAGATGGTGAAGGGCGAGTCTGGAAGATGCAGTGGACAAAGATGGTAGGGGTTTAACCTTACATACTCATATGGTAATTCCTCATGTGAAGCAGTCGTGGCATTTCCTGTGAAGCAGCATGTTGCTCCGTTGTGCTGTCACAGAGTCCACGTGAAACAACGTTCTGCTCCATAGGTAGTCATGACATTTCATATGACAGTATCTTCAGCAAGCGTGTAGAGAGTCAGATCATGTAGTGACAGGCCAAGGAGTGTCCGTAGTACTGTCGCTTTGTGAATGTGATGGCTGCATGACCGGGCATTGTGATTAATACCGTTAATGACAAAGCCAGCAACTGATAACGCACAAATATGCGTGTCACAGCTGCAGTCAAGGCCACGAGGCAGTATTGACCATGCGAAGCATGGAGTCGGCAGAAGAACCAGGTGTCATGCCAAATCGCTTGACGTGGCAATAGCTGGGCAGATTGCTCGTGACTGCTCGTGACCCTAGAAAAGGAAAAGAAATACGACGCCATGCCATGCAATGCATAAATACTGTGGAAGCCTTGCGGGATAAAGAAGAATCTTGAGTTCTGGAAGAAGGAGTAGAATGAAAAGACCACAAGGCAAAAGCGCTCGCATGGTCATGGTAATGTTCTCTAAGGAGACAATTCTAAGATCTCGGAACCGAAGAAAGCGAAGTAGCGAGGGCCGCTTTACATCGGATGATCCATGAGTCTTCGTCGATCTGCATAAGCTATTCGAAATGAAAGAATCTTGGACCAGCCAATGACTGCTTCAAGATGCTGTTAGACGATGTTTTTGACACAATGGTGGAAACCATAAGGCACTCACCATGATTAGACATTCTCAACGACTCATGGACTTAACACCATCATTGACCAGTCTCGTCTGAACGAGGATCTTGACAGGTTTGTGACAAGATGAGCATTTCTCGTCAACTCGAACATTGGCGCAGATGTCTCCGTTGCGACATGCTTGTTGTATCAGGGCTGCCCTCGAACAGTGATTGGAAAGCACGGTCTTGGTGTGTCCGCATTTATAGGTGTGGGCGTAGAAGCGACACATTTCCTGCAATGTTGTTGTCTCGAGGGTGCAAATTAAATAGTCTGATAAGCCAGACCAGAGTGTGTGATAGAGAGCACGCGAAAGCGTATACTCTTCCCAAGTGCGTTGTAAGTGTATATATACTTGCTGTCGCTCATAGCCAGGCACGAGATACATAGGGTCCACTTTGAATATTTGCATGATGTATTCGCAGTTGCAGAGCTACTGCGAGTGATTTGTGCATCCAGCATCTCTCGGCCGGTGCTAGGACAGATAGCAACCAATCTGATCTCCTTCCGGGCCACGGCAAAGCATGCGACTCAGGCCAAGGATAACACTATAGGCTCGACTTGGTCGCTACAAACAAATTCGTCAGCTCTCATACATGAGATATCAGGCTCTGACGGCATGTGTTACTCAAACAGTTGGCATCACTTGCAGGTGGGAGTTAGGTACAACGTTTTACGCAGTGCGTTGCAATAAATGGGACCAGAGCCAGTCGCGTGGAAGCATGTCGTGCATACAAGGCGACCAGCTGCCTCATCCTTTCTGATACCGGATACCGAGGCCGACCAAGGAAATATGTCGCCAGACAAGAAGTTGAAAGATCTGATGCAGGTTACGGATGTAGGCATGCAGCCGTGTTCCGGGTGAGTTTGGATCGGATCTTGGGAACGCGAACAAATTGATGTCCTTCAAGACCATCCTTGATTTGAGCTGGGAAGATTGGCCGGAGACAAAGAGCCGACCTCAGAGGCGGGACAACTGGAGTTTGCGAAACGTTATACCACAGCAGTCGTCTTCCTTTGCTGGAACGAGAGTCCGATCATCGCGTGATAGTCCCATTTGACAACGAGAGTTGTGGCTTGCGCAGGCTGAGTTGGCAATGCGTGAGGTTCAGCTCAAATTCGACGCTTGTTGGTACCTGACCACTAGAAGAAGCATCGCTTCATCATGCGCTCTTGTCAGGCTTCAGAGCATTACTGTTGCCCCCATAGTCTCCCTGGGGGTTTCGGAGGAATGAGCTCGAGCTGATCGTGCTTGCTCCATGCAGACCTCTGTATCACATGCTTGCTTTGATGTGTGACCATTCGACACCGCCTGGCAGAAAACTTCATGCTTGACTGCGAATCCAACTCCTGGCAGTCTACTTTCCGTTTGTACACAACATTTCAAGAAGTACTCATCGGTGCGGTGATGTTCAGGTGTTTGTCTGTTGGATGTCGGCAGACGTTGGGCCACCCGGGTGGATCGCTGCCTGACGCCGCCCGCCAATCAAATCATCGGTGCCCATCCTTGACCGCCTTTTTGAGCACGCTACTACACCGCACAGCGCATCTGCTAGACAGCGACCCGGATAGGGCCGCATTGGCGCTCGCTCGATCTCCTGTCAGAACGAAGGTTTGCTGTTGGTTCCTGCAGAANNCTGTTAAATGTCATGCGAACTATGCTCCCCAATATGGCACCATGGGGTGCGAGCAGACCGAATCCTGGAACCTCAAATCATCAGCTACCTCCAGGCTCCNAGCAGGTCTGACAACTCATCCTCTTGGACAGATGTCACCCATGACGGTATGATCAAGAGCCGGATCTTGGTCCCTTCCCCAAANAGGAACATCTTTGCCAACAAGCGAGGTCGACACGTAGCACCAATGCAATACTTGCATGCAGGCTGCGCGATCCCGGCGCTCCACCGTGCCACTGCCCAACTTCTCTTTCATACTTTTCATATCTCTTTTCTCATGTTCTGCGGTCTTTTGACATTTTTTGGTTGTGTTTTTCGTATTGTCCGAGTACCTGCTGTTTTGCTGCATCCAATTCTGGCATTGGTGTCATACTCGGCGATATCCAGATCTGAAAACGCTTGCTGTTGGGTCGTCGACGCCTCTCCAAAGTCAAGCGTTGTACGTCAGGCCATTGACGGATTGTAGTAAGAGCAAGGGCACCAGGGTCGTTGTCTGCGAAGCAGCGTTAGTCTTCATGTTCAGTAAGTGCTTCCACCTGCAGCGTACCGCCTGGTCAGGTACACCTTGTTCTTGGGTTTTGCTTGGTCAGCCATGGCGAGCAGAATGCAACACTATGTCAATTCATCTCAAAAGACGGTCAGCGCTCGTCGCCCCGGATTGCGTAGAAGGGAACCGGCCAATGAGGCGATCAATAGCAAGGATGGTATTGGAATTGAAGTATCCAGGCTGACAGTGACCAGGCTATCATATCAATAGTACCATCTCCCGAATGCTTCCCGTTCATGTCGATACCCTGTGTCCCGTCTCTATACCGTGTCCATCTTTAGTCAAGCCTCTGGCAATCCAGTCTCTGGCTCTTGACAAGGGCATAGCATCGAACCTCCTGGGGCATTGCGCTACGTTGCCTTGCTCCAATCCCAGCGGTCACAAACGGTACCCTATTCCTGTGTACACTCGAGTTCTTCAGTGCTAATACTAAGCTGCAAGAGAGTTGTGCCACACCCTCTCCTAGATTGACACCCTTGCACGGGGGTGCATATAACAAGCTTGGCCCTCGGCTCCATTACCAGCCCTCCACTTCTTGAGACGCCATCAATTCTCACGAGCTTAACTTCGCGCGAACAGTGTCCACTGAGAGTTCGACGATCTCACACCTCAACACTCAACGATCTCACTATGGCGATCTCTCTGATCGACCGCAAGGTGCTGGCTCACCTCATCAACTACTATGTCTCTGACAACAAGATCGTTGTCGAAAACCTTCGCACAATCCTCGGCATTTCTGTCAGACTCGAGGACAAACTCGCTCGCGCCCGCAGGCTTCGCTTGTTCGACATCAAACGCGAGATTAGATCGTTGGAGATCTACCAGGAGCTCCTCTATCTAACCAAGGAGGGACTGGCTCTCACTGAAGTGTACATCGCACCATACTGTGGAAAGGGTGCAGATGGAGTCTACCAGGTGATGGCCCTCAAGCTGCGCGCATCGTTCCACCACATCCTCTGCGAGTTTCACAACACNCCTCCTGTTCGCCTACTGCGCCAGAGGAACATGGAGGAGCTCAGCGTCTTCAGCGCATACTACCTGGCTTCCAGACAGGACCAAGACTTCAACTTGGCTGGTTCTCCAGTTCCATCTGAGCAGTCTTTTGTCACCAACCCTTACGCTACTCATGGCCAGGCACCTCCTGTCTTGGCTCACGTCCCAGCTGATGACCCTCCTCAGATCTCGCTTCAGCCCCGCATAACCCCCACACACCCTCCCGGTCTTGGTGGGAGTACCGTGGTCGAGTATGACCCTCCTGTCTCAGCCAGTACCTTCCTGATGCCCGCTCTGGACTACACTCCCGAGACCAAGAGACTCTTCGAGCGCGCAGTCAAGTGTGCAGAGGAACTTTTACATCCAGCACACCCACTGGTGCTCTCATTGGCTCTGGAGCAAGCTTATTTCCTCATGGACTGCCTCGGAGACTACGACAAATCTTACAAGGTGGTCAAGAAGGCCGCTCGCGCTGCTGTCCTCGCCGGCGATGTGTCCAAGGCCAACGAGGAGGATGCGATCAAGATCTTGCACGATATGACTGTAATCGTGGCCAGAGCTGAGCAGGTTTTGCAGCCTGAAAAGCGTCTTATTGCGGTTCAGCAGGTCAACTCACCTCCTCTGTACCCACCTCCTGATCGCGAGCTNCCCCAGTCCCCTCAGCAGCGCGATGGCTCTGCCCGCACCAATGGTTCCCCTCGTCAGCACAATGCCTCGATTCGCAGTGACTCTGCTCATGCTGGAGCTGATCGCAGCGACAAGCACTCCTCACAGTACTCCTCGCCTCTCAAGCAAGTCCAGCAGTCCCCACCTGGCGGCGTTTCACTGAGCCCCTACAACAACAAGATGCAAGGTCTCGCCATCTCACAGCCGCCCACTGCCGACAACTCGCCCACCACTGGAGGTTGTCTCAACGGTGCTGCCACTAGAAGTACCACTCTGATCGGATCGTCTGCCTCTCCCATGAACCTCGACAGCAAGATCCGCCAAATCAACAACGAAATCCTTCAACATAAGAAGTCGAAGAGATCCCGCAGCAGCGGCAGTAGCGTCAAGCTCAAGAGTGAGGGCAGACGCATGGAAGGAACTGGCACTGAAAAGGAGCGCAAGAGACGTGCTATTGAGCGAGCTGAGGATGAGCTGAGGAGAAGCCGTGCTACTAGCAAGACCAGCACTCCAGTCTCTGTTCGTAGTCCTTGAGGGCTGTTCACCGGATCAAGAGATGACTGGAAGTTGTTTCTTTGCTTGTACTAATATGAGGTGGAAGGAGGGGATACTGCAGCATGGTGGTTCAGAAGGCGTTTTGGGCGTCGTCAACAGGTAGTCTCTTTGGCTTTGTACCATCAGACACGAGAGGTAGCATTGCTCAGTTGGCCTTCTCTTTGCAAGTTTTGTATAAAATGTTGTTTCCTTGATGAGTGTTGGTCGGTGACATTCTTGCCAGAGTGATATAGATTGCATGGTCTGTGCGGATCAAGTGACAGCGTGAGCAGCCCGACGCGGGTTTCACGATCGACATAATCTCATCAATTCAATCGCAGGTCCTAGACGAGCAGAAACAAGAGATATAACGCGTATATCTGAGCGTCTCGCATCCGAGACATCGCTTGCAAGTACCTAGACATTCCCCTACGCGCACGACGAGCTACAAGACCTGACCTTCACCTCCTCAAAAGGCACCCACGCGCTTTCAAGATATGCGATAGGACTATGGCTGGAGCTGAGGATCTATTGTTCCACGACGTGGTGTTTACCATTTTTACTGGGCCGACGATAAACTCGGATCAGGAGGAGCGAGTGAGAAAGACATTACAACTGATTCATTGCTCAAGCCGCTGACGGGCTGCTCACAGNTTGATCAAACTCTTGACCAACAACGGCGCCACCTACATCCCTCGCAAAGAAGATGGCTCAATCGACCAAGTCATCCGCCATACCCACATTGTCACCGGCGACATCGAGTTCCCCGAGTACAACAGAGCGCTAGAGTGCAACATCCACGTCGTGCGACCATCCTGGGTGGAATCAAGCTACGAGAAGGGAAGACAGACACAACCGCGCCAGCACAGTCCAGATCCGTCTATGTTCTTTAGGGAAGTCATAGTCTCGTGTGCAGACTTGCCCGAGGGCGACAAGGATGCTATCATTGCTGGTACGTTGGCCCTGGGAGGCTTGTACAGTGCGCCCTTGACCAAGTTGGTCACGCATGTGGTGGCTATGGATATGCACAATGACAAGTGTCGTACTGTAGAAGCAAAGCATCTGGCTTGCAAGATTGTCTTGCCACATTGGTATGCTTGGGTCTGCTCTTCCGGTTCTTCTGTTGCGTACTGACAAGACCGTTACAGGTTCGACGACTGCTTGAAACTCGGCAAGCTGATCAACGAAGGCCCTTACCTCCTACCCGACCCCGAGATTCTTCGGCCAAACTTTGACGAACCCGTCCGAGCAAGATCGACTCCTGGTCTAGATGGTGCACTCTCAGCTGTGGCAGGCGCACCTCCGGCATACAACCCTCCAATCTCTCCTTCAGACTCACGAAAGCAACTTGTCGTCTTCAAGGATAAAAAGGTACTCTTCTCGAAAGACCTAAACATCAACGACCACCTAGCAAAGACATTACGACACCTGGTCAGCCAAGCCGGCGGCTCTCTCACCACCAATGTGGATGAGTGCGATGTATACATTGGTCATTACCGCGACGGCATGGACTACGTGGCTGCCTCCCGTGCCGAGAAGACTGTCGGAAACCTCGCCTGGTTCTACAATGTCATCAACCGCAACAAATGGACAAATCCTCTCAGCAAGCTTCTCCATTACCCTGTACCCAGAGGCGGCATCCCCGGCTTCCAAGACATGAGAATCAGTCTTTCAAATTACAGCGGAGAAGCCCGTATCTATCTCGAGAACTTGTGCAAAGAAGCAGGAGCCGAATTCACAAAAACCATGAAGCAAGACAACACCCACCTAATCACCGCCCACACTCACTCTGAAAAATGCGACGCAGCTCAAGAATGGAATATCGCTATCGTAAACCACCTCTGGCTGGAAGAAAGCTATGCAAAATGTTCAGTACAAGCATTGACACACAAACGCTATACCCACTTCCCGCCACGAACAAACCTCGGTGAGATCGTAGGACAGACCGACATTGACATTACTAAAGTCCGCAAACTGTACTTTGCAAGCAATGAAAAGACTATCAAGGACACAGAACCAGGTCAAAAAACACCACATCCTTTCCGCGGTGCAATTAGAGCGCCAGACACATCTCCCAGAAGAGGAATTGCAGCCTCCAGCGTAGGAGCAGCAAGGTCTTCATTCGCTGCAAACGGAACAGAAACAGATGCCATGGACATCGATGACAACGACGACAACGAAGCCAGTGAATTTCTCCCTCAAGCATCTCAAACAGCAAAGAAGAGGAAATCCCGCGTGGGCTCTGATGCAGCGATTACTACTCCTGCAATGTTGAACAAGCGTCAGGAACGAGAAACAAGTCCACCTACTACTGGACGCGCCTCCAAGGAAAAAGCACTGAGCAATTTGCACGCACTCAAAGATGATGTTCTGCAGTATGAACGGGAGAGGAAGCGAAAAGGCGGTGTCATTCATGGNGGAAGAAGGACTGCTGAGCCTGAANNGAAGCTCCCACTGCTGTAACGACCAAGACTACAAAGACGACGAGGAATAAACGCAAAAGCGATGATATGGGTGACAGTCACGCTGAGATCAGCGAGACGGAGATTGCAGGTGTCAAAGGCAGTAAAGCCAAGAAGGCAAAGNACCGATACAGGACCTAAGATCTTGTACACCATGATGGTGACGGGAGATGAGCGATGGATGGGTAATCTGAAGAAGGAAGCCGCCGATGCTGTGAGTTTGCTAACCTCCTCCACACCATACAAATGTTCAAGACTAACAAGCAAAACANNGGCAAAACTACGAGCTCTGGGCATGAAATTGACCACAGAGCCCGCAGAATGTACTCTTCTTTGCGCCCCACGTATCCTCCGCACCAANAAATTCATCGCCGCACTCGCAAATAGCCCCGAAGTGGTCAACATCTCATATCTCGACACTGCGCTCTCCAAAACCACACTCCCAGACATCGACAAGTACAGACTCGAAGACCACGAAGCCGAAGAAAGACTCGGGTTCTTCATGAACGAAGCCATTGAACGCGGAGCCACGAATGCAAACCGTCTGCTGCACGGCTGGACAATCTTCGTGACCGAAAAGGTCAGCGGCAAGTTTGAAACGTACAAGGAAATCATCGCCATCAATGGGGGCACGGCAGTACCCTACAAAGGCCGCTCCAACGTTATCTCTGGACCCAGAATCCCACCCTCTAAAGACCCTNNGGAAGCAGGTGATGAAGCAGAAAACCAAGGCGGAGAAGAGGAGTTGAATAGAGTGTACCTGATTTCCAGCACTAGTGATGAGGAAGTCCGGTTATGGGAGAGGTTTGTGGCCGAGGCAAAGAAGAAGGGATTGGAGCCCAAGATTGTAAAGACGGATTGGTTGATCAATCTTGCCATGAGTCAGAGGGTCGAGTGGGATGAGAAGTGGGAGTTGAAGGAGGAGTTGGTGCCTGGATGGCCGAAGTAGATGTCGTTGAATGGCTGCCATGTAGAATGTGTATCCAATATCGCACGCCATGTTGTCCAGGTTTTGTGACGCATATCTTGCATGTATGAGGGGACAGCACGTGCCGGAGTGTCGAGTCTTGCTGTGTCGCGTATGCTTCGATGCCCCAAAGTCTGCACGAGTGATGTCGTCCAGACTGCAACTCCGGTGTTCGACCTTGGTTGCCGTCTCTCAAACCACTTACACTGAGAACGATGCATGCAATCAGCAGCCCCGCTCAGAAAAACTTGACACCACTCCCATCCTGCTGCCCAAACACCTGCGCCCTCCCCTTCTTGACCAAAACATCCAAACACCTCCTCAGCATCTCCTCATCCATACCCACCCACTCCTGCTTCTCCACCGCCTCCGATTCTCTCAATTCATATATCGTCAACACGACACCCTTTTGCCCCGTCTCATCCACCCACTTTGCAATCTGCTCTGCCCACTCATTGGCACTCTTCCACCATATCCATGCCGTTGTGCGTTCTTTGCCTTGCCATTCTGCTCTGTTTTCGCCTTCTGCGGTGCTCATGTAGTCGATGATTCTTTTGATGTCGGGGGCTGAGAGCGAACGGTGGATTTTTGNGTTGCTGAAAAGGGGAGAGGTAGAGGAGGAAGAGATGGAGAGATGGAAGGTTTTGTGGAAACGGCAGTAGGATTGGATTAGGTGGGACCAGAGGTGGAGTTGGCGGGTTAGGGTGCTTTGGTTTGGTTGGAGGGTGTAGAAGGNGGNGAAGGAGTGGTGGGGTGGGTAGGGGTATGTATCCGTGGCTGAAGAAGCAGGAGGTTGGGGTGATGGTGTTGTCATATTTGGTGATGTCTGATATTTTCGGTTTTGGTATGTTTGGAGTGAGAGATGAAGGATGGAGGTTTGATCCAAAGATGGAAGCTTTGCATGTGATTGCACACATGTCATCCATCGCTGTTCTCGAGTCAGGAATCTTGGAGAAGTGGTTGGTAAATGACTCGCTTGGCACTTCCCTGATGACGAAGGCTGGACAACAAGACAACTTTCTGTCTCTTACAACAACCTTGGAAGTTATTGCTTTTCTAGACCTTGGAACAAGCAAGGATGGCGACAACATCAATGCCTGAGAACCTCTCGGTGGATCTGGATCAACTTCTCGCAAGACTTTCGGACACGCTGCTCTCGCCAGCCGCAGACGATACGCACCTCCGCACCACACCCTACGAACGCAATCGCATCAGTGCTGTGAGTTGGGCCCTCTGACCCTTCGCTCCATCATACCTTTTCTTTTTGTTCAGAAGCTAACCTCTCCTGACATAGAACGTCGAATACGCACGCACCCTCGTCCTCCGCCTCGAACACAACACCCAAGACATAAAGACCCAGTCCCAAAAAACCACACTCCAAGCCGACCTAGCCACAAAACGCGACCTCGTAAAACGACTAAACACGCGCCTCCTAGAGCTAAACCAACTAGCCGCTCTCCACGACGACGACTCGTCCTCGGAATCAGAAGACGAAGACGAAGCACAACGACCCAGGGAATTTGCGCCAGCAGTCTCGACTTCGGATACTTTGGATACAGACCCATCCTTGACATCGCCACAGCAAGCAGCACAAGATTTAGCAAGCACATTACGGAACAGAACAAATGCGACAAACAGCAATGCAGCACCCGACTCTGCAACCACCACCGCGCTATTCAGCAAATCCAATCCCACCACTGCTCCTACCCCTCTCTCCACAGAGCAAGTCCTCGAATCTGCAAATCGAGATCAAGACCTCCTAACCACTTCCCTCGTAACCCTCGCTCAATCGCTCAAACAATCATCCATGCAATTTGCCTCGTCTCTCGAGTCCGAAAAAGAAGTCTTGAGAAGAGCAGAAACCGGCTTGGATAAGAATAGTATGGGTATGGAGGCTGCGGGAAATAGAATGGGTGCGTTGAGGAGAATGACTGAGGGTAAAGGATGGTGGGGAAGGATTAAGTTGTATGCTATTATTGCGGGCTTGTGGATTGCGGCGTTCTTGTTGGTGTTTGTGGGGCCAAAGTTGAGGTTTTGAGGAGCTTGGAGGAGATGGAAGGGGATATGTTTGGAAGGTGGTGCCATCGACATGCGAGGGAGCATTAGTAATGAGATGCGCAGCATGCAGAAGGAGTAGCATACAGTAGACACCTCGTGTTTTGAAACGACCAAGGATGATCGTTTAGGGAAGAGAAACAATGATATTTTGATATCCCGCTAGAGGGTCGTGTAAATCCTGGCATGAACAAGCTTCGTCTGCCTCCATATTGCTCCACGATGCAACGAGGCTACTACCCAGTGTGATCAGTAATCACCCAGTTGTCTTGTAGCTACGGCGTTCTTTGCTCAAATCGAAGGACAAACATGTGGAGTGTTCTTCACATCAGTTTGTTTTGAGTCTGTGATTGATTTGACTGTATTTGACGCTATAAAATTGTCGCTGTTGTAAAGGCCTTTACAACAAGTCGATCCTCCCCCTTTGACCATGCCCCCCATCCCCAAACGCCGACTGATAGCTCTGGTCAAGCAAGCCTCAAGGCTCAAACTTGGGCTGGTACTTCTCACAAGCAGCATCGAAAGCCTCCTTCTTGGCAGCCAACCNCTGCAGTAATTCCGTCTCCTCACCACCCTTGGACTTTTGCAGTCTGCCCTTCATCTCGGCAGCTCTCTCCACATCTCCTTGCGCGGTAAACAAGACGACCGCATTAGCCAGTGCAACAACGTTCTCAGGCTCTGCATCCAGCGCTTGCTGCAATGCCGTCTCGGCCTCTGGATACCTGCCCAAATGCAACTCTGACACTGCCTGTGCAATCAACGACGACACAGCAGAAGACCCAGGCGCCTGAGCCAACTCCTCAAACACGTAGAATGCTTGTTGGTATTTTGCATCCCCACCCTCACGCAGCGAAATCCAAGATTCGGCTAGGTTGACGAGCAGGGCGTCTTGAGCGAATGCGCGCGCAGACTTTGCTTCCTTGGCAGCGAGATCGGTGCGGTTGTTGGAGAGGTGGATTTGGGTGGCCATGGCGACGGCGTCGAGGCTGCCTTGGTGGTTGCTGAGGAGAGCAATTGCTTCGTCGGTTTTGCCGGCACGGGCGAGGACGGCGCCACAGAGGAGTTGGACGGTTAGGTCGTCACTGTTGCTTTGTGACAAGGACTCTGCTTGCGAGACAGCGGAGTCGGATGAGAAGCCTGAGGCGGCATATGAGGCGTAGGTCTTGATGGCGGCTAGCGATGGGTTGGAAGAAGCGTCTGAGGAGGAGATGGCAGATGCGACGGAGGAGTAGTCTTGGAGGGCGAGTTGGGCGCGGTATTTGAGGATTTGGGCCGAGGGCTGGTTGGGGGCGCTGAAGATTGATGTGTCGAAATCGATGACTTGTTGATATTGGCCTTGGATGAAGGCTGTGTGCATGTTTACCAGCTCTATCCATCAATCAGTCGCATGTTCAGGAGCTGCGTTTGGGGTTGAGGGCTGGATCGTACCTCCTTCTGCTGAGTAGGGATCCATGATTGCGGTTGTCTGGTCGGAAGAGGTATCTGATGAGTGTTGTATGATCGCAAGAGCTGACAATAGTCTGCTTCGAGTGCTATAAGGTAGGGTGTGTAGTCAATGCGAGTGTGTATCGAAGGTCAACTTGTCCCTTGATGGCCAAAGCCGGGGGTGTCAAAGCAAACAGTGCAAACTGTTCTTTGGGTAAACGCTTCACCTCGCTCGTTCCTGCTTCTTCTTCGTCGAGATCGTTGCGACATCCAACTTCTATCGACTCAGTCGTTGTTGCTATGGGACACGACATCTTTGAGGGCTGCTGTCACAGCTAGAAGAAGTGTCTAGAGTGCTCACCTTCAATAAAAAATGCGTATACGCTCAAAGACTGTACCTTCACAGTCCAGGATGACACGGCGACCTGATATCGAAACAACAAGGCTGCCTATCTCGGATGTGGTTGTGGTCAGCTAGGCTAGCAAACCTCTCGTCAGATCTATTGATCACAGTCAGAATGCAAATGTCATTTTGACACTACTCACGACTATCATCAGAGAGCTTGTTATCCCAAGTCGTCTAATGCGCCAGAGTAGAGAGTCAGGATACTACATGATTCTTGAATACGAGAGACTGCCTGTTTGTAAATGGCAGTGATCTCACAAAGTCCAAGTAGCATGGCTCTGGAATACGGTCTTCAAGAGAGCCGACGTACCATCCACCACATACACACCCATTCAGACTTGCCTGGGGTTGCCGGGTCACAATCTCGAAAACATTGTATAGCTCGGGAACCTTCTGGAGTAGGACTTCCTAAGAGACCTATAGCTTTTATCACTACTCTGGACGAAGCTTTGACAGTCCTGGTAGTTTGAACTTGCCTTGGACACGATTCTGGAAGACATCGTGTATCGGGTTGGTCATTTCGACATGAGACAACAAGTTGGCTGACTTGTCTTCCATTTTCGATGTCTCAAGCTGCAGGTCGGCGTTGGTACGAAGAGCTATCAACAAAGACTACGTATCGAATGTCATTGGAGCTTTGACTGGCATCTCTGATCATCTTGGAACAAACATTGTCAACAAGCAAGTACAACCTCATTTTGGACTCCCAAGTCGCTGATGCCGGATTGTGTCGGTTGGTGGGTATCGAATGACGCGACCGCCGTCAAAACCCCGATCAGGTATTTTCACACTTGCTATGACCTTACCAAAAGATCGAGTGCGATTGATAAGACACCTTTGTTGGCTCTCAACACATCAAAGGCCGAAAAGATGCTGAGTTCTCTATTAGCCACGTTCGATGCCTCAGGCAAGCCCATCGGTATAGGAAATTGTCAACTCGTTCAGTGTGGCTAGACCGCCGAGTGTCGCGCTCAGTGCTCGCGCTCAAAGCTCACAGAATGCAATATGGTAATTTCATGTAGCTGCCGCATGCGAGTGAGACTCAAATCAGTCAATCGCAACGCGAGTCTTGTCCTGAGGCAGCAGCGGCTTTGAAAGCTCGGCATGACGACCTTCCGATTCGAACTTCAAGCCTGGCAGACCTGCGTCTGCACTTCCACCTCCACCTTAACTTTTCTCGCTGCCTCAGCGCACACCCATCCACCGTCGTCTGATCTCACCCACTGACCTCTATTACGACGCACGTTGGGTCGCTCAACGCGAGATGGACGCCGGCCGCCCCAAGCGCAGTCGCGCTAGAGTCAGCTACGCTGAGCCTACTGAGCTCGACGACGACATTGTAGTTGAAGATGACATCGCCGTTGAAGACGAATCCGCCGCCGCCGTCCCTNNGCCTCAGATGATGCCCCCACCGAAAGTGAACATACTGAAGACGATGGCGACTCCGACTCTGGCTCCGACCAAGAGTTCACTACCGACAAGGTATCCTAACTGAATGCACAACGATAATACCTCAGCTGATCCTGTCCAGAGAAAGCTCAAAGCTCAGCAGAAGAAGCTGGTGCTCAGGAAGAATCTGAAAAAGCAACCCAGGAAGATCAAGGAGGTGCCCTTCCCCTTCATGGAGCTGCCACCAGAGATCCGTGTCATGATCTACAAGACATGCCTCGTCGAAACCACCAGAGACCTCAGCTTTGTCCCCAAATCCAATGGCTATGAATTCTCCCGCGGCGTCATGGAGAAGACTGAGTACAACGGTCACTATAGTTACAAGGTCAAGCGCGCCAAGCAAGAGTCTGACCGCACCGTCCTCCAACCCGTTATTCTACGCATCAACAAGGCTACCAGAGATGAGGCCCTCCCATACCTCTATTCACAACCCTTCCACTTCGCCACTGCCCAAGCCTTCCAGCTCTTCTTTGCCCACCTCACTGCTGCAAGCCGCATGTCCCTACGAGAAATCACCATCAATGGCTGGAGCGACTCCAGNAACCCCCGTCGCAAGGACGTCCAGGCCGTCTTTTCGCTCCTTATCTCAGCTACCAACGTTAGATCGATCTTCCTCAATCGACACGTCTGGTCCAATCAGGACGGCCCTGCTTCACGCCACTGGCGCCGTACCAGCACCTTCATCAGCGACCCTTACCGCTTCTGGCTTGACATCGAGTTCTGGGCTTTTGCTATGGATGTTGCCCATGGCAAAGGTGCTGCCAAGGCTGCCCTGAAGTTCACTAAGCTGTGTTTTGGCTCCGTCAAGGAGATTGAGAACGAGGACGAGGCTGTCGAGCAGCGCGAGAAAACCTTCATGAAATCTCTTCACTTCTCTGAGAAGGCTGAGAAGTAGCTAGTCGTATACTAGCCAGTCAATGAGGACGGTTTCTAGTCTTAGCTATGTAATAAAAGTCACTTTGCTCATAAAAACACTCTCTCCTTGTGAAATAGCACCCAATTCCACCCCCATATAAATGCACAATCTTGTCGTCGCTGACATGGTTTCCAGTGAGGGAACTGGAAATTCACGCGCTCCTTGGATCCTTCTTGTTTCGCGATACCTTTCTGCATTTTTATAGACATCTATACAGCCTTGTTTGGATTGGGAGGTCAAAATTCAATTGGTCAGGATGCTGTGTTCGTCTGTTGGATGTAGCTCGGTTGCCAACTCAGTCATATATACTGGAGGAAAAGGCGAACCGATGCTGCACAAGTACTTTCATATGTTCAAACATTCCGTTCCACCCTAACCTCTAGCTGACTCTACCCTGCCTTTCTTCTGAGTCTGGTCCATGGTGTTTGGGATACATGGACAACACACCCTCCACCAAACACGTGGTTTTCGTTATGCAGCATGGTCAATCATCATTCTCAGACTTTTCCTGAAACTACGGTACTTTCGCGGTCGCTTCGCATTATGACGAGCAAGATGTTATGGCTTTTCGGGCTACCCATAAGCATCTGGAAGCAGTCTTGCTTTACAATTTTGGCAAGAACTATTTTGGCCGAGTCTATTTGATGCCTACGAAACTGGTACTGTCAATTCCAACACTGATAGCAATGGGCAAGAGGATGGCAGTGTAACCAAAGGAGCTCTGTATATGCTGCTGCATTCATCCGGAGCGGGGGAGATGAGATACGCGGAAAGATACTTGGTAGCCTCGGATTGCAAGAAGCAATGTTGAGATACCAGACATACCAGTAGGACAGAAACCACCATTTCGAAGAAGCCACAAAACCAAAGCTCGAGCACGAAAGTACCAGTCTCGAGACCTTAAAGTTGTGATGATGCATATAACAAGTTGCAGCACAAATACTGTACTTTCTGCCTTACTCTGAATTCCAAGATTAAACTTCTAGAATACTCGAATATCTTCGTTGCTACTTCTGACTCAGCTTATCTTGCTGCCGTCTCCTTGATTCCCAAAACACTGTCTACTTGATTTCTGGAACAAGGTATGTTTCCGTGAGCAAGGACTCAAATGCTCAACTCTATCTGTACATTTCCGCTGATTATTCAAACGCCTGTGTTCCTCTTGACTACCGTTCTATCACTTTTTTTTTGTATTCGATGCCTCTTCTTTCTCTTCTTAATTCTATCCCTGGTGCTCTAGCTCATCTTTAATTACGAAGTTAGTCGATTACTGTGTTTTCTGCTTGATCTTGTTTCTGTCTCTAGACTCCCACTCTTAGATTCTATCCTAGTAGATATAGAGGTCCTGGATGCGTTAACGCTTCTTGCAGAGCGGTATAGCTGTATTAGAGATGTCTCTGTACCTAAGAAAGCGAAATGCTAGATATTCTGGCAAAGGATCTGAGATTACCAGAGGTGTATTTAAGGTACTGAACGTATCCTAGAATGCAGTGATGGACAGACTACAAAGATAAGATGCGGATTTGAGATACAGAAAAACATTTCCAGCAGCACAAAACTCTTCATATTGAGGATTTGTCCTGCTAGCAAGAGATGGTGATTCCAGACAAGGTAATCTGTTAATTAATGTGATTAAACTGAGATCCTCATTCTGTAAGGCTTTGAATCAACTAACTAACCTGGATTTCATCTATGACAAGAGTGGACAAGCATCTGACTCTGCCGAACAGTAGGAACAACTTATTCGGTTACACAAGTCGCCACATCAATTCCTTCGTACTACTAGACCGATGGACTTCTCCACAGTACAACCTTGAATACGTCTCGGTTAGTCTGCTTCCCATAGCCGCAAAACAAGTCAAAAATACAGAAACTCATGTCAAGCAATCATATACGTGCTAACAGCATCCTTTCAATACGTTCTAGCGCCTTTTCTATGTACACACATCCATAGAATTGTGGCCAGAAAACCATATGCCCAACTCTTTGCTATATACCCCTACCCTATCCTTCCAGCTTTATCATGTCAAAATCTCAAGAGCATGAGATGGGTGCACAATACTGCTTGTTGAAAGACTCAAGCAGCATAGCATCCATATATCTGCAAGTGAACCGCACAGCTTTACCATCCTCGAAGAAGTCAGCGATCTCCAGAGATATTTCCAATAGGAAGGTCCAGTAGCATTACTCAAATGGACCTAGAAAACTAATTATCCATGCATGACTCATCAGATCTCTGATTTAACAAAGTGCCATCAAGGGCAGAAAGAAAGGAAAAACAAGATGAATTCAGCCAAAGAAATCAAGAGAGGAGGGCAAGGACATCGATATAGAGATATTCATGCACAGTGAGTTTTGGTTGATAGCCGGGGGTTTCCCGAGTCGGTGACTTGCAGCGTCGGCAACCAGACCCCTCTTAGAACAGACACATAACGACGAAACAACGTCAAGGGACAACAATCGTATAGTTCGGGGTATGAGAGAGAATCGAGTCTACGAAGAACGCAAAGATGCATCAAAGAGAGTGCTGAAAACCCAAGAGGATCACATTTCGTTTCCCATGCATGCATACGATGCTGCTAATGCCAAAAACACTTCTTTTGTTATACCCGAAAGAAAGAAGCAAGGAGAAGATACGAGGGAGGAAAAGGACATAAAAGAAGAAAGTAGGTTATGACATGAAACAGGAAGAAAAAGAGACAAACAACCCCACCAGCTCTATAACGACAACAATCCAATCAGCAGCACTTCATGTACTCCAGAATCAGAAGCATCTCCTAGTTCTGTCCAATGTCCACCCAACTGATATCACTGGCTTGTGTCCTTCTGGTCGCGCCGCCATTGTCCATCCTTTGCTTCATCTGTCTCTCGGCCTCCAAGCGTTGTCTAAACGCTTCCTCGCGCTCCTGCTGCGCAAGGGTTGCAGTGGCGGAAGGCCAAATTGTTGCTGCCGAGTCTCTGTTCTCGTCAGGGTTACGGATGCCGAGACCGGCTTGTGGCGGTTGAGGAGCTGCACGGTCGGGTGTGAAGCGGAGGGCAGCGAGGGTACCAGGGTGGAGAGCTCCGAGCTTGCGGGCTGAACCGGCGAGGGCAGGGTTGGGACGATCATGCATGGCACGTGTGCCACTACCAGGGAAGAAGCCGCCGCCGCTGTTGCCACGGGCAGCGGGACCAGGGATGGCCACGGCGGCGGGAGGGCTTAGAGCACGACCGAGGGCATTGGGTGCTTCAAAGCCGTGCATGCGGCTGTCGCGATCTACGTCTGCGGTATAGGTGCTTGATGGTGGGCGAGGGAAGGCGGAGGCGGAAACGGCAGGTGAGGCAGGGATGTTGACTTCGTTGACTGCGGGCGAGTTTGGTGATTTTCTGTTTACAACTTGAGCAGTGTTGGTTGCTTGGGCGGTTGCGATTGTTGCGCCGCCGTGAACAGGTGTCCACTCATCGCCGTGGGAGAGAAACTGTGATGACGCTACACTGCTGCGTCTTGACGATGCGAACGACTCACGGGCTCCATCAAGATAGCCTTGGCTTTCCAGACTTTGACCAGTGTGGAAGTCAGCACGTTGACCCTCGGCCATGTCGAAGCTGGCTCCTCTTGCGGAGAAGTCCTCGACGCTGTGACTGAAGCTAGGTCTGCCCATACCCACAGCTGACAGGCGGTGGTTGTGGGCGTCTGCTGGATGCAAGTGCGACTTATGATCCACATCAAGAGGTGCCACTATAGCAGAGGGATGCTGAAGTGATGGTGTGTAGTCAGAAACACTAAGGTTAGGTGATGTATGGATTGATGCACTGAGGTTGGGTGAACTTTGTGCTGCAGGGTCGTATGCGCCACCGTTGTTCTGGTCTGCAAAGTACCTTGACCAGCCTGAGCTGCGTTTTGTCTGCATGTCCTCTTCCCTGTTCTGGTTCTGCACAACTCTGAGAGATGACACTACAGGTGGAGGACCACGAGCAGAAGCCATCTTGGGCGTTTGACCATCCAAAGACTCCATTTCCATGGGATCATCAAAGCTCTGCGGGCTCGTTGGTGATCGTACCAGTTTGGTGGTGCTGTCGAAACTGCCCTTCTCGCCATGGCTTTTACTGTGCTTGTTTCCGTATTTTCCAGAGATGATGGCCAACGAGCTTGATGAGTCGTTGGCTTGGTGGTGGTATGCAGACTTGGGTGGCTCCAAGTTTGAGTAAGGGTTGGTGCTGCTATTAACCGGGGTCTTCTCGGACGCACTAAATCTGCTGAAACGCTTGCTGAAACGATCAGCTCCAAGTTTGCCGGCAAGGATAGCAAAAGAGCTGCGATTGTCGTAAGAACCCATGACAGGCCTGGGCAATTGTGGTGGAGCATCGGTCACTGTGCCACTTGCCTCTTTCATGAAAGATGCACCTCTGTCTTGGAAGCTCATTCTGTCTGCCTTCTCGTCACCACCAGTGGTCTTTCTCTTTGTTGCTTGCGACGTCTGACAAGAAGGAGTGCAATGATGAGTACCGCGAGAAGACCGAGCAAAAGACCGAGNAGTGATTCCAAGAACCTTGCGAGTGTGGGCACCAGAGTCATAATGCTCTTTCGACTTTGCGGCAGCAGATGATGTTGCAGAGGCGTGCGTACTTGTCGAGGTAGGAAGGGCAGATGAGCTCGACGCCGATGTTGTCGTCAGAGGGACCTGGCCACCGAACAAGACCTGGTTGTCAACCCATGAGTTGCTAGTCTGGTTGAATACATTGACAGGGGTGTCGTCGTTGCCTCCACTGATGACAGCAAGAGTACCCTCGTCGTTTTGTGCGACAGAGTAATCTGATCTCTTCACCGATGGTGCCGAACTGCTGTTGTAGGTCGGCCAGTTATCAAGAGTCAAGTCGCGCTTGAGTTTGCCTGAAGATGATTGGCTGGACTTATCACCGACAGTCTGACCAGTGCTCGCCGGCTGACCGTCAGCATCCAACAATACAAGTTGTGTGACTCCATTGGGTGTGGTTTTTGCGTCGTAAACCGTGAGAACTTTGCTACCATCACTACCAGTAACCAGTGCACCCTTTGCGCCGTCAGAAAGTGCTGAGGTAAGATTAGTCTCCAGCCTGGTCCAACTGCTACTCTTGCTGAAAGTCCAGATACCAGTGTTAGACTTGGAGCCGCCCAAGAGAACGGCGGAACTATCGTCCCACGGTAATAGAATTGGGTTGGAGACGGTCGGGGCCTGGGATGTGAATGATTCAATGTTGAAAGGTTGCTTAGTTGAGATGACAAAGGTCTGCGATGAAAGCTCAACGCCACTTCGAGAACCGGCATATACAAGGATAGAAGACGAGTCGTTCAGGTATGCTACGCCATGGTTTACACGGCCTTTCATGTCTTCCGTAGGTAGGTCGAGGGTCTCCCAAGACTGGTTCGAGAAGATATAACGTTGTAGTCCTCCATATGAGTTGTCGTCTGATGTGCCGCCTACCACGTATAGTGCGGCTTGTGATTCGTCTCCATTGGGGACTGCGCGAAGGCATGTGTGGCCAGTCACGGGTTTGCCCATGTCTATTGAAGTCCATGTGGCATTTTCGGCGAGCGGTAGAGCCTGGAACGAGTCGGGCGACAGGACGTATAGAGTGTTGTTGTTGATGACAGAGCAGTGCCCTGAAAGAGCCTTTTCGGGTAGCGGAGCTGGCATGTCGAAGGTATTATGATATTAATGCAAGAGTATATTGATCTTCTGTAGTCGGAATGGCTGGAATGAACGAAAGGTCATGCGCTGGAAGTGGTCGATAAATCACAAAAGCATCATGCGGTGTATAACGAGGGTGGGGTTTGGTATGCAGTGACCGAGTAACGAGCGTGGAAGTCTGCGTGTGAGAAAAGAGCGACGTGTCGGAAGTGTGCGGTTTCCAGGGGAAGGACAACAGGCACGACAACAGCGACGTTTGTTGGTCAGAGCGATCGGATCAACGACGAGGACCGCAGAATGCAAGAGTCGTCAAGACTTCAATCCAGAAACCAGGGACTTTCTCCAAACAGGTCGACAACACAAACAAGAGTTGGGCGTGAGGTAGGAGGAGAAAGGTTGTGATGGTTCGTCTTGTCAAAACACACGACAGGGGTGCTTGAGGCTGATGANNTTAGATAAACCGGTCTGCGGGAGTAATCGTTGAAAAGAAACGGTCGCCGATAAAAGATGCGAACCGAGAGAAGGGAGTGGTGATGACTGAGTCGATCNNGATAGCGCTGCTCAAAGAGAGTGACTTGTGGGTGATGAGACACGAGGGAGTGTGTGCTGACGAGTCGGAACAAGGCAGNGCAGCGACAGGCAAAAGACGACGAGAAGAAAACCAACCAATGGCTTTACCAGACACAAGAAGAAAAGACCAAACGAAGGGGAGAGCTTGTGTGGCCGTTGGTTGGCCGTTTGGTCGCGCGAAGCAGCACGTAGGAGAGAGACAGGAGGTGCCCAAGAGTCAGGCTGCGAAAGTCCATCGAGCCCATCCCCCGTCTCTTCACGCCACGCCATTCAATCCATCCATAGATTGCGCCCCATCCGCTATTCGATAGATGCATTGACCAGCGCCGTCGCTCACCCCAAATCAGATGCTTCTATTTTCTGCCCTCTCTGCCATCAGATACAAGACGTGAGGTGAGCCGGACGCCTTTTGTCCTCTACTCCACTTCGAAACCCCCGACTCGCACATGGTCCAGAACTCTAACCAACCAGTACACTATAAAATGCTTCACTTCCACAACAAACAGCCTTGCTCACTGAGCAACACCTTGTTCGTTCATTACCTCGAATCTATCAGCAGCGACGAATACCTCTCATCATCATCGTACGTGAATTTCTATGCAAAGGGTCGCAGAAAAGGCCAGGGCATCAGCATGCATCGTAGATCTCCGTTCGCTTCCCCTTCGCGAAAAAACATGCAGAAGAGACATGTCCGAGCGCTGCCCCTGGCCAGACGGACACCTTTCCACTTCCAGCTTGCTGAAACGCTGGTCATGGTGGACGGACCCTGACGCCTTTTCCTTCGATTTTATCCACTGGCGCTGGTTAATCACAATCACATTTCGTGATGACTTTGCTGTACATCTTTGCCCTGGTCTCCTGAGTACAGATGTAATATATAGACGCTCTGTACTTTTTCAATATATTGGTGACTGTATACAAGTTTTGCATACGCGTATCAACTGCCCAAGGCCTCGTTTCATGCCTCAAACTCTGCTCTCACACATCAACACTTCCGAAGCTCTCACATGCATGCTTGAGGTTCTCTGGTACACCACAATTCTCCGGTTACATGTAGCGTCGCAGAGCCTTTTTGATGGTGTTTTTGCGCCTTGTCTGTGCTTCTACCTACTAGAAGAATGGAGATCTACCAGACGAGCCGCGTTGTTGATCGGAGTTGTCTTCGTTTTCTCTGTCAGAAAAGAGCTTCCCGAGTCGTGAGTGTGCTACCTCGAGTCAAGCAAAAGATCACATAGCAATTGTCACATGCCAAATCACATAAGATGCGGAGGAAACAGATCTCGCAAGACTGGAAGCCAAGATGGATGAAAGGAAGAACAGATGCATACTGCTGCTTGTTTGCTTGTTCGCGTAAGGTATCGGATATACAAAGAGGCACATTGTAAGCGAGGACGCATCTGTCTGCGACGAAAAGTAGCGATCATGTCTCTCAACCACTCGCTTGCTCCTTCTTCCAAGCCTGTGCCATCTGCAACAACCTGGTCATTTTGGCTGCGCTCTCGTCGTCGGCTGGGAACACATAGTCCATGTATTCCTCCCACTCGTCTTCGGTCAACTTTCTTCTCTTCTTGACGCGACGAGGCATTTGCTGTTCCACCTTTTCGAGGTCCGAGGCCGAGCCATGTGTCGTTTCGAAGGATTTCCATGCATTGAGGAGGGCCACGCGCTGAGGTAGGTTAGTATCATGGAATTGAGATGTGTTCGGTGACAAAGAGAAACTTACCTCTTCCTTGAGGTCTTTTTGCTTCATGTCCTCGTATGCTCGTTGGAAGACCTTGCGTGCGCGCAGCTTTGCGTTCTCGGAGATTGGCTTCTCCTCTTCCTCGTCTTCGTCCGCGTCCTCCTCGTCTGGATCCGGTACGTTGATCTCGAAATGTGCGTAGCTGATCCAGACCTTGACGTGGCCTGTCTTTTCCAACAGGCGTTCGTACAAACTTCTCGTCCTGTCCCACTCACCCTCTTCTTCTTCGAAGTCGATGTAAGCTTTCCAGAGCAGTTCCGGCATATCGAGTAAGGGTTGATCGACTGCCAATTCGAAAATGGCACGTGTACGTTCAAGATCCTCCAGTCCTCGTTCCAGTTCTGCGAACTTGATCCACGCTTGGCAATTGGCCGGATTCCATTCGATGTGTTTCTCGTAGAGTGTGCGGCAACGCATGAATTCGAAGAGTTTGAGCTCGAGGTCGATGTAACCACGGAACAGCTTGTCTTTTGGACACATGCCTATTGCGATACCCAACGACTTGCGGGCTGCTTGCAGTTGCATCTGTCTGATTTCGAATTGTGCTTTCAGCAGCCAGAACTTTGCAAAGGTGAACTTTTTGTGAGGGATGAGCTTTTGACACTCAGCATACACCTGTTTGGCGCGTTCGACGTCCTTATTTTCCATCTCTTCCCAAAGTGCGTAGAAGATCCAAATGTAGATGTATCGTCGCCAGTGTCTTTTCTCTTGTGTCGGAGGCACTTGAGCAATTGCACGTTCGTATACGTCTCTTGTGCGCTCGGCATCACCTAGAGACTCTTCCAGTCTTGCGTAGTCAATCCAGGCATCGTAGTTCTTTGAGTTCTCCTTGACCTGCTCTTCGTACTGTACTCGTCGCTTCGACAAGACAACATCCTCGACGCCCTCCTGATCTCCGTATTGCTTTTCAAAAGTGGTGTAATTCTTGTGGAGGTTGGCGGACTGTGATCTGGGCATGCGATCCAGAGCGTATTTGTAGATGGCTCTTGCGCGCTCGTACTCCTTGAGCTTAGCTTCATAGCGAGCATAGGCGATGAAGAGCTTCTCGTCCATAAAGTCCTCGCCCATTGTTTCGATGGCCATACCAAAGACCTCTCTGACATGATCGCTTGTTCCACTCTCTTCCTCGAAACGGGCCCATTTGATCCAGTTCTTGGGCTCGGGGTGGACGATGGTGAATCTCTCGAAGATTGATCGAGCGCGGTCAAACTCTCCATATCTCTTCTCCATCTTGATGTAGGCACCCCAGGCGTCCTCGCTAGGCTCCCAGCTCATCCATCTTTCAAAGACCTGACGAGTACCGGGAATGTTGCCGAGAGTCTCCTCCATGTAGACGTACTTATACCATAGCTTGTCGATTCTAGGCAGGATTGTGACGGCTCTGTCGAGCAAGTTTCGGGCATGGTTGATGTTCCTCGTTTTCATCTCGGCTTCAATGTAGCGTAGCCACAAGGGCACATTGGTAGGTTCGACATCGAGGGCGCGTTCGAATACGGATCTCGCGCGGCGGTATTCCTTCTGTTCGAGTTCCCAGGCGGCATAGCGCATCCAGTTGCCCATGTTAAGACGGTTTCGGCGGACATAGTCTTCAAACTCCTTGCGCTTGCGGCCTTGGTACTCGTGCAATTCTTCCAAATCTGCAAAGCGCTGGGTAGGGGCCTGGAGACCGGGTTCCTGGCGGTCGACGGCCTCGCGCAAAAGTTGTTCGGCGCTGATCTGGATGGGCGCAGCGGCCTTGTTCTTGACCCTGGGGGGGCCACGCGACGACTCCATGGTGGCGGACGGAGCGAGACTATAAGATGGCAGGTGAGAGTATTGAGATGTGACAGGCGCAAGGGCACGACAGGTCGGCCTCTAGTGGTGTAGACAGAAGCCGAAAGTTGGTTGCTGGCCAAAGAAGGCAGCAAGCTTGAGGATGGGAATTGCCGAGCAGCGTCACTTTGCATGTGAATCACCGAAGGCTGCACTTTCTTCTTCTGTCACTATTCACCCTCAACTTGTTCAAACACGATAATTGCGCAACCCAGGAAGGCGCCTTCAACGACAATACTGCAACACCAATAATTCAAGCACGCGACAACTACAACTCATCAGCCCGGACAACACACCTTGAAGATGGCGACCATCGCCGATGAGCTTTTGAACGACTTCGAGTCCGATGGCGAAGAAGAGAACCAGGAGTCATACGAAGGCGACATTGCCGCGGACTCCATCTTGCGCCCGATAGACCACGGTGATGCAAATGGCGCCATGGAACTGGACGGTGACGAAGAAGAGGAGGACGATGGCGAAGATGGAGACTCAGCGCCCAGGCCCAATGCTAGAGAGACCGAGACCGAGGAAGAAGCAAAGGCCAGAGTCGAGAAGATGAATCTGGCTGCTGTAGGAGATGTACGCAGTGTCGCCATTCTGATGAAGAAGCTACAACCAATCCTCGAGGTAAGCAAAAATGTCTCAAGTCCCGACGTAATCATTATTTACATCTCTTGAACACAGCCCTGACCACTGCCTCTTGCTCGCAGNAAAATCGACCACTACCTGAACCTACCGTCCGACAAACAAACAAAGAACATTGGCAACATCGAAGACAACCCCGAGTACAAACTCATGACCGAGGCCAACACCTACTCCACTTCCATCGATGGCGAGATCATATTGGTCCACAAGTTCATTCGTGATCACTACTCAACACGCTTCCCCGAGCTCGAACGACTGGTCCAGAACCCCCTCGATTATGCAAAGACTGTCGCAATCATCGGAAACGGCCCCATGGACGATGTCAAGAGCTTGTCAAACTCGACAGATAACCCTGTTGGTCAATCACTCCGTCAAGTCCTGGATGGCCCAACTATGATGGTTGTCACCGTCGAAGCCACAACGTCAAGAGGTGTCGCCCTCTCCGATTCTGAGCTGTTGAGCATCCGACACGCATGCGACATGACCTTACAACTCGACAAGGCCAAACGAGTCATGACCGACTACGTGCAATCTCGCATGAGCGTGTTTGCACCAAACCTCACTGTCCTGATCGGTTCGCTAACAGCCGCCCAACTCGTCAATTTTGCTGGTGGTATCAAAGGCCTGGCTAGCACTCCCTCTTGCAACATTGCCCCGTGGGGATCTAAGAAGCAGACTCAGACCGGTTTTGCCACCAATGTGGGTGTCCGCCACCAGGGCTTCCTCTACAACTCTCCTCTTGTCCGCGAGGTTCCTAGCGATCTGAAGAAACAGGCCATGCGTATTGTATCCGCGAAACTCGTCATGGCTGCTCGCGTAGACAGTATTCACGGTTCCCCGAACGGAGCAGATGGCGAGAGGTTCAAGGACGAATGTATCAACCGCCTGGATAAACTAGTAGCACCAGCGCCCAATCGCGGCGCTCGCGCTCTGCCAGCTCCCGATGACAAGCCAAGTCGTAAGCGTGGTGGACGTAGAGCCAGAAAGGCAAAGGAAGCAACCGCCATGACCGATCTCCGTAAGGCTCAGAACCGTATGGAATTCGGCAAGGAAGAGGCAGAGGTCGGCTACGGCACTGGTGACGGCACCAAGGGTCTCGGTATGATTGGTGCCGCTCAGACTGGATCCATCCGCACACAGCAAATTGATCAGCGTACACGCGCGAAACTGTCAAAGAAGAACCCGGGTTGGGGAGGTGCTACGCCAGCTCCTTCAGGTCTTGCATCCACTTTCCACGGTGGCTTTGGCTCTGGAACAGCATCAGTCTTGCGGAACTCTGGTCTAAGAACTTCGGGTGTGGGCATGGGATCTGGCACATCTAGTATCGCATTCACACCTGTCCAAGGACTGGAGCTGGTGGATCCTAAGGTCAGAGACGAGATGAACAGGAAGAGAAAGGCAGATGAGGACCGATGGTTCAAGGGAGGCACCTTCACACAGATTGGCGGTACTTCCACATCGGCACTGGGAGCTGGGGCTTCAAATGGTGGGTTCAAGGTTCCTGCTTTGCCGCCCATGAAGAAGAGAGACACCGGCGCTGGAAAGTAGGATAGTGTGCATGCCTCTAAAACTCTGTCACGTCTGTATAATCCTTAGATAGCGAGCCAGCAGCGCTCATGAGTGAAAAACTGAAACATTTTTCAATGCCCGTTTCGTCAGCCCTGATTCATGATCTTGGGACTATGGATCATTCTCGTGCATCATGGTTCGTATCACAACGCTGATCGCTGAGGACCACCTTGACCTTCAGATGTTCTTCTATCATCTTCTGGACATTTATTATGATCCCTCAGGATAAACTTTGCGTGAAACCCGCTGCAGGTGATGTTGTGCAGAGATGGAGTTCAGATGTTGATGCAAGGACACCGAAAAACCAATCATCTCCAACCTCTTCTCCCTCTTTAAGTCAATACAACTCGCTATATGACACTCTTTACATATGTGCTGAAACAAGCAAATGGAAGGAAAGTGTAGATGTCGTTGCCCTCACTATACTATAGATATGACATAGAAGTCAGTGTCATACTGTCTACATACTTTTTATTTTTTCGCCTTTTTCTTTTCTCTTTCGAGATATCCCTGCTCTATCACTTCTCTGAGAACCTCTAGCGGATTACACCTTGTGATCGGCGACTTTCAAACGAGAGATTCACTTGCCTCGAGTGACAACATGCTTGCTGATACGTCTAGTCATCTGTCGTGAGCTTGAAAAAGCGGTTTCATTAGATGTTTTTCGTGTCTATATTTCTCTTGAGGTTAAGCTGTCATTTGGGTGTGAGCTAGATTGACTCATAACAGGAGTCTTGCTTGGGCAGATATGATAATTGGAGGTTTACCCGTGTTTCCTCATGAGATAGGGGTAGTGCTTGAGGCCTAGGGTTTTGTGTTTTTGAGCAAGGAAATTTCCTTGTCAATGTGACTCTTTTCATGCCTCGCCGCCAATCTCACCAGTCACCTTAACAAAGGCGTTCCATTGCTCTTTGGCGGCACCGCTGCTGATGCACCAGCGAGCACGTCTGACGCCCTCCTTCCAGCGCAAGCCACCTGGGCCGCGCTCGGTAATCACCTTGCCGTCATCACCAGGACCCATGTTGCTACTGTCGACCTCGCAGATTCCAGAGGTAACCAAGAGGGCAGCAGTGTTGATCAGGACGAACGTGAGGACGGGGTCTTCGGGATCAATGGTTCCATCAAGGATGCTCTGGAGGATCACGGCGTTCTCATTAGGTGACTTACCGCCAGCGACAAGACTGAGCGGCACAGGCTTCAGGCCAAAGTCCTCGGGTGAGACGGTGAAAGGTACAATGTCGACTTGAGCGTTGCCGGCGTCAGAGTGGGGCTTGAGTATCCAGCAGTATGAAGGTCCAGCGCAGCTCAGTTCGTCCAGGTCTTCGGCACCGCAAACGATCAAGGCCTTCTTTGCGCCAGTCAAACGCATGGACTCAGCGAACACGGGACCCATATCGCGCTTTGCGACACCCAGAATACGGGCCTCGATCAAGTTGCTGTTCTGTACGGGATTGGCGAGAGGACCAAGCAAGTTGAAGATTGTACGGAAAGGCAGCTCTTTACGGACAGCAGCGGCGTGCTTCATACCAGGATGCCATTCGCGGGCATACAGGAAGGCGTAATTTGTTCGGGAGTAGATTTCGGGGAGTGTCTTCTCAGTGGTCGCGGCGATGATGGGAGCGGGAGATGCGGCGAGCAGGAGGTCTGCGGAACCCGACTTTGACGTCGAAGCGTTGTTACCGTGTTTGGCCATCATGAGCAGGGCCGAGGCAAGGATACTCGAGGTTGTGCTGACATTGTATGTGTTGTGGCTGTCACCGCCGGTACCAACTATGTCACANNCTATGAAGGAGTCAGTATCTGACTGAGGAAGCAGACTCGCTTGGGCATACCATACCAGACCTCCATGGTATTGACCCTCTTTGCGAGCTCGTTGTGACACAGCTTTTGCGAGAGCGTTATGGTCGACTTGAGCAGCGGCATATCTCATAGAACTGGCGCATGCTGCAAGGATATCCGGACGACGATCCAATTGGGTTGTGTGAAGTGCATAGAGAAGACAGCCTGTTTGGACAGGCGAGATGGCGTTTGCAAAAATGTGCGATACTGCAAGAGCAACTTCCTGGGCAGTGACGCTGTACAATGTCGTGGTGGGGTCCGCCAGCCGGAGGAGAAGCGGTGATATCGAGATTGCTGCTTTGGCTTCGCTCATTGTTGCGAGGTTTGTGGTTTTCTGAAAGATACAAGAAGCAGGCAATCGCATACAACACAAGATAGAAGCGATTCAAACAAGGAAATTGAACAAGGAAAGAGTTATCGAAGCACCGAACAGTATGACTGGAATGCGGCCTCGATGCTCGGGTCTTGCCGAATGGAGAAAGAGCAACCCCCAAAAGTGTCCGTGCACGAGATTTCCTGAAGATGCGGAAGTCGCGCTGAACGGCAAGACCAGAGTATCCGCCAGTCGCTCCTTCCACAATCATACGTAAGTTCAAGTCTGGGTTGCATGTTTCGATGTACCTTCCTGCTAACAACCTCCAGCAACCACCACAATGCCGCCGAGGTTACGACTCCAAGCCAGCAAGCGCTTGCGCCTGAGCACATCCAACACCGCATACCCTTCGTGTCAATGTCGATACGCCTCCCTGGCTGCTGCCACCACTCCGGCTCCTTCGATTGAGTCGACAATCCACGCCTCGTCTCCCATCTCGCGCCATCCTCCTACCCAACCTCCGCCATACAAGCCTGCCGAGTTCCGCAAGACACAACTTCACCGTCTCTACACGTCCCTGATTCGCTCATCACCCTTGATGCTGGTCTTCCAACACAACAACCTCAAGGCTTCAGAGTTTGCAGGAATCAGAAGACAGCTCAACTTCGCTCTGGAGAAAGTCGACGCTGAGTTGGGTACCGAGGCTTCACCGTCTGTCATTGGCAAATACACCGAGCTGCAGATTGTCCAGACTGGTATCTTCGCCTCTGCCGTTAAGGTCGCCGAGTCGTTCAACTCGGAATCCTTTTCCGACACTGCCAGGACGCATCACCCCCAAGATCCGGCCACCAACACCTCCACTACCCTCAACACAAAGCCTGCTAGCCCGCAATACACACACAGCTTGTCAAGGGCAGCATGGAAGACTGCTAGAAGCGCAAAGGCTCAGACTGGTCTTGAACCCTTGCTGTCCGGTCCTCTGGTCGTTCTTACATTCCCCCTGGTCTCGCCCCAGCACCTGAAGGCTGCCATGACCATCCTCTCCCCTTCGGAGGCTTTCCCTGCTCCTAAGAGAAAGGCAAACCCTGGTCTCTACGAGCCCACCATTCAGAGCGGTCTTCAGAAGCTCATGCTTCTCGGCGCGCGCGTCGAGGGTAAGGTCTTCGATCTAGACGGTACCAAATGGGTCGGTGGCATCTCTGGTGGTCTGGACGGACTCAGAGCCCAGCTCGTATACATGCTGCAATCCCTGCCTGCCACCCTTACAAACACTCTCGAGGGTGCAGCAAAGAGCTTGTATGTTACCGTCGAGAGCAGACGTCTGGATATGGAACCCAAGGAAGACAAGCCAGAGGTAGAGAAGAAGGAGGAATAGACCATGTAGGTCTGTCCTGTTTTGTATTACCACCCACAAATCTGTACAGCTTCTCAATCTTCTACAAAAATGATATCCATTGCTATTCCATTGTATCTTCAGTCGTTTTCGAAAGCACATCCTTGATCGTGGTCTGTCGTTTTGTAGCTTTGTTGTCGTTCTCTTCACTTCCGTGAAGGGTCCGGCTCTTTTCTCGAACCGCCGCACTGGTCCTCTTTCTAACGCGCACAACCACCGTCCGAATCCGCGACAGTCCATCCAACCAAAAACAACAACATGGTCTTCAGCACTGTGTTACGCACCCTACGTGCCAAGTACCACAAGCTAGACTTGATCGAGAAAGAGGTTCCTGACCTGAAGAGCTCTCCTTCAAGATCTACCCATTTCAACTTCTCTACCTTGACCAGCTCAATCAGACGCGGTCGTCCCTTGACAACCAAGAAGCAAAACCTTCATGACCCTCGCTCTTCGCTCCAGAGCGTTCACGAAGATGTCTCCTGGAATGGACCCCANGTACGTCGCTGAAAGTTCTACTGGTCTTTACGAACACTCATTATATCACACAGGCTCTGCGGCAACACTGTCACATCCGATCTGAACGCACCCTCAACTCCTGTAAACAGGTGCTTCCCTCTGGATCCAGCCTCGATTGAGGTAGAGATAGAGAGGGAAGAAGAGCTAATCAACAACGTCTTCCATGTTCATACCGAACTGGTTCGCCCTGCTTCAGTCGTCTTTGCCAGACATATCGCCCGTGGACGTTCCAGCATCCCTGTCCCTGGACAAGATCGCGATGTCGTTCAGCTGTTCGTCAGATTCCTCTACTCTAGCAACATCCACAGCAATGTGGCCGATGCTTGCGACCTCACCGGAGGCTGCGAGACTCTCAACTTCAAGCTTCGCGACGGTTCGTTCGCCCAGCTCCAGACACCAGATGATGAAGAGAAACTTCTCGTCAAAGCCTACCTTTTCGGCTACTCCTACAGCTGCTGGACCTTCTGCGACGCCCTCATCGACACCTTAATCTGCAAGATCATCGGTCAGAAGCGCACCCCTATCCCTCATGGTCTGCTTGATATCAACTCCAGTTGCGCCTCCTACTACCCTCTCAAGGTTCTCATCGCTCACCTTGCCATCTACACCTGGTCAGACAACCAGTTCTGTGGTTTCGCTCGTGCACACAAGTCTGACAGAATGGATCACGTCAGATTCTGGGCCGATGTTGGAGATTACAATGCCGTGTATAAGACTGGCGCTTTCGGTTTGCCCAGGGCTCCATGGAAGAAGAACCCTTGTCACTATCATGTTCATACTTCGTACCCTAAGATGGGTTACACTTGCTACGTCCAGGAACGTTAGGTTTGAGCAGTCGTTGGCTCTGCTGACTGATCAGGGATGTCTTGAGGTGGTCCGAGAGTTCGACGGAGATTGATGTTCATGGTGCTGCCTCCACTTACCCAGTGGGTACCTGCACCTCTGACAAGGAGGGTTTCTGTCCTCCAAGAAATCGTTTTCCAAACTCCCGTTCTGTTACTTCTGCTTCCTGTTCCATCTCGAATAACACTTCTGTACTCAACGGCCGCACATCCAATTTCTAAACTAATCCTGTAGGAGTGCACCAAGGTTTTGCGGTTAGACACACACTTCACCAAGAGCACTATGTGACAAAAGAATATGCTACAATCACTCCACTCATCTGATCAATTGTTCAGTCGCTTTTGCTTCAGTACCTCGACACATCACCACAACCGATATGATAGGATCTTGGACCAGTCTTCACAATCCCCACCAACTGGTGAGTCCTTCGGGTTCTCATCCAGTTACTTCTCACTGTCTTTGAGGGACCTTTCAGTGTTCACGCTCATCAGATAACTATTTCAAGGCTTCTACTCGAGCAGATTGTCTACCTTTTTCATCATGATACACTTTCGTACTTCATAAAGTGCCACACCAGACTTACTTCTCACATTCGCCAAAGTTTTCATCTCTTCAACTCGTCTGACTTCCCGTCCCATACTCGACAAATACACTCTCAGCCACTTACAAGCACAGTGGCTCTATCATGGGACGTCCTGGTCCACCCGTACCCAAGGCGTTAATGCCACCAATCCCATTCACACTCAAGAGACGCTCGGATGCAAATGTTTTGCTGGCAAAGCGTCAGAAGACAGCACAGGGGGATTCTAAAGACCTCGTCCACGAGTGAGTGTCGATGTTTTCGGTCTCACACACAGACAGTTTTTGTGCTGATCCTTCTCCGGCTTGAACATCGTCGTCTTGAAGCACAACGGCAATCATGTGGCGCAGGTTCCTTTATCCAGCTTCCAGGCATCGGCTCAGGAAAAAGTCAAGGATCTCAAGACCGACATTTCTAGAAGTGCGACTCACTGCTGGAGGTTGTATACGTATGATCTACGGAGGCTTCATGGCCCATATGCTGAAGAAAGAGTCGAGCGGTGGGTAAGCTGGCTGATCTACAGGGATCTGCGAGCCGTCGTCAACGGTGGAGCCGAAGATGATAAAGAGATAGAGGCTGCTTTCGTGGATGCTAGAGATTTGGCCGACATCGATTATCAAGATGCTTTGGTCGGTGCTTTCGTGACTTGGATTCGGGAAGAAAGACCTACGGCTAGCTGGCTCCTAGGAAACGACGAGCGTTTCTTCCGGTACCACGACTGCTTGGAAGATCTGGGCAATGCTCTGATCACCTATCACCACGCTGGACCTCTCACGTCATCTAGTTCCAAAACAATTGAAAGTATGCGCAGATGGGTCAAACGGTACCATCTCGATCCGATGAGGATACCAGACGATCCTCTGCAGTTGTCTGCCGACGACTTCTGCATGGAATATCATGCCCATCACAAAGAGAGCCTTTCCTGTTACAGAACAAAGAAATTGCCATCGAAGATATTCTTTGGTTGAGGATTCTCAACTTGGCTCTCACGAGTGTCAAGTATGTTCTTGCATCTTTCCACATCAGATTTCACTGCTGACAAGACTCAGCATCAATTCAACACACAGCAGGCTCCCTGATGACAACAACGCTGATGCTATATCAACAGCCGTGACCAACATTACATTACGAGCACGTTTTCCTTTGTCTTCCCATGCTTAGAATCAGCGATCTTCCAGCTGTCTCCTCATCTTGAAATCAGGGAGAAATTAACACAGGTTGCAGTAACAAATGAACATCAGATCGTATCTTATCGACATAGAAAGCATAATCTCAATTGCTTCGGCCATCTTCCCGAATCCTTCATGATGAGTTTGTTGAATATCAACCTTGATAAAGGGTTGATTGAGTCGTGGAGCCCCAGACCTTGTGTTTCAGGGGTATGATTGCTTGGCGTCATCTCTACATATGCGTACGTGCCTTACCTCTTATCTTTCCTCAAAACACCGCCAACGTCTCTTTGCAATCTACGCGACTGGTCAGATTCATAATATCAATGTCGCCCATGAGGTTCCTAGCATTTGGCGAGATTCGGGACAGGTTGGTCGGTGACGACAATCCTGCTCGTGATGGAGGTGACATGGATTACGAGCGATGTGCTGCTCTACACAATGCCATTGTAAAGCATGGGTGGACCGCGAGTGGTCGTTCCCTCGACGACCTGCCCCTAACGACTTGCTGGGAAGCAAACGAAGAAGACTGGGAGGCCGACGCTAGCCGACTTCATCCATCAATGGTGGAATTTCTCAAACGAGCATACAATACGGAGCTACCTGAAACAGAGCCGATTTACAACTGTGTCTCGAGAGAATACAAGTTCTTTTACTTTCTTGAAGGACTGATCGGACCTCAAGGTCATGAAGTCTATGATCTTGGCGACCATATCGGAGACCACCCTGGTCATTATATGACACTGTACAGCCCAAATAATCGACTAGGTTCGCATGCTCAAGGATTGATGTACGATACGCGTCGGGCTTCAAGTGCCAGGAGCTGACTGGCTTTCTAGNNCTACAATCAACAAACACATGAATGCCTCGTAAACTTCAACAACACAGATTTCAACCCTTTGCACAAGACCCTTCCATGGCAAAGGCTCGAAACAATCTTGAGCGTATACATCGACATGATCGAAACCGAGAAAGTGGTCTGCATACACAATGACGTCGAGAAACCTGGCGACTTCAAACTAGTGAACCTTGGAGAAGAAGCTGGACAGCAATGGCTGTCGACGCAAGATCGACCAGACTCGCTTGTGGCAGATCCGATCACAGGACTTGCAAAGAACGGTAACATTATGTTTGGGCCTTGGATTGTTCTGCAATATACCAAAGGGGTACTGGAGCAATGTCTCGAGACCTGGGAAGTCCTCGTCGAAGCCATCGAACAGAAAATACCAGCAATCTCGGACAGTGTTGTGGAAGTCCAGTATGGTTTAGCCGATGAAAGTATGCTTGAGACTGCCGGGATCATCGAGGACTTCCTTAGAAAGCTGTTATTGCGGGCCCGCAGACCCAGATTCACCTACATCGCGCCTGGAATCCGGCTGCCTACACCGGAAGAATTCATTGATCAGCCTTTCAGCAGCATAAAAGAATCGGAAGCCGACGAAGATATCCATAGGAAGATGCCGTTCCTCATTTTCAGGGGCGAGAATACTTGCCGAGCATCTGAACACTTCTCCCATCCATACAATCAAGCCTCAAGAATTCCCACAGGACTCTATCTTGAAGGCTGGACGCAGAGCGACTTGACCCCTTTCACGGATGCCACTCGTTTGTTACTACCTTTCGCCATCGGTGGCGAGGACACTTGGGCGCAGACAAGCAATGGTCTTGCGATAGACGGCAGACACGACGAACTCTATCAGATCGGTGATAATCCATTTGCACCGGACCATGGTACTTCGCTGCTTGGGATATTACAGAACTTCTACGCTCATGTTGTCCAAGGAAATTGGTCTGTTGATGGGAGAGGTGTTAGTGATCCCATTGACAAGTTCCGGGAAGCAGAAACAGAGGAGCACTGTAACCAGTATGCTGTCCCGATGGGGCCTGGTGAGTTCTGGTAGACTATAGAGATCATGTGGTGAACTTCGAGAGGTTCCTGTGCTCAAGACAGTCACAACTTCTCTCCTTCGCCAATGGCTGGCACTGTATATCCTATAAGAATGCACAATTGTTTGTCGAAACACATGTGTGATCACAGAAGTAGCCTAAAGATATTATCTCTCCTTGGACAATGTCTCGTTCCAAAAAGTATTGTGCACTTCTATAGCTACTCCATAGAGGTTCCTGACACACGGGGAGACGAGGCAGGTGGGAATGTTTGACCACTTTCCTTGACGCACATCAGATTGCTGACTGCTTCGATCACTCCAACCATCCTTCTCCTACCATTACCTCCGTCTTGATGGAAACTGCTGCACGTTCCCATCAACTCATCCATTCAGCCAATTACTATTGGATCTTCACTATTACCAAATTCTGTATAGCTTCACAAGTTCACAGCTCACTGCCCGTCCGCACCGTTTACTGACCGGCCTGTTTTCGACTCTCAAAGGAGGAACCTCTTGCTGTTCACTCCTCCCAAGACAAATTTCGTTGTCACACCGAACTACTACTTCAACCTTATCATCCACCCTCAACTTACTTTCTTTCTCTTCTCCAGCCAGACAGGATACCAACCACAGTCGCAGACACCAGAAGATCTGATCACCTTTCACTTTCAAAGTCATCCCTACTTCACATCAGTGCCTTCAACAACCCCTTTGCGCAAGAAGACCCCTTTTCCGTCCTCAAACCCCATCTTACAACACCAAGAAAATCAGTCCTCATCCGGTCTCACCACCTGTCGCCATGTCTTCGGAATCTTCGGCCACAGTCCGCGCCGACTCTGGATAGCCACCTGGTAAACGCCAGAAGACTCTCGATCATGAGTAAGATCGACAAGGCNNGAGCTCGGAAAAGATTGTGCGAATTGCGATATGCAGGTTTGACATCGTCTTGCTTGAGGCGCCCGAAAGTGGATCCGGCAACATCGAACTCGCTGCTGTCGCGTTCCCGACGAAGCTGTTCCAGGTCTATCCTCACACCTAACGAGTGAAAAAATGGTCTGAGTCTAGTTCTGTCAGTAGAGCCAGAGTTGGCAACCTTGAGTTTGATCAGAAGGCTAGTCTTGTCAAGTCTCTAGCCCATTGGGCCCACGGGCGCGACGCAAAGGCTGCTCTCGAAGACTGTCTGCCACAGGAACATGACGAGATAGAGTTCTTGTATGACGTTCTTCAATTTTGTCACGAAGAGATTCACCACGACGTGCACGATGCTGTGATCGACTGCATAATCGAGCATGTTCGGATTCAGAGACGAGAAGGCTCCTTGCCTCAAGTTTTGATCAACACTATCTATTTTGCAGTCAAATAACTCGAAGAGAACCTTGGGGCTCTCACAAGCACAGAAAACTCCAAGGTTGTCGATCTGCTGGTAGCTCTCCATCTTCACCATCTCAGATCAGATCTCCTGGATAGTCTTCGTAGTTCTCTCTACGAACACAGACACCTAGATCTTGTGGATGACATCAAGGCACGCGTTCAGATCATCATGCATCGTGTCCTCGACGAGGGCTCCCTTGCCAACGTACCCGAATATCCTCTGGCAGATCACTTCGACCAACACTGTCGCTACCACAAGCATGGAGATGATGAGACTTGCTACAGGGCCAAGCAGCTTTGGGGATATACTGAATAAGCAAAGCCTTTGCGTGGAAAGGGCCAAAGTCTCCAGATTTTCTCCATCCCATTGATTCCCAAACACAGCTACAGATTGAAGTGGAGAATCAAGAATTTGAGGAGGCTGAAGAAGGAAAAGCGGACAAAGACAGAGAGCGAAAAATGACCAACAGAGATGACAAGATTTCAAGTAGGAAAGAGCAGTACCAGCATTAACAATCCTCTTAGACAAGCAGCATATTGCAACATATCTTAACCCAATGATACCTTCCTTTATACCCCATTTATACATACCTTGATACAACCCATACTCTAATGACGTGGGTTTTTAACTTGTATCAGATACTGCTTTAATGACATCGTGGAAGCATACCTAACATAATTTTGACTGTTTCGCGATGGCAGGTGTGTTTGCAAGTGTTTGGTGTATGGAAGACAAAGATGGTTGTTTGTTGTAGCGAGAGAAAAGTCGAAAAACGAAGCTGACGCTCGTGTTGTGATGAGTTCAATTCACTTCTCCAACCAATCAGTTCTGAACTCTTCTCCTCCCAGCGACCGAGACTTGATTTGAATGAGCCATAAAATTGCACAGTGTCTTCCAAGAAAGAGCAATGTCCAGTGAAAAACGTTATTGTCTTAAATCCCCCTTGAAACAATCTGTGATCTGGATATGGTTGTGCATTCTTATAGCTTCGGAACACCAAGCGACGGCAATTGGAGTTGCAGCAGTAACAGTGTGGAAGTGTTAACATCTGACACGCTTGCCAAAAATTTATGTCTGCTTCACTTTCGCAAAGGGAAAGTTCCTGACGATCTGTCTAGTCGAAGCTTCCCTTCTCTCTTCTGTCACCACCGCTTTCTGCCCATAGTTCTTTGATCATCATCATGTGTTGTTTCCTTCCAGTGATTGCGACTCGTATGAACAGTGAACTCGAAGTGATTGTAACGCTGGTAAACAATGAATTGACACTGGTCCTAACATGATCAAACAGTGGATGTTCGAGATTGATTTCTTATAGGCTCTCAGTGGACAGAGTATGTTATGGTATTGAATTCTGCATTTTGATAGCCCCTTTTCGGGTATTGCGGAAGCTTGGAGTAGTAGCACCTCATCAGCGGAGGTATTCAAGCAACAACACGGCTTTAGCAAAGAAACAGCAGTTACGCAGTGAGAAGATAATGGTCTCGACTTGAGTAGAGTAAGATGGATATGTTCTACAGTGAATTGAAGACTAGATAGGGTCGTGCCCGCGAGACCTGGAAACAAGACCAGGGTCTGGCACGATGCTGGGCGAGCAGCACAATAACAAACAAACCCCGATTTTCTTCACTTGGAATTGTGAAAGGCAACTTCCATCTCATTCTGGTCGTCTTCCACATCGACGCATTAATTTACTCACAAAGCCAACCTACCTTGAATTCTACCCTTACCAATCTTATTCTTCGTCCAATACCCTTCCGCACCTTGGCTAATATCGACAACCGCTTCGACTTGGAATTGGATATGGATAACGACGAGTACAACGCCGAGCAGTACTTCAATGGCGGCGATGACGACGATGACAATCAACACGAGCCTGAAGCTGAGAAGGAGGGAAGCGCCATGTCTGGGTCAGCAATTTGCGCTCTAGAGCTCCGACCCAAGCATGATGGAAGCAGCAACACATGCGGTGGTGGACGCAACGATGAACGCAGCATTGGACGCGGTGGATGACGTGGTGGCAGAGGTGGCCATGCTATGATCTCTTGGGCCCGTCGCAAGCGCGCTCTTCGACAGCGCCAGGTTGGATCTGCTGCCACTGAGCACNNGCAATCGAGCTTGGGTCAGTCACTTCAACCCTATATGGAGAGAACCAGCTAATCGTTTTTCAGCATAGATATCGTGGTCCTGAAGGCCAGGGACAAAGCTGTCAGCCATGTATCCAAGACTAAATTCGAGCAGGTGGTCAATTGGGTCGACCACAAGACTTACGATGTCGTCAAGGAATGCGAGGGTGTCAACGTCAGGTGCCATAGTTTTGACACCACCGTCCCTTTCGTCCGCTTCTTGGTCCACTGGATCCACTACCACAACACCAATGATACTCACGCTGCCATCGAATATGCTCTCGACAACAAAATCGATGTCAACATCCTCAAACCCAAACTCGGCGCTATCAACTTGTCCCAGGACATCACTGTCGACATCTTCGTTGCTCTTACCAATTAGACTGTTGTAACTCTAGGCTTTAGATGCTGCTTGAGTTGGCGAAGGATGGTCTGCAGTGATTTTTTGTCCATCCGCGTAGTCGGATGCTCTGGAGCCCTGCCGTATACAATCATGTCTCATCAATGCTACCTGTTTATTAACGCTGGTTGTTCAATCTTTCTGGACCGACAAGTGTCTTAAAGCTTGACGTGATAGGTCGAGCAGACCTTGCAACAAGCGAACATTATGTCTTCGGAACTTGTGTTCTGTCAAATCCTATCAAGATAGATAGTACTGCTAATGGACCGAGCAGTGACCACAAGAACTCGTCAGTCTACGCTTCCCAATGGACAAAGTCTCATGCTGGTGACAAGCATGGATTTTGATAGCTTTCGCGTCATCATGGGAGGATGATTTGGTGTGACAGACTTGATTGTTATGATCGAATCTATCACGATTTTCTAGGTTCACCTTATCTGAGTCTCTCCAGCTTGTTCTCCTGGTTATATGTGGGGAGAAGCTTCCAACCAATCTCCATCGCCATCTCCCTGTCATCCAGTCCTCCCTACCTCGAATTATCCGTTGTCGACAGTCAAGACCGTGATCCAAACAATTTAGTTGTCGCCAGCCCAGACAGCAGTTTCCTCGTAGGACTTGAGTGGTCCTGATACAGTACGCTTTGCCACGGAGAGTTTCTGTGTAGCCACGGATGCGGTATGCGCAGCATCGTTGACGGGCTTGGTATCAACTTCGACGCAGCCATCGATCTGTTCCTTGGAGCAAAGGGTGTAAAGAGTTTTGGTTGCCATGTCACAAAGCTTTCCATCAGATGAAGAGGCGAAATCAGGTCCCCAACTGGTCTCCGAGTTGCAGAGGTTGGTTGCGCTGTGAGAGGCGATGTTGGAAATGATGAGCTTTTTTTCCATCCATGGAAGGCGAGCGCGAGGGATCAGGTTGCTTCTCTTAGCCATGCTAGGGTCTGCAGGTGCATCTATTTAGATTTTATCAGCTCAACTTGCTCCCGTGGAATATACATCTTGGTTGATTTAGAGCTTACCAGTGATTTCACCTTCATCAGCCGCAAAGATGGTGGAGCCGCAAGCATCTTGATCGAGAGTGATATGGCTGGTATCATTGCCATATGCGTAAGTTGCGAACTTGAGAGAAGCGCTTGGAATGTCGTTATCGTGGTTCCCATCAAGCCAGGTGCAAGAAGGACGGTAAACGGTTCCATCATCGAGTTGCCCTGCAACTTCCTGACTCTCGAACCAAGTCTGACCGCAGCTGTGACCGTATTGTCAGTTGTGTGTCCTTGAGAACAGATGGAAGGTATTTCTAGCTTACAAACGCCCAATGTCTCCGGTCCAAGCACCGCCAAGGGAGTTATCGAACATCTTGACAGTGATCCAAGAGATACAAGTAGCATCGTTGCCGTTCTGGATTCCGATGTACTGGCCTTGGGCACCAGGGACGTCTTGATCGACCGTGAAAGTCAGGTAGTCAGCATTTCCAGCCATGGTTTGACCCCCTGCCGAGCCGAGCTGCACGTTCTGGGAGTTGTATGCATAGACTTTGGAAATCTCGCCACCCTAAGTGTGAGATCAGATTTGGGAAGCCAAAGCACAAGGTTCTGACAGCACAGTGGGACTGCTTACCAGAGTGTCTGAGGCGCCTGAGCCATCGCCGCCTTTGATTCCGACGATAGTGCCTTTGGCATCTTCCTGGTCAGGGACAAAGTTGTCCAGACCAAATTGGATGATACCCAAGCCCGTACCGAGTAATCCGATAGCATCGACGAAACCAAGAGCCATGATGCTTGGAGATATGCGAGTTTCAGTGGATAAGAGAGAGAGATAAAAGACTTGCAACGATTGATTGTTGTTCTTGAGGCGTACTTTGCTGAGTAGAATGATACCAATGAATCTGTTCTTACAGCGCCTTTATATATACTCGTCTCTGCTTTGCCAATACGTCAGTGTGTTCTCCTGAACATAATCTCGATTCACGACTTCGATGACTCGACATCCAATCCTGAAGGATGAATTGGATATAGGAATGTTGCCGCCTGTGCCTCTGTTAGAACCACCTGCAGGTCTCTGTGTGGTATGATGCACATGCTTCACAGCGTAAGTTGGAAGATGTGGATCATAACAACATCCTTTGCCGCAGCTCAGAGATCACTCACCAGCTAAGAGCTGGCTCATTGGTACTCCGACCAAAACCGGATCCAGTATCGAGAGAGTGAGGTGGACTGGTGGACATTCCCTGCATGCAGGGTGTTGCTAATTCCAGTAGAGGGACTTTGAAACGATTCGCACGTAGATGACAAGATGTTGGCTACGACAGACGTGGTCGTCTCCGACCAATGATTACACGTCGTGAGCATGCACACTGATCGCTCGAGAAAGATCGTGTATGCAAGCAGCTCAGAGCTTTGACGGCTGAATCCGTCCTGAGGAGTCGGTCAATTGATCGTTTCACGAGTTGGCGCCGACCTTCGATTGTCTAAGACAAGGCATATTATCCAAGTCCACATTTTGACGATGCTTTCCAGTCTTGTGTGTTAGATCTTTTGATTGCTGGGTATGTCATGGTAGTAGGACAATCTACCGAGCTTTAGCCAGGCGGATGGCAAGTGCGCCAAGGCTCCGCCGTCTAGCGCGCTTAGCCACAAATCCTTAGGGTTTCTCAGCGCAGCGGAAGTGCGGCTTCTCCTCTTTAGATCCTGGGCACGCCAATCCCCTGGGGAACCCAGCGAGTCAGAAAACGATACCAAACACAACTCAGTCGATCAGAGCACGAATGCCGGCCTGTGGGCCTATAATCTAGGTTGCGGCAGAAAGCTACGGCCGATAGCTACATCCGAAGGTCTGATACATTCTTGTTCACTCGACGTTCGACTTCTCCACTCGATCACTTGAGAGGAACGCACACCGGTTTGTGCGAATACGGAAGCAGTGCCTACCACGAATAAAGCAATGGATGCCATTCTGTCTGTATGTAGTCAGGATTATCGACGTTGCTGCGAAGAGAAGGAGAGGCCTGAGCACGATGCACTTTACTCAGGAAGCTGCCGCAGGTAGGCAGCAAGGCTTCCGCGCCTCCCTCGTCCCCATCGATGCGCAGCCAATATCGCAGAGTGTTACACGTGGTCTATCACCACAATGTCAGAGGCACCAACTAGGTCATGGCATGGATCGGGGCAGCAGCGACTCATCACCAACCGCTGAATCCACCGCCGCACACTATCACGCGTGCGTCGATCAGTATCCCGATCCATAATCACTGACAGCTAACATCAACATGCGACAATCCAAAAACGGTCTAACACTTAATCCTTTGCTTCAAAAGCTGTTCCGAGCTCTAAGATCGACCAAATACCAAGGATCTTGACTTGGCCTACGAAATCTTACAGAAAACCAACTTCCTATAACTTGATTGCTGCTGAGTGTCGATTGTTATAATCCTTCATTGTCTGCTCTTCCATTCCCTGATCCAACGCCCACTTTATTCCAACGCTCGAAGATCCTCATACCAGAACATTCCACTTGCAATATGTACTTTGATCCCAGCATCCTGACCCTTCTTCCATTGCTTCTTGCATCGCAAGTGCAAGCTCANAACCTCGTCAGTGCCTAGTTCTGACCCGCAGAGATTAGACATTGACCACAACACAGTATCCAGAACTTGACCCTTGGTTTCGCAGCCAACGATGGGAAAGGCAACGTCTCGTTCTCCACCAACGAAGCACCTTCGAGCGTCACCTGCTTCAATCTTGCCGAAATCTTTGCTGGCAACACCAGCAGCGGACAGTATGCCATTTCCAACCCGCAGGACTTCAACCCGCAAACGAACTACACGTCCTTGTTCTACCAGCAGCTCAATGAGAGCATCAATGGGGACACCAGCGGTGTCGGAACTGGCAAGGATGCCGCCAGATCTGTCGAAGTCTTTCCTGGAGAGGACTGTCGTGAGACTGGTGGGCTATCATGGTACGGATTCAGCTGCCAAAATGCTGACGGAGAGACATATGTCGTCCCTGGTGGTGTCAAAAGTTTCTCGATCGTGAGTAGAGCCGAGTCTGCCAGCCAAGACCACTGCTGGATCCTAGCGAAGCAAGGAGCTGCTTCGACCAGTTTCAAGGGCTGCTTTGCAGCAGTAATGGCCGCTGCGTTGGCTGGTACACTCTTGGCTCTGTGATGGAGCGACAGAAAAGCATGGTGATCGAGCTTCGGTAGGATGGCCTGTGGGTCGACTCCAGGCACAGTGATGATGACATGCAAGTAAGAGGGCTAGGAATAACACATGTCAACTTCCTCTGCCCCATATGTAACGAGATGTAAAGACACGATCTTTGGGAGATGCACAGTCAGGTCCAACATGAATTCAAGTTGTAAGGCAGCGAATGGAGCCAGGTGATCTTGATTTGATCTGAAACACTCTTACGATTGTTTAAGGCGGGGCCGATTTGTTTTCGAAACAGAACAGGAAGCAGAACAGAGAGTAATGGAACCTAGCGAACCGATTGTCAACCATCAAGTACATTGAGCTCGCCTTCACATCTCGGTCTCTCCAGATCTGCCTCGGCTCAGTCTTCCGGGCTGTCCAAAAATCTACACCGATCCCCCAATCTAAGCTTTCCTCACAGGACAATATTGGCTACGCTACAAAGAGACTCGAGACGAGCGTCAAGGCACTATACCTTATGATTTATGGATACTAAGCAATAGCAGACGTGTCGTCATGATCCAGTGATTGGAACCTTCGCCCGTCACGTCCCTGCTGGCGAATCCAGATTGACTTGTTTCAGGGGATTTAGATGCATGAAGTTTGTTACCGAAAATTCGGTTCACTAGCCGCACCAGGACGCGGATATGAAGGAAGGTAGGCGCTTACACGCGCGCGCTATTAGAAGCGCGACCCCAAGCGTCCCTCGACAGCACTGCAACTCAAGAAATGAACTATGGCAGGATCAGTGGCTGCAGCTACACCTCGTTGGTAGCCGCCTTTGACGCCGCACACTATCACCAACGCGACGATCCATACTTCTATTCTGTCTCAACCAAATGATTTCGACGTATAACATGCAACAGATGAATCAACCTCCAATCCGCAGAAGCTGTACCGAGCGCTAATGTCAAACAATCGTTCATTTTCTTCGACTTGGCTATGAGAGATTTTACGATGAATGCCTGATTGGAGCTGGGTACCCATGCTTTATCATGCTCGTTACCTGCTCAACTCGCTCACCTGGGTCATCACCTTCTGAGTAGCATCTTCGAGACTATACTATCTTATCTTTCTTCACCATGTTGTCCAGACACAGTATTCTGGCCCTTCTGTCCTTACTTCTTGTATCCCAGGTGCAAGCTCAAAGCGAGTGAGTTGCTTGCTTCCAGATTCTATAACGCGAAATCNNATATTCTGATATCAGATGCAGGGATCATGACTCGACTTTGAATTTCATTTCTTTCGACCAAAATGTTGGCACCAACATCTTGTTTTCTATGTGAGACAGGCCCATACCTTCCACGGGAACCTGTTCCAACCTCACCGATGTTTTCGGCAATTCGAGCCACTCCTGGCCTTGTGTCGTCGAGAATGCTGAGCAATGCAGCCCACAGAACAACTACACGACTTTATTCTATAAGCAACTCAATGAGACTGGTCTTGCAGTAGGCAAAGATGCTGCCAGAATTGTCAAGGTGTGGCCATACGAGAGTTGTCGTGAGACTGACGCTTCCCCATGGTATGGATTCAGCTGCCAGAGTAATGGATCGATGTACAACATCCCTGCCGGGATCAAGAGTCTCTCTGTCGTGGATAGGTGGCACTCTAACAACGAGGATGAAGGTCACTGCTGGACCTTGGCTGAGGATGGTCGCACCTCTGCGGCTTCTACTACCTTCCAGGGCTATTTTGCAGCGATGATGGCTGCTATATTGACTGGCGTGATCTTGGCTATGTGATAGGAGAGCAAGAGAGATCGACGACTGTCTTTCTTTGAGGACAGATTGACAGAGATACGGAATATTACGAGCATGGCAGGAAGAGAGTTGCAGTCTACGATGTGCAGAGGTCTAACTAGGATTGTTGTGTGTTCAGTTCCTTCTGTGTAGCGTTTCGTTTGACGTTAGGCTCTGAGAATACACAAACATGTTTGACTTGATGATGATGCACAAAGATCTCAGTGGTGTTGGTCTGTTGCGATAAATTATTGAGTGTTTGCAGAACTTGCACGTCGGACTGACTCGTGTTTGAAGCAGAGAGTGATAGATTCTAGCAAATGAGGATGTCAAACACGAAGTGAATGAAGCTCACTTTCAGATGTTAGTCTCTCCTAACACTTTCACACTACTTGCTGTTACTTCTGCTTGCTCATCGCTCTTTCCTCTGCGTCCCGCAAACATCCAACTCCTTCTCAAACCCTTTCCAACATGTCGCAAACAACACACAATGCAATCTCCCGTTCTTGCGACGCGCACAAAGATGGTCCTGACAACAAAAGACTGAAGATAGACGATGAGGATGAATTCCCTTATAGGTTAGCAATCATAGATCATATCTTCTTACACTCGCTCACGTTAACTTGTAGTGATCGCATAACCATTCTCCAGTCATACGGAACCGTCGTTTCCCATGTTCCCACCAGCGAATTCGAAAAGATCATCGTACAAAACACAGGCGTCCACGACGATTACAGAGGAGCCAGCATCCAGACTCACAACTTCAATGTGGAAAAGCCTCTTGTCAGGTTCCTCGCTCACTGGATACATCACCGAGACTCGGAGGAAGCAATCACGGCCACCATGAATCGCCAAACCCAGAGAAGACATGGAGTCCTCGACGAAGAGTGGCTAGACTTCCTGATCAAAGTCATGAACTTTTGTGACGACCCAAAGAAGTTTATCAGCGATATCACCGACTCTCTTGTTCACAATTTCATGTTCTTGCTAGACAGCGGCGATCGCTGCCACATCAAGCAGATGTACAGTATCTGCAAAGCTTGCTGCAAAACCCACGCTCTCATCCGCATCTTCGCCAACGAATTTGTTTACTGCGACAAGGAATTCTTGATGCGAACTCCTCGTTGCCGTTATGACTGGGCGGTTCAGAAACACATGCAGGGATGGCTGGCTGACGTCTTTTGTCACAACAAAGACTGGAACAGACTTCCATCAGATCTCCGAAATCAGTCCTATGGAACTTGTTTTCATCATGCTCATGGTAAAGAGAAAGACTGCTATGTCAGTGGAAGAATCATCGATCGTGGCTAAACAAGCATCATCCCTCTGGCAAAGAAAAGAGAGAGGCACGAACAGCTGGGGGCAACTTCGTTCACGAGCCAGGGCCCTTCTTAGCTCATTTTCTTGACCTATATCAGTATCGAAGACAGCACTCCCACAGCTCACAAAGCTCTGCGTCCATTGAGCAAACTGATATGTTTGCTGGAACATTGAGTATTTCTATAGATTGTTTCTCTATCACAGTAACAGGTAGCAAAGTCTATGAACTCTCAACTTGCACAACTTTGTGAAGAATTCTGTAAATCTGGTCGTCTCCTTGGTGAACATCACTACAAATTCAGAGAGTATTGTGCACTTTTATGGCTACCTGTGACATTCATTGGCACATAGAGAGGACAACAAAGATAATATCTCCAAGAATGGAAGTTGACCACACATCCTCTATAAATCATCAGACATCCTCTAGAAAGCCCCACGAATATACAAACTCCCAAAAGAAAACCAACAACATCGACACATACATTCATACAGATCCTTCCATACATCATATCATCAATCATTCAACCAACGTCAAGTCATAAGATCTAGAAATCCAACTGCCGTCCATTCAACCAGACCAGCCGCCCATCCCATCCAAAACTCCATGGTCGTTCCAAAACTGTTGTCCCTGATCTAGTGGGATAACCTCTCCAAAATACATCCATTGCTGTTGCAGCTGGTGCTCCTGCTGCTGCTGTTGCTGTTGCTGAACCTCAGTGTTGTGCTGGGCTTCATTGTTCATCCACGGTATGTCAAGCTCATGGAATTGCTGCGTGCCCGGCAAGAAAGGTTNCTCGTCGGTGACCGTGAACGTGTCACTGATACCCATGTCATTCAAGTCCTGAAGAAATGTGGAAGGTGGGGTCGGAGGAAGTATGGAATGATTGATGACAGTCGGATCACTGGTGGTAGAACGGGATCTACTCTGCCACTGCAGAAAAAGCTGTTCCATGGACCTCTGAAAGACCTTTCGTGTAAAGTCTGCAAGTTGTTCTTGCTGGTAAGCGCCAGAAGGCATGTTAGCGTTGACAAGACTCGTTACTATATCATGTCCTTCATGCGTGCTGAAGTCTCGAAACGCCGAGAGCTCGGCAGAGAGTGTAGTATCCATGACTATCATGTATCAGTAACAGGAGACAGATATTTATTGACCAGACGCTAACTCACACGGTGACTCCGGCTTCTTCGCCTCTGGGAAGAGAAGTGTAAACATCGAGTACCAACTTTCTGAGACCGACCTGCTTGTAACACGACGCTTGAGCTTTCGCATGGTTGACTCATCGATACCTTCAAGACGACGCTCTGGGGCAGTCTGACATGTGTTTGCTCTTACGTGTCGGTCTCGAGCTTCTGTATTGTTGCGGAAGACTGAGTAGCACTTGGGACAGTGGATAGGTATGCTATGCACACGCTCAAGGTGTTGCCTGGGTTTTCGAGGTCAGTATGACTCGCGGTATTGCCAGATAATTTGATCCTACTTACTTTACCCGGGAAACACCTTTGAGGACAAACGTATAGCACTTGTCGTACTTGAGCGGGTCGAACTTGACAAATGGGCATGCCATGGGAGGAAGATCTTCATCAGATCGGGCAGCCTTGCTCTTGCGCTTTGGTGGTTGTTCGTCTTCATCGCCATCACCTTCCTCTGCTACATTACGTCTGCGCTTACTTCCAAGCGAAAGATAGGGTAGTCCACTCGCTCCGAAACCTTCGACTCCGGCCTGATCGTCGAAGCTGGATGGGTAACTAGAGTTTGATGACTGTTGGCCGCTGTCGCCTGGTGCAGTCTGACGAGATGGAGAATAAGCAGTCAACAAGCATCGTACGGCCAGTCTGAGCAGAGGCTGGAAGATGTTATCACAATCGCCTGAGTCTATGTCGAAGTCGGTATCCGTGATTGGGTCGTCCATGTCGGACTCAAACAGTGAATCTGCGTACGTGCTTGAGCTATAGACAGCCGGTGGTGGCTCCATATATTCCGGGGACGAAGGCACACCAATCATAAGGTATGGGGAGTGTATGTCGTCCATGAAATCTGCGGAAGTGTCCATCATTTCGATGGGTGAAGCTCGTGCACGTAAATCGACTTCAGAGTCATCGGATATCAGGATGGTTGGGGGATCAGTATGTCTGACACCCAGAGAAGGGAGACTGAAGTGTCTGCAAGAAAGAGTTGGAAGAATAGGATGCAGAAGCTGATGGCGTTGAACTTTGTGCATGACGCTGAGGCAAAGAATTGGCATGCTCAAAGCCATATTGAACATATCCAGCCGAACTCTGAGTATAGTCACTGTCTTCATCGTCTGAAAAAGCTCCTTGCGAGAGCGATGCCTAGTCGTGATCTTTTTGTCTTTGACCTTCTGCCGGCTGGCGACTCGACAGGGAAGTTGCACGGAGTCAGGGGTGCATTCAGATCTATCAAATCGTCAGTCACTGACATTCTATCATATATAGCGGTGCGTAATGTACTTGACCAGCAGTTCGGCAACTTGAGCCTCATCATATCTGTGTGTTCCCTCGAGATGAGCCTTGAAGTTGTCTTTTCGTGGCCATATTTTCTCTTTCTTCTGGCAAGAAGGAGCAGCACATCGATAGTAGAATTTCGAGGTTTTTACAGTCAACATACTGTGACATGTCTTCTTGTGCCGTGCTAGGTCATGTGGAGAAGCAAAGCCGTTGTGGTTGTCGCATCCGGGCACATCACACTTGAAAGGACGAGTGTGTGTCAGCATGTGCTTCCTGTGGGAAGTTAGCATCATAAAATGGTAGATAAGTTTGAGAACTGACCTTCTATCCGCGTTGTTACTGAAGTAACGACGCTTCTCTGACTCCTCGTAACAGATCTCGCAGTACTCTGGGACCTGGCTGTGTGCTGACCCGATGGTATTTGGAGGGGCATCTGGTCCAGCCCCGTCACCATGTCTGTCGGTATAATCTACAGAGCCATAGCCACTGTCACTGATCGAAGGCTTAGGTTTGACTTTGACCACGGGCAGGGTATGCATGTCTTGGACGGTACCATTACGGCACCAAGCCAGCCATGCTTCTTCGTTCTTGATGGGCAGCGTCATACTCTCTGCTCCATATTGATCATATGGAGACCTCTTTCCAATGGACGCTGGGCGGGTTACTGGTAGTGGTGTGCTGAGACCAAGTTGTTGGTTATCGGCTTGTGTCTCCGACGAAAAGAGTTCAAAGTCTTGGTTCAGACTATCGTGGAAGGACTCCTGGTCTATGGTCAGTGTTGTGGTTCCGCAATTGAGCAACATAGACCGACGTATGGAATTGTTGGGTTGTGCCAGGCCATTCGAGGACGAAGTATATATAGTATCAGTATACGGATCTTGATTATTTTGTGTGTTCAATAATCTGGTCCTCCCTCTTGCTGGAGGGATATGTAGTGGAAGCAAGATGGGCGGTTTGGAAATGACGGGTCTAGTGTAACGTGAGGGAAACATGGTGGTGGTGGCAGGTCACAGTCATATAGACGGGTACAAACTACTGAAGATGGCCCCTTCCTCACACCTGCGTATCTGGCACACTTGTGTTTATTCACAGCTAAGCCTTGCTGGATAATGTCATAGCGGGGTTGCGTTCGGGGAAGGAAGCCTTTCGTGCGATTAGCGCCTGCCGCCAGTTCGACGACCGACAGCTCTATCACAGCCTCACGATCCTCAGTCGGACACCGCCGAAGACTGCAATTGATCCCTGCTATAAAAAGGTCAAGAAAGCAGTTCAAAGACGACGCAAAGGTGCGCAGAGTCAGAACTCGTATCAGCACTCCGTCTTGGCACCATTTATTCGAGAAGACGTCCAATCATTCGAAATGGCGCCTGCACGCATCTGCACGCATCTGCCGTGTCGTCCATCATCCAGATGGGCACATGATTGTCTCACTGCGGGCCAAGCCTCAATGACAGCACACTTGTTCCTGCTGGCTTTTGCTGCGCCAACCTCGAGAGTAGTTTTCAATGCGGATGTCGGCACCTCACGATCCGCGACAAGGGTTTGATCTCAGATTCACACAACCAGGAAGCTGGATTCGAGAAGTCAGATGGCACATGACCCCAGACGGGGCATTTTGACTATACAAATATGGAATTATACAGCGAGCGGGGAGGATTTCCGATCTCCCCTAGAAGCCAACGACCCTTCGTTTCTTCTTTGCCGGTTTTCCACCAAACCGCCCTGGCTGAACTTGGCTAGTAAACATGTTCGGCTGAGCTTGGGAGCTCGCTAACAGCTGGGTTCCCTGACTCGCTGCCCTGGCAGAATGAGGCACATTCGGTGCTTCGCTTCTAGAAGGTGTCGCGAATGCAGGCTGACTCGCACTTATGATGCCAGGGACTTGGCTATTCGCGAGGTCCATGGCAGATGCTTNTTGCGATTCGCGCCTCTGCTTCAGAAGTAACCTCTCGGCACGACGCTTCAACCTCGCTCGCTCCCTCGGTGTCAAGTCCTCATCCTCTTCCTCGGCCTTTTTCTCCTGCTCTCGCTGAACGGCAAGCCAATCGTACTCATCAGGACTGCCGCCAAGGGTCCAATGCGCAAGCGTGCTAGTTAGTCCTTTGGGTAGGGAGGCTGGTGTAGATTTTTCTGGCGAGAACGTGGTGTATCGTCGAAGACGTGCGAACTCAGAGGACACTAAAGTCGATGGGTGACTAGACAAAGACGTAACTGTAGTCAATGAAGGTGTGGCTGTTGGTGACGGTGTTGGCAGAGACGATTGAGGGAAGTCCATTTGTGAGGGAAATGCGTCCTCTGTAGCTTGTGTCTCTGCTGCAGTCTCCTCTTCAGTCGGCCTCACTGGTGGTTGCCTGAGAACGTGGCTTGCAAGACATATACCAGCAGCGATTCTTCGCGCTAGCTGTTCCTTGACAAGACGCACTCTTCCAGGTACCGTTTGGGATAGTGGTGTCAGCCAATGAGCTACGATGGTGTCGTAGACGGCTGTGAGATCCACATCGCTCTCGAGACTAAGATTCAGGGCAAAGTTGCTGCCAATGCGAGCAAGTTGTAGATTCCGTTCAGCCTGTTCGAGATCTTCTTCATGCTGTGACCTAGAAGAAATCATGTCCTTGAATTCTGCAGCGGCTTGATCTATGTCAGGCACCAGGACTTGATCATCATAGAGCTCTGACAACAGTGTATGGCCGTTCTCAGCAGTCTCAGAGACCTTGAGGGCTTGCTCCACCCGTACGATCATACGTGAGAAATCTTCCGCTTGCGATGTTGCGCTGGTAGCCCGAGCATGAGCGAGCTCGTATAGCATGGTCCAGTTGTCGTGGGTTGACTTTAGTTTGTCAACAAGAGACGATACTATCTCATCTTGCTCTTCTCGGGTGTTTGCTGGCCCTTGATTGACTATTGATTGTTCCACGAAACCAGTCCCCTGTAATCGTGGGACACTATGCGCAAGTCTTCCGCGCCAATCGGGAGGCACGACATCAGTCAGTGACGACCCAACCACCGTGCTGGGTAACGCGTAGTAAAGTTGCTGCACAATCGTCATATCGCTGGTGATAGCGGTCGTAACAAAGAACCTCATGGACGAGTCTTGATAAATTTTTCCAGGACCGGATGGTTTTTCATGGTGTCCGCTCTCTCCATACTGCGCAGGCTGAATCTGGAAAGTCCAAGCCGCAGGCGAAGCAGTTGCAGTGGAAGGAAGCTCGGGCAAAAAAANTTGAGTAGCATCAGCAACTCTCATAAATTGAGGAGAAGACTCGTCAGACGTGAAGCAATAACTCGTTGCGAGCGAACTCAAGGAAGATTTTATCAACACAATAACATNCTGTGAAAATTTAGCATTATGGCTTTGTTGTCAGCGGTGTATAGATAACATACCTAGCTCGTCAACGAAGTTAGACAAACCAAGCCCCATATCCTCAGAGTCTCTGAAGTGCCTGCATTGCAACACAATCTCAGCGCCAGCAGTGCTATAGCTCTCGGGGTCGAATTCATCGAGACAGCGCACGCGTAGGCAGAACAATGATACTGAGGTCAGAACAAATACGAGGGTCGGATCTAGAGGGTTAAGCATGATGTCGAGGATCCAGTGCGGAGTTCCGGCAATTCCAAGATCTGGAGATTGAAGTCTGACAGGCTTTCCTTGAATGTCATGAATACCCAAACATCTTCTACTAGCAGTAATGATGGTCTGTACGTTGCCAGCCCAAATTGCTCTACCCCAACCATCGTCCAACAGACTAGCAGCAGTTTCATAGTCCGGGATAGCTTGGTCGTTGGTAGCTCCACGACAAAGCTCGATAGGCTTACCATGCTCAGAAGGAACTTGCTTGAGACTCGAGTCCCAGACGTGCCAGGTACCGTATTGGTCGACGGTAGCAAATTGCTTGGGATACCAATGGTTAAAGGCCACATGAGCGGGAGCCAAACCATCAAACAAGTCCAGATTCAGAGTACACAACTGATCTGTGTGGAAACGAGATGGCGTACCAGTTAGAGAGTTCCATGACGAAGCATGTTTCCTTGCAGCAACGCGCAGAATATGTACAGCGATAGTAGTGCGAATTGCCAGCGTCCGGGCCAGATTCGAGTCCTCATCGGCATCTGCGAAGCATATCTGGCGGATAGGGTGAGGAGCGTGCCAGGTGCCGGATTCGCCAGAGATTCGGGGAACATCGATCCAAACAGATTTGTTTCGCTCCCAACCATGTTTCTGAGGCTGGACCTGGACAAGGCGCAATATGTGGGCATGATCGGCAGCAGGAAATGCCACGATTGGTATAGAGCGCTTTATGGTATGATCAGGCACACGGCCAAAAGCCAACAAGTGGCCAGCGGTCGGATCATGACGAGCGACAGTCTTCTGAATCTCTTGCGACACAAAAGCAGGTTCGGCGAGGAGATGTGTACTCGGCGCAACGGCTGGGTCATAACGGAGGAGCCCGGCGAGCTGACGGTTTAGATGGACGCTCGGTTTCTCGGTAGTGGTTGCATCTAATCGTGATTGGGAGTGTTGCGACTTGAAGACAAGCTGCGGTGTGCCGAGAGGCTGTAAGGTGAACGAAGACTCGAGGTTCCTGGGAAACAACCAGGCCTGGTCATCGGGATTGTAGATAATTTGACCAAAGTGACCATATTTCAGGTCAGAGGTGGATTGGTCAGCCATGCGGCCTCTTCCTAGCTATGCGTGATAATGGACCAGAGACGGACTGAATCATTGCCGGGAAGAAGGTGGTCGCCGAATCTTGCTGACGGTGTGATCTGGAGGTTGAATTGGTATATGTATTGGATGGTGGCCGAGAACTCTAGATGTCGCATATGTCGAGGTAGAAAAGTGAAAGAGAAATTTATCTCAAAAACTTGTCGAGATTGAAGCGCGTCAGGACTTGACCGGGCCCTCGGCTCTATAGCTGGGGGCGCGCCGACCACTGACTGTTATCATCTCACAAGATGTTGTCTCCAGCCTATCCAGTTTCAATCAGTGAATTCGTTTGTAACCACAACACATAATTTGAGCAGCTCTTTGCTTGACAAAGCATAGCTCGTCACAAGAACAAAGTCGAGTCACGAAGGCTTCCCAGGAGCTTCCCTAGCCAGACGCGAGTTGACGTCGTCCGTGCGCCCAGCGAGTCCCTGGCAACGCCGATGGAGTTTGTGTTTACTCCAAATCTTCCACTTCTGGCAAGCTTGATACAACCAACTACTCTTCGAGTCTGTCTATACCACATCACATATCGAACATCCATAACCATGGCCGCCGTCATGAACACTCCCAGCCATCCGCGATTTGATGCCTCCTTTGGCGCAGGCGGTCTACGCGGTCCTTACCTCACTCCTGATCCGCCATCAATGGCCGACCAGCTTCCTAGCATCAAGTTTGGTTTCGATGATTTGCGCGACCGCATGGCTCGTTTCACCCAGCGATTCGACGACTTCATCGAGCACGGTCGGAAGCGCGTACTCGAGGAGCGCAATCATTTCCGCATCAACATGTCTGAGGTTCAAGGTCGGTCATTCCATACCATAACGACTGCTCGGTTCAGCATACTGACGGTGCTACANGAATCTCAGAGATCACGACGCAGAGAGCTCGAAGACATGTCCAACAAATCCATCGCACACCAGAATACTCTAGCCAAGGAAGCACAAGAGCATGAAGAAATGCAACAACAAATCGAAGAGCTCGACCTCCAGCGCCAGAACCACGAAGCTCATCGCGACGACCTCCGCTCTCAAGTCTCATCACTACAAAAGGCCATCAACACCCGCCGACAGGCCCAACATCATCACCAGCGACAACTAGACAACCAAGCACGTCACAACCGACCCGAGCTGCAGTTTTGGGAGTCCCATCTCTGCATGCGCATCGAGGGTTTGGGCATCGATGACAGGATCAAGTTTGTCTACACACATGTGGATGAGAGGGATTGGGACCGTCAGTGCGCATTCGAGCTGAACATGGAGACAAAAGACTACCAAGTTGTAGCGGTGGAACCCGCATTGGATGATGAGGCCGTCGATGCGGTTGTTGAGCGATTGAATGAGACGAGGGATTTGGCTGCTTTCCTCAAGGCCATGCGTGCCTTGTTTACTGCCTCTATCAGGCACTGATCTGCGTTGTGCCTGATTTGAATTGTTTCTCACGATTAATGATAATGTTGATGCTGTTTTTAAATCATGAATTCTTTCTGGGTTTTGAGTCTGCTCTTGTGTGTCGTGCTTTCCTCGTGTGTTGTTGCCAAAGCTTGCGCTTCCAGAAGTCACGCCCAGCCGAAATCGAACATTCCCATCGGTCTCCATCAGTCCTCCATCGACTTCATCACCACTACCATAACTCAACAATGCCTCCCACAGAAGATAAACGAAAAGCCGCGCGCGAAACCATCGACATCCTATACGAGATTTCTTCCTTGCTTGTACGTTGACTGAACTTTACTTCCGTCTGTCATTCACGCGTCGGACGTGTGGTCGTTCTCAAAAGACTCATGGTCCATACTGGCTTTACTCTCCAATAACATGCTTACGATTTTGTGATGGGCAGNAACACCGAGTTGGACCGTCAATCGCTGTCTTACTGCGTCTCGCTTATTGAGAATGGTGTAAACCCGGATGCTCTGGCTGTAAGTCTGTCCCGTCAACTAGACTTACAATTACAACTCTGCCTGACCATGTTCAGTTGTCGTGAGTATACTTAACTGACACTCTGCCACAGNACCGTCATCAAAGACCTCCGAGACCGCAACGGCGTTGCCACAGAGCCTCGTGAGAAGCAATGAATGATTGCTATATCCTCTGCTCACCGCTTTTCCATCACTGGTGTATTGCGCCGGTTGTTTCTATGATACCCAAATGTTCCTTTTTATTCCTGTTTCTTTTGGACAAAAATGCTGAAATACTTCAAAACTGCTCAGATATTTCACTCCTCTCTCTTCTATCCGTGTTCTGCCTCTGACCCTGCCTCATTGTATGTCGAAAGACTATATGCTGTACCTCAAGATCCTCGATAGAGACATCTAAGCATCTATGTAAACATGATCAGTGTAGAGAGTGCCTTGCAATCACCATATCCAGAATCCACCTCAGGTACGACGATCACCAATACTTTAGATCACAGAAACTGGCAATACGCAGTGTGCAAATGCTATGGGGAAGATGGGATGTTTCATATGCATATCAGTCTTTGCGGTTGTGATTGACAAAGACCTGAACTTGACAACGCGTTCATTCCAAAAGAAAACAATGTCTATACTGACCGCCGAAGGGGTATCATGGAAAATTTACAACAAAAACATCAGCTCAAAAGAACGCCTCCTGGTCCCAGATGTATCTACTTGGGACCCTCGAACTCGTAGACAGCTCCATTACGGCTGAGTACCGTGCCCAAGCCGCCCACAACCTCCACCTGGAAGGGCTCAAAAGGTACCCTTTCTCCATCGATGCTGATGTATCCGGTCTTTTGGCCGGGTCGCAGCTTTGGACTGATGCGATAGGCGCTGACTTTGCGGTAGTTGACGACATCCATGTCAAACGTCTTGTTATTCTCGACGCCTGTTATCATTTCGATTGCTTTATGGCGCGGAATGGTTCCATCGACGTCGACCATATCGATGTGGTTATCGGAAGGCAGGGCAGCGGCGAAGAATGGTGTGTCGGCGGACATGTACGCCATGTTGCCGCAGTAGAAGTTGCCTAGCGTGGGCTTGGATGACTTTTCCCAGTCCGAAGGTACATCCTGGAGTACGGTGCCATATCGGAGGGTGGGGAGTGAAGTATCCTTGTCACCATCTAGATCTTGATGTGCTTCCCATTCTCTTTTGCCGGAGATGTCGTGACTCTGGTTTCTGGCGTCTCTGTAGGCAGACTTGATGGCTTCCTTGTCGGCGATGTCGACCTTGACGGCAAGCTCGGCCGGGTATACAGTTTTTCCCAGGAGTCTGATCAAGATGCCGACTGTGAACCTTGCACTACCCATCCACCTCATATTCTCGGTTCCCAAGTCGCAATCGGCTATTATGCCCACGGCCTGACTCAAGAAACTCCAGTACATCTTCTCTCCTTGGGTGACAGCCATGAGATCTAGTGGTGTGCGTACGCCCTTGACAATGGCAAGAGCAGCAAACGAGGGCGAGTTGGTGCCATTAAGGTTGATGGACATGGCATTGCCTGATCCGCAAGGGAGCTGGACGACGGCGACTTTTCGCAGAGCACGCCTCGGCTTTGGTTGCTGGGCAAGGCCGTTGAAGACTTCGTGGGGCAGACCATCGCCAGAGGCACATGCTACGACGTCGTAGGCATCTACGTCGAGTTGACGAGCGAGGTCGATGGCATGACCAGAGTGTGTTGTTTCTTGTGCATCGAAGTGACAGCCAGCGGCCCTGAAGAGAGGCTCGACTTCGCTGGTGTACAGCTTTTGGGCAGCACCTTGACCACCAAAAGGATTGACCAAGACCTTGATCCTCTTGTACCTCTGCGAGTTGCCGTAGGCCATGTCGAGTAATTTGGCCAGCCATGACTTGGCGGCATTGATGGATGTTTTATCGATAAGCGTGTAGGAAATGGTGGACGGCCGACAAGAGTTCTTTGAAGTTGGTAGAGCGTGCTGAATGTTCAACTCGAGACCGTCGAGCGAGGCGTCAAGGATGTTGTAGTAAGGAATAGAATGAGTGGTCTTTGANNTCCTGGAGTTTTGGTTTAGCGGGCAGGAGTGGGTTGGCGGCGAAGTGAACCTACTGGTCGGCAGTAGTCCACAACAGTTGGCGGCCTCTCTGTGTACGAAGCGATCATCTGTCAAGCATGNAGCGAAAGTACTGGGTCTGAGCAAGGCACGCGGCATACCCAGAATAATTGTCGCATCGGCTCCAAGGGTTAGCGAGGCATCTTCGGAGACGAAAAGCGTAGCCTCGCCTTGCAGCGCCGATGGTGTCTCGTGAAGGGATGGGTCAACGAATGGGTTGTCGACAGGCAACGACCCTTCCGACATGGTGCCTCTCGAATTGAAGATAAACAATAACAGTGATGGGCGGGAGGCAATAAACTTGGGTTTCTTCTGCCTCGGAAGAGGGTCATCTATTCCCGTTCAGAGCCGCGTATTCACCACGCTTGGCTCTCCTTTGTCGCAACAACTTACGTACGAGTCAGCTGCATCCTAAAGAGCTGGTCCACTTTCTGCCTCTGCATCCAATGGACAATGCAGACTACTAGATCATGTATCATATCGAAAACAATGACTTGTTCTCGTGAATGTCGTCTGTCGCAAGTGTCTGAGTCTTGCTTGTGACGTATGTAGTTCCCGCCTTATCTCCGTTCCTGCAGCTTAGGGGTCTACCAAGTCTTGTTGCTTCTGACCATTGCACTCAACAACCGATTGACAACTTTTCGATATGTCCGCCTCAGGCTCAATATCNCTTTTGGGACTTGCCTTGGTGTTCCTCAGTGTCCTCAAGGTCTCAGCTCATGGCGGTGGTCATGAACAAGCCCCCATAGCCGCCGACGCAGACTGGGCGACACGACACATGGCTGGTAAGGCCAGCTTCACTCTCTGCGCTCAGAGTATCGCTGACACCTGCCACNNAGAGGAACACCACATCAACTCCTTCGACGCCGGCTCATTCTTCAACCTTCACGACTATGACAGCAGCGGCACATGGACCCCTGACGACATCCGCAAGACCTACGGCCTGAGAGATGAGAGCACAAAAGACCTGGCTGAAGACAAGAAGGAGGAAGTCGTGCGCAAGGTTCTAGAGCTCTTCGACAAGGACAGAAGTGGCACCATCTCGTTCGCCGAATTCCTTGTGGCTGATGCTCACGGCATCAAGCTACCTGACTTCGGCTACGGTCCTGGCCACCACGGAGACGACGAGTACGAGTATGAGATCCACCATTTCGAAAAGTTCCACGGAGACGACACGACTGAGGAGGACTTGACGCACCCTGAGGACATTGCGCATTTCCGTAAGCATGAAATCATGGAGCAAGAGGCAGAACGTCAGGCAAAGCTCGATCGCATGGAGATTGTTGAAGCGAACATCCCTCAAAAGTTCCGCCGTCATGGTCATTGATTGGGTTTTGAGAGCCTACAAACTTGGTTCGCGAAAGTCGTGCATTCCATCAGCATCTCTTTGTACTTGATTGGAATATGGAGAGCATCAAGGGAATTGGAGAGCTGTCCTGCTGGCTTGGACTCTCAAGCGTTGTAGCAATAATTGGATTATGAAGCATATAGAATTAAAGACACGATGTATCGACGCTTTTACAACAAGCAAAGGAATTCCTGGATGGATATGAAACATCTCCCAAATTGCCGTTGCCAAATACCATGTCATCTTGATGGAAATTCGAGTGAATCTTATCATTCCCGTGAGTGAGGTTGCTTTGGCGGGGTGGATGAATTTGCCTTGTTTGATTGACGCCCGAGCAGTTGACCGACAAAAGTCCTGCGTCATGTCATCTTGCTCCTTCCCTCACAAACACTGGACGCCTCGCACTTTGCTGTGAGGTCTACTGTGGGATCGTAGACACCGTCGCTGCCACTCGTAGGTTTCAGTCGTCTTACGTTTTCGCGTGCGTATAGGGTAGTGAGCGCTACCAATTCCTGGCCGGCTCGGATCTTAATCGGGCTTGTATCTGCTGTCCTCTGCGCATCTATCCACGGAAGGTGCGCTCAGTGTCGCCTGCCACAGTCTAGCTGTAGCTGCCGCCCAGTCAGCCAGCGCTTGTGAGGGCCTTCTCTCCCGCAACGACAACAGTCGCACGCTTGTTCGGGTCCGCTGTTGTACAGACAGCTTTGCCACGCCCCTCCACTGATCACAGTATTATTCCAAAGGAGTTTCCTTTCTGTTCTCATTCGAATTTCGCATAGAATGGTGCGCGCAGGTTCACGAGCTCCCTCAGTGGGACAGAGCTCTGTATCCAAGATCCGCGACCGACGCAGCAAGAAGACCTACAAGGTCCAACTCGAATCTGTCGTGACCAGAAAGAAGAAACTCAAACTCCACGTCTGTCACCTTGTCGCTCGTTCCCTCAAGCTTCCTTACTGAACCATCTCGACTCAGGACATCCAAGGCTCAGCAAGGCCAAAAGAAGGCTACACCTTCCTACCTGTTGGCTACGCCGACCTAGCCGAGCGTTGTAAAGAAAAATCAAGACAACTAGGCGTCGACGTAGCTGTTGTCTCCGTGCGTACCTTCATCTCGAACTGGACTCTCCTTACAAAGCACTTTCTCCTACTCCCAGTCCTTTTTCTGACCACTCACCCANNGGCTGGCACGAGACGCCCTGGACCTACAGACCCTCAGAAGCTTACCCACCACGTACACCGCGTCGGTTACCACTTCCGCTCCGACATCTTTGACCAGGCCTGCAACTTCTTGGGCTACCGTGAGGTCAATGGCAAGTTGGTCCGCGATACTGGCTTTGACACCACTTCCCGCTTTGAGCGGACAATTGCACGTTTTGCTCCTCGCCTCGAGTTCAATGCCAATAACAGAACGACCGAGCAGAGCACCAAAGTCAAGGACTACATCCGTGAACTCTTCCCAAAGATCCCTGAAGCAGACCTGGAGGAGATTTACAAGCGCGCATGGGAGCAGGTTCGTGCCTCTGAATCACTTTCTCAAGAGCACACTAATCAACTGGACNNTCAGGGCACTACAACCGTAGGTAATGCAGCTGATCTGTCGCTTTCTAGACAGGTACAGCTGGCCACGATAGCTCGTATCAGGCACACATACACCGACTACGACAAGCTGCTCAAATTGGTGTCCTGGAAGGAAGCTCGCCAAATTGTCGAACCCATGTCACTGACAAAGCTGATTGAATGGCGTGGAGAACATGATGATACCGAGGACTTTGAAGAGATCCTTCGAGAGACCATTGTCATTGATGACGACGATGAGGAGCTGGACGATGCTGACAGCGACACTGACAGTAACACTATCGCTTCTGGAGATGACGGTAGTGACACCAGCCTGGAGATCGTGCAACAGACTTTGGCTCCCAAAGATCTCAACGTCGGAGTCGGAGAGAAGATACGTAATGCTGTCACCACTGTAGGACGCGCGGCTGGCAGAGCTTTGCCCGCTGCAATTCAAACCCGCTGGCACAATGCCCGTATGCAACAGCAGCGTGCTGATCAAACCGTTACGCCCAATGGCCATGGTGGTCAGATCTCTGTCCCTCTCGATCAGCGAGGTAATGCCCCACGCAAGGTTGTCTCGGACGGTGTTGAGTACGTACGGGTAAGTTCATCTGATTTCCTTTTATGAATAGACCATATAACTTTACGTCCANNGATTTCATCGAGTCCAGAGCCTGAGAAGGAGAAGTATCCCAAGCACAGCATGCCTGGCGCGTGGCCTAACAGTGGTGCCATGCCTGCATCCGGATATTCTCAAGTCCCGGTGACCCACAGCCATCCTGCTACTCAGGGGTTCTCAACCTCGAGGGCACCACAGCACACCGGTGTGAGCCGTCCTCCAAACGAGGTGCCCATCTGGGACCGCTTTGAAAGACGACCCATGTATCCGACATTGGGAACACCAGTTGTTGATCTCACAGCCACTCCCACTTTGAGGGGAGGGTACGGAGATAGAATCTCCTACACCGGGCCTCCAGAGTCTGGATTCCGTCCACATGAACCGCCTGCGCATGTCACTGCTCCGAGAGGAGTTCTGCATCGCAACGTGTACAGACCAGGTGTCGCTGACGACGATGTGATATTCGCTGGAGCACAGACCAGACCACAAGGTCGCCGTCATCAGTCTTCCAACTATAGCGGCACTCGTGATCGGGTCGAGGTGATCAAGCCGGAGGACTACCCCATTCCTTCTCGCGAAGAGCCTCATCCTGGCTATCCTACGTTGAACCCATATCATGGTGACACTGACAGAATGAAGGTGAATGTGAGACCTGCTGCTGGTACTACTATGCAGACAAGACCTCCACAACATCAGCCCGTATTTGGTCAACCAGCGTACCCTCAGATGAGATCGCAGACAGTGGCAATGCAGGTGGTGCCTCGCCCAGTGCATGGTGCACCAGCTGCAGTACAGCCGATGCCACCTCAGGAGAGAGCACCTTCTGTGGGTCAGGCAGCACCGTCATTTGGCGCGCCATCACCACAGAGGTTCTTCATGGGTAGCAGCCATCAGCCATACTACGTGCCTGACAGATGAGACTCGCTTCGCGAGAATTCATCATTAACCAGCAAGAAGAGTATGTGGAGCCTTCGGCGTCAAGGTTTCTTCGAGAGCACGAAGCTTCCAGGAAGCGTAGTTGCTTGTTGCACGTACGCAGAGCAGAATGGACAGGTACTTTGATGTTGTTTGTTGGATATGATCGGTTGCTGACGTTGGTGTAGTTACAAAATCACTGTATGAACACACAGAAGGTGTGGAAGGCGATGTCAGCATGGTTGCGTTACGAAAAGGAAGTACGTTTGTGTTGTGAGAAGAGGGCGACAAGGAGTACTATGAAGGGAAGCATTTGCTTTTACTGAGGAGGAGGAGTAGCGCCGGGTTGTTGGCGAGAACCGTCAAGAGATGGGAATCATGGGAGGAAAGACTACAGCATTCGCATCAGCATCATCAGCATCAGCATGGGCGTCGGCGTCGGCGTCGGAGCATGAGCGTCAGCATGGGCATTGGCATCGATAAAGCAAGCATTGATATATGATGCAATTATGGCTATCACTTTAATGATCCAATGTTGTCTTTTTGCCACTTGCAACATACGAGATCGCCCTACTAAGAAGTGGAAAGGTCAAGAACAAGATCTAAGCCATTTTGCTGTACACAGTACAATGGAGGTATCACAGCTACGCGCCCAACACGAGAGGGATTGGTGTTATCCTTCTCTCCACCCATTCACATATCCGTTGACGCTCCCAGCCCAACAGCCGCGGCGCCTCTTCGTATGACCAGACCAGACCAGACCACCAGATCATAACAGAAAGTCCAAAGGGAAACGGAATTTAAGACATGCAAGTGACAAATGATCTCGACAAGGGATGACGAATCCTTGGAGATCAAAAGGGGTTCTATCCAAGAGGGTGATTTACACATGGCAAAGGTTGTAATCACACAGAAGGTTCAATGCCGGCCTCGGCCGCATCCAAGGCCTTCTTGTTGACTCTGGCTGGAGGAACCTCAAAGCCGTAGACTTCGAGGTGCTCTCTGTTGTATCTCTCGATGTCCTTTGCAGAAAGGTCTTCGTATTTCTAGAGTGGGCTGTCAGTAAACGTGTCTGATAGACGTATGATAGGATCAAGGCGAACCTTCTTCTCGCTGGCGGAGAGAGCTTTGAACTCGGCGGCAATGGTTCTGGCGGACTCGGCTGTGACGGCGCCACTGAATTCGCCAGATGCAATGCGCTCGTTGTGGTATTTGATGAAGGAGGTGGTGGGCTTCTTGACCAACCGATCGTCCTTGATGGGCAGGTACTTTGACTTGGTGTCGGCGAGCAGTCTGCGCAGGCGGGCGCGGGCATTGTTGGCCTCGAGAATCTGAGCTGGGGTGTGGCCGTTGAGCCATTCCTGGAACTCGCGCAAGGACTTTGCGTTGTGCTCGGTGAGACGTTGTTTGAGGTCTTCTTTCTCGCTCGAGGAAATGTTCTTGAATTCTTGGGACAGGGTCTTTATTTGCTCAATCACAGGGCCGTNTGTTTTTGCGGCGGTGTTGTCTTTGATGTACATAGCCCAAGCGTTAACCTGTCTATACTTGGGAGGAGAAAGAGCTTGGGCTTTGAGCAGCTTGACTTCTTCCTTCTGCTTTGCCTCTTTGGCCTTTGCGCTGATTTCAGCCTTCTCTTCAGGGCTCAAGAGCTTGTAGGCAGCCTTTGCGGCAGCTTCCTTCTGGGCCTTCTTGGACAAGGCTGGGGCGGCAGTCTTCTTCTTGGGGGCAGCGCTGCCATCGGCCTTCTTAGGCGAAGTGGTGCCATCGGCCTTGGTGCGGTATGACCTGGTTGCGGACAAGGAAGATGCGACTATCGGGGTTGCGGCACGGGCATGGGGAGGAGTCGCGCGAACAGCCAAGCGGAGTGGAAGACGGAGCACGAGCATTGTGATGGTTACGGGTTGCGCGCGTTGAAACAAAGAAGACCAGATCGTAGCAATGAGATTGTCGAGGATTGTTGCAGCTCAAGAGGAATTGTGAAATGAAGGTGACCAGACCAAGGGAGAGAACAGCAAGACGGAGGGATTGTTGATGTTTGGAAACAGGAAAGCACGAGGTTGATACCAACCATCGCGAACAGGCAGGAGCTCCCGCCAAGCGCAGCATCACGAAACTCTAAATCTCGCCGTCTGTCACCGTCCCCGCGAACTTCAAACCTACCTTGGACATTTCTCCCACCAACCGCTATATATCAACTATGTCTGGACGACCCCGCTCGCCTCCCCGCCGAAGCGGCGACTCGCGCCGTGATGACCGTTATCGAAGAGATGACCGCCGTGGGGATGACCGCCGTGACAGACGAGGAGACGACCGCTACTACAGGCGCCGCTCTCCAGAGNCCTGTAAGACTGCGCCCACTCCCACCTTCGACCAGCTCTCGCCGACTTACACATATACAGAGAGATCGTTACAGCCAGGACAGAGACCTCCTTCCATCCCGTGGAGGCCGTGACCGCCGCTTCGAAGAACTTCCACTCAGCGATCGCTCGCGCGACAGAAAGAGATCTAGGGAAAGATCTCCCGTGAGAGACCGTAGAGATCGCAGTAGGGATAGACCCCGTGATTCGCGCAACCACCGTGACGACTCGCGCGATAGAAAGCGTCCTAAGCGCACCGACTCGATCGAATCAAGAAGCCGAACCGCACGCGACGATGGTCGAGGCACTACTTCGACCCCGAAACCTGATACACCCGCCTCGGCCCATGTCGCTGACAAGGCTGCAGAAGAGGAACGAAAGAAGCTCGAGCGTCAGGCAAAGGTTGAGGCCTGGAAGAAAAAGCAGGGAGAGAAGAAGAAGCTGCCACAATTCCCCGCCACTCCTGCTACCCCTGCACACGCTGCTACTCCTACTGACACAGCTGCATCTTCGCCCAAATCCGTGTCTCAAGACGAACCTCAGAAGGGCTTTGCTGGCGGCAAGTTTGACCCCAAGGCTATCGCAAAAAAGGCGGCGGCTGCCACGGCCAAGCTTTCGGCGCTTGGGAGCGATGTTTCTATACCCGGGAAGTCCAAGACTGCCGCTCTTGCGGCTCCTCTTACTGCCAACAAAGCGGCTGACTTTAGCAAGAAACCTTTTACCAGTCAATCAAAGGGTAAATCGTCCTTCCCTGCCTTCTCCGTCTCTCTAGACTCGACTGACCTGGCTACAGCAAACGCAGCAACTGCGTCAGATGCCCTCAANAAAGGCTTCGGTCTGACAGCGTCGCCTGCCGAAGAAAAGTCGACTCCCCAGCCGGCACCCGCCATAGACATGGACGACGAGCAAGTCGAACGTCGCAAGTTAGAGAAGCTTCCTACACCCGATCTTGAAGATGCTGGGGATGCTGCGCTTGCTAACCCGAATGATACTCATGATGACGATGGTGATGTCGACATCGCTGATGCAGGATCCGATCAAGATATTGACTCTGCTGCACGCCTTGCTGCAGAGAGACGTGCTGCTCAAGCCGCCGAGACCTCTGTAGATGACGACGACGACGACGACGCCGCCATGGAAGGTGTTCAGACCTCCCAACCCGCCAATGCGGCCGAAGAAGACGATATTGATCCGCTTGATGCTTTCATGAATGACCTAGCAGAGGAAGCCCCTAAGCCTACTCGCAAGTTCACAAAGACTAAGATTCGCGAAGCTGAAGATGTCTTTGGTGACCAAGACGGTGCCGATTTGGATGCAATGGGAGAAGATGCTGATGACATTCTTGCCCAGGTGGCCCAGAAGAANAAGAAAAAGGAGATTCCCAACCTCGACCATTCCAAGATTGATTATGAGCCATTCCGCAAGGCCTTCTACACCGAACCTCTTGAAGTTGGCCAGATGACCGACGAGGAAGTCAGAGACTTGCGCTTCAAACTCGACGATATCAAAGTACAAGGCTCAAAGGTACCTCGACCTGCACTGAAGTTTGCTCAGTTTGGCCTCGGTACCCAGGTTCTGGATGTTATTCGTGATCTCGGATTTGAGATGCCTACACCTATCCAGTCTCAGACCATCCCTGCTATCATGTCTGGACGCGATGTCATTGGTGTGGCCAAGACGGGTTCAGGCAAAACTGTCGCTTTCTTGCTACCCATGTTCCGTCACATCAAGGACCAACGTCCTCTAGAAAATATGGACGGTCCGGTCGGTCTGATCATGGCTCCAACGCGTGAGCTTGCAGTCCAGATTCATCGCGAGTGTAAACCTTACCTCAAGGTCTTGAATCTACGCGCTGTGTGTTGTTATGGTGGTGCACCCATCAAGGACCAGATCGCAGAGCTCAAGAAAGGTGCTGAGATTATTGTTGCAACTCCTGGTCGCCTCGTTGACCTTCTTGCCGCCAACTCTGGACGAGTCACCAACCTGCGCCGCGTCACCTATGTCGTGCTTGATGAAGCTGATCGCATGTTTGACATGGGTTTCGAGCCTCAGGTCGTCAAAGTCCTCACCAACATCCGTCCCGATCATCAGACAGTTCTCTTCTCAGCCACCTTCCCACGTACCATGGAATCGCTTGCTCGCAAAGTCGTACACAAGCCTGTTCAGATCACTGTTGGTGGTCGTAGCACAGTTGCCGATACCATCACTCAAAAGATCGAAGTGCGACCCGAAACCACTAAGATGTATCGTACACTTGAGGCTCTAGGTGAACTGTTTGAGAATGATGAGGACGCACGTGCTTTGATCTTCGTCGAGCGACAAGAGTCGGCAGACGATATGATGATTCAACTCCAGCAGAAAGGATATCCTGCCGTTTCGATCCATGGTGGAAGGGAACAGATTGATCGTGACTCTGCCATCCAGGACTTCAAGAGTGGTGTCATCCCTGTGATGGTTGCAACATCTGTCGCCGCTCGCGGTCTAGACGTCAAGCAGCTCAAACTCGTCATCAACTACGATTCACCCAACCATCTCGAGGATTATGTCCACCGCTCCGGACGTACTGGTCGCGCTGGTGANAAGGGTACAGCCATCACCTTTGTAACTCCTGAGCAATCCAAATACTCAGTAGATTTGGTGAAGGCATTGAAGATGAGTAACCAGCCAGTACCAGAAGACCTCCAGAAGATGTCTACAGAGTTCCTCGAACGCGTTAAGGCAGGCAAGGAGAAGGGAGCCGCTATCGGTTTCGGTGGCAGAGGTATTGAGCGCTTCGAAGAACAGCGTGCAGCCGAACGCCAGCGTGAACGCAAGGCTCACAAACTCGAAGGCGAAGAGGAAGAAGAGGAAGAAGAAGACAAGAAGAAAGCACCCGAGGAGAAGATCAATGTTGTCAAGAATACTGGTTCGCCTGCGCCTACGAACGCAAATGTTCCTGGTGTTCCTGCACACATTGACCTCAATGCCGATATCAAGGTTCACAAGACTGAGACACCTGCACCTACAAGCAATCGTCCTCTGGATCGTGTTGCGGCTGCTGCTGCGAACATCAACTCTCGCCTTGGTGCACGCAATGCCACGCGCCCCGGTGTTCCGATCGATAACAAGGGACCTGATGCTGGTGCCTACCACGCGACGCTTGAGATCAATGACTTCCCTCAGAAGGCACGCTGGGCCGTCACCAACCGTACAAACGTGGCCAAGATTCTCGAGTCTACTGGAGTGTCTATCACTTCGAAGGGTAACTTCTATGCTGCCGGAAAAGACCCTGGTCCTACCGATGCTCCCAAACTTTATATCCTTGTCGAAGGTGACACCGAGCTGCAAGTCACCCAGGCCATGCGCGACTTGCAGCGTTTGTTGAAGGAAGGAACGATCGCAGCCGCCGACAGCGAGGCCCGCGCGCCTACCACTGGTCGTTACACTGTCACTTGATCTTAACCGGGTTTCTGGGATTGCAGACCCTTCAATTTTCTGCACAGGTAAGCATGGCGGATTCTTCTTTCTTATAAATTATCATCACTCTTTGAGCCTTTGACAAACCGCATACTACATGTTCATAGCATCTGGAGATATGGTGTACTCAGGACTTGATCGACAACTGCTCCTCTAGCAAATTTACCAGCGCTGCTTAGTATCATTTTGTCCATAGTCATCAGTCTGTAGATATCGGGACAAATGTGAAATGAAAAATGACCAAACCAGATGTCTTTAGGGCTGGTTATACGACGCGTGATACGAACGCAACGATACGCCTTCGGGAGGAAGCAACGGCGGCGGGAGCGCGCCTACGTCACTTGGCATAGCCGCTTCTTGGAACGTGATTATAACCTCATCTGTTGTCCCTGACTTGTAAGACGTGACCTGAACTGACATTGTTCATACCATTTGATCTTGTGCACCGCAGTCATGGGCCCTCCACCGCTTGCAATCCGCAACCTCAGCTCGACCCCTCTGGAGCTCAAGGTGATAGAACGCTTTGAGATCCCACATGTCGAATCCAAGGGTTTCGCCAACATCAGTCGCAACGTAACCCACTTTGTTGTCTCGAATACCACTGGCAACGTTCCTCCAGAAGGACCTCAATTCGCACCACTTACCGTCAACGCACAAAGCTATGGTCAACAGGAAGTGTCGATTCCCATTGACCCTTTCACCACCAACAAGACGGACATCAATACTGCCGAAAGATCAGAAAAGGATGTACTCAGACTTACTTTCGAGCATGATGGGCAGCGTTATCGTGTGGATACACGCACGACCAGACAGTCTCAAGAATTGATCCCACTGGACCCTGACCCGAGGAAACAGTATACGGCCATCTGGATCGACAAGGAGAGTCATCTAGCCATCTACTCATCTGCAAACATGAACTGCTGGATGAAGGAAATGGCAGACGCAACGCCACTATCTGGTCTCTCTATCCCAGGCACGCACAACAGTCCCACTCATCACAAAGCACTGCCTTCGGTGCGCTGTCAAGCAGTATCTCCAAAAGAGCAACTGCGCAATGGCGTCCGCTTCTTCGACATCCGCGTGCAGCCCGAGAAACCTGAGGATCCCAATAACGATGGACTGGCACTTGTCCATGGTGTCTTCCCCATCTCACTCACCGGCGCAAAGCCCTTCCGTAAACTTGTCAACGACATCTTCGACTTCCTCCGCGAAAACCCGAGTGAAACTCTGATCATGAGTGTCAAGCGTGAAGGCCCCGGCGAACACACCGACGAACAGTTATCTAACATCCTGCATCAACACTACGCCAACGACCCTTCTCTCTGGTTCACAGAACCACGTATACCTTCCCTGCACGAAGTCCGCGGTAAAATCGTCCTCATGCGCCGCTTCGCCCTCACCGAGCCTCTAACCCACGAACACGACAATGCAGGCTGGTGTCTCGACGCCCAAAACTGGGCCTACAATACCCCTTGCGATAACCACGGAGCCGTCTGCGTCCAAGACTTTTGCGAAGTCCTCGAGACCGAAAACATTGGCAAGAAAATCGATTTTTGCTGCGAGCACTTTGAGAGAGCGGGTGCGCAGGTGTGTCCTGTGCCTGGTATCACTACTGATGCGGTCAATCCCGTGCCTCCTGGCCCGCTGTACTTGAACTTNTTGTCTGCGAGTAACTTTTGGAAAGTGGGGTGTTGGCCTGAGAGGATTGCTGCCAAGCTCAATCCGGCGGTGACGGAGTTTTTGTGTACGAAGCATGATACGGCGGAAGGCGATAATAAAGGGGATGGTGGTGTGGGTATTGTGGTTACGGATTGGGTGGGCAAGGATGGTGATTGGGATCTGATCAGGTGTATTGTTGGCATGAACTCGCGCTTGGAGCTTAGAGAAAGGCAACAGCAGTGAATGATGGACGAAGCCTATGAGGTATATGACTGGTGGTCTTGGTTGTTGCGGAAAAGATTCGGGTTGATGCATGTTACCAGCTGTAGTGAACGCGGTCTTCTTTTGTACAAGTCTTTGTTAGTTTCCAAAATATTGCAAGACAAGTTCATGTCACACTAAGAAGTCTGACCTGATTGTGCTGCTGCAAGAGACTCACTTCAAGGTACATCATCGTATTGCTAAGCTACGCTCGACATGCACTCTCTCCTCCCAGTAATCCAACACCGGAAACCACCATGTGGCCGACTGAGATCCGGTCACTACCCTCCATGAACAGAGCAATCAATAAGCAAGACAAGCAGAGAACAAAACAGAAACACCCACATCAAATGCCTCTCCATCTGCCGATTTCCATGCAAAGCAAAAACGCAAAAACATTACTAGAAAAAGACAGAAACATCACACAGGTCATTACCTGCCACCGCCCCAGTTGCCCTGGCTCAACTTGAGCAGCCCCTCGACGCAGTTCAAATCTTCCTCTTCTGAGCTCTGGCGCTCGTCTCTCTCAAGCGAACGATGCGCCTTGTCCTTTCTGACACCACTACTGGGCTGATTCATGAATTGCATGACATCCTCATCATCATCGTCGTCATCCAAATGCTCGACTTGAGTTCTGTTGCCATGTTTGCCACGACTGCGAGGCGCGGGCGTTTCGTGAAAGCCTACGAGTGCACGGGGTCGCTTGACCGTCGATGGCATGACGGCAGGTGAAGTCGCCATTTGATGCAAGAACTGGCGGTCCATGAAAGCTGAAGGGCGGTCTCCAGGACTCCAATTTTCCTTGTCCGAGTCTGTGGCCGAAATCTCAAAGGTGGGCGTCTGCTTGAGTTTGGGCGTCTTTGCTAAGAGTAGAGGGTCGTGGTGGGCTAGCCTTCTGTTTGTAGATTGCATGTTACGCGCTGAGGATGAGCGTTGCATCAAAGGTTGACGGAAGGGAGTAGCGGCTACGGCTGAAGGAGCAGATGAAGGAGGGGGCGCATTGAAGGACTGGCTCTGGCGCAGACGCTTCACGGCACGATCTTCGTTGGAGATGGTCTGGGGATTGAGACGCTTCAGAGAAGGTACGCGGGTTAGAGGGTGGTATGCGCGATCCTTCTCCTGCTGACGCAAGAGGGAGATGGCTTCAGCAGCATCACCGCTAGCCTCTTGGTTGGCACGGTCCTCTAGCTCACTACGAGCGCCACGGTCGGCAAAGAAGGACCATACACGTGAATCACGAGATCGTCCGCTGGGTTTGCGACGAAGACTGGTGGCGCCCTCTTGGCTGCCTGGTGTGTCGCAAAGACTGACCTGGCTGTTAGTACGATATAGGTCGTTCGATTGACTGGCAGGTTCGTCGAAAGCTGTACTAGCAGACACAGGAGNGGGAAGCTTGCGAGGAGGGGAAGATGTAAGATCGTCTCCATCAATGACACGAGCAACACCATCTGCCGTCATGGACAGGCGGATTTTGGAGTCTGACTTTCTAAGTCGCTTTGCCGGCGGGTCCTGGCTGTCTGGTTGTGTTTCCTGCGAATCGAGTTGAGTGAAAGAAGCATTGTTACGTCTGTTGGAAAGGTAGCCGGGTTTCGACGCCGAGTCCTGAGAGGCTGCTTCTGGTTGCGAGCTGGGGACCTCGATGAATGAGGTCGAGGCATTCTGGCTGGCGGGTGCAGCAGTCTTGTCTTGGGGTATTGAGGCGGGATCGGTCGTGTGTGTGGCGTTGTCCAGGCTTAAAGACGAGTCTTCTTGGTGATCTGCCGTGTGGGCATCGAGCGGTGATGAATACATGGCCATTTCACGAGGATCCAGCGGCTTGGACTTTCTACGCGAACTCTGGCGACGGTTTTGGAACCAGATNNCTAGGCGTGGTTTTAGTTTGACGCGTTATACAGGCTTTGGATGAGTTTGCGATACCTGGACTTCCTTCTCGCCCAAAGCAACGCGGCTCACGATATCCATGCGAGTGGCTTTGTCAGGCTTCGAGTTCTTTGCATAGGCTTCCTCGAGAATCTTCTGGTCATCGGGACNTACTCGAAGTTTAGTGGCTTGTCGCGGTATACAGAGTGGTCAGTCTTCTTACCTTGTCCTCCTGCGCTTCTGGCGTGCCAGAGGCTTGTTGTCGACATTGGGAGGGCGGTTGTTGGCCAGAGTATCAGTCGAGTGGACCAGAAAAGGATAGCTATTGGCCGTCGCCTTCAAGACCAGTGAGGCCTCGGTCTCGGGCTGCGGTGCATATGGGGACTCTGATGTCGACTCGTCCCCCTGGACCAGAACGTCGTTAGGATGCTCGTCCATGACTGACGTGGACACGTATGTTGGGCGAAGATGGTAGACTCTCCCCTCGACGAGCTGACGCTGAACGGTGAAGGACGCGACCGAACGCGACTGCCAATTCACGACCCTGGAGAAAGCCACCCGGTACGCCAATCCCACCCGACTTGGAATTCCTGCCTCCTCGTACTGATTTACTATTCGAACACGCGTAGCAACATTTCTATCTTCATGTCATCTACCAAATACTGGTTTTCCTGTCACCTCCATCTCAGGTCGTGTGCTCTGTACCAAGACCGCGTCGAGTGGCCGCTTCTTCTCTGCGCGTGCCCACTGTGCATTGACTATGACATTTCTCAGAGACTCGATACCTGTCCATTCTTTCCAAGATTTCTTTGATGTCTTAATCCAGCCTAACACATCCCTTGCCTTCACGATTCTGCCAACGCGAAATAATTTGCTTTCTATCAAAACGCGAGAGAAGAACCAAACTCGTGACCTGGTTTCAGCTCTCAACGGTCCAGCACTCGGCCAATCACCCGAAGCTCTATTTCCGACTACACCTCTACTTGTATTCACGTACCTACCTACCTACCTACTGTACTATCGGGTTCACACTCTAGCTCGCATTTCAATTGCATTGATCATGGTCCACAATGACTCGACACTATTAGCTCTCATCTACTTTCTGAGGCAAAGTTCCCGGTTCATGTTCGCTAAGCACTCGAGTGCACGTTATTTCGGCTTCGTCCAACAACCATGACCATCGACTATATATTTTCCAACCACGCTCTCAAGGATGCATCGACTGCTGACGTCTGGGACGAACAATTCAACCATGATGGCATTACGAGTATCTCCCTCGTTCATGACTGGTCATCGCCAATTCTACTGTGCAAATACTTGTTGAGGGTACAACCCTGATACACCACTCCTACCTCCATCATGACCACCTCGACTAATCAAGGTCATGTGTCCGTCTTAGCATTGCCGACCCTTGTTTATCTTGATACAAACTAGAACATCAGCTTGTTCCATCGCCAGTTCTAATACGAATACCATGACAAAGTCGCTCTAGATTGTGGAACCTGTACTTCGTTCTCACGATTCGCAACCAAACACATGCCGGTAACATGTTTTCGTGTGGAAAAAAAAAGAAACATACGAGGCATTGCGGGATGTCCACTACCCCAGCTCCGAGTCCCTGACAAGAAACAGGTACCAAACCCTTGATCGACTTGATGGTTCACGAAGGCTGGATTCAATGACCATCCTTGCCGGCTTGATCAACTGACCTATCGACTACATCTCACCCTTTGAGGACGCATCTTACCTGAGTTTCCTAATACTCTTCCTATAAAGACAACTTATTCCGAAACCCAGCTATAGCAAAGATTGAACTACTGGGGCGAGTCTGCAACGCATGCTATCGAACACACAGCCTTCTGATACTAACGACTGCCTCACTACTAATCTTTTGTCACTGAGCAAACTTCATGTACAGCGTCACCAGTTATTACGGGCTCCTTGGATTGACGACCACATTCAGAGAAATACCGAATTCAAGTGTCACTAGGATTAAGGACGAGCCTTCACCTATCCCTGCGAACAAGAATATTGCTGAATGTGCGCACGGCTTTTATAAACCAAATCTAGGTGAGTGTTGTCTGCGTTGCTCACTCACGTCATTGTTCCAAGTAGGTACAAACTCCGCAAACATATGGAGCTCATCAGGCACCAAGTAGAGCCGACTGCACGCCGTTGATCGCAATGTTGTTCTGCAAACAGATCGAATCCTTCATCGAAAACTTCGCAGGCTTGCAAAGTTGTGACTCCGCCATCACGGATTCAGTGGAGCTACAACGTCTTGGTAAAGCCACGGATGTCAACAGAATTGGTATTTCACGATGGATCGGATGATGAAATTTGTGTGCACAGTCCTCTGGTATTCGACGAGTTTCTGATTTCTGAAAATTGCAAGGTGTTGATGCTCTTGCCCCACCACATGATGTAAGTCAGCGTCATAACAACTTTTCGCAATTGAACTCGACAACGAGTTCAAATATGACCATCTCTGGATGCTCTGAAGTTTTCTTTGCTATTCATCTCATATCTCAAACGATTTCCAATCTCACAACTCATTAACCACTACACCTCTCAACCCTTTACACCACCAAAACACAACATCACAATGTCCGGCACCGAGCAGACTTTCCACTACACCAAGGAGGACGTCCGTAAGATGGAGCAGCGCGACTCCGCTTCCCACGGCGGTAACGTCTCTGCCGACTCCAACGCTGCTGCCATGCAGGTCAGTCACTTTCTGCTTTCGCTGGATACGAGAACATATACTAACATACCANNTCAGTCCATCGTCGACAAGGCCGACCAGAACAAGGCCGACCTCATTGAGGAGCGCCGCAGCAACCTCCCCAAGCCTGATGCCCCTCCCGCCAAGTCCGACTTCAACTCTGCCGACCCCAGCACCGTCAACGTTGGCTCTGGCCGTGTCTCTGACACCTTCTCCCACGGCAACGACGCTCTTCGCGAGCCTGCCACTGGTGACAGCGCTGCCAGAAGCGCTGACGCCACCCTCGGCCAGGGTGTTGGTCGTGAGGGCAAGGATGGCCTTTCCGGCATCCCCAACGACGCCGTTACTCGCGAGGCCAAGAACAAGTCCTCGCTCGCCGACACCACCGGCAAGGACTACGGCTACCCCAAGAACGACCCCTCCAACGCCTCGTAAATGGCTTCTTTTGACGATTTCTCATTGTTCAAGAACGCAGCCTAACTGGTTTTCCCTGGCGCCGGGCGCTTTAGGGCAATGGCTTGCATGATGGAATGAACTCTCTACTTTTTCTTTTTACACTATACCTCCTTGCGAACGAGCGCGCAAGGCATTCTATTGGACATTTATGACATGTCCAAATAATTATGAATGAGCATTTCAGAATGCTTGGGAAATGAAAATGAATTTCAACGTACTCTGAATCTTTCCACATTTTGTGTTTACTTGCTCGTGTGACATGAACCCACTTCTCTCACAACTACACCAGAGACCTTGACTCGAGCGAGAATAATTTTCGGGCACCAGAAAGAGTCTGCTTCTCAACAATCGATTGAGGCTCAACATTATTCCTATCTGAAATTTCTGCTATGCGAGTGCATTGTTCGAAAGAGGTTGCGACAGATTGCGGCGGGATTAACGTTTCGGAAGCGAGTGGGTCGTCGGCCTCAGAAGAGCCTCCGGATGTTTATTCAAACCACAGCCTCCACAGAAGGATCACTGATTACTATCTTTGAGAACCTATACCATCAATTTCATGAGCTCTCTTATGGGAGACACCACTTCTCGGAGAGCATCACTCCGATAAACAGACCCCTTCCGATGAACAACCATGTTCGTCATCAGGTGCGGGGCACTTCTATCAAAATTTAGGTGGGGTTAAGCTCGGCGTGTGATGTAACGATCGCGATGGGCACATGTCGCAGGGAGCTACGAATCGCGTGGTTCACCTCGATGGCAAGAGCTGTGTAGTGGTTACGTCGAGATGATGTACCTGAGGTGAGGTACCAGATAGCTGTACCTACGCAATCGGTGGAGCTATGAGGACAGGGAGAGCTCAGGAAGCAAACAAAAAGCAGCACAGGAAGCTATCTTTCTCACCTTTCATTCACAAGCACAACCGATTCTTTGCACCTTTATCAACAAACCACTTTTTACACATCAATCACCATGTCTTCCGGAACTAAGGTACATTGAAACGCTTCCAACTCTCTAATTAAGCAGGTTGCTGACTTTGGGTAAAACTAGGCCACCAACACCAACGAAGGTATTAACAACCCCAAGATCGAAAAGGCCGGCATCGTCACCTCAGACTCTCTTGCCGGAGAATCGCTCAATCAGGGCGGATCGTTTGGCGCCGGCAACCACCCAGCCGCCATGTCGCAGCCCTCGAGCTCAACGACAACAAACAACACCGACACCTCAGGGGCCACCATCCTCCAGGCCGCCTCGGACGCCGAAGCGCGCCAGGCATTGGAGGACTGGAACGAGGAAGCCCAGCTAAACGCCGCCCGAGGATTGAGCGCCGGCAATGATTCTGGCGCACCTGCACCGCCCACGTCTTCGTATCTCGCAACTTCAGCCCAAGGATCGTCAGCTAACCCTTCGGGTACCTTTACAGGCCAAGCCCCTCACGGCAAGAACATTTCCGAGGGCGGATTTGATAGCAATGCACCCAATGCATCCTTCAACAACGAGGTTGGCGGCAAGAATGACCCTGCCCGCCAGGCCGTGAACGATATGCAGCGTAACGCTCAGCAGTCTGCTGGCGATGCTGGTCTGCCCAAGCANAAGGGTGTTTCCAACGATGGCCAGTTTGATGTCCTCAAGGACACTTCTGCCTAAGTTGTTTTTGCTCTTTTGTTATGATTTGTTTACCTCATCTGTTTATGATATGAGATGCATGACCTATACTTATCCAGAGCACTGGTGGCTTTTTGATGGATGGCTCCAAGGTAGCCTTGACCCATGAGATATGGATGTACTTTTAGTTAATGATCCAAATATTCAAGCACGCCCAGAGGGACGTGATTTTTAACACACAATATGTTGTATGGTTCACATGATATCTTTGAGATGTGATGTTTATGACCTTGTAAGAAGTGGATCACTTTGTCAAAGATTTTGTCATGTCCGAAAAGATATGGTGACCCTGTTACGGCATAATTCAGAGGACGGTGAGGAAGATATATCGTGATGGTCGTCAATGTATTGGTTGGTTCGTTCTCCTATGCTGTCCAATGTGTTTTATGTACATTAGCATGTTCTTGATGACAGCTCTGCATGGAACCCCTGCTGCAAGCTGATATCCAGACTTCCTGATCCAAGCCTGACATGCTGCCGGAGGGTTTCTTTCTCCCAAGCAGTCGAGAACAATGAACTGGTCGGATACAGCTGGATTTGTGAGGTGCGGTTGAGCTCCAGCGCTGGCACATCTCTGGTTGTTTTTGACAAAAAGACTCTGTCAAGAAGCTCATGCCTCGACCTTGAGCTTCTTCATGGCCTCGAGAGCATCGGCACCGTCGTCGTCTTCGTCGACAAAGGCTCTAGTCGCAACACCGCTCTCCCAAAGCTCTCTCCCCGTCATCTTCTTCTCTTCCTTACCACCCCTCTTCTTCTTTTCCTCGGCCTCTCTCTGCTCTTCAGCCCTCTTCTTTGCTTCTGCCATCTCCTCCTTGAACCTGTTACTCCACTCCAGATATGTCTCCCTCGTGACCTTTGTGCCCTCGAATTTTCGGTTTTCCTCTGCTTCTGCTTCTGCGGCTTCCAAGTCCTTTTCGGCTTGGACGGCTTGTTGTCGCTCTTGGATCAAGAGCTCGGCTTCGTCTTTTAGGGTGGTGACGAGGGTGAAGACCATGGCCATACCCAGGTTTTCTTCAATTGTTGCCGTCAAGCCATCGAGTAGTCGCGTCTTGTCTTCTTGAATGTCGAGGTGTTTGTGCTTTGGAGCGTTTGGCGGGGCCGAGAGGTCTAGTCGTGGGGCTACGTCTGGGTAGTCTTCGGGGTATGAGACGGAGAGGATGAGGATGGGGGCGCTTTCGGTGGATTCTTCGTCGGCTTCGGTTACTTCGAGTTGTATCGAGACGCGGTATTCGGTGTCGGAGATGTCTGNTTCTTGTGGGTCAGCGCATTTGCTGGTGTCAGGACGAGTGCATCGAAAGTGCGCACCGGTGATTTCTTCGGGGAAGATGGAGTCGAGGACCTCGCGCTCCTCTGTTTGTTCTTCTCTACCCATGGTGTGTATATCTTTTGTTTCTAGTGTTTTTCTTGACAGAATGTTCAGCTTCTGGTTGCGGGCTTTGACAGTTCGCGATTGACGTCGGACATGTTGGTCTGTGCTCCAATTTTTCTTTGAGGATTGAAGCGCCTACTTTTGTCTAGATCTTATACCTTCCTCCTCTCTACTATCCCAGGTTACTCGATCAGCTGGTCTGGACAATTGACCTGAAGCTTCTACACAACTGCGCGACAAGGAAGGTCTAGAAACGACTTCCGACCAAATCTCCACCCAACAACCAAAGCTATAAGCAAAGGAAAAAGACATCACATAATCACCATGGCCAAAACAAAGTCAAAAAAGAGCCCAAAGAGCTCCTCCCAACAACCCAAAGAATCTCCCGAACAACTCTACGACCTCGCCATCCAATGCGTCGAAACCAGCCAACCAGACCAAGCCCTCGCACACGCCCAAGACCTGCTCGTCCTCGTCCGCCGCCTCCAAACCCCCAATGCCGTCCTGCCAGCCCTAAACCTGCTCGGCGAGATCTGTATCGAGTTGGGTGATGCCGATTCTGCACGCGACTACTTTATGCAGGCCGTAGAGGCAGATCCGCAAGGCAGTATCCCAGAAGCTGTGGGCGGAGGTGCCGAGAAGTTCTTGTGGATGGCGCAGTTGTGTGAGGAGGGTGGTGCGGCTAGTGTTGGTTGGTTTGAGCGTGGGGCTGCTGTTCTGAAGAGGGAGATTGCTGAGCTCGAGGCTATGCAAGATAGAGACGAGACGCAGGAAATTCTGTTGGAGGAGAAGAGNGGGAAACTGGCGAATGCCCTGTGTGGTGTTGTCGAGGTCTACATGACCGATCTCTCGTGAGTCTGCCTCCTTCAGAAGAAACCGGTACAATTACTAACATTCATCCTCCAAAAGNNATGGGAAGCAGACGCCGAACAACGATGCGAAGCCCTCATCACAGAAGCCATCATGGTCAACCCCGACAGCCCCGAGGTACTCCAAACCCTAGCCTCCGTCCGCCTATCCCAACTCAAGCCCGAAGACGCCCGTGCCGCCCTAACCCGCAGCATCAGCATGTGGAAAGACCTCGAGCCCGAAGACCCGCTCATCCCCGACTTCCCCAACCGCGTCAGTCTGGCCCGTCTACTGATGGAAGCCGACATGGAAGACGAAGCCATGGATGTGTTGGAGCGTCTCGCCTTGGAGGACGATCAAAGTGTCGAGGCCTGCTATCTCGGTGGCTGGTGTCTGCAGCTCATGGCAGACAAGAAGAAAGCCTCGTTCGGTGACGCCGCCAACAACCCAGACTCGGAGCAGGCAAAGGAACTGTTGGCTACATTGAGAGCGAGCAGAAGTTGGTTGCTCAACACGCTCAGACTATACAGAGTCTTGGAGTATGAAGACGAGAGACTCAAGCAGCACACCGAGGAGTTGGTTGATGCGCAATGTCAAGTCCTTGGTCCTCCGCCAGAGGAAGGCAAGGAGGATGAAGAGGAAGACGAGTGGGATGGTATTGATGAGGACGATGAAGCGGCCGACGCCGACGAGGAAATGGCAGGCGTGTAATTGTTTTTCTGCACCTTGATACCATAGACAATTTTACAATCTACATGAAACGGACTTTATTCCGTCATGACTACTTGACAACAATCCATGGGAACCTACCAATAACTTTTACGAGTGACTTTGCAATGGCATGAGCATCAATAGCGTGGCCGTAATTCGAGAATTGTGAGTACAAAGCAAATGTTGGCGACAGTATTCGAAAGGTCCAAGCAGGAATGGTGGAAAGAACAGGCACCAGAAACAGTTCGCGTTGCGATTGTGTCGAGTTCACAATGTGCAAATGCGAGAAAAACAGATGCGTCGAAGAGAGAACTTTTGGTTGTGCGTAAAACATTTGGATCATTTGGTTGGTAACCCCAGCTTGTCATTTTCTTTAAAAACGCCGAAAAAGTGCGCGCTGCTTTTTTGGTTGGTTCTCTTGATGCTGGCTACATTGTGGCTAAGAAGTGTTGAGTCGCGAATAAACCCGTTCCTCGCAGAGCCGTCGCCGAACCAAGAAAAGGGATCTCCACTATGGTGGTAGTGCGAGGGGAGTAGCAAGTCGGAAGAGATTGGGCGAAACCATTTATTGGGCCTGAGAGAGAGGAGAGTCAGTACAGAGCTGACGTTTCTGTTGTCGAGAGGAAGATTTATCGCACCTTGACGGCGTAGTTTCTCTGGGNGAAGTGGGTCTGCTTCTTCTTTTGCTTCTCGGTGACGCGCGAGGCATCCTCCTTGCTCAATCTTCTGCGGATGGCACGGGTCTGCTTTGCGCGGAGGTCGAGGGGAAGGTACTTCTTGTTCTTGTAGAAGATGCGCAGCTGCGAGCGCTGGTTGATGTTGATGACGGTCAGGACGCGAGCGATGGACTTGCGGACGTCATGGCTATAAGAGAAGAGGACATGTCAGAAAATTCGTTCTTCGTGGCGCGGTTCGTGTGTGTATGCGTAGGTGTGTGTCTTTTCGATGTTTTCCCAGTCCTTCCTTCTCTTTCTCTGATCGGATTCGGGCATGCGGGAGGTTCAGTCGTACATTCTGGTGAGCTTGCTCTGGGCACCACCGGCAATCTTCTGGGTGCGGAGCTGGACCAGCTCGGCCTTCAACTCCTCGAGCTGAGTCTTGAGCTCATCCTTGTTCTTGCTCCAGAGCTGGCTGGCCTTGACCTTAGCGGACGACTGCAATGTGTTCCGTCAGCATTCCGACATGGCAGACAGGACGTATGATGGGAGCGCGCACCATTTCGGCTGTGAGTTAGTAGGATGAGTTGACGAGCGGGCGAAAATCGTGTGTTCGGCAGCAAAGTCGAGACAACAGAATTCGCTGTGGGCTTCGTGCGCTACGGCCTTGGCGGCGCGGCGTTCCGGCTCAATATCGGGCTACAGAGTCCGGGGTCGTGCATAAAGTCTGGCTGTCCTCGGCATAACTCATGCAACGGATGTGAAGGGCGTCGCATTGAATCTGGCCCTTCGACCATCCTTGTACAATAAACACAACTCTTCGAAATGGCTTCTGGCTCTGGCAGCTGGGCACAGTTACGACAGCAGGCTCGTTCACTTGAGACTCAGGTATGTTTTCACATTCAACTCCATCTGTCATCAGCAAGCTAACAACCATCTAGNACGGATGCCTTGTTCCACACCTATTCCCAATATGCGTCCATGAGCAACATCCCCGCCAAACCCGACGAAGATGAACAACGGACAGAAGCTCAACTACAGGACATACTCGAGAGGGTAATCCACCTCTGCTTCCTTTCATCTCCACTCAAATAGACTGATGCCTGACAGCGTTCAGCCCTCATCTCTCAACTCTCGCGCCTGCTCGACTCTGAACCTACCGCTTCCGCCCTGAAGTCTACCAACCTGGCCCGTCACAAAGAAGTCCTACAACAACACCGCAGAGAGCTCGACAAGCTCAAATCCAACATCGGCCATCAACGAGATCGCGCCAACCTCCTTTCCAACGTTCGCAATGACATCAATGCATACCGTGCACAGAACCCCGAGCAAGCAGAGGCAGACTACATGCTGGACGAGCGCAGCCGCATAGACAACAGTCACAACATGACAGATACCGTCCTCACACAGGCATACGCCATCAACGAGCAGTTCGGCATCCAGAGGGAGACCCTTACCAGCATCAATCGTCGCATAGTCGGAGCAGCCAGCCAAGTACCTGGCATCAACAGTCTGATTGGCAGGATAGGCAATAAGAAGAGGCGGGATGGTATAATAATGGGCAGCTTCATTGCATTCTGCTTCTTGGTCTTCATGTACTTTTGGTAACAAGTTCACTGCGAGGAGTTCAGGAGTTCATGGGCATGCAAGAGCTGGTATTGGGAGGGGAGAACATCTTTGTATGTTGTGGATCGTTATCAAGAAGAGATTATTGGACTTGTTGAGGAGTGGCCAGTACCTCTGCCTCGACAACACTATCAACCCTCTGGCTCTTCGGTGACTCCTTGTTCTTTCTTGCCTCGGCCAGGACTCTCTTCAAGTTCCTGACCAAGCTCTCTTGCTCGAGCTCGTGAGCGACGGCACTGCCTGCCCAACGAATCTTGCATTCCGTATCGACCAAGTAGACGTAACCGACTTTGCTGTTCAACAGACCAATGGCGTCTCTAACGTCGTCTTCAATGCCGCGTCTGATCANAAAGTACTTGGCCCAGTCCTGTTTGGGGCGCATAGCCCTCAATCTGCCAGCAANAGCTCGCAAGATCCACCACTTGAGCGCATTGGGTTCGTGGTTGATCTCCACCAGTTGTGCAAGACCTGCTTTGCCTCTGGCCTTCTCTTGCTCCAGTACTTCGTGTAATGTCGGGTTCTTGTCCTTGGAGCAGAAAGTCGCAACTTGGTTCTCTGCCCAACCAGATGAGAAGATGCTGACGATACTGATCTTGCCCTTCAATGCATTCACCAAGTCTTTCTTCTCGGCATTCTTGGTCGAGTCCTTTTCTAAAGTGCGACCACGCAGGTTGGGGAACCAGAGGGCATGTTCGGCCTTGAAGACTGATTGTGGGGACAGAAACGTCTTGCCCTTGAAGTGGCGCATAGCGCTGAAGTCGCGGAAATAAGGGCGGTATAGGGTATCGCTCAGCTTCTTGCGACGCACGAGATGCTTGTCGTAGTTGACAAAGTCATCTCTGCGTTCTTTCCAGCTACGATCGTCGACTCCGGTGTTTTCGCCAGCTCGAGGTGGGTGCGGCATTCCAATGGGTCGCTCTAGGGGTTTTGGTACGGGATCCTCATCGGGGTTCTCTTTCTCGCGTGGTGTATATGTTAAGGGCTTGGTGGGTGTTGCGGGCGATGGTGTTGGTTTCGTGGCATAGTTGCGTGTTGCTGAGATGCAGACTTGCTTGCTGTCTGGTGTGACCAGTGCCCGAAGCATTCGCAAGCACGATAATGATGGTGCCTTGATTGCCATGGTGAGATTCTTGTGTATGGTAGACTGTAGACTGTCAAAGAGTGGTAGACAACAAGAAGATGGCCGCCGGTCTCGAGATTTGTCCTCCGAATTGCGGAGTTGATGATCTCCGAGCTGCTTTCCCATGCTCACTCATACTCTTCTTCACCATACCAGCCGCAATGCTTGAGGTCGCTATGACTACCTACAAGTCTGAGATGATAATACGCGAATAGCATTGCTTTCTCCTTGTATAGGTCTTTCGAAAAGCATCACCAACATATACTCAAAGTCCTCAATGTCTTCTTCACCATGCAGTGCAGTAATCAACATTATTGCAGCTCAGCATCATCACAATGCAGCTGCCAGGAAAATAGCTGCGTTTGACGCATTGTATGCCTTGGACGACGACGAAGGGGATGAGTTCAAAGATGAGGGCCTAGCAGCTTCATTTCAAAAAGTGAAGGGCAGAACTCCTGGAGATCCAACCACCACTTCCCTTTCACGCTCGCGTCGCACACCAGGCAGACCTCCAGGCAACCTTGCACGCTCCGTCTCCAACATAAACTTACCCCTACCACAGTCGGCCCAGCAACGTCCAAATCCTAGGAGGGCTAAGAAACCTCTTGAGCTCTTGGAAGAGTTGAGTGCTTCTAATTCAATAATCAAAGATACTCCTCCATTACAACACCATCATACTGTTAGTGGTGTGCCTTCACTCGACAGGCCTGCTAACGAAGCAATGCCACCTTCTTCTTCTGCCCCGCCCGCTTCTTCTGCCATTCCCATGATCAAGAACAAAAAGGGCAAGGGTAAGCAAGCGGCTGAAATTAAACTCGTCCCTGAAAACCGACGCATCTTTCAAGATCTTCATTTCNNTGTAAGTTACACACATGCAAATGCTTATCGTTTGCACAATACTGACAATTAAGACTTCTTCCCAAACAGTGACACGCACCCTGGTCGCAGACAAAGGATCATCAGAGCTCTGGAGTATGGCGCAACTTGGCAGAATGAGTTCAATGATACCGTCACTCACATCATCACTGATCGCGAGTATGATTATACACAGCTGTTGAAGTATCTGAAACTGACAGAACTGCCTGCCTTTGTTGTCCTGGTCAACGAAAACTATCCGGCGTCTTGCATGGAATTCTACAAACTGGTGGATCCATCGAGTATCGAGTTTAGAGTCAAAGGCTACGAGATGCCCGCTCCTGTTTCAACGGCACAGCCTCAGCCAGTTCCATCTCAGGTGTCCGAGGTGTCTCTGAAGCTCAAGCCTGCAAAGAGAAATGCGACAACTCTCTCTTCCCAATCGACACCCCAGCCAGAAGCAAGTCCCAACCTGGCGCCTTCAGCTGCGTCGCCATCGGCTTCTCCTGCACCTGTCAGTACCGACGAACCGCAAGCCGTCAACAAGGACGAGGATGAACTCGATTCGGCCATTAGGGAGGCCAAAGAGTCACANCCCCTTGCATCCGACGACGCAGAAGATGACGGACGTTATAAAAGACGTAAGCCCAACAACTGGCAAGATAAGTTTCAGTGCATGCACAAACACACTGGCGGCAGCGGCGATAAAGGTCCTAATGCCCAGACGCTGTCCGTCCTGCAAGAGCTGGCCGACTACTACGATCAAACACGCGACCAGTGGCGTTCGAAATCATATCGCCAGGCCATCTCCGCATTGAGAAAATACCCGACTAAGGTTACCACAAAGGAAGAAGGACTACGTGTCTATGGTATTGGCACATCGATAGCAGAAAAGATTGAAGAGATTGTCAGGACAAGCCATTTGCGCAAGCTTGACTCTACAAAGATGGATGAGCGCCAACAGATTCTCAACAGATTCCTGAAGATATACGGTGTGGGTTTGCATGCAGCAGAGCGATGGGCCAGTGCAGGTCACAAAACTCTCGATGACTTACTTCAAAAGGCAGAGCTGACTGACAACCAACGCATCGGCATTGCTCACTACGACGACTTCAACAGCCGTGTCCCTCGTGCTGAGGTCGAAGAACACGCTGCAATGGTCAAGAAAGCACTCAACGGCTTGGACCCAGGTTACAAGATCTACACCATGGGTTCTTATCGCCGTGGTGCCAAGGACTCTGGCGACATCGACCTTCTCATCACCAAACCGGGAGCAACCATCGACAAGATCAGCACGACGGTTATGGACCGTCTTGTGCCATTTCTCACCAAACAGAAATTCCTTGTCGCAGCACTGGCACAAACCTCTCAGTCGGACGGTACTAGATGGCACGGTGCATCCTGTTTGTCTGACAGCACTGTCTGGCGTCGTATAGATTTGCTCCTTGTGCCAGAGGAAGAGCTCGGCGCGGCCCTGCTCTACTTTACCGGCAACGACATCTTCAACCGCAGCATGAGATTGCTGGCTAGTAAGAAGGGGATGCGCTTGAACCAGCGCGGGCTCTACAAGGATGTACTCAGGGATTACGGTCGCGAAAAGTTGAGCGAGGGTACTCTTGTGGAGGGCAGGGATGAGCGCAAGATCTTTGAAGCTTTGGGTGTACCTTGGAGACCCCCAGAGCACAGGATCTGCTAGTCAGGAGACAGGGGACCGTTGTCAGTTTTAAGGCAGCATGAATTCATTGTGTGAGGGTAGTCATTCAACGGCACGATTGATAAGCAAATGCAATTCCTTTTCATATTTTGAATTATGAGCTCAAGACTTTTGCCAGAAAAAGATGTTTGCAAAGGGGCAACCACAGGGGAAAGATCAAAAGATATATCGAGATGAGTGATGCTTGTCTGAACGGCAAAAGATTGTGCTCTCCATCAGGGAATCGAACCCTGGTCTCCCGCGCTTGACGAGATGTGACTCTTGACAAGCGGAAATCATGACCACTAGACCAATGAAGATGAGCCAGCTTTGCTGGTATTGGTTGATAGTCAACCATAATTCAGCTGAAATATATGGTTCGTGACGATATTGATCGATCATCGAACTAGATGAGCGACCGAGGCGCGAGCCCAAGCTTGCGACATCTCCTAACAAGCAGCTTGGAACACGGTCGTCGCTAAGTTCGATGCTCTCAACGTGCCCTTGCGCAGATGCAGTGTAATACCATCATATTCCGTACTGGCCATGTACTGGCCTATTGGTGCGCCCAGAACGTATGCTGCTTCTAAGCATATAGTTCGCAGCGCCAATTCACCCTCTTCCGACCCTGATGATCCCGATAAGCCCGCCATAACACCACTTTCGCCCGATGCTGGACAACTCACACCCTTGGTCCTAGAGCACGAGCAGACACCTTTTGACACTGCGATCGCACCGACACCTTCCACAGACGAGCACGGTGGTGCAGAAGAGCAGGAAATAGTGGACATCAAAACATCCCGCGCTGGCAATATATTCACCACCATAACCTCTACGTCGCTTAGTGTATGGCAGACCAAGCCCACTGCTCTGCTCGCTACCGTCACAAGGTCGAATCATTCGCTTCAAACATATGGCCCGAACACGTCTCTCCTGCTGCGCCCGGATGCCCTCATAGTCATTGTGCAGACCCAGAAAGGCTTCCTCATTACATACTCCCTAGCCATCGACTCGGCCGCTCGAGTATATCAGACCTCTATCTATACTCCATCCGGGTCTCATGTTCGACGGCCAAGCAATGAAGCATACAGTAAGAGGCCCAAGCTTGCCCCTGAGGGAGGACCTGCAGAAGGGGAAGGCATCAAGGAAGTCAGTGTTCGCTTTCGCATGGTGATCCGGATAGACGCTGGTATTTCACAAGCCCTCGTGCTCGACGATGAGCTTGTTGTCACCACTGTCAAACCTGCAGCTGTCCAGTGCATACGTTGGACACCAGACAGCTCAGGCTCCTCTCACAGTACTGAACTTCTCAAGCGGATGACCTGGCTGATCGGCAAACCTTCTGTTGTAGACATGTCATACGATAGACCCATGAACCTTCACACTTGGGTGACAGATGACGGAAGGGCGTATGCAGTACAGCGATTGTCTGGAACCAGTGCCGATTCTACAAACCCCAAAAGTCTTTTCAGAGGTTTCTGCTTCCACTCTCCGGATCACCTGGGCCTCTTTGCGACAAAGTCTGCGATCAATGCTCGTTTTTCTCTGATAGCTATCGGATGTTCAAACGGCACGATCCAAGTTTACTCTGCAAAGGACTATCTGGGCAACATACCACGATCGCACGAACTCAAGTTGCCCGTGTCAGAAGCATCTTCTGGTAGTCTGACATTCTTGAGCTGGTCTCCAGATGGATACTGTCTCTTTGCAGGCTATGACCAAGGATGGGCAATGTGGAGTGTTTATGGTAAGCTAGGTGCAAACACTTTTGGCGCAGATCGATCAATGTCGGAAACGAACGACGAAGAATGGCTTTGCGGCGTGCGCGCTGGTTTCTGGGTTGGTGGTGGCGCGGAGATACTGCTGCTTGGTCCCAGCAGACGCGAGCTGCATGTTATCGAGATGATGCGAAGCAGTGTGACGAGCTGCTTTGCAATGCCCAACATCTCCAGATCCTTGCTACAAGGAAGCACTAGCTTGATGCTATACAGAGGATTCGAAAGTTCTGACCATACAACCATATCTGGCGACATATCCTTGTGGCAGACTGTGCAAGTCCCACAAGCCTATCTTGCATACCAATGGCCGCTTCGACTCAGCGTCGTCTCTGCTGACGCGAGATATCTTGCTGTAGCTGGAAGACGAGGGTTGGCACATTACAGTGTCGGCAGTGGGCGCTGGAAAACGTTTGAGGATCCGATAGCCGAAAATAGCTTCACCGTACGAGGTGGTATGTGCTGGTGGCAACACATTCTTGTGGCTGCTGTAGAGTCTGGCAGTAGTTACGAGGTATGCTTTCTTGGTATGATTGTCCTGACCAACTGCTAAACTTCGACANNGGTCCGTCTGTATTCGCGCGAGAAGACTCTGACCAATTCTCAAGTGTTGCACGCTGAGATACTGCCGTACCCAGTGGTTTGTATGGCTACGTCTGGAGAAGATTCTTTATTGGTGTATACCTACGAGAACGTCCTGCTTCATTACATCTTCGTCTCATCGTCTAAGACAGTCAAGCTGGCACAGGTTGGTCAAATCGCGTTTCATGGCATCATCAGAGCACCACCACGTGTTCGTGCTATCAGCTGGATTCTCCCCGAGGAGCAACGTGGTATGTCTTCGATGCTTGTCTCCCTTTCAGGCTACTTACACATTCCACTTNNAGACAATGGCGATCCGTCACACGATGTCGCTACAGCTTCCGTACTGTTCTTGGTTGATGCCAAGTTGGTTTTGCTACAGCCTTCAGCAAACGAACACGGCGAGCTCAAATACGATATGCGTGTTATTGCTCACAATGTGGAGTTCTACACACTGTCTAGAGAACAGCCGCCTTCCAGATCACCACCAAGTACTCTCGACGACAGCCCTGATAACAGCTATCTACCTGCAGGTGCTCTGGGCCACAGCTTGCGTGACTCTTTGTGGTACTTCGATGGCACATCAATGCACGCGTGGCCTGATGTTCTCGATGTGCTTTCCTCTGCTCTCACGGAGCACGGACGTGAGGTTGCTCCCACTGTCGCTATCGCAACCGACTTCTATCCACTGTCTGCGATCGTGGAGAAAGGACTTCTCACTGGTCTCGAGTCGGATCTAGTTCAACGTCGCGACATCAACTTTGCGTTCTACCGTCTCAATCCACGCACTCACTTGTCGATACCGTCACTTCTACGACATCATCTAGCCCAGTACGATTCACCCGCCGCGCTTCATCTTTCGCATTCTTACCAGAAGCTCCCTTACTTCAATCATGCCTTGGAAGTGCTCCTGCATGATGTCCTGGATGACGAGGTTGATGCTCCGCCCGAGTCATCAGAGGCAGCACTTCTTCCTGGCGTCTTGTCGTTCCTCTCCTCATTCCCAACATACCTTGACATTGTTGCTGGATGCACGCGCAAGACAGAGTTGCGAAGCTGGAAAACCTTGTTTCGCTATCTACCACCTGTTGCTGAGTTGTTTGAAGAGTCCCTCCGGAAAGGCATGCTCAAGACGGCAGGAAGTTATTTGTTGATTCTGCATGCTTTCGATGAAGGTAGTTTCAGTGCGCGTCAGACATCTACTCTGTTCAAAAGAGCTAGGGAAGAGGGCGACTGGGATCTCTGCAAAGAACTCGCTCGTTTCTTAGTAGGAATTGACGAGACAGGAAACCTTCTGAAAAGTGTGCTTTTTCGAGCTGGGCTGAGGGGCACTGAGCCTCCTAATAGCTACAGCTCCTCGGACGAAGATGTCAGCGGGCCTTTTCACAGCGCCAATATCTCCAATGGCACGGCGATTGAGACACCTGACAGGTCTGGGAGTGACAGTAGTGACGGCAGCATAATCAATGCCGGTCGCAATCTTGGTTCATCCACGCAAGACTACTTTGCTGACCCGGCAGGATACCCATGAGAAAGGTATCCCTGTCAGGTCACGGACGCCCAAGTAGCAACCTTACCATAGGGCTGTATGTCGCGTGGAAATAGTATACATATTTTCTTTTGATCGCTGTCTAGCGCAGGACGGGCGCACGTGGGTGTGTATGATGAGCAGGGGAAATCGCAGATGGCGGCTCTTGAACGGTGATGCAAAAAGTAAACAAGGAAGCTTCAAGCGGGTTGGCGGGGTTCTCTGCTTTGGGAAGAGAGCACTGTTTTCTGCTTTGGGAAGCAATATCCATTCATCTCAACCACGACACTCGAAGCATCAAACAACATTGAATCACAATGTCTGAAGCGGCTTTCGTGATGCTAGCTATATTATTTGCCGACATGGCGCAGTCGACTGTGGGAGTGACAAGTTGAACATGATGGAAGGTGCTGACTGTTTGACGCTCGCGCGTGGGGAACCTCGTGCTTGCCAGAGCCGAAAGCTTGGTATGGCGCTCCTTCTGCATACACCGCCCGTCCTCTCTAGGAATATGGAGCTGCGGTCGTTTCCGACTTATCGTTTGCTCAGATTTCATACTCCTCCGACCGATCTTAGTATAACCATCGTCATCACGCATCAACCGGTGTATCCCATATACCATGTCTTGGCCATTCTCTGCTTCGGGTCAGCCTGGTGTCACGACCAGAAAAGCATGGAGCTACGTATGTGGCAGGGCTGTCATGCCAGACATCCCTCCGATCGAGAGGTCACTTCACCGTAGGTCCGACACATATTTTGAAGGTTTACTGCTAGGTTTAAAAGGTGAGGAGAATACTACCACGGCCTACGACCAGGGAGAATGCGCTTCGTCATACGCTCTATGCACCCCGGTCTGATCTCAAGAACTGCTGGAGACGGTCCATGGACTGGCGGTCGGACGGTCGCATCCATCTTGAAACTCTATTTAGGCGACGCCGACAATTGGTCCACGACCTTTGCAGATAATTGTGGTGGCCTGAGGTGCTTCATTTAACGCTTCGGGAGACCTTTTCACTTTTCGAATGACTGCATTTCTTTATACGCCCTGCAATGTAGAAAGTGGTTCACAGCCTCTTGACTGCGCCCGAGCTTACAAAGTTCGTTCCTTCCTTCTAAAATATCCCCTTCTTGCTTCCCTTGGGATTGACTTGGCGTCTGCCAGCTTTTCTTGATATAACTATTGACTCCGAACTTGAAGATTAACGCAGTGAAGATATACCACACACCATCGCGGGCTACCACCATGCTCTATTAGACAACTTCACCAGTACTACACCGCTAGCAGACTCCAAAGCAACTTAAAGACTGCCCTCTGCCGCTGATCATCGACAACATCAACCACAGCAACAAACATACATGCCATCACCGATATGGCGATGAGCAGCAGAACTTCCAGACGGTCAATATCTCCGAAGGACAACATTGCCAACCAAGATGATCAACACAACCTCACATGGATCATGATCACCAATCCACACCAATCCAAAGACAAGGACATGATGAGGAACGTTCGCATACAAGTCATGAACGACTACCTCACCAAGGAACGCAGAAACCCGCACAGTACCGATGCTCGCGTACGACATACCGTGAAACGCTCAAGGACTAGTACGTCGCCAGAGTTGAGAAAGAAGTCGGGTCCTCACAAAACAAGAAGTCAATCCCCTCCTCGTGCTAGGGACTCGGCGATAGGCTCTTGTCTACCATCACCCGAGATAACATATGCTCAAACGTACCAAGAATCAGAAGCAGAGTCTTTGGGTGATACAGAGTCGACGGTGCTGGCGCCATGTGCAGCTTACGACCCACCAGTGGCAGGCATTGGTGCAAAATTGGACGTCTTCAATGCGACTCCGAAGTTTGACGGAGAACACATCGATGTTCTCATGCTAAAACACAACTGTATGTACATCCATTGCGAGGCTGGCCATATCTAACGGAGAAATGGCAGGNNCACGACATATTTTGCAAGTCAAGCCATGTGCAAGAAATGGGTGCCAATGTTGTTCGCCGGTCGCGCAGCATTCCTCAGCACATTATGCATCTCGTCCGCCTACCTCGATATGATGCAGATGGACTTCACAGTTGCGCGGACCGCGAACTCGATCGAATCCGTACGAACGCTCACGGTCAGGGAACAGACGGTGAAACTGATCGGTGAGCGTCTGTCCGACCCAGAGACTTGCTGCAACGATGCAAACATAGTCTCGGTCGTACATTTGCTATTTGGTGAGATGATTGTGGCGGGCAGTCAGGCCTTGCAGTGGCACGAGGATGGACTGCACACAATGGTAGAATACAGNGGAGGCCTGGAAAATCTAGGCGGTAATGGTCTCTTGGCTGCCATGGTCACCATGTAAGTCAAGGAGAACATCCGAGAGACTAGTCCTGACTTTCGTTAGNNCCAAACTTTTGAAGTTTCTGTCCTTCGCGAAAATCGTCCTCGACAGCAGTACCTTGACTATGCTCGGTCTATCTCTGGACCTGCGGCACGAGACCGTTCCTCTGCAATGCCGGAATCGCCTCTGTACTACCCCACAGGTCTTCACCATACCCTAGCTCGAACGCAACGCTGCGATGAAGAGACTTTGGACCTTATAAACTTTGTCCGAGACCTCACGCAAGCCGTTATGGACCTCGAGGACGCGTCCACAGCAGATGCTCCCCATGGCGAAAAGTTCGGACCAAAAGCAACCAGTAGAATATACACAGAGCTGGAGGTCCAAGCATTGCACAGAAAGAAGCGCAGAACCATAGACCAGATTGTCGCACTTGAGGCTCGAGACGACCCTATCTATGAAGCGATACGACTTTGCGCTCTACTCTACGCCACAGCCATTCATTGCAAAATGCCCCTCTCTACCACCGCCCGCAGCTTCCCAAGTCGTATTGTGCTACAGATAAGAGACAACCTCCTCCGTACAGACATGTCGAACTGCTGGGATAGTATGGTAGGCATACTTTTCTGGTGCACGATCGTGACTGGAGCAGCATGCAACACTGCAGACGACGAAGACATTGAGGTGCTGGCAACCAAAAAGTGGATGGTCGCGCTCGCGATTCGAAGCTCGATTCTGCTTATTTTCCAACACACAGATGCTGTGGTGAGGATGTTGAGGACGATATTGGTCGTGCAGAAGATGTTGAGAGGATCGATGGGAGAAGCGGAGATCTAGTAGGTACCCCTGGTGGGTTCTGACTTTCTATTGTACTCGTAGGGAACATTGGTATTTAGCACGGAAACGTAGACACCGGGATGCACAATCGAATACTCATCTGATCAACTTGCGACTTATTATCACGCGTGATGAGTGATATGACCCGCACAGAGAATCGACAGCATCATAATCACAAGCAGCATCATGTACTCGGCAATCGGTGAGCATCGTCAGACACGACCGACCTCAGGGAACGACGATCAAGACACATCCAAGCAGAACAAACTCCGACTCACACCCCGAACGAAAGTCTTCATATTTTGATCGGTTCACCCGCTTCTACAACCGCCCCGAGACACACACGTAGAGGGGCAAACATGTAAATCGGCCGCCACAAGGGCGTCAACAGCAGAGGAAGCCTAAACGTAGGGCAGGGACTCGGGTCTCGCAATCCAAATCTTGTGGATTCTAGAGTAACGGTGTCGGGTGGTTGGGCCGTCGCTGATAGAGAGCGCTGTGGCTTGATGGATATGTGAAGAGTGTTGTTTTGCTTGGATGTGATGATCTTAGGAGGTGGTGAACTGTCTCGTAGGGCATAGAAGACGGCAATGTCGCTCTTGGTTGCTGCTCTTTGTGGCTGCTTGGTGATTGGTACCGCTGTTGCTGTTGATGAGAACTGTATGGATTAGAGAGTGTGATCAATCAAAGTTTGAAGCAGAAAGAAGGAGAAACCTTGAGAGTTAGAGGCAGTAGCGACCTACATCCTCCCCATGTGTGATAGACGGTCGCAGTGTAATCATAGAAATGCACAATCCGTCTTTCAACACAACGATGTTCTCGGAGAGAAAGCAATGCTCAGGCATCTCCATGGTGGCACCTTTATTCCTAAAGACACTGTGCAATTCGATGGCTTCTAATAAGACAATAAGTTAGCGAGGGAGGGGGTCGATCGTAGGCTGTGACTGTCTTTTGCAGATACGGAGGATGGCACGTGGAAAGTAAAGGCAGAGGTCTGCCCCTTCCTTCTGGTTTTGTTTCTTTCCCATCTTCATATTGAAACCGTACCGATAAGAGAGCGACCTCGTGCGTGATCTCAAGCTAAAGTATCAGAATACGTCTCCATGAGCAAAAGTCTGTAACTGAATGGGGGCAAAATTATTTAACATGTATATTATGGAGCAATGCGAAATGCGACAAAAAGTCTAGATCTAAGGGTATAATGTATATAAACGACAAAAAGCAAAAACGTTGGATGCTGCCATCACGTCGTACTATGATGAGACTTCTTGTCGAGCTGGGGAGTCTCTTTCTCGCAAGATCTGACAGAACTTAAGCCTTGTGGACAGCATAAGCACTCTTGGTTCTGATCCTCGCGCCATAGATGTAAAAGACATATGGCACAGGCACCATGAGCGCACTGATGCATGCGAGGATGGTGAGCGTGTAGTGAACGCTCAGATTGCGGTACCAAGGCACACCGACCACAGTCATGCCGCCAGCTGCAAGGTAGCGAGTGAATGTGACAAACGACAATGCGCTGGCAGCGTAGATGGCGTAAGAGTCGATGATGTACATATAAGCCGAGATGAAGATGGTGATGACGCCGTAGCCAAACAGAGCAGAGGCGATGATCGGAGACCAGATTGAGATATTAGCATAATCGGTCCAGCCCATCCAGAAAAGGGAGACGGGCACTGCGAGTGCACCACCGAGCATAGCAAAGTAAAGACGAGATTCAGGTGTGGGAGCAGGGTTTTCGACTCCAGCTGCCTCTTGCTTCTTGATGTCTTTGACTGTCCAAGAGTAGATCAGAGGCAGTGTACCGAAGAGAGGGAAGAATCCAACAAAGACAGCCACCCAGATGATATTGGTGATACCCTGGGAAATGCCATAAGTCTCGGTAAAGACGAACTCGAAGCCGATGAAGAAGGTGAACAGCACAATGTAGAGAACTGTGAGGTAAAGCGACATGAGCAAGATGATGGGCTCAGTCCAAATCATAGCAAACGGTCGCCAGAGTGCAATCTTCAGGCGAGTCCAGAGAGAAGTGCGACGCACCTCCAAGGGCGATCTGTAGCGGTCATCGCCTGTTTCAACGCGAAGATGATGGGCTTTCCAAGATAGAAGAAGCGGTCCGTACGTCTCTGGCTGGCCGACAATGATGATGGCGGTGATGATACCACCGAGGATCAGCATGAGCCATTCACACCAACGCCAGCTCATGCCGCTGGGACCAATGTAAGAACCAATGACGGGTCCAAAGAGAGGTCCAGAGAATCCGATGAATGCATAGACTGGGAAGCCAAAGGTCTTCTCGAGAGGATTCCAGAGATCAGCGATAGTACCACCAGCTACTGTCAGCGGTGTTGATCCGAATAATCCTGCGAAGAATCGGAGTACGATGTGACCACCAAAGTTGGGAGCGAGAGCGCATCCAAGCAAGAAGAGCATGTAGATACACATGGTCACAATGTAGATGATGTTTCTTCCAAATGTTTCCGAGAAAGGACCTGCAAATTGCGAACCGACGGCGAAACCTATCAGATACATTGCCGTTGCCAATGAGCCTGCAACCTCGCTGACATGGAAGTATTCTGCGTATTGAGGCAATACTGCAGCATCAATCGACGACGCCGCTGTACCTGCAAGAGCTACGAGGGACACGACCACTGTCGCCCACATGCGCTTCGCCGTGGACCAATTGTGAGGCTTGAGTGGGTCGTGAGAGCCTTCCCATTCGACCACAAAGACATGGCCGTTCTCGCTCTCGTTGGTGGCTCTCAGGCGCGCGTTGATGCCAGTCATTGAGTATCCTAGGGCTGTCCGTTCCGAGTAATGCGTTCGGTGGGTTGGTATCCTAGACAGATCGGCATTTTCGCTCTTGGTCCTGGCTAAATCCGCATGGTGACTCCTGCTGGTGTGTATCCTGTTGAGTTCATTCTGATTGTCGGTTTGAGGATATGAGTCTTCCATTTCGTCTTCGACTATCGCGTCGAGTGCTTCCTGGTCATCGTTCGCTTCCTCGTCTCTACTGGGTGTTTCGGTCTTCTCCAGAGGCTCTCCGCCAAATATCTGAGCTTCCTCGCGAGGATCGAGTCCATGTTGTTGAGTATATGCAGATAGTGCTTTGGCCTTGTCTGTATCTCTGGACAGCTGTCTCTGAACAGCCTGTCTGAGTTGTTTGTATTGGCGAAACGACTGCATGGTCGTGGATCAAGGTTGAGTGTGTAACAGGAAAACAAAACTTTTCTGGATGAACGTGAGAAATGACGAGGGTGACAACAATGGCCTTGGGGGTGCCCCAGATCGTTGGGTCCCTTAGACTTATATATCATAGCGCCACTGCACATGCGGTGGTCCTTCGGTCAGAGATTGCTGTGATGGGTAACGGGTCAGAAGCGCGTAAGACCCACTCTCACCGACCCCAGATCCAGGTGGTTGTTTTTCTTGCTCGCCATCGCAGCTGCATTATTTGTTCGCAAACCTTCGTGGCTGACAGAGCTCTAGCATAGTACCATCATTACACTCCAAGTAACAAGCTTGAGCATTTATCCTCGATATGATTGTAGGTATTCATTGACTGGTGAATAGGAGAAAAGTCGGGTTTGACGCAATCTACTCGGCTTCGGTACGATTTTCCGCCTGAAAGTTCCGAGCACTGGTTCAACATCTACATCTGAGCACCTTGCTTGGGACAAGCCATTGGGGCGAATTTCATATAAGTATGATAGAAGATCGTCTGCTCTACAGTACAGCCAATTGCGGATTATGTCATTGATGATTTGCTTCATTGTGCTCCGTCAAGCGTGCATCTCGGACTTGTCCATGCTTGATGACTTGGAAAGCTGGGACAATCGTTTGAGATATCGTGGTTGAGACCACCACCCAACGGCTTCTCGGACAAACAATCGCTTCAGACCATGTATCAAGACACGACGAAACTTCTTTATAGCTACTGATAGTATCCATGCAGTGCCAATAACAAGCGATCATGCTTGCGAGGAAGCAGGACGAGCATCGCAGTCGACGCGGGTACTGCGGAGTAGGACGAGCAGTGCGGTTAACGCGGATACTGCGGAGTATACTTCTAAATTCTTCGTGATCGTAAGACGTTCGGAGTTCGTGATGATCGTTTGTGAGTCAGCAAGAAGTGAACACTGAGCAACGGAAAAGATTCGGTCAAAGAGTGAAAGATGGTTGGAGAGGCGCGAGATCGAAGTTTGGCGCGCCTTTAACTTACTCGAAAAGTGACCCTGTCCGGGGCAGGCGCGCACGTGCCTAGTCTTGGCAAATTCACAGAGCGCCTGTCGAACAAAATCTGCGGCCGCCACTCTTTCTTGAACCCGTCACGCACAATTCCTCACCAAAAGAACCCGATTCTCTTGGAAGACAGCCAGCATCATGTCGAAGATCACTGTCGCCGGAGTGCGCACCAACGTGCAGGAGCTCCTCAACTACTCCCAGAATGAGAAGAAGCGCAACTTCCTCGAGACCGTCGAGCTCCAGATTGGCCTCAAGAACTACGACCCCCAGCGTGACAAGCGTTTCTCGGGTACCGTCAAGCTCCCCAAGGTCCCCCGCCCCAACATGGCCATCTGGTACGATCTGGAAATCTGAAAGAGCACGAGGGAGCACAGGGCTGACGGACAATAANNCAGCATTCTCGGTGACCAGCACGATATCGACCGTGCCAAGCACTTCGGTGTTGATGCCATGTCCGCTGAGGACTTGAGAAAGCTCAACAAGAACAAGAAGCTGATCAAGAAGCTCGCTCGCAAGTACGACGCCTTCATCGCTTCCGAGGCTCTCATCAAGCAGATTCCTCGTCTCTTGGGTCCCGGTCTTTCCAAGGGTAAGCGCAATCGCATCTACTATCAATAACATCAAAAGAGCATCGACTAACAAGCACAACANGCCGGCAAGTTCCCCACNCCCGTCTCCCACGCTGAGGACCTCTCCAACAAGATCACCGAGGTCAAGTCCACCGTCAAGTTCCAGCTGAAGAAGGTTCTCTGCATGGGTGTCGCCGTCGGCAACGTCGAGATGACTGAGGATGAGCTGATCGGTAACATCATGTTGTCCATCAACTACCTCGTCTCTCTTCTCAAGAAGGGCTGGCAGAACGTTGGAAGCTTGACCATCAAGGCTTCCATGTCTCCNCCCAAGCGCGTCTACTAGAGGACATTTATTTGTTCGATGGTGGTGTGTGCTCCTGTTGAAGGAAGGAAAAAAGTACCAACAATGTTAGCAAGCACAGATGAAAATCAAGATGATTTGCAACACCCAAAAATGTTTTGTTCTGCCCTGAGCATCAGTGAAGGTGATTATGTGATATGTACATGTATGTTTGTGATCTTCAAAATCTGTTCGTCGGCCTTAATGCCTGGCAGCGATATTTTACTCCATGGCATGAACTGCATGAGGCGGTTGTGGTAAACATGTGTTGAACGGCGTAATAATGGTATGCACAGATATGAGAGTTGACCAAGTCAAGATGAATGGATATGAAGATGTAAATTTTCTGATACTCGGCTACATGTCACTGACAAGCAAGCGCGCGATGCGCAAACACAATCCAGTCTTGCTGATATCCAAGACCAGAAGGCGTTCGCAACGATTGCGCAAAAGCTCTGTTCAATAAAACCTTGCGCAGGGAAGACTCTGCTGGCAAGAAAAATGAGACCAGAAAAAACTTCTTCAAGTGAAGAGATGTCGCAGCCCTCCCACACCTCCGTCGCACATTTGGCGGTACACGCAGATGTTAGGTGAGGGCTCCTTCCCTCTATGCACCAGGGAACGATACGAATTCCATAGGGAGAGGAAAACACATAGCAAGCCGCCGTAGCGGAAGTGCAAAGTGACATTAGTCACCTACTGATAGATAGAAAAGAAACTTACTTGAGGGCGAGGACAGGGCAAGTTTTATAGAAGCTGCACGGGGTCTGTGCTGGGCGCCCCTCAGTGGCTTATATAAGCATGCTAGATGTGAAGCTGAGAGGAGCACCCTGGCGCGAGATCAAGATGTGCGACGGCGAGGTTTCAAGTAGCACGAGGTACTCAAAGTCTTGTAAAGTATGTGAGTGTGGGATACTGGATATACTCAGGGTATCTCATGAGTAGCAAGGCTGTGTTGTAGCTGTTACATCTGATCATCTGATTCTCTGGTCATGTCGACTGCTACCCATGGAATGCTCAAGTCACTTTTCAGGGTCGATCGACTGACATTGATTTGCAACCATTACATATAACTGTCGTTGGGCAGAGCTTGCGCCTAGTCAGTGGAGACTTTCACTACTGCTGCTGGAAGAGCGATCAACAAGTTGTTGAAAGTGAGGAGTAGATCTTCCAGTTCGGAAAAGCAAAGTCACGTGCTGCAACAATAGGCAGGCCCAAGCTCGTCGCATCGCAGCATTCCTGGAGCAGAACTCCCTCTCAGCTGCCGTTCCCGTCCATCTCCATCACTTCTCACCATCACCCCTTCTCCAATCCATCACCAGCACCTGTTTCCTTGACTGGACTACTAGGCGCTTTTTCTCTCTTCAACTCTTCACATCGCAACTTCGTCGAATCGCGTCGATTTTACGCGCCTTACCCAACACCGACTACCTCACACCACCCGCCTAACACCATCAACATGTCTGCTGAGGAGGATCTCATCGATTACTCCGACGAGGAGCTTCAGACCACTGAGCCCACCGCCGCCACTACCGATGCCGCCGCTGCCAACGGTGACGCAAAGAAGGCAGATGGCGCCGCCCCTGCTGCAGGCGCTGCCACCAAGGGCAGTTACGTTGGTATCCACTCGACTGGTTTCCGTGACTTCCTGTTGAAGCCCGAGCTTCTTCGCGCCATTACCGACTGCGGTTTCGAGCATCCTTCGGAGGGTTAGTCATTCATCATCATCATCCTATCTAGCGCGCGTCTCCATTGCTCCGATCGTCCGTCCATCTCCAAGCGAAGCTCCATCAGGTAGAAAGAGGAGGCAGTCAGCGTTATTTTGCATTTGCCAGCCACCTGGACACATCCCGCTTCGCCAGTCCGCTCTGCGCTACATTTCGCCTGTGGTGCAGACTCGGCTCTGGTTTGATAGCTGCCGGATTACGAGGGAGAAGCCATGCCGTTTGAACACGAGCAATGCGACAAAAGGCGCGTCATGCAATCTGACCTTTGGTCTCACGAGTCTTGTGCCTGGTGCCAATTGAACTCTTGATTTGCAATCTGGACGCGCCGTCTCCCGGCTTTGCTTTGCGCCTCTGACTTTAGTCAAGTGTTGTCGGTCGCACCATCTGCTTTTTTGTTGTCGCAAGTTTAGCTAGCGAAACCTGGACAGGAGATGGACGGACGCTTGCTTGATTCACGCGAACACACTACTACTTGGCAAACCGATTCTGACATAGCTGCGATATCCAGTCCAACAGGAGTGCATTCCTCAAGCCATTCTCGGTAACGATGTCATCTGCCAGGCCAAGTCCGGTTTGGGAAAGACTGCCGTCTTCGTCCTCGCAACTCTCCAACAGATGGAACCCATCGAGGGTGAGACCTCGGTCCTGGTCATGTGCCACACCCGTGAGCTCGCCTACCAGATCAAGAACGAATACGCCAGATTCACAAAGTACATGCCCGATGTCAAGACTGCCGTCTTCTACGGTGGTACTCCCATGCAGAAGGACATTGAGCTCCTTTCCAACAAGGAGACTCANCCCCACATCATCGTCGCCACTCCCGGTCGTCTGAACGCCCTCGTCAGAGACAAGAAGCTCCGCCTTGGCAACATCCAGCGCTTCGTCCTCGATGAATGTGACAAGATGCTCGACCAGATTGGTAGGTTCAATTGTGGCCTTTAGCATGGTTAGCAGCTAATCTTCGANATAGACATGCGCCGCGATGTGCAAGAAATCTTCCGTGCCACCCCAACACAGAAGCAGGTTATGATGTTCTCGGCCACCCTCTCTCAGGAGACCCGCCCCATCTGCAAGAAGTTCATGCGTAACCCTCTGGAGATCTACGTCGACGACGAGACCAAGCTCACCCTTCACGGTCTCCAGCAATACTACATCAAGCTCAGCGAGGCCGAGAAGAACCGCAAGCTCAACGATCTCCTCGACGAGCTCGAGTTCAACCAAGTCATCATCTTCGTTAAGAGCACTCTCCGTGCCACTGAGCTCGACAAGCTTTTGCGCGAGTGCAACTTCCCCAGTATCGCCGTCCACTCTGGTGTTTCTCAGGAGGAGCGGTATGTATCCTAGCTTTCGACATGACAGACAGTGACTAACGCCTTCGTAGTNATCAAGCGTTACAAGGAGTTCAAGGAGTTCAACAAGCGTATCTGTGTCGCTACCGACGTCTTCGGTCGTGGTATCGATATTGAACGTATCAACCTTGCCATCAACTACGACCTTCCTGGTGACGCCGACTCTTACCTTCACCGCGTCGGTCGTGCTGGTCGTTTCGGTACCAAGGGTCTCAGTATCTCCTTTGTCAGCAGCGAGCAAGATCAGGAGGTGCTCAAGACCATCGAGAAGAGATTCGAAGTCGCTTTGCCGTAAGTTTCTATGTCTTTTCCACTAGTCCTGAACGCGTTCGCTAACACAAATCAAGTNGAATTCCCCGAGGGTGGCATTGACTCCAAGAGCTACATGGCCAACTAAACAGCTTCTTCCACGTCAGAAAACATGGAAGATGTTTATCAACAAAACTGAACTTTTGGCAAGCGATTGCAATAGGACACGCGTGACGGTGTACTCTTAGCTTCTTTTTACTATTTAACGATTATCAAAAACTCGATTCCGTTGACGAAACATCCTGCCTGTCTTGCCCTAGAGTCTTTACCATCTCATCCCCATCGCGTTCCAAACACGACGAAACGCTCTTGCACTGTCCCTCCCCAGTTCGAGAGTTTGTGACGACTCTTTGACGACCCAAAGCAACGGGTCCAGCCATTCAACAATGCTGATGCCTACTCAACGATTGTTCATCGACATGCCGAGCCGTCATCCTGAACAAGATTGATTTCTCTCTACGCACGCAGCGAGAGCGAGAAATATCAACGTCCGAGGCAAAAGTTGCGACAATGCTCGTGAACATCAACAACGTCTTTTCCAACTGTCAAGGACCGTCACTCGGCAGCACTTGCATCCGAGGAACACGTACGTTCCCGGCCGTGCCGCTCAGACTTCCTATCAACGTGCTATTGTTGTTTAGCGATAGCAGTTCCTCGAGTTCAGGCACATTCTCTGTCTACTCAGCTTGGTAGTATGAAATCAGCTTTGTAAGGTCATGTGCATAAGATTGACCTTCTTCATCTTCATTTTGTATGATGTCGATGTGAACACTGTTTGATGCTTTGTATAGAAGTAATCAGCCTCGAGTGCCTGGACGTGATGCGTACCGGGAGTGTGCTTTGACCCAGTCACACTATGCTGCTCCGTAACCTTTCTTTCCCAGTTAAACAACATGTCGAGCTTCTCTGTTCACATCTACAACACCCTCATTGCAACACTGTTCGATTCGTATCGAGTCGTGGAAGTCATAGGAAAGTATAAATTATTGTCCTTCTCTTAGGCATAATGTCTTTAGTCTATTCATGTCGCCGTGATATGACAAAGGTATAATGAAGAGGACTGCTCCACACTGGTCAACTACCAAGTGCGATCAAGTCTGCACTTGTGCCCCATTGGTAGAGAATGCAGTGATACCATTAGAGATGATATCTAGAGGCGCCAACAGCCTGTGCTCCGATGAGCTTTGTTGTCTATATAGCAGACCTCAGACCTAAAGCTTTAACGCGATACTACTAGAGGGTGCTCTGCAATGACAAGTTCAAGGCTGATATTCCAGGAGAATCGACATAAACGCCGACATCAGCTTAATCGAGAAGATGGTCGTAGAGGGAATCTATCTCCTCTGTCTACGTTGTCTGCTGAGATGTATATCGTGAATATATCGAGGTCGGATATGCCCCAAATGGGAAGGAGCCGTCTTCGGTCACCGATATAACCTCGAAACTCTGTCAGCTCAGCAATTCCTAATCTCGGTGACCTCCACATGAGCTGCGACGTTAAAGATGCATGTTGGCGAAGAGTGTACTATAATCAGCAGGCAGTTTTGTGGTTACATCGACCGGCACAGAAGGAAGCGCTCCGTCGGGCAAGTATAGGCATACAAATGGGATTATACACCAGAAAGCGTTCGGCGTGGCAGAGTCTGAGCAACGGAAGTCGTATGCAATGCTCTCCATGACCAAGATGCATAGCCCGTTTTTGGTACCGCAACCTACATGGCCCGAACAACAGGTGGGGTTTCAGCACTTACCACGGCATCGTTCCAACGTGCCTCATCTTCAAGCTGAGACGATACAAGAGGTGATGAAGAAGATGCAAGAGAGTCTGTAAGGCAAGATACCGGGTTGTTGTTCGACCTCATGGAGTCCGGAAATAGTCCAAAATGGCAATGTTATGATTAGTGATAAAGCGGTCGAGCGTATCAATGTGGGCATCGGGGTGGTAATAAGTGAGCGAACCAGTTCCATACTTCATAGTTTCGAGTCAATTGTCAGTGGTTGCCGTCGATATCAACGTACAAGCTTCTTTCCTCGTGTGACGGCCTGGGATGTAGTATGCGTCTTGAGCATGCTTTGCGACACGATATGAGAGCACGGTCGTCATGTAAAGCCGGCACTCTTGATCGGAAAGGTGTAATTGGGATCTGGATATCTGGAAAAGAGTACCTGATAGACCACGCGCGACAATTGATCTTGCAAGACAGTTCCGTGTTTGGGCATAAGAAAGGCCGCGCCATGCAGTGTGAACCGTATCTCCTATGCAAAGGCGGCAGTCGACAGATCCACAGCTTCACAAGACCATGAGGCCTGACACCGGTAGTTCGCATGCTTCTTGTGCTCTCTGCGAAAGATTGTCCGTTTGCCCATTTCGGCACAGTCGGATGCCACATTTTTTTCTCTTTTAAGATTCAAGAGGCTTTTCGAACCGCCCAACGGCCAACCGTTCCTCGAAGCGCAAGCGCTGTGACGGCGGGTTTAACCGGTGTCGTACCTTGATTCTGTTTCACTTCCTTACCAAGCATTGAAAGAATGTTTCACTCGCAAGCATGCCCTGAACGATTCATCGGTACGAGAAAAAAAGGGACCACAAGACCAGACAGAAGGTGAAAAAGCTTGTTGTGATGTTCCGTCTGGGGGCATACGAGAATGACATTTCTTGCGTGGTGCAAGTGCAGCCCAACGTGGGGGATGGGAAAACAGGGATTATGGATCCTTCGATGGAGAAGAGATGCAACCGGTGTGTGGCTGTGAACAAGAGAAGACGCGGTTGCGTATCTCCGTATCGACGATAAGCGTACATCGTACCAGAGGCCATGCTTGAAGCCATTGTGAGCGCACAGCTTCGAAGGAGCATTCTAATTGTTGACAACGCGCTCAGAACAATCTGTCGGTCCTTGGGCATGTTGGCTTCGCAGCAATAAGCCTGTTGCAGGATGGCTTTTTGCCTGTTGCCATTGTATTCAAGATTTTGCTGTCTGGCGCATTAATCAGCAAGAGTCGTGCTTGTTTGGTTCGTTCGTCCGTCGCGTGGTATCAAGAAACAATCTCCGTAGACTGGCCAATGATCTCCCTTTGCGTTCGGAAGACTCGAGGATCCTCAGACACCCAGGACCGGACGAACGCAGGACCACCAACAGTACATACTGAACTCCGAGAACACGTTCAGCCTATACAAGGTATTCTCCACATGCGTAGAGTAGCGCTCACCATCCATGTGTCTTGGCTTGTAAAGCCTGCAGCAGGTCGAGCTGTCACCAAGTTCGAAGTAACCAGCATGGAAGCCGCGCGCCGTTCAGCAGACGCAGATATTGCACATGACATGCCTATAAACAGTGATATTTGCCTGCAACTGTAGTTGTCAATTCGAGAAGGCAGGGCTGCCGTGCAGCTGTCATGAAAGAGCATAATGCTGTATACGAGCCCGGATCACATAGCTCCCGCCCTCCGAGTCAAACACCAGATGGTGTAGGTTCAGCCTCTGCTATGAACGTCCGTAGTACGTGCATAGGACGCTACTGTTTCGGCGTTAGGATGGTACAAGTATTACCAGCCCCATACCGTCAAGAAGCTGGATATTTCTTGCGTCAAAGGTTTCAGAAACATGAAGCAGACTGACATCTCCTGTGCTCCTGCAGTTTCTGGCAAAACATTTTTCACACTTTTGTTTACTGATGGTAGAAGCTTGTTTCTATATCGGATAGTCATGTTCCGATAGCAGGGCTAACCACACTTATCCTTGCCGAAAACGATGATCTGCAGATGGGATATTCGACGTTCTCTACTATCGACTGGGGGCTTAGTCCTGGATGGGAGATAGACCGTGCAGGGGTCGGGAAATTGTGTGTGTGCGTGGCAGCCTCAACGTGGGGTCGTAGAAGGTAGTTGGGCAGACAAATGCGATCGCAGACAGTCAGCAGGCAGTTGTATACAATAAAGACGAGTGTCGACGAAATCTTCAATGAAGCACGACAGCGAATCGCGATGACCAGCTACCTGTATGCGACAGTAAGGAGAGCGAAACACGCATCCCTGCGGTCGACGAGGAACAAAAAGGCAGGCACTGGCGTGAGAATCGAGACAAGAATGATGCCACAGCGGCGGCGCGGCGTGGAGAGGTCAAGCCGTGCAGGCAGCCGGTCGAGTCGTCGGCTCGCGCCTAGGCCCAGAGCAGCAAAGAGTGGTCGGAAGCCGGAGTGTTTTTTTCTTGCTTCACGGCAGACTGTCGTGGTTGCGAACGCTACCAGTAAACTCGCGAGGACAGGCGGCGCTGACGATGGCGATGACGCCGCCCCAGCAGGCGCAATCAGACCAGAAATAGGAGATTCGACGTCGTGAATAGCATGCATTTGATGAATCAAGAGGGATTGCCAGCTAGAGAGGTTAAGCACTGTAATTGGCCGTCCGAACCCAGCAAGCATTGCTTGTTGTATTTAGTGGTTGCGCGGGTTGTCATCGCCCACCGAATGCCATGCCAATCGGGAAGCGAACCAAACCAAGACTTTGCACTCCTTCTCACCCATCCGGAACGTCGTCAACGACAGCTTCTCCTCATCTTCCGTTTCTCACCCTCGCCTTCCTCGTCTTGACTTTCAGAAATTTGTGTCCTCGGTCTTGCAGTCGCCCACTGGCCTACACCATCTCACGCTCGTTTTTGTCGACCCCTTTCCTCCCTTTATATACCGCTTCGTCCCAAACACGCGCGTGCACCTCCACCGTTTGGCCGCGTTCCCTGGAAATTGTGACGCTTGGATTCGCTGTTGCTTCGGTCCTCGACCCATATCACAACTCTTTTGTCCTCAGCCACCGCCATCTCGCGTCCATCTCTCTCTCGCGCTTTGAGCGTATCGCATCATGGCGCCCACAGTCCCTAGATTGCGCATCCTGTCAGGTCAGTCATGCCGCACTTGTTCCTAACCATCCGTGCCCTTCCACGCTGTGTCATTGGGACTGGATCCACTTTTCTAGCTCAAGCAAATATCCATCACTGCCCATCCCAGCCGCTCTGCTAATCGCACTTGCCCTGTCCCGGCGTGCCTCGATCATATGCACACCGAGCATTGCTCTCCACACAACTTCTCCTTCCCATTCCCGACACAAGTCGTCAATTCATCATGGCTGTCGAGCAAGCGCGCCAGAGGCAACAACAGCTCACTAACGTACTCGTAGTCGGCGGAAATGCCGTCTCTGCCTTCATGTCATGGAGACTCTCGGCGACCAACGCATGCGATGTCACTCTCGTCTGGAAGAACGGCTTTGAGAACGTGTCGCAGTACGGCCTGTCGTTCAAGTAAGCCAATGCTGTCGCTACAACCTGCGTCCACCACTGACCCGTCTAGNNATCCGCTACGTTTGGAAACGAGAGATTCAAGCCCAGACAAGGTCAGTAGATGCGCTTGTCGTCACACAGTGCCTGTACGCTGACATGATTCCAAGTCGTCCGCACTCCCGAAGAAGCAGCAAAAACGTCAAGAGCGCCGTACGACTACGTCCTTCTGTGCGTCAAGGCACTCCCGGATGTATACGACATCGCGTCCATCATCGAGTCGGTCGTCGCTCCTCAGCATACATGCATCCTGATCAACACAACACACTCCCTCGGTGTCGAGTCGTATCTCGAGCAAAGATTCCCTACAAACGTTGTTCTATCTCTTGTCGCTGGCGCCGAGCTCTCGCAAGTGGGCGCAAGTGAATTCGAACACAAGGGCTCAGCTGAGATCTGGGTTGGACCTGCCAACAAGAACCCTTCGATTCCCGCATCGATACAGTCAGACATGGCCGAAGCATTGGCTATGACATTGAGCTCAGGTCAGGTTGACTGCAAAGTGTCGACCAACATCAGGCAGCAACAATACGAGCGCATGATCNNGGGTAAGTCGCTATCCATAGCTTGTTGATCATCTCTAATCCACCCTCGCAGTCCTATTGCTTTCCACCCCGCCAGTGTTTTGTTCGAGACGCCCAACCATGCCGAGTTGCTCGAGAAAACAGGCGCTCGTTCTATGATCACCGGCATTATCGAAGAGATCCTCAATCTTGCAAAATCTCAAGGTTGTGTCTTNCCCGAGGACTTCCCCGAGCAGACTATGGAAGCCATGATCCAGCCCAATACCACACCCAGTACTATGTACCAGGACTTCACAGCCCGCCGGCCTCTGGAAATTGAGACTTTCCTCGGCGCTCCCATCAAGCTCGCCCAAGACGTGGGTGTTTCAGTTCCTCGCATCGAAACGCTATACGCTCTTCTTCACAACGCCAACACATTGAACCAATCCCGCCCACCTCCTGCAGCTGCAGTCTCACCGCAAAACCCTGCACAAACCCCTCGTATGGGCCCCGGTCCAAACATGGGTCCCGGCCCTAATCAACGTGGGCCAATGAACGGCCCGATGAATGGCCAGATGAACGGCCCCATGCCTGGTCATCCCGGTAGACCTGGAATGATGAGGCCTGGAAGCAGAGCCCCTTCGATGACCGGTGGCCCACCCCCGCAAATGCGCAGAGGTCCCTCGATGAACAACGGTTTCGGTCCACCCATGAGAATGAACGGAAATGGCCAACGTGGTCCTCCTCAGCAGCCAACGCGTCGCCCTTCTCTTGAAGACAACGAACTCGAGGAGTTCAGTCACCTGATGCTTTACGACAACTTGCCAGAGGGCGCTTTGCCAGAAGGCGCGATCCCTAACGGTGCCGGTCCTGGGGGCGAGATGGGAATTCGTGAAAGAGAACTGGCCCTTCGCCAGAGAGAGCTAGCTTTGAGAGAGCAGGAGTTTAATATGAGGCGCCGTATGCCTCCTCCTCCTGCTTCCCATGCTGGAGGCTTCGACGATGACGATGAGGATGGTGAAGATTTCTTCGACCCTATGGCTTCAGGAAGAAACGTCCCTATGATCGACCCTGACAACTTCGACATGATGAGCGTCACTTCGAGACGCGCTCGTAAAGCACCCCCACCCACTGCCAACCAGCTCCGCAACAACCCTGAGATGGGAGGTCCCCAGATGAGAGGAGGAGGCGGCGGCGGCGGCGGCAGAGGCATGTTCGGAAGGCCTAAGGTGCAGAACCGAACCAGTGCTAGACTGATGTCTGAAATCCCCGGACTGCACGAAAACCTCATGGGCAATCCGTTGCTAGGCTACTCGTCGGACAGATACGGAGGTGTTGACCGTCACAACCTTGGACAAGAATCGAGAACCAACTCACTTACTGCAGAACGCCTGAACGAGCTTTCACGAGGTGGACCTCCCGGTCAAGGTCCTTACCCTGGCCCAATGCCCCTCAGATGGGTCGACGTGCTAGTANNACTCCCTGGACATCCTTTGGGTCCCCCAAGAGGGCCTCCTGGCCAACGTCCTTACCCGCCAAATGGACAGAATGGATATCCGCCCCACATGAACGGCCGACCATCGCCTCCTGGCGTTATGGGTTCGCCGATGCAACGCCCACCAACCCAGCAAGGCCAAGTGCCACAGCATGTTGAACAGCAGAACGGGGTGAGCCATCTCTATCCGCCCAAAAGCGGCCCTCAAGAACGCAGTCTGACAGGTTCCGCGAGCGCTAGCGCGGGGAGTGGTGATAGTAACCACTCGGTGCCCCTTGATTCCGACCCTTCGGCCCACAGCAGCTCCAGCAGTCTAGGACCTCGTCCAGCTCACGGTTTCCGATAGACCAACTGAGTCACTCCGCGTCTCAATCTCCGAACGTGAGCGATTCTGCAGAACCGTTCACAGCTCATACATGCAGATACTGTTCTCAAGAATCGACGAACTCAACAACTCATCATCTCTTTTCTCTCCTTCTTACCTGACTGCATTACTTGATTCGCAGTATACACGCTCCTTCTGTCGTCTTCTATTAAATACGATCGACTCGGGGACTTTTATCTCATAGGTTTAGACGACATGAGTTCTCATAGACGGCGGCTACCCTGGACACTGGCGCATCTCTTATCGGTATCTGAACGCCTCGCACGTACATACTCTACACTTCAGCATTGGCATGCTGTGCCGGACCTTTACCAAAAGTTCATCAACAAGCTCTGTTATGCCAGAGCGACTAGTTGGCTGGCATTTGCCTCTCCTCTGGTCTTTTCATGTCGGTTCATCGCGTCGATGCATTTTCCTTTGTCTTCTAGTTTCTTCATTTGCGTCGAACGATCATCATCCTGGAGAGAGGGAGGAACAGTCTCTTTTGGTAACTTTCTTGTCCACCAGAGACCAAGGTTGGACGGCAGCATCGTGTAATATCTTCATTATTTTCGCATGAGGCGTGACGGAGGAAAATAGTATGTCTTTTTTGTTTTGTCCCACGTCGAGGTGTGTATGGGTTGAATGGACTTCTATTGTCTTTTGTTCGCAACGCGTGTCTTGTTGCATAATGATCGTGACATGCGTGTCACCTTGTATCGGTTGTTACCAGAAGGAATCGATCATAAGCAGAATGCGTTTCATTTTGCGGCCCTTCTTGAACATAACCTTGACTCTCACTGACTCGTGCGAGTCCCACTCAGTTGTCGAGGCCAATTCTTTTCCGGACGCCGAACATTTACTGCGTCACCACGGCACCTTCAAGACGGACAACACAGCTGCGTACAAAACATTTTCTCCTAATGTGTGAAATAGCTTCCTTCCAAGCCTATTCTCCTATTGAAGACTGAAGATGCAGAACATGATCTCTAACTTGGTAAGGATTGTATACTAGCGACATCGCCAATATTTGCAGCCCTGATATGACTTGCCAAGTTGCCAAGTTTGTCCCGAGGCATATTGCGACCAAAGCTTTTTATCAGATCATCGCCCGCTTTATCAGATCGGTGCTTTTTGGCGACTACACGACAACAGCTTCCGACTTCTCACATCCTTCCAGCTCAACACGCCCTGCCAAGTGGATGTAGCGTTATAAGTATGGAGCCAGCCCTGCACACCCGTATCTCTGTCTTTTCCAGATAGGCTTGTGTTGATACAGTCAATTTTGTTCTTCTGTAAATTCTTGTGCCTTAATCATGTCGAATCAACACTTCGTTGAAAGTATTGAGCAAGAGAAGAGGGAATCGACCAACATAAAAAACCAGGAGATCATGCATCAACCAAATTTCTCAAAGGATGCACAGGACAAGGAAGCCCAGACTGCAGTTGTCACAGTCCTCGACGATTCATCTGTCAATTCCTCGCAGGATGGTCCGGCCAATACGCTCCCTCCTGTCCCGCTGCAGATGAAGATGCTCAGTGTTTTGTTGGTTTCCTTCATTGGCTTCGGATCGCAATGGAGTAGTGGTGTTAGCTCTGCTATGAAGTCGACTATGAAGAAGGTATATACCATTCTCTCATCAGTGGCCACGAATAGAACAGCATGTGCTAACAACATGCAGGAATTGCACATCAATAATACACAGTTCTCCCTCCTCGAAGCCAGCGAAGATTTCATGTCCTCGGCTCTAATCCTCCTCACCGGCATCTTCACTGATCGGCTCGGCGGCACTGGATGTATCGTCTACGGCAACATCATCTATACGATTGGCTCCGTCTTCATTGCAGGCGCTGCAGAAATGCGCAGTTATAAGTTCATGGTTGTGGGCAGAGTAGTAGCGAGTTTTGGCGACATTGCTACGCAGGTCGCGCAGTACAAGGTTTTTAGCAGTTGGTTTCCACCCAGTGCGGGCTTTGCTAGTACCTTGGGATTTGAACTAGGCATCAAGAAGGTATGTCGTTGACGATGCTGGGGTGTGCTTTCCTTTCTTGAGATTTGACAGCTGACAAATCATGGATAGATTGGAGGATTTGTTGGCAAGTCGACTGCTAATATCATTGCCAAGGTAAGCACGGCTTTCATATCTCCTTCCTGCTTCCTCATGAAGGGTGAAAGGTACTGACGTGGAACANNGAATTGCGGCTTCTCAAGCGTCTTCTGGACAATGGTGGGCATGAACCTTTTCACCAACCTGGCCACCGTCTTCCTCTTTCTGCTCGTTCGCTTCTGCTCTTCGCGCTACTCGTCCATCGCCGACCCCTCCACTGGCGAAAAGCTCACCGAGAAGAACAAGAAAGTCGACTTCAAGAAGGTCGTCGAGATGCCATGGCCGTTTTGGTGCATAATGGCTTTCACGATCTTCCAGACCACTACTGCAAATGTGTTCTCCCAGAATGCAACGGAGCTTGCTGAGCAACGCTTTGATACTGATTCTGTGACGGCAGGCTGGTATACGGCTGTGTTGCAGTATGCTGGTTTCTTCATTGTGCCGTTGCTGGGTATCTTCATAGATGTCGTTGGTCAAAGGGTTAGTGTCATGTGCGTATGTGGTGCGGGATGCTTCATCTCCATGGCACTTGTCTGCTGGGCGCCTACCGTCAAGGGTACTGCTGCTGCATTCGGGATATACGCTGCAGCATACACTCTCGGACCCACGGTGATTATCGATTCCATCAGGACTTCTATGTGGCATCAAGGCGCATTCGGTACAGCATACGGTCTAAAGATCACCATAAATAATGCGTAAGTCTTCAAGCAGACTCCATGATTTTCCAAAAGCTGACGAGAAACAGTNATGTCCTGTATCATCCGCATCCTCACTGGCGCTCTCCAAGACGCAGACAACAATGCCTACACCCGCGTCGTCCGTGTGTACGCTTTCTTTGGTTGCGCGTCTCTATGCGTCTCGCTCATCATCCTTGCTCTGTCGTTCGTCTCACCGGATCTTGGTCGTTTGCAGTGGAGCCGCAAAAAGAGGTTGCTGCAAGGCAACCTCATCAATGAGAGGTTGGAGAGGTTTGAGGGAGCAATGAGGCAGAGAAATAAGAGAATTTCGGTGGTGTGTTTTGGGTTCACCATGATGCTTATGCTTGGAGGATGGAGTGCTTACTTCTGGGGCGTGGCTACTGGAAACAACAAGTAGAGAAATGCGAAGTGTCAAGAAGTAGGAACTATTTAAAGACGAGACAGTCGATATGAGACATAATGCAACGAATGTGAAGCAGCAGTAATATCCATACATTGAGAATGATGCCTGCCTATGTTTACGTTTTCCCTATTGGGGAAATACGATGGCATTTGATTCTGGTGTCTAATTCGTTAGCTTTCGAGGCATTCCTATACTTGAGACTGTTATAGTGGTACGATCAACTTCTCTTTTAGATCAGTAGATTCGTTCATCAGATCAGACGTGTAACCATGGAAGTAGCATGTTCGCAGGAAGATCCCTTCGTGGCTCGCCTTTTCAAATTCGAACTCGAGTGACAACAAAGCCGAAAAGAAGAGCAAAAGCCAGAGCTGAGCTGTTATGGGAAACCCACCCTCTTATCTAAGTCCCCAGATGTTGATCATCTAGCTATGTATGGACGAAGACGTACAAGGGAAGGGTCGTTCTACTACGAACCGGGAATGTGAGCCGTGACACCACTAAACTGATCATAGCAATAAAGTGTATCTAAGTGGTATATAAGGTCTTTGTAGCAGTGGGACCAGCGTTCGATCTAGGAATGGAAGGACGTGATTTTGCGTTTGACCTGCTGGATTGAACTTACTGCTCTTGTGGACGGTGTTAGTTTTGTCATGCTGGTGAGCGGCCTTGGGAATCAAAACAGGAGTCGTCATCAATCTTACACCAGAACCTGATGAGAATAGCATATTGACGACCAAATACCGTCACTAAACTGAACGTGTTTGAACGTTTGTTCGGTCTCCTGTCCGTTGTTCATATCTGTTACTCCAATATGACGATGAACAGCTTGAGTGCTCAACCATATATGGTCTCAACCTGTGTCGTGGTCTCCGGAAATAGCTTGAGTCAGAGCTCTAATGGCAACAGAAGCAGCTTGAGAACTTCTGTCGTACGGGAGTATCTCAAGTATGAAAGTTGTAGTACTATGCATAGGAGCATTGCTTGATCGCGACCCGAGGGTCAGATGTCGATACGAGAGATGAGACGATAGCTACCTATATAGGCGCGAGGCTCTGAGACAGCATAAGAAATGTCACCGTCGCCATGTTCGATTCAGTCTGCTCAACCTTGGTGTTCTGGTAAGAACAAAGTGGAAGGCTCACGTTTTACATGGGTGACGCCGGAGAAAGAAGTCGTTTCTAAACTCGTCACCACGGCGAGCGTTTGAGGAGCATCCACCTGGTACATCCAGACCGGTGTCTGCGGCTCTGCATTCTGACACCTCGATGTGACACGTACCGGGTTATGACTATGAGGAGTTGGCGTTGGAGCAAGGTTCAACAAGTTTGTCTCGACAACATGTACGACGTGCAAAACAGAATGCGAGAGATCATAGGCTGTAAGAGCATAAGCACAACAAAATCAGCGATACAGACGCTGGGTGGTGTGGTAAGAGGGATACGAGATGTTACATTATACTTTGCGCTGCGTTGCCTCGCAGGTAGATTGAAGAAGACTCGGATGCACCGGTTTGGTGTTTATGATTTCTCGATGAGCATGCGATACTCAGAAGTGAAACAAGGCGATTGACGGTTTATCCAGTACACAAGAGTACCCTTCTGTTCAGTTGGCCATAGTCTCTTTTTGCAGTCCATGACAGCCCTGGTACTGCTAGTATAGGTACCGAGGTAAGCCGTGAAGACAAAAATGGCACAGAGTACCGAAGCGAAGGCTCGACGAAAAGCCTTCCGATGTCAGTCAAACCAACTTGTGGGATTTTCGTGCCACCACACGGGAATTGTTCTAGGGTCATCCGGTTTCATGCCGAGTCTGCGAGCCGCGCCTCCATCGCAAAGTCGGAGACAGTCATTGTTTTAAATGAACAGATAAAAGAGATGCGGTCAAGCCCTTAGGTTTTTGTAGTATAGCAGAAGGATGTTATTGACCGTATGTGAAAGGGCATACATATATTGTGGAGGCCTCGTCGGATTTACATATTCGTGATCAATGAGAAAAGTGTTTATCAGAGTTTCGATAGGTTAAATGGTCCGCATAATATGCTTGTTCTTGTCGACAATGCTGCAGACCGACCCCGCTGCACGTACTCTGACTTGTCAATGCGATTGAAGGCCGGGTAAGTTGAATCGCAGAGGACGAATGCCATGACAGGAGCCGAGAAACCAGCAGGATATTTTCATGGTCAGATTAACATACCAAGTACCTCAGGCTGGAACCGTGCGGCTGTCAAATTCCAAGCATTCAGGAAGTCGCAATCTTCGAGTATCATTTTTGACAGGCGCGGCCCGACGCGGTGAAGAGATGACCATGAAAGGAAGGCGCAATGCTGTATGATCGACGCCATAAGCGCCTTGTTCCTCCTCCCCAGATTGGATACCAGCAAGATGGAAATAGGTGCAGCACTGCTTAATTAACATAAATTGCACATGCAGTGTTAGACCATTCCGCTGGACATGACCCGACAAATTACGATACTCAAGCACTTTTTCAAGCGTCTATGATGAGTGACATCCAATTACCGCGATTATTGAGCATGCAGCCCAGAGTTGTTGATGCTCTTTCGATCCTGCAAGATCAGGTTTGATGCATGTGAATTAAAATCCAGGTACGAGACCGATTCGACGATGTTAGCGATTAGTGAGATACGATTTGCCTGAATTTTTTGAGATCGGGTCAGCAGGTTTCCAAAGGGTCTTTGACCGGGCGGTTGGTGATCGGTTCAAGGATGCCTTTTCCTTCCATAAGATGACACTGCGTCGAGGTTCGTTTCGGCTTGACAGGTCGAATCTTCTAGCCAGCAGAACAGAAGTCCTGGCGAGACTCGCAAAGCAAGATCAGTTTCGAATATCGACGCGAAGGTCTTTGAACAAAGCGAATAATCGTGTCATGCAGTGTGTTCGGGTGTGGTCCTCTGATGTGGAGCTTGCAAAAATCGGAGTTGGACAGCACCCCTTTTGGGACATGCGCATGAGCCGAGGTTTCGCAACAAGTCAGCGAGCCTCTCTCGACTACGAAAACCGATTCCTTCGCTCGTTGCCTCCGACATAACATGATTGGTCTGGCCTTGCAGCAACAATGGTCAGATTCAGGATATATTGATCCAATCGAGAATCAGATGCGGTGGCTGTTGATGCCCTAAATTGTTGATTCTATGGACGTGTAACAATAATTGTTCCACTGCACAATCTTCTGCTTGCGTAGCAGATCAGCTTTTCGTTTGTCCAAACAATTTCTATACGAGTTGGCGTTGGTTGGACAAGTGTCCACTGTCCGACAATGCATCGGCTAGCAGAACTTCAATGCGATGTGCATGATTTATTGCATGTGCGCTCGCGCTCGGCCAAACCACTACTGCCGCTCTAGTACCCCACCGTCGTCACAAGGAGTCGTCGATGAGCAAGATGTTGAGTTTTAGTGTCAGTCGATTTGCAGACTGCACTTGAATTGTCGTGTCATTGAGTCTCTCTTCTAAAGGGGTGATATAAGGTACATGAGAAAGAAAATAAAAGATGGTATAAAATCGAGTATGTTGTGTCAAGACACCAAAACAATACAACCCTCTTGGGTATGATTATTGTCAACACCAGTGCTCCAGGCGCCTTACTAGGCCTTTGGGTATGAAGAATGCAATGAAAAAGAAACTGAACTCATGATTAAAGCTCCCCTTGCGCCATCTCGTTCCTGTCATTTATTGATGGCTACGAAGCTTCGACGAATCCAGCGTCGGATGGGGGAATCGAGAAGTAGTAGGACTGATGTCGTCGTCGATGGTATAGACTTGTACTTGAGGCTCCTTCGAGGAAGTCGATGCCTCTGAGTCCTTTCGGTAGACCGCCGAGCTCAGAGTTGCCTCGGAGTGTGCTCGTTCAATGGGGTCCATTTCATGTTGTCCGCGGTTGACGCACTCGAAACCTGAGTCCAGGGTATTAAAGCTATCCCTACGGGCGTTACTGGCGAAAGGATCTCTGACCTTTTGCGCGAAACGGCTTGGGCGTGAGCCGATGGTCGCCAGGGTGAGTGAAGGGGACTTGTGCGTTGGCAAGCTGCCGCCTTCGCTACCCCTCGACCTCTTGATCTTGTCCTTGAACGATGAAACTTGCGATGAGACGAGAGGATACAGCACACCGCTGACGACTGCCTTGATGGAAGGCGAGCATGCAATAAAGACGGCGAGATGGTTCTCCACCGAGGACCAGATGAGGCAAGAGGCGATGTTCCATGAGAGATCGCCCTCTTGATCGTAGCGGTAAACGACGTACAGACGGATGAAACTGGCAGCGACAACNNGCTTGAGGGTGGTCAGGATGATGTTTTCCAGAAGTTATGATAGGCCAACTTACAATGCACCCAAGGCGAAAAGAAGGTTAAGAACAATTCTTTGGGTAAGGCGAAGTTGAAGCTTCCATGTGAAGATGATAGGGAGAACATAGAGAATGATGTCGTTCACAATCATGATGATCGAGTTAGAGTAGAAGAAAGCTTTGACGTTGATGCAAGTTCCAGGAGTGTTTTTGTCCCAGAGATGTGCGATTGGAACACACTGGAAGATGATGACCAAGATGCTGCTGACTCCAAAAGCAAAAGCAATGAACTCCATGAACCAGATTGTCCAGTGGTGCCAACGCTCATATGTTGTGTGGCGGTAGAAGAACAGAAGAGCAAACTTGACGAACATGTTGCAGGCCAAGTAGAAGACGAAGATCGAGATATACAGNNCTAAGCTATGTGTTAGCACCGATCTCACAAAGGAATGACGGATCAACTGAAAACTCACACCCACCTTGTAGAATTTGACTTGGTCAGATGAGTTGGCTTCCCAGTCATGGCTACCAAGACCATACTTTGTCGCGATACATTGCAGTAGAGACATCATGATTCCGCAGAACTATGGGATAGCTGTCAGCGATGGGACTGGACGTTCTCCAAAAAAGGCACACATACACCNCGCCAAGCAGATCATGATGTTCTGCGCATCGAACTTTCTTTGCTTTGCATTTCCTGTGACTTTGGCAAAGCGAAGTGAGAGCGCTGATATCGTCGAGAAGGAGAGTATGACGTTGACGACCACAACCAAGTCCTTCCGGTTCTGTATCGCAAATGCGTCGCTCATGATGACGAGAATGGATGAGGATCCAGTTGTGAGGAAGAGGGGTCCACTGTCAATATGGAGGACAGTAAGGGTAAGATGCAACAGGGGAGAAGGCGTGGCAGTTGTGTTGCACGGACAGACGGTGAGGGAACGTGATGGGAAGGAAGAGGGGGCCGTTGCAAAGATAAAAGTAGAGTCTATAAGAAGGGCAGATCGGTCTGTAGTTATCTTGACACAAAAGACCCACCAAGTATGGCAAGTCGGCTACAACATGGAGTAAAGCGAACAGGGAAAGAGACTTGCCTTGTGGCGAGACCTTTCCTGCGAACCATACCGCGCTAAATGAAGCCCTTTCCGGCGAGGCTTATGCAGGTGCTCACTGACTGGGGAATGCGATAATCAAAGACTAGAGTGGGTGTCGAGGGCTCAGTGGCTACGTGCGTCTTATGCGCGTATTCCCGACGAGGTCCAAGTACTTACTACCACTTAGTACGTGCTGCAGGTCCTATTAGCATCAAGTTAGGGCGACTCCGAGACGATCGTTGACGGCTCACTGGAGGGGCGACATCAGATTCGGACAATCCGCGTTAAGGAGGTTGGCGCAAATTTACTCAACTGCCTTCCACCGAGCGGATAGCTGCAGTGCTCGAGGGCAAGCGAGTCGGCAGACACCCCCAAGACGGTGCTGGTGTGGCCGATACAAACCCGGGGCATGTCACGTCAAACCCTGCGCGACTCGAGTCTAGATAGCCTCGACGGTACGTTAGCTGTCAAGCTAGTTTAGGGATAGTATGGCAGGGGCTTGAGCTCGTGGTACTCTGCGGATCCTGTCATTGATCGAGTCTGAATCAATGCTTTTGGTCATGGCGTCAATGAGGCGTCCTTTCAGATACTGCTTTGCGATGGACAGCGGCAAGAAGACGCGGTCAAGATGTGGTGCTTGACGACGAAGAAGAAGAAGAGAATAATCGTGGCAGCTGCAGGATTCGATGTTGTTGGGAGAAGAAGCAGTCCGTGGCCGTGGGTCGACCGTCCACGGATCGCTCCCGCCCGCGCCCGCCTCCAACGCTACTGCACGAAATCCACGTTAATTGTCGCTCGCGTCCTCGCCATCTCTCCAAGCTGCTCAGATCCCCGTTCCGGGTGGAGACACCATGTCTGACCTCGAATCCAGTCGTGTCCTAATCGCCTCCTGGTCGACTCGAAATCATTTACCCACTCGGTGGATGATGATGCACCTCACCACTTCGACACACCCTCCCCTTGTATACTTTTGATTGACTGCTGCACGAGATTCCATATTCAAAACACATCTTGCAAGCCCTTTACTTCTTGCAACTCATTCGACTGCTTCTCACTCAACCCGCACAAAGTGCCGACTTCCTAGTTCATGACAATCACTTAACGTTCTTACAGATACGATTGCACTCGCTCAGCCCCCACATATATCATGTGCAGCCGTGTTATGTTTGTTCATGTTGATAGTAGTCTTCCCACGCCAAGTCCTGGATGGCAACGGTCGAAGGATGCCGTCCCATGTACTTCCATGTTCGCTCTCTGCTCGCTACGAGCTTTCTTTTCACCATAGTGATCCAAGACCGCCTATGTTCCTGGGTTCCTGGAGATGTTTTCTTTGACATTCGGCTCCGGTCATCATCACCGAGTCAATATCCCGAGGTTTCAGCCAGTGGTCGTTCCGTGCTCTTTAAGCTTTTGACCCAATGCAGACCTCAGGAGTTCAGTCCAGCGTCGCCAAAGCGGCAATCATCGATATCCCACTCGATTCCTCACAGCAACGGTGACGGGTTCAGCTGCGACGGACTCTTACCAAGATCTAGATCTCTGTCATCGCAGTTCAGTGGGGTTCAATCACGTATGTGTACGACATCAAGCCAATTACCAAGGTCATCCACCTCGGATTTGAGTCAGTCCCATTCATTCCCCTGCGTCGACTCATGTCAAACAGCCAAACATGACATCCCGGACCGTGCCTTTACCTTAACACACGTCCATTTCACAGACTGGCTCGGGAGTCGTTGCTTCCGGCCATCGAAGTCGCATGTCAATATGAGAATACGACATAAATACCTTGAGCCCCTGAAACAGGCAACCATCTATGAGGCATCCCGAATATCCCTCTTGATCAATCCTGAGTCCAACCGCAAAGAGACCCTCATCAAGTCCAATACTCTTGGCCATGTTACAAACTCAGACACACTCTCGCTTACGTCAACGGGTAGTTACTCCTCCAGGTTTGGTCATCCGAACCTACTTGATGTTATAGGAAGGTGGGGTCACGAAGCCCCTTGTAGGAGCATGCCTGCCGTGTTTCCAATAATCCAACAGCTTTTTCATGGTGGTAGAGCTCACAACTGCTGGGTATCATGCTGTTCCCTGCCGTCTCCACCAGTGTCAAAATCCCACAGTCGATTCCCTGCCTTTAGGCTTGCTTGAAGTGGCTCATTCAGGCGATGTCGTCTCCAGGGGTCACATTGGTATGGCAAGCCGACGAGCCTCTCTTCGAGACCGAAGGTAAGCGGTTTGCCATGTAGGTAAGAATGAAGATATACATGCACTTACTTGCAAGCCCAAAACATCAGAAAAGGCCTTTGTGTCTCAGGTGCATGCCAATCCCTTGTAAATTTGTGTCTTCTTGCGGACCAGTCTGCAAACCAGTCAATTCATTGGCCCGATCTTCTGATCTTGCAGAGAGCCCAAGGCTCCTCGCACGCGCGGCTATTCTGCATCCCTGATCTGCGTGCGATGCTTTCGTGGGAATGCAAGGTACGCGGGCACAGGCGCTGACACGCAGGTACTTGACCTCAAAGCACGAGGCAAGATCATACTGTCGGTACCACAGTACAACATGACTCTTGTTCGCACTGGCCATGGCCAGAGGCAAGTCCCCCTGCTCATGCTGGGAATAACTCGCTTGACCTACACTGTTCTCTCCTCGATTGCCGCTGAGCACTGCCTGGTGTACATGTGTTCGAGGAATGATTTGTTCCGCCAAACGCCTACACCACCCATGTATATTCGAAAGAGAATTGTATAGCCGAGCTTTTTCTCCAGTATCAGTGTCGTCCTCTGTCGTGCCATGTCGTGTGTTATCCCTTGTGATTTGACAGCTCTAGTATCCATTTGTCTTTGCTCGGAACAACACTTTTATGGACCGATCCAAGGGGAGAGTATGGCTCTCAAAGCAGAATGTTACAAGATTTCTGACTCTTCTCTTTTCTGATGTACTGGTGCAGATGAATGAACCTTCATGTACTTGCTTTGTCGGAAACAACAACAGCATCATCAGATTCCGTAGACACTCACTCCAGACTTCTCCTGTAATGCCTTTTTCAGGGTGTACATATATGCAAGAGCCTCTCCTTCTCCCGACGCCTCGTATCGATCTGCCAGAACTTTCTGTGTGTTACATGGAAAGGAATGGCTCTTACCAATGCTTGATTCCTTTCGGCATCGATGGCATTTCCAGCTATTCTTATTCATTGCCCTATCCCATCTATCTGGTAGGTTTCGATCTTAGTCTGCCTTTACACAATGCACAGTGGTCTCTGCTTTTGGTATGAGAGGAAGAGCGGTGAAGTGGAAGAGAAGAGGAGCTTGGGCTTCTTTACGTTTTGCAGAAATACTTATATGGTAAACCTTTCCTCTCCCAAGGCTTCTTGTTGGGTATGGAGTTTTGCGAGTTTGAATTCTCGGGACAGGGAGAGGTTACTTCAAAGGCTGTTGGTCAGGGAATCCGCCGAACCTGTTCATCGAGGGTATCACCCTGCCACAACACTCTCGAGGGTGGCAGCTTGTAAGATTGAGCTGTGGCACTCTCGGAACATTATGAGGAAAGCGGAATTGAGCAGCTTTGAATTAGAAAACGAAAGAACCAAGGAAAGCAAGAAGAGAAGATGGAATGTAGGCAGTCGAAGGGTGAGCTAAGCAATCTAGATTTGTAGATGGAAACATGGAAGGCATCAGAGTGAGTGATTGTACAAGTATGCAATTGGACATTACTCCCATTGAGTGTTCTTGAGACGCTGCATAAGGTAGTCAACCTCGACTTCTTTTGTCAAGGGGATGACGTAGTCTTTGTACATGGCAACAACAGCATCGACGTTGATCTTGCCAGCCTCTTCTGCTTCACCGGCCGAGATGCTGGGATCCGTGCCGTAGGTCTTTGCCTTGAGGCGCAGACGCTCGAGAACCTTCTTCTCGACGGCAGCATTGGTGATGGCCTCGTCGATGCCCTTGCGATCCTCGCGCTTGATCAGGTCGACGAAACGTTCCGTCTCTTTCTGGAACTTTGCCTCTGCGACAAACTTGCCAAAGTGGATGCGGCGAGACAGGGCTTGCAGGCAGTTCACGTCGCAGGTAGCGGCGGAGCCAAAGTTCTCCTGGTTCTCGCCGCGCTCTTCACGGCCATAGTTGATACAAGCAGCGGGTAGGATGTGCTCGGCGTAGTGGTGTTTGAGCTTGCCGTTGATGTTGACGTCGTTGGGATGCAAGATCTGAGGGTAGTGGATGGGCTGCAGGATGGGCTCTTGCAGGGCGTCCGGGAAGAAGGGGTACTCGTCGGGCGACTGGTAGCGGCGCACAAGGGACTGGAAGCGTTCCTGCTCGCGGATCATCCAGTCGAGCAGGCTGTACTCGCAGTCGGGGATGCGGACGGCGCCAGGCTTGTAGATGGAGGGATTCAGAGGGAACTGGACGCGCTCAATCAAGTGGAAGGTGATGGTGTCCTCGAGCCGGCTGATACCATATCAGCGAGTCTGTCATAGTTGTGGGTGGTCGGGCGGGCGCGTCTACATGAGCTGGAAGCGGATGTTGGCCAGATCGAGGGCCTTGCTGGCGTCCGAGAGGTCGATTGCAGTGTCCATGTTGGTTTGTGTCTGTGTTTAGAGGAGGATCGATGAGAAGGAAGATGTCTTTGTCTGGGAGCGACACCGGCGGCGTGGCTTTGGTCGCGGAGCTGGAGAATCATCATCATCGTCAACAACCTCGGCCTCGTGTCACGTAGGAAAAACATCCCGCAACCCACACCTAGCCCACGCGACCTGCTTGTCTGCCTGCTATACTACCATACCCTTAGAATGACTTCATAGCCCTGCTCGCCAACCATGTCGACGTCTCGAGGCCGCAACCCGCCTCCGCCATCGTCGTCGCACAGGCGGCGGCCCTCTGCCAACATGCCCCAAGCAGACGACGATGACAGCTTGCTGGGTGTATGTTGTACCGCTCTCGTCATCTTGAACGTCTTCTAACACTACATGGATAGTCGCGACAGCTTGAAGCCTTTGGCCGCACCGTCCATGCCACTGCCAGCCATTTCATCGGCCCTCTGACAGGCGACCCTCACCATTACCAGACCGCCCTAGGCGACATCCACCGCGAGCTACGTCGACCTTTGATTCAGCGCTCCGTCTTTGAGCTCGCCAAAGCTTCGCCCAAGGAACTTGTCCGCTCTACTTTCTCCACCACCGAGATCCAGCACCGCGCTCTAGTCCACCTCCCCGACGACCTCCTCCGCCACATTCCCGAACGCTCCAGCACTTACTCACTATTCCAAGGCTTCCAGGCCTCTAAACCAGAAGAGAAGAAAAAGTCTGCCCGCAGCAACGACAAAGGCCAGAAATTACTCGGCCATGAAAGCGATGATGAAGCAGATCCATCCACTCCTGCAGCCGCCCTAAAGAAGCTCAAATCAAAAAAGGGTACTATGGAGCACCGCTTGGAGATGATGGGCATTCGCAAGAACATGTGTATCTCCGAGATCAAAGAAATCGATACCAAGATTGCCAATCTCAACACTATGAGGAAGATTGTCCTTCAACGACTGGCCGGTCACGAGCAGGAAGAGGTCGACCTCGAAAATGAGATACAAGAAACGTCCGAGAAGCTCTCCGACTTACAGGAGGAAATGGAAGATGCTGCTGCCCTGGCTACCAAATCCCCACCACTGGAACCTACACCGGACACGCCTGCCGATCTGGCCGAGTCTACCGAAACTTTCATGTCTGAATCTGTATACGAGAAACTGCCTGACCCCTCGCCGACCAAGACGGACAAAGAAAAGGAAAAGGAGAAAAAGAAGCGCCGTGTAAACAGGCGCAAATCCATGCCCGTATTGCACGAGCACATGGAGAAGGGTTCTCGCATCCGCGAGTTCCAAGCCCACAATGACATGATTACTGCCCTGGACTTTGACGCTCCTTTTGGTACTCTTGTTTCCGCCGCCCTCGACGACACAGTTCGCGTATGGGATTTGAATGCTGGAAGATGCATAGGTCTTCTTGAAGGCCACCACGCTTCAGTGCGCTGCTTGCAGGTACAAGACAATTTTGTTGCCACTGGGTCAATGGATGCTAGCATCCGCTTCTGGGACCTGAACCAAGCCGAATATTCTCCTCCGCCGTCATCGCGGAATAACAGATTTGGTCGTTCGTCTGAGGACGGGGAAGATGATGCCGATATGTTATCTGATCCCGAATTGGACCCTCTTCCCGTCGCGCCTACATCTTCCATGCAAGACTGTCTGGTCACCGAACTTTCTGCTCACGTGGCAGAAGTTACTGCTCTACACTTCCACAAGAACACTCTTGTTTCTGGTTCGGCTGACAAGACGCTTCGCCAGTGGGACTTGGAGAACGGTCGCTGCGTACAAACACTTGATGTCATGTGGGCAGCTGCTCAGGCAAGTGTATCGAACAACAGCTTTGGCGCCCCTTCTCCAGCTGCTGCAGATCCAGCGGCCTCAGAAGGCTGGTGGCGACCTGCTTCTGGCCGCCTACCGCCTGCCGAAGCGGACTTTGTCGGTGCCATCCAAGTGTTTGAAACAGCATTGGCATGCGGTACTGCCGATGGTATGGTCAGACTCTGGGACCTGAGAAGTGGCAATGTCCATAGGAGTTTGGTTGGCCATACAGGGCCCATTACATCTTTGGCATTCTCTGGCATTCATATGGTGACTGGCAGTGCTGATCGCAGTGTTCGGGTATGTTGTGTCCTTGTACACAACTTGGCGTCATGTGCTAANCACAACTCGCAGATTTGGGACCTCCGTACTGGTGGCATTATTGACGCATTCGCATACGAATCACCAATCGTCGACTCATCCGTTGACGCCAGACATATTGTGTCGGCAATTGGTGAGTCGGTGGTCAAAGTCTACGATAAAACAGATGGCAACCAATGGGACTGCGGGCCTGGGGCGGCGGAAATGGAAGAGGAAGACCAAGGGCCGCTCTCCACCATTGAGCGTGTCCGCATCAAGGACGGCTATCTGGTTGAAGGCAGGAAAGACGGAGTCGTCGGTGTGTGGTCATGTTGATAGTCGCGACAGTGAGAAGAAACAAAACCATATATATATTATCCAAGCAAGGCACGTGAAGGCTTGCCAGATGCGAAAAAAGCTCAGTTCAGACCCTAGATTTTTCTTGGCGTCTGTCGCCCGATGATGATTATCGATGATGATTTTGTTCCTGAAATTGTTCCCTCATTCCTTGTCCATACCTTTATGATATTTTTGCCGCCCGTCCTATCGCCACTGTTCTGATCCTCGTACTCTTTGCCATACAGCCTGCTTGCATCTTCTGTCTTTACCGTTCGCCGCATCCAATCTATTCTGCCCGTCCAATTTATTTCCACTCGTGCTCACAGAATGCTCGTCCGAGCAGCGGGTCGCAGGACGCGGCGAAACACCTCTCTATACCTCACTCATCTCGCCGACTCGCTACATCTTCCGTTTCTCTGTCCTGCTCAGGCACGATGGAACTCGTCACATTCGCCGCAAACTCCCCAAGCAAGAACACCCACACGCCTCCAATCCTTGAGTACCGACAAGACACAAACGAGGCGCTTAGCCACAGTTGCCGATCAACACTCGACAGCCCCTGACTCGCCACGATGGACTTTTGGTGGAGTTGAATACTCTCTGGATCCCAAGGACACTCTCATGCTGCAACATGACCTGCAAGCAACACACGAGCCTAGACGCTTGTTCACAAACGGGCTCGCTGGAAATGTCAGCGATCTCGTACAAAGTCTACACACATGTCTCCGCGTCGAGCGTCTCGAGAGAGCCCGCCTTGTCATCGAAAAGTTGCGACAACGCTGCCACAAGGATTCATTCGAGATCCAACACGTCCACAGTGCATACCTCGAGGCGAGCCTCGCACAGATCGAGAACACTCCATCATCGAACCGAAGAGAAGATCAATATGAAGCTTTGCGGGATTGGTTCGAGAATGACCTTGTGCAACACGAGTATCCTATTGACTCGCAAACGCTAGTCGTCATGATGCGCGCCGCCATGAATTCGCTGACGAAACCCAAGCAAGAGCGCGCCATTCGCCGCTATGCAGAACTTGCAGAGGCATCTGGACCAGGTCTGCTCGACGAGATTTGCGATTCTGACGACTTCACTGATGATGAGTTTATGAGGATTGGAGCCGTCCTACCTACTTTGAAATCCAGGTCGCCACAAATCGAGCAGCCCGTCGACACCGATGAGCTGCCATCTTCTGATTCAGATATCGTATCCACGCCCGACCTCACCGATGTACCCGCTGTTCTTGAAGTAGCACAGAAGGGAATGGGCTTGGCCTCATTGAAAGATGCTCTTGACGCCGCGTCACCTGCTCTTCAGTCAAGCACGACGCTCGAGGCCATGGAACAGGCCAGACTCACACCCGAGGATCGCGAGCGTCTGCTTGAAGAGAGTGCGGGTAAAGCGGCCATAGAGCGATGGAAGAAAGAGGAGGAAAACCTGCAAAAACTTGGTATACACAGCACTCTTGAATCAAAGCCGCTTGGCGCTTTGATGTGGCAATGGTACTCGGACTTGCTGCCTGTGCTGCGCGAAGAGATAGAGGCCTGTCGCGCGCTCATGGACAATCCTCCACGAGACAATACCGTCAAGGAACAACTCATCTACGGACCCTTCGTTGAGGCTGTGCCCATAGAGCAACTCGCCGCAACAACTATCCTCAGCGTCATGGGTTCGTTCGCTGGCGGCAAGGACAGGACCTCGGGTACCTACAGCAGTAACCAGAGACTCGGACGTCTTACAGCTACTCTTGGAAAAATCATGCAGGATGAGGCTAACGCCGAAGCTGCTAGACAACGCGCAATCGCTGAGCGTAAAGCGAAGCTTGGCCGTACTCCGAAGAAGCAGCCAAAGTCACCCCACCCATTCTTTGACACGGATTTGCACGTCTGGCCCAGCGATGTTCGTGTCAAGCTGGGTGCCATGCTTGTCTCGAAACTTATCGATATTGCCAAGATTCCTGTCTCTCGACAGCATCCCAGGACAAAAGAGATGGTCACGCAGACCCAGCCAGCTTTCCTCCACAAGACACTTTATGAATCAGGGAGGAAGCAAGGATGGCTCTGCCCTAGTTCTGAGCTGATACACAAGCTTCATCGCGAACCCGTTGCCGGTCTCATTGCCAAAAGGCTGCCAATGGTGATCGAACCAAAACCTTGGACCGGCTTCAGCAAGGGTGGCTACCTCAACTATCCCACACCTGTCATTCGTTTCTCTGGAGCGGACAGTGTGCCTCGTGACTACGCATATGCTGCCATTCAACGAGGAGATCTCGACAAGGTCTTCGAAGCTCTCAACGTCCTTGGCAAAGTTCCGTGGAAGATCAACGAGGATGTGTTGCGTGTGCAGATCGAGGCATGGAACAGTGGCGAGCCCATCGGCAATTTTGCTCCTTTGAATCCAAAGCTCGACCTGCCTCCTGAACCTGACAACAAGTCTAATCCTCAGGCGCGCCGTCTCTGGCTACAGAACGTCAAAGATATGGAGAACGCCAAGAGTGGCTACCATTCGAAAAGATGTTTCCAAAACTTCCAGCTCGAGATTGCCAGAGCATTCAGGAAGGAGAAGGTTTACTTNCCCCACAACATCGATTTCCGCGGTAGAGCATATCCTATTCCTCCTTACCTCAATCACATGGGTGCCGACAACGCTCGTGCCCTGATGACATTCGCCGAGGGGAAAGGACTGGGCGAAGTCGGATTGAGATGGCTCAAGATTCACCTGTCTAACGTATTTGGTTTCGACAAGGCCAGTCTATCCGAGAGAGAACAGTTTGCAATGGACCACCTGGATGACATCCGCGATTCGGTAGCCAANCCCCTGAGCGGTAGAAGATGGTGGCTCGAATCCGAGGATGCGTGGCAGACTTTGGCTGCTTGTTATGAATTGAAGGCCGCCATGGATCTCCCCGATCCGACTAAATATGTCTCACACCTTCCTATTCACCAGGATGGTACTTGCAATGGTCTCCAGCACTACGCAGCTCTTGGTGGTGACTCTGCCGGTGCCCGTCAAGTCAACCTGGAACCTGGAGACAGACCCTCTGATGTTTACAGTGCTGTTGCCGACGGAGTCAAGGCTGAAGTCGAGAAAGATTTCGCTGCAGGTCATCCTGTGGCGCAGTTCCTCAGAGGCAAAATTACTCGCAAGGTCGTCAAGCAGCCGGTCATGACCAACGTTTATGGTGTCACCTACTACGGCGCCAGAGCGCAAGTCAAAAAACAACTTGAGGAAATCTTCCCCGAGATTCATCGTCACGATGCTTTGGACCATCTGACGCTTGCCTCTTACGTCGCCAAGAAGATCTTCAAGTCTCTTGGTGAGATGTTTACAGGTGCACAAGCTATTCAGACATGGCTGGGAGATTGTGCAGATCGTATCTCCACTTGTGTTACACCTGAGCAGATTGCTTCCATGGAGAAAGACCACTCTGAAGGCAGGTCTATCATCCCGGAGAAGCCCGTGATTACCAAAGGTAAAGGCAAGGGCGCTACTGTACAGCGCGCTGAGGCGTCGAAGCACTTGTTCCGCAGCTCTGTCATCTGGACCACTCCCCTTCGTCTTCCTGTCGTACAGCCTTACCGCACTTCGAAGCGCCGTCAGGTCAAGACCAATCTTCAGCACATTGCCCTCCAGGAGCCAACCGCAGTTGATCCTGTAAGCAAGCGCAAGCAATTGCAAGGCTTCCCTCCCAACTTCATTCACTCTTTGGATGCGACACATATGATGCTGTCCGCCATCAAGTGTGACGAGAACAACATCGCGTTTGCTAGTATTCACGATTCCTTCTGGACCCACGCTTGTGATATCAATCACCTATCCGTCGTCCTCCGCGATGCCTTCGTTGCCATGCACACCGAAGATGTCGTTGGTCGCCTGCGCCAAGAGTTTATTGCTCGCTACAAGGGCTGTATGTACCTTGCCGCAGTTGACATCCGCACACCGGTTGGCAAGAAGATTGCCGCGGTCCAAAAGGCTCGTCCTAAGGGAAACAGAAAGAACAAGCAGCTACAGCCAACCCTGATCCTTCAACTTCTGGAAGAGGCCGAACGTTTACGTCTACTCAACAGCGAGAATCCAGAGGAAGTTGCTCAAGGCGAAGAGATGCTCACCTCTGGCAGCATCTTTGCCGATGAGGCCGATGCTGAAGATGCGCTGACTGTGCCTCCTGAGATCGTCAACGCACGTCTCGGCGAGATTCCCGAAAACTCGGATGTCCTAGGTGCCTCCGAGTCTGGCGTTGATGACTTGACCGAGCCCATCTTGTCCGACCACGATGACGTCGACACCACCAGCGACGACAAGGTCGCCAAAGCAGCCGAAGACGCCGATGTGGATGTGGATGAAGCAGAAGAACACGTCCCCACCGTCGAAGAACTGAAGAAAAAGTCCAAGCCGGCCGCAAAGAAGCCGCCCGTCAAGAAGGTGTACGTCTGGCTGCCGCTCAAGTTCCCCGAGGTGCCTGCGAAGGGCGACTTTGACGTGACGAGGTTGAAGGAGAGTCGATACTTCTTCCACTAGTATTATGCACTCTTTTGTTTCACGTTTTGTATATATGTTTGAAGGTGTTGATTTTATGGTGTCTAAGGAGAGGAGAGGCTTTTCTATTTTGCATATGGGTGGTGTTGTTGAAGCGATAAAAAGCGAGGTGTTGTCTCTTTTGGAGTTCTTGGGAAGGAGGATTGCATGAATGCATTGAACCATATAACCTGTACCACTATATCCGTATCGCTACTTCCTCTTTACATCTCTCACACTGAGCACAATATTTTCATCGCTGCTTCCTCAATCAATTGCCGAAGAATGTGAAGACATGGAGAACATTCGGACCGAGAACTCCGATCACTGTACCACGTCTCTTCCATAAATTTTGACTTGCATTAATGTGTAGTCTGATACTGTATTATTGCAAAGAGTTTTGATTGCTTTAGACGATTGCCAAGGAGCATGACTTTCGTCGTCTATGCGCGTACATCAGGTGGTTGGTATGTTCAACAGAATCCGCTTGTACACCATTGACTCTAGCACCGAAGATAATATCCAAGAAAATGCTCAAAGGATGTTCAGGCACATATCTGTCCCTCATAGATTGCTCTTGAAAACATGTTTATCTGGATACTAGTGTTATTTGATGTGTGAAGAGCCAACACTTTGGGCATCATCTTCTCCAACGCACAATTCTGTTGCCTGAAATACGAGTCGTGCATCGCTTCTTCCTTGTGGAACCCCAAATCCTTCAACTCACTGCCACGACGTAATACCACGGCGCTTGCCTGTTTATTTCTGCACTAAATGTTGGTATTCTCCAATCGTTTTGGCCATGTCAGGCTCTAGCAACTCCTTTGTGCAGATCTGATCTATATTCTAATCTGGCAACTTGATCCTTCACTGTACAGCCTCTATGGACCTCAGCAAAGCGACTGCATTGACCATGCATAGACACTATACTCATGAGGATCTTCACCGTTTCATGACTACCATCATGCGGCACAGCAAAAGAAAACATTGCTATTCGTGGCTGTTTTCAGGCTGCTGTATTCAGGAGTTGACCTCCTATATCTGCCTCACTGCCTGGATACGCGAAAATGCCACTATCGACTCAGAGATAATGCTTATTCCAAGGTCTCCCTATCGACTTGGACATAATGAAGACGATCCACAGCAAATCCCATGGCCCGGCAACATCGACCATAGAGTACTACGAACCATCACCTCAGCTCTCAGCATCTTGACAACCAAAGCCACCTTTGTCAATGGCTTCCATCATCCTCTACGATTACTATTGGTGCATCTTCTGGCCACTTTACTCTGGGAAATTGTTCTGTGGCTCTACTCAAATAAAATCGAGCGTACATTCGATGCAAAAGATTATACACTATATGAATTGGCTCGTAGAGGGAACCTATGGTCAAGGACAGGATTGAAGCTTTGTATTCGCTTCGCTTGTGACATTGGTGCTTTGATCTGCGAGTACGTGGTTATCTGTCGCTTTCGGTCTCTTCCTGCCCTGAGCATGCTGCTCTTGCCGGACTGGAGTCAGCTCGTCCACTTGGTACGCCATCGAGACATCACCATACCGAGGAAGATTCTTGCTTGTCTTGGGTGTGCGGTAGGTGTTGTCATGATACTTGGCTTTGAGTCCCAGCTCTCCGAGGTTGGGATCAAGTCAGCAAGTACTGGAGTCTTTCTGAGGCTTGCTGCACAATTGCTCCGCCAGGAACCAAGTGCCTTCGATGATACCCAACGCACAACTTCTTTTCTTCCGGTTACTCCAATCCGAGACAAAGCGATACTTCTTCCACTGGCTATCTTCGTCACTCTGGTCGGAATATACAAGCGCGAGTACTGGATATACACACCGCCACTTTCCAAAGTATCGCTCGTTGTTTTGGCAATCAACGCTCTTGCTGCGGTAGTGACTTTTCAGTGCAGCGGATCACACTTTAGGCGGACAGAGCCAGTCGCTACACTCGATGGTGTTGTGGAAGATCTTGACGATGGCGAGGTGGAGCCCATCCTTGAGACGCTGGCACTGTATACCGTGATAGCTTTGGGCAGCTTCTTGATCAGTCCATCTGATCCGGCGTCTATAGTGTCGATTGAACAGTACATCGGTTTCTTGATCGCTTTGATTGCACTTTTCTGGATTGGCCGACAGTTTAGACCTGGTGCCATGGATGACACATACTATACTCCCATCGGTGTATTGCCACGCGACGACACTGAATACGGTTTGCCGGGTGTCGAAAGTCTTGATCCGAATCAGAGGCAAAGAGGTATCAAGTGGAGTGGTCTACTACAAGCCATATTCGTAGGGGCCTGCATCCTGCTCTCGATATCCCTGACATTCCTCTATCACACCTCGCCCCAGCCATCGCCACGCTGGATTCCAAGAGACGACCAATCAAACACACTTTCGAACACCACAAGGTCTCTCGACTTTGTCGTGTCCAGATTCGATGAACCCGCCACCCAAATAGCACGCCAGATAAACTCTCTGCACGAACTTCCAAACCTGCGCTCTTTGTCAACACGTCTTCTAGTCTACACCACAGGAAGCGACAATACCGACATTTTCCAAACCCAACTCCAGCAATCTTTACACCCAAACATCGAAGTCCTCGTCCAGCAACGACAAAACGTAGGCAGGGAAGCTGCAGCCTACCTCACCCACATACTTTCTCACTGGTCAAACCTCGCCACCCACACTCTATTCCTTCAAGCACAAATGCACACACCTTCGCTGGTCCACCCACGTCTACAAGATTACTTTATACCGCAAACCGGCTTTTTGTCGCTATCAGACACTTATTGCGGTGGCAATACCTGTGAAACTCATCCTTGGGATCACTCAGCTTGGTCAGAAAGCCCTGGGATACTCAACCCTATCCACGCCCTTGCAAATGTTTCTTCATGCATTGACTACACATATACCTACCGTGGCCAATTTATCGTTTCTGCCAAAAGGATTTCAAGCAAACCTCCCCAGCTATTTGAGCATCTGTTGCATAACTTGATAGACGCAAATGCCAGCACACATGCAGAGGGCTACAACAAACAGCCTTGGTTGTCGAATAAACAGGATAGTCTGAATGCGCCGAGGTTTGGGTATACGATGGAGATGATTTGGGGGCTGGTGATGGGGTGTGAAGGGAAAATGTCACAGTGTCCGAGTTTGATGTCTGGTGCTGTTGGTAGGAGGTTGGGGTTGGGGAGGAGAGGNGGTTTGGAGGAGTGTCAGTGTTTGGATACTTGATGGGTTTGCATAGATTTCATGATCAATTAGATGTTTCTTGTACCTAAGGTCCCTTCTTGTTCACCCTTCCTCGAGCAGCTACGTTAGATGGATGGCATGACTGTCGATACCAGGTGTCTCGAAAGAACGAAAGGGAAATCTAGGAAGAACAACAGGGTACATCTCAGGAAAAGAGTCCTCGAATCTCACTTTCCTTCTCTTGCAGACATCTTGAACAACACCTCAACATTCTTACTCCAAGCCACACCCTCGACCTCACATTCTTTCTGCCTAGCAGCAATACGTGTATGACCACGGTGTTCTCTCATGCGCTCTTTAACCCTCGCCATGTGATCCTGAATTTGATCGATGGCAGTTTCCATGGCGACTTGCACAGCACCAACCAAGAACATGTTCTTCAAGACCACGTCTGCAGGATCGAGCCAGCCACCACCACTTCCAAATTCTATCGCACGCTGAGCCATTGAAGGTAAGCCTAGCATTTCTTGTATCTTTTCGATGGGGGTTATGAAAGCCTGATGAGCTTGGTCGAAACCAGGGATGTTGTGTAAGATAGGAGCAATTGTGTCAGAGTGCGTAGAGACAAGTTCGTGGGTGAGGACAAGGAAGTCGTCGTTGTTGAGGGTGATGGCTAGAAAGACAAGCTTGACTGCAACGCCCTCGAGCACAGCAACAATGACATCGCGTTTCTGAACTTTCAATTCATTCTATGCGAGGAAGCGGAGGTGTTGGTGTAGTTTGTAGGCGCCGATGCCTAAACAAAATCCGTTGATGGCGGCAGCGATGAGCATTTGTGGTGCCACGGAAGCAAGACCGAGGTTTACTATCAGACCCAGACTGTTTCTTGTTACCACTCTGATCTGATGGCGAGTTTTGCGTCGAATTTCTTTGAGCTCGAGTTCATCGAAATGGCGAGGCAGGGGTCGATGTCGTTTGAGCTTTGGCTTCTTAAGGAGGTCGGCATTTTGTGCATAGATGGCCTCGACGACGGAGGAAAGTTCGTCGTCTACGTGATATGGTGGAAGGGTGTCTTCAGTGTGACCAGCAGAGTTGGTACGGGAGCGGTATGAAGGTAGGGTTTCAGAAGAGGACAATGCATCGGCAGACAGTGAGAATTCGATGGATCGAGTGAAGTCGAATTTGGCAAAATCAATGTCATCATGTTTTCGCTTTGGAGTATAGGATGCATGGCCTTCATGCCTCGAGACAGCGTAGATGGACCATTTCTCTGGCAAACCCAAGCGAGCTTCATCCGAGTGACCCGAGTGACCATCGCTGACGCGGGAGGAAGGCCTTTNTGGCGTGTCTGGCTCTTCGAGAGATGCCACGGCGGGTACGGATGGCGACCGCTTGAAGCTTGTCGATGCCGCGTTCGATCTCGTCAGTCGGGAATCGTCGACGGAACGAGCGAAGTGAAGAGGGTCGGTGTCGTGACCCGCCGGAAGGTAGGATAGGTCTCCTGGATCGCTTAGGAAGGTGAAAGAAGCCTCCGCTTCTCGAGGGTGTATCGAGTGGCGGCGATGCATTGGTTGGAGTGGGCGCCAAAACAGGCATGGACATGCTCAGGGAGGTGATGTAGGAATGCGATGGGATGTGAAGAAGTCCTTGAATATGCGGGTTGAAATAGCTTTCGAATTTGACACTTGTAAAGCGCCTTCCTCAAAGATTTTTTACAGCTATCAAACACTGGATCAAACGAGCGCGGCGTACTTCGCGAGGAAGGTCACTTGACGAATGTGTTGCTTCCTTCCAGAGACGTAAAAGTCCACGTAGCGCATGAGAACACCGGAACGCCGAGTGGACCAAACACATGCAAGCAGTCTGTTGCGATGCACGGAAGTGATAGTGATTCGTAGATCATCATGATCAGTATGCAGCAAGAGCGAGAAAGTCGCGCCTACCCCTGAATCCCATCAGAAACGAAGTGAAAGTAACTTCAACTCCTCCAAAAAAGCAAGCGCAGTGTCATGATGCTGCGAATTGGCATTGATCACATCGAACCGGTGGAATGGCTCAGTGGTAGTAGCTCGTGTCTCCCACCTAATGCGGCCGGAGTCCACTGGTTCGATCCTCCGGGTCATCTGTAAATCCCCCTTTATGCCAGAGGTCCCAGTAATCCTCACCCGACAACAACAACGACGAAAGCTGTGCTTTCTCTTCCCCTCCTAGCTTTCGGCGGCTAGTGAGGGTTTCTGTTTTGTCAGTTTGCTACATCCTGATTTGTTTTGTTTCGCTCGAGAGTCATACAAGACGTCAAGACGAAAGGGGCTTTCGTGATTTGTGGGAAGAGTTGTAATAATTGATCATTTTGTGTCGTAATAGGTATCTCCATTTAGCATCTACTCAGCAGCAACATCCTTCTTCTTCCTCAAGAAAGCTACACCCTCGACATGGCCAGTCTGAGGGAAGAAATCGAATCCTCTCAGACTCTCAATCTCATACAAGCCCTTGCCTCCATTGACACCAGCAAGACCTCCAACCAAGACACCCACATCTCGGGCCTGAGTGTGCACGTTACAACTGACATAGCACACCCTCTCAGGTCCAAACTGCAGCAACTGACCAAGGAAGTTTTCATCACAACCCTTTCTTGAAGGGTCTATGACGACGGCAGTCTCTGCAGCAGGGAACTTGATCTCAGCGAAGATGTTGTTGGCGTCGCCGGCAAGGAAGCGAGCAGAAGAGGAAGGGATGTTGTTGAGTTTGGCATTTGTGGACGCGAACTCGATAGATTTCGTCGAGACGTCGATGCCGATGGAGTTGTTGAAGAGAGGGGACAAGGTGACGGTAAAGAGACCACTGCCAGAGTAGGCGTCGATCAAGTTTGTGATCTTGGGCGCATCCGCTGGTTGGTCTTTAGGAAGAATGTTGTCACGAATGTACTGAGTGAAGCTGGGGAGGATGGAGTTGTTGTTTTGGAAGAAAGAGCCAGCAGGGTTGTCGAAACGGAAGTCGTCAACATACTCTGTCGAAACAGCGTTCTGGTCAGTGACGCATGTCTTGCGGTGGACGTGTGATCCGCGGTCCTCGTCGATGTAGTCCTTGGACTCGCTTGATGGTGCAGCAGCCTGAACCTCGATAGGTTGCTCCTCAGCAGCACCGCTGTTCGTCTGCTGCTCCTGTGGGAGATCTGTCTTCTCGATACGCTTTGTGCTTTCACGCAGCAGCAGTGTAGCACCGCGCTGGTACTTCTCCAGCTCGACCTTGACTCTTTCTCTCTCGCTCTTCATGCCCATGCGTACAGCATCCGTGCCGATAGGGCAATCCTCAATGTCCATAGTCTTGCGAGTTCCCTTGAGCATGAAACCGATGGGTGGTACCTCTGAGAAGACAGCCTTGACACCTTGACGTCTGTCTCGTCTACCACCGGGAGGACCATCGAAATGAGGAGTCAACTTGGTGCGGTAACCATATTGCAGAGGCGAACCCATGGTGTCGCCAATGGCAGGGACGAGATGTGCGGGCAAGTTGCAGAAGTTCTTGTAGGCCTTTTCGACGATGCTCTTCTTATGATCCAGCTGGTATTGGTATGGAAGGAATTGGAATTGGCAGCCAGAGCATTTGGAAAAGTAGCCGCACTTGGCAAGAGAGTCATCGCGGTGGGTCGAGGGTTCAAGGACCTTGACAAAGTCGGTCAAGGTGTAGTTTGTGTCTTGCAAATGCTTGATGATCTTGACGGTGACCTTGTCGCCGGGAGCGGTAAAGGGGACAACGGCGACTTGAGAGGATCCAGGAATGACAGCGAGACCGTCGCCGGTGGACGAAAGTTCTTCAATGGTGACATCGTACTCGGTGAATGGCTCGGGTAGTTGAGCGGGAGCTTGTTGTTCTGCTTGTCCTTCCTCGGGCTTCGAGGCGATCGAGTGCTTCTCGAGCAATGCGCGCACGTCGGCGATCAGAACCTCTTCATTGGAACCTTCCTTGACGGTTGTCTGCTTTTGCTTCTTGTTCTTCTTGAAATGTCTCTTGCCCTCGTTGAATTTCCTTTNTTGAGGCTGACTGGACTGAGCAGGTGCTAAGTCGGCCATGGTCGATCTGGAGATGGCCGTACGAAACAGCAATGAAGTTCTGACTGAGAGTAGTGGAATGGACCGAGTAGCAGCAAAAAAGTGTCGTGATAGCATTGGAGGACGGACAAAAAAGCGAAACCATGGTCAGCAAATCTGAAGATGCTGACCACCAACGCTTGCACAAAATATACGCATGTTTATGCACGACTTATCCCACCTCCGATCAACTCCGCAACCTTTGCTCTTGGCATTCTGAAATTCGTCCCCAATAGCGGCGTATACCAGTCGCTGCTTTCTGTCTCGTGAGAGGAGAAACCCAGCAGAAAACATGAAGACGACACGCTGCCTCTTCTGCCGTCTCGCCCCGGCAGCGACACCAAAGTCGGCACCCTCATCTCGCGCCTTCAGCTCAACACCCGCAACATCAGCAAAAGGCAAACCCGCATACCCAAATGTCAGAGCCGTCGATCTCGGCCTCGTCCAACAGCGCGTCGACACGGCCGCCCGCACATTCAAGCCCTACACGCCGCGAGAAAAGCAACTGCTGGCTTTGAAATACACTCCCGCTCAGGTTCGCGCCATCGAAGCCGCCGAAGCCTCCATCGATCCCAAGGATGTCGTGGTTCAAGGCAAGATCCGCCGCGACACCTTCGCCCTCAACTACATCGACGACCTTGCAAAGATCCAACCGCTGGTGGATAAGCCTGTGCGCGCACCCACTGAAGATATCGATCCTGGCATCCGCATGCGCACCGAAGACGAAGTGCTCGAACGCTTTGCCCAATGGACCGAGGACTTCAACCGCAAGCGCCAGGAATACGAGACACGCATGGAGAGTATGGATGGCGAGGCACTCGAGCAAGAGCTGCTGACGAAGAGTATCGAGGCTGGCATATACCCCGGCGACAACCTGACGCCCGACGAGCGCCGCGCCCGTCTACGCAAGTACGCAGAGCACTTCGAAGGCCCCAACGAAGTCGCAGAATGGAACGCCTTCATCGGCAACGCAAACAACTTCTTCTTCTCGCCCAAAGGCACGCTGGACTCACAGCAAGACAGCCTGGCCCCCGAGATGCCAAAGACAAAGAGTTTGGGTGTAAAGTTCGAGTCCGAGGATGACGATCCCCATCTCCAGCGTTTGATGCAGCAAACCGGTATGTCCAAGGACGACATCAGAAAGATCAGATGCAAGAACTTGGTCAACCACCGTGTCGTCAACCAAACTCGTATGGGTAAGATTCAGTCAATGTACTACCTCACCATTGCCGGCAACGAGAACGGCATGTTGGGTATCGGCGAGGGCAAGTCGGGCGAAGACGAAGACGCCATCCGTCAAGCTCAGTACGCTGCCATCAGAAACATGAAGCCCATCCCGCGTTACGAGGACCGCACCATCTTTGGTGAAGTCGAGGGCAAGGTCGGCGCTTCCATTGTCCAACTCTCCTCCCGTCCACCAGGTATGTCTTTTGTTACCTCTGCTCAACATCTATCATTCACTTGCTAACATTCTACCAATCANGGCTTCGGTAACAGATGCCAACATCTCATCTACGAAATGGCTCGTGCAGCAGGCATCTCGGACCTCAGCGCCCGCTGCCCTCGCAGTCGCAACCCCATGAACATTGTCAAGGCAACCTACGAAGCCCTCATGAAGCAACGCCTACCCGAAGACGTCGCCCGCGCTCGTGGTCGCAAGCTGGTTGATGTGAGAAAGGTATACTACCAAGGTCTGACTTCGTAGAGGGTCTCCTTGCCATGTAATTGATTCTGTATTATATATATATTCTGCACATGTGCTGTGTAGCCTTGTATCTCGAGCTACACTTTTAGCCAAGCTATACCATGCGTCTTTCCGTCCGGTAGCGCAACATGTTTTGTATCATCGGACTGAGCCATGTTCATCAAGCAACTTTCTCTCACCGCCCTCAGAAAGAGCACTTCATCATCACTTGATGCCAAGCAATCCCTTCAAAGACTCTTTTGGATCATCGGAAATCTGCATGGCGAAGAACGCTCTGGCAACATCCTCCTACACCATCAGTCAGCAAGCAATTTCTTTCTTGTCTTGTCAAACATCACGTACTGCCTCCTCGAGATCCTTTATCTCGCTCTCTGACATCATTGCACATGCTGCGACCAGGTCTTCTCCTCTAGCAGCAAGAAGAATGAGTTCCTCGGCTCTGTTCGTGACCTCTGACGGTATGCCGTTCAAGGCTGCACACACCGTGCCATAACTGTTGTTGCTGCGTCCTTGCTTGTAGCNTGACGTAGTGTTAGTGACATCGCTTTTGGAAAATTGAGTGTTACCCTGAACTTGCTTGTAGAGGTAGGTCAACTGCTCATCAATCTGCTGTGACTGCGGATCTACACGGACTTCGAAATGGCCGAAAGCGAGACGCTCATGAGGAAGTAGGAAGCCGCTCTCGAATATCTNCTATAACGATGTCAGATTATCTTTGCTTGCCATAACATAGATGATCTCTGCAGGTGTACCATGGAAGTGTGTGGCGCTAATGACTTTTGGACATTGGTCTCCTCTTTCGAGCAGATGGTTAAATACACCGGCAGCCAGTCCTGCACCATCTGAACCAAGAATCAGCTTAGAGTCTCCTGAAAAGTCGTTCCAGTACTTACCATGCGAATCAGTACCCTTGCCAAACTCATCGATGATCAGCAAGCTCCTGTTGGTGGCCAGATTTAGTGCCACCGATATCTGCTGCAAGTCGATCATGAATGCACTTTGATTCTGATCTCATCAGTATCCACTGTTCTCGACTACAGTTCAGAGACTCACCCTCGATACACTCTCTCGAGTTGCCACTCGTGTCATGATTTTGTCTGTAAGGCCTATCTCCGCTTTTGTCGCTGGCACAAAGCTTCCAACATGGGCCATGAAGACGATGATGGCTACTTGCTTGAGGTAGACGCTTTTGCCCGAGAAGTTTGGTCCGGTCACCAAGATCATGCTCGGTACCACGGTACCATCTTCAGTAAAGTATCGAGGTGCTGCAGATGGGCTTCCTTGCTGTTCAGCAGCTGGCTCGCCTTCGCCGCCAGCGAGGAGAGTGTCATTCGGAATGAAGTTGGGTACGACTTTTTCTTGCAGAATGTGTCTATTGTGGGTAAGCATTAAGGTTACAAGCTTAGGCAAACTCGACTACACCAACCTGCCGCCTCTGATGTCCAGAATGTTAGATTTTGTCACTCTTGGCCGTACAAGATTGTGGTTTCTAGCTCCCTGTGCCAGAGCCAAGANTGCTGCATATGTATCAGTGACTGTCAGATGTTCGCCAAGTCAGCACCAGACTTACCAGTCAATCTCGGCACAGATATCAGACGCAGCTGTGAGAAGGTCCTCATACTGTGAGATCTTCACTGCAAGCTCGTGAATGATCTCGATTTCTCGATCTTCACGCTGTCAGCATGATTCGACATTGGAAAAGGCTTACTGACCACAGATGCGTCCATATATGTCTCCAAAGTACGAGTCCATCTCGATGACGTTCTCATTCTTGTAATAAGCATAGTCCTCAGTAGTGAACATCTTCTCCCAGGGATCGTCTTCGGGACCTTCAAAGACGCCGTGACCGGTGATTGGATCCTGAGGTATTGCGATGAGAAATCCGATCTGAGGGAAAAACACAACGTTGATGTTCGCGTTCAAGGCTTCAGGCACTGACTGGGCGACGTGGTGAGCTACCTGGGCAAGAAGACTTTCGAGCCCTTCATAGGTCCGTTTGAGCTCATCTAGATCATGATCCACACCTTGTCTCACGACGTTGGGACCTTGGTCTTGAGATAGTTCGAAGTCGATGATCTCAGTAATGCTCTTACCAACTTCAGCCAGTTGGACTCCATGGAAATGCTCCATGATCTTGTTTCGAATCGCGAGTCGCTCTCCACCGACAATCTCTTGGAAACAGTCTTTGATTTGCAAGGCATGGTATGCAAACAGACGAATGCCGGTCCAGATGAAATTGGGTGGGCCTCNTTTGCTTGCCCCGGGGCCACTGATCCCTTTGCGAAGATTGATCATAACGGCTCTCATATTCTTGATCCTGCTCAGGTTTTTGATCAGAATTTCCATTCGTTCTGAATTCTCCGTACGAAGCAGAAAACTGATGGTGTCAAGGCGCTCATTGATAACGTCGAGGTTGGTACTTGGTCTCAAGAAGTACTGTCGTAGCAAGAGCTTGCCCTGGGAAGTACGTGCAAGAGTATGAAACAGGCCGTAGACGGAGAAGCCTTCTTTCGAACCCGAATTTGTCTTCGCAGGACCTTGGTTATGCGAGTGCGGATGAGACTCGGATTGGACAATCTGTAGCGAGAGCAGTGTGTCGGCGTTGACGANACCTGATCCTTGTCAGCAATCCTGGAAGAACGAGATAGTTTAGAGTACTACTTACATAGAGCCAGCAAGAGTAAACATCTCGATCGTCGAGATGCGGTGCATTGCTTGAGCAGCCATGTCTCCAGGCAAGAAGGTCGCTGCTCGCTTACGATGTATGTATGCAAGGACTGCACCAGCACAGCCAACTGTCACTCGGCTCTCGACATCAATCCAGCCAGCCAGTCTCAGCAACTGTCCTTGATAAATCTCGACAGCAGTATCCCCAGTCATATGGTCTTCATTACTCTCAGCAGTAAAATCTCCAGGCGTCATAAAGGTAATTCTGGGTCCATCTTCGTAACCGAGCTTAAGATTGACAAGCCTACTTTTGGCTGAGTCGTAAGAAAACTCAGACACAGGGCGGGGCGAGCACAAAGCAGGTATGCCATATGCTGTACTGTCCCCATCGCCTATATTCCTCCGCTCTGGGTCAAGCTTATCCAGCACTGTGTCGTCAAGTTTAGACGATACAAGTATTATGGTAGGGTCGATGAACGTTTTGACTGTATCGTATCAGCCCTGAATAAGAAAACCAAGGAGTTATANCTTACGAGCTTCGATAATGTCTGGACCACCCAGCTCAATGTCTTCCATGAAGTACAACTTCTCTTGTGCAGCAACGTAGTATGCACAACCGACGGTACCGTGAGGTTTCATGTCAACTGCCATAACGATTTCATCGAGGGCCTCATCACTAGCAGCGTCATCGAAGTTGTCTTGGGGTTGAGAGTTGGCGATTGAAGCTGGGACTTGTCCGTGTACCACACTGGGCGCAGACGAAGCTTGTCGGGAGTTGTTTGATGGATTCGGAGTCGTCAGTCTCGAAGCAGTCGAAGGAGTGATTGAGGGTTGTCGCAGTGCACGAAAAGATGAATTGCGAGAGGTTGCAGCGTTGGAGCGATTGTAGTATGATCCACGACCGCGGCCGCGTCCACGTCGAACACCGCTAGAGGAAGACGAGATGCCACGACCATGGCTGGACGAAGTCCCACGACCGCGTCTTGACGAACCACGCTGCGAATTCATGGCGGTTCTTTTGTGATTCCAATGAGTGTGCAAGTAAGACGGATGGGTTTCAGACCAAGGATTCGAGGTGCAAAGCTGCAATACACGCCGAGAAGGAACAACTTGCCATGAATCGCCCCTTCCCAAAGGTAAAACACATTTTGCATCACCATCTCTGGAAGATTGTCTGTAGAGTATCATGAGTGGCGTCTTCGTTATCATTTGGTATCTTACATATATACAAGTCTCGTTCTGCTACCGGTGTGATAACCCCTATTAACCTTCCCCAAACTCCTGTGCTATGCGTTATGCGTAATCTACCTCACAGCGTACAGACAAAGTGACTACGAGGATTCGGGTGCGAGAACCTCGAGATGCTCTCCGTCAGAGCGAACAGCAATCCTAGCCATGTCTCCGGTTTTGATTTGTCCGCGGATGATCTTGTCTGCCAGGCCATTGCCAATCTCCTTAGAAATGAGACGGTTGAGAGGGCGAGCACCGTAGCGAGGCTCGTATCCCTTCTCGCAAAGCCAGGCTTTGACATCATCTGGCACATCGAGTTTGATGCGGCGGTCATCAAGTCTAGCCTGCAGCTCCTTGAGGCGGATGTCCGCAATGTCTCTGAGGGCATCGCGTGAGAGACGCTTGAAGATGATAAACTCATCAACACGATTCAAGAATTCGGGAGCATACGCTGATTGCACCACGTCCATGACGTCCGCCTTCACCTCAGATGAGATTTCGCTGCTGGAGCTTTCATCTGCAAGAAGTGCTTCGGCACCCAGGTTCGACGTCAGAACAATCATGGTGTTTCGGAAGTCAATCTTGTGTCCTTGAGCGTCGGTAAGGAAGCCTTCGTCGAGAACCTGCAAAAGAAGAGTCGAGATGTCTTTGTGTGCCTTTTCGAACTCATCGAAAAGAAGGACGGCGTACGGCTTTCGACGGACGGCCTCGGTGAGCTGACCGGCGTCTTCATAGCCTACATAGCCAGCAGGACTTCCGATTAAGCGACTGACTGTATGCTTCTCCTGGAACTCACTCATGTCGAAGCGAGTGACGGCGGACTCAGTGGAAAAGAGGAACTCAGCCATCTTCTTGCAAAGCTCAGTCTTACCAACACCCGTGGGTCCCAGGAACATGAATGATGCAAGAGGTCGATTCTCACCACTCAAACCTGCACGCTGCATACGGACAGCGTTAGCAACAGCGGTGAGTGCTTCGTCCTGACCGCGAACAGATTGGCGCAGACTGTCCTCCATGTGCACAAGCTTCTCAATCTCACCTGACATCAGCTTGTTTACAGGAATGCCGGTGGTTCGTGCAACAACCGCAGCAATATCGTCGGCGTTGACCGAGTCATGCAAGAGGGCATTGCCGTCAGAATCGACCGCCCCCTCTGCATTCTCGTTTGGAAGCCTCTTCTCCAGTTCTGGGATGGTGCTGTAACGTAGCTCACTGGCACGAGCCAAGTCAGCAGCTCGCTGAGCTTGCTCGAGATCAAGGCGAGCCTGTTCAAGCTTCTCCTTGATACCCTTAGCTTCTTCAATCTCAGCTCGCTCCTTTTCCCACTTCTCGGTGAGCAAACCGACTTCATCTTGCTTGAGCGTGAGACTCTTCTCCAGCTGTTCTCTACGCTCCTTACTGGCGATGTCCTTCTCCTTTCGTAGCGACTCAAGCTCAATCTGGATGGTCATGATCTCGCGGTCGAGTTTCTGAATTGCATCGGGCTTGCTCTCCTGCTGGAGTCGCAAAGCACTACTGGCTTCGTCTACTAAATCAATTGCTTTGTCTGGTAGGAATCTGTCGGTGATGTATCGATTGCTGTAAGTGGCAGCAGCGACGAGCGCAGAATCGGTAATGCGCACACCGTGGTGAACTTCGTAGCGGTCTTTGATACCTCGAAGGATAGAGATGGTGTCTTGTACGCTGGGCTCGCCAACAAGGATAGGTTGAAAACGTCGAGCCAGAGCAACATCCTTCTCGATCAATCTATACTCGTTCAAAGTGGTGGCACCACAGCATTGGAGTTCACCACGAGAGAGAGCGGGCTTGAGTAAGTTACTAGCGTCGATGCTGCCTTCGGCTTTGCCAAGTCCGAGTAGAGTGTGAAGTTCGTCGACAAAGAGGATGACCTTGCCCTCGGCTTCTTGGGTTTCCTTGAGCACGTTCTTCAGACGTTCTTCAAAGTCACCGCGGAACTTTGCGCCAGCTATGAGTGAGCCAAGATCAAGGGAGATAACTTNTTTCTCCCTGATACTCTCAGGGACGTCTCCTCTCACGATCCTTTGCGCCAGACCCTCGAGGATGGCAGTTTTACCAGTTCCTGCTGAGCCAATGAGAACAGGATTGTTCTTGGTACGCCGCGACAAGACCTGAATGGTTCGCTGGATCTCGGCATCTCTTCCAATCACGGGATCGAGTTTGCCATCTCTGGCGCGTTGAGTAAGGTCAATACCATACTGTTCGAGGGCAGGCTTCTCCTCTTCTCCTCCCATGTTCATACGATGGGTGCCGCCTGGAGGCTGTGGTCGACCTCTGGCATATGTGCGAACTTGAAACAACAAAGGTTGAAGTGTTTTCGATGATGGTGGATGTGATATTAGTCGTGTATTAGAGCGTGTGAGTGCTGTTAGGGAGCTCGCGCGTAGTGTGGCAACGCGCGAGACGCCTCTGCTCCTTGCTGCAAGCATTGTGAATGTGGACAGAGTAATATGGGTGCTTAGCTGGAAGACATGGGTTCTCAGTGTGGACCACAGCTTGATATACTTATGTGCCTACAAGAACTACTCGACCGCAATGGCAATTGACGATGATTCTACGCGCTTCTCGAAAATGTCGATGTCACGACTCGGAGCGCGAACGTCCAAGCTTCCTCGGGGGTAGCGCCAAGGCGGGCTCGAAACAGAAATTGGAAAGAGCTGGAGCTCAGGTTGCCACGGAAGGACCCGCGACTGGAAAAATTGCAGCCCCTCGTCCAACAGTCTGCCTCAACTTCCCCGTATCCTTTCCTTTTTCCTCTTCTCTCATTTTTGACATACCACAATTCACAATGGGTTTCATCGACTTCGTTTCCGACGCTGGCCTCACTCGTACGCTGCTCCCGTCATGCTCGCCGCCAACATTTAGCTAGACGCTAACCCGAGATCAGTCCTTGAGAACTGGACCAAGACCCGTTCCTACATTGTTGGGTATGTACATCGAGCTCCCTCCATCACCTACCCCTCCCCTTTGTTTACAGGATGTAAAAAAATTGGTCCGTGTTTCTGAGGCGGCTTAAGACCCCGCTACACGATGTTAAAACAATGCGCTTGTCGCAACACTGATATCTCACCTTCATCACCGCCTTTTCACTTCAACCTCGTTCTCAGCGACACCCAGCTGACAACCTCTATAGCTACGGTCCTTCCCAGGCCGATGTCAAGACCTTCCAGGCCCTGAAGGCTTCNCCCGAGGTCGCCAAGTACCCCCACGCCTACCGCTGGTACAAGCACATCGCCTCTTTCGAGTCCGAGTTCTCTTCGCTCCCCGGTGACCCCACCAAGGAGTTCACTGCTTACGGCCCCGAGTCCGCTGAGCTCACCGTCAACCCTTCCAAGGCCACCGCCAACGCTGAGGAGGAGGACGATGACGACGTTGACCTCTTCGGTTCGGATGACGAGGAGGAGGATGCCGAGCACGCCCGTATCCGTGAGGAGCGCCTCAAGGAGTACGCCGCAAAGAAGGCCGGCAAGACGAAGCCCGCTGCCAAGTCGATCGTCACCATGGACATCAAGCCCTGGGGTGAGTTTCACTGTATCAACAAACAATTGACCTCTTATACTGACCAATTCCGTNNAGACGATGAGACCGACATGAAGCAGCTCGAGGCCAACGTCCGTTCCATCGAGAAGGACGGTCTCGTTTGGGGTGCCTCCACCCTTGTCCCCGTTGGTTACGGTGTCAAGAAGCTCCAGATCAACTTGGTCGTCGAGGACGACAAGGTCTCGCTCGATGAGCTCCAGGAGCAGATCGCCGAGGACGAGGACCACGTCCAGTCCAGTGACATTGCTGCCATGCAGAAGCTGTAAAGTGCTAGCGTAGCACTGGACCAAAAGTTCACGACGGCGGGTCGCCTGTATCTGATCCCAAGTGCAGGCGTAGACTGTTTGAGACCTCTGAAGCTCTTCGTTGTAATGATCACTACGAGAGCAACATGTCTCGCAGTAAGTGATGGGTTAATGAGCTTCATGGCATGCATTTAGAAAGCGTACAAATGAAAAAAGCAAAACCCGGGACACATAATGATACCCAACCAACCCAGATTTACCTTCCACCTTTGCTCATGCTTTTGTGATAGCTCTCCCGCTGTTTCCGATCCTTGGTTTCAGTCCAATTCATCATCAGGAGGCTACGGAGCTCCATTGAGTGAGTGAGGCTCTTCCATAAGGGCTCATGTGGGGCAAGCAGCAAGCTAAACGTCCATCCGCACGCTCGACTGTCAACATCATCTATTGACACAACACTCGAAAACATGAGCGCGACGTCCGTTGCTAACCAACCATCAATATCAGCACTGAATTTGTAACAGACCAAAAATCATGCTTTAGAGGTATAGAAAGAGAAGGGGAGGTATGCTATGGCTAATCTAGGGGTGGGTAAGCCCTGCTCTGGCTTTTGGACCGACATCAGTAGACAGCCATATTGAAATTGGTGTACTGTAAGTAATGTGAAGGAGAAAAGATGCAAGATTTTTGCATGTTCAAACTCCCATGAAGTCAGGACTGGTGTTGTCCGAGTTGAGAAAGAGCTGCACTGCAGACGCTTTCCCTTCACTTCCAGGAGGCGTCACTCACCCAGACATTGTACACAGCACTGTTCACCTGTTCTTTTCCTATTCGACATTCCATTACCTTGTCTTTTTCCTTCGCACGCTTTAATCGCATCCTTTATCCTCTCTCTGGATGTTCTTTTTGTTTTGGTCAGAGTATTGAGAAAAAGAGTCGGCAAGCGCGAAGAGCCTCGCTGCGCATACCAAATTCAACCTGATACATCTTCTCAATTTTCCGTCGTGCTCAGGATTCCGAAGCACAGTCACTCGAGGAGCACACTGATTGATTTGCATCTTCCCTGGCCAGCATCTCTTCCGTTACATCTTTCTTCAGAGCATCTTTTCGTCTTCCCTACGCTACTGTCGCGTCCGTCTGCACCGTCAACGCGCAATCGCTTCACCACCACAACTTTTCGCGACTAGTTGAACTATGCGCATCGACAATCGCGTAATCTCAATATCCTGGACCTCGTACTCATCTCCAGAAATAATCACGACGCGTCCTCCCTACCTAGACCAAAGCCATCGTCGACTGGTCTGGTGAACTGCTAAATGGATTACATCTACGAAAAGATTGCTGGTAAAGGTAAGTCGTCAGCCCTCCGACCGATGCTGCTTGTTCCAACACATGTGACCAGGTCCGGCTCGGAAATACAACCTCGAGAAATGTCGAAAGGAACTCGAAAAGAGCTGCTCCGACTACCGAAATCGTGGCAACTGCTTCCCTCCCACACCACGGACCACACCTTGCACAAGCAGTGCACCCACTCAACAACAACCGTCCCCGAAGCAGAAGAAAAAGGTTCGCTTCCAGACTTATCTGTCTTTGAATGAAACTGCACATGTTCCCCACAAAGTCAAGCGATGTCCCTTCCAATACAACGAAAATGAACTCCGGCAGAGAGCTCAACAACTCAAAGCCGAGTCCAAGCAAGCATCTAAGCCTCGACTTCATCAGCCTCCAGTGCCGATTGCTGATCCCTTCGATGGTTATACAGGCCACGATTTCCCGAACGACTGTTCTAAGGATAACTCGAGTACCGAGGACTTCGCACCTCGTAGACATCCGACACTGCATCGTCAGAATCTTACACAGGACGAGTTGATTGCCATCAGGGACACGGCTGCGCGCATTGCAAGTCATTGTGCTGTCCGCGACAAACAGCCTTATCCTGACTCGCCTCCCCAGGAGACCTTGCACCGCATACGCTCTGCTGTTTGGTCGGAGCGGACCAAAAGTGAAGGCCAAAATAGTGCTGCACCGTCCCCTCCAGACAGAGCGCAGGACGACAATGGGATCAGCGTTACTAAGGATGGTTGTATTACTCAACGTGGCTTCGATATCTCACCCATGACCTCTTCTCCTGGAGGCGCTGTTCATATTAGGTGTGACTCAGGGTGCGAAGTCCGATGCAAGACGCCCAATCATGTCTCTCCTGAGCAAGAAACTCGCAAGGAGCTACTCAGACCGAGCGTCAGAAATGGAAGGGGCGCNAAAGTCCCAGTCTGCTTCCGCAAACAAGAAATATCACACCAGCGGAAAGTGTCGCATCTATCAGCTTTGCTTTCCGCTCATGGCTTTTCAAATGGCCAGAAGGAAGATCAGAAACCTGCGCAAGAGAACACGCACCGAGCACATATGCCACAACAGCGTCATCGAATGCCAGTTCCTGCACGTCCTCTGGTCTTCTCGGGCTCTAGCTCATCAGGTGCCGTCGTGTCTGATAGCGAGGATGATAGCGAGGAAGAGCAGGAGCGATCTGAGGCCAAAAAGGTAGATAGTGCTACAGGCTCTCCTACTTGTGCTGATGGAGCTAAGGATCCGGCTGGTCACGGTAGTGTTGCCACCCTTATTGTCTCGTACAAGCCTGCTGAAACTGTGAAGACAAGCAATCATCTGCCGCAACCTTCTGCACCGCCCTCGCCTCCGTCATCCAAGCTTCCAGTCCCCAGCTTCCCTCGAGTCAAACAGGGTCAACACCTCCATGCTGGTACACCCCTCCCACAAAGGCTATCAAAGCATCCTAACCTTGCTTCCAAACCTCACAGGCAAGCTGCTCAAGAATCTCCACCTTCACAGCAGCAAAACCCACAACCACGATTTCTTCGTTCCCAGCAGACAGCCAAAGTTCTCCTGGCTCACCAGCAACAACGTCGTGCTCGACAAGCTCCCCTTCCTCACCCTCAGTCTGCGTGCCAGGCTCTCGGGCTTCATCTACCTACACCACCAAACCCCTTCTCCGAAAGCGGCAACTACGTCTCTGCGCTCCTTGACAAGATTGAGAGAAATGGTGGAAGGCGTCCTGAGAACTTCAGCTGGAATCATGTCGCACCAATGCATGGTTTCAGCTCATGTCGTCCCTTCTACGTCCTCGATTAGACGGCTTGGGCGCTGTTTCCGGCGATCGGCATCGAAGACGATGGCCTTGATCTGCACATCCATAGAGAGTTGAGCATTCACTTCTACTCCCTAGATCCTTTGCTCCTGGCAGTAGGGTGGTAGCCCTTTCTACCTTTGTTTATTGCTTTTTCTGCGTATCACGCCTGCTCTTTTATGATACCCACATTGCGTTGTTCTCGCAACTTTCTTTTCTTATGGCTCTTCATTGCTTCCATTCTTTCTTATCGATTGGTGGTCTAGCCGGACTGGCGTTGATGGAGCTGCTCAACAATGTCTACACCTAATGCATAATGGACAATGGCTGGCGCAATCATATCGACGGCTTTTCTTTCACATCCTTTGGCCTCTCTCTTCCTTCACACTCAACTCCCTCTCTTTCAAATCACCTTTCTGCTCAAGACACGATCATTGCTCTGGTCCTTACTTTCTCGAACAGAAAGAACACTTGCTTGGATATTGAGTTACTTCTCTTGGTCCATAATCTGGAAAACGAAGAGGAGGGAAGGCAAGAAGGGAACAAGGAGTGGAACTGGCTGCGAAAGAAGAGGAAGAGAAGACAACAATAATGTTTAATAGATCCAAGGCACCACTAATCGTTCCACTCCCTTGTCAAGTTGTATTCCCTTGGATCTTTGGTGCTGATCGTGATGTTGTGTGGTTTCTTTGATGGTGTCAAAGACCTGTAGGGATTGTAATCGAAATTTGATGCTCTGATTATTCCATGCATACTTCAGCATTGACAAAGTTGTTTCGAAGCAGTTGGTTGAAAAGGAAAGAATCGATAAAACTCGACCAGGCTGAACAACGAAAGACTCAGGTGTTCTTTTTCGCTTTCTTCCCGTCTTTCCTCTTCTTCTTGCTCTTTCTTTGCAGACACACCTTTGCGGCGCACTCTGCGATTTCCACCTCTCATAAAACCAAAAACGCCAATCGCTATGCAACCCACCATCTCCCCAATCCTCAGCAAAACGCACAACAAACAACCTCATCCTTTTCCCAAGACCCTCCAGATACACCTCAGCCACTTGGAATTCTAATCATCTCCTCTCAACCCACACATATCGGTGCCTAGCCAGTAGTCTAGCCATGCAAAGATCAACCAGTACAAGCTAGCATTCTTCCAGTCAAAGTTTCCATCGTCGGTGCGTGGGACGGCGGAGCCTATCACATCACCCTTTGTGCCGACGAAGAGGTTGATTAGGGGCCAAGAGGCCAGTGATGAAGATACAGATTTGGAGGGTTCGGCAAATGCCAGGTCTGCGGGTTTGAGGACCGCGCGGGTGGCGCCGGGGATTCGCATGGGCCGCTTTTGGGCTGGGGTGGTGGGTTCGAGTGCTGTTGTGTTTGTTGATGTGGTGGCGAGGTTTGTGGTTGAGGAAGAGGAGGGTGCGCCCGTGATGGTTGCCGAGGACATTGTGTTGGATGAGTCGGTTGGGGTCAAAGTGTCGCGAGTGCTAAATGTGGAAGGTAGAGCTGGGCCGTCGATCTGAGCGCCGGCGTTCGAGTATGGGATGGGCGCGTCGTTGGGAGGGCCAGTGCCGCGGAAGGGCTCGGCGTAGACGAGGAAGCCGTGGATGGGGTGGGGAGAGCAGTGGCAGGCCAGGTCGGCGGCTTCAGGGCTGTCGAAGGTGACTTTGATCCAGTGGTCTCCACCGCGGTAGGCGTTGCGTTTGCGAAGAGCGGCTTGCGAGAGTGAGCGTTGAGCGAGCTTTGCGCGGCTGTATGTCAAGCTGTGGTCGTAGCGTTGGTGAGGAGGATGGCGATCGTAGTCTTCGTAGACGATGCCGTTCGAGATGCGTTCGTAGTACTCGATGGCAGCCCATTGCGAGTCTGGGCCAAAGCCGTACAGGATGACCTCTGTAGCTTCCTTTGCTGATGCGGCGTCGGTTGCTGCTTGTGATGCTTGAGCTTCGTTGGACTTTTGTGTGGGTTGTACTGGGTCCTTTGCCTTGAGCTCATCTTTGTACTTAGCAAAGATGAAGTCCTCGGTCTGCATGTTTTCTTGTCGCACGACATCTTCCTTGCGAGCTGGTGTTGCCGTCTTGCTGCGCGAGAAGCCACGACGGCGTACTGAGCGTCCAAATGGTCCCTTCTCCTCTGGCTCGCGTCTGCGGCCTATCTCTGCACTGAGATGGGTTAGTTCATGTTGATGTTTAGACTTGACTCTGCTAGAGCTATCCTAGATGGATGGAACGTACTCGGCAAACTCATAGCCCCATGGCAGGCGTTTGCCTGAGGCATCGAGAGCTCTTTCGCTCTCAGGCACAGCATGGACTTGCATGCCCCCGCGCATCGAGTTCATGGTGCGGCTGTGTGATAGACGTGGATTGAGGGCGAGGAAGGTGAGTAGAGGAAGCGACGGTGACAGGTATGCGAAATCTTAAGCCTCTCCTATCTTGACTGAGACGCGACCGTGTGGTGATTTCGTAGATGAACAAAGTACAGATAAAGAGTAGGAAAACACTCGATGCTTTTCACATGCGCTCAAGCAAAAGCATCACCAACGCAACCAGTTTGGTCCGAGCTTCTACCGTCTTCCCGAGCTACCATCTTCTGATTTACATGACCATTGTTCCTTCCCAAACCACAAGCCTCACACAAAACCAGTCACAATGGAAGGAAACCGCGAACGACAAGCCGCAGAGCTAACCCTGCTCACAACAATGTACCCCTCCGAGTTCTCCTGGCGCACATCTCCACCNCCCAACCTCGAAACACCGACGACCATAACCACCGACCCAAACTTCACCTTGACCATCCACCGTACCTGAACACCTTTGTCTCCTATACCGCCAAACCTCCCTGGCTGATTTCAACAATACNNAGCCAGTTACGCTCTCGAATTTTCTCTTCCAGACACCTACCCCGATACCCAAAAACCTCATGTGTATTTATCTTGTGGTGGTGACGTAGCCACTGCGACACGCAAACGCGCGAGAGCAAAGCTGGCAGAACTGGTCGAGGAACAAGAGACTGGCATGGAGATGCTCGATCTCATTGTTACCCTCTTCACAGAATACCTTCCCGAGTTGACCGCAGCCACGGCAAATGTAGATCAACATCAAGACAAGGAGGGTAATCACCAGCACCATGCTTCAAGGATCAAGCGAGTAGTCATATGGTCGCATCATCTGCTGGCCACCTCGAAACGAAAAGATATTCAAGCTTGGTCCAAGGAGTTGTCTCTGAGCGGCTACAGTCGTCCAGGCCATCCTGGCAGTATATTCGTCGAGGGCGATGAAGACCAGGTAGATGAGTTCATTCGTCGCTTGAAGCAATTGCGCTGGCAAGCACTACAAGTCAGAGGCGAAGAGACTGCTGACAAGCGTATTTGCGGTCCTGGCGACGGCGTACTCGAAGTTGAAGGACTGGGTGAAATCGCAGAAGCACTCAAGAAGATCGACGCTGACACTGCCGACCTGTTCCTCCAAGCCATGAAGATTGCAAAGACAGACTAGCACGAGATGATAACGAATTGAATGTCTTGAAATGAGAATTTCCGATACGAAAAGAGTACGAAATGGACAAGACGCAATGCTATGACTGTCTTGCCTCGATTGTGTGTGATGGGTAGAGAGGAAAGAGAAAGCAGAAAAACAAGAAATCAAAGGCCATGCCTGCCTCTTCCAGTCCATTCCCAAAGAAAACAAAACCAGATACTCCATCATGAGATCCAAAACTCCGAAAGAACAAGCAGACAAAAGATCCAGGAGGTGTTCGTAACTCCATGTCAATGCCAGTATTATGCCGCCGAACCGGTTCCAGACCCCGTTGAAAGCACAAATGAAAACAATTGGTATCGCTGTTTTGCCTTCATCCACAATTTCAAAAACAAGAGGAAGCATTGGAGCTAGCTTCCTATGATTTGCCCGCCTATCGGGGCATAATACCGACTCTGCGAGTCTTTATCAGGAATGGTGAGGGCATCTCGTCACGTTCGGGATCCCACAGAGGCTCTCTATCGAGGGATGCCTTTGTCGAGACCTTGGGTACCTCGATGCTAGACGATGGGCTGGAAATGCCTCTAGCTTGTGCCAGCTCCACCAGGGTGCGGCCTTGGATGCCTTGTTGCAAGTTGTTGCGGTGAACGGTCTTGATCATGTCTTCGCCCTTAGCGCCCTTCTTTGTGGCCAGCGCGGTCTTAGAAGGCTGGGATGGAATGGCGGGTGCTCTTCTGCTAGGGCTGATTGGCAGACCTTTGTTCATGGGAGAGCGGCTAGGCGATGCTGCAGCACGTCTAGTGCTGGGTGCCAGACTAGGCACTGACTTCAGGCGTGATTGAATCTGTGTAGGCATGGTCTTTTGTCTCGAAACGGCAGGTCTCGAGGGTTGAGCAAGGACCTTGAAAGGGTCATTCTCTCTGCTGTTTGGTCTCGATCTGATGGGCGAACCACCGTCCGAGCCGAAAGATTCTTCATCTTCGTTGTCCTCAGGGAAGAGAGCAAGATTGCTTTCACGAGTAGCACGATCAAACATGTTGGGTCCCTTGAAAGCAGGTTGTCTTAGCTTGCTTCCTTCGAGAGGTGCGTTCCTACGCGGTGACAAGGAAAGCGAAGCGATGCTCATCGGGCTGGGATCAACCATCTGAATGTCCATGGGACTGGGAGCGACGTCGTTTGTGCCGGCAAAAGTCTTTGCGCGTGTGAAGGGAGTGCGGTTGGACGATCTCAGAGGCTTGTGTCTCTGAACAAGTGGCGAGTCCTCCAGAGTAAGAGCATTGAGACTGGGACCTTCTTCATCGGCCTCTCCTATGGTGACGAGCGAAGATGGTTCTTCCAGTGATTGTGTGGGTGTTGAGGAGCGCTTTGGTGGCTCGATGGTGTCTGAGGCTGAGTTCATCGAGCTGGTGCGTGATGATGGCAGCGAAGCAAGTCTTCTCTCTACTTCTTCCTCGACTTGCTGCTCAAAGAGCTGTCTGTAATGGTCCCGTAATCTTTCTCCGGCCACGTCCATCTGGCGGTTGATCTCAAGGTGAGCCTTTGTCTCCCACTCCAGTCTGAGCTGCTTGTCGATTTGGTCGTGCATGGACTGTTTCTCAGCTTCCAGTCGTGCGATCTTCTCTTGTGCCGACTTCAAAGCAGCAATTGCGTTCTCCTTTGCGGTAATGTGCTGTTGGAGGACCATGACACCTTCCTGTGTCTTTCGTACCAGCTTCACTCTGGGCAGGTTGAGGAGGCTGGCTGTGTCGGGTCTTGAGTTGGGGTTGACCTGGAGACATGCAGAGATGACATCCGAGAGCTCCTTGGAGTATATGCGTGGTAGCGGAGCAACCTTGCCGAGCTTGATCTNTTGAATGAGTTCGAGATGAGTGCGAGCGTTGAATGGAGGCTCTCTCGTGCAGAGCTCGTAGACGATGCAGCCGAGTGACCAGATGTCCGAGTATAGAGAGTAGCGTTCGGCGGCGCAGATTTCGGGCGACATGTAAAACGGAGTGCCGACATAGGTAGAGGCGAAGTCGTGCGAAAGAATGATCTTGGAGAGACCAAAGTCACCGAGCTTGACTGCGTTTCCTTCACCAAGGAAGANCTGCCGGATTTGTTAGCTTCTGTGCACGCATGGCTGCCGAGAGAACAAGGATGTACCATTTTCAGGCTTCAAGTCACGGTGGAGGATCATCTTGTGTGCCTGCTTGCTCTTGAGCGGGAGAGCGTTCTTGGTCAGGCCGAGGGCGTTGCTGTTGACGTCTGGTGGGTCTTCGCCGTAGTGGCAGCGATATAGAGCGCTGACGAGTTGTGCAAAGATGGTCCAGACAAACTCCTCGTCGGCGTACTCGTTGCGAGCCTTGAGATCCTTAATCATCATTCCCAAATCGCCGTTGCCGCAGTATTCCATGTAAAGGTGCAGGTCGTGCGAAGCCTTCAAGTGCTCTTTCTCGTAGTAGGCGACAATGTTGGGATGGCGTAGACCTCGGAGGATGTCGAGCTCGGCCGAGAGCTGCTCGCGCTCCTTCTGTGACATGCGGGTGTAACATATTTCTTTGCGACAAAGAATCTAGTGGGCGTGTCAGCAGTGAGGTGGGCAACAGGAGGGCGTGGCAGGACATACAAGGCCGTCGTTCTTTCTGCGGACCTTTCTGATGATGCCGAATGAACCTTGACNCTGGGGTGTGTCAGCAAGTCGCACGAGTTTAAATCGAGGACAGGACGGCATACCGATCTTGGTCAGGATCTCGTACTTCTCGGCCTCGGTTTCGGCCATTGTGCTAGGTGTGTGACTGATGTTGTATAGAAATCAACAGACGAGAAGAAGATGTAGCGACAGAGCGACGAATGAGGAATGACGAAGAGGACTAGGCGCTGATCATGGCCAGGGGACTGAGAAGTGGGAAGTGGGAAGCAATGTGCAATGTGCAATGTGCAATGTGGGAGAGCTGAGCCCAGCGGGAAGGCATGGACAAAAGTGCGAGGCTCTGCAGTCGGTGTTTTCAAAAGTCAACACTAACGTCCGCCGGGCAACCGATGCCGACCGGCTCGTGCATGTCGCGCTTGCTGCTGTCAGGGTCCTTTTGCCAGACAGCGTCATTATAGTGGGGCTCCGCCACCCGTATATGCGCAAAGGTGATTGCATCGACCAAAAGAAAATACACATATTTCCAAGGCAGAGACGCCATGGTCTGTGGCCGAGTCCGAGTCCGAGTCGTGTGAGAACATCCAAGTCGCCATGGTCGTCAAGAAGCATGAGCTCGAGGCCGCCCTGTATGCCGAAAAGCAGCAGATCAACAGCGGCCAGCTGAAAGAGGACAATCCGCTTGATACTAGCGATGCCTTTCGTATCTTTTGTGAAGCGTGCAGGAGGTAAAACACCTATCGCCGCTGGTTAGCTGTTCGCGTACAAACTAACCCTAGTCTNAGGGGTGACTTGAAGGTGTGCCAGGAACAAATCTCGGCTGGTGTCAACATCAACGCAAGAGACCGCTACGATTACACGCCCTTGATCCTGGTACGTCGTGATCCAAGCCGCTGCACAGGCCGCCGTCGACGACAACGACTAATGGACTTGATGGGCAGNGCCAGTTTATGCGGCCACTACGAGGTGTGCCAACACCTTCTTGAGTCCGGAGCATTGTGTGAGCGTGACACCTTCCAAGGCGAACGCTGTCTGTACAATGCTTTGAACGACCGCATTCGCAATCTGCTACTGCAGTACGACTTTTCCAAGTCGACCGATCCTTTGCAGCCGCTGGCTGCCCATACGACCTCGTTGCTCTCGAGACCAGACCCAAAGACTGCCGACATCGTTGTCACCACTTACGACCGGGACTTTGCCTTGCACAAGTTCATTCTTGCTGCCCGCTCTCCATACTTCGCCGAGAAGCTCGCCCACCAACCAGATACCACCTCTTGGAAATTGCCGCCGAAGATACCTTCTCAGTCCTTCAGTTCCGTCGTTCGCTATCTGTACCTGGGCGAAGCTTCAGCCGAGTTGAGTGAAGATGAAGAAGAGCAAAAGGCCATCCTCGCTGGTATCGACAAGCTGGGCAAACAACTCGAGGTCCCTACACTGTTTGAGACCATCATCGATGGTGGCGACAGACGCATGGCAAGGCAACGTAGGACAGAAGAGATGGCTCGTGGCCGCGATCAGTTTGCCACTTGGTTCCAGGCCAACGTCTTACGACACAAGGTCCACACTGACACTGAGAAGGCCGATCAAGTCAAATGGGACAGAGACAATGCCATCTTCGCCGATGTTTTGCTTAGAGCAGATGAACCAGAAGAAGATACAGCGGACGATCCTCAATCGACGCAAAAAGAGGTTCGCAGCACCGAGGGGCCCCTGAATGGTATACCTATCGGAAACTTTTCATCAGGGCAGGCCTCGACAGAAACTCTCACGCGCAAACGCAAGTCTGTACTCTTCCCTGTACATCGAGCCATGTTGTTGCGATCCGAGTTTTTCAGCGCCATGTTCTCGTCAAGTTTTAGAGAAGCCCAAGAGTCGCCACATTTGCACATCGTCCCTGTCGACTGCTCGCCTCAGGTTCTGGAGATTGTCTTGACCTATCTCTACACCGAGAAGGCAGATTTCTCACTAGATGTGGCCGTTGATGTCCTCTTTGCTGCCGATCTCTTGTTCATCGAGAAGCTGAAACAGAGGGCTGCAGTCATCATATCAACTCTCGGTAACGGTGGTGCTTCTGTGGTCGAGTCTGAGAACCCGCGAGGGGAAACAGCTATCGAGGATGTGATAGATGTTTACGACATTATTCGTGCCGGCTGGGACACACGTGTCCATCGTCTCGAAGAATTTGGTGCTCGATATATTGCCTATCGTTTAGAGCGTTTTATCGATGACCCAGAATTTGCAGAGTTGGTCAGGGAGAGTGCTTCGAGAATTCAAGGGCGTCAAGAAACAGATACAGTCGAGCTTATTGATGAGTGAGTTCACACCGTACCACATGGTACGACAAACACAATTACTGACTTCTCTTGCAGCATCCGCTACTATCTCTCTGATCGATTCCGTCTGAGAATGGAAGATTCGGGTATAGAGCAAATGACAGATGAGACAGAAACACTGGATCCTGCCGCATTGGCTGGTAAGGATGTCTTTGATCCTAGCGAGATCATGTTCGCAGAGGACGAGGGTGTCGATATTCACTCGGGCATAACGCCGCCACAAGACTTGCACGACCACGACAACAATCTGATCATTCGCACGCTGGATGGAGAGATTGCTGGTGATGAATTTGCACAAGATGCTATCAACTACCAAATCCTTCTTGGCAAGATCGACAACCTTCTGGACAAACTTACATTGGATGCCTAGAGTGGTTCTGGACACCTTAAAAGTGCAATATAGAGTGTCGATAGATTAAATACAAGATACGCTGTAGTCAACCTGATGATTTGCTCTTGTCGATAAACAAACCTTAGGCGCTCCATCACAAATAAACATTTGGGCTACACCACTGCCCCCAACATCATGTTCCATCACATTTGCGTCCTGAGTGCTCAGCTACATCATCATGTTTTATTCCTTTGATGTTGAACGAATGTGGCTCGTAATGGTCGGATATGGACTTATGATATGAAGACAAAAGTTGGCCAGGGTTGCCCTGCGTAGAGGATTGCTGGATGTTTGCTTTGTTTGATCATCGACCTCAAGACGCGCCTCAGCGTGCTCTTTCTGTCTATTGGACATTCATCGAACATTATTAAGATACGACATGAAGTCGGCGCAGCTACTCACTACACACGAAATGGGATGACTGGTTTCGATTCTCCACATGGATAAATGATGCGCCCGATCGATCTCGGCTATAGACCATAATCATGTCAACTTCTGGGCAGCACCACTTCTGTTTGCTGTGGATTCACGATGATAGCTTCTCCGAAGAGACGGTAGTTTTCAACTCGGACCGCGTGGCTTTGGATGAAGGATCGCTGTGTAAACTTGCGGCCTTGAAAAACTCCATATCAACGCATGACTTCTCCATCAGCACGCCAGCCCTGACTGCTACAAGGCCCGAAAACACACCAGGCAAGACATCTTTACGTCATGGCAGCAGGAAGTCCACCAAGTATGCATCGGACATGGAGAAGCATGCAGACTCCACGAGGTCTCTGGTCTTTGTGGCTCGCGACATGACTCCTGAGCAAAAGCGAAAACAGCCTAGGCTTCAAATATCTGTCCATAGCAACGCAGCGGCTACTTTTGGCTTTCGAAACAACATGCAGGCAATCGTCCTCCCGGTATGCACAGACTGCTGTTGATATCACTGAGTCTGACTGACTTCTTTATAGGTGTTTGAGGATGTGCATTCTGCATCTCACGTAGAGATTGTGTTTCGCGACCAGTATCTGGCGCGTTCAGATATGTGGAGGCTAACAGTAGCAGTTCTGAGCGACAGATCTGTCTACAAAGGGCAGAAGCTGCTCTTCATGGGCAGTATCAAGGTTGCTGTGAAGAACATCTTCGTAGATGGGCAGAAGGTAACCTCGGCTTTCTTCTCTTCTACAACTAAGCCCATATTCCGCAGCGAATCTGCCAAATATGTCATCTTTGTACAGATGTCTCGCGAGATGTGGGACTTTGACGCGGAAGGGTCCGGCGAGATCATGTTCAACAAAGTCATCAATGGTTTCTTACCTGACTTGTTCAAGCGTTGGCAGAGACTCAATGTACACCACCTGGTCAGTATCGTCATGTTCACTCGACTGGAGTATGAGCAGGGTGTGCTAGTTCGCCGAGATGAGGATGCACACACACCACACAATAACGGACGCTCGCCTGGCAATAGCCGTGAACATCGAGATTACTACCGAGTGGTCACGACTGATGCAGCGAGCAGTCGATGGGTCGATATTCTTTACAAGCTTAANAAGGAATTCAAGGTCTTCCTTAAGGACGTATCTGTCGTAGGCGGCAATGATGCCTACGGCCCACCTCCGGAAACGTTGGCATCAGTCAAGGCCCGCACCGAAACCGAGTCTGTGATTGCTGGTCAACCTACTACATCGGCACGAGGCAACATACTAGAAGCGATCAACCTTGCTGCATCACAATTCTTCAAAGACTATATTGATCGCGATCTTGTACACACTGGTATCTCCTTGTGTATTGTTACTCCAGGCACAGGTCTGTTCGAAGTCGATTACAATATCCTCAAACTGACGACTGATGCTCTTGTTGCAAGTGGTATGGGTGTCGATCTTGTATCACTGGCTAGAATGCCACTCCACTCTGTACCTTTGTTCAGATACAGGAGCCCTCATATACTTCCTGGCCTTCCAGTGGTGTCCGATATCTACACGTTTGAGGGAGGTAGTACNCCTCGGCAGGCGGGCTACTTAGAAAGTCACATAACTGGCACTCCTAGAAGTACAGGCAGATTCATGCGAAGAGCCAGTAGCCACAATAAAGAACAAGTCCCGGGTACACTGATGGAATCTGGGGTCCAATGGAGCTACGCCTTACCACACTGGATTGATGTATCGTTCTGGACGGGACATTCTGACGAGGAGCATCTTCGAACGCAGTACGGTTTGAACTACAAGAAAAAGGAAGGCTCNAAAAGAAATGACCCCTTCACCACAAGTTGTCGAATGTACGAACTGCAGATGATGGGTCTTATGGAAACCGAGATGAGCGATATCGCAATCCCGCTGATGCTACCTGGGTATGCGAACACCGAAAGACCTCGCCAAGGACGACTTCATCTTGAGCCTGCACCAAATGAGGAGCTCTCCGGAAGCTATGGCTCAACACGATCGTTCCATGGATACATCAGCGGCTCGCTACAACACCACGATGATGGGACCCATATGAAGATGGACATGCCTACTCGCAAAGAGCTAACTGATTGGATGGCTACTTACGACAAGCAAGTACCCTTTAGAACGCAGGACTCTCCTCCGGTCAAGACAATCTTGGACCAGACTCCCATCGAGTCGTCTCGAGGCAGTTTAGACACTACCGTGAGATTCAGTTCTTCACCCACAAAACCAAGAGGCAGTCTTGCATCAGATCAATTCAAGCCTGGCGAGAGTTCACAAAACGCTGGCTACCTTGCCAACAGATCACCACCTAAACGTGCTGCTCTACTGACCAAGACTGACCAGCCAAAACAATCATCAATACGTACTACGAAAACACCACCTAGAAGAGCTCCAATGCCACGCCAGATCAGTTTGGTAGGAGGTTTAGGGACCGCAAAATCTACCGCCAGTATAAGCGTCAGTAATGAAAGTGCTGGACTCAGCACTCCAACGACAGAACTACCTCCCACACGTACTGCTCCGAAAGCCAGTGGAGGTGGTCTGTTCTCGAGTTTGACACAACAGCTTTTGGGTACATTGCAACGAAAGCCGTCGCAAGCTAGCCTCGCAAGAACCGACATCAGCGACTTTAGTGACCGAGCGGACTCGGATAGAGCAAGCACGGCCCAACGCAGCAACCCAATTGCTATCAGATCCAACTCTGTGGTGTCAGAGCATAGAGAAGGCGACGAGGAGTCGACGAAGGCAGAAACCGATCGCAAACCAGCAGCGAAGATGTTTGAGGATATCGTAGTTCGTGATGTTTCGAAGGTAGGACGTCAGACCGCCAGCATGTCTGATTCTGCACCCGACACTGTTGCGGACAAAGCCGACTATCATCGAGTCTTATCACCTCTGACCGCCATCTCGCCATGGCTCACAATGCTCAATCCTTCAAATCCGAAGAAGCACAATATGAGCATAGCAAGCCAATTCCGTCGCTGGCAGCACATTTTCCCGAAGCCAGTGCCTACTTCAGTGATGAAGTGGAAGTCCTTGTGCTCACCAGCTTCTCTGCCATTGACTGCAGAGTACTTTCCCACGGCAGAACAGCTACGCAACGAGTACTCAGAGTCACCTTATAAGATATTGCCTCTGGACGATGACGAGTCTTCGGAAGCACCCAAGACTAGAGAAGCCTTGATCAGGGAGCTCATCGCATGCAGACTATCACATGGCTTCCAGATAGTGGTTGGTCCGGCAGCCACAGAGTTTGCGGGTACTAAAGCAGCTTCTTTGGTCAAAGTGTTCGATAAGAACTACATGGCAGAAGATGGCGCTACAGTACTGATGACTGTGGGGAACAATATTCACCTACTTGTCTGTGCTGAGAGTGGTGAAATTGAGGTACGAAGGTACAACAGAAAGCCCGTGGCAGAAGTCGAGTATACCGGCGCTGTAGACCTAACAGTGGCGTATCATCCATACATCCGTACGTATCTCGGCAAAGGTTACGAGATGCGGCCCGTCATCTTCAAGAACCCGCGACCAACATACAACTGGAACGCGATCGACCATCATCTCGCTGGTTACAAGCAAGAGCACAGTTCGCAAGACTTGCGCTTCTGGAGGGCTCGGTTCGTCCTCATTCCCGTTGATCACAAGATCAGAAGCGGGCAACTGGGCTTCGTCTCTGAGAATTCAGAGGAAGAAATTCGCTTAGAGGGCATACAGAAGCTTACGCAGATATGGCAGCGACACCGCTACATCCCGCCGGAAGAACGCCGTTTCCAGCAGTCCCTGCAGCAGAGGCGTAAAGACCCCAATCCATTAGCCATCGAGTACCACACTCATGACCCTTCGATGATTGTGCGAAATCACGCAACACTGCTAGCCGAAGCACTGTCTCAGGACGAGCCAGGTCATGCTCTCTTTGCAGAGTCCGAGCTCTACCACACCAACGACTTTGACATGCAAAAGCTCGCACAACATCTGCAGGCAGATCCTCCAAAGGGCATACCGGTGACTGATCGCAAGTGGCACTTCAAAACACACTGGAAATGTTTCCGAGGCGACCATCTTACTAGCTTCCTCCTCGTGAATTTCAAGGACATTGAAACAAGAGAGAGTGCAGTCAAGCTCGGAAATGCTCTCATGAAGAAAGGCCTGTTTATACATGCAGTCCAAAAGCACCAGTTCAGAGATGGCAACTACTTCTATCAGATTGCACCTGAATATCGGACCACACCATACCCAGAGAACAAGTCGGGATGGTTTGGCATGGCAGGTCGATCGATCCCGCCGACACCTATGCATGAAGGACCCAAAGCTTCGCCAAAGTTCTTGCCTGTAGACAAGACGCGATCGCCGCGTATCGGGCCTGTAGACAAAGTGCGGTCGCCATTGATCGGACCATCTGACAATTCTCGACCTCGCTCCGATACAGACGAGAGCAAAGACTCGGGAAAGAGTGCACACAAACTAGACTCGAGCAAAAGACCAGAACTTGAGCTCAGTCGTAGCTTGCGATATGATGTCGACCATCGCAAGAAATCGTACCGCCCTGAG